GGGGGTAACAGAGCGCTGAGATTCCGAAAAGGGCATAGACCTGATAGATGTATGTATTCAGGGTTAGCGAAGCTATCTAGCGGATGCCTGCTAGATGTAGCTCATGAGAGAATGAAACCATGGGTGCTAGAACCATCTGTGAAAATAAGGGATCTGGGCCACCAAAAAGGCAAGGAAGAGAGGGGTCTAGGGAAGGATTCACTTTCGGGGATGCAAAGCAAGTAAAGACTACTAGATGGCCTTGTGCAAAAGTTAGGTATCTACAATCAGTTGTGTTCCTGCTACCTGCACCTGGCAGACTCACATAGAGCTTCCAGAAGGGGCCTAGTGCCAATTTCTACTCCCCACAGCCTTTTCTTTTGCCTGAGATCTGCTCTATTCTGATCTACTAATATACACTGCTTTCCTTATATCAAATAGTGTGTGAATATGCAGTAAAAAATAGGGGTTTGCGACAGCAGTGTGGTTCAACACGCCTCCGAAGAGAGTAGATGACTTTTCCCTCTTGGGCCTTTCCGTTTTGGGGTTCTAGTCTATCTCCTTAGACCACTTTCGAATGGTGCCTGGTGAAAATAGGTCAAAATATTATGCACTATAGCCTAATTTAAATCATTCATCCAGACTAACGAGGCAGGGAAACCGCACCTTGGGCGTTTGACGGCTTTCTCAACTCATCATTGGCAGAACCAAGATACGATACTTCAAGTTATGGACCAGCAGAATTACAAGTACTATCCCAAGGTCGTATATCCATAAATAAACCAACTGACTGCTAGCTGACACGCGCAAGTTGCGAGGTTCGGATTATTGGAAAAAAAACTTGGGAGACTCGAGTCTTTTAGGATACTATTCTATAGGGATTATACCATGTTTGTACTTAATTTCAAGCCGTAATAGTAACAATAATTACGACCCTAGAGCCAGGTATCGTACCTGCGACGCCGAGAAGATATGCAGCCCACAGGTCAGGTGCGATTGGGTGATCGTACCGGTAGGTAGTTCAAGGCAGGGCAGGCTCTGAATATCTATCTACTGTAGTCCGTGCATAAGCCGTAACTTGCGCGAGCGCGAAGTGCTTAGCACAGCACACTACTTGCCCTAATTTAGCCTCCGTCATTGGGGAGGGGAGTTGTATAGACGCACCAGCCAATGAGGGGGCAGAACGGGGCTTTAGTGTATAGCTTCAGGCCCACACATCTCATCATCGTAATATCGCATAGGCGTCAGCTGAGGCTGAGGCTGAGGCTGAGCCGGGTCCTCCGTGTAGATGCATGCTATCATGTTCCCAAGGGGGGGGGGGGGGGGGGGCATTGACCGGTTTTTCATATCGGGCGGTATAGTTATAGGCAGCCCTACGCCCGCCCCTGTCCAGTCTTGCCCTCTCGTACATTGCATCCTCACGGAACCAACTCAGCAACTCTCCAAAATGCCACCAACACTCAAACCCCTCCGCCCCTGCCACATTCTCATAGCCGGCAGCGGCATCGCGGGCCTAACGCTAGCCCTAACTCTCGAAACGCACGGGATCCCCTACACGCTCCTCGAAGCGTACCCGGAGATAATCCCAAAGTCCGGCGCGGGCATCTGTCTGCTCCCCAATGGATTGCGCATTCTCGATCAGTTGGGCTGCTATGAGGATTTGATTGAGCGCATCGGTGGGCGCGATGCTTGTATGCAGAATGTGTATGTGCGCGACGAGGCGGGAAGGGCGTTGCATGTTTCTGATGGGTGGGGGGAGACTATGGTTGGGAGGTTTGTTTCATTTCTTTCTCTTTCTCTTTTTCTTTCTCTGGCTGTGGTCATAGGCGCGGCCGCGGCTATAGTTTGGTTTGTATGTTGAGGTGCTGATGTGTGTAGATGGGGCTACCCCGGCCTCTGGTGCGACCGCTCCACGATCCTACAAACAATCTACGACCACATCGTCGACAAATCGCGACTGCTGACGGGCAAGCGAGTGGCCAGTACGCGGCATCTTGAGGGTAGCGTCGAGGTCACCACGACAGACGGGTCGGTCTACACGGGCGATATCCTCGTTGGCGCAGACGGGACACACTCGCGGGTTCGAGAGGAGATTGTCCGGTATGCGAATGAGATTGGGGCTGGGGAAGAGTATGATGATGGTGACCGTACGCTTTACCCCCCATTTCCAACTCTTTACATACAGGATTTAAAGCGGTTGCTAACTTCAAACAGAAGTCTCAGCGACATACGCCTGCCTCTTCGGTCTCTCCACCACGCCCTCTCCCTCAACATCCCCCTCAAGCTCCACACCCAAATCCCTCCCAAAAGGCCTCCTAGGCTGGAACCTCGGCCACAACTACTCATACGTTCTCGGGACAGGCCCACCAGATCGAACCTACTGGCTCCTCTCAATCCACATGGGGAAAACATACCAGGGCACCGAAATCCCACACTTCACAGAAGAAGATAAGGAGCGGATTGTGCGCGAGCACTGGGATGATCCCGTTACTGAGGATCTGCGCATGCGCGATTTGTACGAGAGCAGACTGCATGTGGTTGTTTCGCCGCTCAGGGAGGTTGTGTATAAGCGGTGGGATTGTGGGAGGATGGTTGTTTTGGGGGACGCGGCGCACAAGGTACGTCACATAGCTTTCTATTGTATAACCCCCACAAACCAGGATAGAGCGGCTAATGAGCTATTGGATATAGATGCTCCCCATCATAGCCCAAGGCGGAAACCAAGCCATCGAGACCGTCGCGGCATTTACGAACGAGCTTGTCGATGCCCTCTCCTCACCTCCATCCTCATCACCATCACCAACCCCCCTCTCCCGACCCGAAATAACCACCCTCCTAACTACTCTCCAAGCCACACGCACCGCCCGCCTTGCAGCCATAATCGAAATGGGCCAGCAGCGCCAGAAGATGGACGTGCTGCTGACGCCCGAGTTGGAGAAGCTCATGCTGAACAAGTTCCCAGCTCTGATGCCGGGCGCGTTGGTTAAGCGGTGGGATCAGTCGTTGCCCGGGGCGGTTTCGTTGAAGTGGTTAGGGAGGTCGGGGAGGGGGGGTGTTGTGCCGTATGAGGATGAGGTTGGGGAGGAGGTTGGGGAGGGGAGGAAGAAAGGGCAGGAGGGTATTGCGAAGATTTAGGGATTTTATCTCTTTACATATAGATCCACAGGGGCTTTTTGTTGTGCAGAATAGAAGATGCTATATTGTACCTACAATGGGTAGAAGTGCTGTTTAGCATATATGGTGGCAGACAGTTGGATAGTTGTATAGAACCACCAGATATTAGGGTTATGGCGCATTGCAATCTGAGCCGAGGATGTCTAGTTCGAACCTTTGACTTTAAGCCCAGAAATAAGAATAGCCAGGTATCTACTCAAAGCTCAAAAAGAACCATAATCGAATCGGACATATTTTCACCACTCAGCCTCAGCATGTAGGCACCCAGTCTACATAACCCTACCGCCTAAACTAAACTAACAAATGCATACTCATCGAGGTATATAGGCGATAAAACAGGGCAAAAAACAAGCACAACCACAATCAATCCAAGACAGCAGATACATTCAGGCAGGACTCCGAGAGAGAAGAGCGACGAAACCAAGTCAAGGACCAATCAATAACAACTGAACATAACTAGACTATAAACACCGTCATACACCATCATTTCACTTGGTATCATATATGGATGGAATGGTCTTTTAACGTGGTCTGGCTGCTGTTCTTTCAATCGTGTTTCCGAAGACAGGCAGGCAGGTACAAGATTGCGCACTCGGGGTGATGCGAGGGTCGACAGTGACTGAATGGACGGTCCATATTCCATGAATTGGGGAATGATGGGCAGTGAAACGGTCGGCGTTAACGTCAAGCTCACTCCCCCACGGCCAGCCGAGGCATGCTCTGTGGTATCAAAGGTATCAAAACAGGACAAAAAATCCGAAACAAAATTCGCTCGTAACAATGAGTAAAAACTGAATTTCTCTTGGGGGTATACTGCTGCAAATTGACATTGGTTTTAACGCGGTGGCCCAATAGGGGCCGGGTATCCAGAAGTAGAATTGGAAGTGCTAGGACGACCACTATCAAAAGACGCCCGGAGGTCATGCTTGGGGGTCATGTCCCCCGGCGCGGTACCGAATGGAAATTTCGTGTCAAAGCGCGCGGGCCAGCCATTGCTGCTGCTGTGGCTGTGGGAGCTTCCAAGGGCGGGCAGGTCGTCCTCGGGGAGGTTCACGCCAGAGTCGTTCCAGGGGTTGCGGTACCCGCTGTCTCGGGACTCCATCGAGACCAGCGATGCCTTGGAGGCATTGCTAGAGGCGTGCTTGAAGAATGAAGCAGGAGAGGCCGAGTGATTCTTGCGGCCAATGAACGAGGAGAACGAGGAAATGCTACCGGGCTTGCGGAGTCGCTCGAAGATTGATCCACGTTCGCTTGATTCGTCGTTGAAGCTGGGCCGAGTGGGCGAGTCTGTCGCGAGTGGTGTGGGCGCATGCTGCAACAGCTTCGAGTCGAAGAATGGCAAAGACTCCTCGAAAGAGTCCGACTTGGGTCGCGGAATGGCTCCTTTGACCGTGGTGGCGTCGAGGCCGTGGGCAACTAGTCGGGAAATCAAGTAGTCGATTGCATCTTTCAACCCACCAGCATTGTTGCGAGTGTAGCCAAGTACGACACGGTCCTCGGCAGGGATGGTAGGGGACTCCGAGCCGCTCTCGGACACAGGGGGCTCAGGGCTGATATCCACACTGGTATCCACCTCGTACTGTTCCTTGAGTTTAATGCATACGTCCTCGCGGAAGTTTGCATCTTTGAAAAACTCTCGCAGTTCAGGGGAACTCTGGAAAAGGAGCTCGTGGCTTTCAGGTACCATTCCCTGGAGAAGTTAGTCAAGTCGAGAAGGAAAGATAAGTCAAAACATACCAGCAAGGCATCAACGGCCTGCGGAACCTGATATTCAGGTCCAGAAATGGTAACAACATCGCTTGCCAATTCTGTGCTTGGGAACTCAATCTTGCAGTTCCATTTCTTTTCAAGCTCATCAATTTCCGACATGCGGGCAAGCAACTCGCGATGGTACAGTCGGTTGACCACAACGCGTTCAGAGACGTACTCGGCGTCCTACGAAAATCAGCCACTGTACCGGAAAGATGTAGGTGAGGATACGTACCACTTTCTCGACCATGTCCATAATTTCCTGCTTGACCAGATCCAGACTCTGCGCGTTCCGTGCAGGCGTACGGCAGATGACGTTGTCAACCTTGATATCGTCGTCGTCTTTACCCATACCGCCGCGGTCCATGGCGTTAGAGAATTTGACGAACACAGAGTACTTTTTCATGATACGCTGAATATGCTGGCCACCAATACCAATAATCCGCTTGTGGTACTGATCGGGCACGTGGAAGGAGATTGACGCCGGCATTTCTTGTTCAACAAGATCAAGACCGTTCTTCGTCGAGTCGTACTGGTTTCCACACACATCGATGTAGAAATTGTACTCATTGAAGCCATCGAAAATTATCTGAACATTGCCTATTCACAGTTAATATCAATACTATCAAATTTGAGCAGCCAACTCACTTTGTCCCATGATTTTGTTTATCTTGCCATTCTTCTTGCCGCTGACAAACTCCTTGTGCTCGTTCGCCAATTCGATCTTGACTCGCATTTGGTATTGACTACGCTGGACGAAAGGAATCTGATTGATAACCATCATGGCCGCTTTGACTGCGTCGTCCGATCCGTTGATGGTGAAATTCAGATTGTCAAAGCTGACTTCGGCGCCGGAGTTGGTGCAAATATCGGAGAGCATTGTTCGCACCTCGGCAGGAGAAGGAGTCCGGGCTGCTCCAGGCGTTGGGTCGGGAACAAGTATCCACCACGAAGCGCTGTAAAATTGACCGGCCTATCCAACGTTAAGTCATGTCGTACAGTTTTAGTGATTAGTAGACGTACCAGAGCCATGATTTCCCTGACGGTGCGCTCAACGTGCAGAACATCGGTTCCCTGGATGCGCACGCATCCCCGTTGACTGCCGAGCGGAGGGAAAAGCACATAGGACCCGTTCATCTCCATCACCTTCCGAACCTTGTCCAACCGGTCAAGCAGAATATTATCGATCTTGTTCGAGTTGACAGAGACATCCTTGACATAAACCTTCACTCCCATAACCAGCTCATGCAGCTTCTGCTTAGCTCGAGCAATCTGCTCCTGGGTATCACCCGTGATGTAGACTTCATCCTCGCTTCGACGGTGGGCTTTGGGAGGTACGTAACCGAATATGCGAGGGAACGGCGGAGGAAAATAAATGGCTGTGCCGGTGGCTGCTTCAATAAGCTTGATATTCTTGCGAGTCCGGCCGCAGACCAAGGTATGAGTGGTGAGTTCCAGTTTCAATGCGTCCACGTGACGTTTGAGCTTTTCCAAATTAGCGGAATGACCTCAGAGAGTGGGAGGAAGGGAACAACAAAAACTCACAATTTGGTCAATCATGATCAAAACCCTCGTTTTGGCATGTTCCGTACTCTCCATGTCTCCATAGATGCAAACCCGAAAGCGTTGTTCCAATCCACTGTCGGTGGCGTATCCATACGATGACACGACGGCACTATCCGTATCGCGGAGTTTGGGGCTGAGCAGGAAGATGTCGGTGCCGGTGTAGCTTGCTAGAGTGTCCAGGTGCTCCAAAACAGCACTTCGGACCTTCTTGGTCGCATTGTCCCAGATAAGGTGCATATCAACGTCGACGGTCGCACATCGCTGCGAAAGCGGAGGGGTTAGTGAGGGGGGAAAACCTTGCACCAAGGACAAATCTTTGAATCCAAGTACTTACCAGTAAGATAGGCGTCTCATTCAAGATTTTGGCCCGCATTTTTCGCACAGTCTCTCCATCTCCAGTGATGCACACATTTGTAGCGAGCCCTTGGGGCCGGCGCTGCAGGGATGGAACGGTTTTGGGTTCCGATGAGCTGATGAGAGCCTCAACCCTGCCATTACTGCCCTCCGTGATTTGGGCACACAGTGTCCGTAAGCTCTCGATGTTGCTGAGATGTACCGGCAGCTGGTGAATGGGCGTCCCTTCGGGGGTGCCGTCGGGGAACGACCACCGCTGAAGAGCGTTGGGACTGGCGTGGATCACGTCATCCGTGTCGGGGCCGGCAAGGGTAGAGGAAAACGGCACATTGAAGGAGAGGTTGACGGTAGGGTCGATTCCGGTGGGCGGAGTCATAGGTGGTGCGCCGTGAGCTCGTCGAAGGGAGTGCGAGGCCATCTCGGCGTGAGGGCGCGACATGCCAAAGGCCGGTGTCATTCGTTCCCAACCATGACGGGCTTGGCCCGTAAAGTTGGAAATCTTGTGCATAATCGAGTAGGCCGAATCTCTAACCCCTTGAACGAATCGAGGGGAGAGAGACGATGGGAGTCAGGCGTGAGAGAATGGCGAGTGGCCGAGCGGGATGAAGAGGAACGGGAGGAAGAGAGGACGAAACGGAAGGAAAGCGAATCTCCCAGGGATTTGAGAGCGCCGTTCTCGACAGGGATGAGGATGGAAGAGGAATGGGCGCACAGGAGGAGTGGGTTGGGTGCTGGGGACCGGAATGGGTGGAATGAATTCAGCAACCTAAAATGGGTATCGAGGATTGTGGAGGGCAGAAAGAGGAATGGAGGGGAAAAGAAAAGAAAAGGAGGGAAGAAAAGAAACAGCAGAGAAAAGAAGGGGAGGAAGGATAGGAAGAAACAGAGTTGTGCTGGGGAAGAGGCAGTGGTGTGGTGGGATTTGGAGGAGGAAAAGGTGAAGACTGAGATGGGATCGAGACTGGACTTGCTGGGCGATGGGCGGCGATGCTCGACGGATCTGAGATGGAGGAGGAAATCACTCGCTGAATTCAGCACCCAAAGTCTGACCACCACACGGAACTTTCCCTGCAATCAATCAACCTTGATTTCTCCTAAACTAATCTTTATCTACACCACAGACGATAGCTAATTATGGTCCGTCTGATCTCTGGCCCTGCTGCTGATTAGGCGGGAACTGCGGGAGTTGTCCTTGACTCAACGTTACGCATATTTACTCAGCTGAAGTACCAGCACGATCGGGATAAGTATTTATATTCCTGTTCTTATCACGAGGCCAATTACACCAACAACAGCGAAAAAGCGAGGGAGCAGGTCAAACCCAACAAGGGATGCAGAAGGGAGCTCCAAGGGCTGAGCTTGGCTGAGTGGCAGGGCTGAGCGTTCCTCTGGGGGAAAACCCAGGCTTAGAATACTCCGGCTAACTCCTACTTCTCTCCATAGAAGAAAGGTAACAAACCCTGGCCGTTGGAATCTTGTTGGCCCAACATCATGGAATCATCCTCGTCGAGTCGTCATCCTCACGATGAAGCCTTCTGCACGGTCCACCGGCGATTCCATTTCGAGCGCAAGCGAGAGAGCAAATCACGTGCCGTCGAAACCGGCTGTTCTGGGCTCAGATGTCACAGTTCAAGGCCCTCTAACCATCTGTCAGAGACTGAGGACACAGTATGCTTATTTGACCGCGATTGTTGCTGTGGCTTGAACTCGAAATGTAAGTTTCGGGTCAAGATACCCTCTGGATAGCACGCAACACTCGGAACTTCCCTCAGTTTCCTGGCTGTTCGTTGCTGGTACAGTATGACAGGGTGGATCAGCGCCTAGTATCCAGTTCGACCGGGTGACGATCAGATCAACAGAAAAGACACCAGACTCTGGGATATTTATTGACTTTGTGAAAACCAGCGAACACTTACGCCAACACTATTAGTATTGTTCAGGTCTTTTGAGGCACGCCGAGCCTGCCGCTCATCCGGCCTCTTCCTGTCCATCATAGAGTAATCTACGGAACCCAAAGTCCAGGAGAGTTGATTCAGGCGATTTTCCTTCGACCCACCGAGCCTGACTACCCGGGAGGATGACGTCGATCAAGTCTATCAAACCAATGTGGACAGAAACCTTTGCTATTCATGATTTGGTTGCTAGAGAATTATAATGTGTAGTTTTGCCCGAGTGCCACCTCCATAGGCTTCAGACGGGTTCTCTCGCTGAGACACAGTCGATGCACGATCTTCCGATAGCTTTTGCGGGCAATCATGCTTCGCTGCAAAAACAATCCGGATTAGCTTTTGAACCCAAAGCACAGGAAACTCTCCCCACGCTCTAAATCAAACTCTACCGCCCCTCAGTAGCGCTGAGGAGCCCTGTGGGCCCCATCCCTCGGCCCGTCAAGCTGCACGATTCGATCTGGCTCCCCATTGTCATAGTACCGCTCCTCGCGGGCCACAGGCCGCGTAGCTACATATACAGGCGGTCGCTCAATGTACTCTCTGGGATGCCGCGTCTCCTCATCCATGTATACGCTCATATCACGACCGCCAGGATGGACGCTCTCCACCCGTTGAATCACTTCGCGCGGCTCCTGATATCTCGTCGTCGTCGGTGGCCGCACACTCGGAACTCGCACAATCCTCTCTCGCGGCAGCTCCATTTCTTCCACATAGTGGCCTTGTCGGCCTGCATAGTCGTGGACCTGCACACTGCTGCTACGCGGATATGGTTCTTGCACACCGAATGGAGCAGGATAAGGGCGCCGTTCACTCGGAGTAGGCCGAGCATAGTCGGTGACCCGTCGATAAGCTCCCTGAGAGGGCACTTCTTGCACATACCTTCGACCACCGTACGGATCTTCCACGACAGACGTTGCCCGCATGCTAGCCTGACGAATCTGGGGAGGCCCCTCGTAGACATCAGACCGAGGTATCCGGCTGGATGGGGGAGGCATAGCTTGCACCCTCGGTGCGGGTAAAGCTTCGTAATACTCATTCCCATGCTCATCGATAACAATGCGCCGCGGAGGCGGCGCCACAACATAATCATTATAGTACGTTTCGGCCATCTGCGGTGGGAGCGGCGAGGCGAAACGCCTCGGCGGAGGCGCTCCAGGTTCCTCATAATACCGGGTGTTCTCTGGTGGCAGACGTTCAACAATTGTATAAGGCCCACGAGATGGGTGGGGACTGCCCTGGTCCATATACTCGCGGACGTATTCGGGTTTCCGAGCCTGGTGCAAACTTGCGACTCTCCGTAAATCTTGGTCGTCTCGCATTGGCCGCCGTGTACTAAGCCGTGACACTGTGCGCTGTATGCCTGAATCACCATGAGTTTCATCATACGGTTCTAATTCATATGCTGAAGTCCTCAGAGGAGGCTGAGGTTCCCTTCTTTCCACCACTGGAGTATATCGTGGAGAAGAAACATCAATATAGACGGGCCCTTCCTGAGGAGCGCGTGCACGGTACATGGGTGGTGTATCTGCAAAGGGAGGGGGCGAAACTGGCTCTTCCTTGATGAACGGTTTCACTGAACCGACACCCTGTCTGTACCCGCGGTCCTTGTCGTCTTGCAATCGTCTACGCTTCCTAGAGATCACAGGCTGAGTGGCGACAACCTCGGGGCTACCGTGCCGTTCTGGTTCGTACTCTGGGCGTGAAGCATGGTGCTGGTTGACCGAGGGAGCTTTGGCAATGGCAAGAGGGGAGACCCTGGACGGTTGAGGGGCCGCAGGGGACGTAATATGATTCCGTATTACCCGTACACGATGCGGCGGGGACTCCGATCGTCGAGCATAGCGGTCTTCTCGGTCGAGTGCCCGACGTCTCGGTCCTTGCGGATATCCCCTCTGTGGTTCGTAACTTTCCACTTCCACTCTTTCCATAGGGGCAACACCAGGAGCTGGAGGGGAGTATTCGGGCTCTTCTATAGGATCGACCTGCTGGCGAACGGGCTGGGCTCGGTATGCTGAGGTATCTTCAGGACGATGCGGTTGCCTATTATGAGAAGTCCGGTGGTCTGCAATGGAGTAAGTATCTTGCATTGACTGATCCGAGTCAGGACGGTTGAGGGCTTCGAGCCGTTGCAACTCATCTGAGTATCTCCCTTGAGTGGCTTCCGCGCCTTGTTCCTCGGGGTTGGAAGAAGAGGCCGAGGATCGCTTGTGGTAGCGGTCACCATGCTGGGGTGAGTCAGGCGCTCTGCTCGAGTAAAAGGAATTCTCATCAAACGAATCGCTGGGCGCCGCAGGGCCAGGGCCCTCAAGAGACGGAGACGGTTTAACCAACTCAAATGCTCTTGCTAGAACATCAGAGACGTCAAAATCAGGTGTCGCATCCTGTATGGAAACCTTTTGTTTTGACTCCTGCCTTTTCAGCTCAAGCTGTTCCCGTAGCTCTCTTTCAACCCTTTGTCTCTGCAACTGCAGTTCTGCCCGGACCAAGTCGTCCGACTTCTCGAGGAAGATCGGATCAATCTCGGAGGCAGGCTTAGGGAGGATACGCGCCGAGGCTGTCGTGCTCGAGGGCCCATTGGCCGTAACCGAACTGTGCGAGCTAGTGGGCTTCGAGACAGGAGCGGCAGATCGCGATGGGCCTTTAGGAGGCAAAACGGCCTGTTCGTCCGCCTTGTTCTGAGGCGTCAACGACACAGGCGGATTGCGAGACACGGCCTTGCGAACAAATTGCTGCGGAACCTTCAATCTAGGGTGAGTCCCAGAAAAGATGTCCTCACTTATTCTTAAGATCTTCTCATACTCGCGGTTCTCCTGTCCTGATGGGAGCTTTGATGCCACGGCACTCGCGGGAAGCTGAGTTGCTGCCATGCTCTAATAATGTGTTGGAAGGGGATGAGGTGATCACTGCTGCACACAAACCCTGAGCAGACAATCAATATTGCTGCATGACCTTCCAGGTATATAGTTGTAACTCAATCCACCAGCTCACTTCACACGAGCGACTAGCTGTCGAGCCGTTAATGATATGGCGAATGAGAGATTGGAGATGAGCGTCATTGAAAGGAGAAAAAGCGCAGGCCAGCTCCAGCCGTGAAAATCGGACGAGATCACCTGCCTCAGGCGTCATGCCTTGGCTGCGGAGGCGCTAATCTCTGTATGGAATGCCCGAGCGGCTGCGGCCGCGGGAGAGAGAGTACCGAGTCGCAACGGGGACTCAGGAGTCAGGATAACTATACGAGTTTCTTATCGTTGCAGTGATTATCAAAGTGACAGAACTGTGACTCATCTCTCAGAGTAGGATGAGGAATCTTACTCCTTTTCACTTTCTTAAATCCACGCCTGTTTCGCTACCGCGCCCCTCCCACTCTCGACTATTTCCCCCCGCATATTACTTGTCCCTCTCGACCCTCTCGACCCTCTCGACTCGCGCTCCCCTTCGCAACCACAGACGAGTTGACTCGATCAAGCTACTCAGCACAACCACAATGGCAGACCCTCGACCGGTATTCTTCTTCGACATTGACAATTGTGTACGTATCTCCAATCTCACGATCAGCCTGCCTAGAGCTGACTGACACCTCGCCAGCTATACTCGCGAAGTGTGACTCCCCTTCTTGCGCACCTTCACCACGGACCCAATGACTGACAGAACCTCGAGCACAGAAAGCAACATTCACGATGAGATGCAAAAGCTGATCCGTACGTTATACCTCCTTTGTTCGCACACCCAACACCATCTAACACATGTCGCACCTCCAGACGAATTCTTCGTCCACCACCTCTCCCTCAACAGCGACGACGCCCACATGCTCCACATGAAATATTACAAGGAATACGGTCTCGCCATCGAAGGACTGACGCGCCACCACAAGATCGACCCCCTCGAGTTCAATCGCCAAGTCGACGACGCCCTGCCCCTCGACAAGATCCTGAAGCCCGACCTCAAGCTGCGCAAGTTACTCGAGGATATCGACCGGAGCAAAGTGCGACTATGGCTGTTGACAAACGCATACGTAACCCACGGCAAACGGGTAGTGAAATTGCTGCAGATTGACGATCTCTTCGAGGGAATCACGTATTGCGACTACTCGAACCCGCCGCTCGTCTGCAAGCCGTCGCAAGTCATGTATGACAAAGCGGAGAAGGAAGCTAATGCGCTGAGCCCGGAGCAGTGCTACTTTGTTGGTCAGTTTTGTCTCCCGTCTCATTCGTAAGGAGATTCTTCGCTGACTAGTGAATTGTAGATGACTCTGGCTTAAATTGCAAGCATGCTGCGGCGCGCGGATGGCAGGTTGCGCACCTTGTCGAGCCAGGTCTCCCAGCACCTGCTGTTCCAGCCTCACAATTCCAAATACAGGATTTGGAAGAGCTGCGGACGTGCTTCCCTCACCTTTTCAAGAAATGATAAACCCCAAGATTCATGAATAGACGCTAAATAGAGGACAGAACGCGGTACAATCCCTGATGGCGTTATGAAGAGACGGCCCCATTCTTCTACAGCTTATTTCACGTTGTTGAGAACTTTTCAGGATACATTCTTATGAGTATAAGAGTGATAGAACATGTTTATACTGATACTGACTATTATTAAATATAAGACTCACTCCGAAAGCCCAGCTCCCAGCGAGAGGTACTAAACAAATATGGAGAAAGTAAGAGCAAGACTAGACAAGCCATCATCAAAGAACCCAACAAGCGACCCCAGCAAGAACACCCAGAAGAACCATACTCAACGACATCGAAACCCCACTGCCCGAGGACGAGTGCTCAAACGCCGTCTCCTTCTCTGTGTGATTCTTCCCTACCGCCGTCTCATTCTTCCCCTTCCCACCGGCACTTGCACACAAAGCCGCAGGCCCCTTCCTCTCATTAGATCCACAAATTCCAGACCCCGCCATCCTCTTCGCCGGAAAGAAAACCATCGGCTCCCCCTCATCCATCTCAACCGTAATCCTCCCCTCCTTATCCGCCGTCACCTTCTTGCAGCTCAGAACCTCCACGACCTCCGTCCCCGGCTTGAACGCCCCCGGGATCGTAAGGTTATACGGACCGCCGCCGGTGCCCTGGTTCGAGAAGACGGAGACGATCTGTTTGCCCTCGGCGCCCTTGCGGGTTGCGTACGTGGATCCGTCGAGGTATAGCTCCTCGCTGTGCGTTGTAATGTAGGTGGAGTCGAGGCGGATAGCGTGATTGCGGAGGCGGTTGAGCGTTGCGGTTGTGTTGTAGAGAGGGGAAGTCGTGGTGTAGTTAGTTGGCCAGAGGGGGGAGCGATTGTACGGGGATGATGGGCCTCGGAGGTGTTGTTCTTGGCCTTGGTAGACTGATGGATTTGTTAGTAGGGTTTAGAGGGTTATGGTTGAGGTGGGCTTACCGATGGGGATGCCGTCGGAGAGGATGTTGAAGGCCATGGCGTTTTTGGCGAGCTGGGTCGAGGGGTTAGTATGTGGTATGTGCGACATGATTATAGGGTACGTACAGTTGTATCATTGATCAGCGATGCAAAGCGAGGGGTGTCGTGGTTCTCAGTAAAGCTTGCCAGACGTGTAAAGTCTTTGCATTGGCTGCGCACAGCCCGAACCGATTCAGCAAGTCCTGGCATGTTCCCTGCAGTGAAAGCCTGAATCATCGGAGAGTACATGGGATAGTTCAAGAGCCCAGAGACAAACTCCTGATACCTGCAAACGGCGTCTGTGTTTTCGGTGTAGACCTCTCCGATCGTGAAGACCCCAGCGGCTTCACTGAAGCTAGTCAGGTAGGCATCGTTCATGTGCTTGGTCGCGTCGATGCGTAGGCCATCAATCGAGTAATTGCCAACCAGACCCTTGACCCACTCTTGGATCATGGAGACGACTGTTGCATCCTCCGTGTCGAGATCAGGAAGGGCAACGGTGTCTGCGCTGAACCAGCAATTCTTCGCCATATCCGGATTGTCCCAGTTCGTGATGCTACAGAAGGGGTGGTAATACTTCTCGTCGTTGAACGGGATGAGGCGTGACCAGTCGATATCTGGCTCTCCATTTGAAGTAGTAGACCCGTTGACAGCCTGTGCCATATCATTGATCACGACGTCGACCATGAAGTACATTCCTCGCTTGTGGAGCTCCGCAGACAGCTTTCTGAGGTCGTCTGCGGTTCCAAAGTGCTCATTGAGCGCATACAAGTCCTGCGGCCAGTACCCATGGTACGCTTCACCGTACGTGGTGTGCTCTGGGATGTTCTCCACGACAGGTGAGATCTGGACTGCCGTAAACCCCAGATCTTGGATGTAGTCCAGCCTATCAATGATTCCGGTCCAAGATCCTCCGCAGTACTTGTACGGATCACATGGCTCGTCTGACGAGCCTGCTGGTCTGGCAAAGCGATCTGTCATGACTTGCTATAAGAGCTAGTATTAGTTCTGGTTCTATAGTGATGAGTTTTAGACGTACATAAATCGATCTTTCTGCCCATTGCTGAGCTGAAGGAGACTTCGCAGCAGTTACGCTGGCGAGAGCCGAAATGGCGCCCAAAGAGGTGAAGTGCCGCATGGCTCAAACGTGAGGACCTTGTCGTAGCAGTCAGTGCTATTTGTTGGGGAAGTTCCAAAGTGTATGGGATTGGTTAGAAGTAAAGGAGGGCCAGTATATGGGATTAGAGAATAGCCAGAATGGATTGGGTTGTTGATGAATCAATTGAGACCCAGTCCAACAGGAGAACTCTACATCTTTATATCCTTGTCTTCAAGCTATGGCATCTACTGTGAGATTGCCAGGGCAATCCAGGTACTCCCTTCGCGGATATCCTAGGCATTGGATAAGACGTCACAAGGTACGAGGAGTAACCCAGGAGGCAGCTCCTCTTCGGATGTCATCCCGTCGTGTGGGACACTGTCACCTTGAAGGGCGCACATGGTGGCAGGCTTAAAAAGGGTCCCAAGAGAACTGGAACAAGGAGTATCCAAGTAGTTTGTCACCCTGCGCTCTGAGCTAAAAGACATGGGCCTGCGGTACATAGATCCTGAAGACAGGGCAAACGATAGGGGTTGAAGGGATGAAAGGACGAAGCTAAACGACGTCAAGAAGGGAGGCTGTTGGTGCCTTGAGCTCCAGGCACCGAGACGCCGAGACGCGAAGATCCCCGAAGCCGAAGCCAGACGGCGGTGCGGAGCTTCCCCTGGCGGACAACAACAACAATACTGCGACCACCAACGCCTGTCTCCTGCCCTCCTTACCGCGCCCGGAACTCCTGCATCTGGGCCAATTGTGCGCGCAGGAGCTCCCTATCACGACAATAGGAATGGCCGACCTAACTGTAGGCTGTGTGGTCACCCTCAATGACGGTAGGCAGGCCACCGTCCGGTTTGTTGGGAGTACACGCTTCGCCACTGGCGACTGGGTCGGCGTTGAGTTGGAAGATGGAGATGGAAAGAATGATGGCTCTGTGCAAGGGGAACGCTATTTCGAGTGTGAACCAGGATACGGGATGTTCGTTCGTCCATCCATTATTACAGCAATCGTTGAACGGCCGGTTCGAGCAGCGAAACCGGCTGCCAGACCTGCCGCTCCCGCACAGGGCAGAAGTCGCGCACCAAGCGGTCTATCTGCAGGTCCGGGTTTGCGCAGGCCAGGTTCCATATCTTCTTTGAACACCAAACGACAAAGCGTCGGGGCTTCTAGCCCGACACCCGTACCGAAAGGCGCCGCTCAGCGGCTCTCTTTGATGGTTCGTTGTTTGCTATAAAGCCTTCCGGTAACATTCTCTAACCTTTGCTGATCTGATATAGTCCCCGTCAAGATCGCCTACAAAGCAGCTCAGCACCTCATCAACGCCCGCTTCTGGTCGGTCGTCCGGCACCACCACCCCGCGACCCTCCGCTGCCGCAACCAAGGCTCGGCCGACAAGTACAAAGGGCCCTATGGGTCCTCCTCCGCCTCCCTCTGCTGCCCCACGAGCCGCTCGAACATCTATATCTGGGTCGGGGATCAAGGGAAATAGACAGAGTTTCCAAGGGCCAACAGGGTCTACACCGGGAATGTCGAAGCGGCCAGCTTTGCGACCGACGGCTTCTAACAATCGGACATCAGAAGAGCTCACAAGCCCGCCAGCGGACGATTCCGAGCCAAACTCTCAAGATGGATCTAGTGATAACCCCGAGACCGCGGATTTCGCGCCCAAAGCTGCCAAACCCGCTCCAGCCCCCGGGCGAACGGCGTCCACCCGTCCATCACCCGCTCCGGTTGCGCCGCAACGGTCTGTCTCGAATAGTGCGGTGATCAGGGAGCTCGACGAGTTGAAGACCAAGCTGAGAGTAATGGAGAAGAAACGAGCTGATGACCGGGAGAAGTTAAGAACGCTGGAGCAGCTGCAGTCGGAGCGCGATAAATACGAAGGGATTATCCAGAAGCTACAAGCAAAATATCAACCACAACAGCTTGAGATCACAGAGTTGCGCAAAAAGCTAAAAGAAGCTGAAGCCAGAGTTGAAGAGATCGAAAAGCTCCAAGCCGAGCACGAGACGTTGATGGAGATTGCGACTCTTGACCGCGAAATGGCGGAAGAGACTGCCGATGCGCTCAGGCATGAATCCGAAGCCCTCAGACTCAAAGTTGAGGAGCTGCAGCTAGAAGTTGAGGTGCTGCGAGAGGAAAATGAGGAGCTTGGCCAAGTCATGAGCCCAGAGGAAAAGTCTAGCCATGGATGGTTGCAGATGGAAAAGACAAATGAAAGACTCCGAGAAGCCCTCCTCCGTCTTCGTGACATGACTCAACAGCAGGAATCAGAGTTGAAGGACCAAATCCAGGAGCTCCAGCAGGATCTGGAAGACTACTCTGCTATTAAGTCTCAGTATGAGGCTACCAAGGAAAAGCTATTGGTTTCCGAAAATAATGTGGAAGACCTGAAGCAACAGCTCGAGACGGCTCTTGGTGCCGAAGAGATGATTGAAGAGCTGGCCGACAAGAATATGCGGTATCAGGAGGAGATCAATAACCTCACCGCGGCAATCGCAGATCTAGAGGATTTGAAGGAGATCAACGACGAGCTAGAATGGAACCATGTCGAGACGGAAAAGCAGCTACAGGAGGAGATCGACCACCGAAAAGCCCTCTTTACTGAACAAAGTCGCCGAGTCCAGCAGCAGGATGAAGTCATTGAGGATCTGGAATATACGCTGACACGCTTCCGCGAGCTCGTTTCAACGCTGCAAGCAGACCTGGAGGATATGCGGGCCTCGCAACAGATAACGGAGGCTGAGGCTACCGATCTCACTGCGCGGTCCAGAGCAATGATGGACTTGAATCTCAAGCTGCAATCATCAGTCGCGAAAGCACAGACAAAGACGATTGACAATGAGCTCAAGCGCATCGAGGCCGATGAAGATACGCAGCATCTCTCCATTGTGAAGCTGTATCTGCCCGAGTATTATGAGACTGAGCGAAACTCTGTTCTCGCACTTTTACGCTTCAAACGGGTCAGTTCTAAGGCGTCTTTAATGAGCATGACAGTCGATGGGATGGTCACTGAGCAATCGTCAACCCTTGCCGCGGAGGATGTGTTTACAGCCCAGGATATCCTTGAGAAACTTCTCTGGATAGCTTCTATTTGCAGTCGATTTGAGAACTATATCTCCAGCTGTTCTGCAGAAAGCTTCGGCAGCATCCAAGGCTCGCTCTTCGAACTGGAACCTGTGGAACGCACGCTGAACTTCTGGCTCGAGGGACTGAAAAAGAACGAGCTGAATATGAAAAAGTGCGCTGTGGAGCTGCAACGATCCATTGCTTTGCTCTCCCATCTTGCGGAAACCCTCCTTCCGACATCTTTGGAGACATTCGCCGACGAACTTTGCATGCGCTCAAAGCTGACATACTCTTACATCGAAAATGCAGTGTCCTCAATGTCGCGGCTGACTCTATTGCTGAGGTCCAAATTACCCAAGTCTGAGGACCCCGATGAGGAGGCTGCTTTCCTCTTCGGTAAGATGGACGATTTCGTCTCCCAGGCTCGCAGTCTAAAGGTTGCAATGGGAAAGATTCGCCGCGCCGTGAGTGACTTGCAAGCGCGGTCTCTTGCTCTTTCGCACGACGCTTGTGGCCCATTTAAGCAAGCGGAGGACTCCGCGAAGGATCTTTCGAGTCTATCTCGCCAGTTGGGAGAGAACATTGTTGTACTGCTCAGCGACGAAAGCCGTGCGGAGCCGATTACTTTGCCTGAGATCTTGACGAACATGTCACAGATTTCTAATCTTTACCAGTCTTCAGAGGCGGGGAGCGAAAACACTGACACTATGTCATTCATTTTCACCATGTTGCACGGCCTCAGCGGCACTCTAGAAGAGCTCGGCTCTATTTCGTCCGACCTGTCCATTACGTCCGAATTCGAGAAACGGCCCTTCCCGTGGATTGTGCGAGCTGCAGAGCTCAAGTCCAACAAAGTTAACTCTCCAGATGCCGAGGATGAGATTCGCCGACTGAAAAACGAGATCCATGAAGCGTCTACTGCACTTGGGGTTAAAGACAAGACGATCGAGGAGCAAACCATCAAAGTCGAGCTAGTGGAGTCGCGCATGCGCGAAGCAAGTAAGAAAGCAGCCGCTGTGAAGGACCTGGAAGCCAAAATCGAGGAGATGACGGCGCAAGAGACAAACCTCAAAGCCACTGTGGAAACTCAGCGCAAGGATCTGCAAGCTATTGAGGCCGAGAGGGACGAAATCAAAGGACAGCTTGAGCGGCTCAAGCGCATGTCCGGAGCCGGTGGAGGTGTCTCTGCGGCTACCGGCGTTGTCGTCGACAATGCTGTCTCTCTGGCCGCAATGAAGGAAAACGAAGCACTACGATCAGAAGTACAGAGTCTCCAGGCCGCCGTGCGTTTCCTTCGCGAGGAGAGCCGCCGAGCCACCATCCTCGACCCCTACTCGGTGCAACGGTCAGCAGAACTGTACGCCTGGTTGGATGCACCACTTTCCCAGAAATCGATAACAACGCCTCAACGCGAGAAGATCCAGCAGTCCGCCTCCGAAAGCCGCGATGTTCTTGCTCACCTCCTCAAGCTGACCCAAGAGTCCAGTCCTTGCGACCTCAAATCCACGCATAACCGCACCGGCTGGCGCCCTGCAAAGGAGAAACTGCGATACCAGGTCCTCCAACAACGCGAGGATTTCGAACGCTGGACCGAATGGAAGGCTGAAGTTGTCGGCCATGAACGCGAGCAGGATAGGATGGTCGCCGCCAAAAAGGAAAGAATCGCCCGTCAGCAGGGTCACGCCTCTAAGCCTTCTATATTCGGCTTTCCCCAGGGACTGGGCCATGGCACGATGGGCCGTGCTTGGCAGATACTCGGCATGGAGCAGGACGCGCGCAAGACTGCAATCACGGATCCACCTGTCGAACTAACTATAGCTTCGTTGCCTTGATTTGTCAATCTGTTTGGGGCATATGACTCTAGTCCACCGTTTGAAGAGGTGAATCGTCTCGGTCAGGAATCTATCTACTGTTTATAAGCATATCTGTACACACTTATACCCATATTTACTTTTGATGCACATAGCCTGGAATATCAGTTGCGTATTGGAATCTCTCGCCAGAGAGAACCAGAATTGGCTCCATGTATGCTCTGCCGTTACCTCTTGCTTCGCCTTTTCTGTCCCTCTCGTTACTCCTTCCGCACTCCTCCCTTTCCCACTCCATCATCTCGCGGTGTTCAAATGCCGCCAATTCATTCTCTTCCGGCCAGACTTCGTCGTCAAAATGAGGTTTTCACAACGGATCACCCTCCTAGAATAGCCAGTCTAGCCTTCGTTAACAGACACCCTGCTTGGAGGTTTGTGCGCCGTCTGAGAGTCTGGACAACTGGAACATTGCACCTGCGATAGAACACATTTATGCAGGTGAAATGTCGTTTGCGTAGTTTCGTTTATGTATAATAGAGGTAGTGCAGTTGAACTTGTGGAAACGATTGTTAGAAATGCTCGAAAAAGTCTACCAGAAGGGTGTTTCAAGACCTAAGTTAAGATAAATAGGGCTAATGTTTGTGGGACTTGGCATCATTCATATAATTATGATTCCAGTCATCATCTATCTACATAATGAAGTGGAAAAAATAAAGTCTCCTCAACTAACGAATATGGGCACAAATGGCAAAATATAATGTATGTATGATATATGGACATACTCGATACCAAGATACGCAAGTAATGTACTCAACAGTCAAGACCAATATAGAGAAAACGCCGGCTCAAAGACTCTTCAGACATCTGATGTGAGAAGGATGCAAATATTAGATGGAGTAGGTGGTTAGACAGGTAGTAATTCGAAGAAAGACCCCTTTTTTATACAAATGTCATAACTCGAATAAGAAGAGGGAGAAAAAAGCTGGAACGCTGGACCAAGCTAATATAGCGATAGCGGAGTGAATCAGAGATTGCCCGATAATATGGCTTCCGTGGCTGCAGAGTTCGAGTTAGTAATTGTCCAAATAGTCTAAAAATAGTGGATGACGAAAGCTTACCAGAGTTGATATACGGCCTCTTTGCATCGAGATTCACCCCGAAGCGCCTCTCGAGCTCCAGCTTGATGCTCTTCTTCGTGACGGTCATGAGATCTGCAGTGCGGAGGATATCGCGGATCTCCGAAAGGATCGCGTCTTCGCTGGGTAGGTTGCCAACTTCTTCCATTTCCATGTCTATGTGGCGGCTCATCATCTCAGAAGGCGCGAGAGACATGCGAGAAGTGTAGCGAGGCAGTTCGAGCTGCGACATTGGGCGTGTTGCACCGAAGCCGTACTCGGACTGAGGCGGGTGGTACTTGGTGCCGTAGGAGATGCCGGAGATCTCGGAGCGGTCGTCTCGCGAGGTCTGCGCTTCCCAGAGTTCGGCTTGGTACTCTTCCCACCTCTTCTTAGGGATAGAGGCTGGATCGAATTTGCCTTCGTCTGAAATGACGATCTTCTGACCCTTTTCACCGGTAATGATACGCGTATTGCCCCAACTGAAGTCGTCCATGTGCCAGAATGAATAGAGAGGGAGAGCCAAGGCATACACAGGCATGGCAATGATGTAGATAAGCATCCAGCCGATCATTTCCCACTTCCTGCGGAGAATGAAGATAATGCCTTGTAGACCATAGATAGCCGCGAGGAGAAGGAACGAGGTCCACGGAATAGTAGACGTATCGCGAACAAGCCAGACAATGAGGTACACGATATAGGCGATGGTCACGGGCATAATGATCGTACTGATAAGATCAATGAAAACAACGAATCTCATACTAAAGCAGCAGAAACCGCAAAGTTGTTGGAGGGGAATGAGTTCGACCAAGTTGTGCACAGTAGAGTTAATCCAACGACGACGCTGGGAGAGGAACACAGCCCAGCTTTCTGGAGCGATCGTCCACGCCTGTGCCCGGAAGATGTACTTGGTCTTGAACTTGGGATGATGTTTCAGGAGCAAAGTTGTCAGGTAACGATCCTCACCGAGGTGCAGCAGGTTCTTCATATGCAGGGTGTCGACACGGATCTCAGAGTAGGATTCCACAACCTCTTTGCTGACGAAAAGCGGCTTTCCGGTCTCGGCGGATCGAATACGGTACATGGTGAAACAACCGGGCAAACAAGTGACGGACCCGAAAAGACTCTCGAAGGCCTTGGTAAGGTTGTGGGAAATGTAGTATTCATACACTTGAATCATGGTCACTGCAGAGGTTTTGGCGTTCGTTAGGGAAGTTTCACCACAGACACCAATGATGCGCGTATCGTTAAGACACGAAGAGACCATCCGTGTGGCGGCATCTTGGGCAACCACGGTATCGGCGTCGACCTGGAGGATAAACTCGTAGAATGTGGGATTGACTCCGATAATGTTCCGGATCTGGTGATGCATCTCGAGCTCCATAGGGCTCATAGGAAGGTTGTAGTGGACACGGTTGAGGAAACGCATAAGGACCATCTGGGAATCACGCTTGCCACGGTTACCGGGCCGCGAGACTTCGGAGGGCTTTCCAACCTTGACGACAACGAGGAAAGGAACGATATGGCCCTGGACCTCGTACAAGCCCGAATACACTTTCGCCATGTTGTGCTGTTTCATTCCTTCACCCAAACTCTCAAAGCTGAGTGGCTCTGGGTCGACAGATTCAGGAACTCCCAAAATGTCCAGGACAATTCGAGGAGTCGGACGGTCGTTGCCTTGACCAATAATCATACCGTCACAGATGATAACAAGCAGCTTGCGTTTATCGTCGTATCGCATACGAGCCATAGAGTCTATCGCACGGCGCAGAGATTCCTCGTCTTCAGTATACGCTGGAACCTGACAGATAATGAATTTGTCCAAATTCTCTGGCAAATTCTTCTTTCCAAATTGCAGGGCCGCGAAGAACTTGAAGAGAACGACCGAGCAGATAAGGATCGAGATTGCAAGGATGAAGTAACGCGCAAACTGACACTGGGTGGAGTTTCGCGTATCGACATGACCGACGATGAAAAGATTGTCCAGGCAGAGCGTCATATCTTGGCGCAGTTTAGGGCTCAAAGGTAGACGGTTATACAATTGTGTTATGTCTTGGCCTGACTTCTGCTGGAAGAGGTCAACGACTAGAGGTTCCATGAAGTCGGTGTCAATGCCAGCAGGAATGTCTTCACCCTCGATCCCTTGGATCCTTCGACCTCCAGTGACGTATGCTGTCAAGTCATAGACCTTTCCGTTGATACTTGCGATACTCTGTGACTTGTCGGCTAGAGTGTGCAAGTACTCAGAGCTATAACCGATCCAGCCTTTGTAATAATTGGATCTCAGATACTTCATCTGCTCGGCGTACCAGTCTTTGCGAAGGTCGCCAGTAAAATACCTGAAGTCGTGATACACGGAGTTAGGGTCCCCGGCGCTAGCTGAAGGAATGGAGCCAGAAAAGTTTGTAGACCTGTAGTCAAGTAGAACCCTCGGGTCGATGGAGCCATCTTTACCCAAACACAAGGCTGATACTTGAACCGGGAAGAGCGCAGTTGAATCCTTTCCAGCGTATTTCTCCAACGCAGAGTCAGGGACAATACCCGGGAAGTGGGCGGGAATAAATTCACCAAGGTTCATGACCATACCGCGAATGGATGTGTACGCACTGTGGCCATCTTTACCATCGTGCGACGACAATTCCGCGGCGGAGAAGACGTGTTGCGTGGGGCAAATAAGCATTGGAAATCCAACAATGATGAAGATGGCGATGCCACAGCACAGCCAGATAAGGAGGTTGATTGCGAACTTCTCACGCCAGGCGACTTGAACATCCTTGCGTTTCATTCGACCGATGTAGCGAATGGCAGGAGTTGGGATGTAGAAAGTGAGCAACCATACGAGAGCCATCCAGCGCTTCCGGCTGCCGGAAACAGGAAGTTCATCGACCTCTTCCATTTGCTTCTCGTTCCCTTTCTCAAGCATTTGCTCCCTTGTTTCCAGGTTCCGGAACATATCGCCAGAGTTGAACGCAGAGAGTCCAGCATCGGAGCGTCCATCGAAGTCGCGACTCGCGTTAGATCCCTGCTTGGATTCATCGCCGTAGATATAGGCGCCAGGTGAATGATCCGCGGGGTTTAGGAGGCGCACCTTCGAGTCCGCGTAGGTAGCAGTCCGAGGATGAAGCATCGCGTCGCCACCATCATCTTCCGCGGCATAGGAAGGAATGACACGCTCTCCAACCTTGGCGAGGTCTGCCCAGCATCGTTCGCTCAGGAAGACTCCTGTACTGCCAACCCTAGCCTCATTCCCGGGCCAGCGCTTCTCGTCTAAGACAACCTCGGACTTCTCCTTATCACTGCCAACCACGACATTGCCGACTTCCGCGAGTCCAAGGAACTCAGCAAAGGGTAGGAAGACGCTGAAGTCGGCATTCCGGAGCCGTTGGCTGATCTCTGCGATCCCCAGGGTTTGCACTTGTGCCCTCACACACTTGCTGTCAAATTGATTGGCAATCCGCCGGTCGTTTGGCTTTAGACAGAAAACAAAGTAAGGGTTCAAGTTGTTGGAGCTTAGGCATTTGTTCACAATGTCAAGAGACGAGAGGAACTGCCCAGCGGCACCTTGCATACCACCCATGAGCATCCCGCTCTTCTTTTTAGATGAGTTTTTGGCGGAGCTCCCGGTTTGACTTTCTGACTCGTACGGATCTTCTGGTACTGGAACATCAAATGTGAGGCGCGAAGGGGGGGTTGTTTTCCGTCTGGCCATGCTAGGCATTCGCAGAGGCTTTGAGCTCACTTGAGCTTGCATGATTGCCGTTTTCTCCTTCGGGTGAGTCACTGTTTGCAAAGCCTCTTGGCCAAAGAGCTCTCTAACAAAATCGTTCCGAGCAGAGTTCATCAGGTTCATCAAATCTCCAGAGATAACTTCCCCGTTCTCTTCCAGAAGCCCTGTAGTCGAGTAGTCAACCTCGCCAGCAAAATGCTTGACGGTAAACGAGGTACGTGCATTCTGTGAAACAAGACCGTATCCAGATCCGGATCCTGAGCTTCCGGCGTTGATGGCAGGATTCTTGTTATCGAAACGTCTCCGCACAGCTTCAAGGAATTGAGCATCCGTTCTCCCGCGCCTCGTCTGATCATCCAAGATACTGAGTAGACCGTTTCCTTGTTTCAGGAGACCACGGACTGCATCAGTGTTGTCGAAATAACTAGTCGCAGGAACGGCAACCTCCTCACGTTCGAGCATATCGGCTTTGCGATCGAAAAACGAGCGAAGGCAGAAGTTGTAAAGGGACTCGATAGCTGCGTTGTTAAGCAGCTGATCGAGTGTTGAGCCTGTAGAACAAGCCTGGGCAAATCCGGGGAAGTCAACAATCGATACAGTGTTGGCGACACTGTCTTCGGCAGCGCAGATTCTCTGGTTGACGTTTTCGATCACATAGGCAACTAGAAGTGAGTACAAAATGCGTGAGAGCTCGTCAGCATTTTGCCGAGCTCCTTTCGGATCAAGCATGACAGTAACACGCTCCCGGTGGATGGTCTTGGTTCGGTAACCGAAGCTGGCCTCCAACTCTCCAATTGGGAGACCGAGGAAAGCAGCGACTATAGAAAGAACTTCCTTGTTTTTCACAATAGTAACTGTCTCGCCGCCTTCGTGGGAATACCCACCAGACTCCTCAGCGCCGGTCAACGTAGCTTGACCAGTACCAAACTCAAGCTGGCCAATGTGAAGGATCGCAGCCAGTATTTGGCAAATCTCAGCAATCTCACTCCGGGGGAATTCCAGTTTTCGAAGTGCCGTTTTGAAATGCTGGAACCCTTCCGCATCGTTGATTCCCACTTTAAGCTGCGTTGGGTGGCCCAGGTATCTCCATCTCTTGTGGTTAGCCGACGAGAGCCTGCCACCAGCAGTTGTAACGTGGATAGGACTATCCAATCCCAAATGTTCCTTTTCCGCGGCACTTGTGCCCGCAAGTAAGTAGTAGAGGACATGGAAGCTTCGTTCACCAGTGGGGACGGAAGCGATTCGGCTTCGCTCGAGTCGATGATCGATAATCTTACCACCGATCAACGTAGGTGTAACAGACGAAGATCCATCATACTGCAGCTCCAAGAAGAGGCCGGCCTTGGAGGCGGTGGGCGTGGTTAATGACTTTGTTGTAGTGAGTGTGTCGAAAATAAAGGCGGCATATGACAACTTGGACGACAACGGAGTGGATGAGAATGATAAGAAGGAAGAAAGCAGGTGTGAGCGAATGGTCGTTTTTCCAGAGCCACTCTCGCCTCTGCGGATATGTAGTTAGTAGCAGTTACATTGAAAGTGTCAACCTTAGTGTACTTACAGGAACACAACTGCTTGATTTTCTCCACGAGCACCCAGCCGGGTAAAGGCACGACGGGCGAGGTCCTCCGCCTCACCCATCGCACTTCCCTCCTTACCGCCATCAGGACCCTTTGACGATGATGTGCAGGTGTTGAGACTGATTAGCGCATGGGAAGAAAGCCGCGCAGTTGGAAGACCAACATGAAATCTAGATCGGGGTTGATTAGTTATGGTTGGGGCGGATGATGCTGCAAACTAATGTTAAGCTTACCGGCTGGCTAGATGCGCTGTGAGATGAGTGTCGGATTGTAAATGTGCAGGTAGCGAGGGGAGTGACGACTGCACATGGGACGGAGTATGTCCCGCTGGCGAAGCTCCAACCATGGCCGGAAGTTCAGAATATCTACCCAGACGATCGTGCGGGATGTGTTAGTTTATACGCCAAGTGTTGGCAGTTGAGCGCTGTCTCGAGACGGTTCGATGGCGCAAGATTTGAACGAAAGTGTGCCTGTCGGGCAAATTCCTAAAAAGCGAGAACGGCGGACATTTCCTGCAGCAGAAACAACGATAGTCAAGCCCAAGCTGCTTGAGGATCGAACTTGATTAGAAAATAACGAGTCCGATGCGATGTAGGCGAGTCGAAGCGGGCTGTATCAGAGGCTCAAGATGGTTAACAGAGCGCGAAACGAGTGATCGTGGATGAGGAGAAAGTCAATGCGGGAGATCAAACGAGAGACGATCACCAAATGATTAGGATTAGAAAGCCGATGGGAGAAACAAACAGGCCAGAGGCAAGAAGCGATAGGAGCGAAAGCGACAGCAGAATCGAGTTCAATGAAGATGAAGAGGAAAAGACAAAAGGACAGCAGCCACAGCAACAGAGACCGAACAACAATCGGCGGCGGCGGCAGTCCTCTGGGATGACCTGTGATAAAGGGAAAACTGCAGAGTGCAAGCCTGGAACGCCGCTGATACAAGCGTGTTTTCAACCACGTTTTTTTGCATACGCCGCCAAGAGGGGCCCGAAACTTCTGAGAACCCTTGTCGAATCGGCTGGTCTGTTCGAGAACAAAATGATCTTCTTCCCCTCCGAGTCGAGTATTCGCTATTCTATTATTGCCTCCAATTATTTCACACATCAGCTACAGGGAGTGTGCCCTGGTTACTCCCTTGGGTAGTCTATTATGCAAACAGAAGGGTTCTCTGGTTGACCCCTGGATGAGAGAGCCCTGGTTATGCTCTGAATGGAACCACCAACGCGGCTCAGTGGACTCACGCTTCTGACTAAGGCTCTTAAAATAGTTAACTAGTTTATCATCAGTCATGAGGAGGAATTTTCCAATCCTTGTTTCGCATATGGTACCAGGCTAGCTGGAATTGAAGAATGTGAGACAGAGCTTCTGTCCAATCGGCCACGCCAATATAGCGTCAATCATTCAACGCCACGCAGACACAGGAACCAGAATAGGGGCCGGACTTTGAGGTTCCCCTATTTCTTGCTTGTCGGATGGGCAGGATCAATAAATGATGCAAGATAACTGACTGAGAAATTGTCATAGGCCGTCATTGTCAGGATCGGCATGGCACCCCGGTTTCGCTGACAGGTTTTGGTGTGGGTTCAGAAACTTCGAGGCAAAACTGAGGGGAAGGGCTCAGACAAGGAGACCTGATCATTTGATTTGTTTGGAACGGTCTTGTGGTCCGGTTTGCAATTACTAAATCGGTCTTCCTATATGGAGGAGAAAAATACTCAACATTAGATCTACTAGCGTTAGCTTAAATTCCGGATGGCGAGAACCTTTTGCGCCTCAAGGCCGAAATCCGAATATAAACAGCAAGGCCTCTCCCCACCCATCAGATGGCTCCTCTTCTGGCATCATCTGGAACAAGAGATTGAAAAAATAGTAGCAAGCTGGAACACATTTGCTAACTCGGTGGCGATCTTGCAAGATCGATTGGCGTTGGGTGAGACACGACCCGAAGCTGCGCAGAAATTCTTGTGGGTGAGACACTGGTTGTTATTTTAGGGTCCAGGACCCCGGCCGAGACCCTCTCTCAAGCGTTGATTCGCCAAGGGAAAAAGAGGCTTTGGAGAGTGGCCATCACAATGCGATGCCCAGGAAAGACAGAGTATGAGGCTTCGATGTGAGGTTGGGAGCAGTTCAGAAAAGTTCAAGATATCACTGTAGGGGTTCTCGAGTCGAATAATAATGAGCATGATACGCGAAATAAGAGAAATCCTGACGAGAGGAGATAACATTGGACCAGACAGTAGATCAAATTTCAATAGCTGATCGGCCTAGTCTGGAGAAATCAACAGGCTACTAGTACTAAGTAGTTGTACTGTAATTTTCAAGTTGCAAAAGTCCAGCTCCGAGGGAGTCGCCCAAACAACCGCTGAAATCGATTCACTCCGTCGCTGCATCACAGGCGACTCATCCTCTCTTTTCTCTCGCCCGCGTTGCTCTGCCTTCTCTTTGTTTTGTCATCTTCATCGCCTCGCTTTTTGCTTCCTGTCTTTTGGCCGATCGTCTTGTTCTGTTCCGCGTCCACATTCGCTTCGAATAATCTACATTATCTCCCCTAATACTCCGCCTCCACGGACTTTGTTTCACGACCTCCGCTCCCCAACGCTCGCTTGAAAAGTCGGAAGCTCGGAAGAAAGAGAACAGCACAGTCGTTTCGATCGCATCCTGTCGCTCCAACCCTCCCAACCGGCATTTGCAACACCTACCCCGATAATCAACCTACACAACAGCTATCAACAACGGAGGCGTCGCCCCACGATCGTTCGACGCTGATCACGCCGAGACTCATGCATTAATCCTCATACCGTGACTCTCCTCGCTCTTTTCTGGGGTATTATCCTTGGTGTCCTCGATCTGTTTGGCAGCCCTCTATCTACGTGAAAACGGCTCGCCATCATGTCGAACCGTTTCTCCGTCTATTCGACTCAATCCGGGCTTGGAGGTAGCCGTCCAACGAACCAGGTCTCAACCACTACTTTGCTGAATGCCCTTCACGCACATTACACTTCAGGGCTACCATATCAATTGGATGCCGGTTCAAGCTTGGCTGTCAACACCTGGGTAACCGCAACCCAGGTTGGCCCGGACGGTCACAGTGGAGGCACGATAGACCGCGAGCTGGCAGTAAGAGCATGGGAACACGCACGGCGAAGAGCAGAAGATGGTTGCATTGTTTTATGGTTTGTGTCTGATGGTTTTATGTTGATCCACTGCTAACCAAAGCTCCAGCTCAACCCATCAATCTACTCCATCGGTCTTTGAACCGTTTCTAACCGCCCTGCCTCTCGGAACCCCTAGCATAATGTTCACTGCGCTCTCTGCGCTCAACCCGTTTCTTCGTGCCGTTACGTCTTTTAATCCCTCATATGCTCTCTACTCCGCTTTATCTGCCAACTTCACATTTACCCTCAAAGGCGACTTGGTTGCCCTCAATCTGGCTTTGTCCACTTCTGGCATCAATGTCCGCAAAGGACTGCTTGATATCCCAACAGAACCTGGATACCGTGCCTTTGATGTATTCTATTACCTTCTCACGTCCTCCTCGACTCAAGCTGAGCGCGAGTTCTTAGCTCTGCAAGAGCCCTCTGCCTACGCCTTGCTGAACAAGTCCGGCACGTACACTCCGCCATCATATCTTCCTACCGCCGACGATGCTGCCGCTGCGGAAGATTTCAGGGTTGCTCTTAAAGCCATCGGGATCAAAGGAGCTTCCCTACGGAATCTCCTCTCGGTCCTTGCTGGGCTGCTCAAGCTGGGCAACGCAGCCGGATTCCTCGTAGATCAAGAAGAACTCGAGGAAGCCTGCGAAGAAGTCGGGGATCTCCTTGGTGTGGATCCTGAGGTTCTCCTGCACAAATGCGCTACCGATGAACGAGAGCTTCTGATTACCGGCATTTATGAAGCCCTCGTTGACTGGGTGTTAAGCAAAGCGAACGAAGCCATTTCCAGCGAGCTTCAGGAACTCAACGCGAACGGATCAGGGGCAGGTGGGCAGTGGAATGACGATGACACTGTTAGCATTGCTGTCGTTGATATGCCCCGCCCAGCCTTTGGAAAGGCCGTTGCGTTGCGGAACGTATTTGACGACACAGTCGGTATCAATGCGGAAATGAAAGATGATGGCGTCCCTGCACCTCCTGTAGGGCAAGCCGTCACCAGTGAGATGGCAGCTGCGGTTGAGCAGTTCGGGCCAGATCTTGGACTTAGCACAGACCCCGCTAAGGATTATGAACTGGACAAAAGGCAGGGCGTGTTGGAGAAGATCGGGATCGATCTTGATACCGATTCGTTCCTTCGGCAAATCCTGACTCCAGTTGAAGGTGAAGGAATTGCCGTAGGGAAAAAGGGCCGCTTTGATCTTGCCAGTACTCTCGGTAGCAGCAGAGTTTGGCACCACATTTCTGTCCACCCCAGTGACGATTTGCCGGAATCCTTCAGCCCCTCCGTGCCGACATCCTCATGGTCCGCTGGTGCCGTGTCTCGCCAGATTCGCGAGTGGCGGCTTGCGGAATGGGCGAACCGCCGTCTCAAGCAATTCGATTTTACTGCCGACTTTGACGTGGACGAGTTTGTCAGTCGGTATGCTCGTCTAGGTTGCGCCGATGGTAGGGATGGTGTGGAGAGTTGGCTGATGCAGAGGGGATGGACAAATGGCGATGCTTTCGTCGGTCACCAGCGGGTTTGGATGAGAGAAAACGCCTGGTGGGAGGCCGAGACGATGATTGACCTGAAACCCGACGAACCACCTTCGACGCATTCCTACAACTACAGCAACCCCATGCTCGATGCGAATTATGTCAGTACACCCATGGCCGAATCTGCAAGTCTTCTCGGTGGCAGCCAGAGCAATCTACTCAGACATAGCACAATGGCTCCCAGTGTTCTTGGAGGCGCCAAGTCTATTGCACCCACTGTTCCTCCTTCCCAGAACATGGTCGGTGACTATGGCCTGGGCAACAAAGGCGATGACAAAAAGTGGGACAACGTTTACTTCGACGGCGATCCCGAGAATGGCGACCCCAGACATATAGAAAAGGCCGAGGTTACCTTTGGCCGCCGTGTGTGGACTGGCTTTGTCTGGGCACTCACCTTTTGGATCCCGTCATTCATGCTTCGTTATGTCGGGCGGATGAAACGACCCGACGTGCGGATGGCCTGGCGAGAAAAGGTCATTTTGGTCCTCTTGATTCTCCTCTTCAACGGCATCGTCTGTTTCTACATCATCGCTTTTGGTGACCTGCTTTGCCCGAATAAAGACAAGGCCTGGAACGAAAAAGAAGTCAGCTGGCATTCAACAAGCAGTAACTACTATGTATCAGTCCGCGGCTATGTTTACGACATCACCAAATTTGCAAAGGTCACTCATGGTGATGTGCAACCGGAAGCAACTCCTTCTTTGATGGAACCATTGGCTGGTAAGAACCTAGACGCCTACTTTCCGCCTCCGTTGACTCGCCTGTGCTACCCCTATGTAAACGACACGTCGATTGAATTGCGCAACAACAACACTCTGGCCACGGACGACCAACCTCTTGCCATTCACAGGACTGGCCGTCTCCAGTCAAACCCAAATACCCTGTTGAAAGAAAACACCTGGTATGAGGAGCACTTCCTGCCAAAGATGCAGGAGTACTATAAAGGAGATCTGGTTTGGACAAGGGGTACTGTCAAAAGGCAAGCGGAGAATAGCGACCAGCGGAAGTGGGTCATTGCTCATAACAAGGTGTATGATTTGACCGATTATTTCGCTACCCTGGATGACATGAACGATCTCGAAACCTACGACTACCTTCCCGCTGCTATCACTGATCTATTCAAGAACTATCCCGGCCAGGACGTCTCTGACAAATGGCCATTGCTGGACGAACCCTTCAGGAAAGCTGCAAATTGCCTGGATTATGTCTTTTACAAGGGAAGGACGGATTTCCGAGAGAGTGCGCGATGCACCGTCAACAACTGGATTCTGTTGGCGTTCACGATTCTTATTTGCGCTGTTGTTCTCGTCAAGTTCCTTGCCGCTTTGCAGCTTGGAACCAAGCGTCGTCCTGCTCCACAGGATAAGTTCGTTATTTGCATGGTGCCTGCCTACACGGAAGGTGAAGATGCCCTCCGCAAGGGTCTCGACTCGCTCACTGCTCTTCAATACGACAACAAGAGAAAGCTTATCTTTGTGATATGTGATGGTATGATTGTCGGTGGCGGCAACGATCGACCAACTCCAAAGATTGTGCTCGACATTCTAGGAGTCGATCCCAAAATCGACCCCCCAGCATTGCCGGTAAAATCCATTGGCCAGGGAAGCGAGCAGCTCAACTATGGCAAGGTGTACTCTGGTCTCTATGAGTACGAGGGCAACGTGGTACCCTACATTGTCGTCGTCAAGGTCGGCAAGGAGTCTGAACAGAGCAAGTCCAAGCCTGGGAACAGGGGCAAACGAGACTCTCAGGTCCTTCTCCTTAGCTTCCTCAACCGCGTGCACCACCGTGCCCCAATGTCTCCTCTCGAGCTGGAAATCTTCCACCAGATCAATAACGTCATCGGTGTTGACCCGGAGCTTTATGAGTACTGTCTGATGGTGGATGCGGATACAAGTGTACGAGAGGACTCTCTCAACCGTCTTGTAGCCGCCTGTGCCAATGACGCTCGGATTGCTGGTATTTGTGGTGAGACGAGTCTTCAGAACGAGGAGCGAAGTTGGTGGACAATGATTCAGGTCTACGAATATTATATCTCTCACCACCTCGCGAAAGCTTTCGAGTCTCTTTTTGGCAGCGTTACCTGTCTTCCCGGATGGTAAGTCAACTTTTTCTTCAGCTCTTTCTATACTAACATGTTGCAGTTTCTGTATGTATCGTCTTCGTACCGCTGATCGGGGTCGTCCCTTGATTATTGCGGACAAGCTGATCGAGGAATATGCCGACAACAACGTCGACACACTCCATAAGAAGAATCTGCTGGCCCTTGGTGAGGATCGATATCTGACTACATTAATGACCAAGCACTTCCCAACCATGTCGTACAAGTTCATTCCCGATGCCTACGCGAGCACGGCAGCGCCTGAGACATGGTCAGTTCTTTTGTCCCAGCGACGTCGCTGGATCAATTCGACTGTTCACAACTTGGTCGAGTTGGCCGCTTTGAAGGACCTCTGCGGGTTCTGTTGTTTCAGTATGCGTTTTGTCGTCATGGTCGATCTCCTGGGAACAATCATCCTTCCAGCAACCTGCGTCTACCTTGGTTACCTGATCTACCTTATTGCCAGCGATACCGGTCCATTCCCACTGATTTCCATCATCATGTTGGCCGGTATCTACGGTCTGCAAGCGATCATCTTCATTGTCAAGCGCCAGTGGCAGCATATTGGATGGATGATCATCTATCTCCTGGCGTACCCGATTTACAGTTTCGTTCTTCCGCTGTACTCGTTCTGGAAGCAGGACGACTTCAGTTGGGGTAACACACGTGTCGTCATTGGGGAGAAGGGTTCCAAGCGTGTTATTGCAGTCGAGGACGAGCCATTTGACCCGCGCAGCATTCCCCTCCAGCGCTGGGACGACTACGCCCTTGCCAACAACCTTCCCGGCCGCCGTGGCGACTATGCTGCAGGGCAAGAAAAGGGCTACTACGCTGGCCGCTACATGGATGACATGGTCATGGAGATGGATGATATGCATTCCCAGTACTCGTCTGTGAAGCCTGCGTCGACAATTCTCACTGGGTTCCCTGGTCAAGGTCGTCACTCCTACATGCCGCCGCAATCACCAGCTCCCTTTGGCGCAAATGTCCCTGGCAACAGGAATTCCCACCTTTCCAGTTTCTCCCGATACACCGACCAGCCTCTCCAGGCGAACAACATGCAGTCGCGGCACATGTCCATGGGCAACCTCAGCCAGTTTCAAGATAGCGGCATGACCAACCGCCACAGCGTCGGGTTGATGCAAAGCACAGACAATCTGCTTGGCGTACCACGCCGAAGCTCACGCAGCCCAGTCGGCGGCGGTTTCAATTCGCGGCCCGCCAGCGCATTCGACTTCCGAGGCACCGGTGTCAACGGGCCGGATGACAGCGCTATTACAGAGGCGATCCGCGCCTGTCTCGCCGAGGTTGACCTCGATACCGTCACCAAGAAACAAGGTAAGCCGTGACACTCCGCCATCTTCTTACTTACACATGACTAACTCTGCAACAGTCCGCGCTTTGGTCGAGCAACGACTCCAGACGACACTCGTCGGTGACAAGCGCGCATTCCTCGATCGCCAAATTGACAACGAGCTCGCAAGCATGTGAGCATTTACTTGATTTCGAGACCTGCTTATTACGTGGTGTATTTTCAAGGAACAAAGGAATTTGATATTAATGTAGCGCTCCTGTGCAAGGTTCAAGTTTCGGAAGCAAAGGCATACATGGCGTTTAGGGATGACTGGCACTTTTTATCTACTCTTCTACACTGTATTTATCAGCGACGCAAATACCTACCAATGTTAATACTGTATCTCATTCAACATCTCGAATCCCCCTCAATTTGTATTCCGCTACTGCTACTAGTCATTTGTCTTCCATGCATATAGCATGCGATGTACAAACCCTCCCGCTAGCCGACTTTCCTTAGGTACATGTATGAAATGTAAGCTCCGGAGGCTAATTTCTTAAACAACATTCTGACTCCTACCACGAGCATGTGCTTGATCTCATGAGTGTCAAATAACTCACTTAAACAGCAGCCACAACCCCTCCTACCATTCCAACACCCTGTATCACTACCAACAAACTGACTCACTCAATTCAGGAAAACTCCGGAGCCGCCCCCTTCACCTTGATATACGCTTGCTGAACCTCCTTCCGGCCCGTCATCTCGCGCAGCCACCGACTGACATGTGGATACTTGTCGAGCGACAGGCCCGCAAAATCAAACTGCCGCACCCACGGCTCGAAATGGTAGTCGACTGCCGTGACCCGTCCCGGCAGGATACTCTGTCCGCCGGATTTCTTAAGCTGCCCCTCGAGTACTTGATAGCAGCGCTCTGTCTGTTCGGAGTACCGCTGTAGGGCGTCGTCGTTTTTGGTTGCGTTGTAGTGGCTAGCATTATAATCAGCGCGATAGTCCTTGTCTGGCAGTACTGTAGTACTACATACCGAAACCAATTCGTCTGCCCCGTCATCGGCCCCAGCGTCGTCAAGAGAAAATACTCCCACTTCTCAAAATCAACCGTATCCTGCTCTGAGGGACCCAACGGACCCAACAGGTTCGATTTATCATAAACCCGGCGGAGATAATTCATGCATGCGCCAGATTCCCAAGAGACGACCCCCATGTTGGGATCTTCGAGCGCCGGCACGCGGCCGTTCTCGTTTATGCGCAGGAACGCTTCGCCCTTGACGCCCTTTTGCGGGTCGTCACTGAAGTCCCATTGCTGGATGTTGTAGGGGATCGAAAGGGCTTCGAGGGCGATGGCGAGTTTTATGGGGTTGGGGCCCGTGGCGTGCGCGTGGAGGGTGAGGGGCTGCATCTTGGTTGGCGTCTGTCGTTCGAATGATTTATGGTTGATAGACTTGGAGGGTGAGAGGAGACATGATGAAATCACGTTTATAGTTGGCCTCCAGAGGGTAGTATTTGGGGTAGCTGTTCCGGACGATTGGTCATGACGCTATCCGTGGAGTACAATTTGGAGAAGTTGGAGTACATGGTGGGGCAGATATTGGGGTACTATTACTTTACATCTGGGTGAGGAACCAGGCTTGTTACGTTCCTGCTGATAAATCTACCATAACAGAGCAGGCTCCTCGAGTAGTCTTGAATGAATTGTTATCCATAATACCAGAAGCGGACACCTGGTTGCTGTAAATATGGCATTGACCCGGGCAACTAACTGGATAGACACTACCCAGTACACGTCGAAACACAGTGTAATGCAATAATACCTGGCCTCCTAGCTATCTCTAACCAATGTATCGACTCAAGAAATCGACGAGCGCACTGATTGCAGCGTGAACTTGATCAGGGTGGGTGTACATAGTTCTCCACTTGGAGTGGTGATGTTGGAGTCGCTTGAATCCACTGATCAATCTGACAAATCCAAGCTCATAGTTCGAAAGTCCTCATTGAGTTGCACCTTAAGGGCAGAGTTGTTCGCTTTTTCGCCGGGCATTTGTCATTGTATGTGGTAAGTTGGTCTTCACCCATCCCAAACTCTGAATAGATAGTACGTTTACAACTCCACGTCTCGAAGGAGCTTCCAAACCGGATTGGAGCAGTTATAGAAGCTTCTTTTAGACCATAATGCTACCCCAAAAGGTTCCATCAAACTAATTATTATATATTTTGCTGTGCGCGCTCCCCCCTAGTTCCATTTAGGTTTCTCGTGATTGGACGGCAAATCTGCAGTACAGCAAAATGACTTCGGCGCTTTTCGAACCTCTTGACGTTGGAAAGTGCCAGCTCCAACACAGAATTGTTATGGCACCTATGACCCGGTTCCGCACCGACTCAGACCACAGTCCATTGCCAATTGCCAAGGATTACTACAGCCAACGCTCACACACGCCCGGGACACTGATAATCACCGAGGGTACAGCCGTCTCAGAGACGCTCGTCGGCCTCCCGCAATGGGCGGGTTGTTGGAGTGAACCCCAGCTGCAGAACTGGAAAGACATCACCGAAGAAATTCACTCTAAGGGTTGCTACGTCTTTCTGCAACTTTGCTGTGCAGGCCGCACGGCCGACAAGGGATTCCCCAAACTCTCATCTGGAGACATTCCCCTTGATGCTACAGCCAGTGCCATAGAGACGGAGGACGATGACAGACCACCAAAGCCGATGAGCGCGCAGGAAATCCAAGACGCCATCCGCGATCACGCCACTGCTGCTCGCAATGCTATAGCCGCCGGTTTCGATGGAGTGGAACTTCACGGTGCCAACGGCTACCTTATCGATCAGTTTATCCAAGAGTCTTGCAATAACAGGACTGATCAATGGGGTGGCTCAGTCCAGAGTCGATCGCGCTTCGCGTTGGAAGTCACTGCAGCCGTCGTGGACGCTATCGGTGGCGATCGTGTTGGCTTCCGCATCAGTCCCTGGAGCACATACCACTCTATCCAGCCCCGTGATCCAGAAACTCAGTTCACTCACCTGATCAGCGAGCTGCAAAAGTTCGATCTGGCTTATCTTCATGTTATTACATCTCGCGTGGACAATTGGTATGACATGAACCGCGATAAGCCCCTCGACTTTGTCTTTGACAGCTGGGGAAGGGACAAACCACTCATAATCACCGGCGGGTTTGACGGAAAGTCGGCAGAGCGTGCTATTGAGGAGCACAAGGACTTCAAGGTTGCCATTGGATTTGGTCGGTCGTTCGCTTCGACGCCAGACTTGGTGGCCTGCATTAAGGCGGGGATCTCTCCAAATCCTTTCAAAGGTGACCTGGCCTATACTCATGGTACTGCAAAGGGGTACATTGACTACCCATTTCTTTCTTAGATACGGTGGATTGGGAAGATCCAAGTTATTCTTTTGAACTGAAAAATAAATGGAGGCAAGCATATAGAACGAAAGTCTTTCCTAGGCCATTTTGCATTGTGATGTTTGAGAGTCGCAACAGACTGAAGGTTGCTGAGATCGAGTGAAGTAGAGCTTCAGCCCACGAGGTAACTTCAGAATGCTCAGCGGTTGTGTAGATGTAAAGCGCGTGAGTACATTACGCTGAGAAACTCCGGGGTAAGTCAGACTCGTGCTGAGTGTCGTAAGTGGAAATGCGCCTTGTAGAGCAGTACTCTATACTGAGGAGAGAATCGAGGACTCGCGTGTTGTTGCTTGAAAGTGGGTCTGCGGACTGCATTCCACGTGACTGTGGCTCTGCTCATGTAATCCAGCACATGACGACGAAGGCGGCGCCCGGCTCCACTAGTCCATCAGTTGCATCACCTCGCCGCTTCTCCTCACTTGGAGAGTCGTTATCTGCCATACAGTCTCTCGTGCAAAGGACTGGGATTCCAAAATGGGGGCTCTTCTATCCCTGCCGCTTTTGGCACTCCCGAGTGCCGGTACAGTACGTTTGCCCGCGCTTTTCTCGGTTGGTTCCAGGCGCTGATCATTCTAGGTGTTAACCGCTGTCGGGTCTTGTTGCGGAGCTGCGACATGCTCTGCTGTCTGCAGCGCATGTGGAAAGTTCAATAATAGGTAGGCATCACAGGCTGAATATGCTTCGGTGGGCCGGTGTGCTGACCTGCCTTATCAACTAGTATGGCTACGAGAATCGCCTACGCCTTCATCCTCTTAATCAATTCGATCGTTTCTTGGATTATGCTCACACCATGGGCGCTCAAAAAGCTACAGCATCTCACATTGGACTATATGGAAATCAAGTGTGACGGGAAGGAGTGTCATGGTTGGGTGGCGGTTCACAGAATTAACTTCGGCCTCGGCTTGTTCCATTTGGTCCTCGCTTTGTTCCTGCTTGGGGTGAGGTCGTCCAAGGACGGCCGCGCAGCACTGCAGAATGGCTTCTGGGGACCGAAAATTGTTCTATGGCTGCTGTTCGTCGTGATCTCGTTCTTCATCCCGGAGTCGTTCTTTTTCGTCTACGGTCATTACATCGCCTTCCTGTGTGCCATGCTTTTCCTGCTCTTGGGTCTTATCCTCCTTGTGGATCTTGCGCACACCTGGGCCGAACTGTGCCTGCAGAAGATTGAGGATCATGATTCGCGCATGTGGCGCGGGCTGCTCATTGGTTCGACATTGGGCATGTACCTTGCGTCTATCGTGATGACGATTCTCATGTACATTTTCTTTGCGAAAAGTGGGTGCTCTATGAACCAAGCAGCGATCTCGGTAAGTGATGGTTTATCTCTATTAAATTTCTGCGCTAACATGAACAGGTCAACTTGGTACTTTTCCTGATCATATCGGTCGTGTCCGTTCAGCCTGCAGTTCAGGAACACAATCCTCGCGCAGGATTAGCGCAGGCTGCCATGGTGGCTGCTTACTGTACCTACTTGACTTTGTCTGCCGTCTCCATGGAGCCTGATGACCGCCAATGCAACCCGCTGATTCGTGCTCGCGGCACCCGAACTGCGACTATCGTCCTCGGCGCAGTTGTCACCATGGCCACAATTGCATACACTACCACTCGTGCCGCTACCCAGGGCATCGCTTTGGGCTCAAAGGGAGGCCACAGCTACTCGGAGCTGGGGACAGAGGACAATGAGCACGGTCTCGTCACCCAGCAGCCATCTGCCCGTCGCGAGATGCGTGCCGAGGCTCTTCGCGCGGCTGTTGCAAGCGGTAGTCTCCCAGCCAGCGCTCTCGACGATAGCGATGACGAAGACGACTACGACGTGAAAGATGATGAAAAGGGTTCGACTCAGTACAACTACTCTCTGTTCCACATCATCTTCTTCCTCGCTACAACCTGGGTAGCCACGTTGTTGACGCAAAACCTAGACCCTGAGGCCGTGGACGATTTCGCGCCTGTCGGCCGTACTTATTGGGCCAGCTGGGTGAAGATCATCAGCGCGTGGGTGTGCTACGCTATCTACCTGTGGACCCTCGTCGCACCGATCCTCCTCCCTGACCGATTTGACCTGTAAGGTCTTGAACGAACATGTTGTTTGAGAGGGATTTGGCGTTGGCTGTCACTTGATTTCTTTCTGCTTGCTGTGAATTATTATGTACTGATACCTGTATGAAGCGTTCCTTACACTCGTTCTCTAGAACATGACAAGCATTATCTGTAAATTGGGCCTGGCATTGAATACAATTGATATCGAATGTTCAGTGTCTTTAGATGGAGTAAGGTGAACACCGTATCCTCTAGAGAGTATCCCCTCGACAAGCATCTATTCTATAGTTTGCTAGCACTCTATGGAGTGCCGAGTCTCAAGCTCGTATTTGGACTCGTGCCTCGCCAGACTAGCCATTCCTGGTGATGTCTCGGTTTCGGTGTCGTTGTCACAGCAAGGGCGTCAGGCAAATAGGGGACTCGTACTAGTCGTATGCCTGTGTCACTTTATATACACCGCTTGGTAATCGACTGACTCAAACTTGCCCACGGTCATTCTTAGACGAGATATCAAGTACTGAATGTGACCGAAGATTATACGCATTAAGAAACCCTCATTGATCAAACACAGACATTTCCGGGCTCCCATCACCTCATACTCTGAGCAAGAATGTCCTCGCCCACCGGTTCCGACGAGACATCCTCTTCAATAGCCTTCTTCACCACTCACCCGCTAACAGCCCCCCTCCTCTCGGACCCAACATACAACATCCTGCACACAACAAACCCACCATTCCTCAACCCCCTCCTCGCCTCAGTCGCCCGCTCCCCAACCGCAATCCGGCATACGTTGTACCTCTACCGCACGGGCACCTCATCACCACTCCCACCAAGCTCACAATCCTCACCATCTCCACAACAACCCTTATCCTCCAGCCCCAGACTCGCCTCCAACTCCGGTCCCGAAGGCCATTTGATGGTCCACATCGGCCCGGGCGTCTGCGGGCAAGCCGGCATAGCACACGGCGGCTTTCTCGCAACAGTAATGGACGAAGTATGCGGGACGCTGATCCCCTGGACTGGGTTCGACAACGGGATGGGAATGTTCACCATCTCCCTAAAGCTGGAGTACAAGGCTCCCGTGTATGTTCCCGAGGAAGGAGCGGTGATTCTGGCGAGCGTGAGGGTTGAGCGGGTGGAGGGGCGGAGGATGTTTTTTGGGGCGGTGTTGCGGGATGCGAATGGGAATGTGTGTACGACTGCTGAGGCGGTTTTTGTGAGGAAGAGGGGGGGTGCTGGGTTGTAGCTTGGGTGTAGGAGGGGGTTAGGCATGATGTATCGGGCTGTTATTGGGGCATTGCAAGGTTAGGTGCCCTAAGGTAAGTATCGGCTTGTTGAACTGGGTGCTTTGAGGGTCGATCTACTGGGAATGGGGAGCAAGGCGCATTCTGATTTAGGAAGGTGCAAATTACCCCAGCACATGCATCGGTCGTGCTTTCCTCAGGATATGTATGGTTCTATCTCCGAGTTTCGCACTGGAGAAAGGTCTTAAATCCGAGTGAGGTGGTACTCAAATTGAAGGGATATGATATGTATGCGGTCATACGGGGAAATGTCTGATAACGAGATAGAACAAAGTATAGCAACGCAATAGATCCAGTGTGATATTCAGGAAAGCATTTCATGTCTTCGTCAATTACCGGCTCGTCCAAAACCCTGCATAAATAATATTCATGGCCGACGTTGCCTCAAGAAGAAATATAAGAAACGCATGGCCAGCAGTTGTTTCATATATCGAACTGAGATCCTCCGCTGTGTACAAACGGAGACAAGGACATATTACTCGGATGCCCACGTAGATTAAGGCCAACGCAGAAGGGTATAGTACCTGTACGATCCATGATGTCAGAAGAGCTCTATACCAAGTTAGGGCTACCGACGTATCGGAGTCCCATCTATATACCGCGGGGCCTCTCTACGACTCTGAAATGGTAGAAGGGAGAAGGATGTTCCCAGATAGTGCCATGCGAGGCAGCCAGCTCATCGGTCGGTCCAGAAGTTATAGACGGCAAGGGGGGAAAGGACCAGGTATAGGGCAAGGTCTGGCATAAAACTCCATCCACCATTGTTCTTGTGTCTCAGAGACGCTAGATAACTGACCCTTCCGGTAACCTTCAGAGTCGCGCCTAGTTAGATCGTGTATTCCAGTTGAAAGCCAAGGTGGTCGTCTAGACTTGAAAACACTCCGGCCCCATTATGACCACGGTTTGCTGATTTGGATCGACAGTGGCTCAGAGAAGCGTCTCCATGACAATGATGTTAATCGCCTGTACTGATAAGCGGCTGAGGCCAGTGTCGACTGATTATGAGGCTGAGCTTGCCAGAGTTGCGCAATCAAACGCCTGCGACAGAACATAAGCTAGTCAGAAGCTAAGACACAGACAAGCTTTGAGCGCGAGTAATCCTCCTTTCATTGGGCCTTGAAGACCCAGAATCGTCATAGTTGGCGGGGGTCGAGGAGGCTCAGGAGTCAGACTGTGTTTGAACTCTGGGTCGTGGAAGACTCCAAGAATCCAAGAGTTGGGCGAGCAGCGCCCTTCACAGCCCCAACAACTCAGCTCAGGCAACATCATTTCAACCCCATCATCTCTCCCTCTACATCAACTCCATCCATCACAACTTTCCTCTCAAAATCTGTTTGATGTAGTACAGGTTGAACTTTATTTTCATTACTTTAATCGGATCATTCCCATCAGCCTTCCATGGTCCATAGAGGAAAGCTCTCAGCTGCCTGTAAGCCTTGTCGCAGTCGCCGTCTCAAAGTACGTTCTCATCGTCTGATGACCGATTGAACATATCACTAACTCACAATTACAGTGCGATCAACAGAAGCCGTCATGCTCGCAGTGCATTCGAGGCAGGCGGGATTGTGGCGGTTATCGAGATGTCGGTGCGATGAGAGTCCACGACCAGACTGAGGAAGTGAAGAGGAAGAACTCGCCTTCGTCTCACTCACCCTCGGCTCCTCAACCACAGAAGCGGCCGATGCACCAGTCAAATGCACTCGTGATGCAGCAGGTCTCAGTCCCTACGGCCAATCAAGGCACAGCGTTCATGCTGGCACGCTGGGTGGCCCAGGATGGTCTCGATGGGGTACGAGGCCCGGTCGGTACCTTCATACCCCACGTTATAAACACCACGGCCGGACGTGCGGTGATGGCCTCTCTGAATGCCACGGGCCTTGCGGCCCTATCTAATATCCACATGTCTCAAGAACTCATGCTTTCCGCACGTCAGGAGTATGTTACAGCTCTGGCGGAGACGAACGCGGCTTTGAATGACCAGATGCAGTCTACATCTGACTCAACACTCATAGCTGTGGCTTTTCTGGGTCTGTATGAGGTGAGCCATGGGTCGTTCAGTTCGCAGAAAAAAGGTTTCTAATGTAGCAGTTATTGACATGCAATGGTCCTCCTCTCATGGACCGCTACCTCAACCACGCTGAAGGGTGTAACAAACTCATCGAATTGCGAGGATCCAATCAACTCAAAGACAGTGTTGGGTTAGGGCTATTTGCCCAGTTTCGAATGACCATAGTAAGCGCGCATCCCTTGGACCTTTTAAGACGTTTCTAATATCAGCCAGGTCCTCAGTAATTTCTGGCTGAAAAGACGTACACCTTCCTTCCTGCTTGAATTGACGAGGGAGAGCTTCGCTTACCGTGGAGGAAACCCACGCATGGATGATGAGCTTTTTTTCCTCGTCGCGAAAGTGGGTGACCTATGTGCTGAACTCCGCAATGGCGCCCTCATACAACCAGTAAAAATCGTGAGAGAAGCATTAAAGCTCGACGCAGAGCTCAGCTCTTGGGCCTTGGGTGTCGAACCCCACCGTCGCTATACCGTCGTCAACGTTCCCGAAACTGCAAACGCAGTTACTCGTTATGGCTCCTTCCGCCACATCTATGGGAATAAATATCATGTCTATCCCGATCCAGTCGTTAGCTCTTGGTGGTCTGACTATCGATTCGCCCGTCTTATTCTTCTAGAGCTCTTATGCTGGCTCTGCGACCACCTCGCGCGCAAGGACGAAGCAACGGGCGCCGAATACCGACAGACATATGAGCGCTGTGCTGCTCTCTCACGACAGGTGGCTGAAGACGTATGTGCTAGCGTGCCATATCAATTTGGGGCGACAAAGGAGTCTGCAATAGAGGATCTGACGAGTCCCCGGACCGGCGGTGTGATCCATTTGATATGGCCGCTATTCATTGCCGCTGACGGTACTGGGGTATCGCCAGCGATGACGGAGTGGATCACCCAGTGTCTGTTCAAGATTGGACATAGTGTTGGGATTCAACAGGCACTGGTGATGTCGAGTCTTTTGCTCTCAGGGCAGCATTTAACCTGGCTTCCTGACCTTTGAAAGTCGATGTTTCTCATTACCAGATACTCTACATATATATATACTATTCCAAGACCCGGTCTAGTTGATGGGGGTTATATATTGATTATATACATGTTTGGATACAGCCAGTTCGGCGTGCTAGTCCTGCCACAACTCTCAATTTTACACACAAGTTTGATTTTCGTCTGATATAAAAAGCCAACAAATAAACCTGATATTCATACAGAATATAAGTAGCCACTCTTGTGCTTATGCAGCGGGTCTGTTCTCTGGTCTTCTTATCTACATTTCTTATCTAAATTGATCTCCGCACCAAACGCGACTTCGCGTCTTTTGTCTTCTTTTCCACCTCCGCTCTCCCGTTATGGGACGAACATGGCAACCATCAAGGCCATCGAAGCCCGCTCGGTATGACTTTTATCCTCTAAATTACGTGTCTGCCTCATTAACCGGCCCCTGAGCGCTCTAGGTTCATCAAATCCAATCCGGTCAAGTTATCGTTGACCTGTGCTCCGTGGCGAAGGAGCTTGTGGAAAACAGTCTCGACGCGGGGGCTACTTCAATCGGTAAGTCTATTTCCACGAAATGAGACGATGATTTCGCTCTAACTATAACTCCTTCTTGACAGAGGTTCGATTCCGGAATAATGGTCTTGACTTGATCGAGGTGCAGGACAACGGGAACGGAATATCGCCGGAGAATTACGAGAACGTTGGTGAGTACTGTGCCTAAACCCCAATTTGCGCCTTGGTCTCGAACGTTAGATCTAATAATACAGCCCTTAAGCACTATACGTCAAAACTATCCTCCTTCGACGACCTCCTCCGGCTGCAAACCTTCGGCTTCCGCGGTGAAGCTCTATCGTCGTTATGCGCCCTCTCGGATTTCCAAATCACGACCGCGCAGGCGAACCAGGCCCCTCGCGCAACACGGCTTGAATTCGAACAATCAGGAAAGCTGAAGAAAACACAGGTGGTTGCGGGACAGAAGGGCACAACTGCGTCGGTGGAAGGTTTGTTCAAGAAGCTGCCTGTTCGGCGTCGAGAGCTGGAGAAGAACATCAAGCGCGAGTATGGCAAGGTGTTGAATCTGCTGCATGCGTACGCGTGCATCAGTACGGGCGTGCGCTTCAGCGTGAAGAACACGCTAGCCAAGAAGAGTGCGGTGGTGTTCACTACGAACGCGAACCAGACGACGAAGGAGAATATCGCCAATGTCTATGGCGCAAAGACACTACTTGCACTGATACCTCTGGATCTCGAGCTTGAGTTTGAACCGTCGGCTGCTGGACGGCGGACGGTCGCAGACGAGACAAATCGGATACAGGTCCGCGGTCATGTCTCGAAGCCCGTCGTGGGCGAAGGAAGACAAACTCCTGACAGGCAGATGTTCTTCGTGAACTCGCGCCCTTGTGCGTTGCCGCAGATTGCAAAGGCGTTTAACGAGGTATACAAATCGTTCAATGTCGCCCAGTCGCCTTTTGTCTTTGCCGATTTCCATATGGATACGAATGCGTACGACGTAAATGTGTCTCCTGACAAGCGGACCATTTTGTTGCATGATGCGGGAGCGCTCATTGAGTCGCTGAAGCAGTCGCTACAAGAGCTGTTTGACTCGGTCGATCAAACGGTGCCTCAGTCGCAGGTTCTTGGGAAGCTACCAATTGCTAGACAGCGTTCGATTCCTGAAACTACGAGAGCTACAACTACTGTTGACAAAGAGGAGATATCGGTTGGCGAAGATGCAGAAGAGAGTCCTCTGGTCTCAAAGGATAGGATGAAGAGCCTCCCCAGCAATATAGAAGCTCGTGATACACGAACAGACTCCCCTACTAGACGGCCTATGCCCAGAGAACGGCAATCATCGCCTGCTCAAGCACCGAGTTCAAAGTTGCAAGAAGGGTCTCAGTCGCGGACTGCTGAAGACGACATGTCAGATGACGAGCTATTCGTTCCGGAGGACGCTGCACCGCGCCATAACGACGAGACATTCGATGATAACGAAGAGGGGTCACAATCACCTAGACAGCCAAGCCGCGCAGCAGAAGATTCCGAGAGACCGAATGCCATACAAAGCGCCTTTGACCGCATGAGGCCAAGGCGAGTGCCGGCCGAAATGGCAACTATTACAATCGGCAACACGACTGTTACATCGATGGTAGGAAGTGGTGTACCAAAGAAGAGAAATACGAGCAGTGATTTGACTTCTCGCCCGACTCGAAAGAGGCGGATTCATACACCTTCTCGTCCAGGCATTTTCGGTCAACGTATGCTGGGCTTTGCAGCCCCAGGGACACAGCTGGAATCGATTCAAGATAATGAAGACTATGAAAACGAACAAGAAGACTACGATGATGAAGAGGGTTCAGAGGAAGAGGAGGAGGAAGATAATGACGAAGAAATCGAGGAAGAACAAAGTGAAGGTGAAGAGATGGAAGACGTCTCGCCTTCCTCGCCGCCCGCTGAAAACATCGCGAGTCAAGCTTCGTTCGAGCGAAATACTGATATTGAAGAGGCGTCCCAGCCTCCAGGCGAGGATTTGAATGACGAGATGAACGACGAAGAGAAGAAGAAACATGAGGACGCCGAAATTCAGCGGCTGATTAAGGAAGCAGAGAAAGCCGCTCAGGCGACCAGTCTCAGCCGGGCAAACAAACTACATAAAGGTGTCGGTCACCGGGACTCTACCGTGCATCTTATGACGACAATCGACGGGTCACTTTCTGAGATTCAGTCACGGGTAGACAGGCTCAAAGATAGTTTGGCTGTCCTCGAACCTGATATATCAGAAGACGAACCTAGCCTAACTCAGGCCGCGGCGGAAGAACGACTCTCGCTGACAGTCACAAAAGACGACTTTGCGCGCATGCGAATTCTGGGCCAGTTCAACCTAGGATTCATTCTTGCTACTCGATCCACAGAATCCAAAGACGAACTGTTCATCATAGACCAGCATGCGTCCGACGAAAAGTACAACTTTGAGCGCCTGCAATCCGAGACAGTCGTCCAGAACCAGCGCCTCGTCCACCCCAAACGTCTCGACCTCACAGCCGTCGAAGAGGAAATCGTGATCGAAAACCAGACTGCCCTTGAGAAGAACGGGTTCGTCGTCGACGTCGACGATAGCGGCGATGAGCCGATCGGGCGCCGCTGTCGACTACTCTCTCTACCCCTCAGCAAGGAAGTCGTCTTTGATGTCCGCGACCTCGAAGAGCTCATCGTCTTACTCTCAGAAACAACTTCTGCAAACACGAAGACGGATGTCCCCCGGCCCAGCAAAGTGCGAAAGATGTTCGCCATGCGCGCGTGCCGGTCTAGTATCATGATCGGCAAGACCCTGACGCAGAAGCAGATGGAGCGTGTTGTGAGGAATATGGGGACGATTGATAAGCCGTGGAACTGTCCGCATGGCCGGCCAACAATGCGCCATCTCTTTAGCCTGGGGCAATGGGATGAGTGGGATGAGTATGAAGGGCGAGAGGATGATATTGAACCGGCCGACAGGTTGGATATATGGAGGGAGTATCTTGCTGACGTGGAAGACGAATAGACCTTGTATACCCAGGACGTGATAGAATGGGACGTATATATTGACCACATATCGCTTAACGTGGAATAATCATATTGTCATAAGTCATTATCATCATCATAATCATCACGAAGGACATCAAAAATAAACTAGACCCAGTACTAGTAGAGGAATATCACCACCACCCAAACCACCCCTTCTTCGTCTCTGTCGCAGGCTCCTTCCCCTTCCCCTTATTCCCCTTCTGCCCCTCCTCCTCATCAACCTTCCCATTTCCAAGCCCGTGCCCATCCACCCCTCTACCCTCTTCATCCTCACTCAAACTCTCATACCTCCCTCGCTCTCGCCCGCGCTCTTCAGCCCTAACCCTGTCCTCCTCCCTCTCCTCCTCCTCCTCCTCCGCAATCCTCAACGTCTCCTCAAGAACCAAAAGCTCCCGCTCAATAACCTCCGCCCAATTCTGCACGTCCCCAATCTCCTTTAGGCCCTTCCGCGCATCCTCCGCGATACCCTCCCAGGCGTCATTCTGCTTCCGCAGGGCCTCGGTCGTCTTGGCGAGGTTTTCCTCCTGCGCGGAGAGCGCGCCCTGGTTCGAGTGTAGGACTTTGGCGCGCTCAACGAGCTCGGTCGTGTAGTTTGCGCCGAGGGAGTGCAGGGATGCTGTAAAGGCGGATTTGGCTTCGGCGGTTTGTTTGGGGTCTGATGTTTGGGATGTGGATAGGGATATGGATGAGGGGGGGATGGCGGGGGTGGGGCCTTGGGTTGTGGTGGTGTTGCTGTTGGTGGTATTGGGTTGAGTGGGTGGTTGGGGGCTTGTTGTTGTTACTTGGGGAAGAGTCATTTTGATGAGGTTATATTGGGTTTTATGGGTCAATGATCATGGGTTGGGCGTTGGATGTTGGCAGTATGGTGTGTTTATTATCAGTGCCGTCCCTGGCTTGTGATAAAAAGAGGATGGATACCATGCTGCTTAACTTATATTGTCAAATTGCTACAGACTTTCAACAATTAATCCGATATGGTGTAATGGTTAACATCGCCGTCTCTCACACGGCAGCTCGGGGTTCGATTCCCCGTATCGGAATTTCTTTTTTTTAGTTTTTGTCTTCTCGAGCTTTGCGCTGTTGCACTCTTCAGATGAACTTCGGGGCATGATTATCTTACTCGGGAGAGGTAGGTAGATGGCTGGAAAGATAGACGACGCTAATCATATGCAAAATTTAGAGAAAGAAAGCAAAAAAATGAACGGTATAGAGGAAGGCAAATGAAGGGATATCTATCTGTGTGAAGCAGGGTACGGGAACGCAAGTGTAGTAGGAACCCTTTATACCCAAATCTAAAAGCGATGGTTTGCATGTCTGTGTCCCGTAGCGGGACGCATCTCCGTGAGCTGAATGTAAATCAGGCGAGTCGGTCATGCTCGACTTTCGCGTGGAGTTGACCGTGCTGCCGTCTATCACGCCAGATACTCCACAGGCAGACGAGTATCCCGCCAACGCCCGAGAAGAAAGTCATGTAGTATGCGCCCTGGTAGCACGCGAGTCCATCGGGGCAGTCGCGGTCTCCATTACGGTCGACGATGGAGTGGTGGTCGTAGATGCTTCCGTAGAGCAGGTTGAATATGTTCCCGCTAAAGACCGGTGCTAGGGTCATGACACCGAAGTTCTGGGAAAGGCCGTTTATGCCAAAGGTATGGGCTGTCAACGAAGGGAAAACGCCGAAGAGGAAGCCGTAGGCGATTCCGGTGAATGCGGAGACGATGACGAGTTGGTGCGGGTTGGAGATTGAGGCGCCGGCGAGTTGGGTGAGGGTGAACACCGAGGCGGAGAGGAATAGACACCAGAAGCGAGACATGTTGAATTTTTTGACGAGAATGTCGGATCCAATGCCTGATAGGCTGCTTAGCTTAGCAGGTAAACGACCTGAAGGGATACGAACCACTCGATAGACGGCCAGCGAAATTGCCGAATGACAGGATGGAAACGTGCATGACTTGCCGTTGTTGTATAAACTTAGGGGATGCGCTGTCGTCATATTTTTCCCACAGGGCTTTAGCCTATGGGGGGATCAGTAAGGTCAAGTGCGTTTTATGGAACCTTCTTACGCTATTGCCAATATTGCTATGAGATGTCAGTACACTGTGGCAACGTGCAGCAGGGAAAAAAACATACTTGATAGTCATCAAACCAATACCAGACAGGAGAGCCATGGTCATGAAAAGCTGCCAAAACTCGATCTTGCGGAGCATAGCCAAGCCTCTAATGTCTGGTTGGTGTGAGTCGGGATCAACAACATCAGACAAGCTATCATCCTCGCTCGCACTACGCTCATGGAAGAACTCCCGGGACGTCCTCGACGGCGTTTTGGAAACCAAAGACGACAGCTCGTCGAAATCCGGGACCGCGCCAGGAGGGTGGGATTGGGACGCGGTGGATTGGTTTCTCGAGTGAACCGCGGAGTGGCTAAAGATTGTAGTGGAAGACGGCATACCTGCTTCATCAGAATCCCCATATTCAGAACGTAGGTCAGTGGATTTGGGCCTTCGCAACTGCCTCGACTCTACGGAGCGAGACCTTGAGACGGGATAGTACGGCCCATTGGGAGCCATGAGTCGCATGAACGGAACTGAAAGAAAGTTCAGAAGAGACGTTCCGACGGCCAGCAAGAGGAGAAAGCGGCCAACGTCGCCATGGAACAGGATAGCAGACGTGGTCGACCAAAAGAAGGCACTCAGACCGAACGCGGCTAAGGGGAATGCCGTTGCTGTTCCCCGATGTTCAGGGAAATTCGTAGCAGCTGTGGTATTCATGTTAGCTAGGGTCAACGAGCAGGAGAAAGGCGACGCACCGGTCTTGATTGAGGCACCAAAGGCAGAACAGCTTCCGAAACCAGTCAGAAAGCTGAATACGGACAGGAAGAAAACGGCCATAGATCCTTGGCCGCCCTTATATGCTGTGACGAATTAGTACCGGCGCCATCGAGCAGTTTCAAGGCGGCCCAGCCGTACCAAGATGTAGCGGAAAGTATCCCAGGCCGAGAGAGACAGCCCCAATTAGAGTTGTGAGACGTGGGCCCCGGGTGTCGGTCAAAAGACCCATGGGAATTCCACATGCGTACATCCCCAGGTTACCCGCTGCGCCCTAAAGAATGGTATAAGCATGGGTTTTCTTTGCTGAGCGGGTTGTCCGTACGATAAGGTTGCTTTCGGTCGACGAAAGCTTCATCTGCTGGGCGAACTGAGGCGCCCATGCCGAGTACGCATACTGCCAAACGTCATTAATTCGTCCAGGTATCGGAACACTGATAGATCCATCCATACGTTGGTACCACAAGCGAGAGCGACCAGTGTCGCCGCTATGACGGAGACAATCCGCTTGGTTTTATGCCCAGAATCCGCCATGATGCTCGTCGGGATACCGCTGCCCCGATGACTGTCCGTTTAATTATAGTATATCATAGGAGAGGAAAGGTGATGAGGGATAGATAGGTATGGACAAGCTTCCCAGAGACCAGTTGACAGGTAGTAATAGTCGCGTGGGGAACTTGAAGATGTTATCGGAGCCGGGGGAAGCACGCAATCAGCGATTTAGCGATCGATTTGGTTGGAGGTCAGGGACAGACATAGGTCAATGCGAGATAACTTGGAAATATTGTATGAATTGAGAGGAGATGCCGCTAATCTCGAGCGGTAAGAGAAATTGAGCAGAATATCAGAACTCAGGACAGAAACGACAGACAGGAGTTGAGGAGGAGAGGCGTGTGATAAGGACTTGGAAAGGCAAAGTGGCCGCAGATAACTCCGCGCTTTTGCATTATCAGCCCCAAGCATGAGACGCTAGTGGGAAAAGCGAATTATTCCGGCTCTCGGCTCCTTGTAGGGCGCTTGTCCAAGACTGCATCCATAATCCAATCCCAGTGCCCAGGTGATGTACTGGTCACGCCAACAGCTCAGCTGGCTTAAAGTGCTGACGAGCATCGCGATACACTGGGTCAGGGCTAAAAAAACAGTATAGTCTTTACGAAACAAAGGACCCCAGGAAACGAGACAAAGTCCGTATGCAGGATTATCCTGATCTACAGGCTGAAGTCAGTCTACATGCAGCAAAAGCTTTCTGTCAGTGTCACACCAGATGCTGTACGACGATGGGAGGTGAGGCGCCCAAATACTAAAAATCAAAAAGATATTCCGATACGGGGAATCGAACCCCGAGCTGCCGTGTGAGAGACGGCGATGTTAACCATTACACCATATCGGATTAATTGTTGAAAAGTAATCTTATTTTGACATTATAGGGCTACAGTTGACCTTCGCGCTCAGACAGACCGCTTGGTATAGTTCCTGATCGACAGCAGCCCAGTAATTTATCCCTTCAAAAGAAAGAACCGAATAGATGATTCAGCGGAAGCCCCATATTGGACAGTACGCTGCAACCCCCGCCCACGCCCTCTGTGCAAGACGGCATGTTCAATGCGAAGAATGGCCAGTTTTAGTACATTGACTACAACAAGAGTTATATTTCCTTGACTAGGCCGAAGGGTGGTGTTGGAGATGTCCTCTATAAGGTGGCTGTCCTCGCAGAACACTGGCAGAAGTGCCTTTCGACACAATCTTGGTCAAATGTCCGGCCAGCTGTAGCAATCTCATTGTGTGTTGATCGCATCGGACGTCAGCGTGGGCTACCTATAACCAGCAGGGTAAGAAATACTCTAATGTCGCATCGAATCCCTGGGGCACACCAGGTTGATGGAACCATCGTGTAGCTCACATAAGATGGCAGACAATTCAGGTTTCGCCCACTTAATGGTACTGTGCTTCAAGTGACATGTACTGCTCTGTCCGCGGAACGTCTGCTGAGATTGTCTTCTGTTCGTCTAGTACGATGCAGGATAATAATGGGTGGATATGAGTGTTGTTTGTGGCTTTGAGCGTTCGGTGTATAAGTAGATGACAAAGAATTTGGATCGAGTCCGATAATTGACTTAGATAGCTGGTTTTTTTCTCCATGGAGCAAGTCACCCTTTGCTGGAAACAGACCTACAGTACATACTTCATTCAGACTACACACACAGTCTGAAAAAAAAAATGATATTCCGATACGGGGAATCGAACCCCGAGCTGCCGTGTGAGAGACGGCGATGTTAACCATTACACCATATCGGAGTACTTATTAGAAATAAGGTCGCTCAATATGTTACATAATGCAGGAAGGAAATGGAAGTCTCGTCGGGCGCTTCGGGTGATTCGAGACGCAAGGGGCTGAAAAAGTTGGTTGGGCGCGATTGGCTCTAGTCCTTTGGATATGTGAGATGGGGGTTTGAATCTATTGCCCATCATTCACGCTTTCGGGGAAGGTTTCATTGGGGTGGAAATCAGTGTCATGTTTGGGCCTGCGTGCTGGTATCTTGTATATATCTCCAGGTATCCCTCACCACGATGGTCGTTGATAGCTCTCACCCATGGTGCAACCAATACACACGTAGATACCCCCGTAAACACCAATATACTGAAGAACAAACATCCGCCCTGCCCACGGAGAGACGATCGGAGCCCGGGTTTGTCGGGGGCTGGTGAAGGAGTTGACCGAAGATGACCTCGGTAGATGGGCTTCAAGTCGCGACTCCGTGAGCTGATAGGAGAAAGATAAGAAAACTGCAAGGCAAACGAAACAAGGCGCCGATGGCGACATACAGACCTCGTCGACGTTATTTGTGTAATAATAATGATAGGCTAGCTAGTAAAGACATGGACGAAGAAAAGAAGACATGGAAATAATGGTAATATCGCCCCCATCATGATTCATCTCCATATCGGGAGGTTTCCTCCGGTCTTGATTAGCTGCCTCGACTTCCGGCGTAGGAGGTAGTGGCTGGGCCGCTGGGCCATCTGGCAGCGGGAGCGGCATAGCGCTATCTTTTGAGTGATAAGGATAGCAGAGCACGGCCACTCCCCAGGATTGTAGTTTCAGTGCGAGAGTTTGAACTCTCGCCGCCTCAAGAGTTCAGTGTTGAACATAGCGGACACCTCCACACCCATAAGCAGTCTGAGTGAAGCCAAACAAAACAAAAAAGAATCAATTCCAGAAATTACCAACACAATGACTGAACAGAAACCATCCTCCTCTAGAACCTTTTTCGCTGTTTTGTATGTCATGCCGATTGGAAGATTTTTTTTTGTCGCAGTGGCCAAACACGCACCCGCCGTTTCATAGGAATTAGAGATATAGGTAACATGACTCTATCGCAGGTAGGTCGTAAACACAAAACTCGAGAACATGGGGAATGGGGATGAGAATCGAAGTAGATAGGGAGAGCAACATATAATCGGATAAATAACCAGCCAATGGCAAGAGGTGTGAAGGGTATCAAAAAACGTATTAGAGAGCCGGTTGATCCGCGAATACGGCTGCCATGTGCATCGGCGCCACGAGCGATGGTCTCAAATATGGGTGCTATATGCTCTTGGGGGATTTGGCTGGGGAACTCGAAGGTTGTTCTACCACGTCGGAGAGTCTCATCCTCTTGGCCAGTGGCTCAAGAGGGCTTTCTTGGTTTGGCTGGTTCCCGCCATTAGCCTGATTGGCGACCTGGCGCTCCAACTCGGATATGCGACGTTTGAGATCGTCCTCTCGCCGCTGAGCCTCATCAAGAGACCGCCGTAGGCGCACCTCGGAGTCGCGAACAATCATTTCAGACCGACGCGCCGTGGCATCGCTTTGCTCAAGTTCTGCGACGCGTCCCCTGAAGAGCCCATTGATGAGCTCCAGCTCGCTCACGCGAGTCTTCAAGGACGTGTTTGCCGCCAAAAGGTCTTCATATGTTTGCGGAGCCTCGGGATGACGATCAACCGGCGCGGAGGTGGAGGTAGGAGATGGCTGGCGGAGTGGAACAGAAGATAGGGAACTGGGGGGAGGGAGTCCGTGGCCCTCAAGTGTCACACTGTCAAACATATGCTGCGGAGCGATGTTGGAATTGTGATGGGGCTGCGCATGCGGTTGGTGCATAGGAGGAAGTCCTGGGCTGTCGGTTCGAGGTACTGGGGAGGGGGACCGGTCAGAATGACCTGGCGACATCTTTCGCGACGCGCGACGATACGCCTGGGCCCCCATAGGAGGAGTACCCGCCTCTGATCTCGCAGAAGACAATCCATTCCCATCGGGAGCGCTGCCAGACTAAGCACGACGAAGAAGAGCGTTAGCGACCGTCATTTCAAACCCCAATCGCTTGGGATAAGGTTTACGAGGTACAGAAAAATTTTCGACTTATCGAGGACGTACTTTGCGCTTCGGCCCCTGACCAGCAGTTTTGACTCTGTTGCGGCTCTTGATCACATCAGTCTTGAGGCTTATCGGTCGCGGCCTTCCGTGGAGCTTCAGAAACAGGCCGCAGGCGTTGCATAGCACGGAGCCGAGTTCGTCCCTACGCCATAATGGAGTTTTTGACGTGCCGCAATTCTGGCAAATCGGCTGTAATTGAGAGCGCTTTTGATCAGCCAGCGTACTCGCCATGATTATCTGAGTATATAGAGCATGAAATGGGCGAAGGAGGAGAAGAGAGGAGATGAGGGGGCTTGCGTGGGAGAGAGGAGCTGATAGTGGATGGAGAGAGATTGCAGGGTTGATAAGATTGGGGGAGAGATTATTGATGGGTTTGCGATGATAAGGCGCAGTTGCGGTCCGGCGCCAAGACCGCTGATAACAGATCGAGTGAAAAAATAAACCCATCACGAAAAAGCAATGGCACAGGGCAGAAAACACTGCAAAATATAGATTTATGCATAGCATATCGAGAGGAGACTCACAGGATTATTGCCTTGACCTCCAGTAGTAGCAGCGGGAGAAGATGTCGCGTAGGTCATATTCATCCCGAGATGCGCATCGCTACTCGAAGTCCTGCCAGATCATATCCCATCAGCTGGAGAACCAAACCTTGACCGAGGGAACTGCGATTGGTCTGATAAGAAGAAACCGCCTTCCGGGATCAAAGATCTTGCTCCGGTATGCGTCCGCGCAGCAGTAGACCGTGTATCGCAATGGAAGTCACACAGGAGGAACACGCACCGTAGATTCGAGGTCGGTGCCGATGCGACCGACGCTAGAACGGAAAGTCCTGGGAGTGAGGGACCGAGAGAGGTTGAAAAGGCGCCTACAACACCTGTACCTTCCTCAGGACTTTTCTCGAGAGAGCTCGAGGCAAGTTCGGGGAGCGCTGTAGAGTATTGCGAAGACGCCGACGAGGTCCCCTGTGCTGTGTCTGTCACCGACCGGCTATCAACGGAGGAGGAGGAGTGTTTATAGGTAGGGTCGGTCGATTGCGAGTTCGAGGGCGAAGGAGGACGCAGGGCCGGGTCGATGGGCGACGCCCGGAAGAGAAGCGAAGCCACGGTGGAGGTCGTGGCGGAGAATTGCTAGAGAGTCGGCCTCTGTTGACCGAATTGAATTGAGTTCGAGTCAATTGATCCTGTTCTCGAGGTTCTGCATAAGATGGGGCAGGAAGGAGAGAGTTCGGGGGTGTTGCGAGGGGAACCAGCCACGAAAAAAAGGAGGGCCAAATGGAATGTCCTTTAGGTCTCGTCCGCCAGTTGGAATTCAATGAAGACCAGTAGAAATGCGTAGAATGAATGGATGGATGAGAAGAAATCAAAGGATGAGCGCTTGAGTTGCTCTGGCGTTCAATTAGTGTTTTGTAGGATAAGGAGCGAAAGATCTGAGGGATGATAGATAGGGAAAAAGACCCGGGCCTCGAAGCAAAGCAGCAATGCAACCGTGCAGACTGCAAGTAGGAATGAATCAACGGAAGCCGCTAGGTACTATTAGTAGTAGCAGTAGCAGTCGTCAAGGCGAAAGTAAGAAGTGGTGAAGGTGAGAAAAGTAACGAGATTATCAACGATATCGGCGAAAGAAATGGAACGATCGATAAATCGTATCGCTCCTATCGCGCCGGACACTATCGACGATTATTGATCAGCATCTGTGGAACATTTCTTGGCTTCATTCTCACCCTTGCCTTGTTCCCCTGCCTCATATCCGGACTAACGAGCCCTCTTTATTTATGATCTACCGAAGGTATTTCTGTCCACTGATCATGAGTGTCATGGATTCATCTGCTACTTACTATTCTATGAGACCGCCGTCCCGGTGCCTATGATACTCGGAAGACTCCTGATGCGTACTCGCTTTGAGCTCAGAGCGCGGTTTATCTGAGGTGCCTTGCATGAGAATACGCTCTATCTGTAGAGGCAGGATAGTCGTCCAGGTGATGATCATGCTTGTACTGACTGAGACGTGTCGATGCACATTTGCTGTTTGATATCCTCATGGATGAAAATGGCAGGGCTTGGAGACAATCTCCAGTGTATACGAAAGTAGGAGCTCTTGCTACTATCTAAAGACCATTTGTATGCGTTTCACGAACATTATCCGAATAGGACGCGAGCCAGCAATTGCCTCGCATCACTTCCTCCTCCGCGGAAGAAATCATGTCGCTAGTCACCCATTGCTTCGATACTCCAAGACCAGTGCAACAGAGGTTCGACGATGGGAAGTGTTGGGTCCAACCGCGGCAGAGTGGGCCTAGAAGTCATTATGGTCCTCCACAGGGACTTCAAGATGGGGATATAGACGTTGAATAAAACCATTTCGTCACCGACATTCAGGATTAACAGGTCGACGTCCCCCCGCCGGGGTCATTCGCCTATCACCCGATTAGCTAAAACTGTAGAAGCACCTGCGTTGGTGCATATCGGCCTCTAATCCAACTCTTCGAGTACGGTGAGTATTGCACTCTGTCTTTCACTGAAGATGTGTACAGCAAGACCGTCCATGCATACCTGCTCTCGTGTTCATTCTTCTGAACTGATAAGATCCTTTTTGTGGTCCTCCGAGCAGCACACTTGCCAAGTCCTTCATATGGCGCTTTGCCGATATGTAGCCGGAGCGAGGTTGAGCTCGGCTTTCGAAAGTGCTGAGAGTAAATTGTTCACAACATCGGCCGCCAGCGCTTCCCAATCTTCCTTAGTCTCAGGGCTTGGCTTGATGATTGACAATCAAAGTAACCGCGTCTGTTGTGAAACGCGGACGTTTAATCCGATGGTCCTATATCTGGAAGCACCACGTCGCCGAACCCCTCACAATAACACAACCCGATGCGTGATTGAGCAATGATGAGTTTGCTCCAGTCTTGCCACTTGCACGGAAATATAAAGGAGGACAAGGTGTCACAGAAAGGGTGAGAGTTTAGATCCCGGGGACGGCGCTGCTTCGAAGGTGTATACTTCCTTCGTCCCCTCGAAGATGGTGTGATATAGAACAAGGAGCTATTTGCACCACAGTCAGATTATCTGAGCCAGTGAGAGTTGAGTGGCGAGACTCAATTCGATGTTATTATCGTGTGAGAGAAGTACATTCGGTTGATAAATTCATTAGGCCTGGTAGCTTGCGACTTTAGATCGAAAATCCCCCCGCCTTAGGGTTACCCCGCATTTTGAGAGCGTGGCCGACAAGAGGAACCTATCTACCAAACGTCAGCACATCCGATGGCATAATACCCGATTACTTTCCGAGAAATGACAGGGACCCTATCGGTCTTCTTTGTTACTGCAAGATACCAGCCGCTGGTGGCGACTTGGGAATGCCACGACTTCAGGTCTGGAAGGGGCACAGCCAATCCTCAGCAAAGCAAATCCCGATGCACCGTACTTGTGGATCAATCATCCGCTGGCTTTACCTAAAGGCAAACTTGATCTTTCCGATGATCCGATGTTGTTGCGAGTGTCCCTTGTGCCGTTCTTGATACAGGGTTCCGATGCTGCTCCGACAAATATGGATCACCCCCGGACCAGGCCTAGAACCTGTTGGTTCAGCTGTATCGGGGCATCGAATCGGGTGTATGGAGCTATGGCTTTGAGACCATGATCAAGCTACGAAGCCTTGGGTTCCCCGGTCGTCTCATTGATTCAACTAACCTACTCACGGGCAAGCCTCAAAACTTATCCAGATACTGCCCACATCGACCGGGAAATCGCAGAAAAATGGGTTCAATTGGCGAGGACACGTCTTATTCGATGCCCTAATTGTTGGTGCCGACCCGGCTGGCCTGATGATGACGGCTTGGTTGGCAAACTGTCGTGTGAAGGCAAGCATTATCGACAAAACAGGGACCAAGGTTCGTGACTCTGGCATTCCCTATTCTGCTGAGATATTGACGTGAGCTCCAAGTTTATAACTGGCAAGAAGACGGTTTGCAATGCAGAGCGCTCGAGATGTTTGACTCGTTCGGCTTTCAAGACCGTGCGTGAAAAGCAGCAAACCATATGCTCGATATTTGTCTCTGGGACCCATACTCGAACGGAGTCATCCAGCGCAGCCCCCGCATCCCAGATACTAACCCGGGAATTAGCCGCTTTAAGCAGGTCGTGCTTCATCAGGGTAAAATTGAGCGATTCTTCCTTGATTTCATGGAAGCTTGTGGCGCGGCCTTCGCGTGAAGCGAGGTGTGCTGTCAACGAAACTATAGCTTGACGAATCGCTTGTCGAGTCAAGGGATGCATATCTAATCACCGTGCGCCTTCTCTCAGAAGCCGAAGCAAGGCCAAAGCAGACTGGCACAGTGGTTTATGGATCAGCTATCGAAGATGGTCCCTTTAGAAGCAACCTTGCTGCTGATGACACGGCCGAGCTCATCAAGGCCAGGGCGCTGGACACGAAAGCCACTGCAGAAGAGGTTGTAAAGGCAAAACATACGCTTGGCCGCAGACGATGCGCACAGTTGGGTGCGTCAGCAGCTCGGGTTTGCCCTTGAGGGTGAATCAACAAATTATATCTGGGGTGTATTGGATATCGTGCTTATTACGGATTTCCCCGATATCCGCATGCGATGCGCTATTCACTCTGCAGACTCCGGTAGCGTCATGGCTATTCCTCGTGAGAACAAGCTCGTACGGCTGTATATCCAGCTTACGAGGACGGCGTACGATGGTGGCAAGAGGGCGGATCAGTCGAAGAGATGTGATTCTCGAAGCCGCTCAGAAAAATATGGAACCCTATAAAATAAACCACATACCCTAGGCTCGACTGGTGGGCGGCCTACCAGATCGGCCAAAGAGTTGGAACACAGTTTTCTAAGCTCGAGCGCGTCTTCCTCGCGGGCGATGCTGTCCACACACATAGCTGAGCCAACTGCTTTGACTTGGCCAGGGTATGAATGTGAGCGTGAGTAACCTAACGCGGGACGAAGCGAATGCCATGGCTTACAGTGACATAGCATATAATCTCGGATGGAAGATTGTCAACGTTGTCAAAGGGCCCGCTGGTCGTTCCATCTTGAGAACTTACGAGTCGGAGAGAAGGAAGATAGCTCAAGACCTTATCGCTTTCGACCATCATTTCTCCCCCTTGTTCTCTGGCCACCCTTTTCGTGACATTATGGACGAAGAGGGTATCAGCATGGATACTCAAAGAGGCATTTGACAAGGGCAATCTGCCCGCCAGTGGTATCGGAACATTATAGGCCCCATTCTGGGATCGCCCAGTGTGAAGATCCGGAGCCAGGCTGATGCACGACCGTGGCACCTACAGGGGCGTCTTCCAAGCAACGGGCGATGGCGCCTAATGGTTTTCGCCGGCGATGTCACGAAGTCACAGCAAAAGGAGAAGATTGAGCGGTTGGGAGCCGCACTTTATAGTAAAAGTTGGACAAAACTTTCGGCATCCACCCTGAGGAAAGATGCTTGGTAGTCCTTCGGCCGGATCGATAGGTCTCGTACGTTGGACCGCTCGAGGATTATGATGCCGTGGATCAATTATTCTCTGGGTTCATAATGGATCAATAGCTGTGCCTTCTGTGTCTGTGTGTTTGGCATTGGCTTTTCCACTGGATGGGATGCGTTGTAAATATCGTGATTGAAATCATGACAAGTACAAGGAGATAGGAATTCTAATAGTCAAGCATAATCCAAAACACTAAATCAAGATACAAGCCATCCAGAGGGTGAAAGCGAAGATCATCTCAGGGGCCTTGGCTGAAGCGAAGTTGTAATTTTGGATCTTCCCTTCATTCGGTGTTTTGAAGCTCTGGTGGAGCTTTGGCATTTTGAAAGCTGTGGCGGTGCGGCAGGGGGCTGCGTAATTACGTGACAGGCATGCCAAGTGACCCATTCACGGGCCGTGGAATGGCCGCCGCCTGGATACGGGACGGTAATTCAGTACCACCATAATCTCCCGTGCCCACTCGCTCGAGGTCAATCAGGCGAACCAGTCCTTCATAGAGACGTGGACGTCGTTCTCGCCTCCCTGCGTGGTTCAGCTGTCCTCATTTCTGCACACCTCGACGACTACGAATTAAATGACGGATTCTGCAACGACCGCTGGGCTTCTTTTCTTCCGGTGGTACTCGTCTTGCTGATTCCCACCACGTCCTGTTTTCACTTTCTTTGGTCGCTTCCATCCCCTTTTTATACCCCGGATTTCGACCCAGTAATGCCTTGAAGAATCGCCTTCTTTTCACTCCTAATTTCCGGCTTCATTTCCTTGCCTTTCATTTACCCTCTTTCCAAAATACCATTTTATTCAATAGAATCATGCCGAAGAACAATCGACCCGCGACGTCCGGTTATGCCCGGCTGGCCCAGGAGGAGGAGGATAGAGCTAACGACCCCTATGAATATTCGGATGACGATGACCTGTACCATACATCAAGCTCAATTAACCCATACGCTACCCAATATGAGCCGATTGCGACTCGACACTCGATGCCATCCGCCGCCCTGGCGACGCCCCCCGAGAACCGACGGAGGTCAAGCGGACAACATCGGCGAGGGCGGAGAAATTCTGCAGTGGACATTAAGGCGATCAATGCGCGTCTAGAGCGCTGGGCGGAGGAAATTGCCTCTAAATTCAAGATACACCGCGTCAAGGGGAAGACACTCGAGGAGGAGAAATTGGAAATCTACCACTCCGTCTTTCAGCCCCCGAATGGCGTTACGCCAATTACGTCGGAAGAGCTGGAATCGGAGGAGGTTGAAGCGGCCAACCGAATGGCGCGAGAAGGATTCGAGGAGGTTGTCGAGAGTGTTAGGTTGGCCATAGAACTGAATGTGCATCCTCGGATGATATCCCAGGGAAGTTCAGGCAGTTACTTTGCGCGCAATAGCGACGGCAAAGTTGTTGGAGTTTTCAAGCCTAAGGACGAGGAACCTTATGCGTCTCGCAACCCCAAGTGGACAAAATGGATTCATCGGAATCTGTTCCCCTGCTTCTTTGGACGCGCCTGCTTGATTCCCAACCTATCCTACGTTTCCGAGGCGGCGGCGTATGTGCTGGACTCCCGCCTCCGCACAAATATGGTCCCGTATACTGATATCGTATGGCTATCGTCGAAATCATTTTACTACGACTTCTGGGATCGAAGAAAGGCGTGGATGGGCAAGAAGAGACTTCCTCCAAAAGCGGGAAGCTTTCAGGTCTTCCTGAAGGGTTATAGGGATGCCAATCTTTTCCTGAGGGAGCATCCTTGGCCTGACCAAACAAACCCTGGCTTCCGTGCTCAAGATGCCCCGAAGCGCAAGAAGCGTCCATGGAATGAGGCTTGCCGGCCCTCAGGCATACAGTCAGATGACGAAGATGAGGAGGAGTACACAAACGGCCAGGCGCGTACACCATCACCGCAGGAGGAAAGTCGGGAGCGACGATTCCATTGGACGGAGAATATCAAGCAGTCATTCCGGGAAGAATTGGAGAAGCTGGTCATTCTGGATTACATCATGCGGAACACAGATCGTGGCTTGGACAACTGGATGATCAAGATCGACTGGAAGACGGAGGAGGTTTCGATTATTGCAGACCCACCGAAGCCAAACGAGCATCAACAGGATGATGACGACCATCTGGTACCTCCACGACCGGTTTCGGTCAACTCGGACAAGCCCACTTCGCCATCGTATCCTTATCGTAGACACGAGACGATGGTGGCCGTGAGCCGTACAGGAACCCCACTAAATTCCTCGGAGCCACAGGCAAGTATTCAGATTGGAGCCATCGACAACAGCTTGTCATGGCCATGGAAGCATCCCGACGCTGTGCGTATACCCTTTCGAATTGAAGTTTTGCATACGTTAACTATATTCTAGTGGCGAAGCTTCCCCTTTGGCTGGCTGTTCTTGCCAGTCTCACTCATTGGGCAGCCTTTCTCTCAGAAAACTCGAGACCACTTCCTCCCACTTCTAACCTCGACTGCTTGGTGGAGCGGTACGCAGATGGCTCTGCGACGAGTGTTCTCACAAGACGATGATTTCAAGGAAAGCATGTTTGCGAGACAAATCGCAGTCATGAAGGGCCAGGCGTGGAACGTGGTGGAAACGCTGAAACAGCCGGATCATGGTCCTCTGGAGCTCACGCGGAGAACCCGCGTTTGTGTTTGGGACGACCTAGTGGACGTCCCTGTTGCTATCCCTCTTCGTGGGCCTTCGACCGAAGCCCAGCGACGCAAGGTCAGAAACTACGATGACCGCTACGACCCCGACAACGAAGAAATGGACATTGGCGCAGCTATGTCTATGGCTGACCAGGACCTGATGGGATTGGCGTCCCCTCCAAGCGAACTTCCTAATCCAAATCGCTTCGAACTTTCCCGCGGGCGCAGTTCCCGCGATTCAGGGCGTCCTCAGACTGCCAGTACTACCGACTACGGATTCAATCGCAACAGCGGCGACATACTCAGCCCAGGGAGGAATGATGATCGAAATTGGCCTTCCCTTCCACCGCGGCCCGGTAACAAACACCGGAAACAAAACTCGATTTCCAGTGCGCCTGGCCAGGCCCATTTGATTTGGAGCAGTGACGATCTTGAGGGCGACCTCGGATATGCAGCTGCTGAGGGCATGGAGGGTAACCAGCGCAAAGTCATTGTGGAACGCCTAGAGGCCGTCAAGAGTAAAAACCCGGTCTTTACGTGGTGTTAGCGTTGTTGTCTATGTTTCTACTAGTATTACCGGCTGCCTGTGTTCATCATTAGACGCCAGGGCTGATTCGCTTTGCATGGGCAGTCACCTTACTTTCACCTCGATTCGCCAACACCCCCAACTCACATCATGACTCTATTACCTTCGTCTCATTTCATTTAGCGTCTTTGTCACGGCAAACTGGCATGAGGAGTCCATTAGCTATGGGAGTCGCTTTGGTTGGGATACCACCATGATGTTGTATTGTATATAGACGTATACTATAGCCAGTTTCTCTGCTAATAATAACAGTCCCCGGAGGAAATGGCAATGTTCTCAAGTGAAGCGAAATTAATATCTTTGTGAGAGCGAGGTAGAGGCGCGCGCGCGAGGCAAGTGAGGCAATTTTGAGAATGACGCCGATTATCTTATCTTCGCTATCGGAATCTTGTCTTGGCAACATCACCTCCAGCTCGGCTCTCTCTCTCTCTTTCACTCTGTTCTCTCAGCAGCTCTCTTTACCTCTTTGCTCGCTTCTCAAGACGCGTTCCTTTCGCTCAAATCTCTTCTATAGATAGATCGTTCTGTCTGCAGCCCCTCTACATTTTTCGCCGCCGCGACTCTTCCCCACCCACTCGAGTCCTATCCCTTCCGATAAGGTCGCAAGGCAACCCCACGGTCTCTATCGCCTCGAAACCTCCTCCATGTCCTCGATCGTCTGACGACCACACTCGATATTCCTTAACCTGCCTTCACGACCCACAGTCTCTCCTACAGCCCGTGCCTCGGCACCTGCAGGGACGAAGTCATGGCATCCCACGCTGCCATGCTTCTCGATCCTCGAGCGTACAAAAAAAAGCTACAAAAGAATGGTAAAGACCCGGACGCGTTTCCTTCATGGCCGGGGCTCTCCCACGACCCGCTTACTGGTCCCAATCTCCAAAATGAGCCATACTGTTCCCTTTTCTTGCCGTCTACACGGTGTCCCACTCCCACAGAGGATCCCGATGGTGTCAGTATAGATTGCTCACTTGCCCAAGGAACAGGCCAGCAGGGGACCAGCAACCAGCAGCGCAGTCCCGCTCCTCCCATCGCGCCGCCAGGAACTTCATCTGTCGCCCACCGTTTACTGAGCCCGCAGCGCCCTCGAGCCGCACAGCGCCCCCACTCAAATCCTCGATCGCAGAACCCTTCCTCCGGCGGATCGACTAGCACAACTTCCTCCCCACGGACTCAAGGCCAAATGACACCCGATATCGATTTTCAGTTTGCGAATACCTCGGGCTTAGAGATCGGCGACGGAAAGCGTAGCATGGATCTGATTGAGGTGGATGATGACGTCGTCTTGAGACACAACAACCTCATCGAGGATATGTACGGGGTTCAGCGACGGACCGGGATACCCTATAAGCGGTTGAAGGCGGACAACGATACAACTCGGAAAACCTCTATGGGACCAATATCGGGCAATACTGGGCTTGGGGAGTACATGAAGGAAGACGACGGGGAAAAGTCAAGTTCCACAGCAGTCACCCCGGATGTTGTGGACCTGACACTTGGTAAGGATCTGGGGATGGCATCGATCGGGATAAACGGACTAATGTGTTGCCTCAATAGACCCGACGGGAAGCAACGACGATGACGACCTTCAGGTCACCGGCTCGAACAATCTCAGCGTGCAGCGAGTGTGCTATGGGAAACTAGAAAATGCAATGATTCAGGCAACGCTGGTCCCTAAGCCAGATCCGAAGACACAATCTATCTTCGGTGACTCCGCCCACGACTGGCCGTCAATAAGGCTTGGAGTGCACCGACAGGCGGGCCAGGGAAATAATCGTATCGATGTTTCAGACCCGCATGGGAAGATGTTCGGTGCTGTTGATGCGAAAACCGCTGCTGTGATCGTGCCGCTCCTCGACTCGCCGGCAATGAAGGTCGATATCACCGCTCGACTGGACGTGCGGAAAAAGATGCCGTTCGAAGTCCCTTGGACCCCGTGTTCCGCACTTTACAGGGCGTCTATAAATCTGTACGGCCTTCGTCAAGATGTTGAGCGAGTTGGCAACCACCTTGGGCAAAACAATGTGTGGCTTGCAACGCCCTTCTCAGTAGAACAAGGAGTCCCTGTTTTCAACCCTCACGCCGAGAGACGTCGCCTTCAGCCGTCCTGGGCGCCAGCAGGGCTCCAGAGGAATCGGCCTGCGCCGCAATATGAAGTCCGGTCCACCGAGGAGGTTACCGATGCGGTTATGAAAATGTTTGATCAGCTTCAAAGCGCCGACAATCTTCCTGAAATGGAGCCTCCTTCTCTTGTCTTGACGCCTCTACTCCGCCACCAAAAGCAGGCACTTTGGTTTATGACGGAAAAAGAAAACCCGCGAAAGTTCGGACCCAATGAGGAAGACAACAACTCTCTATGGAGGGTGCAATATCGACCAAACGGAGCGCAGCAATTTAGGGAGATCATCAGTGGTACATTGATGGACCAGGAGCCGCCCCAGAGCTTTGGCGGCCTTTTGGCGGACATGATGGGTCTCGGAAAGACATTGAGTATCCTGTCTTTGGTAGTTTCATCACTTACCGCGGCGCGGCAATGGGCAAGCATGATACCGCCTCCTGAGCTCGTTCGTGACCAACCAGGGATTCGGAACACGAAGACAACTCTCATGGTGGTGCCGCTGAGCACAGTCAACAATTGGGTCACGCAGATAAAGGAACATCTACAAACCGATGCGCTTTCGTACTACGTTTTCCACGGGTCCGCCAGGACCAATAATGTCGACGAACTGTCCAAGTACGACTTGGTTATCACGACGTATAGCATCGTTCTGAGTGAGCTCCAGAGCCGCAGCTCGAAGCGAGCGGGTCTGAGCCCGTTGCTGAAGATGAACATGTTCCGCATAGTCCTGGACGAAGCCCATACAATCCGGGAGCAAAATGCAGCCCAGACCAAGGCAATCTTTAGGCTTCAATCGCAGCGACGCTGGTCTGTTACGGGAACGCCGATACAAAACCGGCTCGACGACCTCTTTTCGGTCACCAAATTCATAGGCCTGTGCCCGTACGATAACCGGAACCTATTCAATTTGCATATACTTAGCCGGTTCAAGACAGGTGACGCATCCGTCCTTGCTAGTTTGCGCGTGCTGGTCGACTCATTCACCCTCCGGCGGGTCAAGGACAAGATCGACCTCCCCACGCGCCATGATAAGATTATAATGCTAGAATTTACCGAATCCGAGCGCCATCTGCACGAGTTTTTCCGCAAGGAATCGAACGTTATGATGCGAGTTATTGCGGGAGAGGACAAGAATAAGATGAAGGGTCGAATGTATCATCACATACTGAAGGCGATGATGATTCTTCGGCAGATCAGTGCACACGGCAAAGAGCTCTTGGACAACGAGGAGAGGGCACGAATCAAGGGAATGAGTGCGCAGGATGCTATTGATCTTGAAGAGGGAGCCAGCGAGGGTGCGGGGGCAGCGGACAAGAAGGCATATGAGATGTTCACTCTCATGCAGGAGTCATCCGCCGACACGTGTGCCGTTTGCAGCAAACGTCTAGAGGAACCTAATGTGGAAACCAACGGAGCAGCGACTCCAAGCAAGTCAGCACCGATTGCAATCATACTACCTTGCTTTGATGTCTTATGTCCGGACTGCTTTTCTGGCTCACGGCAAGAATTTGAAAGGACTGGATCCCACGATATCAAGTGCAGTGTCTGCGATGGCTGGATTCCCGCATTGTACTCAACAATTACGACAGCCGGCCTCCAGGACTACCTGAACCAACAAGCCTACTCTAAGCAAAGCCGCAAGCAGGCCAAAACACTCGGTGAATATGAAGGCCCACACACGAAGACGAGAGCCCTCATTTCTCATCTTCTGGACACAGCTGAAGAAAGCTCAAAGCTTCCGGCCGGCGAACCCCCGATCAAAAGCGTGGTCTTCTCCGCATGGACTTCCCACCTTGACCTTATCGAAATCGCGCTTCGAGACAACGGCCTGACGAGCTTCACCAGACTCGACGGAACCATGACTCTAGCGGCACGGAACAAGGCCCTAGACAGCTTCCGCGATGACAACAGCATCACTATTTTACTTGCAACTATTGGTGCCGGCGGTGTAGGCCTCAATCTCACGGCTGCATCGCACGTCTATATCATGGAGCCGCAGTATAATCCGGCTGCTGTGGCACAGGCCATAGACCGAGTTCACCGTCTCGGACAGACTAGGGAGGTCACAACCGTGCAATTCCTCATGAAAGAAAGCATTGAAGAGAAGATCTTCGAGCTCGCAAAGAAGAAACAGCAGCTGGCTGATATGAGCCTGAGCCGGGGAAAGCTCGATAAAGCAGAGGTGCAGGAGAAGAGGATGCGGGAGTACCGCGGGTTATTCAAGTGATTTTTGTTTTATTTTTCTTATCCCCTCTTTCAAGGCTTGGTTTTGCTTATTTTCTCAGGTTTCATATTGCGTTTCGGGCTTGGGTTGGCGTCTTTACATTGATACCCGGGGTTTGGCTTTATATCATTACTCACCATCTGCTTTATCTTGTTTTATGTCTTTCTCTCTCATCTCAAATCATACCCCTTGCGTACCCCATTGCATCATGAACTAGAACTAAACTATTAAGAGACCCGACGCAAGTCATTGAGCTAATGAATTATATTCAATCGCTTTCAATTAATCTCGAATCAACCAACTCCCCTCTTAAAGACTATACAACCCCTCAGGCACTTCCTCCATAAATTCCTCCTTCCACAGCCCCTAACACCCCTTCAACCCTCCTTCTCAAAGCCCTCAGCTCCCTAACCCGCTTAGCCCTCTGCTCCTCCGCCCCCCTCAACTCCTTCTCAAGAGCTCGAATCCTCCCCTCCTGCTCCGCCTCCGAAGACCCCGTCCCAGGCAGCACCGAGACAAGATACTCAATCTGCTGCTCCTTGATAACTAAATCACGCGCAAGCTCGCGCTGCCTCGCCGCAAACGTCCTCGGCGAGTCCGGGCGCGGCGGGAGCGTCGGGTCCTCCCCCGTTCCCGTTCCTGGAACAGTTGCTATCGTAGGCCCCGGCGTTGTAGCTGTTGTTGCGCCTGCGCCGGATGGTGATGCTTGCGAGTTTGCGAGGATCGCGGCTGCGCTGGCGGGGATAGGTGGGTTTGTGGAGTTCTTTTGGATCTTTGCGAGTGCGGGCGCTGCGGTTGGATGGTCCGGGACTGTCGCAGGGGAGTTGTCGTGGTATGTTGTTAGGTAGCCGATTGTGGCATAGAATTGGGTTGCGAGCTGTGTTTTGATATTGTTGTTAGCATGGCTTGTTCTTGGTGAATTGGAGTTTGGAACAGTAGGGGGCTAACCTGGTCAAGGCATGTTTGGAGTTGGGTTAGAATGTCCGCCATTTTTTCCGGCTGGGTTTGTGTTGTGAAGGGAGGATTCGGTTAATATGGTGAGGTGAGTGTAGTTAGAAGTTGCAGCTGCAGATAAGTTGGAGATGAGGAGCAGGGGGAGCTTATCGATAGCGGGACTTTCGGGGCTACACCGCCCTGGAGCTAAGCTTAGCTCCGGCGATCGAACGCCCCTAACAAAAACTATCTATGTACTACTCCGCATCTCCAAACAACCCTTATCTTCCTCTTCGGTATCTCAACACCTTCGCCTTCGAAATGCAAGTAGGATACTCAAAAACATGAACCTCACGCGCCACCTCTTCTCGTCTCTCCCAACCTCCAAACCTCTCACCAACACGTCCTCAATCTCCGCTCTGACCCACCGCCTCTTCTCCCTCCCTCCGATCCCCGCATCGCCCTCATCCTCACACTCCTCCCTCTCTTCATTCCTCGACTACGCAGCCCGGACCTCCCTCCCCGAATCGACAACGACCTACCAAGGAACCCTCTACGAATACACTGTTCAGAAACACCTCCGCACCTCCGCGTTCTTACTGCACCGCGTTGGCGGCCGCTCAGATCTCGGCGTCGACCTCACAGGGACGTGGCATGTCGGTAGCAACCCGGTGACGGATCCGCCGGTACGAGTGGTTGTACAGTGTAAGGGGTTGAAGGCGAAGCTTGGGCCAAATGTTGTGAGGGAGGTGGAGGGGGTTGCGGGAAGGTTTATTGGACCGAGATCTAAATCTGCTGGTCCTGAGGGAGGAGGAGGGTATGCGGGGGTGGTTGTTAGTCCGCGAGAGGCGACGAGGGGGGTGCGAGAGGCGCTTGGAAGAAGCCGCATGCCGCTTGTTTGGTTGATGGTTGGGTGGGATGGGGTGTTGCGGCAGGCTCTTTGGAATGCGAGGGTTGAGAGCTTGGGTGGGGGGCTTGGTGGGCTGGGTGTTGAGACGGTTTACCGGGCAGCTCTTGGTTCTGGGAGGGCGTCTATCTCGGATTCGGCATCGGCATGTGGTGGAAACGGGCAGAGGCAAGAGGTTAGATTAACGTGGGAAGGGAAAGAGGTGAAGACGATGGACGAGGTTGAACACGGGATGGAACGCATGACAGAGGAGTGGATGGCAAAGTGGGATGAAGAGGGACTAGGAAATATGTCTCTAGAGAAGATCCTGGACGCCGTGGCGTTCGTGGCCCCGGGGACGAGGTCGATAATGATCTCAAAGGAAGAGAGGGAGATGGTCGCCAAGGCATTGCTGTCGACCTGATCTGCCCTCGTGTGCAATTTTTGCTTTGAATACTGTTTTATACCCCTTGCTAGATTTGTATAAAACATAATAGAATACCTTGAATGACAAGCCCTAGAGCTGAAAGGCCTTTACTTGCCCAGCATCCCCTCCACTCTGTTGCTGCCCCCCCGCCTTCCTATTCCCTCTCTAATAGATCCACATAAGCAACAACGTAACGGGAATCGATGCCGCATAGAGCAAAAGAATTGCCAAAAAAAAAGCCCTGGTATACCTCGGCGCATCCTCAGACCGAAACAACTGCTGCCCCGCAATAGGCCCCAGATTACTCCCAGTAACCACCAACGCAAGCCCCAGACTCCGTTGAGTCGCTGTCGTCGCATTGATATTCACCCACGCATCATTCAGCCCCTGCGCAAGGGCATTACCCGCGCCTAAGAGCGTAAAGACCGCATGCCGCGACCATTTGTCTGCCCCCGTGGGAAGGCCGAACAATGCACCGGCGAGCGCGATGGAGTAGACAAAGGCGAGAATACACCATGGTCCGCGGAGGTTTGTCCAATCGGAGCGATTGGCTGTAACAGTTGATCGCATCGGTGGCGCTTTGAGCAAGAATCGCGAGGTCATGAATTGATGGATCGGGGAAATGGCGAGACGGGTAGTAGAGAAGCACGAGAGCGTTATATAAGTTACCATTGAAGATTTCTGCTGGTGTTTAATGGGTTGATTGTTGTATTGGTGGAATGGTTGAATGCCACTCATGTAGGCGTCGTTGAACGCTCTCCCTCAATGTCCCATGAGATGCCGTGAAATTGGCCCGCCAGACATTGAAGCGTCATTGCTCACAGGGTATGCCTCTTCACAGTCTCCAATCCTGGGCTGACAGTTGGAGAAAGATGGAAGGATCGAGCCTGACATGGCAACTTGTATATGTATTACAAGATGCGTCACCTACTAGAACGCGCCCCACAAAATCAAAGGTGACAGATTTGAACTTAAAAGAGAGATTTAGTTTGTTACTTTCTTCTCAAGAGATCAAACATGATATTTTGCAGTATATTGAAAATGCATGGGTATCTATCCTAACCGTATTGCGCCAAAAACAACATCAAATCAACAGACCAAGTCATGCTAACCCTGCAGCGTCGACCAAAAGTAATTGGAGTAAAAGAAGCGCGAGAATTTCGGGTCCAAGTTGACAACATGCACATCGCCCTTACGACTGTTGCGAATAACAGCCTTGGTGAAATTGCCCGCCTCATCCGCCTCGATATCAATACCCAGAGCCCTGTAGATTTTCAATCGCAGCCTGTAGCGCCATTAGTTATACCCAAATAATTCCAATCCAGAGGAGAACGCACAGAATAGCATCGTCGGCCTCCCTTTCCCGCCTTGTTTGTTCGTCGCCCTCAACGCCCTGCGCTTCTAAATCGGCCAATCGCTCTTTTAGCATATCCAGCTCGCCTTCGAGTCGTTCACTCTCAATTTCTAGTTCCGACGCGGCCTTGGCGATGCGGAATTTCTTCGTGTCTAGCTCGACCATCGCGGCGGCGTGTTTGCTCGCGTCGTGTGCGGAGACGGCTTCGTCATGCTGGGTATTCAGGGCTTGGAGGTGGCGCGATAGTTTCCGGAGGGAGGATTCAGCTTCGCGCATGCGCAGGTCGCGGGATTGCTGGAGGGTTGCGAGGGAATCATTGATGCGGGAGACGGCTTGTTTGTCCGGTTGGATGTTGAAGTTGCCGATTGTGTGGTGGATGAGCTGCGTTGTTAGCGTGATCCTAACAGTGTTTGCGAGGGACTTACAGTTGAGGGGTTCTCGTCGAGTAACATGGTGACTGACTTAGTTTGACAGAGAGAGGAGTGTAGTTGTAGGCGCAAACGAAGCTATTCGCAGATCAAGATGAGGGGTATTTAAACCGTATTACGGATACCGTTGGGAGGGCAACGCCACAACATTAGCACGTGCACCGCCTCGCTGTTATGAAGCTGGCTGTTTTCCTGACATCACTCGTTGCAAATCAGTATTATTGCTTCAGATCACACAAGTGTTGTTGACCGGCTTTCTCACCAGCAACATGACTTCTTCAAACCTACCTTGTACGTGACTCTAAGCTGCTCGAGACTCCCAGAGCTGCCTACTGACCGAACGCAGATGCCGCAGACGCTGAAAGGTCTTTCGCAAAGCTACCACGGAGATACGCGAGCTAACTGCGTTTAGTCCGCTGAAGCCAGCAGAACTTCAGGTCTTACGCTCTCAATATGAAAAAGAAGGCGACTACGTCGGTGTCCAAACCAAGTTCAACTATGCCTGGGTATGCCCACCCCACCGCACACAAGGAAACCCGTATCTGGACGATCACTGATAGCAACTCAGGGCCTGATCAAATCCAACGCTCGACCCGAACAGCAAGAGGGCGTCCGTCTCCTCTCCGAAATCTTCCGTGCCGCTCCTGAACGCCGTCGCGAATGTCTATACTACCTAGCCCTGGGAAACTACAAATTAGGCAACTACGGAGAAGCTCGACGCTACAACGATCTCCTTATCGACAAGGAACCCGGCAACCTGCAAGCAGCTAGCCTCCGGACACTTATTGATGATAAGGTGAATCGCGAGGGACTTGTGGGGATCGCCATCGTTGGCGGGCTGGCTCTCGCCGCGGGGGTGGTCGGGGGTATGCTGTTCCGGGGACAGCGACGATAAGTGGAGGGTCATATAGGTGGTGGAGCTGTATATATCATGACGACGATGACGATGATACCGTCTCTTACTCTTCTCTCTGCGCTCGCGTTTACGTTTGTTTGTTTGGTCGTGTGAGTGTTTGCGGGCTGTTAGCATGTCATACATGGATATTCTTGGCGTTTTCGACAAACGAGAGAAGCTGCAAATAATAATATAATCATGTACTTGAACTTCAAGTATCCGAGTCCGAGTCTTCTTTATGAGTGTTACAGCAAAGCGAGTCTCTTTCATCTATTGTGCAAGTGTACGTTGTAAAGCTGGACTGCGCCACATCCGAGGCTAGGTAACGTCATCTAAATGCTCCGTTTTGTCTCCATCTTTCTTTGAATTCCCCATTCATCTCTGACTATATATTTGACCCTGTCCATTTTGGCCTTAGACTTGACTTTGCGCCTTGTACAGAGCTTCACAGCTGTACAGCAAAATGGCCCTATCAGCTGGTGCTTAACCAGCGTCTAAACCACGAACACCGCCGTTGCTGCTTGACTGAGACATCATCAAGAGCTCGTTTCACCCCCCTCTTCACTGAGAGCCTTGTGTCTCTCTCGTTGTCGCCTAAATCTACCCTCCGTCTCCTTTCATCCATATTTCACCCATACCATCCCATCATGGCCGACGCTGGTTCGGAGGAAGATCGCATGACCTGTCACGCCTGTGGCCAAGTCTGGCTTCGGCGCACCTCGCATGGTCAAGAATGTCCGTACTGCGGCTCCGACTTCACAGAGATCGTGTGTACTCCTTAATTCTCCATGACCGTTCGAAACTAACATGCGCAGATTGAAATACCTCCTGATACAGATCCCGAACCTGAATCCTCACACCCCGACCCTCCCGAAACGTTCCCAGGCTACCATCGATCGCCTCCCCCGCCGCCGGTCAATCCTTGGGCGGATCACAACCCATGGGCGCATATTGACGACGATGATATGACCGGATGGGACTCAGGACCTAGAGTCACCCATCGATCTTTCCGGTCCCCCAACGGCTCGTACATATTCCATGGCTCAATTCGAACTGGCATGCAACCCCGCCCCCGCAGAGTGCCAGGCGTGCAGCGGGACCGAGATTTTGATCCGATAATGCGGGACATGGAACAGTTTTTTCAGAGCATGCATGAGGCCGACCGGGACCGTGCTTCCCGCGCCCAAGGTCCTGGATCGGCTCCTGGGGAACAAACTGCTTTTGACTCTGCAAATCGGCCAATGCCCTATCCCCGGGGTGGTCTGTTCCCTCGTAATGCGGACGGACCCCAGCCAATGGGCTCGCCTTTGGGGAGCCTTAGCAAGTACGTATCCTCTCTGGATCCCACGTCTTTGATACAACCTTTCTAACGGATGTAGTCTAATTGATCTCCTGCAAAATATGAACCCTCAGCAACAACAACAACCGGGAGCGCCAAACATTCGCATCATGCCCGGAGGCGCACCGCTAGCACTCATTTCAGCTTTACTGAACATCTCACGCAACGGTGACGCAGTTTATTCACAAGAAGAATTAGACCGGGTCATATCCCAGCTCGTAGAGCAGAACAACCACAGCGCAGTCCCGCCAGCCGCACAAGACGCTATTCAAGCGCTCCCCAAGAAAGCCGCAGATGCAGAGCTCCTCGGCAGCGAGGGCAACGCTGAATGCTCAATCTGCATGGACTCGGTCAAGATCGGGGACGAGGTCACCGTGCTCCCGTGTACACACTGGTTCCACCCGCAGTGCATTGAGATGTGGCTCAACCAGCACAACACCTGCCCGCACTGCCGACGCGGAATCGACCCGAGCACGACTCCCGATGCGAATGCGACAAACACGGCGCCGTAAGTGCGCATTCATTGCAACCCAGTCATTCAGTTTTATAGGCATGCCTGCTAGAATTGGTCGCTGATGATCGCTTTCACTTCCGTGCAGATCCGCGGGGACGTCGGGCTCTGCGTCTGGACGGACTAGGCGCTCGAATTCGATATCCGGCTCCAGCGCTCATCAGTCACATACCTCGGATGAAAGTCGGAGGTCGTCACGGAGCAGTCGTGGCGAGGGGTCTGGGGGGTGGGCCGGATGGGTACGCAGTCGATTAGGCGGGGGAGGAGGTGGTTAGGTAGTATACTTTTGCCCCATTGTTCATCAACCTTTTTCTTGCTTCTTACTTTTTTGAACATGTTGGTCAGCCTAGGCGCAGCATAGACGGTCCCGTATCTACAAGAACGGGCCCACGACTTTATGATTAGGTGGTCTGTAAGTATGCTTTTTAATATATGAAACCATGAATATACCAAATTTTTCTACTTGAATGAAACAGTCCACATATATAGAATCAAAACCTAAGTTTAGCTCTCGAGCTATTTCGCCAAACTGTCCGCATTCCCGTCTTGTTTTAATATATGATGATAGCAGACTTGACCGTTCTTGCGTCTTCAGCGCCTTGGATCGATATAATATATACAATCTCCACAAAAAGAACGGCGTCTTGGAAGCATTGGAACCTTGTATAGATGTAACCCATGTCATCGAGAGGGCGTGCAGTGGTAATGCCATGCGACATGAAGCCTCACTTCCTAAACACTCGTCTGTAGCACCTCATCTAGGCGAACTGAGAGACATTCGAACGTACAAGTCAGATCAAACTTGCTGGACATGTACGCCCTAGGCCGTCTCAGAGTGGAGAGAACTATAAATACCCCCACCAACCCTAGTACAATCTGATAATCAGCTTCGATTTCTCCAACTCACCTCCAACTCACCTCTAGAGTCCAACTTACGTCCAACTCCTTCCTCCACCCCCGCCCTCAAACCCCGCGGTACCAACACCCATATCCATACCCGCGCCATGAAGACCCTCTTCCGCAACGGCGTCATCACCTCGTCGGCACAGCCGACGGCTACAAGCCTCGTAATTGAAGACGATCGTATCATCTACGTCGGTTCCCAGCAGGATGCGCCGCCGGCTGATAAGCAGATTGATCTTGCTGGTCGACGGGTGTTGCCAGGGTTTATAGATGGGTATCTACCACTTACTTGCCTTCCCTCCCCTTCTTCTCTATCCACTCGCAAAACGTTCAAAGACTAATCATGTAAACAGGCACATGCACCTTCTTCTCTTCGGGGCCTCGCTCTCGAAAATCGATCTGAGCCCATGCAAATCGCTCGCGGACATCCGCAGCACGATCAAGGCCGGCGCCGCCGCGCGCCCCGACGCCCCGCGTCTCTTCTGCAGCGGCTGGATGCACAGCATGACGGACAACAAGGCGCTAGCATCCATGCTTGACGACCTCGACCCGCGGCCCATCTTCATCGACGCCAAAGACCTCCACAGCGCATGGTGCAACTCTGCCGCGCTCGCCGAGCTCGGCGTTACGGCGTCGACCCCGGATCCAGAGGGTGGGTCGATCTCCCGCGATGAGGCGGGGAATCCGTCGGGGTTGCTGAGTGAGAGTGCGGCTGTGACGATTGTCTGGCCGCATGTTGCGAAAGTTGCTACGGCTGAGGAGAAACGGGGGTTCGTGCGTAATGCGGTGCGGGCGTATAATGCGGCCGGGTACACGGGGATGGTCGAGATGGCGACGGACGAGAATATCTGGGACATTGTCTGTGGCTTGCGTGAGAGCGGCGAGGAAGTACCCATTCGGCTGGCGATGCATTGGATCATTACGCCTGCGGTGACGGAGGAAGGCGTCCTCCGCCAGGTTGATCGCGCGATCGAACTGCACAAAAAATACAACAAGGCCACCTCCCCGGACTTTCGCATCGCGGGGATAAAGATCATCTGCGATGGCGTCGTTGACGCATGCACGGCCGCGCTGCTCGAGCCCTACTCGCACAACACCGATACCTCGATAAACGCTTCACCTCTCTGGGACCCTGCCCTCCTCCGCGCAGCCGTACAGCGCGCCGACGCCGCTGGCCTCCAATGCGCGCTGCACGCCATCGGCGACGCAGCGGTCCGCCTGGCCATCGACACGCTCGAAACCATCGCACCAACAGACGGCACATGCAAGCGGCACCGCATCGAACACCTCGAAGTCACTTCGCCCACGGACGCAACCCGCCTCGCAGCCCTAGGCATAACAGCAAGTATCCAGCCCGTACACGCAGACCCAGCGATCCTACGCGCATGGCCACGCCTCCTCGGTCCCGAGCGCGTAGCCCGTGCATTCGCATACCGCGAGTTCCAGGAGAAAGGCGCGAAGCTCGCGATCGGTACTGACTCGCCGACGGCTCCGCACCTCCCATTCCGGAATCTGTACACGGCGACGACGAGGCGGTCGGCGAGGGAGCCGGAGTCGACGGAGACGGTGAATGAGGGGTTCAAATTGGAGCTTGCGCAGGCGGTGCAGGGGGCGACGTTGGGATCGGCGTATTCGTGCTTTGCGGATGACGCAGTGGGATCGCTGGAGGTGGGGAAGAAGGCGGATTTTGTGGTTGTTGAGATGGAGTGGGAGGACAATGGTGAAAGTCTGCTGGATGCGAGGGTTGAGCAGACGTGGTTTGGGGGGAGACAAGTGTTTGGGGAAATCGCTTAGGTCAGGACTGTGTAACAGTATCGGGTTAGGTGGCTGAGATTGCTCCGTTTTATTCCCTATGGTAGCTTGAGGACCCTATGGCCTGTATGCCATTGAGTTGATATCAAGGCCTGTGGAAGGAGGAGCAGGATCAGGAGGGACTCTTTCCCTGTGGCCAAGAAAGTGGTGTGGAGGTCATTTATTGTCTAAGAGACAAAATGATACTCTACCTTATAGAGAGAAGAAAAGAGAAAGTAAATGACTAAACTTTACGATTCACACTAGATACAGAGCACAGTGGAAAGATACAAGATGCCAAAGCCCATAGAAAGCCAATCAACCTCTTCAGATCACAACCACACCCGGTCAAAGCATCCTTATCGCTTATTGCTTGGATTCAGAGATCGATGTGTTGTTCATGGTTCATTTACCGCTTTCCCTTCTTCCGAGGCGCAACAACCTTGAATGCAGCACTGCTGGTATCCTCCTCACGAGGCGTGGATGATCCCTTCTTCGCAACCTCACTCCATCCACCTCCATTATTCTGCTCGAGCGCGGTGGTCGAAACGGACTCTACGATGCCCTTGTCAGCGAGCTTGCGCCGGCGGATGAACTCGTCAGCGAAGCGGCGGCCGTCAAGGGTCTGGGAGTTGGCGTAGACGGAGTCAGAGATGATCTCTGCCTCAGCAGGGAGGAGGAGGAGTTGCTGGACGAAGTCGTCGACTGTCAAGATAATTAGTTTGGATTATAGATTATCAGGGTGAAAAGTAATGAATGAGCATACCGTTGATGTTGCTGTTGAGACCCTTGCCCAACGTCACTCTGGACCACTTGGTGAACTCCTCCATGGCGCGGCTGGGGTTCGCAGATGGGGTGCTGACGGGTAGGGCTCGGGGAGCTGTCGTAACTGCAGTCACGGGCTTGGGACGAACTGGCGATGCGGCAATGGGAATCGGTCCGCTGGTCGAGCGGGGTCCAGTGGGTGCAACAGGGGGTGCCTTGGCCTTGCCGCTAGCACCGACAGTTGTCCAGGCACCTGTGCCAGCGCTGACAGGGGATGCGGCAGCAGGGACTTTGCTAGCAAGATCGGCGTAGCGCTTTCCAGTAGAAGAAGGCGCAGGTGGGGGAGCCGCAGCATTCTGAGATGCGATCGCTGCCGCAGCAGCTGCAGCAGCGCGCTGCTTACGGGCTTCCTCTTCCTTCTGGATCTGAGCTAGGGTCTTCTTTGTGGAAGTGGTGGTTGTAGTAGCGCCCTTGGCGCCCCAAACCGAAGCGGAAGACGTAGGAGTTGCAGGTGATCCGGAACTAGCCCAGTTGGCAGAGGATGGGAGACCGGGGGCTTGCTGCGCCTGAACCTGGCTGAGACGTTCCTGTTCCGCAAGCAGCTGAGCGCGGCGAGCGGCTGCTGCAATTTCTTCTCTCTCCGCCGCACTGCGTGCTTCAGCTTCTTGAATCTCCTTGAGAGAAGGACCCTTGGGCAGTTCGTTCACTTCCTTGGCCCATGGCGCAATCGAAGTAGTGGGAGCCTCGACGGGCGTCTGAGTCTGGGATCGCGAGTTGGCAGCAAGGGATTCGGCAACGTTCTGGCGGTTGCGCTGTGCGGCCGGAGCGGGGAGGGGCGAGGCAGAAGGTGGGGGAGGGAATGGCTGAGGCATGGCCGAGTCTTTGGCAGCCCAAGCGGCGTCGCTGGAAACTTGAGCTTGGGCTTGAGCTTGAGCATGAGCCTGAGCCTGGGCCTGAGCCTTCTGCTGCTCCTGGTGCTCCTGCTCCTGGGCGGCCTTTTGAACCTGCTGGGACAGTGTAAGAACGGGCTCCTCGGTCACAAGTAGGGTTGCAGCCTCCTCGAGAGTCTGCTCGAGACTTTCCGGCTGAGTTGGCGCGGCGGCGGGATGAGTGGGCAAACCCTCGGCGGTGCGCAGACCAAATTCGCCTTCCTGAGCTCTCAGCGCATGAAACTGACGGAGTCGTTCCTCGCGGGCCTGCTGATCAAACAAGCTATCGCCGTGGGTGGCGTCGAACTGCTCTTGTTCCTGCTGCAGGCGCGCGCGGTCTTGAAGCATGGAGGCTACCTGCGGGTTCTGAAAAAGGTTGTCGCGCGCGGAAAAAGACGTCGGACTGCCAAACGCGAAAGGGTCGCGGGGGTTGTTCACGTTCAAGCGATCAAGAAGCGTAGGGAGCTGATCTTGACTGGTGTTTAAAAAATCGGTTCCGATCATCTGAGGGCCAACGTTGGGTAAAGGGTTTGATCTCAACGGGCCTGCGGCGTCGAAAAACCCAGAGCCGGAAGGTTGGTGTTGTTGTTGCTGTTGCTGTTGTTGTTGCATGGGACCTTGAATAGGGGATGGTTGAAAACCAATCGGTGAAGTGATGCTGCCGAAGCTGGGTTGGCTGTGAAGGCTATGGGCACTGGAATGGTGTTGGAGTTGGGGAGGGTGAATGCCATGGGGAACTCCGCTGGGAAATGTCATTTGCTTCATCAAAGCCTGCTGCTGCGCAAGATGCTCCTTCTGCCGAGCCATCAGATATTGCTCCTCTTGCTTCCTACGCTCGAGGGCATTCTGTTGCTCGGCAGTCAGAGTAGTGCCAAAGCTAGGGAAACTTCCAGGGAATGGAGGCTGCGCGTTGCCTGTAGTTGCCTGTCCCCAGTTGCTTCCAGATGGTTCAGGTCCGTGGGGGACGCCAATCTGCGGAACAAGGAATGGCTCGCGGGAGTTCCCAATGCGCCGCACCAGTTGCGCCAGCGGCTCGAACTCGGGGTCTTCTAGCTTCCTAATCTGAAGATCCGGGCTGAAGAAGCCGGCCTTAAACCAATCGTGCATCTCCAGTCCGGTCCAAGGACCCTGGATGTTGCCTTGAGGGTCGCGGTAGATCCAGCGCATGCGATCTGGCATCACCATGGTTCGCTGCTGAGCAGCAGGGACGGAGCCACCAGCGCTGCCAGGAGCCTGGCCCTGTTGACCTTCAAGACCAATGGAAGTTGGAATTGAACCGACAGCGGAAACAGGTGTATGAGACGCAGACGTAGTCGCAGGAGCAGGTTGGCCGGAAACGTCTGCTTGAATGTCGGGTTGCTGCGTCTCCTCCAGACTACCCAGATCCTGCCTTTGCTCGCTCTGGATCTGGTCCTGCATGGCCTGCGGGAAGAGAGAACCCAATTTGCTGGAGCGGCCAATGCTTCCAGTTCCCGAAATCCCAGCATGGGGACTAAAGAGTCCACCTCCGCCCAGCGTCGATAGACTCGGCGACTGAAGGTCAGCCATGGAGCCGAAGATCGGGTCACCGAAACCAGTCCCGAATGCAGACCTTTCCTTGGTAGGAGTACCAACTGCCCCGCTTGACGGCCATCCTGAGGTGGTACTAAGCGAGGGGAGCCCACCCAAAGCACCTAGGTTGCTGAAGCTTCGGTTTCCTGCAACGCTGGAGGCTTGGCTTCGATCAACCGCCGAAGGCAGATCCATACCAGATCCTACACGACGGATAGAGCCAAATGCACTCGAGTCACGTAAGCCACTAAGCCCGGGGTGATTTGTGTTCTGAATGTCGGAGCCATCGGTGTCTACGTCGTCAACGTCTCCTCGATCACCGTGGTGAGGACTCTGGTAGGGGTTCGTATTAGTCGGGCTGGTAGGTTCGCGGCCTTGGAGGTTCGGAGTCGGGTTGCGCGAATTTTCGTGGCTCTGCATCAATTCACGGAAGCCAGGGATGCTAGAGGTCATGCCGAACGCAGAGAAGCCCCGTTGATCCGCCGCCTGGGAGGGCGTGCTGACATCCTGGGATCCTCCCAGAGCCGCGCTTCCGCTGCGAGGCTCGTCCGAGAATGGGTTCGTTTCGCTGCGGCCAGTGCGCGTCTTAAAGGTTTCGCCCCACGGTGATTGCGATCGCTTCTCAGCCTCGCTCTCACCCAGACGTTCCAAGTTGCTCAATGACGGCTTCTCCTTGATCGACGGAATATCCTCCAAGCTATCTTTGGAGAACAGCCCCTTCAGACGACTCTCACCACGCAAGCTGCCATACCCGGGTCTCTTTTCAGTCGTCGGCGTCTGCGCAGCACTGCTATTGCCCAGAGAGAAGGCTCCAAAAGTTCCCATTGGCGAGTAATTCGCGCTCTGCGAAGCTGGTGGCCACGGAGAGGTTGCACCAGGCAATCCCACCGGGTTCGTCGAACTACGCTTCAAGGAACCAAAGGGAGAAGGAGCCTCTGCAGTTTCCCGACATTGGGATTCCTTTTCCTTCTCTTCCCACTTGGAGACGGATGTCGAATCTCGAAAATCGGTCTTGCGGCGCAGAAGTGACGGAGGTGGTGTCGCGGTATTCGGCTCGTCACGGAAGAATCGGGAGCCACCAGTCGTGGGCGACATGGGGTTCGTAGTTGAATCGCCGGTTTCGCGACGTCGAGGCCCGGGTCTTACGGAACTGGGAGAGGAAGTGTTGTAAGGGTTCGGGTTGCCCTGAGTGTAGGAAATCGAAGTTCTGCGTCCTGGTCCGCCGGTACCAGTGTTTTCCTTGGAGGCATTTGTTGGTGGCGGCTTCAGCGGGGAATTGACCGAGATCGAAAATGTCTACACAAACTCAGCACAGCTCCGACTCGACAAGGAAAGGGCAAAAAAACAAACCTCCTTCTCATCATCAGTCATATCCACCAACCCCAAAGGTTCAACGTGTCCACCATGATCCCAGCACACCTCGGGTCCAGATGGATTATCCTTGTGGTCGTCCCGCTTCCCCCAAGCTCCATTCACCGCGGGCGATTCGATATGCGGATTCCAATCGGCGACAAAATAATCCGTGACATTCTTAGTCAAAATCCCGGTATCCCGCTGCGCCTTATACAGATCGAGAAGCTGTTCTTTTGAGTAGCGTGTATCGGTGGACGCTCCGTTGCGTGTCACGTTGGAGGAGAGATTTGAAGACATGTGCGAAGGATAGGCACCGCCGGTCGGAGTCGTAGCGGAAGTCGGCTCTCGAGTGTGAGAAGGATTAGTGGCAACTGAGGGACGGCGGAAGGTTTGTGTTGCTCCGTTCATGCGAGGGCGAGGCCTGACAAGTGCGGTTAGTCGACAACCAAAATTTGTGTTGTGATATTGCAGCTGTGAGGAGCGCGATAGCAGAAGCAAAATAGCCAAGGGTGGCATACCATTCCCCACTGGTAGTTCCATCGCCTCGTCTGCTCGAGGAGTCGGGGTTGTTGCCAGCGGCGGCCGAAGCGAAACTCGAAGGGAGTGGCGTCGGCATTATGGCGTGAATGGTTTGCTAGGTAACAAAAATAGGGAGCGAGAAGATCGGTGGCAGAGAGGAAGGAGAGGCAGGTAGCAAGAGTTTGAGCTATACCACGGTGAGAGACTGCCACGAAAGCAATGTTGCAAGTGTTGTTGGAAGCGAGTCGATTTCACGGACGTGGGAATGACAAGGGCAAGGGTAGAGGTCCGCAAGCTGGACGGGACCGGGGGAATTCAGCGAGCAGGGAGAAAGAGGGAAAAGTAGGTGCGACAAATTCACGTACCTTGTGTAGCAAAATGTGCTGGACGCTGGTAGCGGGAGGGATGAGGTCAAAGTCGAGACGAAAGAATAACGCTAGACGATCCAAGTCAAGATCAGAAGAAGATCTGGAGAGGCTCGAGAGTTCCTGAGAAAAATGAAGAGGCTGCGGCGAATTAGCTGGGGCCGTGGCATTACCAGCGAGAGTACCATCGACGTCACGTATTATACTCTCCGCAGGGCAACTGATCGCGAGCCTGCCCCAGCCGGAGATGTTCGACCTGAATATTACCTAGGTACCACAGAACACACACACACACACAAACTACCCTTCTTCGGTAACGGTGCTTTGCGAGCACCACCAACCATAATGAACCTCCTGGAGTGCACCTAAGGGGGTTTCATCATCTAGGATCAGGAGAAGTTCCCATGTGTCCAATTTGAACTTTATATGAGACTTGGAGTGTCAATTAGTCTCGAGCTCCCCTGAGCCTTGGGACAGTGCGTGGCCCAAGTCTTCAGCCAAACCTAGATGACGGTAATGCCACGCTTCGCAGCCACTGGTGCAAATGACAAACGCTTCAAGTTCTTTTCTCGACGAGACTCTTGTCCTGCTTTCTTGTTGTTGTTCTTTTTGTCAAGAGCATCGAGGTACAAAGCGAAGGCCGATCGGGCAATTGTTTGCTCGGGCCAAAATGACCATCATGGCTTCATCTCAAACTACTTGGAGCCTACACTGATACGGCAGGAATGGTTGTATTGGCATTCAACTGGGAGTTTCAAGTTGTTTCACTCGTGGCCATGAGCAACTTGTGATATGATCATAACCATTGAGCCAGCTTGGTGGTGAACCTGGATGGCTGCAATACTCAAATCTCGAAAGAGGGGAGACCGTTGAAGTACAGCCTGCAGCCTTGTTTTGTGTACTTCGGACTAGAACCGGAGAATCCAGCATCATCGGTGCTGCGAGAAGGTCTGGAATGCATTCGACATACTGCCCCCACAATTCACCCCAGCCTCGCTCTGTAGTCTGTACACCTGCGATGTGCAGGTTACCAGGCGTCAGTCCAATTTCTTCTGCCACCCTTCATTGCAAACTGGACTTGTTGGGCCCACGAAGGCTGAAGCCTGTTGAAACGGCCGCGATCAACGTTGCGTTGCAGGAGGTCCCCGTACCTTTAGAATTGCATCCGCAGCGACCAGGATAGCCCTGTTATCCCTTGACGGGGCAGTGCATGAGCGCTCTTTCGAACATGGGGCAGTAGGATCTGAGATGCGGGATACGTCAAGTAATGGTTGCTCAATGTGCAAGGTATCTTGCCATTTCATTGTATAGGTAGCGCCACAAGAGCCTAGCCGACGGTGGGATATGGATTCTCTTCTCGCTTCAATTTCCGCCTCGCGAGCTGTCGAGAAACATCCCTTTTGTGCTCTGGAACCTGTCGAATATGTCCCTATCCAGCTGTCGCGCGAGGTGGGCGGCCGAATATTCTAGACGGGTCCCATGTTTGCTATCTGTAGTACGGAGCTGGGGACAAGGCGCGAGGAGGGAGGTGATATCTCCACAGATCCAAAAACAAGCGGAATAAATACTGGACATATTCGAGGCCATCACCTGGCAGGTCCGTCTCCATTCCTGGGTAACTGTGTCGACTCAGCTAGACTTTTCCTGTTTTGTCTCGTCAATCATGCCTCTTTTCTGCACCTCCAAAGTGAAAGCCAGCAAAAACTTCCCATATTCCTGGTACTGGGAGGGCAAGCCCCTTCGCACAGGGTACAAGCGAGGCGAGTTCATCACTGAAGTGCGTACCAACTTCTGCCCCCAACCGCGCGGTCGATTCGGTGCGGCGAGGTGCTATCCAGAGCAAGGGCACAGCCACTGCAAGCCCAATTATCTCTGTCGCTGCATTTGCGAGAAGATTAAACGCCGACAACATTATTGCTTCTCGAGCAGTCGTCAATATCCCCAAGCGTCATATCCGTGCTGCCCGCCCGAAGGCTTGAACCAGTGCCAACAAGAGTGGTGTTATCAGCCTCGGTGCTGTCGTTGATGGAAAGTCAAGGCAAATCCGTCATCATCTGCTTTCAATTCCTGGTGTCGCGTCATCGATTACACCGTGTGCGCTCCGGAGTATACAACGATGTAGGAGACGTGGGGAAGCCGGTCAACCGAGGCAAGCACATCCGGAGAGTCCACATATGGCCTCGCTTCTCTTCGTTCAGAGTTTCCTGGCCTGGTCTAAGTACATAGTCAATTGCAGTGTTGCTCAAGGGCTTTGCGCGATTGAAGCTTGTACCAACGTAAAAAGGCCCTCTCGTGAGTTGTTTCCGGTCGCCGGCCAGCCTCGGTTATCGATAACCGCAAGCATTCCCCGCACGGCGACTTTTTGATGATGTGATATTATTTCAAATCCGACATCAACTTGCCAGCTCAATTGCCATCTTTATATTCCCATCGATATTGGACGCTGCATCAGAAGAAGCAACAGACACTCTCACTCCACCATGTCGAAAGCAGTCTTTCTCGGCAAAGCTGACGGTACGCCCGGCAAAGTCTACTACCCCCTCGCCCTGAAGACACTGCCCCAACCTACCCCACAGGGCTCGGAGCTGCTAGTGAAGTTATCGGCAGCGGCACTCAATCATCGCGAGGTTTTTCTGCGACAACACTTGTATCCCGGCTTGACATTTGACGTGCCTCTTGGCGCGGATGGAGTCGGCACTGTCGTCGGCGCAGGTCCTGGTGTGACGAATGCTGGGCAATGGCAAGGGAAGCGTGTCATTCTGAACCCCGGTATTGGATGGAAAGACTCTCTTGACGGACCGGAGGATCCTGCAGGCTATAAGATCATGGGAGGGACCAAGTTCTATAACAAAGGAACTTTGCAGGAGTATATCACAATTGAAGAATCAGAGGTTGAAGAAGCTCCTGAACATCTCTCAGATGCGGAAGCAGCTGCTCTACCTCTTGCGGGCTTAACAGCTTGGAGAGCTACAGTAGTCAAAGCTGGGGAGCGGAACACAGGCAAGGGAGCTGCAGTGTTGATCACAGGCATTGGCGGGGGTGTTGCGCTGTTTGCACTGCAATTTGCTGTTGCCCAGGGTGCAGACGTCTATGTGACCAGCTCCAGCGAGGAGAAGATCAAAAAGTCCCTCGAGCTAGGAGCCAAAGCAGGAGTGAGCTATAAGGAAGATGGATGGGAGAAGAAGCTTCTAGGCTTGCTTCCCAAGGGCAAAAAGAACTTTGATGCCGTTATCGACGGTGCGGGAGGTGACTCCATTGAGAAGTCGGTCAGGCTGCTCAAGGTATGGTATTACTGTATCTCGATTTGCTCTCTGAGGTCTTTATTAACAACACGCAGGCCGGTGGTGTGCTCTCCATATATGGAATGACAGTATCTCCAGTTATGCCCTTCCTGATGCAGGCCGTCCTGAAGAATATCGATGTTCGTGGTTCGACAATGGGATCTCGCAAGGAGTTCAAGGATATGGTGGATTTCGTCAAAACACACAAGGTCCGCCCTGTAGTCTCTCGCGTCGTGCAAAGTGACTTGAGCGATATCGCGGCGCTCGACGGACTGTTCCAGGACATGAAGGAAGGGAAGCAATTTGGGAAGTTGGTTCTCGAATTCGGGAAGTCTTCGGGGAGTAAGCTCTAGATCCGGGCACGCGTCTTGACCTGTCTTGTATAGCGGAATAAGTCAGCTTCGAGGTCTGAGGAATGTAGTGACATGGCTTGCTCTTTCCTCACGCCGACCAGTCGCTCTTTCCTTGCCTGTGTAGTGTGCGCCGGTATCACCACCGCGACTCGGCTCCCTCCAGTCAGTATGATCACGCCTCAAGAATCTTCATCATTCTTTAGCAATCGCGGCAGTTATTACCTTATTTTATCGAACAGCGAGTCCATTCATTGCTTCATTGTCTCCGTTCCCACGATAGTCTCCCAAGCCGCCACCATGAGTGCGGGCGTCGTTGAGAGGTTCGGTCCTGGCATGTCCTTCTATCGCTCACAGATCACGCCGTCTCGGAAAAAGGCAAAGCAGGAAGAAGCCTCGCTAAGGGTGCGTTGATGCTCGGCTGGAGAGTCTCGGTTTAGGCCGGAGTCATGCTGAACTAATACGGTTATTTAGAGATATTGCGCGGCATTGAGGGACTTGACCACAACTAATCGACTCCTCGAAAGCAAGGTGAAGCGACTGTGCTCAGAGAGCTTCAAGCTCAACCTTGACGTGACGACACTTCAGCGTCACATGCATGCCTTTTACGGCGATCTCCTTGTAACATGGCAGGCCGACATCCTTACCCGTTTAGTCGAGGTTATCTACGAAAACCATGGCTGGAAAATGCCTGGGGGAGTTCTGGTTGGCGACCACAGTAACATGGATCGGGACACACTTACAAGAATCTACCTGTCGGCAGCAAAGAAGATCAAAAAGGAGACCGTGACGAAGAAGGCGGTTGGCCTCTCGGAGCAGTACTACTCCGCCCTGCAGAGGTACGATGAAGTAAGTCTTCCAGCAACAGACCATTCCCTCCTCAGTCCTGACCCACCTCCTAACACGGTCAGGTCGTTCATTTACGGAGTACGGACCCTTATCGAACGGAATGTAATTTCGCACGGTGGCTCGCATCGAAGAAGTCCGCGCGGCCGGGGATGTACCACTTCTGGGGCAAGCTGTTCCCAGTGTGCTATCGACGAACAGTTCAGGAGAGCTCTGAGATTTTCTGAAGCAGCCATCTGGGCTTTGTCCGGCCTATTGCGAAATAGAGCGTGGAGCATCTGGCAGAGTTGCTCTTTTGAGACGAGGATGTGAGACATGGCAGGAACAGACGAATAATCTCGAGAGGCACTCCTCCATCGTCAGAGGCTTGAGGGAAGATACCGTTACTGGCGGATTCCTGGTGAAGAAATGGCAGCCGCTCAATCCTTGTTTTCTTCGCTAACTCAGCTGTGGGAGTGATGATCGTGTGGTATTGCTGTCTCTGACTGGCTATGTTTCTCTTATTTTCGGTGACCGCACACTTCAGTCGGCCTTTCACTTGCCCTGGCCCTATCATGCAGGAGAACAGAATGGGGCCTTTTTGATCGCATAGGTACGCCACGAAAAGGGGTATTATTTCCCTTAGCAGGCTTGTTGGGGTGCTGCTGCGAGGTTCAACGGCCGCCATTTTGAGAGCCGCTTTGTACTGTAGATTGTAGATTAGAGCGGGTATCAGAGCATCTGAGAATGGAATGGAAGAAACATGCCTGTCCTGCTCATGTCCGTCATCTGCCTCTCACTATTGAAATGAACACACCGCAGAAAGGTGCAATCCTGAGGCGGGATTATGAATCATAAAAGATGAAGCCGTTGCCACCACCCACGAGCGCCATCTCCAGCACCAAGAAAACGTCGCACCGGAACAGGCCAATCAACAGGCCAAGGGCTATCAGATTGGAGTCAAGAGAGCGACTAGCAGACCTTGACTCCTGGAACTAAGTCGGAAATGCCCAAACCGTGAAGAAAAATCACGGAAGTTGAGCGCCTCTAATGTCCACGTTTTCCCGCAATGCGATATATATCTGGCGCTAATCAAGGAACAAAATTGGCGACGACTGGTAGATACTACCACGACTAGATACTTGGGTATGGAGTAACGGGGAAAATCTGGCTCAACGATTAATCTACTTGATATTTGCCTCAGTTGGAGACCATGCTGCATACCACTACCGAGATTGGGTGCTCACGGTGTCGAGATTGGAGTCTCGGAAATTGTATACCAGGGTATTCCCCAGCCCGGTCGACTCGGATAAATTCGATGAACCGATACACCGAGTACACATCTAGATAGTACGTATCATTGAGACAAGAAGTAAAAATAGCCCAACTCAAGCTGAAGCTCGAAACTCAGATTGGGTTCTACGCACTATTTTCTCACCCGGGAGATCGATGGACTGTGGACCACGGCGTTGGATAAAGGGTGGTGTGCATTGTGGTGACTGCAGGACCCAGGTGCCAAAGAGGCAGGGCAATCCTATCCTATCCTATTCTGTCCTATTTTACCTAACCCCGTCACGCTATGCTTTAGCCTTTCTCTAGACCCCAAGGACCAACCTTGAAGGGTTGATCCAAGGAATGGTCGCGCGGTCAAAGAGGGTTTCACCGGGGGAAGTACCTTGGATTTGGTTGGCTCGCGATTAGCGAAAGTTAAAGTGCTTAAGCTACCGAGCTTCAGCCTTCTGATGACCAGGTCGCGTTAGCTATAAATAAAGTCGACCGAATAAAATTAGAGACGCGGCTCTGGGTTAAGCATGGAACAAGATGCACGTTGGTTCATTCGATTGATTGGACGACAATCGAACTCGTTGTTGGATGGACAACACCGGTGGTACCGCGGTGGTGGGATATGCTGGGATAGCTGAACTGAACACAGGTTCATGCTGATCCACGAGATTGCTTTTCAGCTTCAAGAGCAGTTTCTTGTTTGAGTAGAGAACGGAGTTCCGTGTTTCACTTTTGGTGAGACAATCAGGCAGTTTTGGATTAGCGTCGCCGTCGCCGAGGCAAAGAAAAGAAACGAGGGCAGAGCTCAGCAAAAACCTGGGTCGATCATCGGGAATCGAAAGTTTTATTTTTATTTCCTCGCTCTTGCCCGTGCCGACCTATGCCCCTGATTATGATTGCCCGGGTCAGTCGCGAGAAAATCACTCATTGGAGAATGCGTGACGGGCACTTCTCGAAGTATACAACGTTGAAGACAAGATCTGTGCAAGTTCAGCCTTGCCCGTAAGCTGTCAAATAGTACGTAATGATAGCACTACTGCTAGCTTAGACTCATGGCGAAGCTACTCCGCAGTTAGTCGGCATACATGATCGCACCCTGACATGTTGAATGGATTTTGATTTTCGACCAAATTGCCGCCAAAGAGACCGGAGTACATCGTAGGTTCCAAACCTAAGTATGATCGGCATAACGAATCGCTGTCGGAACTATCCCTGTCGAGAAGAGTCCATCACTGTAAACCCAACGTGCTGACCGATCGGCTGAATTGCAGGAGCAAAAGTCGGCAGGGCGTCCCAGGCGGGCCAACCCCCCATCTCTACGTCGATCAATTATAAGGTGCAGTGACTGCATCTGGGAACGAAATGACCAACGAATAACGAACGATTGAGCCCGACACTACTCCGGACTACCCCGTCGACCACCAAGGAATCAACGACAAGAATGAGCATTGCACGGACACTGCGCTGTGTGCCTTACCTCGAGCCTATTCCCCTGCAGGGCGCGAGGGATAAAGAGAAAGCTTGCCCTGAGTGGACGTGGAGGTAGGCTGTGCTCTCACGGCTCATATGATGCAAGGTGCAACACGCATTTCTCTCCTTTGGACTTGGATGTCGATCAAGCGAAGGAAGCATGACCGATCGCCGTGAGCTGGGCGTCCAGTGATTCTGAAGAAAATAATGTTGTATGAGGAGGCTCATAACAGGATGCTTGCGAGCCTGTGTGGATAAGCCTTAGCCACTGAAGACTTAGTGTGAAGGCTAAGAGGCTGAGTTGAAGATCATCCTGTGCTGAGCAACATACGGATGTTGAGGGCTGAGATTGGCGAGGTTACTTCACGACTTTGCGTTGAAGATCCCGACGGCAGTAATGTGTAACCTCAAGGTAACCTCACTGGAAGTCCTGACTCGATTGCCAGCTTGTTGGGTCAATTGGATTGTTCTTGCGATGGACGAATATTTCGTCTGCGATTGCCCAGCGCTGACATTGTTGCGTCGTTTGCTTGAAGGTGAGCCGGGAGGAAGTCATATTTTTAGGTTGTCTTGTACACTCTGCCAAACACAATGTCATGCTGCGACAACTTGATGATAGGTCAACATCTTAATCGAGAAACACATGACGGTTGATTTATGCATCATCTGAGCGCATATAATTTCCGGGGTCCAGCAGCGGTTAATAAACTTGATCCGCAAACTGGCACCGTGCTCGTGGGAATCGGTGGGAATGATGCAAAATCCTGTGGCGGTGCAGTGGATGCTGACCGAGGATTCTCCGATTATGACATAAAATCGGCTCCAGTAGTGCAGTTGCTCAACGTTGTGTCGGCCCAAAGTGTTCAACTTGAGCTCTTGTTTTTCGTATCCATACGTCGTTTGTTTCGAATACTTCTCAATACGCGACGGAACTGCGTCGTTCTGCCGAGTCCGGAGTATCTAGTGCCTCTTTACCCCTCACTCTCCAAGACTTCAAGCCATGGCGCCGTCATCCCCTGATTTTCATGATGCCATCGGTCTCCCAGCCGATTCGGGGCTAACTTGGCCAAGTCGTCCTTATCCACCATGAGAACCTGCAGAAATGCGGATCATGTTATGGCCGCCTCATGATGCTTCATACAGCTTCATCTTGTACAGCGGAAAAAGCGGCTCGTCGATTACTGCTCAAGTTCTCTTTGAGTGGCTTTGAGCTTGCTAGGGTCATGGTGCTTCCGTCACACTTTCGCTCAAATCCAACAGACATATGCTGGATGCTTGTTCGGGAAGCTCGTATCCATTTTTGGTCAAGTGGAGGTAGAACTGCAAATACGCTCTGTCACGAATCACCCTTGATGTTCGTCAAAATCTTTTGGAGCAGAAGACACTAAGGTCCCGTGGGCCACTCGAAGGTTTCTATTTCCCCCCTTCTCGTATTCGAGCTTCCATAAGGTTCGAAACCTCAGATTGATGCTAAAAACAAGCTGTTGGCGCTCTCTGACTTCAATTCTTTCACACGCATCAGAAAGAGTCCGTCGTCAGGTGAGAAGAATGGAAATGGAAGGTTCCGCTCGACGATTGGTCAGTTTTCCTCAATGGACAGGCTCACACCGGCAATGGCAGTTTAATAGGCTACCATAGGGACAACGGTGGACAGCCCTTGATTGTTAATCTAGATTCCGGGAATGCTGTTTGGACTTTGGGGCAGGGCAGTGTTGTTCAGCTTCATGGCGGACGACAACCCCTACACCTTGAGATCAGTCCACCGTCCGTACGGTAACAATGCAGCGTGACTTTCGTTGCAGTACTACCATATCTGCCCAGGTGCTACCTTAGCCTCGGTCAGTCAGAAGGATTGTGCTGCGAATGCCATCGTGCCATGTTCCGGGCGAATGAGCGCTGGTCCAAGAGAGACGGGGGATTCGAAGGAGCAGAAGATGCACCAGTGATTGGAGGTCAGTGGGGTCGCCCCACATTTGAACTGACTGTCTCCAATGAAACCAAGCGGTCCTTGCATCGCGTGGGAACCAATGCAAGGTTTGCTATGTTTAGCATCTTAGATCCCCCGCTAAGCGACCGTCGTCTCGATCTGGTATGGAGGAAGAAAACTAGAGTTTGTACGGAAACGAGTGCTCGCATCGGAAAACTCGGAACATTAAGGGTGATAAAGACTGAAGAAGCTGGATGGCAATCATCATTGGTGAGGCGATTTGAATCTACCATCCTGCAGATTCACCTGGTAGACTGATGAGTACCGTCGTGGGAATGGGGGGACCGAGAGACTGATGCAAATCACCGCCACAGCGTGGGTAGGCAGGGATGCATACCATGTGAAGCCATGCTCCAAGAACAGGACCATGTAATCATATCTTCTGACTGGTTGGAGAAGAAGTCGCACGCTCGCGTTTGGTTGTGAACTTGTCGTTGCCCATAATAGTAGCCTTGAACTTTGAAGAACCGTCTAGGAAGTTGGTTAAAGGTTCGTAGTTGGCTACCCAAGACCATGGTGGGGTGCTCTGTGGGAAGCAGTAGTAATCGGAAACGGAGGGGGAAGATTCGGAAGAATCCCCGTCGAACTCTTGAAGAAGCTGCCCTCGACTCTTTGGGAATCGGGAGCTCTCTCAAGGGATCGCTGCCCTCCACTACTCCGTTACTGGTACCACGCGAAGAGAAGAAATTGGACGAGAGGGGACGAATGAAGGCAAATTTTGTTTCAAAATGGATGGAAAAGCTCGGAGGGCGCCCTGAAACGGTAAGAAACCCTCGTCCAAGTCGGCCAAGTCTGGTTGAAGGCTCCAAAATAATAAGAACCTCAATGGAGAGCAGCCGTTTCAAGTTGGCAGCCGCCAACCGAGTAACTACTGGAAAGGGAAAGGGGCCTGGGAGAGCCTGAGAATCATCGCAGCCAAGTGGGGGGACCAGAGCAGAACTTTTCTTGGATCGGATCAAGTTCCCAAAAGCCCTTGAACCAACAGGGCCGGCGATTGAAGAATGATGGGCGCACTTCCAGAAAATTGGAAAGAATTACTTAAGAATCGGCTAATAGTTGACAAACCCGGAGCTCCGTTATTTAGTGAGTCCACCACCATCGTCCATCTCCTGGCATCTCCGTCGCAAAGTAGATGGGTCCCGAAAGGCTCGATAGGAGACCCTCCCGGCCACGGATCCGCGGGGACCCCCATGATATCATCCGACTAAAGGCGAAAGGGAAGGGAAGGGGAGAAGAACATCAGAGTCGAGGCAACGCCTCGTCTACTTCTACTCTTCTGGGGAAAACTTGCAATGACAGGGGACCCCCGAAGCAGTTAGCGACAAACTTACAGCACGTTTCGACTGTTACTTACTACGCCTCAGGCCACCAGATTCACAGACTGCCTCCCTCTTACTCACAACGATGACTCGGGATGGTTGCGATCTAGTCTTGCAGACAACAAAGCTGATGCCCAAAAGACGCATCCTCATCTCACATTGGCACGGCGACGATAATAATAGCCGCCTCGCATTCTCCATGTCCGAGTGGTTGATTTGGGATTCTCCAGAGGGTCCACCACCGGGCGGCGTGGACCGCTTGAACGGTGTGAACTTTGGAGAACTGCCAGGCGATTTGTCCTAGGCTCTTCAAGGCTTAGTCGCTGGCAGGAGTTGTATCCGTCTAAGAATAAATCCTTAGTCTTCGATGGGTAATGCTGATAATTCCTCGCCTTCGAAGTTCGGGGCATGACTGGAGTCCACCCGTGACCTCACGATTCACCACCACCGTTGAACTGAGATGGAGCTCAAAGAAAAGCGCCTCCTCAACCTCGGAACCCCCAGTGACCGTTTCATGGGTGTAGGGCCGATGCACTGCCATGGGTGTGCTGCCGGTGGTGCGGAGAATAACAGCAGTGCGCCTGGTAATTCGCTGATGGAAGAATAAATAAATAATAGGTAATCAAAAATCTCGCAATTATAGGACCGATAATTATACAGCAGCAGCACAGAAATAATAAAATACCCTATCTGATGCAGCTGTCGAGTCCGTCCCTCGAGTCACGACTACACATCCTGCTAGTAGTGAAGCCCCCGCCACACCCCGTCCAGTGCTGCGACTTTGTTGCGGCCTTAGTGCAAAATAGGGAATCACAATTATATCCTGCGCATCTCCTCTGATCCTCTGTCGCCCTGCCTTTTCTTTTCCTTTTCCTAATTTATCCATCCACCTACTTGGGCCCGTCACACTCGCTTTGGTCACCTTAAATCCTTCCACTCCTCCAACCTCACCATTGCCTCTCTCCTCATCTTTCCTCCCCTCCTCTCCCATAACCTCTCCTGTTATGGCCTCATAAGAATCACCTCGAATACCCTCGTCGTTTTTTTATTCATTCGCTTACATTCGCTCGCTATTACACTCGCTTGGTTTGGCATCGAAGTAATATTACACTCGCTACGTTTGGTGTTGATCAAGAAGGATTCCTTTTCGAGAAACACAAACAACACCTGAAGAAGAAATAGCAACTTGGAATCAGTCTCACATCTCGGACGGACTCGAACAAGACCCGAAGGATATTGATCTGAACCCTCTAATATCTAATCAATACGCATATCAACGCGCTCGCTTATCGTTGAACGACCCTCGCTATTGCTTTTTGCTTACGATCCCCACGCCTCAACTCTCAAGGACGAAGAAGATTCGACCATCTTGACAGCCTTCTGCATCGACTATTCTGTTGGTTGGTGTGGGTTTCTGGACCTGCGCGTTTGTTTTGACTCTCGGCTTGCGCTGTAGAGAAACCCGTTTGTCCCGTGAACGGTACAACTGAAACGATCACCAAATCGCGCTTCTCGTTACCATCAGCGTCTCTTCTCGTCAGCTACGCCTGTCAAGCCCTCTCCTGTCTCAGTTTATTGGCAAGGGTGGAGCTTTCGCTGGCTTAATCTTCCAATACTATACCTGCTGTCGACAGCCCTCTCCGAAGTTCGATCTGGACCCAACTGGCGTGGAGCCTTGTCTCGGTTGAGGACACCACTTGGTAAAGACTCCAGGGAAAAAAACTCCAAATTGTGTCTTTTCTGGTTCGTTAAGGTTGGTGCGCAGAGTTCTTTTCCCTTTGCCGCTGACGGCTCAGCGGTGGCGCCTTGCATCCGCTCCCCTTCGCATCTCCTTTCATTTAACCCTCCTTGCTTTGCCGAAGTCGTGCCTTGAATGACTGGGACCTCGGGCAAGATTGGAGCCAGATGGCCGTCATGCAATTGTCAAATTTCCCCCTGTGATGGTCGTCATTTAGGGTTTGGCGTTTGTTATTGACATTGTTTTCCGTGCAGGCCGTCTCGTCAGTCGCTTCCAGTCCGCAAGAAATTCGCATATTAGCCTTTTGAGATCCTCAGTGACAGGCTTGATCTTTTATTTACTCTGGTAAGTCTTGACGGTCCATGCAGCGACCCGATTTCCTCGTCTCTGGGAGGTTCTTGCTCACAACGCGGGTAGTTCATTATCCGACTCGTATTCTGTCTTGAATCCTGTCGACTGGAACAGCAGTGAAACTCATTATTGCGCTTTAAGACGGAGGAAAATAAGAACAGAACGATTTCAGACTCTTTGTCCCTGTTCGGCTCATAATTCCGCTCGTTTTCTGAGACCCCGCCACGGACGTCCACTCCTGCCTGCCGGGTCTGACCACGATCAGAGTCTATATTTCGCCTTCAGATGGAAATTGGCCTCCTATAGGTGCCTTGGAATTATCTATCGACAGCGTGGCTGTATCTGGGCCTCGTCCTGCAACCATCCACGCCTACTTTCCGTCTCGATCGTTGGGCACTGGCCGTCGATTTCCAATCTTCATTTCCACCTTTTTACTGCGCCTGGCGCTCGCTTCGTCACTCGTTTTGTCTCGGAGAGCTCTCTGCGGCTTTTCCGGCGTCTCTCGTTTTCCCTGAATAAATTCACTGTCGTTCGCTTTTTTCGGCTGTTGTGTTTCGTTGCAGGTTCTGCAACACCTTCAAGCTGGCTTACTCGAAGACCCACGGTGTTTTGGTAAGTTCATGCGCGCATTTTGTTTCTCCCCGGATGCCCAATTGCCTGCATCTCGTTTCTCCTCCCTACCTTCCCCGGTCGGGATTCAAATTATGATTCTTGCTCTGTATTGCTCATGGCAGGCACCCTCTATTCTTCTCGTCCGAAGCTCCTTACTAGACTCATCCGCTAAGACTTTTTTGTTTCATAGTTCGATTTGGATTTCCAATCGCCGTTGATATTGGACGAGACATTGGATTTTTCGGATCCTGAGGAGTCCCAATTTTTCAGCGCGCTTTCAGACGGCCTCTTGGCCAAGTCTGAACCCATTCTGCCTATGTCCGCTTTCCAGAAACCCCAACAAGCGGCCTTGCTCGGTGAGCCCCCGACGAAACATCTCAGCTCGTTTAATCCTTTGTGTCACGTGGATGCGGTTACTGACGATTATTTAGATTGTGATTCTACCCAGTCTCTGCAGGATGGTGCCTCGTTTTCTAGTTACAGTCATCACCCCTATGTGTCGACTCCTCTTGTTCCCTCCCCAATGGCCGACCATGTGAGTCAGATGTCGGATTGTGTTCCATATATGCCGAAGCAGGAATACGCCAGCTCCTACGAGGAAGAACAGTCTCCCATGATCAGCGTGGACCACCGTCAGCTGCCAGAGGTTGTTTCATACTCGCCTCAGAGAGGGTCCGAAGGCACGAGGGTCTTTGTGCAAATCCAGTCTCCCTACGACCTCCACACATCGCCCTACGTCCGACTGTACATTGTCTTTGGTTCAAAGAAGTGCGAGTGCAACCCACACTTTCTGGGATTCCAGGACTCTTGTTTTCAATATGCCCTTTCAGTCGACACTCCGGCATTCATGTCAACTGGGTCACCTTCCCTGGCAGTGCCTCTTCAGGTCTCCATGGACAGTCAGAACGAATGCCCTTCCGCAACTCTCCAAGTTGGCGTCTATACATATGAGCATGCCGGACAACAATCGCCCTCGGATGAAAATCGGAAACGACGAATCTCCTCCTTCTCTTCCGATTCCCTCAACCGACCGATCAAGCGAGCCTCTACTCTTCCGGTGCAAATAAAGGAGGAGCCAGCGACGTATGCACCGCCGTATTCGCCGTACCTCCAACCCCTTCCTCCTATGAGTGGGTATGCTCCTTACCACACGAGCTCTTCACCTAGGGTGGAGCCTGCACAGTATACGACTGCACCAGCACACCCACAGCCCGCTATCCGCGCTCCATCCCCAATGACTCCTTCGTGGAGCCAGTCGTATCTCTCGGTACCACACGAGCAGAAGACAGGTGGATATACAGTTGCCCAAAGCATGTACCAGCCTAAGCCATCCTCTCCAGCACGATTCTCAAACCCTCCTCTCATTCGGACTTCCACTCTTCAACACACCAGTAGTATGGTACAGACTCAGTCCTTCAACCCATATGCGATGTATCCGTCGAAGGCGGTTCTCAAACTCAATGGCGACCTGGACAACATGGCATTGAACTGGACACCCGAGGAAGTAGAGGCTAAGCGCCGTCTGGTCCAATTCACCCGTGCGCAGAGTGGCAGCACAATTCACACTGACTTCAAACCCGTCACCCCTGAAGAGCGCGCTCCAAACAGCATTTGCATTAGCTGTATCTACTGGGACGGCCAAGATGAATGTTTCGTCACGAGTGTTGATACAATCTACCTTCTCGAGTCGCTTGTCGGCGTTCGCTTTACCGTGGAAGAGAAGAATCGCATCCGCCGTAACCTGGAGGGGTTCCGTCCGCTTACTGTGTCCAAATCCAAGGCGGACAGTGAAGAATTCTTCAAAGTCATAATGGGATTTCCCGCCCCAAAGCCGAGGAACATTGAGAAGGATGTCAAGGTCTTCCCGTGGAAAATACTCAGTCACGCCCTGAAAAAGATCATCGGGAAATACGTGAGTTTCGTTCCAGCCTTGTCCGCTCTTTCACCCTTGCTAACGTTTTTGATCAGTCTGCCAGCTACTCATCCACCGCCGGGGCCCTACCTACTCCTATTGGGTCTAACTATCCGAGTACCGGTCCTGCATCTGACTCTGGGACTGAGGCGATGAATGCAACCTCTCCTCAATCTGTCTCCGAGGGCACACCGTCGAGCAGCTATCACCCCAGCATGGTACCTCCAGCGTATTCCCCTCCGACTGAAGCCGACGGGCCTGTACGAACGATCTTGCCTGCTGTCAGCCAACCATACTCGACGATGCCCGCACCTTATGGCTACCCAGCCTTCTGCCACCAAGGTCAGCTTGCACAAACAAGCCCCGTCACCCGGGCCTGGGAGGTCAACTCTCTTGCCCCACCTTCAACCGCCAGCGGGAACCCCAGCAGCTACTACATGGCTCCGATGAACTACACGCTCCCAGGACCTCCTCACGGACACTGAAGAGACGTCGTCCTTGCTTTTTTTTTTTTTGATTTATTGCATCGTCAGGCGTTAATTTGATCATGCATATTTTGCGTCCATTCACACTTCAACGTCACTCCTTTACCTGATACCATGGCGCACGGTTTTAATGTCTTGCATACGAGGACTTCTCATCCGGCTATGGTTCTGCCTCATGATTACTTGCAACGATTCACGTCTCTCCTTAATTACTCTCATGTCTTGATGTCCCCCGATTTTCTGGATTTTTTTTTCTTTTGCTTTGCACGTCGACATGATGCATCATACATGATCTGTTGTCCATTCCTTCAAACTTTGCATTATACACGGGGCATTGGGATACCATTCCTTTTACGAAATATGTACAACAATATGGCATGGGTTGGCGCTGCTGTCTTTCCTTACTATCTAGCAGGTCTGGGATATGATACCCCTTCTGGGATCGATATAATTTTGGGTTGCAAAAGTGTGAAAACGCATTGTTGGGCTTGCGATACCTGGGTTTTTTCTGCTTTTTTTTTTCTGATTATGCTTTTTTTTTTCTTTTTTTTTTTGCTCGTATATTGGAGTTGCCAGACAGGGCGTGCTCATGTCGGGAACCCTCTCTGCATAGCTCGGGCGTTGTCTACTAGCTGTTAACCGTTTTGTTCCTGCCAATTAGGCAGGTCTACCGAGCTCGAGGTGTTTCTCCGAATAATGGTGAACTAGTACTATATGCTTGACCTTAACATAATAATAGTGATCTGACTTATTGCCTGACGCAAGCTCCTCACGTCCCTCATGTCACTTCCGTGAGTCCCGTCAATTAGGGCCGGTATCGGTGGAGATACAAGAGCTTATCTTATCGCCACCTTGCCCGCAGTCAGGTGACCGCGGTAAGGACGTTTTTTATTATTGATGCGGGCTGCGAAGGGACCGTGACTCAAAGCCCCCAGCGACCCCCCTTCCATTCCTCCATTCCCTGGCTGCAGTGGTCACGCCCTTGAGTCACTCTCCCTTGATATAACCTCTCGGAGTCTCCTTCCCTCTCTTCCTCCACTCCATCCTCCCTTTCCCCCCCTAGACATACTATTTCCCCTCCTTCCCCACCCCCGCCTCCCACCATGGAGCATATCAAAGCTACCTTCGCCAAAGCGAAGCAGGAAAAGCGCGCCGCTCTGGTCGCGTATGTTACTGCTGGATTCCCCACCATCGAAGAATCAGTAGATGTTCTCATTGGATTGGAGAATGGAGGTGCCGGTAAGTCACTGCTGTCAGATTCGTCAATTGACTCAATTGAGTGCAATTCTTGCCTCTTGCCCTCTCTCGAAGCTGTATTTGCATGCTAACACTGTCCGATCAATTGCAGATATCATTGAACTCGGTGTTCCCTTCACAGACCCCATTGCCGATGGACCGACTATTCAAACAGCCAACACCAAGGCGCTCGCCAACGGCGTCACCGTCACCTCCGTCCTCGAGATGGTTCGCTCAGCAAGAAACCGCGGCCTCAAAGCGCCTCTCCTATTGATGGGCTACTATAACCCAATGCTGCGTTATGGTGAGGAGCGTATGCTCAAGGACTGCAAGGAGGTTGGTGTCAATGGCTTCATCATGGTCGATCTTCCCCCGGAAGAGGCCGTTCGCTTCCGAGATCTCTGCACAAGCAACGGGTATGTTCAGACCCCATGATTGTCTGATTTCTGGCACCCCGCATATGCTGATAATGGGCTGATAGTTTGTCCTACGTTCCCCTCATCGCTCCCGCCACATCCGAGTCTCGCATGAAGCTCCTCTGCAAGATTGCCGATTCGTTCATATACGTGGTATCAAGAATGGGCGTCACAGGTGCCACAGGAAAGCTCAGCTCAAATCTTCCCGAGCTTCTTGCACGCGTACACAAGCTTTCTGGAAATGTGCCTACAGCGTTGGGATTCGGTGTCAGCACCCGCGAGCACTTCCTTAACGTTCAAGAACTTTCCGAGGGTGTTGTTATCGGTAGTCAGATCATCACTGTCCTGGGCGAAGCTCCTGCTGGCCAGGCAGCTCAGGCTGCGGAGGATTATCTGTCGAGTGTCACTGGTCGCAGACTGGAGAGGGATACTGCAGGAGCCTTGACTCGCGAGGTCAACGTGCTAGAACCTGTTTTGAAGATCGAGCAGCCCCCAATGTCACAGCCCACAGATGTCATTACAGAGAAAGACACGCCCTCTGGCCCTGGGTTGGGAGATCAGCTTGAAGCTCTGAATGGATCTGGAGACCCTGCTGCGTCGCCTGCTCGCTTCGGCGAGTTCGGCGGTCAGTATGTCCCGGAGTCCTTGATGGATTGCTTAGCCGAATTAGAGCGTGGATTCGATCATGCTCTCAACGATCCCACCTTTTGGGAGGAGTACCGTTCATACTATCCCTACATGGGGCGGCCTAGCAGCCTTCATCTCGCAAACCGCCTGACCGAACACGTCGGTGGTGCCAACATCTGGTTGAAGCGCGAAGATCTCAACCACACTGGAAGTCACAAAATCAACAACGCTCTTGGTCAGATCCTTCTTGCCCGGCGCCTGGGTAAGACCAGGATCATTGCTGAGACCGGCGCGGGTCAGCACGGTGTCGCCACTGCTACCGTCTGTGCCAAGTTTGGCATGAAGTGTGTTGTCTACATGGGTGCAGAGGATGTCCGTCGCCAGGCGCTGAACGTTTTCCGCATGAAGCTCCTTGGTGCCTCTGTGGTTGCTGTTGACGCCGGTAGCCGTACCCTGCGAGACGCCGTGAACGAGGCGATGCGCGCTTGGGTTGTCGACCTTGACACTACCCACTACATCATCGGCTCTGCCATCGGCCCCCACCCCTTCCCAACAATTGTGCGTACCTTCCAATCCGTAATCGGCCAAGAGACCAAGCAGCAAATGCAAGAACAAATCGGCAAGCTTCCCGACGCCGTAGTCGCCTGCGTCGGCGGCGGCAGCAACGCCGTCGGCAGCTTCTACCCCTTCTCCAAGGACCTGTCCGTGAAGCTGCTCGGTGTCGAAGCCGGCGGCGACGGCATTGACACAAACCGCCACTCCGCCACTCTCTCCGGCGGCTCCAAGGGCGTCCTCCACGGCGTCCGCACCTACGTCCTGCAGGACGAGCACGGTCAGATCTCCGATACACACTCCATCTCTGCCGGTCTTGACTATCCCGCCGTCGGCCCAGAGCTGAGCAACTGGAAGGACAGCGACCGCGCACGCTTCATCGCCGCTACAGATGCCCAGGCCCTCTCTGGCTTCCGCACCATGTCCCAGACCGAGGGAATCATCCCTGCCCTCGAGTCATCCCACGCTATCTGGGGTGCCATTGAACTTGCCAAGTCCCTGGGTAAGGGTAAGGATATCGTCCTTACCGTCAGCGGTAGAGGTGACAAGGACGTTGAGAGCGTTGCCGAGTCACTTCCCAAGCTCGGGCCGCAGATTGGCTGGGATCTGCGGTTCTAGATCTCTTTTTACCACGAAGTACACGTATAGATTTTCGGTCTGACTTATAAACGGATTCTCCCTTGTCAAAGGCGAGAAGAGGGAAATGGGGATATAGAGTTGGGTTCAACTCCGTCGCTGCTTTTGCTCGGGCCTTTTTACCAGGTAGATGTGATTTCGGATTTTTGAGTATAATTTACTAAAAGCGAGTCTTGTCTTGTTATGTAACTGGCTGGGTAGAATTGAATTTCAATGCAATACAGTACTTCTCCCTCTCATCCTAGCTCTAAAATGGTTTGTCGCTCACCGGCAGCGAATGGGCCTGGTTGAGACGAACCTGGCTAGGGTAGTTGTCCTATTTGGTCACAAAAATGGTTCTGCTTTTGAAATGATCCATAGAATGAATGAGTAAATAGATCCAGGCTGATGCTGTCTTTCGTATATGCATGTGCAGCTGAAAATATAACTCGGATGTCCATAGTAAATGTGAAACATAATAAAGAACAGCAAACGTCAAGACGCAAATGTGGTATGATGACACCAGTAAACAAGCAGAGGTAGGAAAACAAGTAGTAGTAGTAGGGTACGATAGCATGTAAGGTAGGTAGGTAGGTAGGTAAGCGCGCCAAACACGCAAAGATCATTCATTCAATTCAGTCCAACCTCCCCCCTCAAATTCCACTTCCTCAGTAGTTAGGCTCTATCATTCAAATCGAGATCACTGAACACTTCAAAACCCGGGAGCGGCCATCTAAGTCTCAATCAAGTCCCCCGTCTGCTCCTGCGTCTGATCGGGCACGTTGTCGCGGGTATCCTTGTTCGGGATCTTACGCGCAGATCGCGCGTAGAACTCGTCGAGGACGCGCTTGGGGATACGGTTGAGGAGTTCCTTGGGGTAGATGCGGAGGAGGTTCCAGGCGATGTCGAGGGATTCGAAGATTGTGCGGGACTCATAGGCGGACTGGTTGATGAAGGTGCGTTCGAACTTGTCGAGGAATTCTAGGGAGAGCTTATCCTCTGAGGAGAGAGCTTCTTCTCCGACGACGGCCTTCATGGCGGCTTTTTGGGAGATGATATGTCAGTACAGTGAGCTAATCGAGGAATAGGGGATAAGGGCTTACCGGCATCTCGTCCGATGGCATATTTAGCGTAGAGCTGGTTGGACACGTCGGAGTGGTCTTTGCGAGTACGGCCCTCACCAATGGCGGACTTCATCAGACGGGATAGAGAGGGTAGGACGTTAATTGGGGGGTAGATGCCCTTGTTATCGAGACCACGATCCACGAAGATCTGTCCTTCCGTAATGTATCCAGTCAAATCGGGAATGGGATGCGTAATATCTAGTCCAAGGTTAGTCGTAGTAATCTCAAGTGATGTAGTGTTAGCGTACCATCGTTAGGCATCGTCAAAATGGGAATCTGAGTGATGGACCCATTGCGGCCCTGTACTCGTCCGGCACGTTCATAAATGGTGGACAAGTCAGTGTACATGTAACCGGGATAACCACGACGACCGGGCACTTCTTCTCGGGCCGCCGAGACTTCACGAAGAGCGTCACAGTAAGCTGACAGATCAGTCATGATAACCAGGACGTGCTTCTCCAGCTGGTAGGCGTAGTATTCGGCTGTAGTCAAAGCCAGACGAGGAGTAATGATACGTTCAATGCTGTAAGTGGCTCGTCAGTCACTTTAATATTCCGCGCAAGCTTATAACTGGAACTTACGTAGGGTCGTTGGCCAAGTTCAGGAAGAGCGTCACTCGCTCCATACTTCCGTTCTCCTCGAAGTCGCGGGTGAAGAATCGACTGGTCTCCATATTAACACCCATGGCAGCGAAGACAATTGAGAAGTTCTCCTCGTGGCCGTCGTGGACGTCCTTCGTCGGCTTGCCGACCAGACTAGCCTGGCGACAAATCTGAGCCGCAATCTCGTTGTGAGGGAGACCGGAGGCGGAGAAAATGGGGATCTTCTGCCCACGGGCAATGGAGTTCATCGTGTCGATAGCGGAGATACCGGTCGAAATCATTTCTTCGGGGTACACCTGCGGACACTACGTCAGCGCCAGTAGTACCGGACAACAGGAACCGGATGTGCATACTCTTGAGTACGGATTGATAGGTTGACCGTTGATATCCAAGTAGTCCTCTGCCAGCACCTTGGGTCCCTTGTCAATCGCGCGACCGGAACCATCGAAGATACGACCCAGCATGTCCTCAGAGACACCGAGCTTCAAGCTGTGGTTGGTGAACTCGACTTTGGTCTAGACCAGCAGCGGAAGGTCAGTAAAGCCCCCAAGTTGAAATCTGTACCTGTGATTCTGCAACTAGTTATCGTACCTTCTTAACATCAATTCCTGGTGTACCTTCGAACACCTAGTATATGCCCGCAACCCGCACGTCAGTACTCCGCCAAGATAACAAGCTTAACAGCTCCGACGATGGTACTCCGCACCTGGACGATGGCTCGGCTTCCTGTTATCAAGGGCTAGAGTTAGCTATGCAGACTTCTCATACGCCAAAGAGCAGGCTCTGAGCAAGAAAAGCATACCTCTAGCTTCCAAAACCTGACCCGACCGCTCAGTTCCATCGGGGAGGGTCAAGGAGACGATCTCATTGTAGCGGGGAAATTTGACCTAGTTGAAAAGACCGTTAGAACACAAAATCATCGTAGAGAGCGCCGAATATAACTGAGAGCTCGGGAAGCTCCTGACTGAGAGGTACGGACATTGTCGAGGAAGACGAGGGGACCGTTGATGCCTCCGATTGTATTGTATCGGATGCGAGGTTGGACGGAGGTCATTCGGGGGTCGATGATGTCGGCCATGGCTGTGAAGAACCGGAGGGCGCACCAATAAGAGACGTATGGAATGAGAAGAGAGGACAGGAAAGGGCGAGTAGCAAGAGGGAGCTCAGCGTCAGGGAGATCGAGCTGGCTGGTCGGTTGTTCCACTGGTCGATTTGGCGGAGCAACTGGAGGAGACACGTGATATCATTGGCATCATCGGACAGAGCTACGTTCAACTTCAAAACTACAACACGAGCTTCTCGTCATTTCGTCTCATTCGTGATAAGATCAATATTATCATACAAATTCAGAAATTCATATCAGAGGAGTGTAATAAGATAAGTAGCCATCCCGCCCCGTTTATGCGCCAGCCAGATCATCATTGTCGTCATAGCACCTGCAATACAGCATTTAACTAGTCTACCCTCGCCGTTGACAGTTTCTTTGGCGTCGTCAGATTGTTGGAAAGCCGGATATGCGTCTTGTTCTTCGCCTTCTTCTTTAGCTTCTTCCGTGCGACCATGACTGGGACAGAAGAATGTGTGACAAGATAGTTGGAAAATGATCCCAGTAGGACACTATCGCGGGTCAATTTCCGACTGTCGTTCGAGTTGTAGGTGATGAACATACCCTTTTAGTGCACTCCGTCCTCTAGCCCCGACGATAACGAGTGTAGGCTCAAGCCCATCAATCTATAAAGAGGTTGGTAAGGTGAAACTGGCGCGTAGCATAAGAGGGACTCACAGCTTCCGTGATCATATGCTTAGGACTTTTGCAGTGGATAACTTCCACGGCAATCCGAACCTGCAGGAGCGTTTTTCGCAGGAGTCGAACGCAGGTTTGAGAGATGATCTGAACAGCATGGGACCGTTCAGCTTCCGCCTTGGACATTGCCCGAGCATCTACTGAGCTGGGCCTGCTATCGGTCCCTGACCCTAGGCGATTGAAAAGAGCTCGAGGTAGGTTCGGGTTGGCGGCTTCGTTCTGAGATTTCTGAGCGGTTTCAGCCGTTTGAGATCCCACGACCGCGGCAACGTCCTGCGTTGCTTTCGCGCCTTCGCCGATTTGGGTGCCGGTTTCCTCATGCATGGCAAAAACCGCAAACATGGTGTCACCATCACGCAGGATGGTTCCAATTGTCCACTCCAGCGCGTAGACAGACTCTTCACTAAGATCCGTGGTAACTAGGTATTTTCGTTGCCGCCGTCGACCTCCTTCGGCATCTTCTTGTAAGTTGGCGTAGTCCCCACGAATGATAGTGCGTATGGATCGGTTGCGAACAGAGTTGTCAACACTCGACATCTGAATGCTAAGCTGCTGGGCTCGTTTAATATCGCTCAACTCGGCCTCATCGTCAGAGCCAAAGGGTGTGTTGATAACCGAAGGAGGATCAAAATTGGTCTGCAGTTGAACCTCAGGAGTCTTCGGCATCGGGCCTGTCTTTCCAGAATGTATCAGTTCCGGACCGTCGTGTTTAGGTTGCTCGGCGTCTACATGTCCATCCGTCAGCAAGGGAACGAACCAAGGGGAGAGGTTCACAAACCTGTCTCGTCTGAAGCAGGTTTTGAATCCTCTGCTGTATCCCCTCCGCTGGAAGAATCGCGATCGGAAACTTTCTTTCGGCCTCGCTTTAGGTCTTCACTAGTATTTTCAGAACTAGTTTCGTCGTCGCTCGAAGACAGCTCTTCTTCGTCGCTGGTCTCAGACCGGTTATTGTCACTGTCGTACAATCGCTCATCTCCAGACGCAGAAGCTCTAGCATCGGTTTCTGAAGAACCGCGACGAACTGGGGGAGGATTAAGATTTTTCTCTTCAACCGGTTCGGGTTTGCTCTCTTTCTTATCATCAACCGCCGGTTTAGATGTCTCACGCACGGAACTGCGAAGGTTGGAATTCGGTACACGGCGAGCGGGCGAGCCGGATTGTGCTCTACGGGCAGCAGAGGGAAGGTGCGAGTCTAGAGATGCACCCCTCTTTGAGTTGTTCCGACTCCAATCCCGTCCTCTGGAAAAACCCGGCAAGCCGACCTTGAGGTCAAGTCCTGACATCACCGCTGCCATTGCGCCCTTTCCGAGCGCTCTTGGCGCCTTTTCTTGTCCCTGCGCGCCGAGGCGCCTCGAGCCATTTGCGCTTGGTGGCATATCAACTCCGGAGTCCCAACGAATACTTGGCCGTCTTGCTTCAGGGAGGTTATTTTTCGTATCAGCGCTCTTTCCCTTGTTGGATGCTGGCGGATCGGGACGCTTGAGGGGAGGTGGGGCGGTTTTGAGGTTGGTGTACGGTGGCTTGGGAGTCGTGACGGGCGTAGTTGACGGTGTCGTAGAGGTCGAGGATGATGGTGTTTCATTGGACTCATTTGCCCCCGGCGTTGATGATGGAGAGGTATCTGGGTAGCCGCGTCCAGCGGGCGGAGTCACGCCAACACCAATGCCCGCAATGGAACCATGCCGTGGGGCCATATACCCGGGAGAGGGAGTCGTGGCGGTATCGAGAATACTTCGTCTTGGGGGTGCGTAGGCCGAGCTTTTGTTGCGACTTGCGGACGGGCTGCGTTGCTGCTCTGCAGCGAGTTCGAGACGTTCTTCCTCTAGCGCAGCGGCCAGGGAGCCGGCTCGTCTACCGCCGGGCAGCATTTTTGTGGGTGGCGCCGCCCACGGCTGGTGGTAATAGGTGGAGAACCGGGCTCAGCGAAAGGAGGAGTGCTGGAATGTGGAGAGCTGTTGGGGGATGGCGATTAGTTTCCACTGCAACACACGGTTGACGGTTCAACTGTAGAAAAAGCTGAAGAACTCTTCTTTACCTAAAGTTCAGATGACTGTCCAGCAAGGTGGGGGGTGATGGAGGTATTGTTATATGCCCAAGGTCTGGGCAAGCAGCTAGGCTGTTGGACTAAGACAAGTAGCTTGGCCGCTGAGGAGCTGAAAAGAGGGTTCCGGAGCGCTTCACCACGTGCAGAGTTGTCAACGACGACGATCTAGACCGGTGTCGAAAGGTGATCCCAGTCGCCGCGATGGATGCAAGCCCGAGTTCCTTTGTTTCTGTGGCTTTGGTCGGGTTTAGCTTTGCACTAGAGGGTAAAGCGTGGTTCGACGGAGCCGACGGTCAACTCTGTGTGAAGCCAGTCGAGTCAAAGCCGCGGCAATAATGTTTATTCCCTGTCGATGACGGCAAGAATTACCCTGCTCGGCAAGGAAGAAGCCGCCGTCGCAATTAAAGAGTAAAGAGGTAATGCTTGACTGAGGATTGGGGAAGGGGATGGGAAGTCAACAATCTATTAAGCAGCGGAGGAGCTGGTGGAGGAGCTTTACTCCAGATTTGATCAGCAGGATTAAATCATCTTAAATCATCGTGGGGATGCGAAGCTCTCACAAGGACACAGAGTGGACAGAACGGGCTCTGCTTCGCCTTTTCAACCCTCGGCATGCGGGGTATAGCAGAGAGGCCGCCCATGATTTACCATCGCTCCTTGCGTTTGCTCGCTAGCTCACGAAGATCAGCTTCAAGGAGGTTACCAGCGGACCAGAGGTGGCCTCAATTGTTGGACAGAAGGTGTCACTGCAGCTCCTTTCCTCAGTCGATCAATAGTTGCGATGCATTAGGAATGACGCACAGGAGATCTCCAATCAATGCGGCTTCAGACACCTGGACTGGGCTGAATGGGGATTCTGATTCTTTCGATCTGTCGTGTGATGCGCCTGTGGCTGGACTGAGAGCACTTGAGGTATTTGTATCACCAGTCGCATCAATGCATCTCCAACCCCGAGCTTCCGCTGCAAATCCCGCGTAAAAAGAACATGCTAGGCGTATGCATTCTTCCTCGTTCTCTATTTAGCGCCCTAATGTAGCTACAGTGCAGATGCAGCCGGTATCCCAAAACGCCAATTCCAAACAATACAGTCAACGATACCCCGATTTTCATTAATCATGTTGCCCATGCCACGGCGTTCTACGTCTTTGTCTTGGACTTCGTCTTCTTCGAGCTCCGCCGCGCAGCAGTGGCTTGGAACGCCTCCTCCGGTGGCTCATCTGTTGCCACCCGCTTTTTCCCAGAAGGGTTATACTTCGCTTCTAGCCGGTCGAAGAACGACTCAGCACGAGATGTCTGTCGCTGCTGGATCAAAGCCGCCAAATCGCTGTTGTCCATCGTGCTGGTACTTTCTTTCTTGCCCTTCCGGGGCCCCGCTTTTGACCCCTTCCCCTCTTTCTCTTTCTCCAGCTTCTTCGCTAGCTTCTCGGCCTCCTTTGCCTCTTTTTGAGCTCGCCTCCATCGCTGCTCCCGCTTCTTCTCCGGCTCCTCTGTGTACTTTCCATATGCCTCGACCCTCCCCTCCGCAATGGCCTTGTCAATTATCGCCCGGAACCGAATGTCGTCGTCGAGAACGTTGGACAGCATCACTGATTCGTAAACCCGATCTAGATCGCCCTTGTAGGTGTCAAAAGCAGCGAGCACATCCCTCTCCTCCTCGACTGATCCCTGATAATCCTTTTTAAACTTCTCGAGCGCGTTCGTGTCGATCGCTGCGGAGAATTGCTCCCGGTAAAAGTCCACCCAGTCAAAGTCATCATCGAGGTCGACCGCTTCGGCGGTGCTACCGGTATTGTCAAAACGTTGTCGTCGTCGGGGATCGGACAGGATTGCATAGGCGAAGGCAATTTTCTGAAATTGTTGGTTCGCTTCCTCTCTAGCTTCGGCAGGGGCCTTGTCTTTGGTTTGTCAGATGAACGTAAACACCTTTTCAGACATGGACATGACTGTAGATAGCGTACCGGGATGATGCTTCAAAGCCTGCTTTCTGTAGGCCGACTTGATCTGCTCAGGCGTCGCATCTTGTTCGACACCGAGGATGTCATAGAGATCCGTCGCGGCGGGCGGCTGATCGGGAACTTCGGCCGTCTTTTCGCCTCGCGGAGCCATGGTAATCAGGAGGTTTGAATGGGCGCTTCGTCAAGGATAAGGTGATGTGTTCAGTTGATGTTAGTGAGCTACGGGCGGGAAGACGCGTTGAGACGCGACCAGAGCTCAGTGCCGAAAAGCTCTTTGGTTGCCTAATTGAGCTTAGTCTCTCCAATTCAAGCTGTCGCGCAGCGAGACTTCTACTCCGGAAAACAGCAACATCTTCTACTATTCTCTAACTACTCTGATAGTGCGTTAAACGCAGCCATATGACATTATGTTGTCCACACTCTGGTCGCGGGTGGTTTCCCGTCGGGGAACCTCTCAACGGCATTTCCGCCGGAATCAAACGAGATGGACAACACCAAACTCGCATATCTCCTCTGAATGACCAAAATCAGCAATCCTGATTCGTAATGCAGCGACGTCCTTACCGCTCTCACAAGGTGCCAGCCTGTGACAGATGCCGTCGGTTCAAGCGGCGATGCACGGGCGGCGCCCCAGATCGGCCTTGTGTGCTGTGCAACCTTCAGGAGGTCCCCTGCGAGTATACAGCTAGCTCACTGCAGAAGGGTCAGTCGGCATCGGATCGCTCTGCAAGACGCACGTCTAGTCAGCGAACAGCCCGTCACATTCCAGGGCCCAATGTCGAGTCGCAATCGTCGGCCATCGATGGAGGAGTGGGATCTGATTACCATGGCGGCCCGAGCCAGGCGCGCTCGAGGCCTGAACTCTCCATGGTTGCTAACCCTGTGATTTCGGAGGATATCCGGATTTTGGAGCGGTATATGTCTTCTCAGCGGGTAGAGAGCAGCGCATTGGAGAATAACCCCATGGTCTATTTGAAAATTTCCCGTCGGAGGGAAGGGCTGGCGATGACTGAGAACCCCGGGAAACAGCAAAAGGAAACTCTCATGCAGGTTCTTAGATCAAGCGCCAATGAGCTAATTGATTTGCAGGTCACTCGAAGCCTGTACTATCGTGAGATACTTTGACTAATGCGGTGATATAGGTACTTCGAACACATTCACCCGGCATTCCCACTATTTGACCAGGATTCGTTTATTCAGCTGTATCGCGAGGACAAAGTTTCCCCGACCCTCATCTGCGACTTCTTTGCTGTCTCTCAGATCCTGTGGAACCATTCGCCGACCCTCAGGAGAATACAACCGCCAGACTCCTTGTTCGTGTGGAACCTGGCTGTCGAGGCGCTGCAGCAGGATTTTCTCGTTGCAGGCATATCTACGCTTTATGCGGTGGTCCTCGACTTGGTGGGCCGTCCTATCTATGCCGTGCTGCTGAATGCTATCAACTCTGGACGTGCAGTTTCATTGGCCCTCAGTCTTGGACTCAACCGCAATCCTTCTGGATGGAAACGCCCAGCCATTGAGATAGAGCTACGCAAGCGACTATGGTGGGCAGTATTAATCCATGATTATTGGTCAGTACTTCAAAAGTCTGTCTTTGTCTCTCTAACCTAGTCTTCAGGTCAAGCTTTGCCCATGGTACACCACCGATGATCCGCAAAGACCAGTACGACGTCCCTATTCCTGCGGTGTCCGATCTTGACGTAGGCCCGCGTCATCCTAAGAGGAGTACAGCCTTTGTTTGCTTCTCTAGTTTATGCCGGTTAACCCTCATCCTTGGCGACATCCTACCACTTGCGTACAACTTGACTATTGACCAACAGGATATTTGGAAACAGATCCGCCGTCTAGAGTTTGACTTAGACGCATGGGATGACCGTCTGCCTGACGAGGCACGACCGCACGATGGCGATGGAAGAAGAATCCCTGGTTGTAGTAGTTTGCGTTTAGGTTACCTCTCCGTAAGACTTTTGTTGAAGCGGGTCGCACTGCACGTACGTAACCCCATTTGACTTTGAGGCAAAAACTAACAAAGATTAGGCGGCAACAGTTTCCTCAGAGGCGGACCGCAAAGACAACATTGCATTCCACCTTGGACAGTTACGCAGATCCGCGCAGGAAATCGTCAGCTACATCTGTGGTCTAACCAAGGCACAACTCCAGGAGTTCTGGCTCCCGTGTATTTGCCCCCTCCATTTCCATTTTCCAACCAAATGCACCACTTCTAACATGGTCGCACCATAGATACGGCCCATCACCTCATTCTAACCGTGATAATCCTCCTCCGCTGCACCGTTGAGTCGCCTGAACCAGCCATTGCCGAAAAATGCAGAACAGATCTCGACCGCTTCTGGACAAAGCTTCAATCAGCGGCGAAAGACGGCTGGGATCTAGCCAATATATGCATCACGCAGTGCGCGGAATCCGTCTCGAAGATCCTCGCCATGTCTGTGTCTACCGCCTCTTCGTCGGCTGCGGCGGCAGCGACGGCAGTTGATCCCATCGAGGTTGGGCCTTCAGCGCTCCTTGAACTTCCGGATGTGGGATCTGGATCACCAATGCATTTTATTGCTCCGGAACTTATGCCAGATATCCTACCCTTCTCGAATCCGGACATCTCGTTTGATAATCAGTGGGATATTGGGGGCTTGTCCGGACTGGGGTTTATGGATGTGTTTTCTAACCCTTGATTGCGCAGAAATTCCTGCATTTCCGCATCAAAGCTCCCAGCCCTTGCTTGGGTATTTCGATAAAGTGCTAGAGGCTCGACAACACAGACAAGGATATTGTGTGTGAGATAGGCAACAGTATGCTGCCACAAGGGCTTACACCGCAGAGACTATACCGCACGAAGTTTCTGCTTCAGTTCCGGGTCCCACATGGCGCTCCAGCATGCCTTGTTTATGAAGGCCTTTCATGAATCAAAACACGGATTATGGCAAACGGGTTAACAATCTTTCTTCTATGTCCAAGAAGATGGCATCCACCTGAAATGTATTCAAGGCGGTGAAGCAAGCTACCTGTAAAGAGGCCGCGTGCTGCTCATAGCCACACGTAGGATATCAAGTCAACGCTTCTGTCTTTCTCAATTGATGCAACCCGTATCGGGCTCATACTTGACATAGTCTTGCTGTACGCATTCAGCACCACTAACCTAGCTGCGTCAGTATCGTTAGCCCGGCGATATATACGGACATTCCCTCGATCCTTGCATTCAACCCGCGAGGCTCAACCCTATATTCAAGATCTGTACACGATAAGAGGAAAGAACGACATATATCCATACCTCCATCGGTATCGTGCCTTCCATAAACGTTCCGTTGCTTAGGAACTTCTATAGAAGGAAAGAGTGACCCCCGTCGCGCCGTCCGAGATTTTTGCTTCCAGGTCGCTCCTTCCTATACGGGCGTGGATCCCTACCTTCCTCGTACGGTGGCAATGTGTCAATCAAAACGGAAGGAGCGACCAGCGGTCCCCTAAGGATCACAGTCGCACCTTCCTTGAAAGGGATTGTGTCCGTAGATGAATCGTTCCCGTCGTCTTGAACTATCCCTCGCCGTAGGAGACGAATGGATGATCCTGGGGGAGCTCACTCTGATAACCCCTGGCAGACGGCCACGCGAATGCAATCCCAGATGGTGCTATGCGCCTGACAAAGCACCGTAACTGTTGTGAACTTGCGGATTCAGCGACGATGGAGCAGCCATCGGGATTTATTTACGCGCTACAAATTAGACCCTCGCTGCATAGATGGCCGAGTAGATGTTCTGCATAGGGCACCGCGCCTACACCATTATTCTTTATTAGTCCCCTCCCTCCACCTGAGCAGGACCATGAGACGCTTAATATTGTTCTAACCCAAGAAAGGAAACCCTCTCTTGGCACCTGGCGCCCGTGGACTCTGGACCCCCCAAGTCCAAGATCGCTGACCTCCGATATCGCCCCGAAATCCCTCACAGTCTTTGGATCTTACTTGACGTAGTCGCTGTCATCTACACCGTACGGTAAAAAAGCGGCAACTTCGGAATCAGTCCTTGCAAAAAGTTTAGCAAACTATAGTCTACCCCCTCCTAATTTGGGGGGATTGAGTTTGAATTGAAAAGAGGGTGGCCTAAGCGACCACCTGCAACTCTTGGCAGCGGCGCGAGCAAGAAAAGCCGTGAAGAAAGCGGCCTTGCAAGTTTCCTGGCGGGTGATCTTGGTCGGTCTAGACAAGCCGGGTGGCATCGTGATGGTCGAGCTGGGAGCAGGGGTGGGAGTAGGGTAGAATAGGCGGAGCTCAGGAGTGAGACACTGGGAAGTAGTAGAGAAAGAATCCCCGACAACTGACATAAGGGCTGCATTCTTCTATATCGCTGTCGGCGGTTCTCAGCGAAGGAAAAAGGTTAATGGAATCTGCGGCTTGGATCTTTAAGAAGAACTGTATGGATGATGCCATCCTTTCCTGGTTCTTAGGTTTCAGGTGGCTTTATGCATGCTTCTAGCTTAGGCAGAATGCTAGGATACAAGTTGTATTCCACTTTGTGCCTAGTATCATATGAATATTATGGGGTGGGGTTAAGTTTTTTCGTACCTTTCAAGTTTGAGCATTTGGGCAGCCCAGTTTATCTTATCTGATTGATAGGAGATAATCTAAGATTCCTGTACTCCGTATTTCGTGCTTTCAGTACAGAACAAGCCATTTCTTACAAGCGTGGTATGAGCTGGTATTACCTGGTGTGCCGTCAACTCGAATTTCCACTCAGCCCAATGTTTAATAATGGGTCCTTCTCATGCGTTCTCTGCCGGCCTGGAACGAATGATGGATGCAGTTTCTTCCGAGCGTGGGCTGACCTGGGACCATGCCAGCAGCCATGCACGTTCAACTCCCCGCTCGCTCCAGGTTGCTGGTAAATCATGGAGCATGGACCGGAGCTCAACGGCTGGTTGTTCAGAACTCAGTGAAGGAAGACATGAAGGCGGGGATTCCGGATCAGTTGGAAGATTGTTTTTTGATCAACCTGCCCGACACCGTACATCGTGAGCCACTACTTCAGGATTTGGGACTCTCCTCTGGGGACAATCGCCTACCCACGCTATGGTTGAGTCCAATTCAAGGAAAAAGCAAAGAATCAAGCTGGTTGCCGCACGACCATCTCAAAAGTGACAGGTCCCCACTCCCATCGAAAAAAATAATCTCGAATTTCGAAACGCGGAAGAACAATCACAGGCGTACCGCTGTCGATCTCACTTCTTCATGCCCACTCTTCGCGTGCCATACCCGACTCGCGATAGCGCAAACCACAGACGTAACCCTCCCTGGCGTAACCGCCGGGTCCAGCACTGGGTCCCTGAGGGATTATCTGATGATCTGATTAGACAGCGTTCAGCCATGCGAAAGGCGACGACATGTTATTGGGTGCAGCACAGGCACTTATGCAGCTATAGTATCGGAGCAAACCGTGACTCTGCAGAGTAATGCCAGAAGCTGACCTGGAAGGGTGAAGGCCGAGGAAAGAATTTTCGCACTTCTGCACGCACCCCACTGTTGTTGTGGGAATCGGCTTTCCAGTCTGTCCAAAGCACGCAACTAGGGTTGGGCACCTGAACTGAACCTCCGAATAACTTAACTTGGCCTCTGTGGTTTGTAAATGTAGATGAGCTCCGTGCTCAAGAAGTCTCGGAATCGGATCTCTTGATCATCAACTTCGTCACAGATTCTGCGGGATTGATTAGATTAGATTGATCTCGAAATGCGGGTGGACCAGGAATTTTACTGGCGCCTTGGCTCTGAACCTTGGTGTTTTCGTCAATGCTCAAGTTCCTGCATCCCATTCCCGCCTGCATCCTTGCTTCGCTTGTGAGCTTCCATCGACCTCTCTGATGCAAATAGAGTGGGGGTAAACAGCCAGGACCGTGGTTGTATCATTCGCCTTGCAGTTGATGCATGCAGACTGCTTCCATCAGTCAATTTCGTGCTCTTTGCTTTTGACAGGCACAGTAAACCTTCGGAGGTCCAGGCACGACGAAAGCAGGTGATTCTGTACAGTGATTCTGTACACAAAAACTGGTCCACCTCTTTGCCTTTAGAACTGAGAAATTGCCAGTGAATGTCGCTGGTGTTTCGAAAGAACACTCATCCATCGCGTTTGAGCTCGGTGTCCTGCCAAGACTCCCTCAGCGCCGATCGTTCCTTCTCAAGTCAGAAGCTTGGCGACCTGCGATTGTATTACGGCACAATACAGCTCTATCCTGTAATCTAAAGAGGGACCCCCAAGGTCTTACGCGAGAATCAAATGGCAGATGATATTCAGATCCACCGCAGTCCACCATATGCCCGCCTCCTCGTCTCCCATAAGTAGTGTGGGTGTGGCCGAGTCCACATCCCACTGCGACCCGATCTCGGTCACTCAATGGCTTGTCGACTCCGATGCCATCACTTGGCAGCTTGCAACTCCGTATATTAACGCGCATTCACCGATTCCACTGCTTCAATTTATGCGAACAACCAGCAAACTCGCAAATTTGAAGGCCAGGAGACCTGGGCTCCGGTAAAATGGGGTCCATCCAAGTCGAGGAGTTCCTCGACCAAGGCCAACCCAATGCAAACGGCTTCAGACCTTACAAAATCGTCGGGCTTGCGCCCGAACAGACAACTCCCACAGGCTTGAAAGAGGAAACACTGCTCCTTTCCTGGGTCATCGCTCTTCTACGAACGAAGGAAAGTAGTCAAGTCACATACGAATGGGCTTACAACCGCGGCCGCGGCTCCAAGACAGAACTCGTGAAGAGAACTTTATCGATAGACGAATTGAAGCTCGGTTTGCAGAGTAGTGTTGAAGATGCAGCATCAGCGATCGCTAACTACCTTTCGACCTTCGCACTGGATCAACCCGCGACGTCAAATCCGGCTTCTCTCCTTCTAAGCACTGGGTCGTTGTCGCAAACTTCTGAAGCGAAAGACGAGGTGAGTTGAAGGAGTACTTGCGTGCCAGTGCTTAACTGATGAGCCAAGGATGCGATTCACCTGGAAGTCCGCTTCAACAATCCGCGCCTCGAAATCCGCCCAGTGTGGTTTGCCGAAAATGTGCTGCCATATACCGTAACACGACACATCGAGACGCTAGTCGACGTCGTCAAATCGTGCATTGCGAATTCCCACGACCTCATTCAAGATTTCCACCTTCGCCCGACAGAATTCGATCTGGACAGCATCTGGGGTTGGAACCATATTCTACCCCCAACATACAAGTTCTGCATGCATGAGATGGTTGCGGATCAAGCTCGCAGGTCGCCGGACAAGGAGGCAATCTGTTCATGGGACGGTAGCTTAACCTACCAACAAGTCGACCAATATTCTACGTTCGTAGCAACTTCGCTGAAGGACTTGGGCGTTAGACTGCATGACGTGCTCCCTGTGTGCTTCGAGAAGTCGAGATGGACAATCGTTGCCGTGCTTGCGGTGATGAAGTCCGGAGCCACTTTCGTCCTCATGGACCCAACGCTTCCGCTGGCTCGGCTGCAAAACATGGCGCAGCAAGTAGGCGCAAAAATGATGTTGTCATCTCGCAAACAACATGATCTGTCAACTTCGATAATGCCGAATACCATACCTTTCGTCGTTGAAGCCGACACATTTGCCAACCCTGCAAAGCTACAGTATCTTCCAGATTTGGGGCCGGTGCCTTCATCAGCCCTCATGTATATGATTTTCACATCTGGCAGCACGGGAACACCCAAAGGAGTCAAACTTTCCCATGAGACCTACACGAGTAGTGCCATTCCTCGTGCGAAAGAGGTGGGCTACACTGAAAGCTCTAGGACTCTCGATTTTGCGTCATATGCATTTGACGTCAGTATCGACAGCATGCTCCTAACACTAGGGAACGGCGGCTGCCTTTGCATCCCTTCAGACGAGGACCGAATGAACGACATCAACGGTGTCATACGCAACATGCGAGTCAACTATGCCGGCCTTACCCCGTCAGTGGGACGGATTCTGGACAAGGACGTTATCGCGCAGCTTGAGGGATTCGGTCTTGGAGGAGAAGCTGTCTCGGCGAGAGACTGTAACGTCTGGGGCAAACTCGCAAGGATAATCATCGGTTACGGCCCCTGCGAATGCACTATTGGATGTACAGTGAACGGCAACGCTGCCACTGGCAGAGATTATATCTCCATCGGTAAAGGCAACGGAGCCGCCATCTGGATCACGGATCCCAACGACCACGAATCATTAGTCCCAGTTGGTGCGGTAGGCGAATTGCTTGTTGAAGGTCCAATTGTCGGACAAGGCTACCTGAACGATCCCGAGAAAACGGCCGCCGCTTTTATTGAGGACCCGAAGTGGCTCGTCGCGGGACACAAGAGCTTTACTGGCCGTCGTGGTCGCCTCTACAAGACTGGAGACATTGGGAAATACGACCCTGATGGCTCTGGTGGCATTGTGTTTGTTGGACGTAAAGACACTCAAGTTAAGTTGCGCGGACAACGTGTCGAACTCGGTGAGATTGAAAGTCAACTTAGGGCCAGACTGCCCTCGGATGTCAATGTCATTGCAGAGGTGATTGTGCCCAAAGAATCCGGTGGCCAAGCCACCCTCGTCGCATTCGTTTCAGTTCAGTCCACGAAGAAACAGGATAATACAGAGCTACAGTCTGAAGAACTCCCTGAGGAACTACGCAAAACACTATCCGACGCTGATACCGATGTCGCTACGGTCCTGCCGCGGTACATGGTCCCAACTGCGTATATACCGGTCAATTACATGCCTGTTCTGATTTCAGGCAAGACTGACCGCAAGCGACTAAGGGAGTTCGGTACAAAGGTAGACTTGAGACAGGTGGAAGGTACAAGCAGTAGCAGTAGCAACCATACTGGGGAGCTGACTGGGCTTGAGCAACGCCTGCGGGCGGCTTGGGGTGAAACATTGAAGCGTGAGCCAGAAACCATTCGGCCTGACGACAATTTCTTCGCATTGGGGGGTGACTCGGTCACGGCTATGAAGCTTGTGTCCGTCTCTAGGGCTCATGGCTTAGAGCTTACTGTCACCAACACATTCAACTGCCCCGTACTTTCGGACATGGCAAGCGTTGTTCAAGTGTGTGATTCAGAAGCAAGGAAGGAAACGCCGGCGTTTTCGATGATTTCTCAAGCCGTCGACAGCGCCACTCTCGAGGCGGCCCAGGTTTGTGGAACGGAGCCGACAGCCGTCGAAGATATTTACCCATGTACCCCGACCCAGGAGTCATTGTTCACATTCTCCCTAAAAGCCGTGGCTGCGTACGTTGCTCAAAGAGTTGCGTGCATCCCTTCGCACATTGACTTGGAAACTTGGAGGAAGGCATGGGAAGATGTCGTCTCAGCAAGCCCTATCTTACGCACACGAGTTGCTCAGATCTCCGAACCGGGGCTCCAGCAAGTTGTCCTGAAGGAGAACATATCCTGGAGACACTCCACCAACTTGGCGCAATATCTTGAAACCGACAGAAGCGAGAAGATGGAGCTGGGCCAAAGTCTCGCTCGATATGCCATTATTGAAAATGCAGACGACGGCAAGCGATACATGGTCTGGACTATCCACCACGTTGTCTACGATGGTTGGTCAGAGCCGATAGTACTCCAGCAAGTCAGTAATGCCCTACGGAAGCAGCCCATAGAGCTGCAATCCCAGATGAGGGAATTTGTCAGATATGTACGCGAGACAGACGAAACCGCCATGCAAGAATTCTGGCAGCGCGAGCTGAGGGGCGCCGTCGGCCCTCAATTCCCGCGCCTGCCATCGAGAGACTTCTTGCCAACTCCCAATGGCATGGTTGAGCATCAGATAGACCTCGAGCTGGGTGCTGGATTACCATTCACGATGGCAACGCTGATTAGGGGTGCTTGGTCTTTGGTTGCATCTCAGTACACTGGAAGTGACGACATCGTGTTTGGCGAGACGCTTATGGGGCGTGATATTGCCTTGCCAGGTGTTGAAGGCATTATCGGACCATTGATTGCCACGGTTCCCGTCCGAGTACATGTCCATCGAACGAGCTCCGTCGAGTCTTACCTACAAAGCGTACAGCAAGCCATGCTGGCCCGAACTCCGTACCAGCATATGGGTATGCAGAACATCAGAAAAGTAAGCCATGATGCTCAACACGCTTGTGAAACCGGAACAGGCTTGGTCATCCAGCCCGACCCCGAGTACGTCGGTGATGAACTTGGCTTTGAGATCGGAGACGTTGTCCGTGAAGCGCTTCATTTCAATCCTTACCCGGTCATGCTGGGATGTGGTATCCGAAAGGGTGGCTTCAGGATCTGTGCTAGTTTCGATGTCAGCTTAGTCGAAGTCACTCAGATGAAGCGGATCCTTGCGCAGGTAGAGACCGCTTGCGCACAGTTGATCAAAGATCCTTCGAGGAGGATTAGTGAGATTTCATGTGTCCCTGAGGCGGAATTGAACAAGATCTGGCAGTGGAACCAAAGCCCACCATTGTCCTTAGACGAGGCATCTGGCAAACCTCGCGCAGATGCGAGCATCAAGCAAGGATCAACCTATCCTCGCGCTGTTGTGTCATGGGTTTGTGATCCGCGCAACTCATCACGATTGTCGCCCATCGGTTGTGTCGGCGAACTCTGGCTCGAAGGCGACTTGCTTTCGGGAGGAACGATCGATTCACCAGCCTGGCTTGTCGCTGGAAGCTCCAACTTTGCTGGTCGCAATGGCAAAGTGCAGTCCACGGGCGACATGGTTCAGTTGCGAGAAGATGGCAGCTTAATCTTTGTCGGGCGAAAAGAGAATGTTATCGGGGTTCAAGGGCACGCAGTGGATATCGCAGATCTCGAAGCCCATCTCAATCGACAACTGCCATCGACTGTTCTTGCGGCTGCAGCTGTAGCCCAAGCACCTTCGGAAGAGCCAGAGTTGGTCGTCTTCGTCGAGGAGCAGACATCTGAGGACAGCACTGTGAAGCTGGTCTCCGAGAAGCATCAAATTCAGGGCTTCCAGACGACCATCAGATCAGATATTCCCGTGAACCTTGCTCTATCACTCAAGAAACTCGACAAGTTTATTCGGGACAACCTTCCGGCATATATGGCTCCCTCTTCCTACATTGTTGTTGACAAGATCCCGACCAAGTCGGAACAAATCGACCACAGTTTACTCAACCAGGTTGCGTCGAACATCCCTCGACAAGTACTCATTCAACTTCGGGAGGGCATCGACGAGGCGTGGAAGAGCACCAGTGCCCAAACAAAACTGACAATAAACGAGAGTATACTGCAAGCCGCTTGGGCGTCCATCCTGAAAATTGATACAGAACGAATTGATGTCGACGACAACTTCTTCCGGCTGGGTGGAGACTCTGTCCTGGCCATGAAGTTGGTGTCAAGCCTTCGAATCCAAGGCCACAATCTGTCAGTTGCCGATGTCTTCCAGCACATGCGCCTTGGTGATGCCGCCAAAAAGCTAAAGGTGGGCCAGGCGCTAAAGGCGAAGAAGACGCAGGCTTACAAGCCATTCTCGACGCTAGGCGGACTGGACTTGGAAGTATTCCTGTCAGAGAGTGTGCGGCCAAAGCTTTCGGATTCCAGTTGGTCTATTCAGGATGTGTGCCCCGTTACAGATTCCCAGGCTCTGGATGTCAGGGCAACCGTCAACACACCGCGCACCTCTATTCAGTACACTATGCTGTACTTTGGCAAGGACTTTGATGGAGAAAAACTGTTTGTTGCTTGCAACAACCTCGTCAAAACTCACGACATTCTGCGCACTGTTTTCATTGAGCACGGGTCAACCTTCCTTCAGGTGGTGCTTGAGACACTTGAGGCCCCCATAATTAAGCAACAAACGGACAAGGATCTGGAGCAATATGTCACGGAGCTCTGCACAGCAGACATCGAAACAACCTTTGCACTCGGCTCGCCATTCGTCCAGTTCTTCCACCTCGCAAACACCACCAACGGCCAACAATCTCTAGTCCTTCGCCTCTCTCATGCCCAATACGACGGCATCTCTCTCCCGCGTCTCCTCCGTGACCTCGAAACTCTCTACACAGGCAAGACAATCGCCTCTTACGAGTCATTCCCTTCATACATCTCCCAGATTCACGACAAACCTGCCGAGGCAAAGGCAATCACCTATTGGCGCGATCTCCTCGCCAACTCCTCCCTCTCCATCCTCCCCGGAAAGTCATACCCACACAACCCCTCCAACAAAGCCGTCTTCCACCACAAGGCTATCACCGCCATTCCCGCCCAACCTTTCAAGGAAATCACCACGGCATCTCTCCTCACAGCCTCCTGGGCCGTGCTCCTCGCTCGCCGTCTCAACAAGACAGACATCACCTTCGGCAGCGTCACCTCCGGCCGCATCCTCGAACACATCGACAACACCGAGAACATCATCGGCCCAACCTACCAGATCACCCCGGTCCGCGTCCCCTTCCAAGATTCCTGGACACCTTCCGATCTGCTCCACTACGTCCAATCCCAATCCGCCGCCTCGGCCGCCCACGACTTCCTCGGCTTCGAGCGGATCGCGAAGAACTGCACACAGTGGCTCCCGTCATCTGATTCCGAGTCCGATCCTTCATTCTTCGACTCAATGGTGCATCATCAAGACCATGAAGACTTCGACACTATGCCCTTCGCTGGAGGCGAGTGCAAAGTAGACATCGCGAATCCGCACGGTGATGCAGCGTATCCGGTCAAGGTTGTTTCGTTTGTGCGTGATGGACAACTTCATTTCGGTGTCGTGGGTAGTGAGAGTGAGGTTGTGTTTGTGGATTCGGTGCTGGATGAGCTGGTGAACACCGCGGAGGAGTTGGTTAAAGGCTTTGGAGACGTTTTGGCGCTGGGTTAATTGCGCTGAAAGGTAGTTAGTATGGGCTTACTATATACTGTTTTCGATCTTATCTAGAGCTGCCTGCTGTTTAGTTGAGCTGATTGTAAAGTTCTTGATATATAGTATAGTAGTGTTAGACTTTCGGAGCAATGAAGTTTGATTCGGCGTTAATCCCACTTTCCTCGAGGCTTAGCTCTTTCTGCCGTACTGGAGGCAGGCGCAGTCATCGCTCCTTCCTTTATCACTATGTGAAGCGGCAGACCCCTCCTTCCTTATTCTCTGTACTATATCTACGAGGAAGGAGCGACTCATCGCGGTTTTCCGGATTTGATCAGCCCGGGGTCGCTCCTTCCTTGCCTATTCTCTGGTGCATAATAATAAGGTACGCTCGTGAACCCTTAGATTATTAGAACTCCCGGTTCATGTAACTTCTCTAGGGGAGGGATATCCAGAGCGTTGTACTATCCTACTATAATACGGGGGCTACGCACAACACAAGGCAAACATGTCCATTACTGATTAACTATAAACTTTAAAGTATGTTCCTTCAAGCTAGATTCTCAGCGAAATCAATGCAAAGAAAAAAAAAACGAATGCAACAAAACCAAGTGAAGACTCAAGTAGCAACCGTCTGGTGCAAAACATTAGCCCTATAACTCTCCGACCTCTCCAACAGTTCGTCATGACTCCCCGCATCGATACAAACACCCCCTTCTATCAAGAAGATGACATCCGCCTTCCGGATCGTATGTAGTCTATGCGCGATCGCAATAACCGTGATTCCCTGCGCGGCCTTTTCAAGTCCATCCTGCAGTAACTTCTCAGACTCCGCGTCGAGAGCGCTCGTTGACTCGTCCAGAATGAGTAGTTTGGGCTTACGGACAAGCGCACGCGCAATCGAGAGACGTTGCTTTTGTCCACCAGAGAATTGGTTCCCGTTGGGCCCACAAAGAGTGTCGTAGCCGTCCGGAAGGGCGACGATGGTATCGTGGATGTTGGCCAGTTTGCAGGCTTCTTCTATTTCGGACAAGGAGGCTTCGTGGCCTGGCCGGGAGCCGAGGGCGATGTTGAATTTGATGGTTCCCTCGAAAAGGACAGATTCCTGGGGCACGAGGGCGATGGAGTTGCGGAAGGTTGTGGAGCAGTCTGGGGATGTGATGTCGCGGCCGTCGATGAGGATAGAGCCTGATTGTGGTGTATAGAGGCGTTCGACGAGGGAAATGATTGTTGATTTTCCTGCGCCGCTGGGACCGACGAGGGCGGCGAATTGGCCGGGTTTTATGTTGATGTTTAGGCCGCTGAGGACTTTGATGTCTGGTCGGGCAGGGTAGGAGAAGTGGATGTTTTGGAGGTGGACGGCTGATGCTGTGCTGTTTGGCTCGGTAGCTGCTTCGAGGGATTTTTCCTCAATGGAAGAGGGTGTCGTTGGAGAGACAGGGTGTGCATGGCCTGTCATTTTATCGGATCCTATCTCAATGAGTCCAAGTAGTCTCGCCATTGCTGCTCGAGCACTGGAAAGCTCTGGTGCGAGGGCAAACATTTGGCTCCAAAGTAGGGCACTGACAAGAAGAGAGAAGACCACTATCAGGAACTGCGTCTGAGTATAGTTGCCTGCCAAGATCTGTTTGGATCCCCACCAATATGCCAGTGCGTTGACGAGATTGCCCAGGAAGTATGTCATTGCCTGCCAAAGACTTGCTTGCAAGGTAACTGTGAGTGTCTCCTTGCGAGGACCTTTCAAAGACCGCTGATATGTCTTTAGCGTTTCTTCCTCGAGAGAAAGTGAAGCAATTGTCTTGATAGAAGTGACTGCTTCGACACCAATGTCAACCGACTTGGTATACGCATTCTCATGACGTTCCTCGAATTTCCCAAGCACGTGGAGCTCCATGAGGCCGGCACCCAGGAGAAGTGGTACCAAAGCCAGGCAAACCAAAGCGATCCTCCAGGCAATGATATGCGTCAATATGATGGCAGCGATGAGGTTGACTGTGATGGAGAATAGTGTCCCAATCACAGAACCGCTCAGTCCAGCCAACGCGTTGCCATCCCTGGTGATATAAGAAAGTAGCAAAGGAGGTGTTCGGCCTTTCGATTGATGCCACTGCAGATCTTGCTCTAGCAGTGACCGGAATGACAAGACCCTGACAGTGTATACCACTTTCTCAGAGACCCATCCGAATCCCGCCCAACTAGCCACATTTGCAAAGAATTCGATGATTGCAAGAACGAAGAACATAAGCCCAAAGAAGTTACCTTTGGATCGGATATCGTCCGGGCTGTTGCACGGGTTCAGACTTCCGACAGTGTTTCCAAAAATCACGGCCTCGCCAGAGAATGCTCCTCCGACAATGCTCGAGCCAAGAAGTGCGGCAAAGATGAAGAGCAGGTGTGGCCTTAGGGCTGGGGCGTATCCTCGCACAAGAGCCCATAGGGATTTTGGTGGAGTTTCTGGTTCGTCCGCCTCTTCAGGAATGTCGACGACCTGAGTTTCAGTTGCTGAGGGCATCTTTTTCTCGGCTTCTCCAAGGCCATTTGAATGGCTCGACTCGAGTTCGTCTTCTGTTGAGGAGGCCTGCGTCTTGCTGGTGCTACCAAGACTAGCTGTTTCGTTCTTGTCGGATGCAGAACGGAGAGTTTGCAACTTGACCAGCTCGGCATAAGAACCATTCTTCGCCATCAGCGTTGAATGATCTCCTTGCTCCACAATATGGCCCTTGTGCATAACGACGATATTGTCAGCGCTGGTGATTGTCGATAATCGATGGGCGATGGTGATCACGGTTCTTCCACTGGCAATGTTCGAGATAGCCTGTTGGATGCGCTGCTCGCTTCTTGAGTCCAAGGAAGCTGTTGCTTCATCCAAGATAAGTACTGCTGGGTTCTTGACAAGAGCACGCGCAAGAGATACTCTTTGTTTTTGACCACCACTAATCAGACGTCCGCTGGATCCAACAACCGTGCCATATCCGTGCTGCAATGCAGAAATGAAAGCATCTGCATCTGCGAGCCTAGCAGCTTCTTGTACTAAGATGACGATTTCGAGAACTTCAGAGCCATGCTTCTCTGCCGCTTGCATCAAGTCCTGACCTTCTCTCACTTCTCCTGCCAGCTCTGCAAGAGCAGAGCCCAACAGGATTGGTTTTAGATGGTTATGGTTGGGGTCACCAGAATTCATCAAGCCATGTGCGATGTTTTCGAGGAGAGACCGGTCGAGTAGGGAAGGTTCTTGCTGGACCAGGCTGAGAAAGCTTCTCAGGTCACGAGTATTGACTTCTCGAAGATCGTGACCGTCAAAGAAGATTTGTCCCGCCGTTGGATCATACAACCTTGTGACTAGCCCTGCAATGGTAGATTTGCCACTCCCTGAAAGGCCTACGATGGCAGTATGCTTGTTGGCGGGAATCGAAAGACTGACTTTATCAAGTACAGTAACCTCTCGTCTGGATGGATAGGTGAACGAAACATCCTTCAGCTCAAATCCACCCTCTGCCTGTGAGAGTCGAAGACCCGAAGTAGCCGTACCATCAATCAATGGCTGGCGATCAATGTCTCCGCGCAACTTTTCGAAAGATGCCACCGCAGCTGTGAACAGATGAAGGAAGGGTGCGACTTGACTCAAAAGCAAAGTCGCTATATCCGTTAGTGCAAGTCCTTTTACAAGGGTCGAATGGCTTACCTTCGACAAGAATAAATATGACTGTGAAAGTGGCTCCAACAGTGGTTCCGCTCGAGTCATCTGCAACTGCCTGGGCGATTTTCCTACTTCCCTCCCAAAACGCAAGGCCATTTGCAGAGTAAGCGATAAAGTACAAGACGCCCGACTGTATACCGACTGCTGTAGCCTTCTTCAGACCCTCATGTTCCGACGACTTTAGCGCTTTGGAAAACTTCTCTTCGAGTCGAGCATTGGCGCTAAATGCCTGTACCACCACAAAGTTGGACAGGGCTTCCGATGCAATCGATGCGGCGGTAGCGGCGTAATTTGACATAAGACCGGAATATTTCTCAATATAATGACTTCCAACAAATGACATCAAGAAGTAGGCCGGAATCAACGAGACCAACATTCCCGCTAGCTTGGAGTCCTTGATAAAAGCGACGATGTAGGCTGTGACGAAGAAGGAAAAGCTTGCAAGGCAAATGCCCACTTTCTCGGATGTGCCCGAGCGAATGGTCTGGATGTCGCCATTAAGTCGAGAAGCAACCTCTCCTGGGGGAAGATTGTCAAAGAAAGACGGCTCTTGTCGTAGCAAATTCTGTAGATAGGTTTCCCGTAGTCGCTGGGCGAGACGAGCGCCGTTCAGAGTCCAAAACGAAAGGTGCACATAGATCAGCACGAACTGGGCTATCGCCAAGTACACGATTAACAAGATCTTGTCGTTGATGCTGCCTTGGTAGTCGGAATCGGACTCGGATGTGCTGGATGCACTGCACGTTGCCGAGTTGAAGTCATCGAGAAGCTGGCCAAAGATAATACCGATCAAAGGAAAAGGCACGCCCGATGCAATTGCACTGAGTATACCCACCCCAAGCATGCCAAGGTCGAGTTTCGAGGGGTTCCCGGCCAGCAGCAGGCGCGGAAAGCCCGCTATGTTCTGGACAAGCTTCATGGTGTGTCGTGGCCTGCAGCTTGTGCTTGCAACACTCCAGTGACAGTCGTCGCCAAGTGATTTAGTACTGCAGACGCAGGATATCTCTCAATTTATTGACGACGATCTCTCATCGACATTGCGTTAGAAATGGCAGATCCACCGCAGACACGGCGGTCCACCGTCTTTTGAAGGAAAAGCCATCGGCTCTGATGCCTTTCTGGAGTCTTGTGGAAAGCGATCTCGGCCGCCATGAGGAGCAGGAGGCTTGCAAGACACTTTCAGGAGAGTTTGGTAGAGCAAGCCTCCGCCACGGCTGGAATCGTTACGTAAGGTCATGATGTGTAGGATCATGGAACGAGTAGAATCCGAGATGGACTGAGGGTCCTGCTGGCGTCGCTCAAACAGTGGTCGAACCGTTGTTGACGAAGCTGTCTAGAGGAGTGTGAAGGAATGAGGCGTCAAGCTATCCAGAACCACGTAACTTGTAGTCTTGTGGGTCTGTATTGTTTTTACCACTGTGGGGCAATTTGAAGAAACAGGTACTGTAAGGATGTATGGCACCATTACAACAGTGCCTGAAGTTTGGTTACTACACCAATTTTTTTTTCTCCGCAGTGTCTCCAATTCAAGTGGGCATTCCCCCGATCATATCCGATGGCTCTTGACTTCATTCTTGCCCTGGTAATTGACTGCGCAACTTTCTTGAGCAAGCTTGTTCTCTGTCAATACCCGTGAGCATACAGCCAGCGCCGCAAATAATGTCGGCGTTTCTGGGCAGCTCTCAGTCCTCCCTGTCTGAAGACACCCCTCTGCTTGGGGATGACCTGAACCCGGAGGAAGCCCAAGATGGAGTCAAACAGGCCGAAGCGATCACATTGGTCTGGTCGAGGAAATCCCTGGTGACAGCGTATATTCTGTAAGTTAACCCGTTCACTGGGACCATGGACACTGAGACTGATGTAGTGATTTGATAGAATGTTCCTTCTGTATTTTGTGAATGCCTTCCAATCCTCGATTACCAGCAATCTTTCTGCATTCGTAACCAGCGGCTTCGAATCGCATTCCCTGATCCCCGTCATCTACATTGTATCGAGCGTCATGTCGTCAGCGACGTATATGCCTCTTGCGAAGATATTGAACATCTGGGATCGGTCGATCGGGTTCTTGATCATGATCGCATTTGCAACGCTGGGGCTAGTGTTGTCTGCGACGTGTACTAGCATCACAACATACTGCGCATCGCAAGTGTTTTACACCATCGGCTTTGCCGGTATGGTTTTTAGTGTCGATGTCATAACAGCCGATACGTCGTCGCTGCGCGATCGAGGCCTTGCTTATGCATTCACCTCGTCGCCCTACATAATCACTGCATTCGCGGGGTCGGCCGCTTCGGAGCGCTTCTATGCTTATAATTGGCGCTGGGCATACGGCAGTTTCGCCATTATCCTTCCCATCGTTGCGTTGCCTATGTTTGGTCTACTGCAGTACAACCGTTACAAGGCAAAGCAGCTGGGTTTATTGCAAGAGAAAGAGCATAGCGGCAGGACTTTTTCTCAGAGTGTCGTCCACTACATCATCGAATTTGACCGTAAGTCTTCTCTTCCTCAAGTTGCATCTGTACTAAGATTTTAGTCCTGGGAGTTTTTCTCCTAGCGAGCGGACTTGTGCTTTTCCTTCTCCCATTTACCATTGCTGGCTCGACGGCAAATGAATGGAGGTCACCCTATATCACTGCCATGCTCGTCCTGGGTCTTGTCTGCCTCGTCGGCTTTGTCCTAGCAGAGCGGTTCCTTGCACCAGTTCCCTTCCTCCCGTGGGAGTTGTTAGCGTCACGGACAATATTAGGAGCATGCCTCCTCGGCGCGTCATACCAAATCGCTTATTATTGCTGGAACGAGTACTACACATCATACCTCCAGGTGGTATATGGAACGAGCATCTCGACCGCCGGCTACATCAGCAGTATCTTCAACATGATCTCCGGTATATGGCTTCTCGCCGTGGGCTTCATGATCAAGAAGACATCTCGATTTCGATGGCTGCTCCTTTGGGCAGTGCCCCTCTACATGCTAGGAGTTGGCTTGATGATCTACTTTCGCAAGCCTGGCTGGTCCATGGGCTACCTCATCATGTGCCAGGTCTTTATCGCCTTTGGAGGCAGCACCATGATCAGTTGCCAGCAAGTTGCCGTTTCTGCTGCGTCTGATCACAACAACATCGCTTCAGCGCTTGCCTTTCTCGGTGTCTTTGGTTCCATGGGTGGTGCTGTTGGAAGTAGCATCTCTGGTGCTATCTGGACAAATACCTTGCCAGGCGCTTTGAAACGCTTACTACCCGAGGCTGTCAAGGCTGATTGGAGGACGATTTACGAGTCGCTCGATGTTCAATTAAGCTACCCAGTTGGCTCGCCTGTTCGAGAAGCTATTGCGCTCGCTTATGCCGAGACTCAGAGCAAAATGCTGATCGCGGGCACGTCTATCATGGCCTTGTGTCTTGGTTGGATGTTCTTGATTCAAGACATCAAGCTTAGCAAGGGTTCACAGACAAAGGGAGTTCTCTTTTAATTGCATTATAGTCGTCGCTTTTCCTTGGATATGTGTAGACGATAGAGTGGTAGAGTCATAGAGGTTTTTGTATATATTCGTTATAGATTAGATGATTACACTCCCTCTACTCCGGTCAAATACCCCAGGACCCGCTGTACAAGATCCTTTCTCGGCTCCGCCTGATCATCATTACTGAGCGCATGCGACGCCCCAGGAACAATCCCACTCCCCTCATCCCAAATTTCCTCTTCACCTCCTTTTCTGTCCCCGTCAACAACCCTCCTCCATTTTCTCAACACGCTTTCCTTATCAACCCATTCCGGAACCGATTGATCTGCCCCAGACATCAGCACAAGCAGCTTGTACCCCAAAAGCCCTCTCTCCCTTATCATCCCAAACGTTTTCCCCAACTGTTCGCTCCCCAAATCCGAGCTGAACATGTCATCCTCCCCGGGATTCCCCGGAGAATCCGGACTAACGAGGCTGAGGAACCGGCGCGCAGAGAGCGGAACCGTGGGCGGGTACCCAATCTGCCCAGTGAGATGAAGCGGGAGGAGAGTATCATGTTTCGGGTCCGGATTCGCCGCGACGGCGTTCATCGCAATCGTCTCAACTTCCTTATACAGCGCGGTTACCTGCTCAGAGGTCTTCCCAAGCCACCCCTGGCTCAAGACGAGCTTTATGGCTTCGCGGTCGGAGACGGGCGCCTGCATGATTGCACCGTCGAGGAAAGGCCGCGCCAGGTGCTCGAGGTCGGTGTCAAAGGCCTTTTGGCTTGTATGTGGGTTGGGGCGCGAGAGGTAGTGCAGTACGCATTGGGAGCCCGTTGAGTGGCCCATTAGCACGATCTTTCCGGGCCGGTTCGAACCCGATGTAGCGGCGCTGAACTTCCCACTCTTGTATTCTTTGATATAGTTCAGACACTGTGCGATCTCGTCCGTGTCGCGGTCGAGGTGGCCGAGGCCCCAGCAGTTATATGAGGAGGTGAGGTTCAGTGTGAATAGCGACCAGTCTGTTGGGTTCAGGGCGGCGGCGAGGTCGGCCATGTAGGAGGTTGTTGCGAGGCCATCGCCGAGACCGCCGACGAAGAGGAGGGAGTTTGGCTTTGGGGTTGTGGAGGCTGTGAATTCGAATGTGACGAGGGTCTCTGTCTATGTCAAATTCGGTCAGTTACTTGAGAATTCGATGCGCGGGGGAAGAGAAGGTCATACAAAGTGGTGTAAGATACCCGGGAGGCCCCCTTGAGGCCAGAATTTGGAGTACATGTTGCAATTGAGCTTGCGCTGGAGTTTGGTTAATTAGATCTCGGGGATGGAGGGGTAGAGGGGTAAGTAAAGCTGTCAGTGTTAGTCGGTGTTGAAGGTAGATTCAACGGCTTATCGTGATTTCACCATGTGCCTGGCCTTCTCCGAAGGAACCGTGTCTCGGTTCTTGGCCTATCCGGTATATCCGCTTTTCTCTTGCCAGTTCCACTTTTCATCGCAAGTCGCTTGCAGTCGCAGTACCAAATGGGTTCACGTAATTGTATGGATCCTTCTTGGAATGACACAGTCTGGCGATACCGGTAATACCAAAGTGGGAATAATTATCAAAACCCGCTAGTAAAGTACGCTAGAGATCAGATAAGATTGTGCGTCGGACAAAATTCTCGCTTCGGTTAGAGACGAAATTCCTGCAGAGAATGACAGCAGAAAAGTCCCACGTTGATGACCCACGGCCCACGAGGCTGCGTATGCGTTCATGTCCATCGTTATCTGATCGAATCGCTTCTAATTTCTTCCTTGAAGGCTGTATATTAGGAGGTATCTCGTGCAGAACCCATCTTCATTCCCACGGCGGGCTTCTGGACCCGCGTACTGGAGAATTTTTGGTTGTTCCTGGGCCCCGAGGAGTTCACCGGTACAGTATGTGTCATAGATTGATTGATTAGATGAAAAATTGCTCGTAAGTTGGAAGGGCATTAAAGTTTCCATGATAAGATCCTTAGTTTACAGGCCCGTTGTGGGAGAGGGGCTTTGTTGTGAAGCCATCTCTTGCTACTTGAAAGGTGATTCATATCTTCAAGCGTAATAATATAGGGATATTGAGGCTCTCTCTAGCCACACTGTCCTACGAGTCCAGTCTACTATTACATCTGCAGATGAGATATCAGGTCCCATGTATCAAGCTCATGGGCCTCGTGGTTCACTCGTCACTCTTCTGTTTCTGTTTTTGCCTAGATAATTGGCAGTACTCTTGCCTTGCCAGGCCCGTAGGGCTTTTGATCCTCTAGCGCGGGTAGGTAGAGGGGTCTTGTTTTCAATTTATTAGGGTGGTTAGAGGTGTAGGTAGGGGTCTAGAGGGGTAAAGACTATAGGCTTATAGGGATACCTATATAGATTATACTCTACCCAAGTTAGACTTGGGGGGTTGTGTATTGTTAGCCGAAATGCGAGTGTAGCAACTCCCGCCTTGGAGCTATACTTGATGTATGCGGACTAACATGGCGAGTCGCCCGCTGCCGGGTATAGGTCCAATTCTGTAGTCTACATCCCCGGAGAAAAGTTACCGTTGTAGACTTTTAGGGTAGTTGACCGAAGTTATCTGACTGAGAAACGTGAGAGGGGATATAGAGGCGGGCGCTGGTTGCAGCCTACAGACATACTGGAGAATAGACACTGGCAGCCCAATAACGAGATATTACTAGTAGGTAGTGAATCACTCTCCTGGCCAGTGCAATAGAGAAAACATACAAATACTTATCGAAGCGTTGGTTATTAACTAAAGTATCAGTGGTTTATGTTAACTACCTCCACTGTTTCGCGATTACTACAAAATATACAACTACTCCGTGCATCCTACACCGTCTCCAGGTCTTGATATTGACCTGAGCACCAACTTGAGTATTTTCTAGTCAGATCTGAATAGTTACTACTAGTATCAAGTCAGAACAAAAGCTTCAAAGTAGGGATTAGTCAAACTAACAAGAGCGAGATGTTATGCTGCTCACGTGGTCGCGTGGTTCCGGAAGCCTCGCCAGGCATCCAGCCAGGCATCCCAAGGTCATCAACATCAACAACCTCCTCCAGCAACGCAGCGCAGCCGAACATCCTCTCTGACTCCTTCAGCGCAAAACCTCAACCCAGATCAAATGACAATGCGAAAATGAGCCCATACCTATCTCTATATCTAGATTCCATCTCATCGCATGGCACCATATGTCCGCCCAATAACTACCATCACCTCGAACTCCGCGAAGAACAACTATCATGATGCGGAGCAGCTCACCTTCTACCCAGCCTTTTGCTTCAAGGCGTCCCCGACGCACTTTGCTTGGGTGAAGCTAGCCACATCGGATATCCATCGTTTACGAAAGCGAGTGGAGTTTGCAGGTCCGTTCGTCTTTTCCTTCGTCTGGCTGTCTTTTTCTCTTCCGGGTCTCGTTTCTTTGTTTCGAGGGATTAGAGTTTCGAGCACGTCGTACTTTTTTTCCTTATCCGTACGCGTATTCCTGTGGGCATGTGAAGATAGCGCGGAATTAATATACCAGAAAACTATGCTAACGCGACGCGACGCGGAATCCAGACCAAGGCCTCTTCTTCTACCAAAACCATCCAATTCGGTTCGCCAATCTGATCGGAATCATCATTGCACGGACCGATGTGCCCCGACGGACGATACTCACGCTGGATGATAGCTCCGGAGCAACGATTGAAGTAGTCGTTTTGAAGGCAGATGAGCCCTCTACCTCAAAATCTACGGCCGGAATCCGTGGCCGAACCACGAATTCGAACACAACTGGCGAAGATGATACTCTGGAGGAGAAAGGCATTCGAAAGGAGGCCCACGTAACATCAACAACGCACAGCCCCATCGACATCACCCCGCTACGCCCAGGAACCCTCTTCCAGATCAAAGGCACGCTATCAGTCTTTCGCTCGACGATGCAAGTCAACCTCGAGCGATTCTTCCCGGTCCCCGATACAGCTGCTGAGATGCGCTTTGTTGAAGCGCGGTGTCGGTTCTATCTTGAGGTGCTTTCTACACCTTGGTTTGTGAGTGAGGGAGATATTGAGACTCTGAGACTTGAGGCGGATGAAGAGGGGGAGAAGATTGAGGAGGAGCAGGCGCGGGCTAGGAGGAGAGCGAGGAGGAGGGTTGAGAGGGAGGAGAAGGAACGGCTGAAAATTGAGAGGGCGTGGGACAGGGAGGAAGCTAGTAGGGAGAAGGATGCGAGGAGGGCGAGAGAGGCGGGGGGTGAGCTTTTGCGAGAGCTTGAGGCTAAGAGGAAGAGGGGGCGTGATAGAATGGGTAGTTAGACTCTGATTCACTATATATAACCCGGACTATCGCTATGATATGATATATGACGGAGATATAATGAAGAGCAGCACGCATGGGGTAGGCATACACCAAATGAATTCACAGACAGCAATATGGATATCAGTCGTTTCTCGTTAGTCATAAGTAAAGGCAACGTTATTAGATCGCAGCCCAAATCCAAAGAAAAAAATGAACACAAACACAGACGGAACAGAGAGAGTAAGTACAACATGAGAGATAGATGTACAATACAGATAGAGAGTATGATGAAGCCCTAGTTCATTCACAACACACAAACCTTCACCGATAACTCTTGTAATCATACCCGGATCCAGATGACCCTCCTCCCTGGCCACCAAGCAAGCCACGATAGTATTCCTCTTCACCTGCCCAGCTGGATCGGGAAGGGAGGCTGTCGTGGTACTTGCTCTTCTCGCGCTCCTTTTCGCGCTCGCGGAGCTGCTCGTAGAGTCGCTGGTCTTCGGCGCTGCGGTCGAGCTCCCTGTATTGCTCGAGGAGATCACTAGGAAGGCGTGAAGACGCTGAGTTATGGTGATGGTGGTGATGGTGGTGGTCGCTCAAGTTTGTGCCCGAGGTTCGCGGACCATTGTGGAGGTCGCTCTCCGAGTGTCTATACTCGTGGCCGGGGGGGAACCCGCGCGATTGGCTCCGGGAGCGAGTAGCTGTCCCAGATCTCGCGCGTCCGGGCCCTTTCGACTCGTTGCGATAGGGAGGAGAGTCTGGGACGCGAGCCGCGGAGGGTCGAATCTCTTTGATGCTGCCGCTTGTGCCGCTCGTGGAGAAGGAGTTTGCGTGGCGATGTGTTGGGGCACCTGGTCCCTCGTAGACTTTGCCTGCCCCAGGCTGCGCGCTGTAGGGCTTCCGTCGCCGTTCGAGAGAGGGTGCGGATTGGTCGTCCTCATCTTCGTCCTCTTCATCGTCAACGACGGTCGAAGCAGTTGGTGGTTGGTAGTTTGTCCTGTCCCGGTCGTTGAAAGGGCGCGTAGAATCGCCGGCAGAGAAGCTCGGGCATGTAGACGATTTGTGGCGCTGGTGAGCGACCTTTTTGATCTCTTCGTCCGTGATAGGCGGTAGGTCTACACCGCAGTGCTTCATGATATGTTGGTCGAGCTCTTCGCGCAATCGCAGGTTCGGGAACTCTGGGAACAGTTGACGCGGTATCTCTTTCGGAAACCTCTCCTTTCTATTGTCTGGATTATTGATTGGCATGTTCAGCACGGCTTTCTGAAACCGCTCGTATTCCTTGTCTGGATGGGCCCGAATCATCAACGTAGCCCACACCTCGAACCCTCGCGGGGTTAGACCAGGAATATCAGGCCTCTCGTTCAATTTGAGCTGGACGAGGTGGTGTTCTGCTTCGACCTCGCGGAAAAGTCTCGATATGGAGGACGTACGATCATCGAATATATCTAGAGACAGACTTAGCATGGAATGATTCAAACAAAATAATATAACTTACCCTGCCATGGGTAGGGATCTGAGGGAATATTAGTATCTGCGTAGAACTTCTGCAACTTATCCGGGAGGACAACAAGAGTATTCCCGGGTGGATAATCTTCAATCTAGAATGGTTAGTCGATACCGACATTGGGATCATATGGGTATCTTACCAAGTGCATCGCGACTCCGCGTAAGAACTGCCCTAACCGCTCAGTTGGCTTCTCTTCATCGAAAAATTTCCCCCATATCTTCTCCAGAGGAGTGAGAAATGTGTCACCCCTCTGGAGGTTCGGACGGGACTCAGGCCTTTGGCTATGCTCGCTGAAATGGCTAGCAGGGGACTCCCTTCTGTCCTGGGGAGGAGTAGGGCTCGGTCTGGGATGTAGGTGGGCAATACTTGAGTACTCGGGCTGCGGAGGAGGGGTTCGATAGGCGGTTGGAGGCGGCGGAGGCGGGCTGTGAGGCATTGCTGGCGTAAGCGGCGACGCAGGGTTCTGGTAAGGCTGTGGTGTCCCCCATTGTGGTGGTTGCGGCGGTGGTACCGATTGCGAAGGCTGCTGGACGTTAGGCATGCTACCCAGGTTCATTCCTCCGAGTTGCTGAAGCACATTTGCTGTGACCTGTGCCACGAGCTCAGGCGAGATATATCCGGGCGAGCCACTGCTTCCAACGGCCGAAGTCACCGCTTCGTTGATTCGTCCCGCCTGAGCAGGGGGGGGCGGAGGTGGCCAGGAGGTTTGCTCGCGCGGCGGGTCTGGATAGTAGCCTTGGGAAGGAGGTGGTGGTGGAGGGGCATTTTGAGGTATCTGAGGCTGCGAAACTTGAGGCTGTGGCATATTGAGCTGATCGGACGTTGGCTGGTATGGATATGGGGGCTCAAAGGACGACGGGTGATTCTCGCTCATATTAATAGGGCCCGTATTGTCTGGTTGCCCATAAGGATTCGAACCATGCTGAAAGGCATCGTACGCCATCAGGACTCGCTGGAACACAATTCACCCAAAGACCATGCAATATATGTCTTTGTAGGAGCGAGCAGAAGGTGGCGAAGATAATAAGAGCAATAATGACGAGGACACAAAAGTGCTTTGTGCGCTCGAAGGCGTTTGTGAGCTAGGATAAACGGCGCACAAAGCAGTTGAGAGAGTGAGGGGTAGCAGGCGAGATTATTGACTCTTGCGTGGGACAGTGGTTTTCAGCCCTTTGAACGCGTAGCGCGGAGATTTTTTCTTTCATGCGGTTGGGAGTTAAACAAAGAGCTGGGAAAAAAGGAAAACAGGAGCCTGATGTCAAAGATCAGCAATGCAGCAGGGCAAGGCATCGAAGAGGAGAAGTGGTGCTTTCAGCCGCGACCGTTGGAAGGTCATACGTCACTTGCGCCCGACTGAAACCCACCAGAGTCAGATCGGTGGCGGAGATCGGCTACAGAGGCATCATCCTCTCGGCGTTCGGTCATGCAGAGCAGTAGAGCAGATCTCTTGGAGTGCGAGACTACATAAGAAGTACCTGATTCCTCTAAATCTAAGCGAACCGGAACCATGGTCGCGTTTGGCTCGAATCAATACAGTCCAGGCACACGGCCAACCAATCGCTGCAGGAGAAAACAGTCATCACTGGCAGTACACCTCTTCCCAGTCACTTCAACTTTGAGGGCACCCGCCGGAACTTCGTGGCCACATGAAACGCTTTACATACAACGTTCAAAGTTCCCACTCTTCGTCTTCCTCTTCATATCCATTGTCGTGGTCCTCGGTCTTCGTGACTGGGGCCCTCACCGCAACGTTTTCTTTGATAGGTTCGGGCTTCCACGCCTGTCGGTAGTCAGCAACTCATCCCTCCAGCCCTTGTGCACGAAACACTTACCTTGATTTTAGCAAAATTTCTGTGTCTGTCATCGGTGGCGACGGTACTAGGAGCTCTGGAAGCAGTCAGACCCCACGCTTCCCAGCGCGAGTGGACAGATACTCCATCGGTGGCAGCGTCATGGCGCTCAATTTCAACGGAGTTGTTTCCCCCGAGGCTGATGGTGCGCATCGAGTTGTTCTCCTCCGCGGTCGTGTATCCATTGAGAGCAGATGCTTGGGTAGAGCTAGTGAAGGGCCGAGTAGACCCAGACAGAGATGCTGCATGGCTCTGAAGTGCAAGTCAGTACTCGAATACGCTCAGCCATAAGGATGCTATCTCAAACTCACGGCAGTAAGAGTAGTCGAAAACTCGCTGTCGGTGAGCAGCTTGTTCTCATCGACGACAGGCTCTGCATCTGCATGTCCTTGGACGCAACGCAGGCAACGCTAATGTTATCTGATGTTAGTCCGAAAGGAATTCAGGGAGTAGACTGGAACCATACCGCATTCTCGTGCTCCTTCCGCTGGTTGTTTGCAAACCCATCAAGCGCTTTGGTCTGCTCGCAGACTATGCACGTGAGCTCCGTGATTTGCCCATTGGTACAAGTGAGGCAGGATGCGTGGCCGGTGGACAGGGCTCTATTCCCCTGCTCATGAACGGCATGGCGCACAATGTTCAACTGTCTCTTGGAAAAGGACGCAATGAGGCGCCATTTGTGGCAAGTTTTACACTTGATCCTGAACTTTGTTAAGGACAATACCGGGGCATGGACTAGAAGGAGGTTCGCTCACTTGTCAGGAAGGTTGACCCTTTCAAGCCTGGAACAGAGAAAGGTTTCGTTAGCTGGGCGAACATAAATAAAGATCCAGCTCTTGAGTACTCACTGTCTCTGAATCGTTTCGCTAAACCCCCCGCTGTATGCGTTTGGAACGCCCGAGGACAAGCGACGGCTCATGCTTGGTGGGATGCCGTGAATGAATGGTGTCTGATAGGGATCAAAGATATTTGAATATGTTGGTTGCTCTATTTAAGAAGGAATTCAAGGAGAGGACTCTGGGAAGAGAAATTCGAGAAGAGGGGTTCGCGAAGTGGGATTCGAGGAGAGGAAATTGTAGAGAAAGAGAAAGAGAAAGAGCAGAACACAACAGGTAAAGAGACAGCCTTTTATGCGCAAGGCGGATCCAGTTCAACCAGCAACACTTGCTAATCTAGCTGCACTGAGAAGCCTCTGCAACTGGCAGTGAATGAAACTGCAATCATTTGACCAGTGAATAGGTAGATCTGAGACATGGTGAAAACTGTCCTATTTAAGAGAAGCGGAGCAAACAAGCACACCTGCAGCGCTGCCTACTGCATTGGAAGAGGAGGGAAAAGAGAAGAAGTCACGAACAGCATCGCAACAATGGACGACCCTCCTCTCTCATGGGCCACACTGAAATCTCATGCTGCCTGATTCCGTGTCTCTGCCATTGGCAATCGAGGAGAGGAGAGCCCCCTCCCAGCTTCACAGATGACAAGCAGAGACCATCCCGCACCTATGACAGTGGTCTCAGGCCTCTTGTCCAGAAGTGAATCCTTGCCGAAGCCAAGGTGAAATAAATATATCCTGCCCTGACTCTGATATCTAAGCCGGCTGTATGCTAGAAGGAAGAAAAGTGCCTATCCCAGAGCAAAACCAGTCAGTGATCATTTACAATTGACAATCCAATGAAACAGGCATACCTCCAGATTATTTCATATGGCGAGCCACCTAGGGCATCATTACCGTATTGCTTCATGTCAAGACGCATTTCCCCAACACTCTGTGGCTGGTACAATGTTGTTGACAACTTGGGAGGAATTACTCAAATTTCCTCCTCGTCTCCTCAGCGATGACGTAGGGTAAACATACGCTCCACGGTGTCCATGCGAAATTCGCGTCCTCAAGACTTCAACGCTTGAAAACGCGCAAACTGAAGGCCGGGTCACAGACCATCTCGCGGATTCACTCGAAGAAGACTCGCAGGATTTTGACATGATGTCAAAGGCGCATGCAGATCTGGCATGTCCATGCACTTACCTCGCGATCAATCTCTCAGCTCTAGGAGCGGGAGAATGCAGACTTGGACTGGAAACCCGAGAGCTGCCAGGCCAGAGGATCTAGGATCCAGTCTCAGTGCCAATGTCGTGCTCCGAATTTCATTTTAAAAAAAATGATCGACTGATTTTGTGGCCTGTTAGAAGCTCTTCAGCTACAGTGGGCATTCCATCATCCAGACGGAGATTAACTTCGGGTACTTGCAAACGCCTCCCGAGGCACAAGTCGAAGACAGATTCACAGGAGGGATGGTGCAGGACAGGGGATGCCAATTGAAAAAAAGTCGCTGCCAGGTCAGTACAATCATTGTGGTTTTAAGGGATGGGCACTACTGGACGGAACATTGTTGATCTTCGTCGGTGGAGGCTCTACAACGGTCTCATCATGCATGCGTTGCTATCAACGGGACGGGAGGAAGGAACCTTGGTCCTTGCAAGACGCTGACATCTTGGCGGCTGCCCCAGGACTTGGGATACAGATCCAGCCAGATTATTACCACGCCTCCTTTCTCCCACGCAGCACGTTGAGCCAGCGACCAGCCGATGCTCAATTTCCGAACTTCTTGGGGTCGGGTGATCCCATGATAGATGGCATATTCCCAGCAGTGTGGGTGCCGCCGTCTCCTGGTCATTGCACCGGGGTGCCCCTAAATCCTTCTGGAAGACCCAGGAATCAGACGGACCGATGCACTAAGGACTTCCATGGAGGCTACCCTTTCCTGAAATATTTGATTGGGAGACTGTGAAGTCCACTCGCAAGATTGTTTACCTCAGAGACTCAGACAGACAGAGTTTCATCATCAATCTCATGGCGCGGTTTACCATGGACGGAATCGCGGAAGCGCTAACTGGGACGGACTGCGCCGAGTGGGGAGCAAAATCAATCCGCGTTCCCCGAGCCAGAAAAATGGATCACTCGGTCCTTGTTCAAATGTTCCCAGAGACGCGGAACTCGAAATTGCCAATCACTGACCAGCCGGCGGGTCAGAATTCACAGAGTCGCTCAGGAGTCTTGGGCCGTTGACGAACGAGGGGTTGGGCCGAAAAAGGGCATCAGAGCAAATCATATGTGAGTCCGTATGTACTGTGCTGGTGCCCAAGCATACTGTCGAGAAAATGATCTGAAGTTTTGAATTGTTGGCTGTGTCAAAAAAAATTAGGACCCCCGGTTCGCTTCAGGAACATCCGACGCTAAAAACGATTCCCGTTGAGTGAGAGTTTGGAACAGGAGATCACCTGGGCAATAATGTATTACTCCGTTCTATTGGCCATCCAACCAGTCCAGCGCCAGAGCTGCTCCCTAGATAGTGGAGGGTAAACAGGGTGGCGATAACAACGTAGGTCTTGCCAAAAAAGGAGATGGCCAGAAAAGTACGATGTACTATCCTCCATCAATTTCCTCTCTGGATTTGGTTGGAATTGTCTTTTTTTGCTTTTTCCGTTGCCGTCGATCACCAGTTCGCCCCATGATCCGAGATGAAGGTACGGATGGCCTCCGTCCAAGAGACAAACCGCGATCCGTCGTGCATCTGAAATCAATAGCAGTTGATAACAGATCGGAGTAACGAAGAGCGCGGACATGACCCCAAGAGGACTGAAACTCCTTGCTGCTCTTGCATGGCATGTCATCTCGACAGACATATGACGGTTGACCGGCGCTGTTGGATGTTCGCACATAGCATGATGGCCGGGTTCGTCTTCCACAGCAGGGTCACCGGACACAAGCATGACAACGACAAATAGACTCTGGAAATACGGACTTTCCAACCTCAGGAGATATGCCAAGGATATCACTCAATTCAGTTTCCCTCTTTGAGGGGTCTATGTAACCCTACAGGGAGCCTCAGATCTGGTCTTGGTGCGAGCATGGTAGGCGTCCCCAGCAGACGCCTGCAATATCGAATAATAGCACAAGTTGAATCGCTTTATCGCTTAGGATCTGCGCATCCTTTTCTGCACGAAAGACGCGCCTGTCTGGATATGCAGATTTTGAGAGAGCCAGCGCCTTTCTCAACTGATACATATGCGTCAACATATATATCACATCATGTATAAAAGCTGACGGAACCCGCAGATACTCTGTATTACATACTGCTTTCCCTTTCGACGTCTGGTCCTGGCACAGGACGCGTGTGGACTATACATGTCACATCCATTATCCTTCGTACTTGATGTTGCAATTTAAGCAACGGCCTATCTACATTGATTGGCAGAGGACATCGTCAGACCGGCAAAGCGCCCAACATTCCTCTCTACTACTCCATGAAGAATGTCTATCAAGAAGGCAAGCCACCGGATTGCCAGTCTAAGTGGCGGTTCTCTGATCCAGCATCCATGCCCACAACGGCCAAGCCACTCAGTCTTGGGCGATTATCGCGGGTGAAACGTCCCTTACTGACACGGCAGATGCTACCTTATTCACCATGTCAGTCCTGATGCAGATAAGCATGCATGAACTGTACTGCATTGATCCACAGGTTCGGCAAGTCAAGCTCGAATAAGAGAAGAAGGAAATCGTCAGTGGAATGCACACAGGTCATACTGTCACTGGAGATGGGCGGCTGGTGACTGGACAGTCATTATTGCTCTCATGAAGTTCACAAATATTTGAGATTCTGCATGCTGAGTTGCTGACCCCTCCTCGGAAACTCGTCCGACAATTATTTGGGCTTTGCCCATGTGGACCTCCACTAAGCAGGGCTCTGACTCTTCAAGGGTGAACTCTCCAAAGCCACGCACATTCCAACAGCAATAATAATAATGGGCTTACTGGAGGAGACATGAAAACTCTGTTGACAACAATCCATCATTTGATTGAGTGATTTTTCGAGGTAACTACCTACCCCTCTTCTGCCTGCTATAATTGGCGGCCAGAGGAGTTGAGGCAGCATCACCAACCCCTCGCAATTGGATCTACGAGATTGGGAACAACTTGAGATATCTAGATCCCGGCTATTTGATCACACAACAGGTGTGATGGGATTGCGGCACAAAACCCCAGGTCCGTATTTCAGATAAAACGTGCGCTGTATCAAGCCCCTCGACCTTTGGTAATTTCTGAGACTTAATGCCCAGAACCCGGAAACAAAGAAACACTTCCACTCAACTGGTGGCAGAGAGATTGCGAATAGGGTCGGGCCATTAGGGAAGAAGCAAGATGATCAATTCACTGAGTGATATCTGCACTTAGTTGGCCCTTTGATGTACTTCTGTTCTTTCTCCATGATCAGGATACGAGGAGAAATAGAGTTGGAGACAAGTTCATGAGCTTGAAGCTCTCCTCGATACGGTAATTTGGTAACAAACTCTCCTTTTCATTTCCATGGGCGCCTGTGGATCATCCCTCTTCCCTTTTATATTTAGCAGCATCAACAATCCATTACCTCATGCGCTCCATTCCTGGCCATTGCGATAATGACCATGTCCAACAATATTAGATGGGTTCTTTCCTCCTCGTCTCCTCATGTCACGAAAACGGACAAGCCGCGTCTTTCAGACCGCAGACGCGGAGGTCAATTTCGGTGGGAAAATTACGGGATATTTGGGGGGAGCGCTAGTCGCTGGAGTCTGGCCCCTGTCGAATAACGTCCTTCGTGTCGACCTAAAATCCTGTAGTCAGAGTTAGTCGTGGTGCTAAAAAGCAGAGGACTCCAGACTCAACGAACAACGGGAATAATAGGTAATTGGAATAATCGTTTGTCTCCTGCGTGTTGCTCTCGCCCTCTTGTCTTCTGCACTCTCGACCACTCGCGTTTCTCGTCACTCATTCAAAACAACACCTGCCCACGGCCTGCTCTGCTTCTCCGGATTACTGTCTCTCTTTATGATTTTGGCTTCTTTTCCCTCTTCCCATCAGCTGCCTTTTTGACTCTGTCCCTCCGTTCCTATCATAACCTCGCTGTTCGCATCACCAGACTTGTCTGCCCTGCAGGATTGCTTTTTCACACCTCTGCTCTCCTATGTCAGCAGCTGAGGCTGTCCCTCCTGTCAAGACATTGTTGACCCCTCCGTAATCCACCTACCTGCCTTATTTTTTATTTTTATTTTTGATTACTTGCTGTGATCTACAACACCGACTCTTCACCTGTCGGCGACCGCCTCTTCTAGTCCCCACGGCTGCTAGCAAAAGCTGTCACCGCGTCAGGGGCTGCCCTCGCTTCTGGCCTCCCCCAAAAGTCCGCCTCTGCCTCTAACCCAAACCCCCTTCGTATAGTGGTTCCCACCGGGAGTCGCTACTGTTGGGCCCGCTCCTCTCTTTACATCGATCACGTCCGCTCTTTTGGGTCTTCCATCCTGCTTCCAGACATCCTTCTCCTCCTTCTCCCCCTCTTCCATTCTTGGATCGAACCCACCCTCCTTTCCCTCTTTTCTTGTCCCTCTTCTACCTCACGTCTCCTCCGAGTCACTACCCTCCATTGATACCTATCCATCGATGGGCAAAGACAACAGCCTCATCCTCCGCAGGCTCGAAACCCCTCGATTTCGGATGATGACAACGGGGCTCTGTTGATTGCTTCCTCTATTCTCGGAAGAGTCTATATAAACTCTCAAAGCACTTTTACTATACGGGTGAGATCTACGAGTTTGCAGCGGCAATTGGGAAGCATGCTCGGCTAACATGTTTATCACAGCTCAGTGTTCGGAACTCTTCTTGGTTTATCTGCTGGCAGAGAAGAAAAGGGAGACAAGATGACTGTCACATACGAATACCCCTCACGGGGTCTTACCCCAACCTCAATGGCCAGTCTTACGGATCGGTTTGAATTGATGAAAGAAGTCGGCGACGGGAGCTTTGGTAGCGTCGCGGTAGCACGTGTACGGACCGCCGGCTCGAACGTCGCGCGAAGGGGAACGCTGGTATGACATGGTAATCTTAATTGGTTACTAAGTTCTGATATACTGATTCGACCACCACAGGTTGCCATCAAGACGATGAAGAAGACATTCGAATCATTGGGGCCATGTTTAGAATTGCGGGAAGTGATCTTCCTGCGAACGCTGCCCCCGCATCCTCACCTTGTCCCGGCCCTCGACATCTTCCTTGACCCTCTCACCCGCAAACTGCACATTGCCATGGAGTATATGGATGGTAACCTTTATCAACTGATGAAGGCGAGAGACCACAAATACCTGGACCAGAAACACGTCAAAAGCATCCTCTACCAGATTTTGGCCGGTCTCGACCACATTCACGCCCACCATTTCTTCCACCGCGACATTAAGCCCGAGAACATCCTTGTTTCTACATCCGCCCCGAACGACTCTACTTTCAGCCGCTACTCTAACCTTGTCACTCCTCCTTCAACTCCCCCGACCTACACAGTGAAGATTGCCGACTTTGGCCTTGCACGGGAAACCCACTCTAAGCTTCCCTACACTACATACGTTTCTACGAGGTGGTACCGTGCTCCAGAGGTTCTCTTGCGCGCGGGCGAATATTCCGCGCCTGTCGACATGTGGGCAGTCGGTGCCATGGCAGTCGAGATTGCCACACTCAAGCCTCTGTTTCCCGGCGGTAATGAGGTTGACCAAGTCTGGCGCGTCTGTGAAATCATGGGTAGTCCCGGCAACTGGTACAGCAAGTCGGGCGCTAAACTTGGTGGTGGTGAATGGAGGGACGGTGCGCGCCTCGCCCAGAAGCTGGGGTTCACGTTTCCCAAGGTATGTCGGTTTTCAAACTGCTTTCTGGTTTCGATAGTATTCCGGCTAACGCCTGGAAAGATGGCACCGCACTCCATGGAGAGCATCTTGCCTGCGCCTCAGTGGCCAGTGGCTCTCAGTAACTTCGTGACGTGGTGCTTGATGTGGGATCCGAAGAATCGACCCACCTGTACACAAGCAATGAACCACGAGTACTTTGCTGATGCGGTTGATCCCTTGCGACCAAGATCTTCTACAGCCCGTCTACTCGGGCGCAAGCAGTCCGAGAAGAGCGTCAAATCGCCTACGAAGGAAACCTACGATTCCCCGACTCTTACTTCCAAGCCCTCCTGGTTCAGAAGATCATTAATCGGCAGATCCGAAAGCCCGGCCCCCGCTATGGAAACCGATCAGCCATCCAAGCCAGCTCTTGTTTCGTACGAGTCGACACCGGAACCGCAGACCCTCAAAGCCAAACCCGTGGCCATCAAACGCGCTACATGGGCCCACGGAGCTCCTATGCCGATTCTCCCCTCGATCCGACCCGTCTCACCGCTATCTAATGCGGTTACCGCTCAAGCCAACCCGCCGGCTCACACAGACTCGAGCAGTACGAATGGCGCCAAGGCGAGCAAGAAGATTGGACGCCAGCTTTCAGTCAACTCTCACGGCAACCACTATGCCGATATCCATCGACAAGAAGCGGAGCGAGCACTCAACGGCCTCGGCAACGGCAGCACCGTCACGGTTAGCCAAAAGGAGAGCTTCTTTTCTCATCTTCGCAAACGTGCACGCCGGCTATCTGGCCGCAACCAGGCTAATGTGATGAATGATGATATTGAGGCGAATGCCGGTTGCATGCCGTGGTCAAACCGGTCATCGCTGGCTCTGGATTCCGTCAACGTCAGCGAAGCGAAGCAAAACTCCGATATGTCCGAGCTGGACAAGGCTCTGCAAAGCGTCAAGTACTCGCTTGACTCGACGGCTCTGGGAAATGTTCCTGTCAGTATTGCCTCACCAGCTGATGCCACAAAGCGTCAGTCTATGCCGCAAGGGTCTATCCGCTCAATGGGAGACAGTCCGGCTTCCACAAGTGGCAATGGTGGGCCGATATCGAGTCGAACCCGGCGTGCATTGCAGCTCTCTAACCACCCAGTCCACCGCTATGAGACCCCTGAAGAGGAAGATGAGCTTCTGGACGAAGTGCTCCATTCGGCGAGTCGGGCTGCGAAACGACTAGCACAGGCACAGATGTCGGACACATCATCAACGTACAGTCGGCCCTTGGCGAACGAGACCTCCCACCCCTTGCCTAGCCCATACCCCACTCCTTCACCGTCGGCGAAGTGCGACGGCGTATCTTTCGGTGCGATGGACGCCACCCCAAACAGGCGACTACCGCTTCCGGACGATAAATCGGATCCTTCTACCTCAACCCGTCAATGGCCTACACCGCCATACGAGGATAATGACTGGATTAACCCGGCCTCGACAAAATTCCTGACTGGCTCTACCTACCGGTAGTTTTTTATTCCTACCATATAATATCCGGCAATATTCCGGACCATGCGGCGCAAATCTATGTGGCATCTTTCTAGCAATGTCGTGTATACCTATCAAAAGGGAAAGTTTTGTCGTTGTGCTGCTCACTTGTGTGAGCAAGGCGTATGGGATACGGTGTCAGCTTGTTTTACTTTTTCAGGACTTTCATTCCCCTTATACTTCTTCTGTCTAAACTCGGTTCCCCTTTTCACCTTTGTTTTTATAGGGCGCTCCTCTGCCCAGGGATATCTCGTTTGTTGGCTTTCTTGTCGTCATACCCCAAAGGCCTTTTATAGATACAGTCGGCCTCGCACAGCGTTTTCGGCACACCGCTTGTTCTTTCCATCCTGCTTCTATCTACCACCTGCTGCATATTTACACTGCCTCTTTGCTGCACCCGCGCCAGTCGCTGGGTTTCTCGTTCTCTTACATACGGGTACACCTACCTCATCACCTATCCTCATCTCTACCTCGAGCCGCTTTCATTTGTCTCCTCTCACCTATCACCCTCGCTTCCTCCATCACTCTCTCTGCACTCTTTGCACATAATCTCTCATGGGAAAGTGATCTGACACCCACATTCAAAATTTCCTTTCACCTCTGTACAATTTTCGCTTATCCTCAAACGGCCACGGGTGGTCGTCTTCTCACCAGACAACTTGTAATATACTGAACCCATTTCGGCGGAGAAACCGTCAATATATACATGGAGTGAATCAATCAATAAATACTTGTTCTTCACCTGATTTATTCCTCTAGTAATCGTACAAAGTATGTTTTGCTTTCCCAACAAAACGACTTGGATATTGTAGTATATTGTAGTAGAGTTGAGCGACGGCGACGGAACAATGATTGTCCGAACAGAGAAGAATTTCCCAATCGAGCACAAGTTACTCCGCGACTGCAGAGCTCAACTGCTCGATTACTTGATCTTCAACGAATCACAGCATGTATTACTTTGATTCATGACTTACAAACCTAGCTACTCACTATTGTACTGAGTGTCTGGACATTCCCGCATCGATTGACCTCAATCCGCTAGCTAGCTAGCAGCTAGCACCAAGAAAACTCACCATGGCCGCCCAACGACAGGCCTCATCAGCCTCGCAAACCCCTCACATTTCCCCTGCCGAACTCTCCTACATCTACACATCTCTCTCCCTTCCGGGCGCCCCCATCCGACCAGACGGCCGCTCAGCAACACAGTTCCGGCCCCTCTCCGCAGAGACCGACATCCTTCCAGGCACAAACGGCAGCGCGCGCGTGGGCTTCGCAGACGGCACACAGGCGATCGTCGGTGTAAAGGCCGAAGTTGAGCGGACGGCGCTGGGGATCGAGGCGCTTACTCAGGCAGAGCAGGAGGAGTATGCTGCGGAGACCGGCGGTAATAGCAATGGAAACGGTGAAAGCGATGGGGGGAAGCAGGGGTCAAGTACTGGGCAAGGGTCGTGGGTGCAGATGGCGATTGAAATTCCGGGATTCCGGGACGATGATGCGCTGCCGGTTTTCCTGGCGGAGATGATGAGGGAGCCGCTTGTTGAGAGTGTTGCTGGGGGTGGGGAGGGGGGAATGGTTGGTGGGTTAAAGGGGAGGCTTGTGATTAATCGAAGGTGGCATTGGAGGCTGTATATTGACGTGAGTTTGAGTTTCCTTCTGCCATGATGTGGTATTATGTGTATGGGTATGGTTGGCTAACAGGTCCACAGGTCCTCCTGCTCTCACAACCGTTGTCCTACCCGCTCCCCCTCCTCTCTCTCACTACGCATCTCGCCCTACTCTCAACGAAGCTTCCCAAGCTGAAATCAAAAGGCGAAGAAGACCCCTTCTTCGACGATGACTGGGACGCCGCTGAGTATCTCTACCCTCGGGTCAAATCCACGTACACGAAATCCACTTCAATACCGGGCTTGATATCAGTGCATAAAGTCCGACCTCCCGTGACCCTCCTCGTCGTTGCAGTAGCTGAGAACATCATCTTCGACCCTAGTCGCGAAGAAATCGCCGTTGCAGACGCCGTGCTCGCGATCTCAATTACGCACGACACAGACTCGGGCCGCTTGAAGCTGCTCTCTATCCGTACGATCGATCCCCCGTCTCGGCTGACACAACCCGGTATCCCGAACTCGGAGAATGTAGCTACACTTGGCTCGGCTGCTGCCGCGGAGGAGTCGGTTATTGTAAACCCGTCGACTGGGGAAGAGGAGGTTCCGGGTGTTTGGAGGCCAAGACGTGGGGGTGTGAAGAGGGCAACAATTGCCAAGATGGTTAAGATGGTGCTCGAGAAGGGCGGGGTCGGGGAGGAAGTACTTGAGGGTCTTGAGGGAGTTGAGGTTGGCTGAAAGCCCTACGGAATTGTCGTCCTAACCTTCGATTTCTCGTCGGATGTGATATCAAGGCGAACCGCAGGGTTACATACGATTGCAGTGCGTGCAGCTACTAGCATAGCCGCAGCATCTACTGAATCTGCGACGCCAACCCAACGCGACCCCATTCGAGGTATACCATAGTCGAATAAACCCGCCCTGAAGCTTCGGTATGCCAAGGATAGTGAACATGTATATACAAATAATACATGAGATGAGAAAGACCCGACGAGACAGTCTATTATACATAACCTTTATACTCCACACCCATCTTACACAGCAGATGTATCACATCATCCCACACTCTCCCAGATCACTCTCTACAGGGAAACACCCAATCCAGGAGCAGAGAAGAGACGCGGACTACCAAATGCCCAACCACTTCTTAACAGGTCTCTTCTTCCCCTCCCAATCCACATACTCCTGCGCCTGAACCTCGGCAGCAACAGGCGACTGATCATCCACAGCACCCTCCACCCCGTCCTCACTCTTCTCCCCCGTCCCCTTGAGATCCGCCTCCGAGGGCTCCTCGAGCCCATGCGCAACGCGGAACTGCCTCCTCTTCTCCGCATCCTCAACACGCCGGTGTCTCTTCTCCCGCGTCTCCATGGACGTATGCTGCACGTGCATGCGGTATACCGAGAGCACCTGCGAGATCGTGTTGATCGGATGCGAGAGCAGATCGCTCCAGGAGGGGAGTAGGTGCGCGAAGGGACTTGATGCTTTGAAGTTTGTCGTGAAGGTGAATGTAGCGAGGGTTGTTAGGACGCCCTGTACATATCATATCATATTAGCATACCCGCTTTAGATTCGACTCCCACAATTGATGATAAACATCCGCAAGAAGAACAAAAACAGAGGAACGCACCATCGCAATCCAGATATGAATCCATCGATTCGTCAAAAACTTAAACATGACGGTCCCCTCGGGCGGGAACATATTCGGGTACTGCCGCGTCTTGCGCTCGGCCTCTTCCTTCTCGCTCAGCTTGGGACCCGGGTAGTTGACGACTCTGCCGTTGCGGGTTTGCACGACGCGGCGCGCGGGGTGCGAGGGCGGTCGGAACTTGTCGGGCTGCTCGAGGGTGCGTTGCTTGCCATTGCCTCTTGGGGTTGAAGATGCGCAGCGGCCCGGAATTTGCTGTAGCCTCGTCGCGGCGTTGGGGGTGCGGCGGGTTGAGAGGGCGAGGAGGGTTCGGGAGGTTGGAATTCCGCGGGGAAGGAGGAAGGGAGGGATTGTTGACGGAGGCATATTGAATGCTTGAACACTGTTGTTTAGTCTTGGAATGTGCTTGGCGTCAGCGCGGGGCGGTTCTTCTAGATTCGAGCTTCTGCGCTTTTTTTCCGCGATGAAGGTATCCAACTTTCCAACTTTTTGATATGGTCACGTGAAGAGCTCGAAGTTCCTGGAAATCTGCCTCAGGCTGTAAGGCAGTTAGGTATTTTATCAGGCATCAGACCACCTCGGAGCAAGGCCGGAGGAACGGGAAAAACTCGCCATGCGCTGGGCGAATGGCAGCGCGCAGATTTGGCATTACAGGGGTGCTAAAACTATCCGCGCCCATTTACCCAGATTTTGGTGTTACGTCGCTCATGATCTGGGATGAGATCATACCATGACGGCATGCTCTGATCAGCAATTGTACCTTTCTTAGCGGCTTGAGGTTAGAGATGTAAGTTGGAGATCATGCTCTATGTATGAATCGCAACTCAATAGTAGCTATACAGGTCATTTTCCTGTAGTGATAGAGGAGTCTGCGCTTGAAAAGGGTCTTTCACTCTCCATTTTTTGTTGAATGTGGTGACCGAAAGCTCCCGGCAGCGCCCGTAGGTAATGCTGAATCATCCGGGCGCTGATTGGTGGATTCGGATCACGGGAGACGTCGGGGGCGACGACCGGGCCAGAAATTCTCTCCAAGTTTTTTTCTTTCCTTTCGAGCCAGCTTCGCTTTAATCTTCTCTTCAATTGTCTCTCACGCTCATACTTCACGAGTCTCTCTCTTATACCACTAAACCTCTTGCTTTCAACTCTCCTCTTCTCCCTTCATATTCTTAACATTCACAATGGCCAAGGGTGCTGACAGCTATTCTCCCGGTAAGCTACCTTCATGATGAACGTTTCGCTTCCTTGTTCTGGCGGCGCCGCGTTGTCGCTCGAGATGGTGGTTGTCTGGTGCTTCTCGACAAGAGGCCATGACACGGTGAGCAAATTCGGTGGAAAAACTGTCATTATTGGACGTGTTTGTGACCTTCCGTCTTTCGCGGCTCCCATGGACGCTTGAGCAACACAATCTTTCCAGCAAAAGTCGACTCGCCTCTTCTCCCGCAGCAGCTTGATCGCCGGGAAAGTTCCTTGAACGGCACTTGCAATTCCTGGTCTTGCGCAGTTCTGAGCGGCCTGGAGTCCTCCGATCCTTGAGTTGCAACCACACACGATCATGACAAGTTTCGACACCTATTGTTTCCTCACCACCATTGACATGCGCGAAGCCGAACTGGAAGCGATGGAAAAAGCGAAAGCAAATCAGAGCGCTAATCAGCTGTCATCTCCAGGCGACTCCGCCAAGGGTGCTAAGCTCTTCGAGGTGAGTTCCTTTCAAGCTTCGACAGTTGCTGGGAACAATTGACTAACTTTCATAGACCCGCTGCAAGCAGTGCCACACTGTCGAGAACGGCGGTGGCCACAAGGTGGGCCCCAACCTCCACGGTCTCTTCGGCCGCAAGACCGGTGAGGCCGAGGGCTACGCCTACACCGACGCCAACAAGCAGGCTGGTGTCACCTGGGACGAGAACACTCTGGTATGTGCCGATCTGGATTTCACTCGCAGATTCGATAACTTCTAACGCGCTGCCGCTTTACAGTTCAAGTACCTCGAGAACCCCAAGAAGTTCATCCCCGGTACCAAGATGGCCTTCGGTGGTCTCAAGAAGGGCAAGGAGAGGAATGACCTCATCACGTATGTTGCCATTTCCCAACCGATATGGTCTCGGCGCTAACGGCCTTTGCAGCTACCTCAAGGAGAGCACCGCTTAGATGTTTCAATATTAGACGACGAGATAAAAACACCCGCCCGTGGGGGACCGCCGGGTCTCTCGCTAGCTGGCAGGCGGGTACTGTAATATAACACTTCTAGACCTGGTTTTGTTTGCGTCGGGACATTGTGGATATCATAGAGTCATGTTTCCTTCGCCGTCCTTGTCTATTTCCTTATTCCCTAGGTTCTTTTCACCCTTGATGGTCATGTCTTCTTCAGCTTTTGTGTATCATGGTTAACTTCCAGGTCGAACGGCCATAATGAATAAACTCCTCTCATGGCATACTTTCCAGTGTTTTCCTGCTCTCCTTTCAGACTCGAATTCACGTGATGTCACGTGTATCGGATACACTAAGAACTCACCTTCGACAGTCGAGTACTCCGTACTGCTGCCCCGGATCGATAAGGACAATGCAGCGACATCTATCAGACCTACGTGACGATAACGACAAACGGTTCTTCTCGATCTGTTGCTTGACTAAGTTACCCAATGATGTGCCGGCAACCCGGGGGACGATCCATGCAGGCGGTGGTAGCTTGGTGAGTCGATTGGCTGGGAGGGGCGAGGAGCATTCAAGACATGACTCTGCCTTCAGAAGAAGAAAGTCAAAAGTCGACCCAAGGGCGATCTTCAATCGTCGTGATTCGCGCAGAAAAGGCAGTTCTTTGAAGGGAGCGGACTGGGGGTTACGAACGACAACAGTACTCCGTACGGAGCAGTCCGGTTGAATGAGCAGTGCTGGCACATGACCCTCTCTGGTACCCCGCGCGCCCATTGGCCCAGCCACCGTCTCCTGCGCCCCCTCCATAAATTCAACGGACCAGCTCACAACTCACCAGATTCTCAAGGTTCAAACTGCCACTCGAGTCCTTGTCCCTTGAATAGACAGGCTGATTCAGGGCGCATGCAGACAACCCCTCTGATGAAACACTTCGGCTGCCCTGCACCGAGAGAACACTACGGTCAGCACTAACCTGGACAACAGTCTTGCAAACAGAGTCGAAAAGACAGAAGAATTCAAGCTCTTATATACCGTCCAATGCAAATCCGTTTGTAACTCCTACTATCTCCTGCCTCCGGTATCCCTGCTCCTGCTTCTGCTGCTGTGACTTGTCAGCCTTGAACTCGCCGGTCCTCAGGCATCAAGGCTGTTCCGGGCTCGACATTGTCCCGCCGTCGCATTCCATTCTCCTCCTCTCCTGCGCTCGCGCTGCGGCTGCTTCTTTATCTTTTATCTCTCAACTGCTCCCGTACTCTCCCCCGCTCTTCTCCGTTCTCTTGTGTTGGACTCGATCCTTGTCCTTCCTCAACCTGCATCCCCGCGCTCTCCTCTACTTAGTTCCACCCATCTATACGTTAGCGCCCTTGCGAACCTCAATCCCCCCTCCCTATCTCCCCTTCAACCACCAACATAGGCGGTTGGAAGCGAGTATCACCGACTGGAACTGGCTCTTCAAATCCAAGATCCTCTGCGCGGTGCGCCGTCCATAATGCTGGACGAGCTGGACAATGTCTTCGACGACCATCCGTCACTGGATGCGTCGCTCGAGGACTTTGAGAACACAAGCAACGCCCATCGCTCACCACTCTTTGGACTTCCTTCGCAACACTCAGGATTCAGATCAGAAGAATCAGACAATGAAGACGAAGATGCGACTCCCCAAGGTGATCGTTGGTCACCTCCTGGATTTCGAAGGTATGATAACGTCCCGGGTAGCGGGTGGTACCGACACCAGCCCTACAATCGCATAATCGACCACGAGCGATTCGGCCTCAAACCGACTGTGGGAGTCAGTCCATCGCAGTCGCGTGAACCCAGCCCACAGTATGAAGATGCGCCAGAAGCCCCCATGGCAGGAACTCGCAGCCTCTCTGCCGAGACAGCAGATGTCACTGTCGCGGCCAATGTGCCACTGCCTCCCGACGCAGATTCGCCCATGAAGGGCCGGTCGCCCAGTCCTAAACGATCACCCATCAGGGCCACCTCTGAAGCTGAACCATTGGAGTTCAGAGAAAATAATTTGAGTAATTGTAGGCCTACCTTTCATTGAACCCCACCCCTGTCCAGCTTGCTGGCGCGGGATATACTAACACTTGGGTTTCCTGATAAGATATCCGTTTCGCTGTCCGCGCAGAAGTTCAACACCGAGAACCATTTGTCGCATTTTTCACTTATATGCGATCTAAGATTGACCATCTCACAAGCTCCAAGTCGAATACCACACTCTCCATCCTGATTGCCTTCCTCTCCATCGCGTTCATGCGCGCCTTGTTTATGCCGAGTATCCCATCAGCGATCCCAGACCTCGTAAAGCTATCAAGCTTTGCGCGCTCATTCGAGCCCCTGATCTATTATTCCGAGAATGGTGTGCAGCAGATTGGGACCTTGCAGGAGACTGGGGTAGCGGTTTGGGATCTCAGTGAGTCCGTGCGGGGAACGAACATGACCAGCGCACCCATCATCGTTCGCCAACTCGATGAACTATCGGAATCGCTGAAGTCGCTGTCATTGGAGTTGACGCGCTTCTTTGCCAATGTTGATTCGGACGTCGATTCGATTCTCCTGGTTATGGACTGGGCCAAGCGCGAGTTAGAAACTTTGTCATCGCAGCCACCCAGCAGCCTGCCGTCGATTGTTTTCGACAACGTCCACGACCTTCTGTCGCGTCTCGGTACCCTTGAACGCGTGGCAATCTCCAATGGGGAAGCCACGGGCACCGAGCTCGCCACTACCCCAACTACATTCGGGACTGTGGTCGCAACTATATTCGGTCAAACTTCGGCCCAGCGCACGAGATCAACCCTTACCCGGACGTTCACCGAGTTCCTGTCCGTGCTTGAAGAATCAATCAACAGCGAGCTGACACATTCGACAGCGCTGTTTGCGCTGTTCGAGTCCATTGACCGTCAGTTTTTGAACCTACAACGCACAGTCGTCCGCGAGTCCGATGCCCAGGAGCGCGCCGAGGGCGAAATGCTCAGTTCCCTCTGGACCCGTGTGCTAGGACCCGACGCTGCTGTCGTGCGCAAATATGAGAAGAACAAACGCCTCCTTGCAAACGTGCGCAGCCGTACTGTCGCAAACAAACATCTTCTCATGGACCATCGCGGACGCCTCTTGACACTCAAGGTCAACCTCGAAACACTGCGCCGCAAACTCGTCAGCCCACTGGTGCGGCGCAACGACTCTGTGAGCTTTGCCGGAGCGATTGACTCGGGAAGTAATGGCAGAACACTAGGTCCCGTGGAAACCGTGATTGAAGGCCAGATCCGCGGGCTGGAGGGGACATACGACTATCTGCGTTCAGTGCGCGAGAAGCAAAAGGCAAAACTCATGGAGATGGTATATGGGGCGGGTCGCAAAATCCCGCCGTCCAATTCCCTGCTCGCAGATGGGTCCGACGATGCAGATACGATAGATGGATGATACAATTCGTTTCTCTTATACCTCACCTCCTTGCCTCGCGAACTCCTCGACACCGTCCATCATCATTATCATCTCTTCGTGAACAGCGTCTCTGTGCTTTTAAGCATCGCATCGGATCGCATTTTAAATCGGCCCGGCGTTATCAGTCGTCTTATCTAGGTCTGTGCTGGCATTTGCTTCCTTACATATGCACGCGCATCATACATACTCGGACGTCACCTTGGAGTCTACAGGCGCATACATAGGTCATCGCTTGCTTTCCTTCCTTTCCTTTCTTTTCCTTCTTGCATTATATGGGCGAACAAGGCGAAGCAAGGCGAGTAAAAGCAGCGATAGACTACGATACCTTCTCTTCTCATACAGACATACATCACCTCTCATCCCGTCTCCGCTCGCATGCAACAACGCGGAGAAGGGAAGCCAACTTGGCCGGATCAGATGAACGGAGCTCTCATCTGGCCCCACCTCATCTGATATTACCCATTGACTGGATCAACAGGGGAATATATCATGTCTTTTCCTACTCTTGATTTCGATCTCTCTCCATTTCTTGTGCGTGTTTATATTTCTGCACTTGGCTTGGTCTCTTGCTTCGTGTCTTTCTCTGAAGACTCCCCACCCTTCTCCCCCCTTTCTCTGGACTATATCTGATTTGGACTTGGTTTCTCGTTTTCTATTTCTGTTTCTTTTCTCCCTTTTTTTCTGATCTCTGGCTGGCATATACGGTGTCTGGTTGGTTGGTAGGTACGTCGATAGGTAGGTAGGTTATGCATTTGGACTTTCAGTCTTGTCTCTCGTAGTAGTCGTAAGCACCGTAGAACTATCTCACGCAGCCTTACTATTTGCATGAGAGTGTGTAGTAAGGAGCCCTTGAGGCACCGACTTTATTCGGTTTATACGCCTACCTAGTCAATTATTCCCATGTTATCGATATGAATAGACCATTTCACGCTAAAAGAACTAAAGGAGTCGACCACACCGGGTAGTCGAAAACAAGCTTACTTGGTATTCTTTGTATTGTCAAGTATCTACCTAGCTAGCTAGCTCATACCAAAATCAAGGAAATAAAGCTGGTAGAACTGAATATAGACGAAGAAGAAACACAGGACGAACGCACGCGCCAGGGCTCCAGAGAAAGTGTAACAGAGAAAAAAATCAGAATAGAAGAAAAATGAAAGAACCCCCTTCCAAACTCCGTCTAATGCTATTTATGAGTAGACCACCGCTTTTCTTGCTTCTTTTGCCCCATCCCAGCCCTATGTCAGATCGAATTGATACACCAAAAGGTAGAAAGAAGAAAGGAATTGAAGTTCGAATGGATACGTAGACTTGGGAATGCAGCTCAGAAGCCGTATCCGCCACCTCCGTAAGGCGTAGCCCCGTACGGCGTCGCCGCGCTAGCACCCCAGGCACTTGCGCCGCCACCATTCGCATACGCTGTAAATCCGCCGTCGATACCCTCAGGCGGCTCGTAGGCGTCTGGACTGCGCACGCCCATCATGTCCTCGTCGGGGACGCCGTTGCGGTCAGCGCCCTCGCCCGTGCCGGAGAGAGAGGAGATGACGGAGGCGAGTTTACGTTGCAATACGATGATGCCTTGTTGGATAATCATGTCCGGGTCGAGGTTGCCGATGCTTTCGATGTCGAGGTAGAAGTTGCCGGGAGTGGCGTCGTAGTCGAAGGGTTGGTCGGGGGCTGCGGCGTGTTCCCAGGCGGCGTTTTGGGAGACGGGCCTGATCTATCTGTCAGTCTCTTTCGTCGCTCGAGGTATATAACGAGTCGGGCAAATATAGATAGAGACATACCATTCCTTGATCGGATCCTCCTCGTACCAGTAATCCACATGCCTCAGGTTGTTATGCGGATCATACTCGAACCCAATCGCGGCCGTAGGCGCCCACTTCGAATGCTCCTTTGCAATCCCCTTCTTCGCGATACAAGTCATCTTAAGCTCCTGCCCGCGCCTCAGCTTGCAAATAAGCGGGCCATTCCCCTCTGGATCCGTGATAACTGGACTCCCCACCCACTCATTCGCGCGCTCCCCGGCAACGACCAAATCCCGCGCATAGACACGCATAATCTCGTCACCCGTGCAGCGCGCATGGAGCGAAAGAGTGACGGAGCATCGGGAGCAGTGGTCTTCGCACTCGCAGTCGCGGGTGTACTCGACGTCCTGGTCGCAGTTTTTCGAGTTGAGCGGGATGAGACCGAGGCGGTGGGCGAGCATCTCGTCCGGAAGCACCGAGGAATTCTTTTCAACTTCGACGAGGTCGATGGCCATTGTCGGGATTTCGGCGAGCATCACGCGGCGCAGGGAGTTGGCGAAGGCGAGGTCCACGGAGGTGAGTTTGAAGTCGACGCGGTAGGGCTCGGCCTTCGTATTTTCTGTTAGATTCCTCACCTTTGTATTTCATGTAGGCTTGTGAAGAGGCTGGAGGAGCTCACCTCGCGCACTGTGACCTGGGGCCCGGTGGGCTCGATGTCCATCTCGTAGTCCATGGTGGCAACGAGGCTGGGCCTCTGTGGAAGGTCGTCAAAGAGGGGCCGGAATGAGTTCGGGTTACAGTTATAGGTAGCTGAGCAATAGACAGTGTGATGGGGTGTAGGTGGTCGTGGGCGTGCAGAGAGATAGTTTGGTGGTTAAGCTTGCCGGTGTTGAAGTCTTGATGAATTCTACGCTTTCCCTGATCGGGTAACCAGAACTAGCATTAAAGTCACAGCCAGATAGATCATATTCTTTGTTCACTCCACATGCGCCCATCAATGGACCTCGAGTCTCTGGTTGTTTGATAAGTGATGTTCTCGAGTTCGATTCCGTTACATACGCATTTGTAAAACTCTACAGACGGTGTCTATTCACCTTACACTACGTTCTGAACAAGGGGAGCAAATTATTTGTTTTTTTGTCTTTCGCAGTCCAGATGCCCAGTAATCAATCTGAACCTCCACAAGTCCAAAGAAGCTGAGTCTGCTAGCCGGGTATCAAGTACCAAGACCAGGGAGTCCAATCGTTGCTTCTCGGACAGGAGAGAAGTGGCCACCTCATCCCAGAGGTCGGGTAACGTCGCGTGAATATCCAAAACCACGGTCGTGCGACACCAAATTTTTTTTTCTTCCCATCCGCAACCATGTCGCCAGACCATGCTCCTGTAGCTTCTATGGTGACGCAGTTTGCCGAGTCTATAAAGGCAATAGCGTCCAAGCCAATGTCATGCAAAAAGCCATCAAGCCGCCAACCGATTTGCTGCGATAATAGGACCACTCGAACACCGAAAATAAACCCATCCAGCCAAAACAATAGATGTGAGACAGATGCAAAATAAATGGCGGTAAATAGGGGAGAGCAAGAGATTCTTTTGAAGGGGACATCATATCAAGTCGTAAATAGAGGAGAGGCGCGGCTACCTCTTCATAGAACTGCGGTTCAGCGCCTCTAGGAGCTCCGGCCGACTTGCGAGAGCGGCCGCGGCTTGTGCGTACGGCACCCACTGTCGTCTCCGTTTGTGCATCTCGGGCCACCGGTCCTCTTCTCGGTCCACGGTGACCTCAAAAAATTGATATGATGCTCGCGGTGCGTTTGACGAGAGCAGCGTTGATGGGCGCATGTCTGGAATTGTTCCCAAGTCTCTGAGAACCGTACATACGACTCCGGCTTCCTCCCAGGCCTCGCGACAGGCAGCCTGTTGCGCACTTCCTTCGTCGGTCTCCCACCCGCCTTTTGGAAGTACCCAGCCACCGCGTCCAGCCGACTGAATCATCAACACCAAGCTTTTGTCCTTTGATAACGGGACGACGCCGGCTACCAAGCGTTCGCCTTTTGATCCGTACCCTAGCGGAACAAGGATGTCAGCATTGCGCTTTGCCCGGCAGGACTAGGGTAACGAAGAAGCGGTGAAGATATGACGTTGGAGCTGAAGCCCAATGGAAATGATGACCAGAGATGACTCACGTTGGTTTTTTCGTCCTACACGGGACTCCATTGAGCGAACCTGGTCGACCATTTTTACCAGGAAGAATTTATAAAAGGATCCGGTCTCGAAGCACCTCCAAAGAAGAAAAAAAAAAGTATATAAAGAGACCGAGGACGGAATTAGACACAGCTATTGCTGCACCTCCGGCGAATGTAATTATAAAGAACGGAGGAATTCCGGGGCAAAGAGGGCGGGAGAATGGTCGACAACGGATGACGACACTATATAAAAAGGGTAGACGGGGGCTCCAAAAGAGGGAAACTTCGACGGGGCGGGATTTCTGGCGTGATAGCGAGCCAGCTATGGTGGATAGGAGCTGGTTCAGGACCGGACCAGGTGTTTTCTCTGTCCTTGGGCTGCAATAGAAGGGCGGCCGAGGAAAGGCAGAGAATTTTTTTGGGGAAGAGGAAGACTGGTAGGTAAATGAGGAACTAGGTATTCCCGTTCACTCCCGTGGCGGACGGGAACCTCGAGGGAGACTTGGAGATGGAAACAGACATGATATTTGAGGGGATAGCAAAGAAATAGGGGAGGGGATAGGAGAGGAAAGAAGGAAGAGGACGGAGGGGAGGCGAGAGGCCGGAGACAGCTTGGGATGGACAATGGGCGGCGCGGTCCGGCAAGACTCAAAAGTCTCGAGAGGATGCGGTACAGGTGTTGGTATTGTACCGTCATTACTTACCATACACTGTTACCCAGTACCTCTCACCTTCTCTTCGTTTCTCATCCTTCAAGCTCCTTTTACATATCTCTCTTCTTCTGGAAGAATATCGGTATATCCTCTCCGAACGCTGGAGAAACAAGCAGACTGATCAAGAAGCATACTGTCGAGATAATGTCCTACGTCAGTCTTTCCCGATGACATCACGTGCAGCATCTCAACGTTCAAGCAGAAGAGCATCACAGAATGACCGAAGAGCAACAGTCGCATCAGGCAGTCCAAATGTAGACGCCCAGCTGGGATCCTGAGATCCGCAAGGCCACAGATCGTTGCTGCGTTGTCCCGCCTCGATCCAATCGCCAGGAGAGCGTCCCAAGCCCTCTTCGACCTTTAGGCCACTAACTAATCTTATATGCATCCCCTGCTTTGCCTAGCTCAACTCGTCTGCAGCTAGCGACAGCATAAACTGAGCAATACCAACGCTCTGATCGACCCCATGGTTCATTTATCCTCATTGCCGTGGTCTGGTCTTCCGCAATATCTGCACGATGCGCCAGATATCACTTGCATGATTCGTTGAAGTATGGGGCCGATGCATGTTGGTTAGGGTATGTCAATCTTTCATTCAACAGCCCTCGGCCGTTTGAATGTTTGACCTTGAGGAGACAAAAGAAGCAACTCAGCCAGAAAGCCCGTATTTCTGAGAAGACATCGTGTGCTCTGAGGTTGCTGGTTGCCCCGCATCGATCAACTCAGACTCAGAGTCTCAAAGGAGCTGGTCCGAAAACCTAAAATGGAACTGCCATGCAGGGCACGCTGAGCGCTCGGCCTTTGCTCCAACCTCTCTCGGAAAGGAGCTCCTCAGGAAAAAGAAACGAGAACGAACAGCTTCTCCACGATTCCGACCAAAAAAAAAATAAAGTTTGATACTCGAAAATAAAATACCCAGGGCCTTGTTGACTGGGCGAGGACTCATGTAGTCACGCTATCGCTTCGTGAACACTGAAGCCCGCGCCGACAAGGTTTCCCACCTCATCCGAGATGATGAGGTTTGTAACTTGCCAAGTCAAGAGAAGAAGGGTCCATCCTTGTGCCACAAATAGTTGCTGGCTCAGGCGGTGGATCTGACCCAGTTTTCCTCTTCCGAAGTTCGAACAGTATCACTCCAGGCTCTACATATCCGTCAAGTCACCCTTCTATTCCGGTGCTGATTCAGCATGACTGGCTGGAATGGCAGTTCTGCAATTGGTCTGATTTTGCCAGAATCCCCTCGCGTGGAGGCCCCGAGAGACTGTAGTACTTTGTCTGGGACACTGGGACATCGTCAGACACACTAAGACTCGATGCTTCGGACGAGAGATGATCTGACGTTGCCAGTTGGTCGGACAATCTCCAATAAAATTAAGATTAATTTGACACGCGGATTTGCAGAGGACTGAATAATGCACCAGCTCCGAGCTTGGAGCGGTGTCTTGGGGCTATCCACGTTTCATTATTGTGTGGAATTCGTTCTGCGACTGTGGAACCAGAAAAAAGGTCCCAATCCCCATTACGCCTGAGTCTGCGTTTTCTTCGGTCATCGCAGTTTGTACCTGAGTAACCAGAGAGACTGGCGGGGTTGCGTAGAAGAAAGGACTAGAGGCTCGCTCCGACGCTCTTTCAGAGCGAGATCGACTGGATCAACAGATCTGCCTCTGGAGATGTCATCACAGCTTTAACGAGATTCACATACTAGTAAGATTAAAGCGGTGCTAAAATAAGAGAAGGAATCAGGCGAGTGACGGTACCTTGAAAAGCTCGTATTGTAACGGCGGGCAGCGGTACGCCAGGGAACCTGACGGAATGAGTACCTCCAGTTTCACTAAATCCAGCAGCTCCAGGGCTCCAATTCATCAACTAGTGCTCTGTAGAAGGATGAATATAGTAATTGTCATTAAGATTAGCAAGTCGACTGCTGCTCCATCCACTATCATGCATGTCAGGACTGCTCTAGTGGCGAAAAGGAATATCTCCAAGAGGCGCGTGTAGATTGGACCAGCTGCTGGTGCATACAACATGACAGGGACCAGCCAAGGCTTCTTCTAGAAGCATCATAGCTTTAGCTCTTCGAGAGAGAAATCGCATACTAACATTCTATGAGGCTATAGCTTAAGAGAGCTTGAGACGACGCCAGTGTGTTTACTGCTCAGTCTCTACACTCTCAGCAGCCAGCAAACGTGCTCTCTGCTCCTCCGCACAGAGTCAACCTCGTCATCCGCCGCATCTCCAGTTCTCCAGGTTTCTTTCCTCCATCACTGCAGCGGGCACCTCTCAATCAACAACACGCGCGTCGTCCGGATAGTTTCTCCTTCTTTTTCTTCCTTTTCCGCCTTGAGCGCTGACAATCGGACTCGCCAACCTCCAATCTCCATCTCGCACCGCATCCATGGAGCCCAGTGATCCCAGAGCACCGATTGACGCCGAACGAGCCAGGCAGTTGTCGCTGTTCCGACCCCTCGGTGAGTAGCCAGTCAGAACAGACTGCTTTTCCCCGTGCAATGGTCATTGGCCCTAGTTTATTTCCTGTCCGCATCCTCTCCAGAACATCGCTGCCCCTCATGATGTCGTTTGGTTTTCTCTACAGCCCCTCCTCATCGATTCTGCCCTCGATGATCCCGGCTGTTTTCTTGCTGTTCTCGTTCTTTTTCTCCTCGGTCTCTCCGTGCCCAATCCTGCTCGCTCTGCCCCGGTCCTTGACTACTCGTCGTGACTAACGCGATGGATCCTTTCACGATCATCGCCTCGTCGCCAGCATCGCACTGACCAATATATTATTCCAGGTTACCAACGCAACTCATGCGGATACTGTAAATCGGATAATGGGAGTCAGTCGCCCTGCTCCGTAGCCCCACCCTGCAGCTCTGAAGCCGAATCATTGCTAAAACGCATACTACTTCTGCCCCGTAGGTGCCTCATACTACGCTAGCTCCGTCTCTGTGCGTCCCAAACACTATGAAGAGCTCGTCAACAGGGGATGGAGAAGGTCAGGCATCATCAGTCCATCCAGTCGCAACCATGCGATCTCTCAAAGTCCAGCCTTCTGACCCTCGTATAGGTCCGGCACCTTGTACTACAAGCAAAACCTGCAGCGGTCATGTTGTCCTCACTATACCATGAGGTGTGTAGGATGCGCCCACTCGGCTTCTGCAACGATGCTGATTAGACCAGACTCGAGGCGACTGCCTACAAACCAAGGAGAGATCAACGCAAGGCAATCAATCGCTGGAACAAGTTTGTCCTGGGCCCTGAGTACATCCGCAGAGCTGCATACCTGTGTCCCAGAACTAGGGAGTAAGACAGCCCCCCCGTGTGATTTTACAATTCTCGCAACTTTGAGCTCACAATTTCGACTTAGGCAAAAGAAGCACCGCAAGTGCAATTTTGACCTTCTCGACGCTGTTCACGCAGTCGAGTACAGCAATGTGAAGCGGCCGGTCGACCCGAAGACCAAAAGACCGCTGGAGCCGGCGCATCGTTTCGAGGTCAACATTGAGGGAGACACCGTCTCACAGGCAAAGTAAGCGGACACTGGCGATGATTAAACCCTATACTTACATCGCAGGTTTGAGCTATTCCGCAAATACCAGACAAAGGTTCACAAGGAGGACGTCTCCAAATGGCAGACGAAAGATTTCAAGCGCTTCCTTTGCTCGGGCTTGAAACGAACCGAACCCGACACATCCGAAGAGCTGCGCCGACTAGGCTCCTGGCATCAGTGCTACCGGCTCGATGGGAAGCTCATAGCCGTGGCAGTGCTCGACCTAATGCCGAACGGCGTCAGCTCCGTCTATATCTTGTAACACTCCTGACGTCAGCTCTATGTTCAAAACTAACAAACAAAGCTACGACCCAGATTATGAGCATTGGGAATTCGGAAAACTCAGCGCAATGCGAGAGATAGCTCTTGCTATCGAGGATGGCTACAAGTATTACTACATGGGTAAGCTTACCCTAATCCGCCGCATCAACGTCAGAATTCGGGCGTTCTGACAAAGCACTCCGACTAGGATACTATATCCACTCCTGCCAGAAGATGCGGTACAAGGGCACCTTCCGACCACAATATATCCTAGGTTCGTTACAACCCCCAAACCCAAACCCAGGCACAGCGTCAATCCTGGTTTCATGACTCCGAATCCAACAACTAACTGCCCCAGACCCTGAATCGCCCACCTGGGACCGCCTAGACGGCGAACTAACCCTCAAACTTAACGACCGCCCCTACGTCTCGCTCTCCCGAGACCGCCAAACCGCCGCCAGCGGGACAGAGAACTTCACCAAACCCAAGTCCCACAACGACGAAGAACCCGCCGACGCCGAAATCAACGACGAAGAAGTCTCCCTTTTTACCCTGAACATGCCGGGTGTCCTCACAGTCGACGAGGTGCAGAAGCTCGACCTTGGCAGCTGGCCGCTGCTTGTTCATGGGTCGTTTGTGCATATGGCTGTGAGTTCCTCCTTTTGTCCTTCTAGTCTCGATTCTATGATTATCGCATCGTGTCCTTCCGGGTTTCTAATTTTTTGTGTTTGTGTTCTGAAACGGAGGTACTGACATTGGACGAATAGGACCTGGTAGGCTGGGAGCGGATGCCGATTGATGAGCCGCAGTCTATTAAGGGGATTGTTGCTGAGTTGGCGGCGGTGCTGGGGCCTGTTGTTATGAAGGACAGTGCTGTGGTTTTGTTTGATTGAGCATGAACTCTCCAGCTACTCTCCGCCTAGGTAGTATAACTACGGACTATGCGTCTTGCATAGCTTTGACAAGGTATTTAGAAAATGAATCAAATGAAATTAGGCTAGAATTTATCAATTCAATTCAATTGATATGTCATGTGTATATTGTGCTCGAAAACAATAGACAGGAAGTAGAAAACCACGAGATGTTTCATTACCATTGCCATTTTTTTTCAACTGAATTAACAATCCCAACGCCTCCCAATGACTGTTTAGAAATCAAAAGCAATTAACAGCCACTGAAAAGCTGATTATGACACCCATGCATGCAGAGTCCGAGTCAGAGTGAAGTCGCTAAGATACAACAGAGAAAGAAAAGACCAGTAGGAGATATGAGAAGAAAAAATCACTTGGAGAAGACGCAAATCAATGTGCAATTTCAGTGCATCAACTCGACCGGTGGCCGGACAGTCTTTGGAGGCATCTGCTTGACCGACATGTCAATCGGGCTCATCTCGACATCCATATCATCTGGGTCAGCGGTTGTATCCTCAACCATGACTGCAGGGAGGTTGGGGCTGCTGCCGTGTTCTTCAGGGTTGTAGATGAGAGTGCTGCTCCTGCTGCGCTGCTGCGACAAGGGCCAGCTGCCGGTTCTCTTATCGGATGAAATAGACATGGGTGTATCCGGATCCGACTGCTGGTTTCCTGTAGCGTAGATGTTTGAGAACGCAGCAGTAGACGCAGACTGCTCTGTCTTCAACTGGGCGAGTGCCTGTGCGAGATCACTAGCGTGGACTTCCTTGTTCGGGGGATCCTCATTGCGGAGAACCCAGCCGTGAGGCGGGCTCGGTGGTGGGCTGATGAAGAAAAGCTTGTCGAACTGCGGGGCCTCGAGTAGCTTGTGCTTGACGCCGTGTTCATCAGAGTTTAGAAGGGGCGTTGGCTCGCCGAAGTAGATCTTTGCGCGTACGGGACGATTGAGGAGGCTTGCGCCGTCAAGGAGCTGGCGGGCACGAATTGCGTCCTGTTCGTTGTGGAATGAGCAGACGATGCGGCGGAAGGAAGGAAGAGGTGAGAAGGAATTGAGCGGCGCGATGGATTCGAGTTGGGCGCGGATGTTAGTTAAAGATGGTGGTTGGAAGAGAGTCAGGTCATTTAAATCGGTTATGAGGAGAGTGTTCGTTGGTGGCGCGGGTTGCGAGAGGGCGGGGAGATTGGAGAGGTCGAGAGAGAGGTGCGATCGTTTAGATGAGGAGCGAGATGACCGAGTGGCCTGGAATGAGGGAGAGGAGGGAAAAGATTGCGGGAGTAGTGTATCCATCATTGTTGGAGTTGTTGAAGATGAGCAGTTGAGATGGGAGGTTGTTGTAGACGAGAGGCGGAGGCTGAGATAAAGTACTGGATGGAGTCGCCACTAGGAGAAGCTGGAGGTTGGGACGGGGGTCTGGGTTTCACTTTCCGCCAATGTGAGGTTTCGATACTGGATTATTTGATGGTTGGACTCTTGAGGACAGAAGTGTCTTCTCCTCTTATATAGATGGACGCCAATAATTGAATTCTGAACGCCGTCTTCGTCTTGGTTGAGGCGCAGCAGCGCCTCTGACTTCTGCTCGCAGACTCAAGAGTGGGTATGGTTCTCCCACGACTGCACTGCCCTGCTCGGCTTCATTATGAGACGGTATTACGACTTTTCCTTTGGATTCCACCTTGTCGATCCAGAGGACGCGACCGGTCGGTTGTCGGCAGCTGTTCCTGAAGATCGAATCGAGCCCGCCCTTCGCGACTGTCTTTTGCCACGGTCTTGCCGACCCGACATTGCTTGCCACCAAAGTGACCAGACTTTCCCTTCAGAGATACTACCCTAGTATTGTACATCATGCCTGCTAAGTCAGCGGATGAGTTTGTGCATCACGCCTCGATATTGGACTCCGGCTGATGAGCCTGCTCCGGGTATATCACGGCCTTACTGTATGCTAAGCTGGCTGACTCTGCCCTGCGAGGTGGTTCAACCAGAGCCTCCGCATGGCGATTGCAGCCGCTGAGCTTGACATCGCCATAGGCAGCATCATAATTCGTGCTATTTTGTGTTCCTAAGCCCCTGGTCTCATACATAATCATTGCCGCGACAGCTGTCCCCAGCTGACGACGTACACTCCATACAAGCTCCGCCCCAAGGTGGAGGTTCGGACCCAAAGCTTGAGATGAAAGGCAATATCAAGATTAGACGGTGCATATCGCGTCGCCTGCTCGATGTCTCCGCCGGACTACTCGGAGTTATCCGCATACGTGTGCGGACCAGCGGTGTTGAATCTGTTGATGATCTGCTCAAGTGTGGCTGATGCATCTCCGCCGACATCCCGCCGTCGAATTGTTGAGAATGTTCATCTTCTTTCCTCGTGAGCTAACAGCAGGCTGCTCAATAACTGCGTGGCTAAGCTCTCCTCGTCCACTGAACACATACGATGTACTTAACACATCCCATGCCAAGCTCTTATAAACTTCTTTCCCTGCATCCGGCGGACTCACGTGGATAGGGGACTGTGATCTCTCAAGTCACGAGGTCAGCCATAATGGCAGTGTGCACAGTTTCCTCACTCTTCTTTCTGTCCATTATTGTCCCAATGTGATCAAAGGACCGACAGCACCTCGGTGGAATTAAGAATTCCCATCAGGCCAACAATCCATGTTGCTTCTGGAGATGGGCAACGGGAGGCTTGGCAATAATATGCCTCGCTTGCGGTCCTGGACATAGCCTCCTCCGAAGTCCGCACACTTCCCGCTTTGGGATGCCAATGCTCTCCTAATCATCATATGTCAATTACTGAAAGGATTCAAAAAGACGCCTACTCAGATACAGTCTGCATATCGCGCGCCTTGAACCCTGATCGGGCAATGCTCTGAACCCTGGGGTAAGCCTAAGGCACACGGAGCTTGCGGCTGAGGCTGTAACACGCGCCATGTTTGACCTTCTAAGTTCTGAGGCAGGGCCGCAGGATATGATGTCTGACAGGAGGTAAACCCTGGGGAGTACGAGTACGAGACGGTGCCGCGCACAACGCTCCTTTCTCATTGCCCGACCAACAGAAACCGCCTTGCCGCAGCTGTATCCTTATCGCCGTTGCTGGTCCACAGAGCATTCGTCCTCCATATTATGCCGTCTTCCGAGGGCTGAGTTGATGGCAAACGCTGATATTGGTCATTACAGTAAATTCTTCCTCGCTTGGCGGTACGGTACAAACGACGGTGCTTTCGAAAACAACAGATTTGGGTATAGTAGGATTTACTTTGCGCGTCGTTTCAAGGTCGAGCTGGCTAATAAACATCAACTAGCGCTTACAAGGTCTGTAGCTGATGACTTTCTGGTCTTTCAGGGCATATGATCGCTATGGACCAGGATACCAATGGTAGAAGCCGTGGCTTATATGGTCACCGCAACTCTTATACGGCATAAGACATCACTGAAAGCATTATTGGGCTGCGATAATGTATCGCTGTCGGCTGTAGCCAAGCTCATCTGCAACACTATCATGCATTATTCCAAATGATGCACGTGCGCAGATACTATGACCAGAGGGAGTGAGCCGGAACTCTCGGTTTCTTCCAATAACAAACTTCAATTCTCTGAGGCATCTTCCATTCTCTACAAAGCGGTCTTTAAATCCTCTTTCACTCACATCAATGCCTACGACTCAATTGCACATTGTTTCATCATACATCGAGTGGCCTATAGTTCGGTCAGACGTTTTTCCTTCTCCACAAGGCGGTCAGGTGATGCTGTTGAAGCTCCAAAGTTCCAGTTTTTCTGGGATAATGCCGACTCTGCTTCCTTCCAACATCACCGCATCTTTGTTCTTCCTTCCATCGAATAATTCCTAATCTCCCCATATAATTCGTCATGTTCCAGAGAACTCTCCTAAGACAGGCTCAGGCCTCCCGGTCTCTGCTCTCCGTCCGATCCGTATCCACAGCGCCCTTCGCCGTTCCTCGCACATCACAACTCCAAACACAGCTCCTCCGTCCTTTTGCCCGGCTTCCTACCGCTCGGTGCTACTCGACAGAGAACAAGGCCGAAAACGGGAATGCCGCTGAATCACCCGAAGCTGCCGAAGATCCCATCGCGAAGGAGCTAGAGGAGAAGAAGCAAGAGGTGGTTGAGCTTAAGGTAATACTTCCGCGATCCCGATGAATACCAATGAATACCCATCCTTATACCTTTTCATCGTACACGATTCTAATATGAAATAGGACAAATATGTTCGTTCGGTTGCGGACTTCCTCAACCTCCAGGAGCGCACCAAGCGCGAGATGGACAATGCCCGCAATTTCGCCATTCAGCGATTTGCCGTCGACCTTCTTGAAAGTATCGACAACTTCGACCGTGCCCTTCTCGCGGTTCCTGCCGAGAAGCTCTCCGCTGCTAAGACCGAGGACAACAAGGACCTTCTCGATCTCGTCGACGGTCTGAAGATGACCCAGAACATCTTGATGAACACCCTGCAGAAGCATGGCTTGCAACGATTTGACCCCGATGAGCCTACTGAGGATGGAAAGCCCCAGAAGTTCGACCCTAACCGCCATGAGGCCACTTTCATGACCAAGGCCGAGGGAAGGGAAGACGGCGAGATCATGTACACCCAGAGCAAGGGTTTCACGCTCAATGGCCGTGTTCTCCGGGTAAGTGGCCTCTTCAGTGCTTTAACAACAGCAAATGCTAATCTTCTCTCATAGGCTGCCAAGGTCGGTGTTGTGAAGAACAACTAAACCTAGGGTATCAACATCCTTTCCGCCAATTTCCACTTTCTCTGTACAATATATAAAATATGTCATTTACCACGGGGGGGTAAAAATATACCCCTTCGCTGTGACCACGACCTGAATTTCTTGCTTTTGCTTTTTTGGATGGTCATCTATTCTGTCTATGAACGCATGTCTACGATACATCTTTCCGTACGACTGGAGGCGTCCGGACTATCTTTCGATCTTGCTTTTTTGGGATTCCACACACGGCGTTATTTACAACCTCCCCTCATGTATACTATCACTCTGACTGGATCGGGCCTTCTTTCATATCTCGGAAAAGTCATTACGCATCAGGAAGTGCATTGCACGGATATGGGTAATTCATGGCATTTGATCATGTTTCATGTTATTGAGATTGTTCTGGCGGCACTTTGGCGATGCTGTCTCTGGTCAAATAGAACTAATATATGGATGCCTCGTTAGGCAATCTTATCTTGATTCTGTCGCGATAATACACCGAAATTTCCAATGAACGATGTCATGTGTGATTTCTTGGGACTCCTATGGTGAAGCTAGTATATCTCGGTGAGTATTTAATCCGGATTCCGGACCGGGAATATTTGTTTAGCATCAAGCTCAACCGAATTTCGATGTTTAACGTCTGTATCATCGCTATCGGTTTCACGACTGGAGATGCGTCTACTTGCTACGAGCAGGGCGCTACGGCTTGGAAGCGGAAGGTGGTCAGTAGCTTCAGCGCGAGGTACTGTCCGCGTTCCCTATTCCCGCTTTCCAGATGCTCAGGTTCTTGGGCGTCGAAGCTGGAGCACCACAGCTGTGCGCAGGACGCAGGATGCCTCGGAAAGGTCTGAAAACGCACTGAGAGCATCAGCCTTCCCTAAATCACTATCCGTTGAAGGCAAAACTTATCCCACCGACGACTGGACAAACACTCCTGCTACGATACTCTCGCACATCGGCCGCCGACTCTACCTCGACGAAAACCACCCCCTCGCAATAACCCGCAAGCTCATTGAGAGCCAATTCCCCGCCCCGGTCTACGGCAACTACTCCGAGAAGAATCCTATTGTAACAACAGCCCAGAATTTCGACGTCCTCGGTTTCCCCGCAGACCACCCTGGCCGGAGTCGCACCGATACATACTACCTCAACGACAAGACCGTCCTCCGAACACACACGAGTGCCCATCAACAAGCGTACTTCCAACAGATAAATCGCAATGAGGCGACACGTCCCGAAGAGGTTGGGTATACTGTTGTTGCGGATGTCTATCGGAGAGATGCGATTGATCGCAGCCACTACCCGGTGTTTCACCAGATGGAGGGAGCGATGCTGTGGAAGCGGCCTGTTGATGAGCCGCTGAAGCATTCAGGTCAGACTGCTGCTGCGATTGCAGAGGATGTTGAAAGGATTCCAGCCCATAGTGTACCAGTTGAGGACCCCAATCCTACAATCCATCCCGAACGCAACCCGCTCCAGGCCGAACACCATAGCGAGGAGGAGGTTGCAGCTATCGCCGCGCATCTCAAGCGCTCACTCGAACGAATGGTCATTAAGGTCTTCACCGAGGCCCAGAAAGCTGCTGCGGCTGCGGGTGTGGAAACAGAGCCACTAAAGGTCCGATGGATCGAGGCATATTTTCCCTTTACAAGCCCGTCGTGGGAGCTGGAGGTGTTCTGGCAGGGCGACTGGTTAGAAATTCTAGGCTGCGGAGTGGTTAAGCAGGAGCTTCTCATCAACTCTGACGTGCCCAACCGGGTGGGATGGGCTTTTGGCTTGGGCCTAGAGCGCATCGCCATGCTTCTGTTCAACATCCCCGATATCCGGCTGTTCTGGTCAAAGGACGAGCGATTCCTTTCTCAGTTCAAGGCGGGCCAGATTACCCGCTTCGAGCCGTTCTCCAGACACCCCGCGTGCTACAAGGATGTTGCGTTTTGGCTGCCATCCGCGGCTGTCAGTGGCGGAAGTGCGGCTGGCGGAGCGGTCCCGGTCCATGAGAACGATATCATGGAGATTGTGCGGGGAGTCGGCGGTGACCTTGTTGAGGATGTCAGGCTGATTGACGAGTTCACTCACCCCAAGACAGCCCGCAGGAGCATGTGCTATCGCATCAACTACCGCAGTCTGGAACGCACATTGACGAACGAGGAGACCAACGATCTCCACGAGGAGGTGCGACAGAAGCTCACCAATCAGCTCCATGTCGAACTGCGGTGATTGAAAGCCTAACTACCTATGTACATATATCCGTATTATACTTGATGAATTGTAGACCACATCCCACCTTCATGGATGATCCATAGCCACCTACGTCGCTCGCCACGCTTACAACCGAGGATTGCCGCATGGCCGCCAGTCCGCCGTGTAAAAGCGCAACCCGAGCCGCTGATTGGCCAGCCCCACAGACATTTCCGACGGGGCCAGAGTCTCGGAGCCTTGATCTATCTCCGTCCTGCGCTCTTAAATTTCATCTCCAACTTTCTTCGTCGGGCGACTCCAAATCTCCTCTCCCGCTCAACCTCTCCGCTCTTCCCGCGCTGGAATGTCCCCGTCTGCATCCTGTCGACGATGGCAAGCACCGCGAAGCTGGAAATGTCGCGTCCCTCGCAGCAGGTCGCCGCAGCGCCTCCGGCTGTAAAGAAGGTACATTATCCCTTCTGGTTTGGCGGCTCTGCGTCATGTTTTGCGGCTGCTGTTACGCATCCGTTGGATCTTGGTGAGTTTTCATTTTCCTTACTTCTAACATAATCCTGAGTACTCGGACTAATATTGAGAATTATAGTCAAGGTACTTTCTTATAATCTTTTTATCGCTATACTTCAGGAATTGAGATTTGATCATAGGTTCGGTTACAAACTCGGGGGCCTGGTGCGCCCACGTCTATGCTGGGTACGTTTGCGCATATCCTTAGGAATAATGGTTTCTTTGGTCTATACAATGGGGTACGTTAGCAACTTGATATCAGATTGGTAGGTTTTGCGCTCACATATACCCTTCCCAGTTGTCCGCCGCCATTCTTCGCCAACTCACATATTCTACGACTCGGTTTGGAATCTACGAAGAGCTCAAGTCCCGCTTAAGCACACCATCGTCACAACCCGGCTTCTTCACCCTACTCGGCATGGCCTGTGCCTCTGGTATCATCGGCGGTGTAGCGGGAAATCCCGCCGACGTGCTCAACGTGCGCATGCAATCCGACGCCGCGCTCCCTCCCGCCCAACGGCGCAACTACCGTCATGCGTTCCACGGACTCGTCCAGATGACGCGCACAGAAGGCTTCTCAAGTCTCTTCCGCGGCGTCTGGCCGAACTCCACACGCGCTGTCCTGATGACCTCTTCGCAGCTCGTCTCCTATGACGTCTTCAAGCGCATATGTCTCGAGAGGTTCGGGATGAAGGACAGCCTCTCCACGCACTTCACAGCTTCTCTTGCAGCAGGGTTTGTCGCCACCACGGTATGCAGTCCGGTGGACGTGATAAAGACACGGGTGATGAGCGCCTCCCCTGCGGAAAGCCGTGGACACAACATTGTCGGTCTTTTGCGCGAGATCACCCGCAAGGAAGGCTTCGCGTGGGCCTTCCGTGGCTGGGTTCCTAGCTTCATTCGTCTAGGACCCCATACCATTGCCACATTCATCTTCCTTGAAGAGCATAAGAAGCTCTACCGCTACCTGAAGGGTATCCCTCAGGAGGGCGCCAAGTTATAAGATAGGCTTATCTGCTTATCTACCTAACTATCATGCCCTCATCTATGTCTCATCTATACGCATATACAACGCATCTGCGGATCGCATTTTGGATCTTGTTAGACTCCATTGGCTTCCTTACTTCACCCTTATCACGCGCACGCTCATACCCCGATCTGGCTAGGACCCAGGGGGTTCCTGTTTATTCATGATCCTGCACATACTTCTCCATTGTTTTGGTTGTTTCTAGAGCGCCGTCTCACAAGCCTCATCTTCTTGGCTTGACTCTCGTCGATTATCTGGGATAGAAACATCCCTTGGATGACCTATTTGGACCAGATCCTTTACTTCCACCCCCACATTCATGTATGATTGGGCTGAACTGGGCTGGGTTAGATCATATTAGATTAGATTGGACTATCTATGTCATGTGGAGTGCGGGCGGTTCGTTCTGCTTTGCCTCGCGGTTAGGGATGTTTTAAAAAGAAAATACTTACTGATAAAGGATATGATTCAAATAATCCATACCCCAAGAATAGCAAGGCTTGTTATCTGTAGAGCAAACAATACAAAACTTGAAGTGGCTGACTTGTTTTGCTGAGGTCGGTGTCGGTCCTGCGTTCCTCTTCATTCTCTCACTTCTCCTGTTCTCAGCCTTCACTCTCCTTCTGTCTTCCCCCGTTTTGCTTTTCACTTTAGTCTCACTCTCACTCCTCCTATCCCTGTTGTCTCCATACGGTTGTCTTCCAAACAACATGGATACACATTCCGTTGCTCGCCTCGATTACTGCTATGGCTACACACAGGGTAGATAGCGCTTGGATTACAACAAAATAAGCGCAAAAGGGCGGAGAGGATTCTCCAAAGTTCACCGCAGCTATTTCATGTAGATTGCGCTTGGGTCTCGGCCTCCTCAAGGACTAGTTCGGCGCTCAACCGCTCCTCTGTCCCAGCTATGGTACACATCTATCTCGATATATAAGACTCATCGGGGCAATCTTCATTTGTTCACATTGGTTCCCGATTTACTGGACTAGATGTATTGAGTCTGATAAGGCACCGACCCCAATTTATCTACCAGAATTTTCTCAGTCAACTTCCACAAATTTTCCTGAAGCTCGTGGTTCTGCGCTTCGCTAGACGGACTGGTAGGTTTGCGGTCGGGCACAATCTGGATTTCTTGATTAATTCACAACGCTGAATCAGTAGTTGGACTTACATATTGCCCTTGGATGGCATCCTTGACAACGTCTTCGCTTGTAGCGGCAAAAAGTGCAGGCCTGCAGCCCTGATCGACTGGATCCTTCATAAACGGCCTGACGACCGCCACGCCAACCTTTCCAACTGCACCGTATGCATCCTCCGCCTGCTTTTGTTGGTCAGTCCTGATAGCTCCAGGATGGGTTGCGTTTATCCAAGGCCCAGCCTTGGCATCAGGGTCAAATCCAAGCTGGGCCTTTTCCTTGCGCTCGGCCAGCGCGCGGGCATACAAAACCATTGCGAGCTTGCTGCGGTTGTATAGCTTCGCCGGCCCAATGTCCGTGTTAAGCTCGGCGAGAGACTCGAACTTGACGTCGCTGATTGCGCGGTGCAGCTCAGACGACTGCAGCACGAGGCGAGAGCTTGGCGTCTTCTGTAGCAGCGGGAGCAGCACACGGGATAGATGGAATTGTGAGATGTGGTTGACCTGCATGTGGCTGTCGATGCCATCCTTGGTGAGGTTAAACACTCCAACGCCGAGACCTGCATTGCAGATGAGGCCGTCGAGCCTGTCAAGCGTCGAGGCTAGCTTTTTGGCGACCTCGTCGGTCTGCTTAAGATCTTCGAGCTCGATTTGCATCGAGTGCACTTTGGATACGTCGCCATACTTCTTGAGACCTTCGGTTGCTTCCTGAATGTGCTCTTCTTTCTTGCCAAGGAGGTATAGCGCAGCGGGCTTGTGCTGGAGAATGTGGGCACAGATCCCGAAGCCAATTCCGGCGCTCCCGCCTGTGATAACGTATACCTACATCTCACCCTTTAGCATTTATAGAATGCTGGGAACTGGAGCTCACCTTGCCAGAAAGATCTGGGATGTCAGTTTTGGGGTCATAGGTGTTGCTGCTTCCGAACATGATGTGTAGTTAGTTTTATCTTGATTAAATTGACGTTAGCCAAGAAATTGAGGATAAGTGCGAGCAGATGAGTGTTTTGTCCATTCTGGAAATACGGCCGTTCAGGTCTTCAAGAACTATTGCAGTCGTTGGGTCAAGGTGACGTCAAATCGTAGCTCAGGTCATGACTAGGTAGATCATGAGTACAGCTGCACCATCACTATTGCTGAGCCAGCGTGTTCTAGGAAAGTAGTTTCGAGCCTCTGGCTTTCCTGCTTCTGTAGTCAGTTGGAGACAACGCAGTGATTGCACGATCAGGGCTGATAAACACAGGGCCACCGAAACGGAACAGATACAAAGCCGAGTTACCAGGGAATCCGCCACAGCCTGGACATGGCAAACAGAGTAGGAAATAAGCTAATCTTATCCACAGAATGGAAGAGTTTCTCGATGAGAAAGTTGGACAAGATCGGAGAGGCCAAAAGAAGGAAAAAAAAAAAGAAATACGTCCCCGGTCAGGATCGAACTGACGACCTTACGATGATCAGCTAACTAACAGTCGTATGCGCTAGCCAGCTACGCCACGGAGACACATCAATGGTTGTGACGCGCAAGTTTGCCATTATAGAGAGAAGACAATTGGAGCAAATAATTCACTAGGCCTTCTGGCTCTGGAGAACTAGAGTTTGCCCCTAGTACTGCTCTACGGAGTAACCATGATTATGGGGCTTTCTGTCCAGAAATCCTTTTGCATATGAGGAAGGAGCCACCGATTGTTCGCTCCTTGATCTTTTTTTTCTTGACGTTCCAGAACAGGAAGCTGCGCTAGGTCGTGCCTTCCTTGTCTGTTACTCATCTTGTATACACGGCCAGGGCTACCCGCCAGTCGTTCCTTCCTCGCTTGGATAGCTGAGTAGAACAGAAGGAGCGATCAACTCACGCCGGTCGTGCCTTATTTGCCTATTGCACTGTACACGGCATGAGCGACCCACCAGTCGTTCCTTCTTCACTTGGACAACCGGGTATAAATGGAAGGAACGATCAACTCCTCGGCCAGTCGTGCCTTCCTTGTCAGCACAGCTCGATGTTTGGGGAAAGACCTACCCAGGGCCACTTTAGTAGGCTACAGCTGGACGAGACGGTCTGTGGTGTCAATGCTTGTAGTATACCTAGGTCTGTATCACGTTGTCAATCGGCATTCTTTACCACTTCAGGAAGCCTGTCCAGATTACAACTTTCTTCTGCCTATCATGGAGCCTGGGACGAGGGGAGTAAATCAGCAACTAAAAAGAAAACAAAAAGAACTCGTCCCCGGTCAGGATCGAACTGACGACCTTACGATAATCAGCTTGCTAACAGTCGTATGCGCTAGCCAGCTACGCCACGGAGACGGTTGATGAGGACGGCCAAATTATTTGACTTTATAAACGGAGATCACCGCGGATATAAAATGATAAAAAGGAATAAACCGTCCCCGGTCAGGATCGAACTGACGACCTTACGATTATCAGCCAGTTAACAGTCGTATGCGCTAGCCAGCTACGCCACGGAGACGATCGATGACATAATCTGTTTGAGTTTGGATTTATGATGGGAACAATAGCTTTAGTCTGATAGGGCAATGGAAGAAAAAAAGAATCGTCCCCGGTCAGGATCGAACTGACGACCTTACGATGATCAGCTAACTAACAGTCGTATGCGCTAGCCAGCTACGCCACGGAGACAACTGATAAGATAAGCTTTTGTTAGTTGACAATATAAAGTTATCTACTCAACAACTAAGTATACCGCTGTGGCGAAACTTTGCTCACATCTACTCTGGAGCATTTATCCTGTTGTTTATTCCAATGGATATAAAAGGAGCAATTTAAATTGGACTATCTCCGTATCAGCATAAATGGCGGCAAGGATGGTTTAGTCACCTCAAGGGACCTTCTCGATCCCTGCGCCGATTACTACTTTTCCGTAACTTCAAATGAGTACAGGAATGGTGACTTGTGGTATAAGTATCAGGGTATGTGGGTTAGTTGCTTATTGGTAAGGAAGGAGTACATGAAGGATCGAGGGGATTTCTTTAGTGGGTCAGCGGCCTAGGGTTCCTTCCTCAGCACCGATCGCATATACTAATTGAATTGACACAACTACCATAACCCGATCCAGAGACATGTTGGTGTTTTGATATAGGCCAGAGAGATGATACATGCATGCACTCCGTATCTACTATCTTCTATTCGAGCTAGGTTGTTTCCCGAGAAACGTCTTCGAGCGAACTATATATCCATATGGGACATCTGCCTGCCTTATTCTAGAGAACAACCTCCGGTTCGATCCTATACAATACCACCATCAAGAATAAAGATTACAATGGGCCAAACTAGAGAAACAAAAAAAAGTAAACAAACCGAATCGCTCCATGAGGTCATCACAGCCCCTCTCCCGCAAACCATACATACATGCACCTACAAGCCACACACCATATAGTATCTACCGCACAGAGCTCCTCAACCCGCCCCGTCCAGACGGGAAATTCCTGGCACTAAGCAACGCCCCCTTAACGCCCCGAATCTCCGCGCGGAATCCCGAAATCGCATCCTCCTCACCTTTGCCCACCCCCGTCGCCGCCCCGCTCCCAGAATCCAGCCCGGGCGTACTATACATGCCGTACCCTGTTGTCGCGCTGTAAGGATACGAGGAGCTCTTGCTGTAGAGCAGGCCGTCGAGGTACCGCTGCAGATCGCTGATCCGGCTGCGGGTTGTGTCTTGGAGGGTGCTGGATGTTGTCTGGGTGTCTGCGAAGTCGCGCAGCTGCGTGCCGATTTGTTCGAGGCGTTTTTGATGTGTCAATGCGGTTGAAGTTGGGGTTGGCTTTTCGGGCTCTGTAGCAGCGGAGGATGTGACTGCGGGAGGAGGGTTGGTGAGGTCTTGGGTTGTTTGTGTGCCGATGTCGCGGTGGAAAAGCTCCGTTGGGTCAGAGGTTATGGATTCGATGTCTAACCCATCTTCATCTGAGACGACACTTTGGGCAGAGGAGATAATTGGTTTCGTGAGGAGACTAGGTGGGATCTGTGAGACATTCTGCTCGAGCTTCTCGTTGAGTTTCTTGAGGTTTGCCTCGGTTGTTGAGGCGAGGTCGTGCCGGGCGTCAGTGAGGTTCGCAAGCATTGGCTTCACAATGTATTCGCTTGCTGTGTAAAAAGTGGCACCGAGGCCTGCGGCGCCGTAGAGGGTGTACAGGACACTGCGAAGTGTGACCAGCGGTGGGGGCTTGGATTGGTGGAGGAGGAATTCGGGGTATGTGATAATCGGGGGGACGTCGCGGGGTGCGGAGGTGTTGGACTGAGTTGTGGTTCTCGACGGAGCTGATGGGCCTATAGACGGTGATGTCGTCTGGGCAGAACTCTCTGTGCTCGCAGCCGTCGCGCTCTTATCCTCCTCGGTTGTAGTGCTAGCATCGCCGCTTGCCTCGGAGTTCCGCGAGACACCTAAAAGGCTATCGATTTCCGGTGAAGTAAGGCCCTTGGATTCCAGGAAGGCAATCTTGCGATCCGTGGACGCATCCCGTATTGATTCGTCCTGTAAGAACTTGGACGCTTGCTCAAGGAGCGTTGACCGAGCGGTGTCCTTGTCGACATCCTTGTCCTTATCATCGGAGGCTGGCGGCGCGGCGGAGGTCTGTTGCTGCCACAGCGGGATTGAGGGTTTGGAATCTGAGTCGGACATGGTGACAGTTATGTTATCGGAGAAAGTAGATGAGCAACGCCGTATTAAATCTGAGAAGAGAGGTGTAGAGAAGAGATTCGGGGACCGGAGCGACGCCGGCTGGTGATCGATGTTTGGATGTCCGAACCATGTGAGTTGACCTCGGCTGTCTGGCTCAGGTTGGCTGCTTGGGTCTCTCGATTTGGCAGAATCTACTGCTGGCTTATCATGACAACTGCGAGGTAGTTTGCTATCTCGTCTCCGTGGCGTAGCTGGCTAGCGCATACGACTGTTAGTTAGCTGATCATCGTAAGGTCGTCAGTTCGATCCTGACCGGGGACGATTTTCTTTTTCTTTTTTGGCCTTGCGCTGTGAATCACATCTTAGTTACCATATTGTTTCCCACTCCGCTTGTTACAGACCACTATATCGCACTCCTAAATGCTGCAGAGCAAGCAGCCTACCATGTGTTTCAAATAGGCAGCCCTTGGTGTATGTTGAATTATTATATGTTCCTGGAGCTTTATTACTCTAGTGTGCTACTACTAGTACTAGTATGGGTTGCTAGATATATCAACGAGCAGGTTCATCGAAGGAGCCATGTACCTCTGAGCACATACAGGGTATCGAGGGACTCCTCAAAGAGTTTGCTTGTCTTTGCTTAGACCCTTTTCCTATATCACGGAAATCCGAGACCCGAATAACACCTCCACTGGCATGATTTATTTTCCCGCGGCATCGAAATCCAGCTTGATATTCACTGTACCATCTGTTTGGAAGTATTCTCAGACCTCCACTTGAGTCTTTACTTGACCCTTCCAGCCTCGTGGGGTACCCGCTCATTCAAAGACATTTTGAATCGACACATTGCGCCTCAAGACCCCCGTTACCTTGAGACACTCCAGCGAATAGTAGATCTCGATAGTTCTTCTCCTTGTGTAGAGAACTACTTTTTAGACTCCCTTGCAAGGAGGGTTACATCTCAATAGACGTTATCTGACCCACAAGACCACCAGCGTGGTAGGGAAGCCTGGAGATAGGGTATGACAGTTTCCTCATTAGGCAAGTGATAGGGACACCCAACCCTAATACAAACCAACGACAACCGCCACTACACGATTGTCCAAGGAGAAGTGATTACAAACAGATAAATAGAAAAAAAAGAAATGGAACGGAAAGCATTAATATAAAATTCACAATCGAAGATAAAAGTAAGAAATGATATAATAAAAGCACCCACACCGGCCGTGGCCGTCCATAAGCATCGTGCTTGGTACGGAACTGCATCTATCAAGTCCCTGGCACGTTGCCTCCTGTTCTAAAGAGAAACCGCGATCTTCATACATACATACATGAATAGACATATACCTAGCTGAATTCGTATCGAACAAAGCAAGCACCTGCGCGATCGAAGATTTGGCTGTGTAAACCATCTACGGAGTTACTTTGCTCATGCTAATGAGACGCTTGACACCGACCTATAGTGGAGAGGAATTAGCAAAATAGACCCAGCCAAATAGAACTGGGAGACGGCATACCATCCAGTTGCCGCACTCGTCATTTCGGTGCGTCATGATATCAACGTGGATTGTGCGAGCGGTTTCGTAGTCACGGGCCTGAATGGCGCGAGCGAGCTGCACCATATCCTGGACAGTGTTGGGTTTCAGCAGGTCTTCGTTGTTAAGGTGATCGAAGAGGAAGTTCAATCTCCGCTCGGCATCGTCGACCTGTGCCTTGAAGGTGGAGGGGGCTCGGGCCTTGACACGCTGCATGTCTTCTGAGAGAATCTCGAAGATTGGTAGAGCATCGGCGGGGATATGGGAGCGGTCACCGGGGGCTGGTTTGATCAGAAGTGTTAAGCAAAGTCAGGGTACAGATGGAACTAACGGTATTTGGGTGCTGCGGGAGCAGCCTTCTTCACCGAAGAGGCAGTGCTGGGTCGAGAGCCCGGGCCCTGAGGAGGCGGTGGGACCTGCTGCACTGGAGCCTGCATGGGAGGTGGTGTGCTAGGAGCGTATGGGTTGGCTGCCACCCGTGTCTGAAGCTGTGGACTGGCTGATTGAGCGGCCGGACTTGGTGCATAGCGGTTGGTTGGCGGGGGCATGGATGGTGGGGCATTGTAAGGGGAGGGCCCACGCGGGATTGATGCTGGGGGCGCCATCGTAGCGGGCGGGGATGTTGGCAAGGTGGCATACGGGTTGGCGGGCGGTGGAGGAGCTGTGGCAAGCGATCCCAGTGGTGCCTGGCTTATTGATGGTGGTGAGGTCATCCGTGGGGGTGGAGGAACGCCCTTTGGTGGAGGCGGAACTGAGCCTGTCCGTTGAGGGCCGGCGCCAACAGGCGGAGGGCCTTGCGTGATTGGAGAGGACTGGTTCGGGAAGGGTGAGGCGATAGGCGCAGCAGCCGCGGGAGTTCCTCTGCGTGACATGGGAGCTTTGCTGAATCCCTCGGGCAAGTCATTCCACGCAGGTAGATTTGTAGCGGTGGTGTATGTGGTAATGGCAGGAGATTGTGTTGAAGCGCGAGGAGGAGGAGGCACCGTGCCGGCCATAGGTGGAGGAGGAGCACCAAACGACTGTTGCCGGGGTTGATAGCCTGCGGGAGGAGCATAGCTGCCACCTGCTGGCGCGTAGGGGTTTGTGGGCTGCGGTGGCACAGGAGCAGCAGCACCAGCAGGAGCATAGGGATTTGCAGCGGCCGTCGGAGGGGCGTATAGGTTTGAAGCCGGTGCGGGAGCGGGGGCTGGAGGAGCATAAGATGTTGGAGTCGCAGATCTGGCTCCCGCGGAGAAGGTTGCCGCGGGTTGATATGTGCTTGGCTGGGGAAGGGGCTTGCTTGCAGCCCTAGTGGTAGCGGCGGCAGGCTGGGCCTTGGTGGTAGGCTGCCTCGTCGCCAACTTGATTCGGTTCCTTGCGATTTCGGCTTCGGGGTGTTTCTCCGGGACAAGGTCGAGGTACTTCTGCGCGACTTGCAGGCGGCCGTGAGTCGCGACAACATCAGCGTACTCAATGTACTTATCATAAAGAACGCTGAGCTTCCAGTCCGATTCCTTGGTACGCTCCGTGTCCTGGAACTTGGTAACCTGACGGAAGATGGTGACCTTTTCGATCAGCGACTGCAGAGCACGGACGTGGATTGAGAAGCTGGTGTCATCGGTAGCAGTTTCGATAGCCGTCTGCTCGCCCTCGCTCAGTTCCTCAATCCAGATCGCGACCACCTTCTCCAACTTGGAGCCGGCAAGGTAGCAGAAAGAGGCATCCTTGCGACCAGCCTTGTCGCCCGTGCTTCGGATCTGTTCCTCCAGACGGTCACCAAGGGCATCACAGAGATCGGCGAAGTCCTTATCGTCAGCGAACGTGCACAGGGCAACCATAACTTCCTTCCAGTTGGACAGCTCGGCATTATATACAACATCCCAGAGATTCTTGCCGACGACGGAAGCAAGCAGACGCACGTAGTTCGGACTGTTTGTTTGCTTGGAGAAGTAGTGCTCCTGAGCCTTTTCGATGCACTTCTCGCCGCCACAAATGGCGATCATGAAAGCATCGGACATACGGTCCTCCTTAAGGGCGAGATCAAGCGCCTTTTCAAAGTCGCCGAGGAGCAGAGCCCTGGTGATGGCTTTGTCAGCTTCGGACTCAGCACCGTTGAAGATCTGGAAAGGATTGTTTGTCTTGGCGCCTTTGGATGCGGCCAGATCGGAGAGGAAGTTGTCGTCGTCAGGTGTTGCGTCAAACATCGACTGCAAGCGCTTGTGCTTCTTCGCTCCCGGCCCGCGGGATGTTTTGGGTGATGACTCTTCGTTGGCATCCTCCTCCTTGCTGAGGCCAAGTTTGGCCAATCCCTCCGAAACCTCGTCAGCTTGATCATTGAAACCGAGGTACGAGATTAGACCCTTGCGGGGATCCTCGGAAAGCAGAGCCTCAATGACTTTCCAGTCGGCCTTTTCTTCCTCCGTGGCGGCATCCGCGACCCTGATTTCACAGATACTCTTCAAATCGCCTTCCTTCAGCGCATTCTCAAAGGTCTCGGTAGACTTTCCAACCGCCTCATCAACCTCAAACGGAGTGATCTTGATCTTGGACGCACGGCCATTCTTATCCGCCAAGTTCACAGAGACTACCCGACCGCCAAAGCCGAAGGCAACACTGCAAGGCCGCTCAAGCCACTTCGGGGCCTTGGGCAGTGAGAAACTGGAAACCTGGGGCTGGCTCGACGCCTTTGCAAAGAAGTCCTCTCCATCAAGGGCTTGATTCTGGTCGGCAGCGGCCTTGGCGGTTTCTGTGCTGGTGTTTTGGAGAGTCTGGATAGAGATTCTGCCGTCGAAGGAGGCCGTAGCGAAGAAGTTCGGGTTGTGGGGGTTCCATCGAGTCTGGAAGGTCCAGTTTGTGACGACAGGAAACTCGCCGTATGCGACGCCAGTTTGAGGATTCCAGCAAATGGTGCGGTTATCCTTACCGGAGGAAAGAAGTAAGTCGGGATCTTGGGCACACCAGGAAAGCGACAGCACGCCGGCTTCGTGTCCGCGGAGGGTCTAGATACTGTTAGCAAGGGGATATAGCACTCTAGGGCGTGGTTGCTCACTCTCTCTGGAGCATGGGAATTCCGGAGATCCCAGACGTTGATGATGGGATCCGACTCGAGCGGCGTCGCTGTAACAAGCTTGGTAGACTGCGTCGCATTAGTATGGCGGCCAGCGATGGAGGACCGGGGAGTTCCACCTTCTCAGGGTCCCAAGCGACAGCGCTGACAGCTTTCCGTCCCATGTTGTTGAGAGTCAAGCTCTCTTTCTTAGACTTGACATCCCACACGGTAACGAAACCGGCACTGCTACCGGTGACCAGAATATGCGGGACCTTCTTGTTCCAATCCAGGCATTCGATATCGTCGGCGCGGGCGGTAGTGCTTCCGAGTCGGTAGGGGTTCTCAATGTTATTAAGGTCGGAGATGTATAGCTTCGCAAGGCGTTAGCAGCTGTCCAGCTCCAATGAGGCCAAGTACCAACCTCTCCCTTGGCGCCACCAGTGGCTAGTAGGTTTGAATGTTTGGGGTTAAACTGTAGAGCTTTGATGGCCCCTGAGTGTTTTGACGTTCGTGACACGACGGCATCACTACTGGACATCAGTAACAGACACTGCCGTGATCGAATTTCTTAACCAACCTTGCTCCGCTTAGCAATTTATCAGCGTCCCATAAATCAAGGGATCCGCTCTCAAGGCCACCAGCAATTATTCCGCGGGAGTTATCGTCGGATTCCGTCCAGGCGAGGTCATTGAAGCTGTGTTTGAGAGCTTCCGTTAGCTTTTATCACCCATAAGCAACAGGTAAGCATATAATTGTGTGAACGCACCCCGAATCGGTATCAACCTTAGCTACCGGTTGGAGCTCCGCACCGGCAACCTGGTTACTCAAGCCCAAATCCCAGAGCTCAAGACATGTCTCATTTGAGAAGTCGGCATCAACAGCTCCAGCCCGTGTTCCGGTAGCGATCAATGGCGATGCAGCCCCTGGGGACCAGGCGAACGTGGCCGTCCGGGGAATCTCCCTCAGTCGCACCATGCTGAGGGTAGGGAGCTACTGTGTGGGGGTTATAGTTAGGGTGGAAGGCCGTTCACGGAGAAAAGAGAATATGAAAAGCGCGGACAAGCTGGCAGGATAAACAGATTTAACCAACAAGGAGTCTCCCCTCTCTAATCGAGAACCGAGGGGTGCATAGGAAATAGGTAGGATAGGAGAGGCGATCGAGTCGTCGTCCTGGCTGGGCTCACTCTGGCTGCTCTGCTGGCCTTCCCGCTCAACCAAGCCAAGTGGCCTTCGGGGGTTGGGACTAAACCTCTTCGGGGCTCGCCAAAACATGCCCGGTTCTGCCGAGAGACGGCCACGTGATGATATCAGACTGTCCGTCGCAGTTTGCGCGAGAGAAAAGCTTGCTGTCGCAGCGTTGAAACTCCAGTTTGAATAATCAAAAGCATCTAGCTACAATGAGCGAGAAGACCCGTTTAAAGTGCACAATCTACGTCGGAGGCCTCGACCAGGCCGTGACCGTGCAGACCCTGGCCGAGGCATTCGTGCCCTTTGGAGAGGTCGTTGATATTACGCTACCGAAGCCCGACGTGCCCAACTCCAATGAGCTCCATCGCGGATTTGGATACGTGGAATTTGATCTTCCGGAAGATGCGAAGGAAGCGATTGACAACATGGATGGCAGTGAACTGTATGGACGCACGATCAAGGTTGCTGCCGCCAAGCCCCAGAAGGATAGCAACGAAGGCCTGGGAAGCAAGACAGCTATATGGGAACAGGTATGTTGATGACAGAGTTGAACAGAAAATGTGGATTTTCTCTAACTGCAAAACGCAGGAGGGATACCTGTCTAAATACGCTGTGAGCGAGGAAGACAAACTTGGAGCCGAAGAGTCCCGGATGGATGATGAGCCTTCTCAAGACCCCATGCGACGGCTAGAAGAGTTAGATGTTGCCGGCCCAAAGCCTGAATGAGAGTTCAACAGGCTTAAGCTACGATCCGGAGAAGCCGAGAAGCTAGGTGACAGTAATATTGCACAATATTGCTCCGTCAGAACCCCGTGTTCAAAGCCGTACTATATACACGCGCTCCAACTCCGAGTCTGAGGTTTCTCAAGACATCACTCTCCACCGCCTCCCGCGACATCAAATTGCCTGTGGATAATACATATCGCCAACACAAACGAACAGGAAAGCTCAGATCAACCATTGCATGGAATCAAAATGTGATGGTACATTTTAGTGCTCGCGGTCCTCGGGACGGTTGGGGGACAGACGCAGGGTCTTGTCAGTCATGAGCTTCTTGGTGCTGGAGTAGATGGCGGCTCCGACGGCGACACTGAGCGAGTAGTGTTAGTGAGAGATAAGCGTTTATCGTGGGAAGGGGACAGGGTTGGAGATCATCTTGTGAAGAAATGGAAGGCATATATCGGCAGAAGAACGTACCCAAGGACAACACCTGTAAATAGTCAATACGACGGTTCAAGCAAAATAGATCAATGGGTGAGCTGAAAAGCACAACGTACCGAGAGGGAGCAACTCCGGAGGGATCTTCTTGAGAGTGCGCAGACGCTGGGAGATGGTGTGAGCTGGTGGGATAAGTTAGCCCAATGTCACGAAACCAATTACATCTGTATATCGATTGTCAATCGTCCAGTCTCCGGGGAGGCGTACCGGCCTGGCCTTCCTTCTGCACCGTCCGGTTAGTAACCGCCAAGCCATTTTTTCACATCATGCAACGCCAGGGATAGCCGACACTTACGGGAGTAGGGAAGGCATAGGGCCGGGTAGGCTGCATCCTCAAGATACGCGAAGGGTACATGGCGGATTCTGGGGCAGCAGAAAGCTGGTGGTAGAATCGACGAAGAAAGCGGGTGGGATGAGGAAGGTCGAGGTTCGGGATGTGGTGACGGAGCTCTTGTCGAAGCAAGTTCGGGTGGTGTTTAGGAAATCTAGGCTGGTGATTGGCTCGTTTACTTGGGCGGTCACTTCCGGCATGGGACTTCACGGGTCGTTCCACCCTCACCACCACCACGACACCTCTGCCATCTCCCTCCCTCCAACTCCACACGCCCTCTCCTCTTTCCAGTCCCCTCAGACAAGGTTCATTCAATTGAATATCTGCCGTCAAAATGGGTGCCATTCCTGAAGCCGACCCCGATGAGCCCGTCGAGACCAAGCCCTTCAAGTTCGTGACTGGTGAGTTTCTTCTGCCGAGCTCGATTCTGCGATCATGCTGCGAATAAGACTCAATTGCTGACCTCTTTCTAGCTGGTACGTCCCAAACAGATATCCAATCGACCCATGAGCTTCTCGTATCGCTCCGCATGATATAACCGGCTCCTTTGGCTGACAACCTATCGCTTAACCCATCTAGGCTACGACGCCCGTTTCCCCCAGCAGAACCAGTACGTCCTTGTTTCTCAATACTCCGTTCTTGCAGCTGTTAATGATATTGCTACAGGACTAAGCACTGCTGGCAAAACTACGTCGACTACTACAAGTGTATCAATGCCAAGGGTGAAGACTTCCGCCCATGCCGCCAGGTAAACCTTCTCCAATCATTAAAACTCCCAGGAACATCGCCTAACAGTCGTCACAGTTCTACTTGGCCTACCGCTCCCTCTGCCCTAAGGCCTGGACCGACCGATGGGACACTCAGCGTGGTACGTTTCTTGACTCCCATTCTGTAACAAGCAAAACAGTTTACTAATCGATCAACTACAGAGGCTGGCAACTTCCCCGCCCGTCTGGACCGGTAAATTAGATCTGTATTAGATTTCCAGCGGTGATTGAACCTTAACTTGCGAATGAGTTGTTATATTTGTCAATGTCAACATGTACTCTACCTGATCAGCGGGAATACAAGCATCTTCTTCGTCCTCTTTGTGGGCTAGCTGGAGATGGGTGTATATAGTCTCGCCGTAGTTAACAAAGTGCACATTTTGTGTTGAATACCTTACCACGACTAGTTGGTCCGTCAGGTCCGTCAGGCACATTGGTCTCAAGATATTATGCATACAAAAGGAAGGTTTGTAGGGGAATGGGCCAATATCTATCAGACTTTCCTTCTATATGGTCAACTAATAAATGAGATTCTACACAATTTTATACAAACCTTAGCTGTGCCCTACTGTATGCTTGTCGGATGCATCTTGGATAGAGAGGCAATGAAAATGGCATACACCGCCTGGGCAGAACGGGCTTTGGATCGCCATCCAACAATGCGAGCAGCAGCCTGCAGCCAACCTTTAGAACAAGAAACTCCTGGGAAGGGACACTATCATCATTTCTTGGTGGCACGGAGTATTCCTTGGTCACACTGCATCTTGCCCTACACTGAGACAAGAAATCCCGCTCAAACATTGAGCCCCGTTGATTCACCCGATCCAACCACCTCACCGGACAACTCTCTCACCTGCGTAAGTACATCTCTCTTTCCATCTCGTATTATTTTATTCCCTGCAAGACATTATGAATGTTTGCTCAACCCGGATGCCCTGCGGATGATTTTCCATACCGTTCTTTTTGCTGTTCCTCAACCCTCATTTCTTGAGTTCATCCAACGGTCGAGGTTGTCCCGATTTGTCCGGACTCCAATCGCGCCAACTCTCAGTGAACTGCAGCAAACGCTGCCCGTCGCTCACCCATCTGGGGTTGAATCGGGCGAGAATGCTCCCATTGGCCCTAGCATCGATGTTGGTTTCAAACGTCCTAGTAGTGGCGTAAGGACAACTCGATAGATAGGGGTTGATGTCCTGTGGCTTCCCGAATTGCATCTTCCCCTCGTCAGGTGTGAATGGTGGTCTTGGATTAGCCTCAGAGGTGTTCATGCGCATCCAGTCCAGGTTGTCTGAGAGCGGCAATATAATTGGAACCTTCCCTATCGTCCAACCCTCCCTTCCCATCTAACCCGACTCGCCAATTTCCTCCCCCAAGGCCCCTCTCCGCAAATTGCCCAGTCTTTGTTTGCTTTTCGAAAATTCCGATTGCTGTTGGATTGGCCCCTCCCAAGCCCCTCCATCCAACAGCTTCGCCTGTACCCTTGGTTTCTGTTTTCTACACTGAGCGACGCAAACACACCCACCAGTCATCATGTCCTTACGACGCTCACTCCGTGGCCGCACCGTGCGGGATGACCCTCCAAATATAGAATCTAACATGAGTACCAGGACAACTCGACAATCCCGGCTGGTCGCATCGCTGCCTTCTGTGACAGTGGTCCGGAACCCGTCGAAGTCTCCGGAGGGCACTAGAAAATCAATTCATCTCACGGTCAGGATGCCGTCAAATAAGCTTCGGGAAGCGACTAGCGGTAGCTCGCGAACCACTGCGGCGTCGAGGCGCTCGCACAATGTTTTTACTGACAACCCCATTGTTTCTGGCCCACGGGCTAGCCGGTCAAAGAAGAAGCTGGTAGAAGTGAATACTAGCGACGAAGAGGACCTGGAAGACCAGGAAGAGGATGAAGTTGACGATGAGGAGGATGCACCTGGCGAAGATGATGACGAGGATGCCGACGCAGACGCCGACGCAGATGCCGATGGCGATGTAGATATGGACGATGCTCCACCTCAGCCGCCAGTATCAAAACGGCAAGCAAGGGCTGCTGTGGCCTCTGCGCCTGGCGGGAAGCCAGCGAAGAGCGTTGAGGCCAAAGAAATGGAGCTTGAGGATGAGGACGACGAAGATGAAGAGGAGCTCTCCGAACCCGAAACAGATGGAGACGGCGAGCCTGACGATCAGGACGAAGGTGTAACGATCAACGCGGGTGATGGGGAGGAGCTGGACGAGGATGAAGAAGAAGACGAGGACCTTGATCTAAGTGATGATGAGACGCCAGGCGGCGGTGATATGAGCCGGCTCACAAAACGCCAGAGAGGCACTCTTGGCAACGACTTTTTGCAATTACCAATGGGTTCGTTCGTCACCGTATATTCATGATCAAGTTTAACCCGTTACAGAACCGCAAATCAAGAAGCACCTGACGGCAGAAGAGCGAGCAATGCGCCGCGCTGAGATGGCTCGACGTCGGAAGAACTTGAGCGAGAAGCGCAATGAAGAGGAAAAGGTATACTCGCGACACTGTCACCCTTAATGTTCAAGTTCGTCAATGCTAACAATGATATAGATGGACACAATCAACAGGCTCCTCCGGAAACAGGCACCCAAGCGGCGTGGCCGAATTCCTGCGGCTGAAGCTGCTGAAAATGCTGCTGCAGACCAGGAGGCGGCGGCACCAGAGATCGAGCCGGTGGACCCGACAATGGTGAGATGGGTGAGTGGCCGTGATGGTAGTCGAGTCGGTGTGCCAGAGGAATGGTTTGGCACTCCTGCGGGACAGATCTTCTGGGGGACTTCTGGGAAACTTGTCGAGGAGCTTTAGTCTAATGCGAGACTGAGCCTCGGGGACGCGGCCTAAGGGACCACTGATTATTCTGGCGTATTGGTTTGCTAAGCGGCAATGGCGGGTTCTACAGGGTTTTACACTCGGAAAAATGGAGTTTAAGATGGAAACTGGGCTATCAAGTTATTTACTACATTCGGGCTTGCCTGCCCCAGATGTATAATACATAGTGCGTTGTATGCGAAAAGTGGTCAATATGAGCTAGACCCTCTTTATTCGTAGGCGCACAGCGCCTGTTACTGAGACCAACGGTCCTGAAAGTCGTCAAACACCGGCAAGTATGCCAGTGCAATACGCTTTCGCTTTCCTAGCCTCAGAGAGACCCAGAGAGTACCGGGGGTTCCGAGGAGATCCGTGCTGGCATCAGATCCCCTAACTGCACCGTCTCTTGCCCGACTTCGACGATTGATATTCACCGCAAAAAGGTATGCTGGCAACATTTCATCAGCGGCACTCAGGCTTCAGCCAGTGTCCAACACAGGGTAGTGTAAGCCCAGAGCGCCTTTACCACTTCACCCCAGTATTTCACTTCGAGCTCGGAGTATCGGCGGGCAGAGAACCAGAAGCCGGCCTGGGCTGTTGCTGTTCTGCGGACTGGCTGGGGCTTTGGCTTCTTCGATTGTCGTCATTAGCTTAGCTTGTGGAATGCGAAAAGGAATCGATCGACGTACCCGGGACCAAGTCGTAGTCCGCTTTTCTTCTCGGCCTCGAGATCCCTAAACACGGGCTGGAAGGTGTAATAACCTGTACGCAAAGTCCAAGAATTAGCCTGGCGCAACGATCCCACAGTAAAGCAGATGAAACCCAAGACTTACTCGTCGCAATCCCCATCGCCACCGCCAGGACTACTGGCACAAAGTTTCGACTCATAGTGAGAGATGTATGAGCAGTGAGGAAGCTATCGAGGTTACGTCGAAATAGATGACGAATTGGTTGCCGCTCCCCAGATGGTTCGAGGAGGAAGGGACCGGACTTGTGTTTGGGCCCGCGAGGCCGCCCACTGGGCGCTGGGCCAGGCTACGCTAGGCTGCGGCATCGCCAAATCGGCGCCATTTTAATTCCCGTCGCGTCTCCCCACATCATTCTCGACGCGTCGAGAGGTCAATCAACACCACTCCATTTTATTACCAACCCAATCGATACGATCGGCTCACGACGTATACGCCGCAATACTGCCAATAACCTTTCTACGATACCTTCGTGCTATGCAACACCTCCGCCGACGATTTTCTTTCGAGGTGATGATCGTATAGGGAGATGGGCGAGCGCGTCCGAGACTGCAAATGGAATCATGGCGGGAGCGAGGGTTTGTGCCGGACTCGGACGATGAAGATGGATTTGAGAGTCAGGAAAAGAAATTGAGTTTGAATGGGAGCCAGGGTAGGAATAATGATAATGGGAGTCCTGCTGTTGAAGTTGTGCTGCCGAAGCCTGCTCGACTGGCCGAGAACGACAATGATGAGGATGGTCAACGAGATAGGGACGATGCTCATGATGACGAGTTGATGTCTCTGGAAGAGGATTTGGATGAAGTCCATGCTCTTGGTGATACCGGTGCGATTGGCGATGACGAGGAGATCGATCTGCCATTGCCCAAGGAGCGGCTGCAAACACCAGTTCACGAGCAGGGTGGGGTGTTGGAGTCGCCTGCGGTTGAGGGCAATCGGTCTGTGAGGGACGCAAAGAAACTGAGTTCTCGATCACGATGCTCGACTACGATTAGCGACGGTGCCGGGTCATCGACACCCCGGCCTAGGAAGCAGCGCGATATTTGGGATATGCCGAGCTCTTCTCCGGATCTCCTGGTGCTCGACCACAAACCCTGGCGGAAGCAGATGTCACCCGGATTGACACCTATTCCCATGGCTAAAGCCGCAAGCCAACCCCGTCCTGAAGAAGAGACTCTACTGAGCTCACCCCTCTCATCGTTGTCCTCCCTTCACTCGTCAGCGCTAGATATGGATAACGAGCAGGAGACTGCGAAGGAGACCGAGAAGCCACCGGATCAGCCCTTCGATGACCTCCTACCTCCTTTGGACATCCCTGAAGATATCCTGCGGGAATTAGACCCTCCCACCAGGAGATCGCTAAGGCAACGCAATCTTATTCAGCTTCATCCTTATCTGCTGGAGGATGCAAAGTACCAGCATCTAATGAAAGCTCGAGGTATCAAACCCGTCCGCGTGGCTCAATATGAACAACGGCCTCGTCCTGCAGAGGAAAGCCAGGGCCAGAGCTTTTGTGATGATGCGGGCTCAACATCGGATACGCAAATGACAGATTCGCACTTTGTCCCGTCATCGCCTGTTGATATCCGGCAACTTTCCGAGACGATGCCCAGAGATGGTGCCGAAAGAGTTGTGCGGAAAAATGCCCTGAGCCGGAATGACCACAAGGACGGTACTCAACCACGCTCGCCAAAAAGACGCCGAGTGACAGGACCCGAGGACCATCGTCCACGCCAAAATATTCGCCTGGCGCGTCCTCAGGTAGTGATTAGCAATACGCCGTCGTCCTCTCGGCCGTACAGTAATACATTTCTCGACCTCCCTAGTCCTCCCCGTTCGAGTATTGTCTCGTCACCAAGCACGGCAAAACGGATTGAGTTTCAGTTCCCTCCTGGATTCACGCCGCCTACAGTCACACCACGAACAGAAACAAAGCCTGGGACCACGAGTGCTGGTGTTAGAAATACCGTCATTGGTGAAAATGACGGCGGGGTCGGCCACGACTCTGATGATAGTCAGTCAGTGGTTTCTCATAGCACTACGGCTTCTAATGCGGATGAAGATGAGAATGACCAAGAGGACGAGGAAGAGCAGGACGCTGACGAGGCAGCTGTCAGGAGGCTACAACGAAAGATTAGAGGTGTACTTCCAGCTTCATGGTTGCGTTTGGACCAACAAAAGCAGAAGGAACGACTCACTGCTACACAGGCACATCAAGATCGAATATCGAGGATGGAATCTGAAGCTGCCAAAGGGGTTGCCAAGAGGATAACAAAGAAGGCTGACTATTCAACACCATCAGGCGCAAGAGAGCACTTGTCATCACTTAGACAGCTTGCAGATGAGAGTAGCCAAGAAAGCGAAGGAGAGTCGGTTAGCAATGATAGGGAGGAGTCTCGACGCATCGCTGACCTGTTCGACTACGGAGATCCGTTCATTGATCAAGACCCTACCGGCGATATACCAGAAGACAATCGGATTGATTACATGTTCCCGTCGACGCCCCGTAACCGGCCTCTTTCCCAGATTCTGAAACATGTCAAGAAGCGCAAGAAGCCGGAATCAGGCACGACTGGGCATCGTGGCGAGCCTAAGAAGCCGCGGATGAAACGCCAGGCGAGGCTCACGGACTCTGTGTACGGCGGCAGAAAGACGAAGCAGTCATCTCGGCGTCTCCCCAAACTGAGCATTCTAGATGCTCCGGATGTCGCCTCACGGTCCCGTGAAGAACAGCCTCAATTCCTGAGGGTTGCGGCGAGAAAGGCGCGCTCTCGCCAAGATAGGGGAAGACGGAGTCCGACGCGCAAGATTATCACCCTAAGTTCCTGGTTGGATACCGAAGAAGCCAACGTATCTTTGCGTGATTGGCGTGCAGGGCGACTGCGGCAGACCAAGTTGCCGAAGTTGCCCACTCAGACCCGTCGAAGACAGCCTTTGATGGATCTCTCCACAAATGCGAGACAGGCATATTATGAATCCAGTGCGAAGAGAACAAGAGAAGACCTCCAAACTGTTCAACCAGCTGCGCCATCGAGGACCGGCAGTGCTGCGAGAGAGAATGCCGCGCCTTCGGATGCTCCTCAACACGATACACCGATAGCTAGCGACACTACCCCGGCGAGACCAACGCAGCAACGACGAGGCAATGCCTGGATTATTCAACGAAACCTTGCAATCACATCGTTGAGTAGAAATAGTCCGCGCCCCGTGGCACCGGAAGTTGGAACCCTCGGTCCCACCGCAACAGCACCCCCTTCACTACGGGGCTCACTCGCTTTATTGAACGGCGACCGGAACTTGGTGCTGAACCGATTCCTCGCTGGCGAGGCTATACGCCAGAAACCTCCGCAAATAAACATCGAAAGAGACAGATTGGAACATAGACCTCCCAAGCCAAGGTCAGGTCCACCATGTCGTCAAATGAAGAAACGGCCGCCAAAGCGATTTGAAGTTCCTGCACTCGAGGACCAGCCGCCTCTTACATTTCCTTCCCCTGAGCCGGAGTCGTCTGTGTCGCACAGTCGAGTACAGTTGCCTTCAAGTCTCGCCACTAATGGACTGAATCGCTTCAAAACAACATATTCCATCGACTTTGAGGTTACTCCCCTACATGCAGGAATCTTCTTTCACGAGTCCACGTTCATCGGGAGTGGAGAGTTTGCACGCTCCCTCGATATCTCTAAACGGGATCTGGACAAGACTACTGGGCCATTTTGTGTCAAACTAGGTGACGTAAACATGCGATGGGGTGCGTGGGATGACAATGTGTCTTCTCGATTTAGCATGGTCTTCGACAAAATCTTGGGGCCTTCAGAGGCCGACACGGCAGTTTTAGATCTTGAAAGGCCTGCTCAGGATGTCACTAGTTCTGGATGTGCTCTCTTCAGATCTTTGATTAAGTATATCACCGACAGTTTGACATTCATCGATCCCATCGATAGAGTGGGGTTTGTGACACGAGTAAATGGCCTCGTTGCGAAGTTTAAGGAAGATCTATCAGCGTCTGAACGGGATATGGCGCAACTGGCGAGATACGCATCATACAATGCTGTTCTTGCAAACCAAGTCTGTCAGATTGCGTGCCATAGCCTTGTCAACGAGTCTGATCGAGATGAGACCTTCCGATTGGCAAAAGCGGCATCCAAGCAAGTCATTGCTCTCATTTCGAACCAGACAGGGCAGGCGGAGATTCGAAAATTTCTGGTTGCGAGCAAGTCGCCTGAATGGCGGGAGGCAGGAATCAAGGATGACCATCCCGCTGTGGAAGCTTACGTCCTAGCCCAGCGGATCTTATGCAGCGCTGACCGATATAAAGGTTGCCTGGAGAGTTTTGTGGCCGAAACATACTCTCTAAGAGAGACCGAAGTTTCCAGTGACAAAGACATCACTGGCCTAGAAAGCGGATGGCAACGCCTTTTTACTACTTTGCCTCTGCAGCAATTCGATGCACTCGGGATTACCCATGCCGGCTCCCGTTTCGGAGGGGGCAATGACAATTGGGCGGCTGTCAAGCGCCTACTTAAGCCGGCTCTGGAGAGTTGCAAGGCCAATGAGGAGTCTCAACCCATTTCCTATTACAGCTATTGTCGAGTTCTGCTCACCAGATGTTTCCTTCTAATCAATGGCTGGGGCTGGCGTGATTGCAAGCCGATTCTCAACACACTCTACGAGTTCTTCGCGAATAGGACTTTGTACAACCTAAGACTCGAGGAGAGCTTGAAATCACCTGCATTTCTCGACGAACTCGACGGCAACCCGTCTTTCGAGGTGTTGCCTGGCGATCCGTGCTTTCATATCCTCCTAAAGATAATCGCCACTGGATTACGTTTTCTGACCAAAGAATGGGACAAGAGAAAGATTCGGAATTACACTTGGCGTCTGCTGCCGAATCATGGCCGGGAGTATCCCAAGGAAGAATCCATTCGTCAAGCGGATTTGGACGCATTGAGGAATCACCATGATCTCCTTACTACCTTATACTCGTCGGTTCCTGAAGAATGTCGTCCTCAGTTAAAAGCGATCAAAAATCTTGTTCATCCCGCCAGTGCGCACCGGGAAACCTGCAAGATCAGCCTGCGGTCTTGGGCTAGGCTTGCGCGTTTCAAGCTGGCGACGAATGAGGATGTTTCCGGGTTAGCACCTTTCGCTGAGTGGCATGGTTATTTCATGACGGAGTTCTTGAAGCAGCACAGCCTCGCCCGAAGGGAGGTTGAAGCACAAAATGACGGAAGCAAACAGTTTTCGCAGCAGCTCATTGACAGGACGATTTCCCAGAATCAATGGCACATTGAATCATTGTTGAAAACCGCTCTTCAAGGTCTGCAGAGCGCGATCAAATCCGCTCCTACAGTGGAGCATGCTCATAAAATCGTCTCTGAGACTCCCATTGGCACAGTGCTAGGACTTTTTAACGTTCAAGTTCATCGCCTGAACGCTACTGTGTTGGAGGCAGTCCAGGTAATCGCGATGTATGTTCAAAAGTGCAACTCACTTGCTTCCGAGCTGTCACAGAACAGGATAGGAAGTGTTCCGACCGTTACCGACGAAGACAGCCAGGAGTATGGTGATTGGGCTGATATCACGGCCGCTTACGGATATGAACCTACGCCAGTCACTCCGGGGATTGAGCATGTGGAAAAGGTATTCCACCCTGCGGTGTCGCGGCTTGTATCCAACTGCTTCGGCGAAGATCGCTGCCCCGATGATGTGATCCTCATGGGTGTTGTGGACTGCTGGGCCTCTATAGCGCATGTCCTTGTCCGGCACGGATTGCGGAGCTGGGACAGCTACATCAGCCCTTATGGAAGCGATTCTTGGATAGCACTGCGACGGACGATACAGACGAGGAAATTCACGCCCCAATTCCTGGCCAAGTGCATTGAGAAAGATGGCCAGTTTGTTTCTGACTGTAAGATGCAGATTCTTGGGATGTGGCTATCGAGTTTGGTCGAAAGAGTGTCGATGCTCAAATTCCAGCATTGTTTAACTGAGGCTATATTGAATCATGATGAGTTCGACCCGGTGTTGCAGAATCTTCCCTTCTCCCGAGAGCCGAAATCAGGACGGTATTCGATAAGCTCCGTCGAGTTGAGCCAACGCCGACTGTCGCTTGTGTCGTGTCTTCTATCTAATATGCGCACTCACATACAAAACCTGGACGATACATGCAGTCGGGAACTCTCGACAACAAGGCAGGAATATGGGGAAATACTCCAGACAATGATGTCGTCGATGAAAGCAAACTACCAGGAACTGGGCAGTGGCGAAGCCCACCTTCGTGGTGCTTATGTCGAATTTGTCCAAAGCGTCGTTGGGTTCCTGCAGCAGCACACCAGGGACATTTGCGCTATTGATTCCTTCTTCATGAACCCGGCCTCCTTCCCTCTGCCGTCAACCGACCGTGCCTACATCGTCGCACGACTGAAGGGCTACGAACCGAAGCTGTCGTCTGTGAAAGTGGTAAAGACGCTTATCATATTCATTCAGAGTGTCTCTGAACGCGCGGCGCTTGATGGCGAACAGACATATCTAGTCAACCAGCTGTATGATTCCATGAAAGAGTCTCACGAAGCCGGGAGTCCAGAGCAACCTACATTACGGGCAACGCTCTTGCGATATGTGTTTCCAGCTTACCTTGCAACGTCTTTCAGTAACCCGTCTGCCTGGGTTCTTAGCCGGCCGATCATTGAGACCACCACTCGAGTTTTCCAGCAACTACTTTTGAGCCTCGACGCCGCAGATCCCAACTGTGTCCGATCCGTATTGAACATCTTCGGCGGTATCTTCGACTCTTCATACCGAGCACTCCACCTCATAACAGACAACGCCAACATGCTCAAGGAACCTACTGTTCTGTTCACCGCGACAGCCTTGCTCGAAATGGTCAAATCCGCACTCCCAGTCGTCGACTATATAGACCGCCTCGCTGCAGACGCTCAGTCAACAGGCCCTATGGTAGAACAAATCCGCGCATTCCAGCAATTTGCCATCTTCACAACCTCCTACCTACGAAACCCAGAACAAACACCTCTCACACTTGACACCCTTCCTCAAGCAGCCACCACTCCTTCCAACACCAACGACATATCCCTCCTCGCAGCCCGCGAGCACCAAGCCTACCTCAACGACAGCTGGTCCCGCCACCAAGGCAAATATTACTTCACCCGCCGCGGCCACCAACCGCAAGAGGTTCAAATCGAACCTTCTGTCCTCGCGAAGCTAGACCACTTTCCCGAGCAGGGGCTGCTGGATGCTGCGCACTCATTCTTGGATGTGCTGAATACCTTGGATCTGTTCGGCGAGAGTGAGAACGTTGATCGCCAGGCTGCGTCTGATTATATCTGGGACGATGGTTCCGGCTTGGGGTGGGCTAACGAGGATCTGGTTCTCTTTTGAGTACGAGTACTCTCAGCTTCATGTTATATATTGATGAACTCAATCCGCGTATCGAGTCAGGTCCCGGAATAATGATGTGTATGAATTGCATAGTATGTTTTTCATTCATTTAGACCTCTGTTTTATGTTCTTTCAGTTGGTAGTGTAGACAATCAGCCCAGCACAATGGAGAATGCCATTGGTCTTGTCAGCTCTTTCTGCGCAGTGGCTGGGTCCCTGGCCCAGTATAACCTCGCTCTCCGCCTATCTTGGACGTCAATGCTTTACAGTGTTACTCCTTCTTAAGAGCATACTTTTACTACTAAAGTATGAAAACAATACCATGAAAGCAACAGGTTCGTTTTGACATCGTAGACATACCATCCCTACTAGTACTATGGGTTTCACTATATATATACATGTGACCTATATATCACGAGACGGACTGGATTATTCTTGTTTTCAGATAAAAACTCAATGATTGTTTGGATGTGACATGGAACCTTCCGGTTACACCGATTCTGGGGGATATGAGGACCTGTGCCCGAATGATACGATGGAAACTACAATGGACATGGATATGGACACTACGAGATGAGGATGAGGATGTGTATGCGCATGAGTATATGAATCAACACCAACCAGACCAGATCAGATTAGCTCCAGATGAAACTTAACATTCGACAGGGTGGAAATGAGCGTGACAAAAACCAGAAGAGATCCCATGATGCCCAGAAATACTCGAACGTGCCGACCAGATGAACGAAGAGTGGAAGGAAAAGAAACACGACATGCTTTATTTATCTGCCTGCTCTCCTGCCGCCCCGGTGCCAGCACCCTCACCGGCCGGACTTAGATCCTCCGGATGCGAATGGTGCTGGCTCGACGAATTCCGTCTATGGAATGGATGCGGGTGGAACCCCGAGAAGTGTAGGACTTTGCGGACTGTGCTCGCGATTCCCGACCTGCGCTTTGACTCGGGTGAGGTTGGTGGGTTGCGCTCTCTATCGGCTCCAGCGGCTGTTGATGAGGTTAGTGGGATGGCAGGTGTATCCGGGTGTTTTGTTGCAGAGGCATGGTTCGGCCGGGCGATAGCATCGTTTGCATTTGGGAGGACGATATTCTGCGGCTTCGGCGGCCATTGCCCGTCTGCCTTCCAGCCCTGCACCATGGCTTTTGTCATGTCGGCGAGGTTGATGGGGACCGTCGGGGTGAGGCCTTGCAGGACGACTTTGGAGTAGATGGAGGGGTACATGGAGGGGGTTATGGAGGCGCGGATAGGGTTTGATGTTGAGATTAGGGAGGGGACGACGGGAATTAAGGGGTCATCGAAAGCGTCTGTTGGTGCTGATGGGATTGAGCTGGTCGTGGCGGAGGAGGTGGATGGAGGGCTTGTTGCGGGGATTGCGGAGGATGCTGAGGGGGGTTGCGGGAGGTCTATCGGGTCGGTGTCGACGGGGGACGCTCGTGGGAGGATTGCGTTTGGCGGAATGGCGAGGTCGCCTGGTGATGCAGGTTGTAATTGCTGTGACGGTGCAGCTGCATTATTCTCATCCTTGCCGGCAATGTTGAGCGCGGTCTCGGTTCTCTCCACGAGATTCGACTCCTCCCCCGTAGCAGGAACGGCAATTGGCCGCAAGGTCGCAGAAGCCGGGATACTCTGAGCATCTGTATCCGTCGCATCCCCAGCTGCTATACCAGCAGAGGCACCCGCAAGCTCACCACCACCACCACCACCACCACCAACCGCCTCTACACTCCCCCGGCTCCTCAGCTCCCACTCACGAACCTTCTCCCTCGACCTCGCCCCAGACCACGCATCCCGCCGCTCAACCCAAGTCCTCAACCCCTCATTCCAAGTCATCTCCTCCTCCATCTGCCTGCGCCGCTTGCGCCTCCGCTCCGTGCGCCTCGAGTCGGCCGAGGAAATCGAGAGCCCCGCCAAGGACGCATCGCCGTCATATAGACCGGGGCTTCCAATAGGTGAGAATTGCGGCTCGAGCTCCGAGCCCGAGCTGTCGTATTCGCGGAGGCGCCATTCCAGCACGTCGGTGGGCTCGGGGTTCGCTGGGTATGTGGGCGGAGGGGCACCGGGTTTTGCGGAAAACTCAAAGGACCAGTCGTTGCGGACGACGTCGCGGACATAGCGTTTTGCTTCGCGGATGGCGTCGTCGCGGGAGTCGGCGGTCATGGTGAATTATTTTTATTATTGGGGGCTGTAATTTGTGGGGAGTGAAAGAGAAGAAGAGGAGAGGGGGAAGAAGAACGCGATGAAGAGAGAGAATGTGAGGGGTTGATCGCGTGAGGAGAAACGAGGCGGGAGAAAAGCAAGTAAAGCAATAAAGTCGGCCGGCCGTTTGCTAGCTGGTTCTCTGTGGTGTGATATCCATTCCAAACTCAGTGTAGATGTGCTCTAGCATATGCAGGACTCGTCCAGGAGAAAGGCCGAGACGAAAAAGTGACGCTGGTTGAAAGCGGCGTCGAACGATGTCATCCGGAAAAATCTGCCTGAAATGAGGGACACACGGTCGAGGCCGCCACTACTCGGTATAGTGCAGGAATAGTCGAGCAATTATTATTGGTGGTATATGCCTTTTGGTCTAACTGTTGGTACATGCTGATCGTGTCGCTAACAAGGATAGTAAAAGTAGTGGTGGTACATATGTCATCGCATGATCAATCCCGAGCCCTGCCCTTCCTGCCTGCCAAAAAATACACTCTATCAAGAAGAAAAGTACAAAAAACACCAGTGCCGAACTCTCTAGGGTATCAGTAATTGTGTTCACGTTCGCACCCTCGCGGCGTCCGATGCTCCAGCTTCGTCGGTGGCTGGGGTCATGAATCCCCATCCCGGGCTCTTCTTGCGCCGACCCTTGCGGTCTCCGTACTGCTCGTCGAATTTCCGCAACGCCGACAGAGACGACATGTCTTCGCTGATGGACGCGCTGATCTCCCCAATTCCGCGCTCGAAATGCTCCCGGGTCAAAGTGCGCCTGGCCGGGTACTTGTATGGCTCCTCGCCTGTATGCTGCTGGGCCAAAGCATTCTCTTCCCGTACACAGGACAATGCGGCTGCGACGCAGAGGTTCTTCAGATCAGAGCCAGAGTAGAACGGAGTCCGGCGCGCCAAGTCGGCAAGATCGACCGAACTCTCTAGTGTTTCATCTTTTAGATGAATCTTCAAGATTGCGAGGCGGTCCTGCTCGGTGGGCAGGTCCACAAGTAGTCGCCTTGGGAGACGGCGGAGGACAGCGTCGTCTAGGTCAAATGGCCTGTTTGTGGCAACCATAATAAACGTGGAAAGGTCATTCATCCCATCCCACTCTCGCAAGAATTGGTTGATTAGCTCCCGATGAGACGTGCGAGAGCGACCTCCCGTGCGGGCACCGAAGATGGCGTCCGCTTCATCTATAAAGACGACGCATGGATTGAGCTTCCTGGCCAGAGTGAAAATAGCCTTGACATTCTTCTCCCCCTCTCCAACATACATATCATACACGTCGGACCCGCTGACCTCAAGCACAGTGGCACCACTTTCACGAGCCACCGCCTTGGCCAGCATAGTCTTACCGGTACCTGGAGGCCCGTAAAGAAGTAAGCCGGGAATCTTGTCCGTGGCTAGTACGCCGTAAGTAAAGGCCTCAGGCCGAATCAGGGAGAGGGAAGTGAGTGTTTTCAAGGCGTCAATAGTCTCGGACGGGACGTGCACATCCGCAAATGTTGTGCGTATGCTTTTGGCATCGACGACACCGTTTAGCAACTTCTTCTCGTACTTGTTGCACGTCTTGCGGAGAGATGCAAGGAGATGTTCGCGGCTGGGCTCTGTCTCAGATGCTTTCGTATCGGCTGTTGGCGCCTTGAACACCTGCGTTTTGAAGAAATCCTTCCTGCGGCGCTCTGTAGCTTTTTGCATGCGGATATGCGCAGACGCGCGATTGAGGTGCTCGAGTCCAAAGACCTCGCCTTCGCCAACACTCCCGAGGGCAAGCGTTACCAACCAATGGATTTGGTTATAAGAATAATATCTTTCAGAAAGTCCCGGTTGCAAGGTCTTCCAGAAACGCGGGTCCTCTTTGAGAACCTCATCCTTAACAGCGGTTGGGTCGTCCTCCAGCCGTGTCCAAAGCATGCTCTGGATGTGCCGCTTGTTGACATAGTCAGTACGCTCAAGACGATCAAGCTTAAACCGTTCCGCTAAGATTTCGGACATCGGTTCCGGCATGACGAGAACCGCTTGAGAAAATTGATCGTCAGAAGACCTCTGCAACAATGCTGATGTTTCATAAGCCAAGGAAGGGTCGTACGCCGCAGTCCCAACGAGCAGCACGCGATGACCGTCTTTTCGCCGGTCTTCGATTACTTTTTGTAAAAGGGTTATAAACTTCGATCCTTCACGTGTGTTTTGAATGTCAACATAATCCCGGACCTGTACAATGATGTCCCGTGATTTTTCTGGCTGAGAATTTCGAGATTCGTTGGGTCTGTCTTCGGAGCTGTCCGAGGGAGCAGGTTTTTGCGTGAGCTTGCTGCGAATTGAGAGAATTTTATGCAAAAGCTGAAGTCGTCTTTCCTCCACGCGATCAAACGGCGATCGTGAGCCTGCGGCCCCAGTCGCATCTGAAGGGTTGCCAATTGCTGCAACTAGTGACCTGAGGTTCATGATATTAGGAATGGGAATGTCCCCAGGCTCACGAGAGCTCTCAATCGTGATGAACTTTGGACCCTTGTCACCAACGCTACGCGGAATTTCAATGTCTGGTTCGACTTCGTCACTCTCAGTCAACTCGTCGCTCATTTCGTCAGGCGTCGATGCCCGATATACCTCGTAGCCAAGAAATTGGATAGAAGACATTTTGCCCGTCTCTGCTAAGTCTTGCTCGGCGCACAGTCGAGCGATATCCTGCGCGTCGAGTGTCACCAGATCGGCATTGAGATCCAGCGAGAGTCTTTGTATCACAGCGTCCAGAAATACTGTACTACCGTTGGTTGGGCAATGGAGAACGAGATGCGATTTGCGTGCGGATGGCTCGGTAGCGTACTTAGCAGGTGGAAGTCGCAAACCGGCCCTGGCAGAGTTGAAAACTTCCGTCCATGTCTCTTCGCTCAATTCAAAAGAAGAGGACAATTCATCCTTGGAGGCTCGGTTTTCGTTTCTACCGACAATCCTCACCTGTGACCGTAACCAGGCTGTGTACGCTTCATCGTGATCGTGGAGCAGAGTGTTTGCTGCAAGAAACCAGTCGGGAACTTTGACGGGAGTAGAGGTTGATTTTGCGGATCGCCTCTTATTCCTGAGCGCTCTCCGAACTGCTGATCCATACGGCCCTGACTCCTTATCGACGGTGCGCTCCCCCGGCGACTCAACGGAAGCCTTGTCTAGGCTGTGGTCGCCATTGGGAGGCGTGCTGCTGGTGGCAGCTTTATCGGAAGCCGAGTTTCGAGGATCATTAGGATCGGACGGTGTCGATGATCGCCATGTTCGCGAGAGGTGGAAACGACGTAACGGGGACGCGGCGAGAGCGGGATATCGGCGGCGCGCGACGAAACGACAGGGTTGCGCTAAGGAACAGAGGAGCCTGCCCTGCTGCATTGACGAGTACATCCGGGGCGGATGATGCCACCGGAATTGGAGGGCGTAGGAGGACTGCTGATGCTGCAGGAAACGACGGTCTGCATCAACTGGGTTTGAAATTTGGATGGCGGAACTTTTTGATGTTCAATTTCATGTCAAGCTGTCTTTGTCAGCCAGGGTCCTGGTCACATGATATACTCTAAACGCAGAATCGAAACACTCCCAGACTGCACGAATTGGCCGATTCTATCCACGGAATACAGGAGATTGGATGCAGTTGTCAGTTAATGATGCTTGATCAGTCCGCTCTGCGGGTATTTACAAAGACAAGAGACTACGATGATGATACCAAGTTGAAAGGCTGTGGGAAAGAAGTGTCAACCAAAAAAAGTATTCGACTATAATTGAAGCTATATTTCGATCCAACCAATGCATTGCGGATTGCTTTTAACCCCGACGTTGCGAGATGCCAAACGGACAATTACGACATGCAGCTCAAGCGGATCTCTCAGGCGCTCGAATCTAAGTTTCGCTGTTCTTTTCGAACCGTTAGCCGTCGTGTATAAAGACGCGGTGTGACGAAATAAAAGCATAAAAGTAACTCTCAGACAAAGTATACTGGCAAGTAGCAGACCAACCGGGAAAGGGAGGTCCGAACTGTCTCGTCAAGGGCGAATCGGAGATGGTAAGAAGTAGAAGGGTTTTATCATCCTTGAGAGGGGTAGAGGGGTAAAACAGGACTGAGGCCAAAACTCACCTTATGTAGTTAGTAGTGACATGATTTAATTCACTCGTAGTGGCATGATCATAGCATTGCAGTCTGATGTCGACAGGTTGAGGCGAACAAACACCGAGCGATGGTCTGACAAACATAGAGTCAGATCAGCAGATGGATAACATCGCTGGACCGAGATTTCGCAGTGCAAAGCAGATTCTTGCAAGAGAGAAAGTCGAGCAAGAAGTTGAGTGAAGAGGAAACAAAAAGAAAGAAAACTTTCTGACCGCCGGCGGAGCTGTTTTCCCGCAGCCCCGTGATTGATACCCAATTAGGAATAGCGGGACCGGCCATCGGATTTTCCGGCCAACAACGAAGCGCGATCAGAAGAAACACAGAGGACAGACTCGCCAGGAGGTGGTGGACAATTATCTACAAGTCGAGGCCAGCGAAACTCTCCAGGACAAAGATATTGCCCAGACGGAGTAGTCGGCCTGATAGCTAGGGTGAGTTGTTGCCAGTGTGGTGCATCAGGCGTGACCGGCCAGCGGAAGTCATCATTTTCGTCTGCTCCTGGTTCTGCGTCCTCTTTTCCCATTCCAAGCCGCATTACCCTTCATCCTTTTCCCCTTCTCCCTCACTCTCTGCCGCTTCAGATCCCATCCTGGGACTCTGTTGTCTGTGTGGCGCATTTTGGGTCGGTTTTTTGCGGTTCGAGTGCCAGGTTGAGCCCTTCCGTTCGTTATCAAGCCTCTTGAACTGGCGATCGCGCCTGTCTCTGTAAAGCCCCTCCACCCCCGTCCACTCTCCTCCACTCAGTTTCTCCTAATTCTCTGCCCCGACTTTTGCGTCTTTTCGCGTCTGCTCTAACCACAATATTTCAGGTGAGACTTTGCCTGCCGGTTAGCGGTGTTTCTGCTAGGTCTGATCCATGCCCCCAATTTGGCGTGGTTTTGGACAAACCCAACGCCGGCTCAATCGTCCCGTCAGCTGCATCTTAGCCTCCGCTCACTAAAAGCGGCCCTGTTGTGTCTCCACGTCAAGCGCGCCATTCAAGTCCCACGTCCGCCCAACGCTCCCCGACTTTGTCGACACCTTGTTTCTATCTCTCTCTTACTCACACTCGCCCCTAATTCTCGCTCTTTCTTTTTTTGTTTAAGGCTGTGGAGTCCCGTTCTCGGTGACTTCGTAGCCCAGCGATGATGATGGCGCAGCCTTTCGCTGCCCATCAAGGCATTCCCCAGCACCCCGGTCTACCCCCGGGCCATGCTTTGGCCCCTGGCCAGCACCCGAATGCTCACCCGGGTGCGATGGTGCAGCAGGTGCATCCTGGAGTTTCTGCACCTGGCGGTCCGCAGGTAACTCAAGGTGCGCCGATGATGGGGCAGATGCCACCAGGGGCAGGGACCGCGGGTCCGGGGCCTGTACAGGCCCATGCTCTTTCTCACCTTGGGCCACAAGCGCATATGTTTCAGCAGCCGCAATTTGCTCAAAACTGTACGTTCAGCCCTCTTGAAGAAGTTTATCTCCTTATCGGTTTAGGCTATCAGCTAACGAGTTTTTTTTTCAAACAGTCCCTGCTGCGAATGCTCAGATGATGCAACAACACCAGAACATGATTAGACAGCGTATGATGATGCAAGCACAGCAACCCCAACCTCACCAACAGCAACACCCTCAGCATCCTCAGCAGCAGCCGCAACAGCACCAAGGTCTTCCGGTCTCCCTGCCGAATGGAACACAAGCATTAAATGCAGCGCACATGGTCGCTATGCATAATCCCGCGATGCGACCCAACATGCAGATGCAGCAACTTCAACAAATGACCCACGCGCAACCCCAGAATCTCCAGCAACAGCAGCACTTTCTTGCAATGCAGCAAGCCGCGCAAGCCCAGGCCCACGCACAAGCCCAGGTTCAGCAGGCTCAAGCTCAGGCTCAGGCCCAGCAAGTTCAGCAGCAAAACGCGCCTCAGCCTGGCCAACACACCCCGCAACCACGCCCCGCCCCTCAACCTCAAAGCGTTCATGAGGCCCAGAGTGTTACCCCTCAGCCTCAACCGGGCCCGCCGCCGCACCAGGGGAGCGCAACCCCACAGCCAAATCCTCAGCAAGCGCCATCGTCTCAACCACCGCAACAGCAGCCTATGGTTACGCAACCGCAACAGACGCCGAATCTCGCCCCTCAGCAACTCCCTCAGGCTCAACCGTCCGGACAGCAATCACAACAGCAGCAACAGCTTCAGGCGCAGCAGCCGCAGCCGCAACAACAGCAGCAACAAGGCCAGCAAGGCCAGCAACAAGGCCAGCAGCCCCACCCAATGACCGCGCAAGAGGCTCAAATCAAAGCTCAACAGCAGCAGCAGCAGCAACAGAACGCTGCTCTGTTAATGCAGCAACAGCGAATGGCTATCAGGGGACAATCTATCTTGTGTCTCGGCAACTTCGCTGAGCAGTTGAGCAGTTTTCAAGTACGTTGCGCTCTCTTAGCTTCGATATTTGTAGTAATGAACACTAACGTGTCGCAGAGTCGTGGCGAGGCCACTGATTTACTCTTCTGGCAAACCTTTGTTGACAGATTTTACTCGCCTACTGGAGTCCTTCGGCAAGGCGTGTACAATCCGCAAGCTGGTTCCAAACAGTTCGAAATTGCAACACCCGCGCTGGCGCGATACTATAATACACAATTCACGAGCGGCATCCGTCAGATTCAAATGCTTATTGAAGCTCCTCGAGAGAGGGACTCCACCAACGGGGGTCATGTCGTGGAGAGTCCTAGGGCATCATTCATTTACTGGTTCACGAACGATGCTCAGGTGAGTTTTCAAGATCATTAATGTGTTCATGTCTCTGACCCCTGCATCAGCTTTTCACTACCGGTACTTTAAGGGCGCATTTTGATTTCCAGAACAAGATTGAAATGCTGGACATCGTTGTGATGAACCACACGGAATATCTTCCCCGGAGCCAACTGCAAGCTCTAGAGCTGGCCGAACAGAAACAAAGCCCCAAGGTTACCAAGAACATGGGTAAGCGCGCACAACAGAAGCAGGCTCAGCAACCCGCATTCACATTACCGGAGTCTATGGTAACCTCAAACGGCGTCCCAACTTCTGTGATGAGCTTCTTGGAGGTATGTGAATTGTCTAATGAAATGGTGAAAATACTGGTTCTGATAGTCATGGTGTCTAGGTTGCGGAAACCATCTCTCAGATGCAGTTGCTGTTCCAGTACTCACAACAACATCCTAATCTAACACCGTCGGAATCGTTACGGAGTCTTGTCGGCACTATCCAAAGTCAGAACCAGATGCAGAATGCCATGAACCCCGCGCTCCAACAGGGACAGAACGCACGAGCACCTAGTATTGGCGGCCCCAACCAATTCGCTTCGCCTGCCATGGCTCATCTCGCTTTACCTGGTGGCGTGCAAGGTTCACCTCATATTACGGGATCAGCTCATCCAAGCCCAGCGCAGAGCAACCTCGCCGGACCCCCAGGCATGGTGCCTCAAGGCCAAATGCAACAAAATGTTGGCAGCGCCAGCGCAAGTCCCAACGTGAGCAATAAACGACGACGGGCGAGTACAGTGAAGATGGAGGGCGAGGAAGGTGGCGCTGACATGAACGGCACTGTCGCCCCGGGGCCTGCCAAGGTAAAGGCTAGCCCTCGAGTAGGAGGAAAGAGGCAGAAAGGCACTGCTTCTTGATCCTCACAAGTGATTTTTTTTTCTTTTCTTTTTTTGATTATCACTTTTTGCTTGAATTACAAGCCAGTTCAAAGAGGTTGGGCCTGGCGTACGTTTGGGGTCATTTGATATCAGTTTGCACTGTATGGGGAGTTGTCTTTGCTTTCTGTTGTCCGAAATTATTGGACGGAAGTGTTTTTACTCTTGATGGGAGTGTTTCTGCCCATGAAAGACATGGTCAGGACCGGCCGCTGATACTGCATTACGCGGTAGTGCACTGCGTGGCGCAACCTCGCATCGAGGTCTACGCTCTCGAGCACAGGTTGACCATAGCCTTTATGTATTCTATCGCGTTCATCGTTCTTGCATGTGGCCGGATCTCGCTCGATCTGCCATTTTCTTCTGGAGTCGACGTTTGGTGATCTTTACCGCTCCATCTCATGGAGGTTGATATCCTTTCGTTGAGCCTGATTCCCGATAAGCGCTGCAGATGTTGTTGTCTTCAATGCTGTTGATGTTTCCAAGTTGTTGGCTATTTCTTTGCTCTTCTCTGATATCCATGATTTTCGTCATTGGCGATCTGCTTGCTCGGCGTTGGGATTTGCTCTTACGCCGGAAACAATTCTTATGCCGTGTCAAGAACCATCTCAAGATTATTATTCTTTGCATTTCATCCACTTAATTTACATATTTCATATTCAAACCTGCTATCACTTTTTGCTTAGCCACTGAGCCAACCGAACAACGCCTTTGAAATGCATATCATGACATGGTAGGCTGGTAGAGATACTCGCTCTACAAACCCGGGTATCTATACTCCATCCAGATTCGTCGCCCAAGGAAGGGAGGAGTGTATAAAATGTCAAAAGCAAGAATACAAGGAGCAGCCAAGAAGGATAGAAAATCATAGATCCTTCTTCGCAAACCGAGCCAAAGCCGGCCCCAGCCCTTCCTTTTCGGCATTGAGTCTGTCCTTTGCACGTGCCGAGCGCTCCTTGTGCAGCGCCTGCGCCTTGAGCAGCTTCTCGTCGATGACATTCTTCCTGCCCTTCTTCCGCAGATACTTCCGCAGCGCACTGTTCCGACCACGGCCCCGATTCTTGAGCTTCTCCATCGTATCCTCGGGCTTGTGGTCCGGGTTTCGCTGCTCGCGGATCTTCTTGTCGCTGATCGTATTGACCTTGCCGATAAAATCGGGATCCAGCGAGATCATACCGGGCTGCAGCTTGTGCATGAGGCCGCGGACTTCGGCCTCCTGGCGCTGCTTCGGGTTCTCGTACGGGTTCACCTCGAGGGCGTCAAAGTTGGGTTCACCTGCGCCGGGGACGATGATGCTCGCGAAGCCCTTGTCGTGCGCGATACCCAGGATATCCTCAAAGGGACACCAGCGCATGTTTTCGACGCGCTGGCCATCACCGCCCCAGGTCATGTAGGGCTGCTTCACCTTCTCTTCGTTCGCGGCCGCGGCGTCAAAGAGGCCGCGCCAGATGCTGGTCTGTGTGCCCCAGCCGACGGCAGTGAGGCCGCGGTCACTGATGGCCACGGAGGAGCCGGGTTGGCGGCAGGCGTAGGAATGGACTTCGCGGTACATGCGGATGTCCCAGACGGCCATTTTGAGGTCTTGACCTGTTGAGACCATGTAGCGGCCCTGGCGGTCGATGGCCATGGAGCGGACTGGGCCGCGGTGAACGAGGGCTTTGACGAGTGGGGTTTCGGTGTTTGGGGACCAGAGGGTGACGGTGCCGTCTTGGTGGCCGACGTGCATGATGGCGTTCCAGGGGTTTTGGGCGAGGGATGTCGGGGCGCCGACTTTAGTGGGGAATTCGGCGACAAGTTGGCCCGTTGATGTGTCGGTGTATTTGAGGTGGCCGCTCATTTGCTATACATTGATTAGTGTATGTTTTGCGCCCTTGGGGGGTGGCTGTACTCACAGCAGAAGCGAGGAGAAAATGATAGGGAAGGAAATCAAGAAAGCAGGGTTCGACTATCCGATCCAAACAGTGCAGCTCAACACCCTTGCTATCGTAGATATACACCGACTTCTTCTGAGCGACAGCAAAGTACTGATTATTGTGCAGCCACCGCGCATCCCGTACCGTCTCCCTCAAATGCAACTCACACCCGAGCTTCCCATTCCGCCAATCCATTGTCGCAACATGCCCTTTCCTCCCCGCCAACAACAGCTCTCGACCATTCCGTGTGTAATCCATGCGATACGGCCCGAAATCTTCCAACTTCAACTCGAACTTCTTCTTCGCCGTCTCAATGCCCACACTCGCTGTGATATCGTCCTGGCGCACGCGGTACGTCCGCTCCATCTCGCCCTCGGGCTCGATGAACCCGGCCTCATGCTCGTGCAGGATCTCGGCATCTTTGGCTTGGAGCGCGGCGGCCTTGTATTTCTCTTCGACGGCTTGCAGGTTCCGGCGCAGTTTCTTGTCGCGGATGCTGTGGGTTCGGATGGCGCGGCCGCGGCCGTATTTCTTTTGTGCTTCGATGACTCGTTTGCTGTCTTTGGTCTGGGGTTGGAGCTGCTTGGTTGGCGCAACGGCCTTTGTTGGCGCTGCCATCGTGTCGGCTGGAGATGGAAGTTGTCCAGATATCGGAAAACCGAGGCAGATCGAGACGAGTTTGAGCGAAGTTCAAATCGTAGAATTAATCCTGACACACAGCTCTGTCCACCGAGTTCGACGTCGACGGAGAAAATAATTTTTATTCTGCAGACAGAAAACGTGCCAAGACCGCCATTTCCGGCACTCGCTTGTTTTTTTCCTCCACCGCCTATTTTTTTCAACCATCATCTTCTGATCTATATTCACTCTTGCGCTGAGAACCTTGATAGATAGTGATTTTTTTTTTGTCGTTTCTTTTATTTTCAGACTCCGACCGAAATAGACACCCTGGCATCTCTTCCGTTTCGCTTCAAGGGCTCCGGCGGTGCCAATATGGCGCCCATTTCGACGGGACAGCATCACCACCGTTCCACCACCAAGGTTTCGCACAAGTCCTTCAAAACCGGCCATGCGACAAAGCGGGCTCTGAAAGACAAGGCCAAAGGTGCGACAAGAACCGCAAGATCTTGACATCTTTCCGCCGAGGACAAAATCTGACTTTCTTTGCAGGCAAGGTCGAAAGAGCCGAGCGGGGTACTCGCAAGACCCCTCACCAACAACTCATGTCGAAACTCGATCGCAGAAACCAGGCTCGCCAGAAGCAGCAGAACAAGCAGCAGGAGCGCGCCCAGGCGACCAGCATCTTCTCCGGGTCGAGTGGAGCGCCCCGCCACGTCGCTATCGTCCCGCTCTCCGTCGACATTGACACCGCGGCGATTGTTCGGGCGCTGAATGAGAGTGTCGATGCCTCTAGCGATGGTCCTCTCGATACGATTTCCCGCGTGCGTGTTGATCGATTCCGTCAGAACCTGCAGTTTATCCCGGCCAAGTATGATCTAATGAGTGCGCTGGATGCGTGTCGGATGGCGGACTTTGTGATCGTTGCGGTTTCGGCAGAGGTTGAGGTGGAGGAGCAAGGGGAGTTGCTGCTAAGGTCAATTGAGGGACAGGGTATCTCGAATGTGATCGGTATGGTACAGGTATGTTTGACAGTGTGAACCGTCCGCTGCTGGATCACGGCTAATTTCGCACTCGCTAGGGCCTCGATACGGTCAACCCTCCCAAGAAGCGCCCGCAAGTCGCCAGCTCGCTCAAATCGTTTCTGAACCACTTCTTCCCGTCCGTCGATAAAGTCCTCTCCGTCGACTCGCGACAAGAATGCTCGAATGCTATCAGATCTCTCTGCACCGCAACACCCAAGGGAATTCGCTGGCGTGATGAGCGCAGCTGGATGCTGATCGAGGATATCAAGTGGCCGGAGAGTATGTCGAGTGAGGTGGACGACGTCGTGTTGACTGGTGTCGTGCGTGGACGGGGCCTGAAGGCGGACCGTCTGGTCCACGTCCCAGGCTGGGGTGATTTCCAGATCGATGCCATCACGGCTGCGCCGCTGGCTACCGGCCGACCCAAGCGTGACGATGCGATGAACGTTGATGAAAGCGAGGCTACCCAGATTCTAGACACCCCCTCTGCGGACCGTGATGATTTGGCTGCTGTTGCGCCGGAGGAGATTGAGATGGAGGACGACGTCGAGTCCATGGCAGACACGGAACGAAAGGGTGTCCTCCTCGATGACCACCACTATTTCTCCGACGATGACGACCATATCCCCTCGAAACCAAAGAAGCTACCCAAGGGTACCTCCGAATACCAATCTCACTGGTTCTTGGACGATGTATCAGACTCTGGCTCTGACATTGACGATGACGAGGATCAAGACATGGAGATGGACATCTCAGGTGCGCCTGAAGATGGTGTTTTCCCAGACAACCACGATGCCATGACCGAAGGCGGGCCTTCCGAATACCCACAGTCAGAAATGTTCCTTGACCCATCACCAGAGGAAGAGGCCGCACAGCTCGAAGCGTACAGAGCCAGCAAACGAACTGAAGCCGAAGACGACCTCGAGTTCCCCGACGAGATCGAACTCCACCCGAACGTCCTCGCCCGTGAGCGACTAGCCAGATACAGAGGCATGAAGAGCCTCAAGACCAGCCCCTGGAACACGTCCGCGGACCGGGCTCACGAACCCGAGGACTGGCGCCGCCTCTTGCAGTTCGGCGACTACAAGGGCTCCAAGAACCGCATCCTCCGCGAAGCCCTCGTTGGCGGCGTTAACCCCGGCACACGAGTCGACGTCCACCTCCGCGCAGTCCCCGCCTCCCTCCGCCACCGCCCCCAACCCATCTCCCTCTTCTCCCTCCTCCGCCACGAACACAAGCACACCGTCGTCAACATCAACATGCACCTCAACGCCACGGCCGAAGCACCCCTCAAAGCCAAGGAAGAGCTCATCGTGCAGTACGGCCCGCGCCGCCTGGTCGTCAACCCCGTCTTCTCTTCCGCCGACAACACCCCGAACAACGTCCACAAATACGACCGCTTCCTGCACCCCGGCCGCAGCGCAATCGCCACCTGGATCGGCCCGCAAACATGGGGCTCCGTCCCCGTCCTCGTCTTCAAGGCGAAGAAGCCCGAATCTGACGACCCGGAGGTCCTCGACTCGGCAGACGCAGAGCCAACCGCACCTACAACCGCCGCGGACTTTACAACGGATAACCTTGAGCTCATCGGCACAGGCACAGTCGTCGCCCCCGACCCAACTCGTGTTGTCGCGAAGCGCGCTATCATTACCGGCCACCCTTACAAGATTCACAAGCGTGTCGTCACAGTGCGCTACATGTTCTTCAACCTGGAGGACGTCAACTGGTTCAAGGCGTTGCAGCTCTGGACGAGGCGCGGACGAAGCGGATACATCAAGGAGAGTCTAGGTACGCACGGGTACTTCAAGGCGACGTTCGACGCCAAGCTCAATCCCCAGGACTCTGTGGGTATCAGTTTGTACAAGCGTGTGTTCCCGCGCAAGGCGCGTGCGTTGGAGGAGTTGGAGAATTAGAATTTTTTCTTCATTTCTTCTTCTCTGTTTGTTAACTACGTGCTAGGGCTGGCCTGGGGTTGGGAAATTGGAAGGGTGTGTTGGCTCGGAAGAGGAGGGATATGATACCAACAATTGCAGCATGATTTGATGAGCCTATGTTTGGTTTTCTTTCTTAAAAAGGGTTCAAAAGTTTTAGGTATGGTATATAGACGTGCATGGACTGGTAAAGTAACCAGTAATGAATTATGATTGATTAGTATGCTTGCTTCTAAAGATTGCTATATTATATATTCAAAATGCAATGTAGCATGCCTGGGTTGGCATATCCATGGTTATCAGTGAGCGCTATATACCAGTGATATATATTAGCCCTAATTCACTCTAAACCGCATTGACCAAGTAGAGCAAGAAGTTATCATAAGTGTATATTGCTTTACCAGTCCTGCTGGTCAATCTATACCTCTCGCTTGGCCCTAACCACACTCTTCTTGACAAGACCCTTTCTCACCCTACCCTACAGCTTCGCCTTGGCCACACTCCCAAGCGGCTCTTTAACATCCTTGATCCACTTCTCCGACAACCCCAGCACACCCCCCTGCCCGCTCTCCCTTGACTTAGCCTCACCATCAAACCCGTCCCAAAACTCCCTCTCAGCCCTAAAACCCTCCACCTGCTCCCCCACCCACCCCGCCACAACCCCCGCCGTCTCAGCGACCCGTTCCAGCGGCACCATATGCGACGCGCCCTCAAGGACCTCCGCCCTCACGACATTCGGTCCGGCCGCTACACCCCCGCTTCCACCATGCCCTACTCCCGTGCGTTGCAGTTTCTCGGCTCGGCGCCCGGGGATGTTGGTCTGGCTTTTTGAGCCAAAGATGTAGAGGACTGTGGGTCGGATGTAGGGGAGGAGTTCGAACGCGAGGACCGGCCATGGGGCTGAGGCGTGGAACTCAGCTTTGGGATCGACATGCTGATCGGCATCCGTCGTGCTCTTGTCTATACCGACCTGTCCGCAAGAAGGACAAGGCGAAGGAACCGCCCCATTAAACCTGAGAAACGTCCACGCCTCCTGCGCCTTGTTCGTCCTGAGCGTTACAGCTCCAGCGGCATCCCCATCCCCATCTCCATCCAACCCCCCCGTATCCACCGCCCGCAATCCAAACCTCACATACCTATCGACACACCTCGCATCCCACCTCCGCCAAAACGGATGTCCGCGAATATAGACCTCTGCATCCTGTCTCGATGCCCAGCGGTCGCGGCGCGTACTCGCCCAGAGCGCGGGATTCCGGCCGCCTGGTTGCTCGGGGGGCTCGGATTGCACTGTTGGTTCGAGGAGGATGAGCGTTTGGAAGAGGCGTGGGTGGGAGATGCTTAGGTGGATGCTGGTATTCTGAGAGTTAGTGTGGGTGGACACTGGAATCAGGTTGAGGCGGGGTTTATCCTATTGGTTTTCGTCTGGGTGTGTGTGTGTGTGTGGATAAGTGCTGGGTAGATACGTACAACTGCGCACAACTAAAACTATGAGCGATCCCCACGATAGGAGGCTGGATCTGGTCGCGGAAGTGGTTGACCATGAGGAGGAGGTCGCGCGAGTGGTCGAACCAGCTTGCTATGAGCGAGAAAGTCGTGGTCAACACATACACATCCATGCGATGCGATTCTCTGACCCCAATTGAGCAGGTGGGTAGGAAAGTGTAGGTAGGCAAGAAACTAGGGCTCGCTAGGCATTTGTTTCACTCACGGTCATCCCCGAGAACACGCTCATTCAACACCCCACTCGCGCCCTGGTGCGCACAGTCCGCGAACCAGATCGCCGTGATGTTGAATTTCGTAAAAGACGAAGAAAGAAGTTCTTCGAAGAGAGGCTCGTAGCACTCCTATCACCGGAAGCAGAAATCATGTTTAGTTACCGAGACTAAGAGTATAACCGCGAAGGATTGCAAGTCAGGAACAGGGCTAGCTACCTTTGGTATCCCATTCGCATGCCCAGCGATTATCGTCACGTCGTCGGGGCCCGGGGTGGGATCTTCGCGTAGCGGGATATATTGCTTGACTGCGAGGCGCAAGGCTGAGGGAGGAGTATTTGGTCTCACTGCGCGGTGGTATTCGCGAATGGATTGGCAGGGGATGGTGTGTTCTATTATTTGAAATCTGGGAGTTTGGGATGGAGATGGCATGGTGGTGGATTGCAAGGACTAGAGCTCAGAATATAAGAGTCGAGGGCAAAGACAAGAGAGGCCAGTAAGCAAGAAAGAAAAAAGAAAGAAAGAAAGAAAGAAGAAGAGGTGGATGACCCTCGGTAGTTATCTAACTTGAAGTAAGTTTTGTATACTAAAGTAGTGACGTCGTACAAGCTGCGAGGCCCCCGCAGACAATGAAAGAAATAGATTCATACTCAAGCTAATCAAAGCCAGTTGACCACCGATCATTGCCAGACTTGCTCTGATAATCGAGCCCTGTTCTTTATCTTGATTCTGGATTTCGAGTATGATTGCCGCTCGACTCCGGAGTCGCCTAGGGCATGGATCCAGTCTACAGCTCGGCGGATTATATCTATGTTTGGTTTATTTTTAGCTTGCATAAGCGCATGCCTTTACGGTTTGAACCAGCAACAATAAGCTTACCTTGATGTTTATAGGGTCACACATTTAAACCTGTCTGCTGACCGTCGTTTCCGAATACCATACCGAGGTATGTACCTAGAAAGAAATGATGGACTACTAGTTGCTAGAATAGTATAAATCTCACCATCGTATTTTCCAACGTTCGGATGTAAAAGGCCGAGAGCGAATGGCTTTCAATCGAAAAGACAAGGTCATCAATCCGTGCAACATGTGTCCCTTATTGCACGTTTGACCGGCTATTCTTGACACAAGTGCTCTTTCCTCTTCTGTTGAGGATGGATCCAACATACTGACCGGGTAAACGAGGACAACCTTCTTTCTGAACCGTGCTATCCTGCTAGTACCTACCCTATTCAAGCGCGTGGTTCCAATACCTGTGAGAGCTAGAGATGAAGCTTGTTGGGTTAGTCGTGTATATACTTCGGCTCGCATCAACGAATGATCTGATACATGAAGAGCAAGCCCGTGCTCAAAGTAATATATCAAAAAGAGAAAAAAATCTATAGCCTATAAAAACCACCAAATCGAACTCCATTCCGCGATTCACCGAAGCTCGTGACATAAAGATTCCAAATAATCATATCATCATACATATTACCATACCCCGCCGTCTCCCGTCTCCGTGGAGAAAGCTGTCAGTTTCAGCCTCATGCCCGGGATAGCGTGAAGAACTTTCATATGCACCTTCAGCGATTGGTTGGATCGACCTGTCAAAACGTAATATGCTGCAGAAAATAGTGATTATATCAGGTGCGGGCTGTACGATTATGTGAGACACTGTAATGCAAGGATCATGCCATACTCTGAGGTATATTAGCTAGCCGGATAGGCTATCATACAATATACGATATATGAGGAGGGGACGGAATGTATAAATACAGAAGAAAGTAAACGAATCAATGGCTTGATTATTCTGTTTATCTTCATATCCCAAAGTTCTACAAAGCACACATGAATCCAGCCCTCCTCGCCCGCAGCAACGTCGTCGCCGCCGCCAGAACCCTAACAACCGCCGCAAAACCCCAAGCCCAATTCGCAAGAGCAATGGCCAGTTCCAGCACGAATCCTCCCTCTTTCCCCTTTGCTCGCGCTAGAGCCGGCGAGCCACCCGCTGAATTCGCGGAGCTTCGCGCATCCTGCCCCTTCAGCCGCGTCAGGCTTTGGGATGGTAGCGAGCCGTGGCTTGTTGTTAAGCATGAGGATGTGTGCAAGGTTTTGACTGATGAGAGGCTGTCAAAGGTGAGTCTTGCCTATCTCGCCTTCACTGAATAAGGGGATATATATTCTGGAACGCGATTGTGTCTTATGCTTTTGTCACGTAGCAACGCCAACGCCCTGGATACCCCGAGATGAGCGCGGGAGGTAAAGCGGCCGCGAAGAATCGCCCCACGTTTGTCGATATGGATGCGCCAGATCATATGCGGCAGAGGTAAGTACTTTACCCAGCTTCTCATTAGGGTCCTCTTCTAACTTTCGGTTAGGAGCATGGTCGCCAAATTCTTCACGCAAGAGCACATCAGCAGCCTAAAGCCACTGATCAACGAGACGATAAACTCGGTCCTCGAGAAGATGGTTGCGAAAGGGGGTGACAAGCCGATTGACCTCGTTGAGCACTTCTCTCTACCGATCCCTTCTCTGGTAGGTCATGTCATGCCCTAACTCTTTTGCCTCATAGATGAGTTTAAAGGAGTGGAGCTAAAATCAGAGCTGTTAGGTCATCTATCATATCCTCGGAATCCCCATTGAAGACATCGAGTATCTGACCAAGACGAATGCCGTTCGCAGTAACGGTAGCTCGACTGCGGCTGCGGCACAGGATGCGAATCGGTTCGTGGCCTATCCACTATTGCTTCAGCATGCAAGCTGATAAACATACCAGGGACCTGTTGAAGTACCTTGACGAGCTCGTCGACAAGCGCGCTACAGACCTCAAAGACGACCTCATCAGCACCCTAATTTCCGAGCAGGCACGCACCACCCTTGCCCTAATCCTAAAACATCCAAGTTCATTTCTAACACAACATGGCAGCTAAACAAGGGCAACCTCGAACGCCTGGACGTCGTGCAAATTGCCTTCCTCCTCCTCGTCGCCGGAAACGCCACCATGGTGAACATGATCAACCTCGGCGTCGTCACCCTCCTCCAGTACCCAGAGCAGCTCGCCGACCTCAAAGCTGACCCGGGACTCGCACCGGCTTTCGTCGAGGAGCTCTGTCGGTACTATACGGCCTCGGCACTCGCGACTCGTCGTGTTGCCAAGGTTGATGTTGTTATTGGCGGGCAGGTTCGTTGCCCTAATTCACCACATTCCAACCCTAACCTGAACAATGCCACCATCCCACCCTTGAGATAGCCAGATTACTCAATTAACTGGCTCGAATAGTCTATAAAAGCCGGCGAAGGCATAATCGCCTCAAACCAATCCGCAAACCGAGACGCAGACGTCTTCCCAGACCCAGACACCTTCAACCTGCACCGCAAGATCGACTCGGAGAAGAACCTTGCGTACGGATACGGTGATCATCGGTGTGTGGCTGAGGCGCTTGCGCGGGCGCAGTTGGAGGCTGTTTTTGGTGAGTGCATTATACCCATCGTCTACGTATCCGGATACACTTCCAGGCGCTTTTCTGGCGGAGGAGACTGGAGGGTGAAAGGTGATAAGAGCAAGTTTTGCTAATTCTGTACTGTGTCATAGCCACACTCTTCCAGAGGCTTCCAAACCTGAAGCTTGGTATCTCCTTTGACGAGATCGAGTGGTCGGCGCCGCATAAGGATGTTGGGATTGTGGAGTTGCCGGTGACGTGGTGATGGCTGGATAAACTGTCCAAAGCCTGTATCATAAGCACGAGAATAGCCAGTGAACTCGATTATCTTACCCACTTAATCACGACTTGCGTATACCGAAAGGTTTGAGTTGGCATTCGAAATGGGGCGTCAGTTTTGGATGCCGTGCTGGGAGTTGTTGATGCGAGAGTTGTCGCATCTTCGATGGTGACCGTTGGAGGGGTCTTGGTTTCTCAGTTTATAAAGAATTCGACGGGGAGAGAGGGGAGGGAGTCCCACGCTCCTTGAAACTGGCTATAATTGATGTGGTAAGGACTTGCTCAATGCCCCTGTCTGCTGAGTCTGTACTCTTCTCCTGCGAGACAGACGGGTTATATCAAGATGCTCAATTAGGGCTCGGTGACAAACATTCAATGGGCAAGGTTCCAAGTTGTCGTTTTCGGGCCGGGGGACGCACGTACCAACCCTGTAATAGCAACGAGCTATACTGTGTAAGATCCTTGGACCGAGATACTGGTTCGATCTTCTGATTTCCCGGGGCCGCTTTGGACTGCGTCCGTTTTGGAGATCCAGTCCGAGACTCAACCATATCAGATAATTTTCCGATACCAAGCATTCAGCACGCGAAGTACAAGTGCGCACAATAAGGACAATCTTGCTGCAAAAAGTCTACTTCTATCACTACTGATCCCCTATAGCACTCTGCCCATGCTCAACCACCGCAACGCCCACTCCATAAGAACCCCGCTGCACATCTTGAACATGACCAAACAAGCAAGCCAACTAGTGATGGGCACTCTTAAACAGGGTGCTGGACCCAAACACTGACTGCTTACTTGATTGCTTTGCCTCCATTGACAGGAAACCATAAAAGGAAGGAGCGACTGCCACTGTTGCCTAGGTGCCAATCACTCCTTCCTGTTCTGTAATAGGAAAGTGCATATTCGGCTTCCTGGGTCGCGCCTTCCCTCAAAGTCCCCTACCTTGCTAGAACCAGGAAGGAACAACCGACTCCGTTGCCTAGGTAGCGCCTGTTTCTTCCTGTTCCGTACTAGGAAAGTGCTTCTCCCTCGCGCGTTCCTCGTTGAACTGGTGTATGACATACGGCAAGAGCCACTCATGGGTTCAACATAACAATTTGAAAGAAACAAGACAGCCTGAGCTCATCTGGAGTAATGAATGTGAAGCAGGGCAATATGGCCATGGTGCTGGACTGCAGTGGAATCCTAAAGGCTTGATTAGGTGTGTACTTTGAAGCGACTTAGGGCTAGATTCCGATCCCACTTGACGCGGTCTCCTAAGGCTATGAGCGCGACATGAAGGCCTTTCAAAACAGATCGCTCTGCCTTTCTGGTAATGAGTCGGGTCTGTCCTACTCGCTGGGCCCCGTTGGTGTTGTTTCGACTCCGCGACCCTCACGACGGCTGTCGGAATGAACGCGAAGCGCGCGTGTTTCTCGCAGGCGCGATAGTCTGCAGGCGTTCAGGATGGCACACATCTCAATTGATGCTCGGGACGATATCGCATGACGTACGGAGTAGCAGAGACTAGTAGTCAACTCTCGAGGCCCGAATGTGGCTGTGCTCCTCAGCCCAACATGGTATCGTATAATCACATTCCTCTTGGCAAATGCCGCTCAGCCTCCAGTTAATATAACGACGACCAGTAACCGGTATGAGCGGGCTGCAGAGTTTGGTCGTGCAGTTCTGGAGCGTCGATAATGGTGCTGATATGCTGCCATACCTCGAGATGATGGCTGAGATCAGGGTCCCCCATTTTGTGGTCTATGGGGCATGTGGAGTGTATTTGTCCAGGCCGCTACCGCACGGGGTCCCGTTTCGACTTGAAAGGGGGCCGACTGTGTACTATCGGTTGGATTGGATGGAGTACCTTGGGACTGATGGGCTGGGCCCTGGAAATATACTTGATTAGATGGCAGGGCACTTTATCTGAAGCTTGGAGGAGCTATCTTCCTATATTACGCGTCCTTTTCCCTCTCTAGATATCAAAGTGTGCTTGTTGAGTTCGGGCCCGCGCCAACAGACGGGTTTGCAGCTTGCTAGCGCTCATACTACAGTCATTAATAGCAATTGGTAGGTTTGTATTGAGAGCCATAATGGATATTATCATACTAAGTATAGAATTACGACATACAATAGAAAACTACCATTGATTGGAAAATAGCGGCTTGGTTTGCTCTTGGAAGGTGATTGATGCCTTCCCTCTATCCCATTCCCAACCATCCGCCTAGCCACCGTACTGAGGCCTTTTAATATCGCAAGCACCTACCCCACTACTGGTGGTTGGCACATAAGAAAAGAGGCAACTGTGTCATGCAGCCTGGCTGTATCTATCTAGATATACATTTTTTTTCCGGACACAACCATCTACGTAGCTGGCTTCTCTCCTTCAACGCTCTAGGGCAAACGGCCACCAGGGTTAGGACATGTAGCATTGGAAAGTGTTATGGAGTAGAGAATTTGCCGAATCTAAATCTATAGACCACTAATAGTACAAACAAGCTTGCTGTGATCCCGCTGATTAACTACCACGCATTGATCTCCCCGCGGGTATTGACGAATGAGCCAGATGTGGTCGACTTTTCCAGTTTCTCAATCTATAAAGGGATTAGCTATTTCCTGCTAGCAGATAATACTATAAGCAGTCATGGTACGTACCTGTGCTGTAATCCCGCTAACGCTCTCAGCAAGGGTTACCGGGGCTCGTTCCAGTCCATAAGCCTGCGCCGCGCGATCACCCAGGTCTGTTTGGACAAGCCTAACACCTTTTGTCAGCTGGGCTCCTTCGGTACCTTCCATGAAGAGGATCAATAAGGGAAGAACATACCCAGGATCAACACACAGCGTCGCCAAATGCCCATTCTCATCATGAATCTTCCGAACCATATAATTCCCGGCCGCCTTGGACATGCCATACGGCCCTGTCAGCGTATCTATTGCCCCAATCCCGCCAATACTCGCGAGGAGCGTCGAGATGAAGACAAATTTCGGCCTGGCAGCCTCCTTCAATAGCGGCGCAACAGCTCGAAACAGCCTCAGCGGTCCCAACGCATTCACTTCAAAGTGGGCAATTACGTCGGCGTCTGCGACCTCGCTCATAGGGCCCCAGTGGTCGCAGATCCCTGCGCAGGCGATGACGATGTCGATGTGGGTGATGCTGTGCTGCGTCTGGAGCTGGGTCGCGACTTCATCGGCGTCGGTGGGGGAGTCGGCTTTTAGTGCGACGATGATTAGGCGAGAGTCGGCGCCCTTGGAGAGGGATTCAAGGTCTGTCGCTTTTGGCGATGTCGTGTCGCGAACTGCTGCAATAAGGGTTGTGTTTGGTTGCGCGAGGTAGTGGGCTACAAGGCCTTTTCCGATGCCTGGAGACAGGGTTATCTGCAAGCCATTCTGGTGCGGGGAAGGGTATGGCTTACCTCGAGAAGCACCTGTAGCTAGAATGATTCGGCTCATCTTGCGATATGTCGTGAGTCAATGGGTCGTAGCTTAGAGATTATTTATGGATGGGAACCTGCGGATATATAGCTTTTTGCAACAGGCCTTTCCCCCACCCCGACGGAAACCGCGGATTATTCATAACTTAACTCTGATATAGTGTGGGTGGAGGGGCCAAAATCTCACCTGCAGCCTGCCATACTCCACATTCAAAGTATCAGGATCTCCACCGGCACGGCCCTGCCGCCCTTGAACTTCAACCAGGGTGTTTCTTCAAAATACGAATACCCACTTGGAGTAGATGGCGTAAAGTACTGGGACTCTGATAGGTCTAGCGCTCCTGCTCCCGATAACCGGATGTAGCCGAGATATGCTTCATTTCCTCCCGTAAAGCCGTTGCTTGGCTCCGCTGTCTCGGAGTTGGGTCCCCTCTCCCCTGAATGATACATGATATCATTTGGTTTTATTCTATGAATGGAGCGCTACGTACAAGCTGTTTTTAGCCGTAAAGTACTAGAAAAAATGTAGCTTATAAAACACCAGTCAATGGAAATCAAAGTCTGGTTATAGCACCCCCGAAGCTGGCTTCTTGATGAACCCTAACTTGCTCTTCAAAACATGACTCCGAGTTAAACCATATTGGTCCGGCCCATCCGAGAGACCCTGAATCATGAATGGGCACCGCTGAGTCTGTCTAGCAACGAAGAACGCAGAATAAAGCACGGACAACAGGCCGATTAGCAGCACCAGCGCCGACGATGCAACCCCCGCCCCCACGGCCGCCCCACTCCCCAAAGGGTCGCGCCGGACATCCGAATCCCGCTCAAACGTCTTCATGCAAGTAAACTGTTACTTCTGGCTCCGCGTTTCCCTCCGTGTCATTACTATTCCTAGAGTACAGCACAGTCATAACGGGCGCAAACCCAGCACGCCCCCTAAAAACATGGCTGTAGAACTCGTCTCCACCTCCGACGGATTCACGTAGTACAGGCGCATATCCGCCACCTTGTACAGGCTGTAGCTCTGCGTGAGGACAGGGCGGCATTCGTCGTTTCCGAGCCTCTCGTCGTCGTCCCCAATGTTGGTGGTATCTGGGCGCGGGAGAGAACCTCCGGTAACGTTGAGGAAAGTTGGATATTCAGGAGCTTTGGCCGCTGGTTGATCCGTCGCCGCAGAGTTGCGCGTTGACGTACTCTGTAAGGCGCGAGCATCTGCCGCCGCAGGTTCCATTCCCAGAGGTGGTGTTGCTGCTGCTGCTGTTATCGTCTCGTCAAACCCCCTAATGATCTCGACAATAGCCGACTGGCACGAAACATCCAGAACCCCTGATGTAAGCTGATAGAGGGTGCAGTTCACCAGCTACCAATTTGGTTCTGGAGCAGTACCATGTGTCTTTTTTGTCGGGCATCATATGTCTCTATCAGATTCATACGCAAATTTCACGTAGGCGCTTAACGAGGCCACTTCACACACGACGGGAGTCGAAAAGCATATACAGCATTATGCATGCCCTCGTGCATAACTCGCAGCCACAATTGACTCTCATCCTCCAGGACCTACTGGCGAGCAGACTGCTGGCCTGCCAAACGTTCATACGCTTGGCGTATATCATACAGGGTCCCTCATAACCTCTCATCAAAGTCAGCGAACGGGAAATGGTCTTGAGCAGCCGTAATATCTTTAGGCGTCTCAGCCACCACGAGCATTCGAGCTTTAACCTCACGAGCCTTTTCCTTTGCAGCTTCATATTCCTCATTAGGGACCCAATCTAATACGTCAACGCCCAGAACATCTCGCATCTCTTCCATCACAGCGTCAGCTTCTTTCTGTTGCGCATCTAGCTGCCTGGATAACTGTATCTGTATACGGGAAAGGAGGCAAAGTGCATGTCCCGCTGCCGCTATTTATCGAGTCATTAGTAATTAGAGTCTGCCAGCTCTGTATGGCACGAATCATCTCAGCCCGCAAAGTAATCGAGTCCGCTTCCCAAGGAGTGCCCGCGGTCTTGAGAAGCCGTTGATGCAAGATGACGGAGCCATTGAATATCGCATTGTAATGTTCTTCGTTGAGACGCTTCGTAAAAGCCGCATATAGGAAATGGACAAGCCGTTTCGCATGGTCTCGTATACTGAATATTGCTCAGACAGGTCGAGAGAGTCGTAGTTAGCCGGAAGGTTGATTTGAGGCTCCAGGAGTTTTTCCGAGTCAGGGTCTGGGTAGTTCTGGAAATGGCTCGGTACTCCAGCTGTGAGCCCGAGGGGGAGAATAGAAGAATGTTGCCAATCAATCAATCCGGCGATTTCATGGCTCTCTGAGACGAGGATATTGTTTGGTTGGAGATCAGGGTGCCGCATGACGGGTGTTCTGGAAATGGCTGGTATTTCCTTCGTCTTATCATGTGACCACTATACTATATCTATGGTATGAGGACTTTATAGAGTGCTGTGATACTTTTTATAACCCGGCTACGCCGACAAGGACTATCAGGTGTGCTACGCATCATGGTGTAACTATGGATTCCACTGGTGGTGTGATGTGATTTCATCACATAGCCCGCGAGTCTGATTGAATACGGAACACATCTATTAGTAGTTGGCACAGCTATGTTTTTTCATTACGATGATCCTCCACTAGGACAAATAAGGTTTACTGGGTATCTCTATTTAGTGCTTAGCCCAAGTTGGTGCCAACATACTTGAGCAAGATGCTCAGTAATCGTCTCCTCTCACCCATTCGTCTGCGAAGAGATCCTCTGCAGTCGGTCGATCCTCAGGCTGCCATTGCATTGTTTTACGCAAGAACTGAAGAAAACGCCTCTTATTTTCTCCTTCAAGCCGTGATTCGCGAGATTCGAGAGTCTGCGCTGGGATTTCAGCAAGGCCTCGCCAGTTACCTATGCACATTTTAGCAGCCAAAGATCTTGAATAGGGCAGTGGCATTTACCGTTCTCGTCCCAGAACTTCAAACTGTCCTTACTTCGTCTCAGAAACTCGGGGGGTGGCGGTCCCAATAGTGCAACCATCTCTGCGTGCCGCTTGGTATGGTCGACTTCACTGTCAAGGTTGCGTGTTTGGAAAAGATGTCCTTTCTCGAATAGGGTCCATGCCTATGAGATGTAAGTGAGCTGCACAAACAGGTGAGACGAGAAAGGAACGCTATCTGTACCATTTGACCCACGGCCCAGATATCGACTTTGTTATTCCACTCCATCCCCAGCATCACTTCCGGTGCTCGGTACACGTTCGGCATAATCAGGCCAGTCTGACTGCTATATGCAATTCGTGCTTCTCCCAGGTCAGAGAGTACGGGCTCCCCGGTTGTTACTGGCATCCCATGCGTGGTGTACATTGTTCGGCCAGGAAGTTGCTTTCTTGGAGATGGATTAGACATCTCGTCCTCTTCTATCTCAAGAAGGATTGACTCGTCATTAATACCAACAAGGAGATTATTTGGTTGAACATCTAGAAGTTAAGGTTAGACTGGTTTTAAATAAGCAAATGTTTGAGGGGTATACCTGTATGAATGATATTCGCTCCGTGCAGATAATCTAATGCGAGAAGGACATAGCGGATGGTGGGTCGAAGCAGTTCCTCTGGCAAAGCATCGTCTTCAAGACAGCTCATAAAGTCACGAATATCAACACCGGATGGTGCATACAGGAGACATGGATGTACGCCATGCGGCCCCGTGACTTCAAAAACCTCAAGAGGAAGTCTAACATGCTTCTTCCCGGGGTGTTCTTGTGGAAGAGCGCTTAGGTGCTTCAGGATTTCTACTTCTGGTAGCGGTCGCTGACTCCGGACATGGATTTTTAACACCTGGTAGCAATGGTCACTAAAGGATATTTCTGTTAGCTGGTTCTGTCCATGAATTCCCGGACTACCTTACCGAAGGTCTTGACACAACCATACCGTCGATGCTGAACCGAAACCCAGCTTGGTAAGAACTTGGTATCGAGAATTCAAAACCTCTCAGATGTATATTGGATAATATCGCTCGGCAAGATAACCAGGAAGGGTTTCTTCCTCGATTTTCGTAGATATATCAATGACGTCGAAACCCGAACTGGGGAAAACGCGTGGCTCAAGTATGCGCGTGGTGGTCAAGGTGCGTGATTTGAGGAAGCGAAACGGGCACAGAAGCTTCGGGGAAGTAAATCCTGCCGTACGAAGATTAAAATATCCAACATTCGTCGTGTATGTACCGCATGAAGCCACCCTTACGAGTCTCATGGCGCTCACTCATAATTTCTGGCTTGCGTCTCAGAGAATCATCGTTCGGCTCGGCGTGTGGAGCTGGGGAGACTGTCTAATTGCGGACGGCCCCCACACCGCCTGTAGCGCCCACCCCAGCGCTAATCGAGCGAATGAAACCAGGGGCTGGATGCACTGGAGGAAAAAGCCGGGTCAAGAAGACATGAGATGCAATGTTGTTCAGGAACGACACCGTCGTGACGTGTTTAAGAACACCAATTCAAGTCCTCAGTTGGAAGAAAGCATGTTCGCCTCAGATGACTATGGCAACCTTGCTAGGACCAGCTTTTGCATCTCGAACACGGCTAAGCACGCTTCGTACCAGGGCAAGGATACAAGCGGCGATAATAGCGCATTCCAGAGTGAAGATGTCCTCGCCATGGGCGAACATCACATCGTCGTCGAAGTCGTTCTAAACCCTGCCACTGGGTCAAAAATCAACGTCTAACGCTCCTGAAGAGCCACGGTTGCTTCCCTCGAGTGGATTCACAACTATCAGTAACGATCAGCGCGTTGAAGAGGAGGAGCTGCCGGATTATCGAGCTGAGCGATTCTATCCTGTTCGACTTGGTGAGGTTTTCCACAACCGCTACCAAATAGTCGCGAAACTGGGCTTTGGTTCTTCATCAACTACTTGGCTGGCTCGAGATTTAATGTGGGTGTTTATGAGTTTTTTTGCTTTCATATTCTGGTTAACTATCGCAGAGCTCGTCAGTATGTCGCGCTTAAGGTATATGTGCATACTTCGTCGGTTCATCGTGAAATTCCATTTTATCACCATATTGCCAGCCGCATCGCAGATAGTTCACATCGAGGGCGGAATAACACCCGGAGATTGTTAGACTCCTTCGAAGTCAATGGTCCACACGGCAAGCACATTATTCTTGTCTTTGAAGCTGCACAAATGAGCCTGCGTGACATGAGAGTGGTGTTCAGGCGAGATGGATTCGACGAGGACTTTGTCAAGGGCGCCATTATCGAACTCCTCCAGGCCTCGGATTTTCTTCATTCAGAGCGAGAAGTTGGCCATACTGGTAACATGCCCTTGCCCCTCCCAAAGTTTTTCGTGGCTTAACGCATTGTTTATTTAATCACTGATATGTCATAGATATACATCCTGGTAACATGCTTCTGGGCATTTACGATAACAACTTGTTGAAGAATCTTGAGGAAAAGGAATCCACATCCCCAGTGCCTCGCAAGCCAGTGTCGTCCTCACGGACCATCTATCTCTCCCGCTTTATGCGTCCTAAGGAAGGTCCAATGCTGCTATCTGACTTTGGCGAGGCCAGGATTGGCCCAGGACCTCATGGTGGTGATATAATGCCTTTGGAATACCGCGCCCCAGAAACATTACTTTACGTGGGGTGGAGCTATCCCGTGGATATTTGGAGTGTTGGCTTGACGGTAGGCACTAATTTAACTTATTTATGTACCCACATTGCTTCCTGAAGACTAATTATTCACCGAGGAAAGGCATGGGACCTCCTGGAGCCAAAGAGACTATTTACAGCGCGGGACGAGGATGGCGACCTTTATGACGCTGCTCATTTTGCCCAGCTGATTGCTGCGTTAGGGCCGCCTCCCCCCAAATTTCTCGCTAAAAACCCAAGCAGGAAAGCTGACTTTTGGGATGCGCAAGGTATGTTTACTACCCTGCAAGTAAAAATATGGGAAGACGATCCGCACCAAACCAATATCCTTACTAACCCTGAGATCACAGGCAACTGGTTGGGCCTTGCTCCCATTCCGGAAGGTCGGACAATGGAAGCTCTCGAGACTCGGCTGGAAGATAACTCAGGCTTCCTCCGGTTCATCCGAAGAGCCCTAACTTGGATGCCGGAGACAAGAGCCACGGCCAAGGAACTCTTGCAAGACACCTGGCTTACGGGCAAGAAGGCCTAGTATAATATTGTACGCAGTGACATTAAGGGCGGACTCTTGACCAGAGGCACTGATGATCCTGGATTCAGTGTCCTGGTTGGCATGTTTGTGTAGCAGTAGCCTTGGTACGTGAGGTCGGCTGATGGATGGAATGGCAGAGACAGTTGTAAGGTCTGACAATATTGAACGTAAATTATCAGCAAGCGATGAAGTTGAGAGCAGAAGCATCGCAAGCAAGATAGAACTCGATTCAGGCCATGGTCAGACGAGCGTCATAGCAATAATGCATCGCATGCCATCCCGATCAAAAGCGTGAATAACTATGTGGACGGTGGGAAGCTGTTGAAGAAGGTATGCTGGGCACACTTTTGGTCGCTCTTCCTAAATTAGTACTGATGACTGGCCATGTAGGTCCTACTTGCGATTCGTACTGTCAAATGTTAGACATCCCAGTGTGGGCCTTTATCGAGTGGAACCCGGACGTTGGTTTGTTCAACCTGTCTTCCACATTGGTGGATGTTGTTGTGGTTAATTTGGATGAGCAGGTGAGTTATGAGGTTGAGCTGAATGGGGTGCGTGTGCGGTTGCTGGTGGTCAGGTTGAGGTGTATATTGTTGGAGGGGAGGAGTTTCAAGCGGGAGATCAGAACAGTGAAGGTGATGAGAAGATCTCGATCATGAATGGCCGGTGGGAGGAAAGGGGGGATGTATTTGAGTTTCAGAGGCTGAGCTTGACGATGCTCAGGTGGAAGCTGTAAGCAGAGGCAATCTTTAAGTTTGAACACGATATTCCTCGAAGAGACTCATAGATGCAAACTAATAGAAACACTACCTGACTGAATCTTTAATATCCATGTATTGCGCTTCTATAAGCCCTTGGGCCCATTATCTATGCAGTACCAAATACCTACAAGCCCTAATGTAACAGCTTCCAAGGTTGCATATATTACCTCCAACCCAGGATTGGCGTGATACAGAAAGACTCGACTCTTGTTCCGAGTTGTCTCCTTGATATCTGGAAACAAATGCTTTCCTGACTCTAGATCCTCTGCGAGAGCCCCTGTAATGATTGACTTACTCAAACTCTTTACAGCTAATATAAGGACTAGCCAAGAGTCAATGATCAAGGAAGAGAAGCAAGGCCAAGATACCCTATGGTGTATCTCCAATTGTAGAGTAGGTAAAGAACGAACGAGTCATTGTTATTCAAGGTAACTCGATATAGCAATCTTATATTTATCATAAGGACCAAGAACAGATATACGGAACGCGACCGTTCTTATATACCCATCTTGATTAGTTGCAGCATCCCAAAAGATTAATCCACGCCTGGATAAAAGGGACCTACTCCCGCAATACTGCTGAAACTCAGGCGACCAGAATCCAACCGTATATCCGCATACCAGCCCGTTACTTGTCCCTACATTATTGAAGACTTCAGATATTAAAATAACCTGACACCGTTCTTTAGGTTCGGACCGAAATTCTGAAGAGGATCAGCTTCCGTGGCCGCACAGGTAACAGGTCCTGCAGACCGGATGAGCCAAGAAGGCGTCATTATCACGAGCTTGGCGCAATGCACATTATTATATAGGGTCTAACTCCGCAATAGAATGCCCCCGAGAAATTCTCCGAAATCTTCTCCGAGCCCAGACATAAACGGCTATGGGGTTTGAAGCTGTCTCTTATACCTACCGTAGGTAACCTCGGAAGTTGAGCTGGGGTGGAGATGATCAGTACGGTGGATGTGGAGCCCTAAGTACCTAAGGGGCCTATACTTAGGCGCATATAAATTCTTCAGACAGCCGTATTCCAGCACGGACTAAATCCTCATAATCACTGAATTACCTGATCACAACTACCCATCGAACAAAATGTTGTCCTTCCGCATAAATACAACATATCTCAGCCTCCTCCCCCTCCTAGCCCTAACCCTAGCCGCTCCCTCTTCACAGGGACAAAGTGGATTCACCAAACGCTCTGTCGCCTGCCGAACAGTCGGGTCCACCGCAACCGCAACCTGGACAAACAGCGTCGGCCAAACATGCACCTTCTCCGGCGTCGTCGGAAGCAACTACGGCTCCAACAGCGCGGGCTCGGGAGAGTACGTTATGTCGCCCGACCACTCGATTCAGAATAATTGCTAATAAGCCTCCTTATAACAGCTACTCCTGCAACGGCCGCTGCGGCGCTGGATGTACCGGGACCGCACTGGGCAACGCCTACACGCAGGACTGCTTCTCGCATGATATCTGCTCGTATTTTGAGAATGCGAGTGGGGGGTCGAGGTGGGATACCACCTACATATCATGGTACCTTTCACTATATAGAGCGTGGTATACTGATTGTGTTCGTTTGTAGCGACCCCAACTGTGGCGCAGCGTACGACGCCGCTGTGGACGATACCCTGCTTGGTGTTGCGTATGGGTGCTCGCAGAGTAATCCGTCGAATGCGGTTTCGAAGCCGGCTGGGAGTCCGAGTTGTCTGTAATAGTGACTCAACCGCAAAATGGTAGAGCTGTGAGAGCCGAGCAATGTGAATGGTTGGATGGGGCGGCCGGTTACCCGTGGAAGGGGAAATCGGAAAAAAGGAAAAAGCATGGATGCGTATCGGATCCTTATCTGGTTACTGGCTATGAGGAGTGACATAATGCAGCACCATGATATGTGTATGACCAGCTTCACTCGAAGCGTCCAGGGCCCATACTGGTATCCATTCCATTTTCCAGGTTCACCACTAAAAGCTACCTAAGCGTTAGGATAGAGGAGACGGGATATTCGGAACTTCTATTTGACGCTAGTAGTTGTGGTCAGGGAGCTCGCCACACTTACAGGAATACCTGAGTTGCAATGATCATTGCCATCAAGGCGCTGATATGCTAACTAGGTACCATACCATTCACCTCCGGAAGCCCTAAGACAGCCGACCATCTGTCTACAACCCCCAACCCNCCCCCCCCCACCAACGACCATAGTGGGACTCCCTCGTAGTATCAGTGACTTGCATTGGGGGCACAGTAGCCCAAATGCTTGTCTTTCTGAGACGTCCTAGCATGATACAGGGTTCACCATCGTCCTCACACTGCTTGTACCTCCATCTTAGGGCGAAAAAGCATAGTTCTGGTTTCATGAGTCGAGAACAGGACATCTTTCAAGAGAGAAATTGATGAAAGACTTCCACTGCACTCTGCCAGCCTTGATTAGTGCATCTGCCGGTTGAGGCCGGTCATATACAACACATTGTCGGCGATCGATGCTAAGCAAGAAGGTGTTCTTCATCTCAGCATTAGAACACTTCATTCGTATAAAATATTGGGATTCGAGTCCGTACCAGCAAATTTATAGTCCCGACAGAATCCCCCGGACAGATCAGTCTGCACCCCTCGCTTCGCCACCATCGCACCTGCACCTACCATATGCGCCCAAAGAAGCAGGAACAGCGACCGAAACAATATCGACATTGTCTGCATAGCTCGCCACAGCGGAATCAAAATATCGCCTCAGAGAAAACAACTTCAGGCTTTGAACAACGCCGATCGGCACCATTTATAAAGCAAGCAGCCTGCTCCCGCTCCTCCTGCCCTTATCGCACATGCTCTATTAATTCAAAGGAACAGGAAAACAGCGCGCATCCAGCAATTCCCATTGGAGTGGCGGCTGCCAATCATTTTTAACCAATATAGAAACCAATAAGGTGGATTCTGTTCTGCATCGTGGCTGAAGGATACGAGTCTGCGCGTCTGGGCACGCGCCACGGCGGTTCTTCTAGCCTGCCACGAGGGTGCAAGGGTGTTTTGGCCCGCAGCCTTGCAGGTGCAGTGATGCCGGTTACCTATTTAGGTTTATGCTGGGGCTATCAGGGTGGTTTATGTGGGCCGGCGTGCATGAGCTTGGTATAGTAGTGGTGTTAAGGATTCAGGCTAAGTAATAAGAAAAGGTGGTCTCGCTCACCTAATTTAGTTTATTCAGCGATAGGATAGGATAGGATATAAATTATCTGTGGCTTTCCCTAAGAATGCCATGGGGTGGGCGGGCGTGCCCATGCCCCATATTAGGTTGGTGTACATGTGCTCCCTATTTATAGGATCCAAGCTTACTCGCCGAAGTTAGTCTGATTAAACTAGATCAAGTTCCTCATGATTTGCCGGAGAATTCAAGCCCTGGTCAAAGCAGGGATACAGTAAGTAGGGATATGGACCACGCAGGCATGGGCTATTAGTGGTATTTAGACTTTTTGCCTTTAAAGAAGGTTATATCTTTGACAGACTTTGTTAAAACATTGTGCTCTTGATATTTTAACAGTGTTAAAATATTATGGATATAGCCGTGCAGGGCTCTAGGTTAATTGTTAATGGCTCTTTCCACCAAGATAATTTAAGTAAGTTGAATAAATAGAGCATGTAGCTCATGGCCAGCATTACTAACTTGATTAGTTACTTTGGGAAACTCTCTAGCTAGTGGCCTAGGATAAACCAGCTTGCCTTAATATTACACTTGTCGTATGGCTTCAGCAGCTAGTTAATGCAAACGGTGGCTCCAAACGTGCCGCGGGACATATCTGGTAGGGTTGAAGGGGAGCTATCTCGTCACCTCGTGTATTAATCCTAATTATCTTTATCAATGCGTTGTACCAACTCAGATCAAGTAAGGAAAGACCTTATCAATCCAGGCCGCTCACGGCGTCGACGTCAATGCCGTACCCGACTAGAACTCATTTGACCATTTTTGCGTCACGGTACGCAGATTGGAGCTGTTCAGGTCGCGGACAGGGAGTAGATACATTGCTGAAAGGGTGCTTTGTATATGGTATTTGTTCCAGCTATACCGTGGCATGACGTTGACCCCTGCAATATGTGACGACGGCAATCTGATGCAAAAGAACAAAGAAAAGGAGGGGCAGCAACAGCTGCTTAAAAGTTCATTCCGTTGGAAGAGGGATGATACTACTACTGGCTGCTACCAGTCGGGGCATGCGATGATCGGCCAGCTGGAATACTAGTCCGAATACCCTATCAACCGGTGTCACTTTTCAGATGTAGATTCATGCATTCTGACGTGGCATACGGTCTAGGCAGATCGACGAGCGGGAACAACGACAGCTCTCTGTTGAGGACAGCAGAGTGCCAAGTATATACATAGGCAACGCTATATCCGCATTCAATCGTGAGTGGAAATGGTGTTGCGGTTGAGCTTCACGCCCCGCCTGCAGGGGAATTGTTGCCGCCAGACTCAGACGAAATGGTGGGTTGGTCGCCAAGCACATATGGTACAGTAATCTCAGCTCTCTCGCTTCCACTGCCTCTCCCACGCCGGCAATGCCCACTTGGCCATATACTCCGAAGCGAGGAGCTGCTCTGCCGATGGCCTTTCCCCGGGCTCAAACGACATCATGGCTCTAAGCATATCCTCAAGTGCATTGAGCTCGCCACCCTTAACATCCCACTCGCACGATTCAATTGTCTCGCCTCGGTCCATGTCCCACATGCGCTGACGGAGGCGCCGGAACTCAGGCGTGTTGATGCGCCGGAAGTCGGAGATCCACGAGCCGTCCGGGTTGAAGAACTCATGGCGATTCGCCCAAGCCTTCCACCACCTTTCCGGTGGTTGGCCTAGGACGTTTACCATCTCACCAAGAATGTCGTCGGGGTCCCATGCAAAAGTTTCGAAAAGTGGGCGTTCACCCAGCACCTCATATAAGACAACACCTAGAGTCCATATGTCTGCAGCCAGTGTTATGGGCTCCTTGAAGAAGTCTTCCGGTGGAGCATACAGAGCTGGCGTGTGGAGGGTTGGGGAAGCTGTCTGCGACGCAATAAAAGAGGTCCCGTAGTCGGTTATGATAACTTCAGGGCTATGGAGCTCGTTTGAAGGCATGTTCCAGACCAGAGGGTGGGTAACGCGTAGTGGCGCATGGGGCGTGGTGGGTTTCCCGTCCATGCGCCGGATGGGAATCTCGAACGGCTTGCCAAACCGTTCATATATTTGGGTTGAGTTGAGGCTGTCGAAATTAGGAAGACGGAGAAGGAAGTTGTGTAAATGGAGATCTGGTGCGTATGTCAGACATAGATTGAACACAGAGTAGGATTCATATATTTACCTCCATGGCAAATGTCATTTGCATGTAAATAGGACAAGCCCATGATAAGCTGAGCGGCAAGAGACCTCGCAGCATCCAGTGGAAACATGTAGTTAGTGTTATTCTCCTGGGAATGCGCTATACTGCACCCTGCGGGCTCCCCGACCAAGCATCGATGATGCTCGTTGGGCCCATCAAAGAAGAACTGATCAACCAAACGCGGGATAAAACGTCGGCCTGGATGCTTCATGGCGCTGTTCGCAAGCCGCTAGAGGATTGTACCCTCCTGACTATCTTGTGATTTGGACGCGACCAGGATCTTCAGTGATACATAGCGTTCGGTCTGGTTGTCGCGAGCAAGCCAGATTGTTGAATAGCCGCCAAACCCAAGCTTGTGGACAACGGTGTAGCGGCCATCACAAATGCTGTCTCCAATGGACGTTGGATGATAACCGCCTGGGGTATATCCCTCCAGATCCTCCAAATCTGGCTCGGGGTGGTATATGTTCTCATTGACGATCGAATTGAAGCAGCGGAATGGAGGAGCTGGCAAGGAGGCAGGATGATGAAGTGTGGATGGGAACCTCGCAGAGATCGCCTGCCACTTTTGTCGTGGAGCCGCTGAGCTACAGAGACGTGGAAAAGCAAATCTTCCTATGGGAGCAAGTCTCCAGCCGCCGCTCATGGCCTTGTGTACTGACGAGAGAATAACGCGGGGGTTGGGGGGTGTGTTTGGGGCACTTAATTAGCGCGTAGATATATAGGTCTAGTCAGTGGTCACGTGGCCCACCATCGTTTTCACCTCTGCCACCATTCCATAGGAATGATAATAGAGTTCTAGAGCCTTTTTGGTGCTTGATAGTGATTCTTAGAATTTAGAGGAGCAGACCCTTCCAAGGCTCTGCTAGGCGCATGACGGGGCCTGCACTTCTTTATTTAACGTGCTTGCTTCTTCTGGTATCAGTCAAGAACTGCCAGGTTTAAACGCTGGATGGCACACGTGCCGCTAGCCTCAGCTTTGACAAGGGGGAAGAGTGCCCTTGATCCATCCATACTCCATCCATGACACACTTCCCCCATGGTAGATGAAGAAGCAGACCATGGAAACTTACCAATTGTTTAGCAAGGGGAACCCAAACGGGTTATATATGCCGCCGTCGGCCCAGGCAGGCCCATAAGTCTTCCATATAAACGGAGTAGGTAATCATCCTGGCTTCGCTATTCTCCAAGCGCTAAGCTAGCGATGTGCGATGCGGATTCATGCCTGTTTCGCTCCTCTCGCAGGATTCGCGCTACGAGCCATTTCTATGTCTTGGCTCAATCAGCCTCAAGCGTAGTCTGGTTTGCGAGTGCAGCAAATTACATCGCAATTTGCTCTTCAAGAGGCATTCTGACGTTTATCAACGTAGGAAGAAAGGTCCTTGGATGCTGCTGACTATGACATCAATACCTGGAAGGCACCCCCGGTGCGAGAAATGCTGGGTTCAACGGATAAATCCCAAACGGTGGACGGAATAATAGAGGTCTAAGCATCCAAGGCGTCCATGATCCCTGTCAATGCTTGCCCGCAACGGTCGAGCCGCGCAATGGGTGGCCTAACAAGCGCCTATTCGAGTCAGCAACAGCCGAATTTAGAGAGGGATGGCATTCAGCTCGTGAGGGGCAAATCGTTCTCTCGAGGTCCTTATAAACTCCCGTCTCTCCCCCTCCTGTCTTTCATGGAACCTGTACCTTCCTCGATCGCTTACATCTCACAATGGCCACTATCGACACAGACTCTGCGGCCGGATTGCACGACGCAAGCTTCGACTTCGTCATCGTCGGCGGCGGGACATCAGGCCTCGTAGTCGCCAACCGTCTCAGCGAAGACCCCAACGTGCGAGTCCTCGTGCTAGAAGCTGGAACGAACCGAGTAAACGACCCTCGAATCAAAATTCCCGGACTCGCCGCGACGACATATGAGAACCCTGATTTTGACTGGGACTTTCGGTCGATTCCGCAAGTACGTAAACATCACCATAGATCTCACGGGGTGGGTTTGATTGATACCAACGTCCGTACAGGAACAGCTCAATGGCCGCACACTCCTCGGGACAAAAGGGTGCACCCTCGGCGGGTCCTCAGCAATAAACCTTGGAATGGTCGTATACCCCTCACGCACGGGGCTGTCCGCCTGGGAGGCATTAGGAAACCCCGGATGGGGCTGGGAGGACTTCGAGCCCTATGTGCGCAAGTTCCACACGGGGACTCCACCGTCAGAGACCGTGCGCGCCTTCTTCGCGGGGATGGTGTCCGAGAAAGAAGACCAGGGCAGTGATGGGCCTGTCCAAGTCTCGTTTGGTGATCAGTACATGCCGTACCATGGTGCATGGCTTCGCGCATTTGAGGCCCTGGCATGGCCGCAGACGGAGGATCCCATTAAGGGTGGTCCTGCTGTTGGACCTTTTGTTACGCCTGGAGCTGTTGATCCGGTCACGCATACTCGGAGCCATGCTGCTGCGGCGTATTTGGGTCCTGATGTGCTGCGACGCGAGAATCTTCGTGTCGTCACAGGTGCCCGGCTTGAGAAGGTCATCTTTGATACCTCCTCCGAGGCACTCACCGCGACAGGCGTAACCTTCACAAAGGACGGCCAACCATACACCGTCACAGTAAACCACGAGGTAATCCTAGCAGCTGGCGCAACCCAAACCCCACAACTCCTCGAGCTCTCCGGCATAGGAAATGCATCGCTCCTGAAATCCCACGGGATAACGCCCCTGATAAACCTCCCCAGCGTCGGCGAAAACCTCCAGGATCACGGCAACATCGCGTTCGGATACGAGGTCGCAGACGGGATGCCCTCGGGCGATATGGCGCGAGACCCCGCCGTCGCAGCCGCAGCCATGGCCGCGTATCAGAAGGATGGCTCGGGACCACTGGGCATGGTCGCGATGGTTTCAGCATTCATGCCATGTCTCGATTTCCCTGGCACCGAGCGCGAGAATCTCCTCTGGAAAATCAACACCTCGCTAAATGACGCATCCCTTCCAACCATGTACCGAAAGCAATATACCATCCTCCGGGACATGCTCAAGGATCCCAACGAGCCAACGGCACAATACGTCCTCGCCCCCTTCCAGATCCTCCCCCGCGCGGGTCCGAGTCCCCGAGATATCTTCAGCATGAGTCACCCAGGAAACTTTATCAGCATCACCTCTTTGCTAAGCCACCCGTTCTCACGGGGCTCCGTGCATCTCGCCTCGTCGGATCCCACCGCAGCACCTGTAATCGACGCCGCTATACTCCGCCACCCCGCAGATCTAGAACTCCACGCGCGCCACAGTATCTGGATGGAGAAGATCGCGGAGGCGGAGCCTATGGCATCGCTCCTGAAACCCGGTGGGGATCGTCTGCATACGCCGCAGAAACTCGACGCCACGGACCTTGAGCGCACGGAGGAGTTGTGTAAAGAGCTCGTTCTTTCGATGTACCATGTCTGCGGGACGTGCGCGATGATGCCCCGTGAGGATGGGGGAGTTGTTGATCCGAGGCTGAAGGTCTATGGGACGCAGAATGTGCGTGTTGTCGATGCGAGTGTGTTTCCGCTTGTTCCCCGCGGGAATATCCAAGCGATGGTCTTTGCGGTTGCGGAGAAGGCGGCGGATCTTATCAGAGAGGATTTGCTGCGGTGAGTTGGTGGATTTGTATTTGGGGAGGAGGTTTGTGGTGTAGAATGAGGACGGTGTGTTATTTACCCTCGTACTTTAGTGCTTGATGAGTGCCTAGTGTTAGGAGGAGCTTGCTTGTTTTCTCTCTTACCTGAGCTCGAGGGGCTACTTGTGATCTGTCTTTCCCTGAGTTCGAGCTTGCTCACTGGCACTATGAGGCCGCAGTAACCTGTATAATTGATATTTATGACATTGTCATGATAATTGCAATGAAATTATTGCTAGCAAAAGCAGACCTTGTATTCGTAGACTCGGATATCCGACAGATAACCGGATAGTAAAGAGACAGCAGGCGATATCGGAAATAAAAACAACAATAACATTGAGCTTCCTTCGCAATCTAAGCAAAATCATCCTCCTCCGGCCCCTCAATCCCATTCTTAATCTTCAGCAACAGAGTCGTCTTCCACTTATCCAGCTTGCTCAGCTGATCATACTGGAACAGCTTATCGGCGAACCCTTCCTGGTCACGCTCCTCAATCGTCTGCACCAGGTCGACGAGCAGCTGGTGTTCTCGCGTCGAGGCGAATGTGTTGTCGATCTCGCGGTAGCTTTCGAGGGCGCGGTTGGCGGAGACCATGTCCTGTTGCGTGTTAGTAATTGGATTTGCCGAGAGAGAAATGGATATTTGAGTAGCGAGACGAACCATTGTAGCCAGGTGGCAAATTCCGGCTTTCAAGAGATACTCCTTGACGGACCACTTCATCAACCCGTTATTGATCGATGTGCGGGAAATGCGCTCATAGTGCTCGATGGCCTTGTAATAGTCGCCCTCGATGGCAGCAAGGTCGGCCGCCTTGAGGAAGTGCTTGTTCGCTAGACTAAATTCACCAGCATCAGCATACGCTCCAACAAGCGTACTCGCCTTTCTCGCCACACAACACAACACGGAAGACATGAAGGACAACTCACGCCTCCGCATTATCCGACTCGAACCACTCCGCCGTTTTCTCATACGCCTCTAGCGCCTTCTTCGTATCCCCGAGCTCAATCTCGTACACTTCGGCCAGGTACTGCTGCTGTGTCGCGGCGCGGCGCAGGTTCCCCTTTAGCACGTAGTGCTGAATCGCAGAAGCGAGGACCCGCACGGCATCCTCTGGGTCGGACTTGCGGTAGACCTTGAAGGCCTCGTTGAGGGTGTTTGCGGCGTCGTCGGGCTCGTTGAGGTTCGTTGTTTGGATGGCGGCGGCGCGTTCAAAGGCTTGGCCGGCTTCTTTGTCTGTTCAGCGGGTAAGAGAGGTTAGTGGAGCTGTAGCTGTTTTAGAGGTTTGGGAAGACTATATGGTCGGGTCGAGTCGAGCCCCGGTGCGGCGGAGTGAGATGGGATGAGAGGGGCGTGCGTACTCAGCTTCTGGACCCGGAACGCATTCGCGGCTTGTGTGAAGAGGTCTGCGGCATTCTCGTATTTCTCTGTACGACCACCAAAGAGACTGAAGCCGCTCGAGGCTCCTTGGAGCGCTTTTTCGGCCTAGAGGTGGCATCAAGGTTAGTGATTGCTCCGTGGTGCTGAGGCGGGGTGAAATGGAGGGGTGGATAGCAGTGTACCTTTTGAATGAGGGCGCGGGGATCTACGGCCATCTTGGGTATATTCAGCGAGAAACAGAGGTGTATAGAAAGACTCGTAATAAAGTCGTGGATCTGAGAGTCAATAACAGAATAACAAAGCCTAGAAGGGAGATATGTTGAGCTGGCCCATTGTCGTCACAGCCAAGACCGGCGGCCGCTGGTCTGGGGCGGTGTCCGCTTTTCCGCCCGAGATTTGGAGTTCACCTCCAATGGGATTTTGTCCTTGACTTGCTTGCGCTCTCCAAGCATTAAAAGTGAAGAATTCAGCTACAACTCCAATTCGATTACACGTCACAATTCGATCTTTCATCTACACTAATCCCTCACAATGCTTCAACGCGCGTCTCGCCTCGCCTCCGCATCCTGCCTGCGCTTCCGCGTCAATACCCCCAGTCCGCGACACTACTCCTCAAACCCAGATAACGCAGACACCATCGAATCTATCCTCTCCAAACCAACCTGGTCCGTTCGCTCCCTCCTCCCCGATCCCAACACGAAACCCGCTCCCTCGGTCACCCCAGCGCAACTCCGACACCTCCTCCGCCTCTCCGCCCTCCCGCAACCCTCCAGCCCCGAAGAGGAACAGCAAATGCTCGACACGCTCGAATCCCAGATCCACTTTGTAAAAGAGATCCAGAAAGTAGATACGACGGGCGTCGAGCCGTTGCAGAGTATCCGCGACGAAAGCCCCGAGGCTGTGAGGGAGAACACGATTGGATTGGAGAAGCTGAGGGAGGCTATGGCGAAGGAACGCGTGGTCGGGCGGAATAAGAAGATTCAGCGCGTTGAGGGGGAGAGAAATGAGCGGCCTGATGGGGATGCTTGGGATGGTAATGCGCTGGGGTATGCGGGGAAGACCAAGGGGAGGTTTTTTGTTGTTGATACGGCGAACTCTTAGACATTCTTGACGCCGTCTACAGGAGGGAAACCCTGGAACATCAAGCCTGCGACGGTATGATCATTAATATCGACAGCAGCATATTGTGAACGCACAAGGCATCAGTTTCCAACGCTGCTGCCTTCTGTCAAGGTCTCTGACAGGGACCCATGCTGAGTCATCCACTATTCACATGTTGGAACTTCAAGACAACAAGTGGACTTCTTCTCTTCGACATCTATCGAGGCCGGTCCTGTTTATCAATTTCTTCACCATTTTCTCCTGAATTTCCGATGTGGAAAACCCTCAAGGACAAACATGCCAGCGCGTTTGGCTCGGCTCCCAAGCAGGAGTCAAAACAGGACGATCAGTCCCTCACCACCATCCTAAATCGGTCGCAGCGGGCGGACCTAACCGTACTTATTGCCCAGATCGCCCAGCGCATGAGAGACTTGGCCGAGGAGACCTTCAAGACCCCAGACGCCCAGAAACCGAAAACCGCGTCTGACAATCTTATTGATTTGGACGATGACGGTGGTTGGGATTGGGACTCGGACAAGGATGAAAAGGCTAAAAAAGCCAAAGCTGATCGTGCGCGCACCGAATATGTACCAACCAACGAGGATGCCAAAGAGGAGGCCGCCTTGTTGACACAATTCGACGACTGGAGGGACTCTGTCCTACTTCGAGTGGGCGAAGTCGTCAATAAAGACGCAGAGGACGACGAGGGAGATTCCCTGCATGGTGCTCAGCCTGAGAGTCCTCATGAAGACGACGATGGCGACCGCACGTGGAAGAGGCTGTCCAAAGTATATCCTCCCGTGGAGACACCTCTAATTAAACTCCCCAAGCCGAAGAGACTGTTGATACTGCACTCGCTACTCCTTTTGCTTCTTAGTCTGGAGCATTACAATGCTAGATCTCGCGTATTGATGCTGTTCACGGCGTCCAGTTTGGGAATTGGCATCAAGACGCTGAACCAGGATGAAGTCAAGGTTGCGCGGGGTTTACTCGACGCCGCTCTCCAGCTCAGTGCGAGTGGAGAGGCTCAAAGCCCGAGCAGAGACGACTCCTCAAGGAAGTGGAAAGTCGGTATTGCTTCTGTTGCGGGCGCTGTTTTGATTGGTGTGACCGGTGGTCTTGCCGCCCCCTTCATCGCAGCTGGCCTGGGAACCGTCATGGGCGGTCTGGGTCTAGGAGCGACAGCAGCAGCTGGATATCTCGGTGCCCTTGCCGGTAGCGGTGTCATTGTTGGCGGTCTCTTCGGTGCCTACGGAGGAAAAATGACCGGACGCATGGTTGACAAGTATGCCCGCGAAGTGGACGACTTTGCCTTTTTGCCGATTCATGGCTCGCAAAAGAGGACCGAGAACGAAAGGGACGCTGCCAAGGACGAACATCGCCTTCGAGTGACCATTGGCGTCTCAGGATGGCTGACTGAAGAGAGCAATTTCTACGTCCCCTGGCGTGTCATTGGCAGCGACTCTGAAGTATTTGGCCTTCGCTGGGAGACAAAGGCCCTAATGGATCTTGGAAACGCGATGGACTACTTGGTCACAACAGCTGCCTGGACCGCTGGTGGACAGATTCTATCCAAGACTTTCTTGGGGGGCTTGCTGAGTGCAATGATCTTGCCTCTTGGTCTGTTGAAGATTGCCCGTATAGCCGACAACCCCTTTAGTGTCGCCAAGGCCCGAGCAGACAAGGCGGGCGAGGTGCTCGCCGACGCACTGATCAGCAAGGTACAAGGCGAGCGCACCGTCACCCTCATCGGCTACTCTTTAGGCTCGCGAGTGATCTACTCTTGTCTCCAAAGTCTAGCGAAAAGACAGGCGTACGGACTGGTAGATTCAGCAGTTCTGATGGGATCACCAACACCATCAGATGCACCAGATTGGCGGCGCCTCCGACGAGTCGTCAATGGACGGCTGATCAACGTCTACTCTGAGAACGACTCCGTGCTTGCATTCCTGTACCGAACAAGCAGTCTCCAATACGGCGTCGCGGGCCTTCAGCCCATTGAGAACGTGCCTGGCGTCGAGAATCTAGATGTTAGCGACATAATCAGCGGCCATCTGCGCTACCAGTACCTTATCGGGCGGATCCTGAGAACCCTAGCATTGGAGAGCATCAATGCCCGGGAGCTTGCTCGAGAAGAGGCAGCGTTGGCTGCAAAGGACAAGAAGCAGGAGCAGCAGCGGATCCAGAACGAGCGAAAGGCGGGTATTGAGGGTGACAAGGAGGCGGCGCGCAAGAAGTTGGAGAGCGGCGAAATTGCCGAAGAGGAGGAGCGCAGGATCCAAGAGGCGGAGGAGAATCGGCCGAAGCTGCCCCGTCGGCCTGCTCGGACCCCGACCGGGAAGAGTGAGAGTGGAGAGATTCTGTCTGGCCCTGGTTCTGGAAGTAAGATGGTTGATGGCGCCAAGGACGAGCCGTCGCGATCGCTCGAAAGTGACAAAACTGCTGGACGAGAGGAGCGCCAAGTCCAAGCAGCAAAGGAGACTCCACGTCAGATCCCGCGTCGCCCTGTCCAGGCCCAGGTCGAACAGAGTGACGAGGAAACTCCGTCTCGCATCAAAATGACAGACGATGATGAAGACCAGACTCGGCCCGGCGTCACGACAACCCAGGAACCTGCTGAGTTACCACCTTGGCATAAGTTTGAGAATAGCAACACCGCTGAAGGCAAGGAGCGAACTCGGTCCGGAATCAAGGTGGCCCAGGAACCCGCTGAATTACCACCTTGGCATAGATTCGAGAGTAGCAATACTGCCGAAGGAGAGTGGCGCAATGTACATGCCGTGGAGAATCGGCATCGGCTCCCACGTCGCCCCGTTCCTGCACCCGCATCGGCTGAGCAAAGTGACGAGGAGCCCTCTTTTGGCATCAAGATGATCGACAACGACGACTGATAGATTTGCCCGTAAGCCAAGGATATGGCTGGTCGGCTTGTTAGAGATGACCTATAGTACCTACAGTAATGATACACGTGCTGCCGGAGCCAATGAGCCCGAACTCTCATCCCCGATTGACGAAATGTCATCCAATGGAAAGATTCTCGCTCCGGCATACAACATGCTTGTAGGAGACACCGGACCTCCAAACGGCAAAACCCCGGCCTGGGAACCCCCACAGTAAGCTGCCTGCAGAAAACTCTATTCTTTTCTCTCGGCATTCCTCCGGCGACATCCTCTGCCTCCACAGTTTCTCCAGACCTCCGCCTCCCTCCGTATCTACTCCGTACGCACTGGCCTCTCCCCCGAGAAAGTGACCTCACAAACCCTGGAACCGTCAAAAACAAAAGAGGGGTCGCCCCATCAAACACCGAAGATCGCCCCGAAAAAGGAATGTAAGCAGGGGAAACTATGTGGGGGAACGAGGTGGGATTCGCCGACAATTCTCCGGGGGTCGATCATTGCCAATAGATGGCGCTGTGCCTCTGTCGCGTCTGCCAACAAGGGTGCAAGTTCATGTCGTACGATGGCTCACGCTTAAAGGTCAAGGTTTCCCCGCAGGAGGAGAGAGTTTGGTCGTCTGTTCAATCTTTGTCCAGAACTCAAGGCTTTTCCTTCGCTCGTGGGAGCGAGCTTGTTGTCATCATGTTTGGGTCTTCGTCTTCAGCTTCGCCCAGGACCATGACGGCTGCGGTCGTTACGGGTCTTTTGACGGTGTGCAGTCAGACTCCTCTTGCATTTGCTCAAGAGTCTTCTCAAAATGGTCCGTACTGTCCCCTTCACCACAATATCCCGCTAACATATCGCAGCAATCGTGGTGACAAACCAAACCTTCGCCCTAAACGGCGCGACGGCCTCGTACAACTTCCACGTCGACAGCAGCACGGGCGACCTAATAACCGACCACTTCGGCGCGGCCGTTGTCCCTCCTCTCCCGTCCCCCGTTGAACCAGCCATCAACGGCTGGGTTGGACTCCCCGGCCGCGTACGCCGTGAATTCCCTGACGAGGGCCGCGGCGATTTCCGCATTCCTGCGATCCGCATCCGGCAGAGCGCTGGGTATACTGTTAGCCAGCTGCAGTATGATTCGCACGAGGTCGTCAGTGGGAAGCCTGCGTTGCCGGGGCTGCCTTCAACCTTTGGGGAGGAGGGGGATGTGAGCTCGCTCATTGTGCATCTTGTCGATAGCGTCAGCAATGTGGAGGCGGACTTGGTGTATTCTGTTTTCCCAGAGTATGACGCCGTGGTGAGGAGTGTGAATGTAACGAATCGTGGGGATGGGAATGTGAGTGTCGAGGCGTTGGCGAGCTTTAGTGTGGATTTCCCGGATGAGGAGCTGGATATGATTAGTCTCAGGGGGGACTGGGCAAGGGAGGCGACGAGGCAGAGGAGGAGGGTTGAGTATGGGGTTCAAGGGTATGCTTTCTCTTCTTCATGATTGATGTTTGGGATGTGATGCTGATGAAGTAGGTTTGGGAGTACCACTGGCTACTCGTCGCACCTTCATAACCCCTTCCTTGCGCTGGTGCATCCCTCGACCACTGAATCCCAAGGCGAGGCTTGGGGTTTCTCGCTCATCTACACGGGATCGTTCTCTGCTAAGGTGGAAAAAGGCTCCCAAGGCCTTACCCGCGCACTGCTAGGGCTCAATCCCGACAGACTCTCATGGAACCTTGGCCCCGGCGAGACTTTCACCTCTCCCGAGTGCGTGTCAGTCTACTCCAAGGACGGCCTCGGTGGCATGTCTAGCAAGTTCCATCGCCTCTACCGAAACCACTTGATCAAGAGCCAATTCGCAACCTCGGACAGGCCTGCCTTGCTCAACAGCTGGGAAGGCGTCTACTTTGACTTTAACCAGAGCACCATCTACAACCTTGCCCGGGCATCTGCCGACCTAGGCATCCACCTCTTCGTCATGGACGACGGCTGGTTCGGTGACGAATACCCTCGCGTTTCCGACGAAGCCGGCCTAGGCGATTGGACGCCGAACCCCGATCGCTTCCCCAACGGCCTCTCCCCGCTCGTCTCCAACGTGACGAACCTCGAAACAAACGGTACAGCCCTCCGCTTCGGCATCTGGGTCGAGCCCGAAATGGTCAACCCAAACTCGACCCTCTACAATGAACACCCGGACTGGGTCCTCCACGCAGGCGACTACCCACGCACCGAACGCCGCAACCAGCTCGTTCTCAACCTGGCCCTCCCCGAAGTCCAATCCTTCATCATCGACTTCATGACCACCCTCCTCAATTCCGCAGACATCAGCTACATCAAATGGGACAACAACCGCGGACAGCACGAGACGCCCTCGCCAAGCAATGACCACGCCTACATGCTCGGCCTCTACCACGTCTTTGACACACTGACAACCCGCTTCCCTGATGTCCTCTGGGAAGGCTGCGCCTCTGGCGGTGGCCGCTTCGACGCGGGTGTCCTGCAATATTTCCCACAGATCTGGACGTCAGACAACACCGACGGCGTCGACCGCGTAAGCATCCAGTTCGGGACATCCCTCGCGTACCCGCCGTCCGCAATGGGCGCACACCTCTCCGCCGTGCCGAACCACCAAACGGGCCGAACGGTGCCCCTAACTCTCCGCGGGCACGTCGCGATGATGGGCGGGTCGTTTGGCCTCGAACTCGACCCGTCCGAGCTCGACCCCGAAGAGCAGGCAATTGTCTCTGACCTCCTTGTCCTCGCCGAACGGATCAACCCCATCATCCTAACCGGCGACCTATACCGTCTCCGCCTTCCCGAGGACTCGAAGTGGCCCGCGGCGCAGTTCATCTCGGAGGATGGAAACACGGTCGTGCTCTTCGTGTTCCAGCTCGCGCCGAACGTTAACCATGCGGTCCCGTGGATCAAGCTGCAGGGACTCGATGCGGACGCGCGGTATGTGGTTGATGGGCAGGCGAACGCGACATACTCGGGGAGCACATTGATGAATCTGGGACTGCAGTTCAAGTTTGAGACCGAGTACGGGAGCCAGGTTGTTTTCCTCGAGAGGGAGTAGATGGTTCCGGAGTGGAGTTGGGGCCGCCAGGTCAGACGGGCTATCTACTAGTAGACGGTGCCGATGACGACTGGGCGATAGCTGGATGAACAAAAGACCAATCAAAACTTGTCAAAGGATAGTGTAGTGTACCTAGATTATCCAAAATACACTTGATACACTCGATACACTCAGCATGTAAGACGCACGGGTAATGCATGATATATAAATCGTGCCCTAATAGTACAAATCTAAAGCTCAGGCAGTTCCGCCCCATTACCCTGAACCACCAATAGCAGGGCGACATAACGGTAGGTGCGACCCTTCTCCGTTCCCCAGGTTACGAGTACCTCCTTCCCCTTTTGCAAGTACACGAGAGAGGAAGGTGCGATTGGAAGACCCCCGCCCAGCAGGGAAGGAGCGACCCCTACACTGGGATGAATAGGAAGGAGTGATCGGGAGCTCTATGGACCGGCCTTTGGTCGTTCCGTTCCATTGGTATCCCAGGATATGAAGGCTATCAGTTGGGAAGGAATGATGGACTCTTGAGGGAAGGCGCGATGCGTCCCCGATGAATGACCTTCATAGGCACCCCGGTTCCTCTCTCAACAACCAACGTCATCATTATCGACATTCGTACAGCTACGTCGCTAGTTCAATTCAATCAGTCTTTTGGTATCTACAGAGCTATCCCTCATGTTGTACTGCTGAGAGGTTCAATAGATGTAGGATGACGTCATAGCCGCACTCCCCTGTGCAGATACAGATGCAGTATTGTCGGACCTGATTCCGAGAACACGAAACTCTTGATTTATTCTAATGCCGCGTGAATGGTGAAGTTGCATCCTGGTTCTGTTCCGGGGCTTGATTGAACGCCAGCTAAGAAAATGGTTGTTCTAGACCCCTCGACCAAGCCAAGTAAATGGAGAAAAAGCGGGTGACATCGTGATGACGATAAACCGAGCTCTCCAGAAGCTCAAGACAAGTATGACACCACACAGGCTACAGTCATGCCAGATCATCTTCTCGAATCGTCCAATCTTGAATTCCATTTCTTTTGCAGCTGTACCAGTCCTGATCGACGTCACCCTGAGGCCATTTCGCACACCACCCATCCTGACCCGTGGCATATAGAGACTCACGCAACCCTCCTTTCGCGATAAAAAAAGTTCATAATGTTCCGCCCTCTTTTTCGATCCTGCAATCTGTCTGCACAAACCCAGCGAACAGCACTGGCGAAAAGTCTACCATCACCATACAAACTACAACCACTCATCCTCAACCGATCATTCACGTCCAAAAAAGCAAAAATGGCCGCCGAACACAGCAACGAGCACTTTAGGCTCGAGAATCTGTTTAATGTCAAGGGGAAGGGTGAGCGCATTTACACTCCTCTACCCATTGAAACCATGCTAATTTAGTCCAGTCGCCCTCGTCACCGGCGGCGGCTCCGGCATCGGGCTGATGGCCACGCAGGCCCTGGCCAAAAACGGCGCAAAAGTATACATAACCGGCCGAACACAAGACAAACTCGACCGCGTCGCCAAACTCTACAGCAAGAACATCGAGGGACAAATCATCCCCTTGGCCGCCGACATCACCCAAAAGGAATCGATCCAGAAACTCGCTTCCGAGCTCTCCTCGCGCGAGAGCGCCCTGCACATCCTCATCAATAACGCGGGCGTCAGCAGCGCAACGCAGACGGTCGAGCACGAGGATCCCGAGGAGCTGCGCAAGGCGCTCTTTGAGGATCCCTCGAGTAACATGGAGGAGTGGGATAAGACGTACCGGACGAATGTGGTGCAGTGCTTCTTCACGACAACAGCCTTCCTCCCGCTCTTGCAAAAGGGGACGGATGAGCAGCGCGGGTGGTCGAGCACCGTCATCAACATCTCATCGATTAGCGGTATCGTCAAGATCAGCCAGCACCACTTTGCGTACAACGCCAGCAAGGCGGCGACGATTCACTTGACCAAGATGCTTGCCCAGGAGATTGCGAGCTCGAATCTCAAGATCCGTGTTAATAACATTGCGCCTGGTGTCTTTCCCAGTGAGATGACGGCGGGTGAGAGCGATGAGAAGCAGAAGAGTGCGCTCCCGAAGGAAAAGTATGAGAAGATTCCGGCAAGGAGGCCTGGAAAGGACGAGGATATGGCCGGGGCGGTGCTCTTTACTGCGACGAACCAGTATCTGAATGGGCAGACGATTGTTGTTGATGGGGGGTATGTCCTGTCGACGGGGACGCTCTAGGTCTGCTTGAGTGATGGCAGCTGCAGCGGATAGTGGATGATGTATTATATGTATCTCTAGCTGAAACGTACAATGTCTATGACCGCACCTAACATATCCCTATACTGCCTCTAATAATCCAACCAACCCTCAAGTACAAAGATAATTACAAATCCACCCCCAAAACGCGGCCTCCTTGACCAACTGATCAACGGCACCGAGTCCCTCAAACAACTTCTCCAGCACGACCTCCTCAACCTCCTCATCTCGCTCGATTTGCTCCTTCCTGAACCTCTGCAGCCCACATATCTGTAGATCGCACATAACACTGCGTATCACACCCAACAGCACCAAGAATCTCCCGACATTCTCCGCGATATCCTCGTCCTCGTCCTCGTCATCCCCGTCGTCATCCCAACTCCGGCGCTGGATTTTGCCCGTCCTGGAGTCAACGGCGACGTCTTGCGAGAACCAGGTGCCGAGGTGGAGGGGGTCCTTCCATTGCTCGTCTTCCTTTTCGCCTCCATCTTCGTCTTCCTTGCCGCTATCCTCTTCGCCCGAGCCGTCTTCTGAGGATGCTCGTTGCGATGTCTCGTCCACTTTGCGCTTAGAGACCGGTGGTGCATCGTCCTCGGATTTCTTGCCGGGCTCAGCGGGTTCAAGGATCCTAGACGAGAAATCTAGCCGCTCACATTCGAATATAGGAAACCCCGTCGTTTTAAGAAAGGCAAGCGTCTCTTCGTGTTCCAGCTCCTTTGGGATGTGTGTCGCTGTCGGCGTCCAGAGTGGAGTGTTTGGTGGGAAGTATCCCTCGAGCCAGGATTTCGTTGGGTATGATTTTGGCAGGGATGTGGGGATGTTATCCTGAACTTATGGTTAATATCTCAACTTTGCTGGGTTATAGTTTATGGGTATTAGGCTGTGCATACAACGATACTATAAATGATCCTCGCCCGATCCTCGAACCGCTCAAAGAGCGCATAAGTCTTCTTACATGTCAAGGCGAGAGACACGGCATCCTTGATGCGTGGTAGACTGTTAAATACAAGGACGAGCAGTTCGGCGGGGAGACGGTGGAGAGGAGACTGCGACATTTTGGAATTTGCTGGACCGGTGGAGATGAGAATCGGGAATACGAGGTGCTTATGTAGATTCTTGGAAGGCCCCTTCTTTTAGGGTGCAAACGACGCTAAAATCTACCCTAAGATCGGCTTTGGCCGATTTGTACTAGCGCAGTTTTGTATCAGTGGGACATGGAACCCTAACTACCACTACCACTAATAGGCATGGATGTACCCTCGACGTACAACTCAGCTATGGCGTCAAGTGTCATACTATAAAGGTTTGGAATATTCCTTTCAAGAGAAGTGGCTTCGAAAATTCACCAAGGGTGCTTGGATGCCTCCGTATTTCAGGTAGAAGACATTCTTCCTAACGTCATCACCACCACTCCACTCATCCACCACGAAAGCAAACACGTATAGATAGACACAAAATTAAAAAGACCCATCGTCCTTCGAAGCTCATCTTCCTCCTCTTCCTCCTCTCCCTCCCACAGACAGTCTAAAGTCCATCATATCGAAGACAACTCAGCAAGTGATTCCACATGGCCTGGTGAGAATCAAAGCTGCGATGGGTAGTGTCACTGAATATGGATCTACGTGAGCAGCCGTGGCAATACCACATGTTGCTGTGCGAGTCAATGAGGCCAACGGCCACCATGTCTTCGGCGAACCCCCCAGTGATCGTTCTCGTTCCAGGTGCCTTTGGCACACCTCAAGGCTTTGAGAAAATGCTACCATATCTGACCAAAGCCGGCTACGCAACACACCCAGAATCATACCCTAGTTGCAATCCCTCTGATCCGGCCAAAGTCTCCTGTCCTCAGGATATCGCCTTCTTGCGCGACCACGTCTTACTCCCTCTTTTGAACGAACACGGCAAAGACGTCGTCATCCTCGCACACTCATACGGGGGTGTTGTTGCAGGCGGTGCAGCAAAAGGGCTTGCAAAGGAGACCAGGAGAGCCCAGGGTTAATCTACGGGCGTCATCGGCCTTGTTTACGTGGCGGGCAATATCACACTTGATGGAGAATCTCTCTTGACTGCTGTAGGTGGCGCTTACCCTCCTTTTATCATAGTCGACAAAGTATGGTCCTACCCAGAACAAACCACGACCATAGCCAGAGAATATTGACATTAATACCTTTTTTGTTCCCAGCCATCTCAGGGCCTTGCTGTCATCGTGTCAGGGATGTCCGGGGTCAAGTTGAGGTAAAGTTAGATGAGGCTGTGGCTGAACGAGAGGCTTTTGAGGCTTCAGACGCTCGGTTGAGAAGATTGGGCTGGGTTGGTCTGGTTGGGTTGAGCCTCATGGGTGAAAGATTTATTTGGGTAGGGGAACCACTGAAAATATATGCAGCGACTTAAGGACTGCGTACCGAAGGATAAGCCAAGCCTTTGGTCACCCTGGATGATAAACGGGTTGCAGAATGCTAGTACGAGGAATATCTTTCTGTACCTTGGTCTACAGCTCGAGACAAGAAACATAGAGATACTCCGTCTCACTCCCGTCAATTGACCGTGTATAATGCCGAGCGATGGCGCTACCCCGCGTAGCATCCAAGGGCTCGACTACCTCACAATGCACCTGCCTCTGGGCAATGCGGCCGGAGTCAAGGTTGCCAAGATGCAATTCTCCCTGTTCTTCGAGAGATTCTGCGTTTGCTAGGCCAACAAGTCCGCTTTAGCGAGCTACAATCTTTCGTAAGAGACCGAAAAGCAAGAGTCTTTCTTACACGCGATTGGCTCATTTGGAGTATGACTCATTTTGGTTGTTTGTCTCAGCTCGTCTCAATTATCATGGACCAATCGATAGCGCAGCCAGGAAGCCCCGAGAGAAATCGCCCTGTGAAAACCAAACAACAACCACAGCCTCGAAGCCAAACCCTGAGGTAAGCGCTGGGATGTGATACAACTTGCCTCACCGTGTGATCATCGCTTAGCATCTTCGTCTTTCCTTGGAATAGACAGCGCAAAGGGCCACCGTTCTCAATGCGCATCAAGCAGATGGAGGAATCTCACCCAATTGTTGCCAGCCAAGAACATTCTTTAGCACATCGGAGGGCTCATAGAAACACTAATCCAGGCTTCAACCCACTGCACGGAGCACAACCTCTTTACTTATCAAGTCTCTTGGTCCAAGCTCCGAATCCCCATAGATGTCGAACGTGTCAGAAGTTGAAGATCCCGGACTTGCAGTCGATGACATTATCGAGGATCGAGAGAACTTGAACGGAAGGCAACCAATATTGTATGGACTGCTCATATATTGCTCGAAAAATCTTCATTGACTGAACACAGACTGGCGAAAACCTTGTCCTAGACCAAGAATAGGAGAGAGTGGATGGATATAAGTCGCATCCTAACGTGCGCGCAGTTCTCCTGCAGAATCGTGCTCCTGGAGGAGTTGCTAGAGTCAAGAGTGTACCATTCAAATACACTCTAACTAGCAAATTAACCGGGAAGGTTCTTGTCGCAGCCAAACTAGGGGAGAAGCTCAGCCTTATTGGGAGCCCCTATGTCCTACGCTTCCGATGTCGACTAGACTGGAGCCCTGAATATATTCTATCAACTCGTCCGCTAGCCTGTGAGATAGCTGCACCTTTGCACTCCACCCGACCTTGGAGTCTACCTTAATATCAATTATTGGAAGAGTGCCGTACCACGGATACACAAGCTGAATATGCGGACAGACGAACTGGTATTCCTCAAGTAGACGGAGAATCCTTGCAAGTTGATCTAGGTTGGAAGATGTTGAATGATATCGTCGAAGGCCATGAGCTGTACAATTTAGAGTCCAAAAACTGATTGCGGGTGCTGGTCCGATAGAAGTGATATATGCAATTCCGGTATGTCGTTAACTTTCAATGTCAGAGGCCCAAGGCTTTGGCCTTCATAGACTTGAGCAGACGCCTCGGATAAAGAGTTATTAGTCAGTGCACTATCATGCTGGTCTGATTGACTAGGCTGATGCTGTGAGACAGTATTATCGGCCCCAATTTTCAAGAGCCGGGTACATTTTCTGTTATTGGAGCCGGAGAGCGTCAACTACAACTCAAAACTCGGAGAAGGGTACATACTTGCAGCAAAATTTTTCACCTGTTTAACAAGCTCCTCGATCTTATTATCCTTGCAAATTTTGTCGGCGGCATAAAACGTGAATTCTCCATACTGATCATTACTACATTAACAACCTTCTGTACCCTTTCGCGATGCAATCGAGCTCAAGAAATGAGCAATTATGCATTGTTTATCCGGGACATTCGGCTCATGCCAGGTCATCCACTTTATTTTGACCTTGATCGCTTCAGCAACTGTTGCAGCACTCAATTCCATAAGTTTCATAAGCTCCAAGATCCATGCCAGTCTTTTGTCGTACCAGGCCTGTGTCTGAGCCGCGGTATATCCAGGCTGGTTTGCTCTATATCTGTTGTACTGATGCTCAAACCAAATAATATATTCAGCCATCGAGTTAGATATAGGTGCAGGCTTACTATCGAGTCGGCAACTAAAGACGCTGTAGTATGTGTCGTTTGCGTAATCAACATGGTATTTATCCTGCTTTTGTCAGGGCTAGGGCTGACATAATGACTTGCAGAAGCGGCGAGAAGAAGAAGAAGAAGAAGAAGAGAAAGGATTGGCCATACTCACCTTAGAAGGCCCATACAGAGCGTCAGAACGCTGCTTCTGCGTTTCAGCCGCCTGGACCTGCTCCTCATATTTGGTCTTAAGAATCACCATCCAATCTCTCCGCAGGGCGCTGAAGAGCATCGAAGAGAAAGAGGTCATTTCCTTCTCGAGCTGTGCGATAAACTCCTTTTCCTCATCTAGTATCTCCTCGATCTCAGACTCGGGTAGTGGGTCGCGTTCCGAAAGGTGTGGCTCTGGTATTCCACGGCCTCTATGGCAGCAGACGTGAGTCATCTCAAGTCTGTCGAAGCACGATCTGCGAAGAAGGCCGAGGATGACTGTCTTAGCAAGATCCCGCCCGCCACTTTCCTCCACCTGTGTGACGAATTCCAGCGCCCATACGAAGCTAGGTGTGCGACTGAATACCGGGTCTAGGAAACTGACATCGAATGCGGCAGGGTAAAAGCATCCTCGGGGTGAGCATGGGCATCGGCAGGAATCAGATGAAAGAATGTTTAGGCCCCTGCTTAAACAGACTCGGAGTGAGTCAAGTTGACTCCAAGTCCTGGAGTTCAGATGAGACAATTTGGAGAGAAGAGAGAATATGAAGGTTCGGCCCCGATGATTTGTATGGTTAATCTTCATTCCTTGGTCAAGAAAGAATTGAGTAAGGTTTCCATCCAGCATGCCACTCAAGGAAAATAGGGCTGTCTCGCCGTTACTATTGGCTGAGTTGATCATGTTGAAGCCACATTTAAAAAGCATTGCAGCGTCTTCGGGGTTCGAAATGTAATGTAGAAGATTATTGTTCTCGGTGTCACGATCAGCATCATCGACCTTGATGTTAGGATCAGTCAGCGAACCGACAAGTTTCGCGAATATATTACTCCACGCATCAGACATCATTGTCCTCACACTGCAGACCAGTGACATAAGAGCCGAGAGAACAAAATACTGGTAGACCTTCGGTGGAAAAATCTCGTTAATGCAGACAAGGGTGTCAATTATAAGATGCCATTTCCCACGAGCTGCCGCATACTCAATGAAATTGCGCTTCAGCTTGTGGTCTCGCAGAAATGGATTTGCGCCCTCTTTCAAGAGTAGCCGCACTGTACTGATGTTCCCAGTCGCGGCTGCATACATTAGAGGAGTATTACCCCGCTTATCTATAACGTCCGTGTCATGGCCAGCGTTGACCAGCAATTGAACCATATCCGTGTTGCAGACTGCCAAGTGCAATGCCGTCTGGCCTAGAAAGTTATATTGTGGATGCAACGTTGAGGGAGAAAGAAGTGACTGCGCTAGCCTTGTATTATTGCGGAGCACAGCATCATGCAGAGGCGTCAATCCACCGAAACCTGTGTTGATAGTGTTAGTGACCACACGCGGCAAAGGAAATGCACACTCAACCTACCAGGACACGCGTCACCGAGAATAGCCAAATACTCGATAAAAAAGGGGTCTGGTGTGTATTCCTCACAGCGCCAATTTGGAGAGCAAACAGCTGGCCAATCCTGATAAACTGGCGAATCGCTACAAGAAGGATCGAACCCATACTCAAGGATAGCCTCAAGCAGATTGAGATGACAACCTTCACCAATCCATTCCGCACAACGAACCAGAAACCTGGAAAATTTTGTTTAGTCTTGAGCTTTAATTCGCTTCGAGCTACAACACCTACTTTTGGTCCAGGTTTTCTAGACTCATCCCTAACTCGCAAACGAAGAATCTGAGTAGCTGGAATTGGGCTTCCTGGTTGCCCGGTCCGTAGTACAAGAGTTCCTAGTCGATGATATCAGATGAAAGTACCTCCCATGCTAAGATGAGCATTGATACCTACCTGAACATAATTGCGCCCACCAGGGTGGATATGATCTTTCAGGGATGGATCGCACCTCGCAAGCTCTCGAAACTGTTGCTGAGTGTCCAAGACTGACAAATTGCCGTTTGCAAAATGCCAGAGTGCCTCAAATCCTGGGGAGGTATAGTTTACCACCCTCTCAAGGCTAAGTGCCGGTCTGAGAGAATATTTCCCGGCCCCCCAAAGAAATTCGAGACTGGTAGACACCATGAAAGGGACACCATACCTGGTTAGTGCAAACTTCAAGCCCCAGCGATAGCGTTTAGCTGTACATTCCGGAGCATCACAGGGTCTGGACAGGGTGGACAACGGGGAGTACTCCCAGCCCCAGAGGTGGTGCAGCTGGTTTCGTGTCAGGTGACATGAACAGTGACAATGCCTTACTGCGCAGTTCACTAATTTCCTTCTACTTGATGCGCTCGCTAGATGGCTTAGTTGCGTTGTAGAGACTGGGTTGGTGGCAGGCGAGAGATTGCTGGCAGCATTTGGCGACGAGATAGAGCTTGCATTCTGCGCATCGCTCGCCGCAGTGTGTCGGGCATAGACGACGAGTACACTGCGTGAAACAAGGATGAGTATATACTCTGCGGACGCTGAGCTAACGAATACTAACCAAGTAAGCGTGAGGTCTTCAATGACAGAGTCAAGTCTTTCCCTTGCCGCTCGCAGTTGTTCCGCAATGGATGTGGTGTGCCGAGCAAGCTTTAGCTTGCTCCCTTGTAGACGAGAGAGTTTCTGGGTCACATCTTGCAGGATAACGTCGACGCTGCTGTATGCCAACTGGCAATTTGTGACAGCCTGTTCAACACTGCTGGATGATTGAACGTGTTCAAGAGAGAGCAGAGATTTTCGAAGAGCTTCTAAGCGCCGGATGAGAAGTTCCAACTCGCCCCGAGCCTTGTTATGGATGAACCCAGAGGCACCGCGTAAGCCTCGAACCGTATCTGTGATTTGAACGGCGAACGCTGCTATACCGAACCCAGCAGACACCACTCCGATTATCTCAGCCATCTGTTGGAAAACCCACCAAGAAGTACTGTATGTCGCACGATAAAATTGGGAAGGAAGATGATGGTCAAAAGATCCGTCGCTGTGAGCCAGGTCCATTTTAGCCGCTGAGGCTGATTCTTGTCAGATTGAACTAGTCCTTGTATGGATGTCATGTGAAATAAGCAGCATATATGGAAGCATAAAGGAGGGGTAGATGCTAAAAGAACTCAACTTTTGGAGGAGATCAGACGAATACGACAATCTGAACCTCTCCAAAAGGAACACCATCATATTTCTGACAGTAGCCTTTGCGATGGCGTCTAAAGGCGTTAAGGATCTGGGATGTACTGGGTTTCCCATCAGTTGGAGGGGGGTTAGGTCTCTCTTAAACCAGCGAGAAAATCAGCTCAGTATCACAGCCAGTAATAAAACATTTGTTTAGACAACCAATAACACACTACATCTGGCGTCCAGTGAACATCCTGAGAATCGGTTTCAGCATGAAGGAAGAACGGTGCCTTGGCTGATCATCCTGTCAGGCGCGATCAGGGTGAGCGTCGCCCTACTGCTCACCCACTCACCCTACAAGCCCACCTTGCTAACCGCTGCATGAACAAGATGTGCACCGTTGTTGTAGTGCAAGCTGGATTCCTTGCCTGAGGGTTCAGGCTGCCATGGCTGGGTCAGATTTAGTAAGCATACGCTGCGACAGGAGAAAGGGCAACAACAAAGGGGAAAAAAAAGAAAAAAAAAAAGAGCTCAAAGCAGGGAAAGGAAGATTGTCATTTGCTAGAAATACCGCCAAGCGGTGAAGCTGAAAAATAACAAAACATCCCCAACCACAGCTCCAACCGCCAACTTGGCCTCGGCCAATAGCGAGCCCCAGGAGAGAACCGGGGTGTTGCTCCGCTTGCGACTGTCATTTGTCGAGGCCAGGAATCCCAGACTGCATCAGGCGCCAAACAACAAAACAAAAAATGGGGTTGTGTGAGTTCCGGCCGGATCCAATGAGGCTCCAAAATGGAAAATTTTTCGTTCCCATATTACTCCAGCTAGGGGGAATATAAAAAGCGTCTTGTCCAGCCAGACCAGGTGAGAATCATCAGACAAACAATAGACAACGATGCCTCGAACAAAGGAAGAACAGCTCCACTGGGAGGGCCACCGTGACGAGCTGAGGTCATTATGGCTGGATCAGCGCTGGACGGCGGAACAGATACAGGGCCATATGTCACAGAGGCACGGCTTCTGCAGAAGGTCAGTTTGTGAGCCCCCAGCAAATTTCCAGATTTGTCTAAAGCAGTGCATATTACTTCAGTATACCTCAGTACACGCGACAGTTCCAAAAATGGGGTTTCCAAAAAAATTCAAAGGGTGAAACATGGAAGTTTGTTTTCAAACGTCGCGAGAAACGAAAACGAGAGGGCAAAGACCCCGGTCAGGTTTGGAGGAATGGCAAACACATTCCTGAAGAAAAAGTCAGGAAGGAGATATCTCGTCATGTTCCTTTATTGTCGCAATACTGGGATTCGGGAGAGGCCGGTGTGTATCCATCTAATCTTTCCTCCCGAGTTTCAATGCTTATTGGTTCGTTTTCATAAAGACCCCCAAACTCCCGCGGGGCTAGTTGTGGGTACGCCACGGTCGGAGATGGATGGTGCGAACTTTATGGAAATCGATTGGTGCCAGGGCCTGGACTTGGATTTTGTCAATCTTGGAGCCTCAACTCTGTTCCAACCTCTTCAAGGCGACCGTGACCCATACGCGATCGAGGTTGCGGAACCTGCTATAGCGGACTTCTACCCCCAAGCGAATGGATTCCTACCTACCGCCTCCCTCGATTTCAGCAACTCTACGCCAGGTGCAAGTCTGCCAGTATCAGCAATATCCACGGACGGGAACAATTACGCCCAGGACATTCCGGACGCCATTATCAGCGAAATTGTGAGAGAGAGTCGCTGGCTTTTATGGCAGACCCACACAGAGGGTCATGAAACTCACCATGATGTACTTTCACGCCTTGAGCCCATTACGATTGGAGATGTTAATAGTGATTTAACAAGAAGAGCGGAGGCGATTTTTCAGGCACCCGACAAGGAGCATCTGGTTCACTATCTAAAGCTCTGCATCTACCTGTCCTCTAACAACCTGATGTCCCAGTGCTCAACAGATAGCTTGGTGTCGCTGATTGCGAGAAGCAATTCTTACTGGAGACTCAAGGCGCTGATAAGGTCAACAACCAACACGACAATGGAGATATTCATGAGCAACCTGTTAGCTAGTGCGGCTGCTATAGGAGACACAGAGGTTTGCCGATTGCTTATCGCGGCCGGGGCGGACCTGGACGCCCATAGCGGGCAGACAGTGCGAACAACCGCCCTTCACCGGGCCCTTCTCCGCGATCAAAGAGAGTGTGCGAGGATGCTTCTGGAGGCCGGCGCAGACGCAAACCTCATGGTTGATGGGGAGACGCCATTACACATCGCATGCTCCAAGCGCAACGCAATTGACGTGGTTTGTCTCTTACTTCAATTCGGAGCTCATGTTAATCCACCGCAAGACTGTGCCGAGCTCACGCCCTTGCAAATTGCCGTGGAAAGGGATGATCTCGAGCTGGTGCGCCTCCTTCTTGAGCAAAAGGCAAATCCAAATGCTTTCACAACATCCAAGGAGGGTACGGCTCTACAAATCGCATGCGCCAACTCGATGAATGCGAGTGTGGTCGAGCTTTTATTGCGTGCGAACGCAGACATCGATACCCGCCCGGGCTACCTACGTGACAAGCAGGTCCCTCATCCTTTGGCGGATAGCGATGATGAAGATTTAGATTGTATCGAAATCTCCACCTCCCTTAAACCTGCTATCCTTATAGCGGCCGACAACGATAATTGGGAAGTGGTCCAGCTTTTGTTGGAGGAGGGCGCGGCTGTCAACGCCAGCTTGGGAAGATGTCCAGGCCGTTTTTTCAATGACCATAATGGAGATTATGATACACCGACCGTATACACGCCATTACAAGCAGCCGTCCGATCCGAAAAAATCACCATGACCCGCATGCTTTTAACCGCTGGGGCACAAATTGATGCGAGGCCAAGGGGCGAACACGGCCATACGGCGCTCCAAATAAGCGCTATGGTTGGCAATGAGAGGCTGATCGAGATTTTGCTGCGAAAGGGAGCGGATATCCACGCCCCAGCCGGTGTCTATGGTGGACGGACAGCACTTCAGGCCTCTGCTCGACATTCCGATACCAGGATTCTGGCGATCATGCTCAGGGAAGGGGCAGATGTAAACGCACCCCCAGCGAGGCATCAGGGAAGGACTGCTCTACAGATAGCAGTTGCAGCTGGTAGCACAGAAGGAGTCAAAATGCTCCTTGATGCGGGAGCAGTGGTCGATTCAGATCCGAGCCTCACTGAAGGGGTTACGGCCCTGAAAGAAGCTATTCGAATCAAGGACCTATCGATCAGGGATGAAATACTTTACCTCCTTCTGCGGGCCGGGGCTTACACTGAAGTCACCAAAGGTCCAGATTACCACGCGCCTCTACACGTCGCGGTGGAAAGCGGAGATGAGAAAATCACTGAAAGGCTCCTGAGGAAAGGCGCGAGCGCGAATTTGGGGTTTTGTGCCGAAACAAGACTTACTCCCTTGCAGAAAGCCTCCTCGGAAGGGCGAGAGGATCTAGTGCGACTCTTGCTAGACGACGGAGCAGATGTCAACTACCCAGCTCATGAATATCGGGGCCGCACAGCCTTGCAAGCAGCAGCTGAGCGCTGCCATGTACCAGTGGTCAAGTTGCTCCTGATGCATGGAGCAACGATAAAGTCAAAGAGAGCTAAAAATAAGGGGATCTCAGCGATAGAGGGCGCCGCTCTGCAAGGCTCTCGGGAACTTGTCGAGCTTTTCCTTGCTAAGGAGCCCGATGTCATATCGTCCGATCCAATCGCAAAACAGCGAGTCATCGGGCTCGCCTTGACTTCCTTCAGATGTGACGTGCCTATGTTAGAGCTCCTGCTAGAGGGAGGAGCAGATGCTAAAGGTGGTTCGCGCTCCCCATTAGAAAGACCATTGCTTCAGACGGCAGTAGAACTCGGCAATTATCACATTGTCCAGTGTCTAGTTTCCGCAGGCGCAAACCTTAATCACCGCTGGAAACGCGAATCGGCTGGTAACGTCACTGCTCTTCAGGCCGCTGTTAGCAGCCGCGATATTGACAAGGTCCGCTTACTGCTCGAGAGAGGGGCTGATGTCAATGCACCAGCAAATGAGAACGGAGGGAGAACTGCATTGCAGATGGCAGCATCGCAGAATAATCGCACAATAGTGGACCTGTTAATGCATCATGGCGCTGATGTTAATAGCTTGCCCAGTCCCCGGCAGGGCCGCACGGCCCTCCAGGAAGCTGCAAGCTCTGGTTTCCTGCAGCTTACCGAATACCTGTTAGCCCATGGTGCCCAACCTAATATGCGTGCAGCACATTTTGGCGGAGTAACAGCTTTGCAAGGGGCAGCAATTTACGGCAATATCCGAATTGTGATGATGTTGCTTCAAGCAGGGGCAGACATCAATGGAGCGCCTGCTATCGAGCAGGGAAGAAGTGCCATCTCTGGTGCTGCAGAGAATGGCAGACTGGACACGCTAAACCTCCTATTGAACTATCACCCAAACACAGAAGAGTTTGAGATTAGAAAAAAGCAGGCTGCCAAATTGGCCCTGGCAAACGGTCATTTGGCGATCGGAAGATTTTTGCTGGCATATCGGAAACATTCTTCGAATATATGAAATGCTGCGACCTATTACCTTGTGCTGTCTATGCCAGGGTGCGACTCAAATCTTCTTGAGGGTCCAAGTCAAACTAGCTCTTATTGTCTTATTATTCTCGTTAGTTTTGCTAGTTGAAAGAGTTTTCGAGCGTCTTTGGAAATTGCTATCTAACCAAATAAATACCATATAGTGCTATTCTTGGACATAGCACTAGTAGGGCTTATATATGTTCAAAAAATGTTGCTATTAAAAAACACCTGTTTCGCTATGGATGGATGTTTATGAAAGCCGTGGTATGAAGCTGGAGATGCGAGTCAGAAAGACATATTTTAGCTCCAGCAAGTGCGCAACCCAGTGTATTCAGCGTGAAGCTAGTCTCCTTTCTTCATAGTCAGCAGCGAGAGATTGGCTTCCGGGGAAACAGGCGGTCGTTTAGCTCTCAGAGTTTGTCTGAGAGAGGGAGAAAAATATCTGTACACGACTCTCACGGGAAGAGGGTTGAATAACCAGGTTCTCAAGAGCGAAGACTAATACTCCTGGTCAGCCGCAATTTTTTTTTTTTTCAGATACTACTGAATAGGAAACTTGAGATTCGCATTCAATTGGTTTGTACGAGAGTCTTTTCTTAAAGGTTGGGTGACTGGAGTGACAAGTTATGTCACGTGTGTGTGCTCATCCCCCTTGACCCCCCCCTGTCCAGCCTTACGATCGTTTGCACCCCGCTTGCTCCAGTGAACAGCCGGGTCAACTTGGAGAAATCTAGGATTCTAGCCCGGTCTGTTAGCCTAGACGCCAGAGATCTATAAATCTATCTACCAGCAGCTACAATGTTCAAGTTCATACCCAGATCCATCCAAACGCGTCGGTGTCGCGTGCCACCACTGCCCACCAACGGCTTCCGCAGTCAAGGAAGCAAGCATTACTCAACGAACCGCCCATTCCGACAACCAAGTTCAAGTTCAAGAAAATACACTGCGATAACCACAAGCCTAATCAGCTCAACCGGCCTCTGGTGGCTCATAACATCATCAGCAACAACAACCCCTCAGGACTCCGTGCCAAGTCTCGACCCCGGAACCAAGCCGCTTCCAGGGGCCGCCGGTCTGTCACCAGAACAAGTCTCCGCGATCCTCTCAAAAGACGCATACTCGTATATCGTCCGCACCATCCCCGGCGTGGATCGCTACGACGGCGCACAGGTTGCGTCCAATTCGCCGTGTGAAGACCAGTTCGTGCATGGGCAGTTTCCCTCGCCAATCACGTTTCCATCGAGCCATGATTCCAGCCACTGGAATGGCAATGAAAGCCACTGGATGACATGGGGCGTCTTCGACGGCCATCTCGGTCCACAAACAGCTGACGTGCTCGCTCGCTCGCTCCTAGACTCCGTATCACGCAGACTTCGCGGGTTACAGTCACTGAACGAAGGCTCCGCAATCAGCAACGAGGCGATTCAGCGCGCGATCTCCCGCGGCTTTGTCGATCTCGACGAGAAGATTTTCACCACGGCGCTGTCCGCAGCAGAACCATCGAATACGGAACCCCTCGCGACGAAGATCCGGAAGATGCAGCCTGCTTTCGCGGGCTCCTGTGCTCTTCTTACTCTTTTCGACCCGGTGAGAAGTACGCTTCATGTCGCATGCACGGGCGACTCGCGTGCTGTGCTTGCTCAACAATCACCTGATGGAACATGGACCGCGACGCCGCTCTCAATCGACCAAACAGGTTCGAACGAGGCCGAAATCTCTCGAGTAAACGCCCAACACCCGGGCGAATCCTCCATCGTGCAAGGCGGCCGCGTGCTGGGACTGATGGTCTCGCGGGCGTTCGGCGACGGGCAGTGGAAGTGGCCCGTGAGCGTGCAACAGGAGCTCCAGACTCGATTCGGAGGGCCGGGGCTGTTGAATCCGAAATATAACGTGCAGACGCCGCCGTATATCACCGCGGAGCCCGTGGTTACGAGTACGAAGCTCGAGCCTGGGCGAGCGAGCGTTTTGATACTTGCCACGGATGGGCTGTGGGATATGGTTTCGAGTCAGCAGGCTGCGGAGCTTGTGGGGGGTTGGTTGGATGCGCAGTTCACTGGGCGGAAGGGGGAGGGAGTGGATAGGGGAAAGAGGGTGGAAGGGCCGTTTGATTTTGGGCAGTTTGCTAAGGGGGTTACTTGGCGCTTTGCGGAGGAGAGGACGAAGGTCCAGGATGAGAATGCCGCTGTGCATCTTATGCGGAATGCGTTTGGGGGGAGTCACCATGAGCTGATCGCCGGACGGCTGGCATTTGAGGCGCCGCATTCGAGGAGGGTGAGGGATGATATGACGGTGCAAGTTGTGTTTTTCAATACAGAGAATCTGGTGAGGATTACGGATACTACAAGAGATGGAAATAGGGATACCAAATAGAGATGGTGATTAGGCAGTATTCATCTATGTAGCAAGAAACCAAAAGACATGATCGCGCAAGCACCGAGCAGCCTCATCCCAGGCATCAGACATTACCACCACCAGCAACAGCAACATTCCCAGAACCATCAATCTAAGGCCGATTCTTCAACCCGCAATTCTCCCTCGCAACCTCCGTCCAAACAACATTCACCCTGCCCAGCTCCTCCGCCCGGTTCCCCGTAAGCTGATTCATCGCCTGCACACCGACATTAAACCCCCCCGGCGCCGCATCAACCGCCGTAACAAACATCGAATTCGTGGACCCCGCCGCAGACGTATACTGAATCTGGTAGCACGCTCCGCACTTGTTGGAGCCCCACCCGGCGATCGTGGGCGCGCCGCCGATGCGGAAGAATGAGGGGAGAGAGCCAAAGGTGGTGTAGCCTTCTGTTACGAGGCCGAAGTCGCCGTTTGAGCAGGCGACGGTGTTGAGTGAGGTGGCGCCCACGTCGAATTTCGGGTCGTAGGAGAGGGTTGAGGTGCCGGATGGGAACTGGCGGGCGGCGAGATTGGGGTTGGAGGAGGGGGCCGCGAGGGTGAGGGCGGGGAGTAGGGAGAGGAGGGTGGTGGTGAGCTTCATTTGTGGTTGTTATGGGTGGATTTGTTTAGAGTCGATGGTTGTTCTTGTAGTGTGTTGTAGAGCTGATGACGAAGATGAGTATGGCGATGAAGAGCAGAATCAACCGGACAAACGAGGGTATTTATACCCCTTGACCACCCAGGCCTCCCACCAGAAAGAAATCCCGAGAATACCACCTCATCGCCTGATCGCACTCCAACAGCATTGCACTGTACTCTGCAACGAAACCCGAGGAAACCCGCATATGCAGTCCAGCCGCCTGACTGTGCAACCCGATCTCATGACGAGACCAAAAACTCGGCGAGTGCAGCCAAAATAGAACCCAAGCGGGGTGAGATACGGCCAGTCCGTCCGTGCCAGAAACACGATCAATGACAGCGCCGAGCAAGTGAGACACTGCGTAACTGGATCGGAGTATGATCGACGCGGTCGGCACTGGGGAGCATTGGGGCAGTGTTAGCGTGCAGGCGGGCGCAGCCCAGTCGGGAGGCGGCGCTCGGATGTCGGATGAGACATGCTTTTTTTGGGGCGCGGGCTAGCCAAATAGCGGGTGTGATCGACGGAAAGTAGTGGGGGAGCGAGACATGCATGATGCTGCTGGAGTCGGATATCAGGCGGCCGGTGCAGCGGTATAAGACAGATACTGCTGCTGGCCGGGTTGATTTTTAAGAGTCGCTTTTGAGGTAGAAGGGCAACAAAAACATCAGCTGAAAATCAGGTAAGAGAATGTTGCTGCTGCGTTTACAAGGCCGGCCACGTGATTGACCTTACAGTACTCTGTATGTACTTGGTCACACAGCACGCAGGGATAGTGTCATATTTATTTGTTGCCACAGTATTTTAGGAAATCAAGTACCCATGATATCACTTACCACACCGATCAAAGAGGGCAAGATTGATAGGTATGGCAATTCAAGACCATGGGACTAATCTCAAGTTCTCTCATGTTGGAAGCCCCGCCTATCACTCCTTTTTTTTCCATGGAAGGTTCTAGCACACATGTCTTCTCTCATGATATTTAGCTATATCCAGTGATTCTCTAGCTAGATGGCTTTATTATTCCGACATCCATCTGACACACATCTGAATGTTTGGTCATGGCTGAGTTCTCTGCTGGAGCCGTAGCGCGCTAGGTCATCTCAAGATATGAATTCTTAGACTTGTAGACCTCTCTTCTACTTGAGTTGTTAGATTTGCACAATGTAATAATGCGCCCCTTATGCTTTCACTAAGATAAAAATCACTAAGATAACCAAGCAGCTCACTAGAGGAAACTAAGAGGCAAAGAAAATTATTGTAATAGCTTGACCATGAATTATATATAGACAAGCCGTATGCTACCCCAAGTTAATCCTGCTGATGCGTGAATTAGGGCTCCGCCTCATAATGCCCGGGCGCCCGCCATATCTATACTCCTGTGGATATTAATTTCTACATGAGAGGGCTTTGCTGGAAACGAATGATACTCTTTGAGGACATGATCTATGCTTGCTTGACGCCCAAGAGTAGCACGCACCTTGTTATTGTGGTTTTTACTCCAATCTCACATAGTGCTGATCAATGCCAGGGATCTCATCCGTGAAGAGCCTGGAAGGGGGAGTATGTCATACTACCACTTCCATATAATAAGTGTCAAACCTGCCTGGGGTACCTTTCTGTCCCCTTCCATCAACGTGATATCAGGTGCCTGATGTTGGATTTTAGTGCTTATGAGGAGTGCGCGTAATAAAGACTTAGATATATAAACAGGGAGCGTTGCAAACCTATTAATACACTAACTAATGAGACCCTTGTCATGGCCACCAATCATGATAGTGTTAAATACGTCTATACACAAACATCCAAGATAGCAAGTGACCTACTCTCTATTATATAGTCTATAAAGCCCGGGGATACATTTCACAGTCTTGTATTTTGGCCTGTCAGAATAAATCTCCAAGCAGTGGATATAAGCAGGTTATTTATACTGTCAATTGATACTTCGGGAACCAGCATTAAAGAAGAAAGATTGTTATCACGCATGAGCCATCCTTTATTAGTAGCTTAGTTATGGGGCCCTATTACTACTATTGGCTATGGCTACGGCCCATGATCTAGTTAGGGATGTAGGTGGGGTGGTTTTAATCTATATTTAAAGGGCTATCTATGACTTCCTCATGTAGCTTTTTATTCTATTCGCGTAGGATATTCTAGTCGCGCTTAACCTCCTCTAACTTAGATTTAGTTGATTTAATAAGCTTGGTTTAGTAGTTAATATTATCTTTAAGCTCATAGGTAAGCTTCTATACCTCTCTAGTAGTAATCTGGCTGGTACTCTTACTAGTAGTATGGGTTTTACTATTCCACGTTCTTCTTCTAATAATTTGTTTGCGTTAATTACTATTCAAGTCTCTAGGAGTCCTTGAATATGGTGCTTGCATGAGTTTCTTGGGTGTTTATGGGATAGGGTTTGGGCCCTTCCACTGGTGGCGCCGCCATTGGCTAGGGGCACTTCCTGCTTGGGATACCACTATAACAGCATGAATTCCAGTATCTTTATTTAACAAGGCTCATCCACCTTTGAATTAGGTTGTTTTGCTCTCTGACATCATGTGTGTATAGTCTATCACGAAATCACTCTGACCTTTAAGCAAGAGAGGATTGTCTTCTAGACCCACAACCAAGGACTTAGTGAGTATGCTATAGTAGCCCACATGCTTCTAAATGAGGGGTGAAACCATACTCAGGGTAAGTTTCTTCACATGCAATACATAACAGTACAGCTTTGAAGGACCGTGTTCAATTCAGACATCTAATTATCAGCCTTACTAAGGTACATAAGCTCTGTCATTGGGTTGGGTTGAGCTGAGTTATTATGGACTGCGAGGAGGGAAAGGAGAACTATGCATACGCATCAGAACTCATCAACTGTTTCTAGTCTTTGTTCTTCTCTGTTGCTAACGGAATAGTCTGTGATCTAGACCAAGCTCTTGGACAGATGGCCCATGTGTCCTCTACATCAATGATATTTCACACTTGATCTGCGTCCTGTTGCGACTCACCACTCCTCCTCAAGCTTCCACTTACCCGTCCAGTGATTGATCCATTTGCGGCCTCAGCCTGAGCACCAGTTTGATTCTCCCCACTCTCAGCCTGACCATCCGATCCAGCCTGTCCCTGGCCCTGACTCTCCTTCCGACGAACATGCTTCTGATACACCCCAAACGCAACCGACCAAACCGTCGAGATAAGCCCCGTCAACCCAACAATCAGCGGAATCAACTGACTCGAGCTTCCAATCGGCGAACCACTGAGATCAACGTCATTCCCAGCCAAGATCCTCTCCCCAAAAATAATGGTTGTGATCCCCGCGGGCCCGAAAAAAATAATGAAGAAGATCCGGAAGAACCAGCGGTCGAACCGGTCGGACTCATCGTAGGGGAGGTCGAAGGCTGCGGCGCTTGCGTTTTGCTGTTGCTGCTGCTGACCACCACCACCACCACCACCACCACTCTCCTGCCCCTCAACTCTGGCTTCGCCCTCCTGTAACCCCTCCGAGTTTGAATCCTCAGAACGTGCATCCAACCCCGCCGCGAACCTGACAAACGCCCAACCTACCAAAAAACACCCACCGAGACAATACATCACAGCCATAAACCTTTGAAAGCCAATATACTGCTCATTAAACAGATCAAAGTACGCATACAGGAACGTCCGCGCCTCACACCCCTCCCGCCTCCCCTGCTGCGTCCTCGAAAACCACACCCAGGGCTGCACAAGCATCACGAGCCCCATAACACACATGAAAAACGCTGCGCCCGCGCGATCCTGGGTATCGACTAGACTTCTGGGTAACAGAATCAGGAAGGGCGCCCACATAACCATGGGGACAACGAGCGACCACTCCAGAATTGCAAAGGAGCCGTTGAGTGTGTTTCGGATGAGGATGGCGAAGATGGCAAGGCTGATCACGGACACGCCCTTGCGGGCGTCGCGGACGGCGGAGCTATTGTCGAAGGCGACGGCGAGGAGGCCCGATGCCCAGGCGAAGTAGTAGCCGAGGCGGACGCCGATGCCGTAGACGTCGCCGTCGCCGAGGATCGAGCAGGAGGCTGGGTCGGGGACGTATTCGGTTATTTGGAGGGTTGGGTGGGGGAAGAAGATGAGGAGGGTGGTTATTGTGGTGAGGAGGGGATGCATGAGCGTCATCATTGCTGATGGTGTGTGTCTGTGGATGATTTATTACGCGTACTCCGTAAGGATACGAGACGAGGCTGAAAATGCCAAGACTGGGAGCTCTACCTCGTCTTTACTCGAAGTAAGGGAGGAGTTGCTGCGAAAAGGTGGCAAGAAACGAGCCTATATACCAACAGCGGGAGGCTCTGGCTTGCTACCGCACAATCCACCATCATCTTCCGTGAAGAACGCACTGTCCGGCTACGATGAACAACAGGAAGTCTCGGAGGCAAGGATGCAGCAAACATCTTTGATAACATCCAATCGCTATCTCGAGCTCTGCATCTTGTACCACCCCTGGTCGTGTTACACGCTTAGCCATTCGTTAGTCTCCGCTGGGATTATCTCCGTGCTTCAGCCGCGCGTGGCTGGCTGAACATGACAGAAAACGGTCAGGAAAAATCAGATGCCCTGCCTGGAGAATTCTGCAGATGAGGCTTGGAAACGAACACTATCTTCTGGTAAGGTTGTATCCCTCGAATTCCGTCAAGACCAGTATGGACTATCCGTTCGCAGCGCGGTATCCTTATCGAAGCAGTAGCAGGGCCAGAAGAGGGCGAAACGCTCAGCCTCAAGCGATATGCGCGAGAAAACCAATGGGAAAGTGATACGTGGCGCCCATATGCATCGACAGGGATACCGTGTGGAAAGGGCGCAGGGAAGAACCAGTGAAATTGGCGTTTTTCTGGGTTGGAGTCGATTGTCAATCTGGTTGGGTTTCTCGCGCCGTCGGAGGTTTCAATCACTTGTTAAAAGTCGAACACTGAGCCTGAGTTCTTTGTTCAAGCGCCGTGACTGAAGCATCTCGTCCTGCGGCGCTTACAACAAAGGCAAATTTTGCAAGAGTTTTTCCAAGAACAGACAATGCATTGAAAAATTCTAGACTATTCTTGGTGCCATTTCTTAGGATACACTGAGTTTGCAGCGCGTTGTGCGTCTCTACTCACGTGGTTATTCATCGGAGTGGGTATCATGAACGAAACTACAGACGTGCGAGCGCGGTAAAGAAGATCTAAAACCCAGGCGATTATCTGTAGAAAAGAGAGAAGGGGATATCGGGAGAGGACATCCAGCGCGACCTGATCCGCCACAGGGGCCGTTTGTTTTGTCCGCGGTATCTCTAACGGGGCGAGCGGTGGTGGCGGCTGTTTCCAGGTTGGGGGTGTAGCAGGGTGCCGCTGAAAGAGTCAACGGCACTCTGGAGGATAGCGATGGAGGCTCACGAGACATTGAGTTGAATGAGCCCCGTGGGGTATCGACTAGTGTCGCTGATGAGGAGAAATCGGGCAGAGACGAAGGCGCTCGGGCACCCGTTGAAGGGGTATCATTTGGAGAGAGTAGAATTGCTGGCGTCGGTTCATGAGCGAGTGTCCTTTGTGGAGACCGGTCGTTCAAGCGAGCATGCGGCTTTATATGAGTCGGTAGGCTTCTTTGAACGGGTAGCGGCGTCTCCGGCCTCAACGTGGTTGTTGTCGCCTCGCTCTCGGCAGAGAAAGACCCGGGAAGAGCCTCTGGGGTCTCCACGGGGACGTTGAGAAGATTCTCCCGCTCCATTGCGCTGGGTAGCTCCATAGCAAGCAAATCAAGGGGACGGTCTCGTTCCAAGACCGACTTGGGGTCAACCAGAGTATCGCTCTTTCCCTGGTCAGGGTCGACCGGACTGCGGAACCGGAACCACCGCGCTTTCTTTTCACGGAGCCGGTCTCTCTTCCTCTCTAGATGGCCATCGATCCCAATTCTCATTATGAAGGGTTGCCCGCTGTGGCGCAACACGAAAGCCGTATGGATCACGGGGGTCCGATTCGAGCGAAACCCCTCTTCGTATTCTTTCAGCTCCCATTTCAATAGCTACGGACACCGGCAGTGGTTTAGATCAGCCACCCAGAAGTGGGACGGCCGCAATGACGAGCTGGTTGATCTAATCACGGAGTATAAGAGCATTCTAATCGTCGCTATGCGCCGTGAGATCTCAGCCAGCTCTCTCAATGGAAATATCTCATCCGTCCATCCTCAAGAGGGCAAATGGAACGCATTTGTTATGTATGTAGATCACTATTATGGAATCATGTATAAAGCCAGCCGTGCATAACCACGGAAGATCTCCATGGAAAGCCATGGAACCGCCTTCGGGGAACCAGGAAACTCCTGTTCGTGGTCCCTCCACGGACGCCGTGTGTCATCAATTTCCCCTGTCTGTCATCCACGTATCTGTGCCTTGCAGCTCATACAGCGGGTGGTCACGCACAGTACATTTCATATTGTCTGATGAGACAGAATAGAACATCTGTGTGGCTAAGATCTTTGTTATTTGCCTGCAGCTGTTGCTGCTGGTAAGCAACGGCTGTTGAGGCAGTGTAGGGTGTGACGCTTGACCAGATATTGCTAACTACAGGAGTCCCGTACCGCTAAGAACAATAAGGCCGAGCCCACACAGCCCTGAAAACGATGACGGTGCTTATCAATACGAGTCATGGCGATGGGACGAGTCGCCACAGTATGCACCCACCCCCGGAGACTTCAGTCGTACCCCCTCCTCCCTATCTAAACCTAGCTTTATCAACGCTGATACTCTATCCCCTCTTGAAGACCCCGCTCCTCACTCGAACACCTCCTGAATAGATAAACTTCCACCACTCCAATACGGAGATTAGGTGGAAGGGAAGGCGTATGATGAGGATCCACCAACGTGTATTCACTACTGGATTGAGTGGAAGGCTACTCTAATTGTATAGAGTTGGTTTTACCTTCAAGTGTTCCAGGATAGCAGTACGTACTGTAAAAGCCAGAGCTAAGAATGTGCCATGGCATATGTAGAAGCACATTATCCCGGCGGCGGCGTCTTGACGCTTACCTCGCCAGCTCTAGAGACGCCCATTTACAAATCGGAATTGGAAAGTGTAGCCCCGCGAGTAGTAGATTGATCATAAGCCAGATTAGATATAAACCACTAGTAGAGCCAGAGCCAGAGGCAGCAGCAGCCGCTATAGCAGCTATGAAATGGATTCAATACCTGAGATTGATTGTAATCAGCGGCGGGGCAGACACCTGCTGCGAGGGGTTGAGTTGGGAGAGCTTCCCGAATGGGTAACGTTGCCCACCCCAATCTGCCCCGCGCAATGGGGTCCCATCGCTCACCTACAGATACCTGCTTTGCAAGCGATGACTCCAGCATAACCTGGTGCCTACATATATATACTCCTGCTCATTGCCTGCGTAGTTCTAACATACCTTGCCGCAACATACCTTTCTGCTTCAACCGCTATTCGATCCCATACGAACCAGACCCACATGATGCCCGATTTCTCCGGCGTTTCTCTCCAGGGCAAGACAGCCATTGTCACCGGCTCTTCGCGGTACGTACATATACGAACACGCATTCACGTCATCCTCGCTTGGATTCACGACGCCCAATGGCTAACGCTACATGAATCAGAGGCATCGGCGCAGGCATTGCCCTGCAACTCGCCAAGCGTGGCGCAAACGTCGTGGTCAACTACGTCTCCGAGGGTAGCAGGCAGCGCGCAGAGAAGATCGTCGAGCAAATACAGCAGGAGGCAGGAACCAAGGCGATCCTGTGCCAGGCGAGCGTGATGAACCTCGAGGAGATTCCGCGGCTGATCGAGGCCGCTTTGCGGATTAGCAAGAATGGGAAGATCGATATTCTTGTTCACAAGTACGCTGAACTAGCTGCATTGCCCCTTAAATGACCCAATGACCGGGACTGACCCTGACACTGACGGTGATTATCCAGCGCCGCCCTCGGCGAAGAATCCGACCTCAAGGACCTCAAGCTGGAAATGTACACCTCCCACTTCGACACCAACGTCCGGGGCCCGATCTTCCTCACGCAGGCGGCCCTTCCCTACCTCCCCCGCGGCGGGCGCATTGTCTTCGTCTCGTCTGCCGCTGCGCGCCTAGGCGTCGCAGGCCACACAGTCTACGCGCCAACCAAAGCCGCCAACGAAGCCCTCGCCCGCGTCTGGGCCAAGGAGCTCGGCCATTCGCACGGCGTTACGGTCAATTGTGTGAATCCGGGACCTGTTGCTACTGGTAAGAGAACCCCACCACATGGACTCTCTCTACCCCTGCTGTTTTTCCTCCCGTGTTGCTGATGAATCAACGGCGACAGACCAGTGGTACCAGTCCGATGAACAGTTCCTCAAGGACATGCAGCCCATGATTGAGGCGACGCCTGCGGCGCCGCGGGTGGGTGAGGTTGAGGATATTGCTCCCTTGGTTGCGTTCCTGTGTACGGATGATGCGAGATGGACGACGGGGTCTGTTTTGTGCGCTAATGGTGGGCTTTACAACTAGATTGGACATGTGAGAAGATGGAAACATGGAATGACATGGCCATATAGCATTAGGATCGCAATTCGATCTGTGTAGTAACTCACCGTTTCCTCTTTCAAATGGAAGAAATTGTCATCCTGTACTGTAAAGAATATTTGGAGAAGGTCTTGAGGTTGCCGCATGTAGACAGTATGACGTACTTACGAAGAATCATAGCCAACATCGTGAGTTGTGAGAGGGGTTCGCTTACTGGGGGCAGAGAACACTAGTAAAGAGTTACATAGGCTACTACTGAGTTATACATATATAATGGTAAACCCTGATCCCATAACAATCTTAACACACCATTGATTACGCAGCAAGAGGGATATAACTATAGAAACAGCTCGACTCATAACAAAATGATTGATGCAAACTATACACAACGTAGGTCTAGCTAGCCAAAATCCCCAACTCAGGTGTGCCCCTGGCCAGCACAAGAAGTTGGAACCATTGGTCTGGCATACTCCAAGGAAAGCCCTTCACAAACGCGCATCCCGCTCTGGATCACTCGCCGGATTCGCCCCCTGAATCCCCAGCTCATTCATCACCGTATCGGCCGCAAGCCCGCCCTGCTCCATCGCCCCCTCGATGAACGCCCGCCACCCCATCGCCCAGTCCGCATTCGCCATGAGCACGTTCCCATGCCGCTTCTGCAGCTCCGCCAGATACTTGGTTAAGAACCCCGTGCGGTACCACGCGGGCCCCGCCTGCGAGTACGGATCCGACAGCCAGTCGTGGAAGAGCATCTTTTTGATCTTCATCGGGTGGAAGCGCTGCAGGGCCGTCTCGAGGCGCTCGGGTTCCTTGAGAGGGTCGAGTTTGCCCCGGTTGTCGCCGGCGAACGAGGTGATGCGTGTGCTCTTTTCGCCGGCGCAGAACCCGTCGCCGTAGATGTAGAGCAGGTCGCCCGGCCAGGTGCAGCCGCGCAGGCCGCGCAGGTCGCCTTCGACTTCGGCGTGGACTTTGGTGAGGTGGTTGAGGTGGCCGATGCGCATGGCTTCCTGGCGGAGTGGGGAGAGCGGGGGGTCGAAGTGGATGGTGTGCAGGACGGAGAGGGGGATGGTGTTGACGACGCGGCGGGCGCGGAAGGTCTTGTTGGTGGTTGTGTCGAGGGTGACGACGCCATGCCGGTCGATGATGGACTTGATGGGGGTTCTAAAGGAGTACTGCAGGCCGAGGCGGACGGCGTCGTCGAAGATCTTGCGGGCAAGCGCCGACTGGCCCTCGCGGATCTTGTACAGAGTCCACACCTCCTCGAACGTCTCCGGGGTGAAGCCCTGGAGAGCCTGCGCGCGGAGCATCTCGAGATAGCCCACGTCCTCGACGGTGCCGGCGCACATGTGGGGGACCAGCGATTCCAGCAGGGCGAGCTCGTCCGCAGACAGCTCGTCCTTGATCTGGTCGATGCGGTCGCGGCAGGAGATTTGGTCAACGGCCTGGATCTGCTCGAAGGAGACGCGCTGGTTGCCGAGGGATGAGTACGGCAGGGGGCAGAGGAGCCGGCCATCGAGGCCATCAATGTTCATAAACAGCTTCCAGGCCCGCTGCGTCATTGCACCAGCCTCCTCGAGCGAGAGCTTCCGCGATCCGGAGCCCGTGTCCAGGGTGAAGTAGGCGCAACCGCCATCGTCGGTGCGGGTCATCTGGACAGCGTCTTGCAGGCCATAGCGCTGCATCTCGGTAAAGAGGCGGCCGTGGACGTGCGAGACCCAGGTGCCGCCCATTTCATATGTCGTCCCATCGACCTCGGCGGACCAGGTCCGGCCTCCAATCCGGTCGCGGGCCTCGAGAAGGAGAGTCTTTTTCCCTATATCGCCTCCGTATTAGCATGCCATCTCCTTGTGGTCGCTCGCAATCAACGTACCGGCCTTGACGAGGTCCCGAGCAGCAATCAGGCCCGTGTACCCAGCGCCAACGACAATGACATCCCAGACTTTGCCCGCAGCAGCGTCACGGATCTTGGTCTCGGGGAGAATCACACCATACGTGCGAAGGCCCTGGGCGAGGCCGCCTTGTTTTGTGTAAATGTACCCGTCGTGGGAGAGGTTGGCGCGATACGACATGGTGGATGAAGAACTGATGGTGGGAGAAGTATGAGGGACTCTCGATGGGAGCGTTGGTTCTCTTGCGGCCAAAGCACCGTTATAAAACTTGGTCGCGCTGCAGATGAACAAGACTTGATCCGTCTCGCGGGTCTGTCTGCCCAGCTTCAGCGCTACATTGATAAGCAGACAATGGATCGACCAGGTGGAGGGGATGAGAAGCACGCAGCAGCTGAGCGAGTTTCTCAATCGAGAGAACTCGCCAGCTATGCAACTACAACCCCCGCTTCATGGGCTGGTTGGGGGTATTGCCCGATGTGGTAATGCGCCCAGCGATGACCCCCGCGTGGACGAGTGCCTTTGAAAGAAAACCAAAAGACAACAGATGAGAACAGTGGCACTGGGGCCCATTGACTCCAACAGATCGACTCGGGCAACTCCAATCTATCCTCTTCTAATCCGAGGTTCGTCTTCGCCACCTCCTACTCGATCCAGAAATGTTGCACGCTTTCACCGAGCGCCATCCTGAACTCCACAATGCGTACAGTTCCAGCCCTTGGCACTTGTCCTGGCATTGCTTCCCATTCTGGTCTCTGCTTCCCTGGTGGCATCATGGGCAACTTTGCAGGCAGGTATATAAGCCGGTATCGAAACAGCTCTCAAGCACGGAATCTACCAACCAGCGTCTTCTATTTCGTCTTCAATTCTCACCCTGCGCTTTTCTTCCTTGTGTCAACTGCACGATGCCCCTTTCAGCCTTTGTCCCCAACCCCCACCCTCTAGACCCGTTGCATGTGGGGGAAATCAAGACTGCAACGGCCACGATCCTTCGCCATCTTGGTATCTCACGAGACGACGTCCGCTTCAAGGTCATTGATCTCTACGAGCCCTCCAAGGATGAGACCTTGAAGTACCTTGCACAGAGCGGGTCTGCCCCTGATCGGCGAGCACGCGCCTACTTTCAGCGATCAAAGACACCCGTCCTTTCGATTGCAATTGTAAATATCACAAAGGGTGTCGTGGAAAGAAGCTACGATGCCCCGGACTCCCAAGGCCCCGTTGACTGGGTCGAGTACGATCGGATTCACAAGGCGTGCCTCTCACACCCTGCGATCCTCGCAGAGGTTGCCAAGTTGAAACTGCCCCCAAAGTAAGCATGCCCCAGGTACTTAAAGAAGTTCACTGACCATCTTGATTAGTTCTCGAATTGAGAATGACCCCTGGAGTTTCGGGACGGATAACCATGAGGAACGTCGCCGGCTCTTCCAGTGCTACATGTATCTCGCCCTCAGCGACGATCCCGAGGCCAACCACTACTCCATTCCACTCCCACTCGCCCCCATCTTCGATGCTCATACCCTCGAGCTAGTTGAGCTACAGCGCCTCCCCACCGGCGCCACCGACGAGCTTGACGAGGAGACCCAACCCTGGGATCCCACCAGTGCTGTTGAGTACAGCGCCGACCTTTTAGGCCCCGATGCATTCCGCAAAGATCTCAAGCCACTGAACGTCATCCAGCCCCAGGGGCCTTCCTTCTCGATCCAAGGGCGCCATGTGCAGTGGCAAAAGTGGTCGTTCCAACTCGGCTGGAACATGCGCGAGGGACCTGTCCTCAATGATGTCCGATACGACGGGCGCTCTCTGTTCTACCGTGTCTCCATGAGCGAGATGACGGTCCCCTACGGCGACCCCCGCTCGCCATACCACCGCAAGCAGGCCTTTGATCTGGGCGATTCAGGATTCGGCCTGACATCCAACTCCCTGAATCTGGGCTGCGACTGCCTGGGACACATTGCATACTTCAACGGGATCCGCGTCACGAGTGCCGGGGAGCCCGTGATCATGCCCAACGTCGTCTGCATGCACGAAGTCGACGACGGGATCGGCTGGAAGCACACCAACTGGCGCAATGGCAAGTCGTCTGTCGTGCGCGACCGCCAGCTCGTCGTGCAGTGCACGGCCACCGTCGCCAACTACGAGTACATCCTCGCCTTTGTCCTCGACCAGGCGGCCAATCTCCACGTCGATGTCCGCGCCACGGGCATCGTATCCACCATGCCCATCAAAAAGGGCGTCCAAGTCCCATGGGGAACGGTCGTGGCGCCCGGTGTCCTCGCCGTCAACCACCAACACCTCTTCTGTCTCCGTATCAACCCTGCGCTGGACGGCCGCAACAACACAATCGTCTACGACGACTGCATCCCCGTGCGAAACGAGCCACAGCTCGACCCCTTTGGGTGCGCGTTCAGGGTCAAACAGACGCAAATCACCAAACCCGGCGGCTACGATCTGGACCTGACGCAGAACCGCACGTTCAAAATCCTCAACGAGTCTCACATCAACTCCATTGCCGATAAACCCGTGGGCTACAAGCTGCATCCTGTACCCAGCCAGATGCTGATGATGGGGCCGGAGACCTTTAACCTCCGGCGCGGCGTCTTCTCCACGAAACCAATCTGGGTCACCGAGTACCGCGACCATGAGCTCTGGGCGTCGGGGGAATTTACGAACCAGAGTCGCGAGGACACCGGGTTAGCAGAGTGGGCAGTGCGCAAGGATAATATCCGGGACAAGGATGTCGTTCTCTGGCACACCTTTGGGGTAACGCACGTTACTCGGACTGAAGGTATGTTGTCGGCCAGCTGTATCACCAGCTGTATCACCAACTATATCAATGGTTTAGAAATACTAACCTGGCCAATCATTTAGATTTTCCCGTCATGCCAGCAGAGAAGATGACCGTATCTCTAAAGCCCGTCAACTTCTTTGACCTGAATCCGTCCAACGATGTACCGCGCTCCAACCAAAAGGACAACAAGTCGACTCTGCATCAGAACGATACCTCGTGCTGCTCTGCTCGTCCCTCTCGGATCTAGGCAGGTGGCTGTTGTATCCTGTTTCAATTCTGCTAGTGTTTCGATAAAATCTATGTATATACTACAAACCTTATGAAGGATATCAATCAGACTTCAGGTTCTCGCCCTCTATGTACTAGTACTTGGTTCCTCGAAAGGAACCCGAAACCCACCCAGATCTATTGTCCAGCTCACTGGGTTCTTCCGGAAACATAACATACGCTAAAAATCAAGTGTAGCAACAGCAAGCCCGTCTTTGCATCTATGCAGATATCATTATCATTTTAGCAGTGGGTTCCTTGCGACAAATCCATGTACCCAAGTAGACTGTATTTTTAATCTCTAGACCCTTCCCTCTAGCTGCCCCAAGTATCTACAATATATATATCGTCTCTGACCTAGCTACTCTCTTTGAAATCAAATCATATCTCCACACTCACTCACTGACTCACTGACTCACTCACTTCCCCCTCGACCGCAAGAACTCAACCAACCACCTATTCCGCGTCTCAAACGCCTGCCTCCCGAGCCCACACTCGTAAAACAAATCAAACCCATGCACGCCCCCACCCCAGACGTGCAAATGCGCCTGGACACCGCACGCCCAGAGCCTGCTCGCATACGCAATATCCTCGTCCCGGAATGGCTCGCCCGAGGCTACATCTATGTATGCCAGGGGCAGGCTGGATAGGTCCTTTGCGCGCGCGGGGGCGACGTAGGGGCTGACTTTCTCTCCTCCTCCTCTTTCTTCTTCTTCTTCTTCTTGTCTCCTGGGCTCTCGGCCCAGGATGCACGACCACGCGTACCGGTCCCAAGCCGTGTAGAACCCGCGCCCGTTCTCGAATTGCAAGCACGAGAGGGTGTCGCACCGGTCGTCGAGCATCGGGCACATGAGCAGCTGCGCAGCGAGTTCAGGTCCATTCCTGTCCCGCGCCATGAGTGCCACTCCCGCAGCGAGTCCCGCCCCCGCAGAGACTCCGGCGATGATCAGCTGCCGTGGGTTAATCCTGAAGGAGTGCAGGTTCCCAGAGAACCACAGCAGCGCCGCGTAGCAGCCCTCCAGCACGTCGAGGGCGGGAACCTCCGGGGCAAGACCGTACTTTACGCTGAGGACGACCGCGTCGAGCTCTTTGACTGCGACAGTGAGGCTGCGGAGGCCCGTGTATACAGTCCCCATGACGCGGCCGCCGCCGTGGAAGAAGAGGATCCCCGGGCGGGACCCCCCTGTATCGAGAGGCTCGCGGCGTGAAAGGCTTATTGCTGCAAGGATTCCTCCTTCTTTTCCATCTGGTCCGGGTCCCGGGATAGTATGGTCTTGCACCGTGAGCTCAGAGTCGGTGAGGAATTCCTGGCTGCAGTCTTCTTCTGTGCGGCGGAGCTCGTGCAGCTCCCCGAGGGATTTTGGGAGAGGGCGGTGTTGGTTATCTTCGACTGCGACCAGTTCGGGGTCGTAGGGGGGTAGAGGGAGGCTACCAGGAGCTAAGGTTTCGGTATATGCTTGGGTCATTGTCCCGGATGTAAATGTGAATTGCTGAGGGTTCAGTTCAAGCTACGGGAATGTATTGAGGAGACACATCATATATAGTTGCGCCGTCCGTAGTACTTGAGAGCGCAGCGACTCGTCCTGTGCAGGGTTCTAGCTCACGATGCACTATCCGTACCAAAGGCTGAAAATATTTCCCTGTTGGATGTAGCATCCAGCCCCCACGGGGCCCGCTCCACAGGTAGAGTGTCTCAAAATTCCCCAGGGTTCTGTTGTAGTCAAAAGTGGCCTCTCTATTGGCAGTTTAGAGACCAATCTAGATACAGAAATGTGCTTTCTACAACCGTTGCTCCACCCAACTTTAACGCCCTGAGCTTCATGTCTCTTGCTCCCGTGTTTCAAGCAGCCTATTCAAAATCAAGCCCCCTACTTGCTGTAGTGAAGCTACTCGGAAACCATCGCCTCGGCCGCAATCTCAATCCTCATCGCTGGAATCGCCAGCATCGCCACCCCAACCGTAACCCAAGGAACCCTATGATCCGGCATCCTCTCGCGCCAAACCCGCATGACAACATCCTCATAGCGCATATCGGTCAGGAAACAGGTGAATCTGTGCGCCTGCGCAAGGCCCCCCGCGACCCCCGCAGACCGCAATGCCGCATCCACACAGTCGAAGCACGCACTCGCCTCGTCTTCGAGCGAGGTGGTGACAAGTTCCCCGCGCGCGAGATCAAAGCCTGGCTGTCCGCCTGTTACCACGAGGCTGCTGTTGGTGCGCAGAGGGACGCGAGCTACGTTGGATGTTCCGCCTGCCTGGAAGAGTTTGCCGAGGGGGCCGGGGGCTTGGAAGTATTCGATTGGTGACATGGTGAGGTCCGATGTGTGTACGGTAATTATTGGGGTGGTATATTAGAGGATAGACAGAATATGCGGGTTCAATGGATTCAAAAAATAATCAGATCGAGAGTTGTTCTGAACAGTGCTGGTTTTTTGATCGTGTGGACTATGGCCTTGGTGATTCTTTTCGTCATTCTGGGCCATGCAGCATTCAGGGTCTACAGTCTACAGAGTGTTCGCTTATCTTTCCCGCTCGTGGACCCAAAAGACGGAGATCGTCCGCAGAGGTCCTATCTCTCGTGTGGGGGCGGTTGAATCCATCACCAGATTCAAGTTCGGCGCACTTCCCAAAACGGCAACCCAGGCAGCTCACTGGGCACACCTCGGGCCCTACAGGAGGGCGCCCATGATTTGTCCAGACTACACGCAGGCCGTCTGGTCGAGATAAGGCACATCGGTGCAGGGCCTTGCCAAGTTTGGAGCAGCCGTTGGACCGAGATGACGAGTGTTTCCAATTCCGTCGAGTTTCCCTTGGATTCCGAGCTCCAGACTCCAGTGCCCCCGGGGCCAGGTGCAAGCGACTTACAAAGCTTAGCACCCCAGACTTCCATTCGCTCTCTCCACAATCGGAGTCAGGATACGACCGGGCCCCACACGTGAGATTTGGTGTTCCAGATTTCTTTAGCTTGCCGTCGTGGCAATTTGTGGAGGCCCCCGTTACTATCGAGAATCGCAATCTCATCAGAGTCCATCCCCCACACTTGGTACCTGTTCCCCGCGCAGGGATGGTCCAACCTCTGGGTCCGGTCTGTGGCAGCGTGTTTCCTTGCTCCGGTTGATCACTGCAGTACGTAATCCTGGAGTAAGAGCTTACCTTATGGGGTTCGCACTTGAGCCCCATCGGCCCTAAAGCCTTGTTGGAGTACCTTGAACTTTTTGGACTATTGTGATCAACAGGACCTCCAGACGTTGGTACTGTATATTTGACGTTATTTTTGTGGATCTTGGGGAAATGACGGGGATCTATCTCTGTGCTATACTGTATGACGAAAGTACCTACTGATCTCAACGTGGAGGTATCCAGGCAGAGTCACTCGAGAACAGGTTGAATAGATAAACTTTTCTCAGGCCCGTCTGTGGTCCACGGTCTCTAGGCAACAAGTGGCTGTATCGTCATCCCTGCGTAGAATCTCTACTACATTATCCCTTCGCGCAGCCTTTCCCTTAGGACGGTGCACAACTTCGTTCCCAAAGAATCGCGTAGTATCCATGATCCTCCAGTACGGAATATCTGTCCGTAGCTATCACCAACAATCTCTCTGCCTCGCTTGCGGGGGAGATCTATATGATCGTCCCAGACTGCATGACGCTCATCCGCCCAACTGCCGGCCGCAGCTGTGAACCTTCCCACGTTGGGATACTCAATCTTGGGGTAATCAAAGACCATCGTACAGCATATGCATGTTGTGCTCGAGTTTCCTTTGGAGCACCGGCGTAAACCCTAAAAAGTGGACGGAAGGAATCTCACCCAACTGATGGCGGATGCGCTATCAGCAGTCTATGGTGTGTTCTCGAGATAGACACGCATCAACTGCCTTCTACAACTGGGGCAACATACCAAACCAAGCGCTCTCAAATTCCAGTCACAGGAAAGGGCAGCTCAAAATGAAACCATTGGAAATCCTGCTGCGCTGGGCGGCCAAGGTATTATTTGCACATCGCCCCAGAGACCTAGGCACTAAGAAGTAGAATCACAAGGCTATGCCGGTATGGGCTCTACTTCATGGATCCGACACTTACGCGCTTTTGCTGGGTTTCTGCTGCCTTCTCCTTACTCTCTAACAGTTGCTGCTGGTTGATACAGAAACGGAGCCAGGCGTGGGCAGACTGTACCGTAGTCCGGATACTATCACGTTGGCGGCTTAGTAGATACACAGGAACCCATCACACATTAAAAGTCAATTGAAGGGCCGCAAGATATAGTATGAGCCCTAACGATCAGTATTAGTCGTGGACTTTGTGTGTCATCCTCCGTATAGTAGTATAGAATGCAGTAGAGCGTAGCGGGAACTTGGAGTCGCGCACACATATGCCAGAGTACATGGAGCAGTATATTCCTCCCCAGCCTTGTTTGTTTACTTCGTGTGGCACTGTACCTATGATTATGACAGGATCCGGCGTCCATGCGGGGGTTGCCCAAGGCCGCTCATTCGCCGGCTGCCGAGGGATATCTTCCAAGCAGAACCTCGGGATCGTTCCCGGGTGGGAAACCTTGCTCATTATGGTGATGTGCCCAACCTTTGATAATCATGCAGCCTTGCAAGGCAGAGAATCTCCGCACTTTTTGCCAATCTTTGTGCCGTATCTCCCTTCCTTATCGTCCAGCACGGGGCCAGTTGATATCGAGCCCTTGCTCCGAATACTCGCCTGCAATTGGACACGACAGGCCGACGAGCCCACTTGGCAAATGCACAACTCTGATTGGCCCCCCTCGCTTTGGGGTATCGTATCCCTGCCATGCATATAGTTACACACGATTCCACTTGCGAGGGGAATCCACATCACTAAATATCATCTCCGTTTGTTCCATCCATAATCTTCTCAATATGCCTCATACCCAGGCCAAATCACCCAAAGACGGCATGGCCACTACAGATCGCGCCAGTATCAAGCCCGGTGATCTGGAGGAGCACGACGACGATGCCATTCTCCGCGCCAACGGCCACGAGGCTGTCATGCCCCGTCAGTTCAACTGGATCTCCGCGCTGGGGCTGGGGTTTTCCATTACGAATTCGTGGATTGGGTATTTGGTAAGCTAGCAATTGTTTGCTTCTCTTTTGAAACCGAAGGCTGACTATGCTTGCGTGCACTTTCTGCTAGAGCTGCTTCGGCCAAAACTTGATATATGGAGGTCCGCAAACGTGTATCTTCAGTCTGCTGGTTGCCTTTTTCGCCCAGTGCGTTGTCGCAGTTGGGCTGGGAGAGCTGGCTTCTGCGTATCCAGTATGTCTCCTCTGCTCAAGGGGTAATGATTTGGGATCAAGCTAATAGCCGTCAGTCGAGTGGGGGACAGTACCACTTTTGCTACATCCTGAGTCCCGCACATTCGAAAAAATACAGTGCCTATGTCGTTGGCTGGATTTCGGTGCTTGCCTGGTGGACAGTCACGTATGCTGTACCTATCCTCGACTGGCTTCGCTCGTTGGAACTGACTTCTCTTCGTCCAGTTGCTCCGGCATTTCGCTTGCGGCAGTTGTCCTCAACGGTATTGTTGCATTTGTCTACCCCGACTATGCGGCAAATCAATGGCAGACCTATTGTCTTTACATTGCCGTGGCCACCGTGACTAGTAGGTAGTCCCAATTATAGTACATATTCCGGGCAACGAACTGTGACATGCTAAACAACACACAGTACTGCCTGTTCTTTTCTCGTCCAAGATGTATGCCACAGCACAGGCCTCTCTATATCTCTCGCTATCTGGCTACCTGATCTTCTTCATTGTTGCACTCGTGATGCACAAGAGTCGCATGCCGGCTAGCTTCTTGACCCAGTCCGGTCTGGGTAACAGTGGCTGGAACCATGGCACAGCATGGCTGCTCAGCATCAGTAACTCGATGTATGCCTTTGGCGGTATTGATGGAGGTGTGTTCCTTTTTTTTTCTTTTTCTTATCCCACCCGAGCAACGCTAACCTCCGTCAAAAGTCATCCATATCTCCGAGGAGATGCCCCGGCCGGGCAAGCGAATTCCCCAAGTCATCATTCTGACGTTGGCAATTGGGCTGTGCACTGCGCTCTCTCTCTTTGTTGTTCTTATGCTCTTCCAGCTCGATCTCGACGCCGTGCGAACAGCGACTCTGCCGAGTCTGGAGTTGATCTATCAAGTGTGAGTGTGTTTATACCTGAAAAAAAGTGGAACTCTTGGTGCTAATGGACCGTGTGTTGTTGTAGGACGGGGAGCCGGAACGTCACGCTAGGGCTGTTCATCCTGCTTCTCATCATCTACACCAGTAACCAAGACCGGACCCCGGGTCATGACTGATTCCTGGCTAACCACTTGAGCCAGTCTGCCTTCCATGCCAGTGGGTGACTGCCGGCCGACTTGCCTGGGCATTTGCTCGAGATGTACGTGTATTCCTCCACCGTCAGCCTTGCCAGCTGCTAACAACCCACCTACCACAAAAAAGCATGGAGTCCCCTTTGCATCCTTCTTCTCCTGCATCCACCCCACGCTCCAGTTCCCCCTCAACGCAACCGCCGCCGCATACGTCTTCACCTGCATCTACGGCCTCCTCTACCTCGCCTCCACCACCGCCTTCAACTCCATCATCACATCCGCCGTCCTCTTCCTCAACATCTCCTACACAGTCCCGCAGAGCATCCTGCTGATCCGCGGCCGCGACACCCTCCCGCGCCGATACTTCAACCTCAGCCGCTTTGGGATCGGGATCTTCGCCAACGTCTTCTCGACGCTGTGGATTGTTATCCTGGGGGTGTTGATTTGCATGCCGCCAAACTTGCCAGTCTCGTTGACGTCTATGAATTACACGCCGGTTATCTTGGTGGGCGTGTTTGTTATCATTAATGTCATTTGGTTCTTCTCGGGGAGGACGTCGTTTGAGGGGCCGCGGATTGATTGGGAGGTTATTAATCAGGCTGCGCTGTAGGAGTCTGCGTGGATTGTGGATTGTGGATTGTGCCCGGCATGATCGAGATCTCGCATACTACGTATTGTCTAGCCTGCCTGTGCTCCTGGTATATTGGCCACCTACCACGGACTACATGTTGGTCCTGGGTATTGATAGTTACCAGCATCTGCACCGCTACGGGGTATTGTCATCATAACTTTGTTACATTCTGTCTCTACAATCATTTCCTATAGTATCACAGGTGTTGGAATCATGAACGAGCGGAAAGGAAATGACATCGAGAATACGGAGTGAATCTGCATTGCCATTTCCATTTCCGTTTCCTTCCAAGCTGGCCCGATGGTTCGTTTTCTTCTCCGCGAAAAAAAACTATCACCAGCGTGAACATCCGGGGAATGCTTGGAACCTGTGCAGTATACATACATACCCAGCCAAGACTGAAGGGGTCCGGGAGCGCGAAGACCTGCCGGATCAGGCAGGTGACGCCGCTTGGAAACCTTGATGGATCCGTGGAACACAGCTCGAGCCTGGAGTGGTCACCGCATGGAATTTGGGTCCACCGCGAAACCGCCCCTTGCCGGTTCAGAGATGGCTGGCCGCTAGCTGGCTCGCTGGCACCCTTGTGAGATAAGAAACGCATCGGAGATGTGGCGACCAAGGAGTACGTAGTACTACTCCGTGCCCCAGATTCCATTTGCCCGGCCTTCCTCATGTCACCGATCTGGGATTCCGTGCCAGTCCCCGCAAAAATCACGCTGCCACCACGTCCGATCCATGCGGGCATCACAACCGTCTCGAGAGTGTAGACAGCGCAGCATATCAGACGAGCTGTCTTTCTTTCCTGTTCCGCTGTCCCTGAAACTGTCACTGCCCCTGCCCGGGACATCCACCTAGGACGACGACATATTCGGATATAATGCCGAGGCGCGGTTCGTAAGGCCACATCTACCCACCTCACCCCCTGCATGCGCCTAGTGGTTAACCGCCGGAACCAACAGATCCAGCATGCGCGACGTGCCGCGAGAAGTGCCGCCGCTGCGACCGTGCAAGACCCGTCTGCAAGCGATGTGCAACGCGCGGGCTCGAGTGCAAGGGATACCCGGAGACCTTCCAGTTCAAGCCCGTCACCGTCGCCGAACCGCGCAGGTTGGCTGCGAGGTATACTACTCGGAAGCGAAAGCTCGCGGCGCTTCAGCCTTACGAGGAGGAGTTTCCAACTACGGATGTGCATGTGCCTCTCGCCGCTGGAGATGGCGCAGTGGGTGCGGATCCTGATAGTCCATGGAACCCTGCTAGCACAACTCTCCAGCAGCGAGGGCTAGTCTCCGAGTCTTGGGATGGGGAAGTTGGCCTGTGGTCATCATCATCATCTATAGACTATAGTCCCTCGCCGCCGCCGCCGCCGCCGCCGCAGCAGGGGAACCAGATGGCGGAATTGGACGACTTGCTTTTGCAGACGCAGACACAGCGCCTGTTGGCCTATTGTATGTTCTCGTGATGTGACCGCACTATCGCCATTGCCCAAATGCTAAGTCCGCGTCTTGCAGATGACACGGTAATCTGCCCGCACCAAATCGTGCTGACCGGGAGGGACAAGAGGGAGAACCCCTACCGGTCATATGTCTTGCCATTAGCGTACGAGCAGCTCGGGCTTCTCTACGCTGTACTGGGGCTCGCGGCATGCCATGATGGGCTTCGAAATGGCAAGGAGGATCTGCGTGAAGTGGCGGACGAGTACCGACTGCGATGCATCAGCTGTCTGAGGAAGAGTCTGGAGAAAGGCATCTCGCCGCAGTCGCACGAGAATGAGCGGGATGGACTATTCGCCACGATCCAGCTGCTACTTCTGCATGATGTCAGTTCAGCTGTTCCAGTCAGTCGCAATCTGCCTTGCTGATTTCCCATCCTAGATCTGCGAATCCGGCATCTCCACACATGGCGCACACATCACCGGCGCCATGTCAATTTGCAGCCAGCTGAGATTGTCCACCACGTTAACGGACAAGGATGAGCGGGCGATTTTCTTCTTGGGCAATCTAGCATGGTCAGTCGTTCAACTCACCGTGAGGCCCGTCGGGACCTCCAGCTAACGCGTCGCCAGGCTGGATGTGATCCGATCCCTATCCGATGCAAAGCGCCTCTGTTTCTCTCCCGGACTGCGCCAGACCATCGCCGCCCTGAGCACGCCCAAATTCGAACAGGTCAACGGGTGCCCGCGCGATCTCTTCCTCATGGTCGGCGACGCGCTGGAATACGCCAAATCCCGCGCGATGGGCCGCATCGATCGCCGGCAATACAAGCAGCTCCTCCTCGGCGTGCAGCTGAGAATGTACGCATGGCCACTGTCCGACTGGGCATTTCCGGATGGCGGCGATGGTGGCGATGGCGACAACAGGAACTGCTGGGCCGCCGTTGGCGAAAGCTTCCGGCATGCGTTTATTCTGTACACGTCGCGAATGTTGGCCCCCGAGCGGCCCGCCGAGGCAGCGGTCATCCAGGACTCCGTCACGGCCATCCTCGATGCAGTCTCTGGGATCCACACCGGTCCGATCGAGCTTGTTATCCTGCCGCTGTTTATTGCGGGGGCGGACTGCATCTCCCGGCACTCGCGCCACTACGTTATACTTCGTCTTGATGGGATCTCTGCTATCTCCGGGTTTAGCACGGAGCTGCCCAAGATGTTGCTCCGGCAGGTGTGGGACGCACGGTCGAGGCAGGCGAAACGGGAGGGTGAGAATATACTGTGGACTGCGTTTGTAAGTGGCTCTGCGAGCCTTCCTGGCAGTTTCTGGCTGTGCCTCGTGGCTGACGGCTTCCAAGACAGATACGACGGAGAACGGCTTTCAGAGCGATTATCTCATTATATGAGCGGAACAAGGCTAGGTACTTTTCCGTTTCGAACATTCGGCATGCAAGGGTGATCCTCGTACTCGATTAGGTCCGGGCAGGGTACTGATTTGCTGTACTGTACAGATTCTACTGGAGAGATATCTATGTACCAGATTCTAGGCTAGCAGAGTAGACCCAGGCGACGCTACCAACCAACTGTTCAGCCTCGAACCTGAAAGCCATCCATCGACATGAGCAGCATAATATAGCATAGCAATAAAAAAAAAACCACTCTATTACCAAGGAAGAACCCCCTGCGGCCCAACAACCATCCCGGGCACCCACCCCGTCCTCCCTGCGTACAACCCTCGCAATAACCGCGCCACCAACCTCAGGCTCCGACGCCCCTCCTTAACGCATCCGCACCCCCAATCACCTCCGTCGCACAGAACCCCGGTTCCACACCTAGAACGGTAACATCCTTTAGACTCGCATGGTACTGCACCAGCAGCATATTCCGCGCGGCCTTAGTAATCCGGTACACGCTCGCATACGTCCTGCCGTGTGGGCAGTTGGGGTCCGAGTTGTATGCGAGCGAGCCGTTGGATGAGCTCACTAGGATCAGGCGGGGTCTTGTGGATCTTCGAAGAAGGGGGAGAAAAGAGTCGATGGTAGTGGGAAGAATGAAAAGTAAGTTCAAGGCCTTGCGGTTTGACATCCGTAATAAACAAAGAAAATAAAACAAATAAATAATTTAGAATGAAGATCTGTTATAAGCCTAGCGCTCAGTCCTACCGAAGATCTCTCTTGCCACGCAGATTCAGAGACTTGCTAGCCGGCCAGGTCACTCGCTGCACCTAGTCTACTGGAAAGAATATAACGCTGGATTGCCACAGGGAAGGGGACCGTGTTACCAACTCGTCCACCCCATTCCCGCAGCCCGCGAGTGAATATCCCCCAAACGATGCGCAGACTATATGTCTTTCGTCGACTGACCCAGCCAGTCCCCGATAGTTTCCTCATCATCGTCTCCAGATTTGGGACTGTTGTATGCGATTCGGAATGAGCGAGTAGCACTTTCTAGCGTGTTGCGATACTCGTTATTCTGGGCTTCGCTTTTATTATCATTATGCTCCACCGCGTGCTTATCAAACCTCAGGCAAGTGATCCGCTGTGCATTGTCGCGCCAGTTGGCCTCAGGACATACCAAAAGGAGACCGCGGTAGGGCTCGAGACCGGGGTGGGAGTGGGCCATTCCGGGAAGACGCGTGGTGGTCAAGGTCTGCGCGTGTGAGGAGTCATTATCAAGTCCCGCGCTGTGACTACCCCTTTGACTCTTTAGTTGAAATACTCGAGCATTAAAATCCTGGATGAGCGTCTTATAATCCGCTCTTGAGGCCCGCTTAGCAAGATAGTGCGTCTTGCAGTCGTCTTCGCTCGCGCTAGGGAGGAAATAAACATTAAGCTAGAAATAGAAGTTAGAATTTATCCTTGCTTCCTAGATGGCTCTTAGGAGGCCACCAAGGTCAGTGGCATCCAGTGACGGGATTACGTTAGGATGCGTAAAGTAGACGACTAAGAGAAATAGAGGTGGAAGTTTTAAGGATTTAGCGCTAATACTATTTTTAAAGACCATGAATGCTTTGTTTCCCGTGTGGTTAGTAAAGGCGATAGTATGGAGTGGTAATAAGCGAGACTTTTTAGTCTTCTTCTTCCAAGGGACTGGTTTAGGTAGCTGCTCAACGCTAGTTCTATTCTACTAGATTCCATTAGTGCGAATATTCTAGGTCTTGCGCTAGAGCCACTAGCAGGCTCCTCCTTTATAAAACTCGCAAGGCCTGGGTACATATGTACGGGCACAACTGGATGTGACGTGTAGTTAGGTACTAGCTTGTTTATTTAGCATCTAGAGACCTAAATATAGTTCTAAACTAGTGGCACCCACTCTTTCAAAGTCACCCGTCTTTTCAGAGTGCTTAATCTAGTTATAGTACAGGGCGGCCAGGATATCACCAAGTGTAAGAAGCTTAAGGGGCCGCCTGCGCTCGGCAACCATGGCTTGAAGCTCAGTGGACTGAAAGTTAGGGCATGTTTCATAGACCTAGCTAGGGTAGATGAATAGGCTCTCTAGACTCTCTAGAATAGTATCCTTTAAGTGAAATGGCGCAAGCCGCTCTGTTGTCATGCCGTCCAGAAGAATATTTAGCTGAGTATCAAGCCGTTTCATGCGTGGAAATGCCTGAAGGGAACCAAAATGGCCAGGAGTGGGTTTGTCAAGCTCATGAACATTATAGAAATCGCCGGAGCCGCCTAACCTGCGAATGCAAAGTCCTAGACGAGTACGAAAAGAAAGCAAGCATAACAGTCGACCTTACTCCACACCTTGACATGCCCCACAGAAGAACATGCGTACTGGTATCTCGCCATCGAGGAATAGGTGTCACGAGCACGGACACAAGCACGAGACCGGTTGCCTGGGATATCAGACAGTGCTCGTGTGGTCCAAGACATTACAAAGTATCAGGATGTGGCTGGATTGTGGAGAGAGCACGTTGTTCACGATGTCTCCTGGACGGTGAACTCGCACGGCTACGTCGAGTCTGAGATCCGTGTCCCTTCCTTCTACCTTGCCCCATCTTTCACCGGGGCCTCGGTCGATCAGGTAGTGCTATATACCACTGCCGAGAATTGGCTACCTAGCAGGTTCTGCAGTATTCTGCTCGCCGACTCCAACGTACCTGGGTTTAATCCGTTGGGCCACGCTGCGGGGGGCTCAAGTGCGAGGCCAGCCTGGAAACTAGGTGGAAAGAAATGGACGACGTGGGAGTGGAATGGGTTCATTTCTGGGTGGCTCTCTAAGGCGGAAGGGAGGAGAGGCGCTGCATTATTCATACGACCGTCGAGTGTTTCGCGAAGAGAAATCCGCACGGTACCCTGGTGACATCTAGTCGAAGAGCACGGTTTGGGATAAAACGTCGAGAACCCCTGGTGAGTTTCATGAAAAAGTCAACCACAATAATCTAGTTGAGTGCGCATCATATTTAGTGATATTGACTTTGCTTTTTGTCGACCCCGACGAGGCCATTACCGTTGAGATTTCAGCAAGAGTCCAACGGCCCGAGGGGTCTTGACGCGATTCCTTTGTACGTCAGACCGAGGGAATGGACGAGATGCCGATGCATAAGCTGACGTATCAAGAGTTTAGGTTTGGCCAGACACGAAACAACTGCTGAATGGCCAAATAAATTTTAGTATCATTGCGTGACCAAGCAATTGAGCTCGGCTCCCCGGTTCAAGAAGACTATATGGAATATCAAGAGTCGGGGCTCTGGTAGTTTCAGGTCTAGTCTAGCAATCTTATTGCTTATAAGCGTTTGCGTGTAGATAAACAAGAACCAGGAAGATTGAGGCTCTGTCTTGGGTGCACAAGGCCCTAAGCAAGGAAATAGCGGCAGGAATCCTCAAGACCCTTCAAATTCTCGCGGAGGACTGCAAGAAACACCCCACTGCATAGAGCATCTCTTCGTAGGAAACCGACTCCTCCTCCACATTCTCTTGCCGCATCTAAACAAAACATACCTATATCATTCATCAGCACTGGCAGGTTGATCATCCCTCATGTGGATAGCCCCCGCCCGTCCACAAAGAAATAATGCGCGGATAAGAACTAAATAAACTCACGGAAACGGCGCCATTAATGGTTGGCAAGAGCTTACTCGCGACGCCGAAGAGGGGAAACGCCGCGGCAAATGTACTTCTCATGCCACTGTTTGCGCCCAGCGCGCTGGTGGCGTAGAGCGGGTATGTGACCACGAGGAAGGCGAAGACGCCTTGGAAAACGAGGATCATTTCTGTGTTTGAGAATTAGTCAGTGTGCTCTTATGTCTGAGCAGAATGGAATACGGGAATTAGACTTTGGGGAAGGGGAGGGGACGCACCCGGTCCCCGAATGCCACTGCCCGATGATGGGGATGATCCAGGGAAGTGATGGGGTGCTTTTGAGCCTTTGGCTTGGTGTATAACCTCGGATTTCAGGGGACTTGGGGAAAGCGTCACACTGCCCATGCGAACCAGAACAACCCAAATGTAAGAAGGGGAGCGCCGCTAACAGCAGGCGGGAGCCGACTCTTTAGCTCTTGGTCTCGAGTATCTGTGGGCCCCTTCGTCTGCCTGGAGAGGTATGGGTAAATTTTGCAGCTGCTACTTGATTGTTACCAGCGGTTAGACACAGGGAGGAGTGTATTGGTGTGCTTCAACCTACAGTGGATCAATGACAACAGCGCGGACCGTCCCTACCACGAGACCTAGAAAGGCCAGTCTGGACTCCCAGTTGTTGAAGTTATATGCGTTTCAGAAGACGACCCAGAGGCACCAAAGAAGAGGTATTGCACTCCGGGCGCGAAGCGAACAGAATGCAGAGGTTGAGACACATTGGTTCCAGGAGGGAAAGCATGAATGGTCGATACAGGGAGCGTACGACCGTCTATTTAACGCACGGGCGGTCGTCAGCAATAAGCAAAACAATGGTTATACGAGTTGGCATTCTACCTTTAGTACGGATGTATCGAGATTGATTTTTACTCGGAGCTCGCAAACGCTTGTCCCCAGTCTCCATGCGCATTTTGCGGGCTTGAGCGCGCAACATCACGAGGTGGTAGGTCTCAAGAACAAATATCATAACAAGCATCGATTGAAGACAGGACCAGATGAGCGGAAAGTAAATGACCATCGCATGCCAGATGCTAGTCCATAAGGAACCATTAAGCCGGCTACTCGACCAGCGAACCACGTTGTGCCGGCAAACGGGCAGCAAGAAGATAGCCACAAAGGCGATGGTGGATCGGGAGGATCACACTGGTACAAATTAGAGCGGCTTTCGTGATGAACGTATCAGGGAAATCGGGGACGCCGTAAAAATAAACGAAGTAGGAGTTGGAGAGACGTAGGAGGGTGTTGCTTCTCTTTATGCCATCCCGTTCCATGGTGGACCCGAGTTACACGTTCAGTTCAAACAGAGAAATTTGGTAGTTGTCAGATCCAAAAGGAATCAATGCTCTGATAGACACGAAAAATTTAACGAGCTCTCTGCCATTCAATATATCTTTCAGACCCATGGTGCGACGACCAGTGTAACATCTCGAAATCATGTTTCGTGGGAGACTTTGGAAGCCGCAATGGCCATTTAGCTATGACGGTATGCTTGGGTTTCATCTCCAAACCGACAGATGTAGCAATCTGAGCCAAGCGAGCAGACTGAATAAACCTGTTGAAGATGGCATTCCTGTTCAGAAACAGATCATGCGCGCTCAGGAAATTCAGGTAGTCGGCTTTATAACACCCGTGACTCAAGTCGGCGCTATCCAACGACAAGAACTGCTGGACAGTGACCGTCTTTCGAGACAACCAATTTTTTTGGTCAGCAAAGGTCCGCATTCTGAGAGCAATATCGGGGAACATTGTTAACACAGTAGCCCTTGGATTCTGGGTTTTTGATTGCAGAAGTGGTCCAAACGAGTCAAGGGCCTCCGCTAGTTGTGGGCCTGTCTTGGCAACGCTGGCAAGCTAGAGGCTGGTTTAGCAGAGTCATCACAGGTGAGCAAACAGATGTGGTAATCCTCACATCTATACGATCATAGGCTCGCTCTTTGCCATAAAACATGCCCAAATTCGTAGGTAGGTCGAAGGCATCCATATTCAATAGAGAAATAGTGAGTTTCAAGCCCGGTAACTTCTCACAGAATTCTCTCAAAAAGCCAAGGACGTGCAGGTAAAGTTGGCCATGTATATCATTTGTGGCGCCATACGATGATTGCAAGATTTCAGCAAGTTTCCATCCATCAAGAGGGTCTGCCGAATCAGGCATGGGCCAAGACTCGGTTGTCTGGAAAAAGAGGCTGCATCCAATAAGACACGGTGATTGCCTGCTTGTTTGTGGCAAGAGGACTTACGGGTTGGGTATGTTGAACTCATCGCGGGAAGCGCCGAACGGCAACAGAAGTCCGTCTTCGCGAAATCTCATATGAGCAAGGCGCCAAGGAGGAGGAAGGCGAAACAAAGCCCTATCCACATAGTCTTGTCGGTGTGCCGCCATCGTTACAGATTGTCGAAGAGCGGCCGCCTCACTAAATGGAGTACTAAAACACCTTGCGAAGTCTGATAATATCTTTTCCCAGAAGCTACCAGGGAGGAAAGCAGTGAGGGTGACACCATGAAATGAGAATGTCCTTCTTGATATACTCGTGGGCTCTTCTCGCTCGAGGGTCAAAAGGCCCTGAAGGAGTGGGACGATCTTGGTTTGGACGGACTGCAGCAGGTCTTTGGGGAGAAAAGCGGAATACCATAGATGAAGCATAAGGACACTTGCTTCGTTCGGGGGGAAATTGAGTGCAACGAGAAGGAGGATAACGTTCCGTGCAACCACCATCTCCTCCTTGTCGTTAAGGTCGACATCCAGACAGCCTGTATATGCCTCGGGGAGAGCATTTATAGTTTTGATCAAGCTTCGCAAGTCACCACAACCTTACAACGTCAGTATTGTCTTGAGGTCCGAACACGTCGGAGAATCGTACCAGCAAGAAGCAGCACGAGATCTTGAGAAATGGCCCTTCCTTCGTTATCCTTCAATTGTAGCAAATCAATCGCCGGTACCCTTCCCCAGAAAGTCTTGGTACCGCCAAAGTCGTGCAACACAAACGGTCCTTCAAGGATTTGATTGTCGATGAAAGTCGGCACACGGTCTTCAGTGTCCCAGGACGGTCTCCAGCTACAGCTATTCAGCGGGCTTTTACAGACCTTTTTATGTATTGGCCAATGGGAGATTTGACATATTTTGCTACAGTACTACCAAGAGTCGTCAATGATAGATCTAGGGCAAATGGGAAAGCAGAGCGATAACATACAAGAACTAGGTGGCAGTCTCTGCAAGTTTTAAAGCCAACCTTGGTGCATCGCCTACTGCCGTACTTTTGGGCCATGTTGGCGCAGAAAACTTCTGACATGTCTGCAGCTGAGGAACCGAGATTGACGGGATGCAAAAAGCAAGCGCTTGCAGAAGACGTTTAGAAACGATATTCCGTCAATATTGGTAGGCTTCTCCTCCATCTTGTATTATAACCATTCTTGCACTTGTGTAGCATATTCCAGGTGACTAGGCACTGCACAAATAAAATGTCCGCGACATACCAACGAATAGAACAGTTCTTCTACTCTCGATGATAAATTCGGCTATGCAAGGAGGAGAATGATCTGCAGCGGCAACGGGAAAAGGTCAGGATAAGCAGATCTTGAGTACCTCAACAACCCTGAAAAGACACCTACCTCATAATCCTTTGGGACCACGTAAAGTCTGTGACAACTAGTAGAATAGTAGCCGGGGAGCCCGCTCTAACCTCCACAATCTTCTGTATAGCTCGCGTGTTGAGGCCCATGGAGTCCAGATTGTTCTGCTTCACTACGCAAATGTTTCGAAAATGGGGCATATGCAGGAGTGAGACAGGTATTGATGAATTCAGCTCCATCAACACGCCGATCGGCATTAACTGCGTAACTTGAGAAGCGCTGCTCCCCCCCTGGCTTCCTAGGCCGTCACAAAACAACGCGAGGCTAAGAAACTGGTGACGCGCCCTTCAGCGCGAGCTGAGTCATGAATCTTCACCCTGTAGTTTCAGGCATATCTATTATGGCGCTTAGTCGACCATAAATAAGGCTGCTAAGTGAACCACGCCACTTTCTTTCCGTCACCATATCGGCATATGCTACCACTACAGGATCAGGTAGGGAGCTTGTGGGCCAAAGTCGGACCGTTATTCTTGACTAATCAAGGTAGATCCTGAAAATTTAGAATTTAATTGGGTTCAGTCGCTTCGCATTCAGGTTAGTGGCATCTCTAACCCTTGTTTCGCATGCAGGGTGTTGCATCCCTTTAAGGCATGCAAGGTATCCTCATTCTTACGGGGCATTTTGATTTTGAATATTCCGATGAATGCAGGAACATACCATGCTGGTGCAGCGTGCAGGGGGCGTACATTCCAGTATGAGCTTCTAATTTCCGCATCCGCATGGAGGAGCATGCTGTGCCTGCAAACGGAGCTTTGATATTTCCTGGCAGGGGTATTGAAGATTCTGGAGTACACACGCAGGGGCCGGCTATCACAGTAAGGTCTGTTTGCAGGGGGCCTCAGAAGTGCACAGGGGCTTCAGGGTCTACTTTGTTCTTTGAATTATCTAGACAAGCTAGTCAGGGCGGTACTCGAGGAACCACCTTTTCCTTAATGTGATACTTATCTTTAGCTAGTCTTGTGCTCTGCTATATAATTAACGCTTGACAAGAGGGGCTCATGGAGCAAGCGATTACAAGGCTTATGGGAAAAAGAATTCTATTACCTCGAATGGAAAAGCCGCATAACAGTTCCTGCATGCTGTAGAGTGTTCCGAGCTTATCGACACACACAATCAATCACTACTTGCAATAACTAGGATCTGCAATATGCCTTCCAAGGGATTGAGAATGTGAGTTGCTCAAGGGGCGAGGGGTTACGTCAGGGGTAGAGAAATACTACAATTGTGGCATGCTAGAGCTTGGCTTCTTCCAAGGTTACGCTGCCTGCTGGGTTATAAATAACTGGTCCCTGATGCCTGCTCATCCAGAAGAAAGAATCAACAATAGATCATTTCTTCGTTCTCTCTATCCTGCATTCGTTCGTTCAAAAATCACAACTCAGCGACCCTTGCCCCTTTTACACCATGATGTTCTCCGCGAAGACTATTTTTTGGTTTGCCGCCTACGTGGCCGCAATGCCATCCATTGCTCCATCCGCGGGTGGTAAGGGGGCCGGCAATGGTGTCGACAACAAAGGGAACAGCAATGTCAAATTTGCTGTCCCCGACGACGTGACCGTTAAGCAGGGCAGCGAGAAATGTGGTGATCAAGCCCAGCTTTCCTGCTGCAACAAGGCCGTTTATGCGGGGGATACCACTGATGTTAACGACGGCCTGCTCGCTGGGGCTCTGAGCAATCTTCTTGGCGCTGGATCTGGTGCCGAGGGCTTGGGACTCTTTGATGAGTGCTCGAGACTTGACATCCCCAGTACGTGATTTGTGGATGGTAGTGAATCTGCTTGCTAACGGGTAGTAGTTATCATCAATGTTCAGGATATTTTGAACAAGCAGTGCCAGCAGAATATTGCCTGCTGCCAGAACACCGCGTCTGATGCTGTACGTATACTTTCCACTGACTAACCTACACAACTAACGTTCTATAGTCCGGTGACTTGATTGGTGTTGGGCTGCCCTGCATTGCACTCGGCGCTCTCCTGTGAGCGTCGCTTCCCAAAAAGGTCTATCCTTTGGGTCCACAACTTCGAATATATATTGTACGGCTATTTGAGGAGACAACCAACCGCCCAGGAAGCTTGGAACCGGCCACATCAGCTGTTGGCTGGGGTAGAATTTTAGCATGTTATTCTGATTCTTTTGTGTCTTGCTAAGAAACCTTATCAGGTAGACTACACCGCACCTTAATTGTTACTTTTATTTTATGTCAAAATGTAATAGCATCTACGCTGGAAGTCCAACCGAGCCTGCTGGCTGACAACCTTTGTCGTAGTTAGATAGTGTTTAGCGAGAAACATAGCAGTACCTTTTAAATCTCTTCCTAGCGCAGTCCTGGGGTCATTTGAGGCCGATTCTGTAGTTGGCACAGGTTGGCATATCAGCTGCCCTGCTCCGCTGCACTTGTCCATATAAATCAACCACCATTTTAAATAGCCAGGTATTGGTGTTCTGAATGAGGTTGAGCTATTGTTGGATGTTCTGGCTGTTTCGCCGCAGCCCAATAATGACTGGTTTCCCTGCAGCGTTTCGCATGGCGATCTCAGCAAGTGTCAGGGAAGAATCGACCGAAGCGGAACGTACTGTGCCGTGCCGAGTCTATTATTTTTACAAAGATTTCCATGTCTTCTAAGCTGAGTTCTTCATACCCTGTAGTCATGAATTATGGGAGCAGACAAACCTGTACGTACGCTGCAAACTTCTCGGTTGGTCAACATGCAACTCATGCCCTGGTCATTATGGCAACCAGAAGGGATACTCCAGCATTTTCTCGTCACCAATCATCAAATGGGCCAGGCAAATTGTAGGAGTACGCGAGAACATTAGAAATGCAATATTTCTAAAGAATCTCTTGTTCTCATGTTCTGGTAGTAGTAGAATTTCGTTGCGCCAAGTCATTTCACAAAGGACTGCACAATATATATGTCGTCGTAGGCACCCCTTCTTTCCAACCGCATTGCCCATACCATCATACATAGAACGATCACATTCAACACTCATGGCATACCCTGTAGTAAGGGCGTGTATCGCGGTCAACGAGAAGGCTCGTTTTGTCTTGACCCAGCTCGTTATTGCGCCTGCATGGATTACGTAGGTGCCTTGTGCTCTTCTCAAGTTCATGACGGATGCTTTTTTTGGGGGGGCTGACCAATCGCCAGCCGGTTTTCCCAGAGGCCCCCGCCGTGATGAGCTCTTCGCGATTAACAGAATTATAGGGAACAGAACCGACCTCTGTATACTCTTTGCATTCTTTACACGCTTTGCACCTTTTGCATTTTTTGCACTCTTTGCACTCTTGCACATCCCAGCCTCTCCGACTTTTCCCATCCTCCCGCGACTTTACGTTTGAGCCAATCCTGACGTGTCTTTCGTCCTTCTATCGCCAAGTCGTGAGAACTAAAGATAGCAGACGTGGTAGGCTCTCGTCATCGCCGGCCGAGTCCCATTAGATACCATGCTCCACCTAGCAGAAGCTGCAGGCCTCAGTAGGCGGATTGTCGCGCTCTCCTGGAAGATACGGAGTGAGCCGGACGCGGTGATTGGTGGGTATGCCGAGGCAGAGGGGAACGGGCTTGGACCGGTGCGACTTCCAACAATGCTCTGTCTGCTCTGCATTGAATGCACATGAAGGGAGGCGCCCTCCCCGTAACTGATTCGAGTTCTTTTTTTTTCGAAACAGTTCCACTTCTATTACACGAGTAAACTCGAGGATCGCTATGCCGATCTGACGCCTGCGGGGGCTAGGCTTCGCGCGATGCGGATTGAAAACGAGCTCTCACCGTGTAGGCTGGATGCGGCGACGGCGCTGAGGGCTCAGCGACAGGGCATCGAGATTGGACCCCTTGTGGTGGTGATGGGTAGCGTTAGGACATGAATGAGGGACGGACAAGAGCCGAGGCTTCCATCCCTCTTTTACCATGAGTTATTCTGTTTAGGGATAATATACATGGAATGACCAAGTAGGATTTCGAGCGGTATGATGGGTTGACACAGGTTTTGTAAACTCACTTGGCGTCGTCGCGTTCCTTGTCTGCATACCGCGCAAAGCACTGTGCCGTTCCTAAATTAATCAAGGTCTAGACATCTCCAGGGCAAGCAGATTCGACATCGGGCAGTATTTGCTGCCTCTTTCCCTTCGCCCCCATGTACTGTAGATTTGGCGAGACCATATCAATGGGTGTCGACTGTGATGCGCCATTTCATTCAGTGCCTGACAAGCGTAAGTACAGTACAGACATATAGCGAGTGCGCCCTGATTTTTTCACACGCCGTTGAATGAAAAACACATATTGCTACCGACGAGCAAACACCGGCCTCGGATCCCCAGGATAAAAGACAAAATTATCCTTCGCATCCCTTAGAACCGGCAACCATCCTCTCCTGGAGAGAACTCCATATCAAATTCCATGACGAGTCGGGCAACAGTGGTTCGGAGATTCATTGATGCCAGCGGCCATCCAACGCAGTTGAATTCACCAGCACTGAACGACATAAACGTTGCCTTTTCTCTGACTAGCGAAGGGGAGCTATAATACCTTTCAGGGATAAACTTGTCGGGCCTGGCGTATGCCAATTCCGCTATAGATTATCAGTTCGTGGCTCTGACGGACTCATTGTCTTAGGGTGGGCACTTACATCGCCCAATGGTATACAAAGGGCTTATTATGCTGACGTTTCCAGAGACATGGACTCCACCAATGACTATGCCTTCCGGGGGAGTCTTGCGCTGCAGGTAGCTCGGAACAGCGGGATAGAGGCGGAGAGCTTCGTGGATAACTCCATTTAGATGGTCCAGGTGAGCAATTGTCGAGTTAGTGAATTCGCCACTGGCTCTTTTCGCATATGGTGCCAATTCCGCGCAGTTCCTTGATAGCCTCGGGGTGACAGACACGCTCGTACAGGATCGCGAACAGTGCGCTGCAAGTTGTGCCACTGGGTTCATTCTGTTGGAGCAGTCTTGTGGGTGAGGGTTACATTAGGCGAGGCTTAGCTTCCTGCAATCACAATTACGCGAGCGTCACCGAATAGTAGGTTCTGCTCAGCAAAGCAGATTTCTGCCAGGTCTCGGCCCTTTAGAGCTGAGATAAAGGCAGGGCTGACATTTGGGATTTCAGGAGTGCTCTATACCTTGTTTAGAGACAGGCAGACGTCGAATCAATCAAGCTAGCACTTACATTGAATCTCGCAATAATCATCTCCCTCCAAAACGCTGGAAACATCTAAAAATCTCCCGACAACCCCGGCGTCGCAGGAAGCATGAGAAAAGCCCATGTAGGAAAAAACAAGCCTATAGGATCGACAAACGAATTCAGCAGCCGAACAGCCCAATGTTCCTCACCGCGCTGCAAGCTCCCAAACGATTTCCCAAAGGACAAGCCCCCCATGACGTTAAACGAGTACAGATTGAACCACTTCCGAATATTTATTGGCTGACGGCTCCGCTGCACGTAGCCACGGAGCAATTTATCCCTGAATGCGCCGCTCTAGCCACGCCGGCGGGGGTGGTGTTGCACAGGTTCGCGCATGAGCTGCAGCGATACCTCCGGGCTCGACATGTCGTACTGTATTCCTTAAGTTTCGTTTTGCTTGACTCTACTAATAGGGGGCAAGCTGAATTCCATCATCGTCATGTTGAGCGGGTATTTGAGCGGGTTTGGGCAACTCTTGGAAATGTCGTTGAACATAGTTATTGAACTACCCGCGTAAAATAGACGGGGTGAGTGGCTCAGTGAGTACACGTGACAGCTCATGAGCAAGGGCTGAGTGCTCAGTGAGCAGTGCTCCGTGATGTGAAATACTCACTGAGCAGACCCCTGAGCGCCCTCACTAAAGCGGCGGTGTCCCGAAGAGGAAGTCTACGGTCGTCCTAGAAAATCAAGTACGTATAATCACATACGTATTGGCTCCGCGGAAGCTGAAATGCAGAACGCCATGCAGTAAGCCTACTTGGCCACCAACAGATTTTTCTTATTGGCCCTTGCCCTTCTCTCCCCCTGCTGACAGCCTCGCACTTCAGATATCGCAGCTCAATAACTATTACTTTCTCCGTACGAACACGGACCCAAGAATAAACTAATATTGAGTGGCGTTGATTTCCAGCTTTTATCGGCCCCATGGCAGAAGCCCAAGCGTTTCTCTAATTTTTAAAGTCCCGTAGAGGCTTCTTTTCCATACTTTTGCTTTTTCTTGAGCTTGTTACTGAAGTATATGGTTGGTTGGCCATCTGGGCTGTCAACCTTGCGAAACATGCATGTTCTTCATTTCCCCTCCTTTCCTTCATTGGGTCTTGAAGCCACTGTAGACCCATCTACACCTACGGCCAATGTGAGGAGGATAGTGGCGGTCATGTATATGCCCAAGATTTCCCCTCCTCTCCGCGGGGCTATGGCGGCCACGTTATTGGAACAAGTTCGCTTAAGTTAGTGACCCCATTGGCCAAAGTACACGTCGGTGGTGCCTCGCATCTAGGGGGACGCCTCACGACAGCGGCACCAAGATGCTCCTTGGTGAGGGTGGGTCAAGGTTGATTTCGTAGTCTCCTGCAGGAGACACATTTTTGTTAGCTTTTCTTAACTCTCTTTTTGGGAGGTTTCCATCATCTATAATATGTTATTTGAGTATTCCCCGTCCCCTTTACCGGTGTATCACAATTTACATATTACCCTGATAACCTAATTCTCTTATAATTTTAGAAGATAATAGCATCACTGCATATTTAGTACTCCTCACGCCATGGATTCCCTTCTCTGACATACTTTGCTAGAATTGCTAGAATGGCATCAACATCAGAACTCTGTTGTTACTTAGGAAACATGGAATAGAGAAAACTTTATCCGCATTACATAAGACCTTGATGTCGCCAGAAGAACAGGTACATGCAGTGCAATGATGTATGTATAGACATAAGACTCAGAAAAATAAGGCCAGGTAAAAGTATCATCACAGAAATAAAATGGAAACCTTGTACTAGCACAACTCCCATTCATCACCCCCATCATTTGGCATGAAGACTAGAAGGGGCTTCATTTGTCCCTTCTCCTCAGGGATTTCATCCCCCCATCGGACCCCAACTTTTTGTTGCAACAGCTCTCCAAATATCCAGAGGTAAGGCTTATTATCCAGAGTGAGGCTGTTACTTTTGTTCTTCGTGTCTCTGATGGAAACAAACTGAGCTCCACCCGTGACAGCCGACGACGTAACAGTCTCTGTTACCACACCTACATGGACGTGGTCTTTTCTGATCAAAACCGGCTTGCAACTTCCCGCGATAGTAGTATCATCGTGACCGGGCGTCTTTTGGATGCGGAATTTGGTCCGCCGTTGCTCAGAGGTATGGATGTGCGTGTCATGCACCCACCAGTAAAGGTTCGGCTGTCGACGATTGCGGATGAAGAAGGTGTCGCCACTCAGCCAGTCGGGGCCGGTGACAAGGTTGGGCAAGGAGTACATGTACGCTTGGTATGACGAATTATTAAGTAAAGTAACCACGTTCTTGAAATTAGACATGAGTTGCCATTTGAACAAGAAATATACAGCATCCCCGTTATCTGCCTTCTGGTCAGCGAAGCGTAAAACGACGAATACTCCCGGGTATTTGACATACGATTTGAGTCGTAGGTCCAGAATTGAGGCGAACTGCGAGACAGTCTGGTCATAAACTGCGCATTATTGTACTTGAGAGTTTGCAATTGACGGTAAAATTCATCAGCGTCGTATCTCGAGCTGAAACAGAGTACATTGCGAGATAGTATCTCGTTGTCATGGTATGTTGCTGGTGCCCACTTGAAAACAACCGAATAAAGTCCTGACATTATTGCGGATGATAATAGAAAGTAGCGATTTGGGTGGCAGTAGATAGTTCAGGAATTTGGGTTGGAGCTTGCAGGTACAGAGAAGAAGGCTGGGTGCTTGTAAATATTTACCAAGGTGCTCCAGCTCACAGTTTGGTCGCCGCATGTTTGGAGAAGTACATACCTTCTTTTGGGAAGAATGGGGATAATGACGTGGCAATGGCCTTGTTCACCGAAGCAGAAAGATCAACGTCAGCCTGCTCCTATCCAGGCGTCCTATAACTGTCTCGCGCGGACCGGTCCGCTGAGGCAGGCACCTGTAGAGTTTGATGGAAGCTGAAGCTGCACGAAGGAAAAGCATTCCGTCTCCGCGAGCCTATCACATTCAACGCCCAGAAAGTAGGCTCCCAAGGCAAGGCAACAACGCAAGCCACAGCTGAATGCGTGGGGGATAGTGTGTTTGCTTGCTCGGGCGGGGTAATCAGCCATACATCCCAACTTGTTCATCTCCTAGGCTCTCCATATTTCTGTTATCTTTCTACATCAATGAGTATGTCAAAATTCTCCGGATTACAGCCATACCGATGTCTCCAACCTCAGTACCCAGTGGTGACAGTAGCTGGGAGGAGCTTAGATGTCCGCTAGATGACTATGTTGAACCACATGATGACACTTATTACGACGATTCTCGCCTAAGAGCTGACGACAATGTCGATACGATTGAGGACTACGCGCAAGATTCATATCCTTATGATCCGGAGCGCGATGATCCATTACGGCATGAAGGAGTGCCGGAAGAGGAGATAGCAAAGGTCGTCGTCGATGATTACCTGAAGTATGTTTTGGAGAAATACACCTCAAGAAAAAAAAAAAAAGAAGAGAAAAAGAGAGATTTTGTTCTGACATCGGACCTACAGAACCCCTGATATTGCCCGTCACACAGCCCTCGAAACGGTTCGCATTCTCACCACCAAGATTCTTCGGGTGTCTGATGTGGTGTTTTCGGATCACCTACCGGCTCCCACAGAGCAGACCATCGAATCTCAAATTGTGAATCATGGGCTGGATTCGACCATTTCCAAGGCATCACTCGCGGAATCATGACCTTTCCATTTGTTAAAGCTGTCGCGTTGCTACACCACGTCTGCATCCAGCTGCCTTTGATATACCAAAGACCTATGTCCTGTGTGTTCGCGCGGTGAACGTCGTGTCGCATATACTCGTCAATCCAGAAATAAAAGCCCAACGCGTGGAAGAATGTGTCAGTATCATGTCGAAAGTCTGGGACGTTTGTGTTCTCCTCCTTGGGGCCACACGCACTCGGGCACAGTTGATTGGCGATAATTGTCTTCAGATAGAGAACATCAACTTTCTCCACGCGGCGCATTACCGGCAGGAGATTCAAGCGGTACTGGGATCACCTCTCAACCAGGGAGCCGTCTGCCCCAAATCTATCGCCCATCTTACCAGGGAGGAAATGCCTCCCTTTGTACGGCCACGAGAGCTTCTGGCCAAGATTGATGGAATGGACGCTGAGACCGGCTTCCATCTCAAATGTGTGCCAGACTCGTGCGAGCCAGATAAAGACGGCAGACAGAGACCGATGTACCACGCCCCAGGCTGCTCGGGCAGCTGTTCGTTGATAGTACCCCCCAAGGAGTCAATTCCCCAATTCGACTCTATCCTCTTCAGCCAGCGGCGAATGCCGGCCGTTCGGGCGTATAGTTACCTCGACAAGCGACGGTGGTGGGTTCCTGTGACACGAAAGACCATGGCCGTATCACATCTCTGGCGCGATGGGATATCCGGCACCCGAGATGGGGGAATGCATGAATGTCTCCATCACCTGTTCTCTCGAATCGCCCAAGAACAAGGTTTAGATAGTTACTGGGTCGACTGTGCCACTATCCCTGAGCATCCACGGCAACGCCGGCTGATGATACAGCATATCAACTCAACGTTTCAGATTGCTGGCTTCACACTCTGCATGGATATCCGTATCGCACAAGCAAAACTACCAGGCCTTGGAACACACGCCGGGGACGATTCGAATTCGATGGCGACACACCAACATGATGAAAAATTCCTGCTGGCGACAATCACCTCATTCTGGCATCGACGTGCCTGGACACTCCTGGAAGGTCACAAGTCCTCTGATATTGTCTTCTATCGTGAATCAGGACAACACCTGAACCTAAAGGACGCACTTCACCGGGTGTTGATGGACGAAAACACCAAGTGCCCCCTTTGGATGCGCGCCTGTCTAGCCGAGTTTGAAGCCTACATGGCCGAAGGATTAACTCCTGAGGCTGCGGGAATGTTACTTGCCACCCGTGCGGCTTCGAGAGCGGGCGACGCAGAGTTGATCTGGCGCCTGCTCACCCAGCCTTATACAACACAAGTCGCGTCGCGAGCAATCAACCCCAATCCATGGCATTTCAGCGATACGGTCGACCTGGCCTTTATTTGCTCCAATGCCGAACGGTCCATGCTCCCGGGATACTGCTGGATGCCGGCCCAGACTGGCGCCATGGCCTGGGCGCGAAGGGCGCATGGAGGAATCCGAGCGGAGATTGTCCGCACGACCAATGTCCATTTACGGAGTAAGTGGTATGCGAAGCATGGGAAGGCCGTCGATCTGCAGAGTCTTAAACCGGCATCCCAGATTAATGAATCCTCCGCTGTGCAACACTTGAAGTGGAAACTCGATAGCAGAGCGTTCGATTTTCTCTTCGCCCACCCAGTCTCGCCAGCAGATCAGGGCAAGCCACCCAAAACTGATAAAGTTATTGTCATGACGCGGCCGTGTCATGCGCTGCATAGCTTCGGCCAGAATATCCTCGAGCCTCTGTGGCATTGGGAGGCGATGGTAGAGCTTGGAACGCCGGAGGAATTTAAGGCTGAACATATAACGACTCTCAACATCGGGTTCGAGCATGACCAGACAGCTGCCTCTCTGAAAGAGCTAGATCAACCACCTCCCCAATCTCATCCCCCCAGTATGTGGCAATCTGCGGATTCGTTCTTCCTGTTCCTGCACAGTTTTCGATATCCCTTGGCCGTGATATTTATTGCGATGGCGTTTGTCCACGGTGTCGCAGCAGCCGACCCTGATCAACCACATGTCGACCACTCCGGCACCGTAAGCCTATCATACGTGCGCCTCCTTCCTCCACAGAACATCCCGAAGATTGTATTCGAATGGGCAGCACTCATCCCGCTCGTCATATACCTCGCCAACGGCCGAAGCAACTACGAACTCGCCGGCGAAGTCCCCCTCCGCGGTCGCTTATCCATGAGCTTTATCCCCAAACTGTTCGCGCTCGGCGGCGTGGCCAATCTGCTCCGCCTGGGAGAGGTATTCTTTGACTCTGCCAATAACGAAGGCGAGAGCTTGACGGTATATGACGTCCAACATGGAAATGTCTTCCGCTGTTACAACAGCGCAGCGGCTTCGTTAGTTGGGGTGATCGCCTGTAGGGGACAGCATAGAAGGCCCCGAATCATATCTGAGGCTGACCTTACAGAGTGGATGCATTCTAATAGAGTAGATCTCGAGCAACAGTTTCGCCTGGCTCGATTCGGCGACCTACCGGGTTCTAGATTTGAGGAAATGTGCGAAAACCGGAAGAAATATGGACGATGGCAGGTTTTAAATGTCATTCACGTCATGAGAATGGGCTCCCCTGGTAATGGTAAGAGAATACGTGGACTAGGAGGAGAAAGGGGCAGATCCAGAGTCGGGTACATTCTACATTCAGACCTGTGGACTGGAAGCTTTGCCGCGTATGCGGAAATCATTCTGACCATGGCACTGGCGGTGCTGCTATACATGGCAGGATGCCTTGGATCAGGGTCTCTGGTGTTGATCGGAGGTATATCGCGACTCTGCGCGCACAAAACCATCATCAGTCGTCCACCACAATATCTGTGGAATCGAGAAAACTACGACAAGGGGTGTATGCTTGTTGCGGTGCATGAAAACGCTGCGGCCTGGACACTGTACCATGGCGACCGGGGCTTGATCGATTCCCTTTTAAACAAGCCTATGATCGACCACCTAAAACCCAGCTGGATGCGAATCTTCTCCTACTATTGGTTTCGGCTTGCGGAGGTTCTGCAGATCATTGCCATGACGTTTATTGCGGGCCAGAAGGGATGGGACTCCCTGGTGCTTTTTGCGCTCATCCTTGCTGTTGGAGGATTCAGCAAACTATGCGGCTATAATATGCATGCGGCCAACTGGCTGCGCAGGGAAGGGTTTGAGACAGTGGCATTCCAATGCGAGTTTCCAGGTAGAACAGAGTTGGCGGCTACAGTACAGATGCTAGGCACGGAGAAGCGGACCGGCTGGATGGATGGGATTATTGCCCCTGTTCCGCGACGAGAGGTGCTCCTGAGAAGCCTGGGATTGGTTAATTGCCCTGTGGAAGTTGCTCAGGAATTCTATGATCAGCTGGGGGCGAGCGACAAGGTGTGGGTGATGTCGAATTATATTCAGGTACAAGCGGCAACTGCCCTCATCAAAACAAGGATTGAGCGCATTTTAGAGCCGTCATCCCCTATGCACAAAGCATGAGCTGCGTGCAAATTGAGTAGTGTTGTTAGAAGGAAATTGCATTTTATAGCAGAGGATCGGAAGACCTGAATCAGTAGTTTTTATTCCAAACTGCTTGGGAAATAACAACAATGAAGCTGATTATACTGTCCTTCTTTATCATTCCTTGAAGACAACCCACTCAACTGCAGGAGTTTGACCCAACGCGCAACTCCCATACGTCTGCAGGATAATCAAGGTATTCACCCGACGATCGCTCGGTACTTGCTTCTTGCCATGAATACCGCAAACCAATATTCGAGGGTTTGTGATTGTGAGCAACCGGGGCGTCCTTATCTCCATCGGCCGCAGCGCTGACATACTTAGGCGGTCCCATTTTCTTCTGCTGTCATGAATCTAGCAGGCAACAGCGGGAGACAGGTGCGCCTGAGCTTAAATCATAAAGGCATTTGCCGTTTCCACATAGGCTCGGATAACTACAGGAAGGTAACGCGGAATCTGCTTCAGCTTTGCTTAGTCTCTGCTTCGGTCCGCTGAATGCCCTGAAGTGGGGAGTCATTTGTCGACCGATCAAAATCACTTTAAGCTTTCAGCGCAGCGGTGCTCATGTTTTAGATATCGCAAACTTCAGTGAACTGTAGACTCCTCCCCGGACAAATTCTGCTAGCACAGAAGAATTACTCTAAGCAATCTCTCTCAGCACTCGCGAACGGACTCCGAGGCCCAGGATTATAGTATAGCACTTTTAGCCTTTCCTAGTAACGTGGCTAGATAGATATTAAAAGAAACTAGTCTTCTAGATAATTTCTACTTTAGATTTATAGCATGCTAGTATAACCTTTAGATATATCTATACTACTCTATAGCTAACTCTAACTAATAGAAATCTTAGAAAGGTAACTAACTGTAAGCGGCGCGGTCGGATCGGTGGCGGACGCCAGTCGGTCTTCACCCGCGGCGAGGTCCTAGCAAGCAACGAGATGTCGAGCTACGAAGGATGTATGAAAGAGGAAGGAGAAGCTAGATGCTAATTAATTCAGAAACGAATCGCTGGGGATCAGGAAGACCAGCAATTCTCCATGGGTCTTTTATGTACAGCGATGCCAAGAGATGTCATCCAGGGCTTGGCCTAAAGGGGTTAGGCCTAAACGGGTCGGATCCCGAGCGGCGGTCGCGCGGGCCTCCTGTCTGGGCTGCCTGAGGCATCCCAGTAACACAAGGATAGCTTAAATGCCTAGTTATACTTACTAGTATTATCCAGCCTTTTTATGTCTCTAACTATGAGTCTCCTCTAGTATATATATAGTGTTCTTCTTGTCCGCTATGAAGGTAGAGGCCCATTCCTGCTCTAGATGCACACCTTCTACCTCGCGCATGACACCACGTGGGCATACAGGCTGGCTTTTGGTGTCGAGACGGCGTTCCCTGACCACTGGTTCCTGCTGCCTCTGCTTCCGATGCTTCTAGCTCTGTTTCTCAAATAAGGACGAGATCTCGTCTGAATACCTCGCGAGTCAGAAAATTCCTCAAGTAGGTTCGATTGGAATCTACTAGTCGAGGCGAGGTGAGCACTATCCATGGGATGAGTTGTTGGGCCAAGTACGTATCTTCAGTGATGCGGTTGGGTACTGGGCAAACCCCCCCCTCCCCTCCCCTTCCCCCCGCTATCTATCTACAGCACATGCATAGGGCATCAAGAACTGGACCTCGGGGAATTTGTTGTTTTATCACTTAGCGTAGCCCGAGGAGTATACTATTATCGACAGGTCTACTTGAAAAACTGTTCACGCAATTGCCACAAGATTGGCATGTTAGGATTCAGTGAGAGGGATGTTGGATCCAAGCACATATCATGGTATATGTTTGCCTCGTAAGTAAACTGTCGTGGTTCGTCGTGTTGCTTATGCTCTACAGGGTGCTTTGAGCCTGTGGGAAGCTAGAGGAGACATGAAAAGCAACCCGTCTTGGACCCCATGGTAACCCAAGAATGGTTGGCTGCAGGAGTGAAATGGTATATATATCTAGTCTACTATACATTTTATCTCTACAAAACTTCCAACATCTCCTCAACCCGCCCAAACTTTTCCCGGACCTTGCCCTTCTGCGCACCCCGCTCCCGCTCCGCGCGGTCAATCCGCTCCCAGTCCTCCCAGCTCGTCGCCCGGACACCGAGCCGCTCCGCCTCGGGACGGACACCCTCCCATCCAAGGCTCGTTCCCTCGTTCGGGTTAAGCAGGGAACTACCGTTCTGAGCGACATCCGCGGCAATGGCATCCGCCGTGCTGAACGCGTCTGTCATCGTCGTGGCGATTACACCCGTTGGCCCGCGCTTAACCCACCCGGCGCAGTAGAGTCCGGGGAGGTGCGAGATCAACGATCCATCGGGTAGTGTATCGCGGGTTCCTGCCTCCGCGTTGAGAGGCACGGTGACGCGTCCGAAGCCATCGTTCGGGATAACACCGCGGCTATCATCGAACGGCACGCCGATATCTGCTAGGCCCGGCAACGGGAGCGATTTGTACCCGACGCTGCGGAAGAATGTATTCGCGCAAAGGTCGATTTGCGCGCGCTTCCCGCTGGAGAGATACTTGGGTGAGACCTTTGAGCTTGGGCTGAAAGGGTCTGCGGGGTCTAGCTGGTTGCGGGAGAAGCGGACGTGGGAGAGGCGGTGCGGGAACTTGGGGGACCAGTGTAGGCATTCGGGGGAGAGGAGGAAGTCGAGCGACCAGGATTTGGTGGCTGTGCTTGGGTCGTTTGTTGAGCCTTTGGCGAGGAGCTGGATCAGGCGCTTTTGAGCGCGGGGGAGTGCTGCGATGGTGTCTTCTGGGGGGAAGAGGTCCTTGGGAATGGGGTCGAATGAGACGGATGGGAGTTGGAGGAGTTCGCGGACTTCTTTGATGGTGAATGAGGCCTGGTATTTGTTAGACAGTGGGCACGTGTCGCGATGGTCGTGCATACCTGTAGTGGTCCTCGTCGGCCGACGACTCGGACTCGATTGATCTTGCTTCGAGAGAGTTCCTCCAGCGCATAGTCTGTAATGTCCGTCTGACGCAGGCGATCCACATCTGATAGCAAGATTCTAGCAACGTCTAGTGCGACATTACCTTGGCCGACGATGACTGCATTTTCTCCACAGGTAAGGTCTGGAGCGAGATCTCTATGCTCTGGCAGCCCGTTGTACCAGCCGACAAACTCTCGAGCCGAGTACACGTTGCGCAGGGCATTCTCTCCTGGAATACCCAGCTTCTTATCCTTTGGAGCGCCATATGCGAACAGAATGGCGTCGTAGTGGGGTTTGAGTACTGAGAGAGGCAGGGTTTCGCCCAACTCCACGTTTCCAATAAAGTTAAAACGTGGAGAGGCTGCGACCTCTGTAAACTTCTCCTCACAATTCTGTCCCGCGTTAGTCATCTCGAGTCTAAATTGTCGATTTTGTGGCATACCTTGACTTCCGGATGATCAGGAGCTACACCGTATCTTGCTAGGCCGAACGGCACAGGAAGCTTTTCGTACATGTCAACCACGGCATTATCTACCTTGGCCAGCAGACGATATGCTGCATAGAAACCAGCAGGCCCGGAGCCTACAACCGCAACGCGGAACGGCCGGTCCGTCACTGCCTGGCTATATTGTCGGCGTTGGGGGAATTGTGAGAGGAGATGGCGCTTTGCCGGGCTCAACAACCGTGGAGCGCGAGACGTACATTGCGCACAGATATATGGCGCACGCTGAAGACTCATTTTTGCGGGGAATTTCTTGTCCAAGTGTGTAAAATATTCCCAGCGATCGTGAAGCCGACCTCGGATGACGCAAGCCACGTGATCTTATCGATAAGCGCCGGGCTCTTGTTGCCGCAACAACGGGCCACTGTTGACGGTTCCTGCGCCGGTTCAGCCTCACAAGTCACGCTCGCCTCTTGTTCTGGTTCTGGTTCTGGTTCTGGTTCTCTCCACTCCCTGTCACTACTACTGACGCTGTATAGAGACGTGGTTCTGCACGAGCTCTCGGGGATTTATCGTCGCCCTCTCCCTCGTTCCCGTCTGTCATTCCTGTGCCTGATTCTTCCATTCCTTCCAGACCCGCCAGAGTCTCCGTCTGCCCTTCGCTTGTCGCATTCCTCTGCTTCCCCCGCTTTTCGCGTGGGCGAACGCTTCAACATGGGGAACTCGTCTCCTCCATACATGTACGGCCACCCGGATGCCTTCCGGTTCAAGGGCCCGACCGATCGTCCATTCAACCCAAAGGCCGTCACGGAGTCGAGCTGGACTCGACCTGCGCCGAAGCCCAAGCCCAAGGGGCCGTTGGTCAACTTTAACCGTCACCCGGACTCGGTATGCATACCACTTGCTTGTCAAGGCATGCGCTAACCATTGTAGTACTCCAATCTTCCCGATGGCCGGTCGCACTGGACTCCGATGAGCCCAAGGACAAAGGGCAAGGTCTTTTACGGGCGGAGGGTACAATTGGGGCTTCGGGTGCTTGAGCTGCTTGGCGCGCTGGGCTCTTTGTTCTGCGCCATTGTCATCAAAGGTGTTGCGACTTCGATAATATGGATTGTTCGCGTTGCAGTAAGTTGACCCTAGTAAGAGTATTCAGAACATGCTGACCTGGCCAAGCCCGCAGTCGCAATCCTCCACACCATCTACGGCATCTACCACCTATGCCGCTCTCCAGTCACCAGACCCCCTGCCTCACAAGCCAGCTATATGCTCTTTGCATCGACACTAGATCTTGGGCTGGTACCGTTCTATGGCTTCGCTGCGTACATGGGCTCCATGGAGTATAACTCGAGTACCTACAGCTGGCAGACACTTCTAAGCACTGACGTCGATGTTATCATGACAATTGCAAAGGCAACCTTCTTCCTTAGTGTTATCAACGGAGGCCTCCACTTGATCTCGCTTGGTATCTCCGCTTGGCTCTGCAACATCTTCCGCCAGATCGCGCAGCTCCCTCCTGACCTCAACCCCTTGGAAGACAACTTGACGGCGCGCCCGCACAAGCGCACCAAATCAGAGATAGCCGAGAAGCATGCTAGCAGCTCTACTCTAGACTCAACCATGTCAGCCGCGCAACCATTGATCGGCGCTCCTCGGACGATTCCGTTCACACACACCAGAGCCAAGTCCTCAATTTCAGAGGACAACTCACTGCGCGTCCCGGTTGACATGACCAAGATGAGAGGAGGCTCGCAGTCTTCCATACCGCAGATGCCCTTCCAATACCGCGCAAACACTCTCGAGGACACCACGTACGAAATCCCACTGCATAACGATGACATTGTGACCCGCTCCACCTCGTCCATCCCCTGTAGCACTCCAGTCCGCCAGCCCTCGCCCGAGGTCCCAAACCGCTCTCAATGTGTCAGCCCCGCCTCGGATAACTGGATTGCCTATTCTTCGCGCTCCGCTTCGCCAGTCGAGGATGCTAAAAACGAGCACCCGGCTCCGCGCGAATCATCATCGGTTTACAGCCGCGCTGAAACACCGGCATCAGCAAACGGCATGATTGACTGGATGAGCCTGGCGCAGAAGTACGGCTGGGACATCAGCGAGACCATCTCCGAGGATCTGCGCGGCGAGTACGAATCCCTCGCGATGCACGAATACTATGGCACCGAAGACGACTCGCACAACGTACGCAAGAACGGCCTATACGACCACGACCATGACAGGGACGAGGGTGATATTGGCGACCACCGCATCAACATCTTCCAAGACCACCACGACAGCGATGACGACTCCATAGCCGAAACACTCAAGGTTAACCCGCTCGCCCTCAACCCGCCAACCCCGCAGCCCATCCTCCCCGAGTCCACGCCCGAAATCAAAAAGACCCCATCCCGCATGGTCCTCGGTGATATCCCTAACCTCTCGCCCACTCCGACAAAGACAAAAGTGCCCCCTCTCGACACCTCGGAAAAGGACGGCCACTTCTACGGCGAAATGGACGGTAAAGCCGGCCTGCGCAACGTTCTCGGTGCAGCGGCTCCCGTACAATCACCCTCAACCAAGAAAACAAAGCTCGTCAAGCGCAAGACAGACAAACACTCCTCCTACGGTCCCCTCAAGCACGTTGACGAAGCCGAAGAATACACCACTCCAATGGCAGCCCTCGACCCCAACGCCTCAGAAGGCGATCGCAAGGGCCGCGTAGTCAGTAACTCCGGAGCGGACTTTGCCCGTCGCGGCGTGCAGGGCTCGTCGTATGGGAACTATATCGCCGGTCTGGGTGTGGGACGGCGACGAGACGTTAGTGGGAAGATGGCGGAGGAGGGTCGAGGTGGGATTGATATGATGAAGTCTACTGGTGGAGGTGGTGGGATTGCGAATGGGAGTGCGCCTACCAGTGTCGGTGCCAGTCCGAATGCGAAATCCGGCTCTTCGTCGCCGATTCGCGCAGCGGGATGGGCGAGGTTTGCGGGGCTTTGATGTGATGGATGTGATCGATTGATACCCGAGACAAGACCGGCTTGTCCACAGGAAGGAATGATGGGAATCAAGAAGGAAAGAGCAAAAGCTCGATCGATTTATGGGTTTTGCATGTTGCATGTGACATTCGACTAATGTATTTTGCGACGAAGGATGATTGGTATTGATTGATGGATGGATTTTTCATGGCACTGGGATATCTCTGCGACTTGCGATGGATTTTGGGCTTGAATTACCTTTTTTTTTGTGATACTCACTCTACTACTTTTGTACTTAGTGTTTGGCGTAGATAGGACATATTAGTCTGGAACGAATGAATACCAAATCTCTCATCACAAGTCAAAATTGCAGTTCTGGATTAATCCGAGGTTTGGCAGGCCCTAGTAAGTGGGTATCAAAATGAGCACTGCGGCTCTAGTAAGAATAGTATCAGGAAAATAGAATCCAAAAGGAAGAGAAAAAGAAAAGAATTCTAAGAAGGCACGCCTTCATACTCCCACCCCTGAATAATTCTCCGATTCCTTCTGGAGTTTCGTCTATTGGCGTTACATTTGACGAAGAGCGTCAGCGCGGCGATTATACAAATAACAATACCCGCGATAGCAGCGACGAGGACGGTCCGGCGTTCCAGCTGGTCCGGGTCCGAGGTATACGGACACGTCGCGTCGGGACCCCCGGTCACCCAGCAAGTGACTACATCGACGGAGTTGAAATCGATCCAGACTTCGTGGACGAGCGGGTCCTCAGAGGCGGCATCAATCAGATCGATTGGTTGCGAGAGAAGGGTGCGGTAGAGGTAGGTGTTTTCGAGGCCTGTGCGGGGCACGGCGAAGGCGGTTCCCTCGTCTGGGCAGGCTTCTTTGAAGGCGTCTGCGTAGGAGAGCGGGTCGCGTGAGAGGGTCCAGCGGAAGGGTTGGTCGTCGACGCGGCAGGCTGCGCGGCGGGCCATGCTGCAGTTTGCGGTGTGCCAGTGGCCGTCGTCGGAGAGATCCATTACCGCGCAGCGGAGATCGTCTGAGAATGCAGAGTCGCGGCTTGCGGTTGGGTCGATGGGTTGGCCGGCAGCCCAGGCCCACGAGGAGGAAAGTGTGAGGTTTCGGTAGGGGTCTGGGGTGTTGTCGGCTGTGTCGCCGAACAAAGTGTCGTTAAGTGTTGAGGTGATTCCGCACGCCGTCAAGTTTATCACAAGGTCGGAAATGTACCGGAGGGACTGGGCATCACTGAGATTTCTAGGGAGTGGAATCCGGCTTGATATAGCCCAGGATGCGTTGACGCTCGCGATGTCGGTTTCGTCTGCGTTGTATATACAGCCAGAATCCAGACTCCCATCGTCTGCTGTGGAAACAGGGACCGTGGACGTCAGATATCCAGGGGAAAATATAACATCGTTCTCTGCGGACAGATCATAGTCATCCAGTTGCGGGTCGACCAAGCCATACTCAACTAGCAGTCGTCGCTCAGCTGCCAGTTGGATATACTTCGGATTCGGCCAACCGTCAGGCGTGCTCTGCACACCTTCAAGGTCTCGCTCTATGGTAAAGTACTGGACAATTGGCTTATACGCGTCATCAACCCCATACCACGAGTCATTCAAATCACGCCGGTCTTCAAATAGCTGCGAGGGCGTGTAAATATAGGATCCGAGTTTGTCTTTCAACACATGGCTCGCGCGCTCGGAACCGACCGGAAGCTCTGCGCCAGTGAGAGTCGAGGCCGGTTCGTTAGGGGACGTGGGATCGGCTGCAACATGGAGATTGAGAGACAGGTATCTCAAGTATATAACTAGATCAGAATTGGTGTCTTTGAAGAAATCCTGGAAGATGTCGAGCAAGTCTGGTAGATCGAGGTCATCCGAGCACTGATAAGGACCGAGTTCGTAGAGGAGTCGGTCCGATGACTCGTCGGGTTCCGCAGTAACGGTACCTTCTGAGACTGCCGCAGTAGATGTCGGAGTCGCATCCGGCGAGGCTGTCACTATGCGAACATCTTGTGGAATCGAGACCGGACAGAGAAGCCAACGCCGGAGCTCAGTCGACCAGTATACATCGAGGTTGAAGCGTCGGTAGCCCACGGCGATCAGGTTGGAGAGGCATTTCTCGGCGGCGGATCTCTCGAACACGTTGTCCCCGAAGCAGGCTGCCCGAAAAGAGATGGCAGAGGTGGTAACAAAGTTAATCGGGACTTGACCGGCTACATCTCGTTCGCTCTGCGATGGTATTAGACTCAATTTTGGGCGCTTTGCACATCTGCGACTCACCAGGAGGACTGTGGCCCAGGACGAGTTCAGCAAAGAGTCATCCGGGTTAAATTTCAGGGACATCAAGGCGCGGACCCTTAATCATCAAAGGAGCGTATATATAACTCGGCACACGCGTCGTCGAGTGAGATGTTGACGTCGGAGGTTCGGGGTGAAGGGCAAGCAGAGGCCAAAGGCGGTCAGGGGCCGATTGGGGTCTTATCTGGCCACTTCCCCATTTCCACGTCCACTTCTTTCGTCTCAACTTGGCTTTGAAACCTTTACTCTGCTCTCCATTGTTCAACATCTCGGTCTCGATTCTTTCTACATACACCCTCGGTACCGAATTCATCTCACAATGGCCGCCCCCGGCCAACCCTCCCCTCAGCAAATCGCCGCCATGCAACAGCAGTTCGCTGCTGAAGCGGCCAGGCGAGGAATGAGCCCCGAGGACTTCGCCAAGCAGCAGCGCGAGCAGTTAAACGCAGAGGCTGCTAAGCAGGGGGTCACGACCGAGCAGTATGTTGCGCAGCTGAGGATGCGTGCACTTGCCGCCCAACAGAAAGCCGCGGAAGTGCAGCGCCAACTCCAGGCACAGGGAAATGGTGGTGCCGCACAGCCAGGACAGCAAGGGCCGCCTGGACAAGGGCCGCAGCCGGGACCGCAACAGCACACGCAGCAGGTCCCTGTTAACCCGAATAACCCCAAGAACCCCAAGGCGATCGCTGTCGCGCAGTTTCTACGATCACAGAACCTCAAGACGAGAACCTGTGTATTGGATGGCCAGAGAAAGGATATGTTCAAAGGTGACTATTGACCTGGAGCTTCACTACCAACAATGCTGACTCGTTATGTTTAGTGAAACGTGCTATTCGTGCCCTCGAGTCTCCTGCATACGCCAAAGCTCAAAAGAAGAACCCTCTCCTCCCCCCAGTAACAGACCGCGCCTCCGCCGAGAACGTGTTTAAGCTCCTACCCCTGTCCATCCTTGCTCTCCGCGTCTCCAAAATCGACCCACACGCCGGCCACGGCCACTCAAAGCCCGCGAAGCGAGTCAAGGGCCTCTGGACCGTCAAGATCGAACAACACCAAGAAGCTGACCCCATGATGCATTACGTCTGGCTGTACGATGGGCCTCAGTGGAAGCAGAAGGCCATGGCCGCTGCTGTTGTCGCCGGTATCTTCGCAGTCGTACTCTTCCCTCTCTGGCCTATCATGCTCCGACAGGGAGTGTGGTATCTGAGTGTGGGCATGATGGGCCTGCTGGGCCTGTTCTTCGCCATGGCCATCTTCCGTCTTATTCTCTTCTGCATCACCGTCTTTGCTGTGCCGCCCGGTCTCTGGCTCTTCCCGAATCTATTTGAGGATGTTGGTTTCTTCGACAGTTTCAAGCCCTTGTGGGGTTGGCAAGAGGTAGGTTGATCCCTGATTCATTATAACTGTTCAGACTAACGAGGCTCGCAGACAAAGAAAGCGAAGAAGAAGAAGTCCAAGAAGGGCGCAGAAGGCGCATCCGAAGCCCCAGCTACCCCAGCTCAAACAACAGAATCCGCCCCGACAGCAACGACAACCGCAACCACCGCTTCCACATCCGACGCAGCCGGCCCGGTAAAGCGCAATCTCGCCCCGCGAGTCGAGGAAGTCACGGAGGAATGAACGTTATAGAACTGCACTGCGCCGCATCATGTCTTCTCTTCCCTTCAGGCGCATTTGCCATCCTTTGACTTCGGCTTTGGCTTTGACATTTGCATTATCTGCGTACAAAAATCATTTTACGAGCTGCTTCTCACCTATTCCCTGCTTCAATTCCAATCCGTACTTGATTTGCACTTTGCTTCTTCTTGTGCCCTAACTCGCTTCTTTATTGAGTCGGATGGTTAGGAACATTTTGCCTACGGGCTCTGGACTTGGAAAGGAGTTCTGGTGTAGTCTTAATACGATTGTCCTCATGATGCACCCTTTTGCGTCATCACATCATTGGATAATTTAGCCTGTCGGCTTCATCTCTGTCTGTCTTAATTCTCGTCGTCTTGCCCCGACCACGCACAACTCAATCTCAGCACTAACACCATTACTATTCCGGAGTAATATATTATGGACCCCAGACAAAGGGGGCCTACTGTGGCCGAGGGTTGCACTCGCCCCAGCCCCACTTGGACATTTCTCTTCGGTGGAACCCGAGTCTATTCCTTTCCCTGCCCAGTGCCCTTAAGAGCCGGGGACGGTTCAGCGCCACAGTCGGCATCTATATCCTCCCCCACCAGCACCAGCATCAGCATACGCTTCCTGTAAAGCCTGAGCCAGCATGGATGGTAAAATAGCCGGTAGCGGTAGCTCATGTCATGTACTTCATTCATGTGCTCAACCCTATCAATCACTGCACCTCGCGTGCCACGTGCCACGTTAACATAACCTCCGAGTACATTTGAGCCGTCACTCAATTGGTATTCCAACATCCGATCTTCTCGGGGCCCTCCTCCCAGTAAGCGTGGGTTAGACATGCCCTCATTCAGTATCATCCCTGCGCCTACAATCTCCTGCGGCTCACACAACCCCAGGAGATCTTTTGCATATGCAGCCGCTGTTAGAGCCGCATACGGCTGCCACAGGTCATTTTTGTGGCTATCAGCATAGTCCGAGATGCCTCTGATTGCAAGACATGGAAAGTTGTTCATCAAGGTAGCCTCCTCCGTTTCGAAGCATATGGCCTTGTGGTCACGTCGCATGGTATCCCGCATGTGCGCGTCCCTACAATCAGTGTTCCCAGAGGCGAGGAACCCATGGTGGACAACTGGATCATTTCGGGACGCTAATGTTCCTATCACAGCTCTGACAGTGATCCTCATTCTCGTTGGGACGGTTATATTCTGCCCTAAACAGAATGTCATGATGGCGGCCCGGGAAGCTAAAGTGGCTCATGCCCATGGCTTCAAGCTTTGACTGTGCCTCCTCGATGTACTCTGCCATGTTCCCTCGCTTGAACCTATGATCCCCCGAGAGTTTGTAGATAGCAGAGATGAGTAGGTCTGGTGGGCTATTTATGTGTGACTCAATCTTGAATCCTCTGCGTCCTCGTTTGCCCTTGTCGTACTGTAGTGACTCCTCCTATATCACATCTCAGCCTAGAGCCAACGCATAAACCAACGGAAACTCACCATAATTTCCTTCGGGTTTGCTAACAATGACATCCCCAAGAAGGATATCCGTTGTTGAGTTTCTCGGGTCGTACGATCCTGGGGCATCCGCAGCGCCACCACCAATGCCCACCAACAACCCAAAGCGTATCTTGTTAAAGGTTCGGAACATGTGTGTAGCGGCTGTGCGGGCATTTGGTTAGATTTGGCAATGACCATGTTGTGTCCTCCAATTCGCCCGGCAGTGTAGGAGTTAGGACCGTTATGGGGTTTAGATGGGGTGTCGTGCTCTTCGTCGAGAAGAGCTGTAGCGACATCATATTCGTAGTCTAGGACGCAGAGCCAGGCGACTGTGTACTCATCGCAGGAGAGCTTGGCACGATCGCTAAAGAGAGGGGCCATGGTCACCGTAGGGTCGTGGGAAACGATTCCTCAGCTGGAGCGGGATTGCTTTCGCGGCCGCTGAAGTCGACCCCGCGCTTGGGGGCGTGCCTGGATAAATCAGTTCAGGGACGTGGATACGCACGAAAGTAGCCTAATCATGCAGTGTAAGCCCACGAAGCCCAAAGTACGCCGGCGATCCCCGAAACAAAGGGTACCGTTGTCGACATGATTTCACCTGAGGTCGGGCTACTAAGAGGCTGTTAGCCTCTGCATTAGACTCCCATATGATCTTGTATCTGTCTATAGGCGGGATCAAACCGTCCAAGGTGTACATCGCGAACGAACTGCTCCTCAATGAGACAAGGGGGTACCGTGGAACTGTCGGCCGTTGCCATCATAAACAGCGAGGAGGCTGTCGAGTATCCCACAATATTTGTCAAGCCCTCATGCAGGTTGAGACATGTGGATGCGGAGCAGCGCGTTAGAACACCAAGGATACTTGGAAGTCTTCTATGGAGGTCTCGCATTCTACCCAGACGATATAACACCATCGCTTCTGAGAATGGCACAGTGCGGGATCCCGTCCCGTGGCGGGCTGCGTACCTTAGCCCAGAATATACTGAGCCGTTGCAGACTGGAGGATTATAACTTCGTCGTCTTGGGCTGTATGCGGCATCGTATGAGGAAGCTTTGCGGCAGTTATCCTCACAGTGAACCCCGTAGCCTACTTCAACAACGGCCGTGGATCCACCCACATCCAACACAGCATATCTGTCCAAGCCCGATGCCAGCCAGCAAAGCACTTGCTTCAATGATAACGGTCTGCTGAGAGAGTACCTTTTAGCGGCGCCCACGTTGGCTCTTCCTGGCCGGCCCCGATAGGCGAGGCGTCGGTATGGTATAGCAGAATCAGAGCCTCGGCCGACACTCGTCAGAGTTGAGATGAGGAATGCACCTGCTTCGGCTAAGATTAGTACTACTAGATAACGTGGTAGGAGTTTTGCACTTACATTCTTTCAGGCCCCGTGAGACACGGGCCAGAAGACTCGAAACATGCCTGTCTGATTGTATAATAATAGTATGATATAGTATAGTTCTTCTATTAATCCAAGTCTATCCCTAATCCCGAGCCCAACCCCACGTGATGCCAGAATTTTTAGTTAGTCAATAAAGACGTACACAGAAAGATATAAGTATTATACAAGAACGCAAAGAACCAGAATCGAAACAAGACGCAGACGCATTCAGCGCGGGATATCTCGAGAGTCAACGAATGAGGAGAGGCCATGATACGACATGTCAAATGCGTGATCGTGGAGGGGTGGGGATGTGGATATGGATGGTATGTATGGTATGGTATCATGCAAAAAGATAAGGAGATATGGAGAGGTATTAGTGGGAAGGAGGGAGGGGAAATGAAAAAACGCTAGATCGCTGTGGATATATGCATGCCGTGAGATTGTCCGAGCCGTGGCGAGGGAAGAATGTTCGGTGGCGGAATGAGTGAGGATAATTTCAAGGAAGGTGGTAATAATGAATCATGGTCGAGGATGCCGACGCTCTATGCTTTTATTTGGACGTCGCGCTTCGTAAAGCTTGTGGGAGATTGCTATGCGTAGCGTCAATTGGGGTGATAGTGGCGATTCTCCTCTCGGCGTCTTCGACAGGAGACATTGGCGGGGAGTGGTCAGGCCATGAGGATTGTGGTGAGGGCTTAATGAATGCAGATGGTATCTTCGGCAGAGGACAATTCGGAGGAGGCGCAGATGGAGGCCCGATGGTGAGACCGTTCAGACTCTTACGTCGTGACATGACAACGGATGAAGGACGGCTTGGTGTATTCTCCGCGATTGAGGGTTTCGATGGACGTGAAGCGGTCATTGGTCTTGACTTGACACCACCCGGAGCGACTGGAGCAGCCGGACGTTGAGAGTGGGGAGGGCCCGGAAACATCGTAATATGCTCCGGCAAATGAGAGTACCGGAGACGGTTGCGGTCCCGATTGTGATTGGCATTCACAAGAGTATCCTCAGAATTTGAAGTGCGGAGCTGTTTCTTCGCCTGGTCACGGCGATCCAGTGGTTGCCGCTGATCGCGGGGATCCATTTGCATACTTGTAAAAACTTCCCGGGCCGGAGATTGTGGAGGGGAAGAAAGCATGGAGACGGCATCAATCGAAGTGTCATCCCGATGATCGCCATAAACAGATGGCAAGTGATTAACGTGCTGGGCTTCCTGCCGCGCTGCGAATCTCCTGCTGAAAAGTGGCACGCTAAAGTTCGGCGCGGGGGGTGAGGCGCTTCGAAAATGAGCATCAGGTACCGTAGACTGCGCGCGAGGTATCTCCGCAGCCTCCGAATTCGTTGACTGGGGTAGGAACATCGACTGCCGCTTCTTGGGGCTCGAAAACGTAGGGCTGACCGGCCCGGTCATGGAGGAGGCTGTTTCTGAGACGACGCTGCTATCAGGTAGTGGCGGTGACGCAAGTGCAGGTGGGATGCGGATTGAATCCTCCCCGTTGGTCGCCTCTGTTTGAGCCGTGGAAACTGACCCTGAGCGAGACCCTGGCGTTGGGTGCATTGCCATCGACCGGCGGTGGACTGAATAGTACGAACTCCGACGCGATTGCTCACCGACACTCGAATCCTTGTCTTCAAAGACCATTGACTGCCGTGGCTGGAGAAAGGCTGTTGAGATTCGGTTTGGATCCTTCTTCACCATTTGGCGCATGCTAGGCTTCGTCCGTAGTTGGCTCTCCATACCCTCATCAAACACCTTTTCAGAAACATATTTCTTCCCACCGCGTGACTCAATCTGCGCTCGCACAGCCAGCAACCAGGAGCTCAATTCATCCGGGTCATCGAACACAAGAAGGAAGTTCCGTGCTAACCGCCGAGCGTGGGTTCTGTGAAACCCAAAGCGCGAGAAGAGTGGCCGGGGTGTTTCAGGGGGATTTGTGCTACTATCCTCTTCGGACCCCTGGGATACCTGCAGCACCCAATGTTTGCCCGGAATCGCATCGCTAGCAAATGCCACAGACTTGGGTCCGAGGAGGAGCATTCTTTCGGGTAGTCTGTCATGCTTGCCCTCGCCGGAGTATTGCAAGATATATCCAGACGTGGCGAGAATATACACTTTGCGGGTCCATTCGGTCTTCTCGATATTGTCGGACAGAGCACGCAGGTACTTTTGCTTCTCCTTGTCAAGCTTCTTCTTGCGCGCCACAGAATCTTCCGAAGGCTCTTCGTTTGCTGGCTGGCCGACTTGTTGATCATCGTCCTGGAGACTTGTCCCTTTTGCCTTGAATGGGGCATGTAAGCGCATAATAGCATCGCCTGATAGGGCCGGGGCTGGGAGAGTCGCATGCTTCAGGCCTTGAGGATAAGCCTTGAAGAGTGGTGGCGGCTTCCATGTCACATCTTCCACGGTAGAATCCTCTTCACCAGTTGTTCTCGACCTATGCGTCTGTTGCAGCTTGACTCGAGATTCTGTTGACTGGGTAGGTGTTTCTGGCGGGAAATTGGAGGCTGATGCCCGCGGCGTATCACAAGATCTTGGCGATAATGGAGCGGTTGATCCAGCCGGAGCCTGGCTTACCGGGTCCTGAACCTCTTCAATGCCAGAAAGCTTAGCGTCGGTTGATTTCCTAGCAGATTTTTCGCGGCTGAAGAGGTGCCGGAGACTAGACCGGGATGACTGTCGCTTGACACGCGCAGGCTGCAATGGAACTCGTTCTGTCTGGTCATTGTCGTAATCTGTCGGTCTTGGACGCTGTACCCGCGGCGATGCGATATTTATCACTTGAGAGGTTGGTCGGCTGAAGTTCGTCTGTAAGGGGGTTAATTGGTGGCCTCGTCGTTCGCTCACAGAAGGTTGAGATGCTTTGATGTTGAATGCCATTATGGCGTGATTCTTTGGCGGGCAGCCTGGCAGCGGAGAATATTTTCGAGGTTGACGGGGATCAGAAGGAAAATATACCAATGTCAATCTCGCACCGCATACGACGTCGGTTGTATAATGTATGGCAGTGAAACAACGAAGGGAGTGGGTGAGAGGAGCTGTAACAGGGCCTGTGTAAGAGGGAGCGATTCATTGGAGTGACAACATCGAGGGAAGCGATCGTTGATGTCGTCACAACAGTAGTAGTAAAGCAATAAGTCGAATAATTATGAAATCGAAAACCCCGAAGACCAGAGGGTAATTGAAGAGAATGAACAAGGTCAGAATTGCCTCGGATTCGGAGACTGAATCAGATGTGCGGGATTGAATGGGAAGCTTTGTAACGAAGGATCGTGCACGGTGCAGAAAAGCCGGCTCTCGGCCACGAGGTGAAAAGTAAACGACTGGTCTGACTATGCGCCAGTAGTCTTCAGCAATTCCATTGCCGACATTGGTTCATGCGCCGAGGACTAGGAATGAGACGAACAGACGGCAAGCGAGCGCGCGTGTGGAAGAGAAAAGAAGAGGACCACGAGAGTGAGAAAAAGATCAAGAGAGAGTGACAAGGAAATTGCCCACTCTGGAGGACAGGAAATGAAATGACTGGTCTGTTCTTAATGCTAGGATTAAGTGAACAGCCCAATCCTATCCACTGCTGGGCAGTGACTAGAAGAGACTAAATTACTTAGGCTTGTTTGTGATCAAGTCTGAAACTGTTCCGACGGATCCCCTAAGAACCGTGGAACTGGACGATCCGCGGACGAGATCTTAGAATCTAGATGGACCAGCCGAAAGGCGATGGTGCGCAACATTATTGTGTTTTGTGGCTCAACTGGAGCCGAAGTGGTCTCTCTGGAGATAGAGACTCGAGGGGGTCGAGGCCTCGGGTGAAGCTTCATCGTTGTTGTCGAGGGGCTCTGGGTCGCGAAACCCCCTGAATCAGCTTCGAGGAGCCCCACTTTGAATAACGGTTTTCCGTTGCGAGGATTTTTAGTCTGCGTTAGCTGGTGACGAGAGTCGGCAATCCTCCAACCAGGCCAATGAGATAACTGCCACTGTTGGTCTGGCTTCTTCCAGAGTCTTGGATCGTCTGTGAAAGGGGGATCAGCACGAGCCACAAGAGACTTGGTCAGTTCAGAGGCTGCGGGTTGACCGGCACCTCACAGTCTCTCACCTCGGATTCATTCTGCGTTGCCAGCTTCATGAGACAGTCCAACGGAAGCTTCGAAGATTCGAAGCAGTGCTTGACGGAGAACATCATGCACCTTAGATTCGGGGATCGTCAACCACGAGTCAACAACACGCGACGCTGACTCATCTGAACCTTCTCCCCGGACTTTTGCGTTGTGCATAGAGTTGATGTCGGTCCCAAAAACGAGAACACTAATATTAGTAGCAGCATAGCTTAATTACAACCCGCTGGATAACCATCGCAGTGCACACAGCCTACGCCCCCGGCCCACACTTGAGGCCTTGTCCTTGTTCCACCACGCCCACCAACTCCGCTGCCTGATCACAGAACTGCGCCATCGAAGTGTCCTTATCGGTAAGGCCTCGAGGGTGGTGAGTCGTCCAGTATGCATCGACTGATCCGAATCTCTGCGGGCTGTTGTTAATGGTATGAGCGGGGAGTAGAGCAAGATCAACGTACAATCGTCATTGTGGCATGATGTTTCTTGGTGGCACTCTGTGAAGCAATCACGTTGACGAAGCTCTGCAGTCAAAAGATATTAGCTTCGCTAGAAAAATACTCGGAGTTGACTGAGTGCGAATGGAGAAGCATACCACTGCCTTGAAATAAGATTTGAAATAAAAGGTCTTTTTGATGCCAATCTTATCCTCGTCCAAGGTCCATCCATTGCTCTGTAGCGCGTTCAAGGACGGGCGAAGCCGCTCGGGGTCAATGCCGTCAGCAAACTGAGGCTCAGAAGCCATGGTTGAGGCACTCCGGGTAAACGTTCCGTGCGATGGCTGCGCTCGAGAATATAGCTTCGAAAAAGCACACGTCCGTAGCGTTCGATGCTGAACTGGTGCGTGTTGTTGAAGAGCTGAGTAGTATACACTACACATTGGCCGCAGAGAAAAAAGCGGTTTCTGAAGGCGCAGGCAGCCCTTGGATGCGGGGTTCATGATGAAGTATCTCGGCACTCGAGGATGCTGAGCTTCTGCGAATAACATAGGGAAGGTTTCACAGCGTCACTGTGCTCATCACGTGACCATCGACCAGGAAGTTCGAGATGCGCGTTCATGTCTTTGATAGATTTGATTGCAGCCTTCATGTAGAGGGTGCGACTCTTAAGGTGGCCGCTATGATTGGTAGATATCTACCAATACCCTACTTGTTCCTGGACAATGGTAGGCGTACGATGGGTTGGCCTACCCTAGATCGAAGGTGCTATTATATTGTACCAATCCAGGGCGTTGCCCCTCTGAGACACTTTCAAGAACGAAAGTAATGCTACGCTACAAGAGCTCTAGACGATCAGAATGAGTTTTAATCGTTTCATGACACAGCTAAGGCCTCTGCCAGATCTCAAGAGCAATCACAAAACTAGTTGAAACCCCAAAGCATAGTTGGAATACAGGTCGAGAAAAATTGCTGAACGCGATTCGCTGGGGAATTAACGAGCCAGATGAACCTGAATCAAAACACGCCACACGGTCATCGCGGTTCCTCGAATAGCATCTTGAAAACAAGGACCACGTTGAGAAACGGGAAACATGCAAAAGAAGCAGAAACCTGTAGATGCAGAACGAAGCCCTCCCATGCAAATAACTGAGAAAAAGAAAACCAGGAAAGAGATTGAACGGCGCCAATAACGAGGATGATCAAATCCATCCACAGAGAAACCGCAGTAGGTGGTAAAAAAGCCTAACAGAACAAATCCCGTGTGGCTCCATATACTGCTGTGGTGTATCTCCATTTCAGAGCCAGACACCCGTTGAATTAGCGTAAGTCATTACTGCATGATTACTGTCGTCATGCTTCGGCGGAGAAGCTTGGTCTTGCAGAGGCAGTGCGAGAGGTGGGACGAGATGCTGCGAAGCTGTTCTGACGGCTACCCAGCGTCTGGCGAATCCGCAGGTTCTGCTGAGACCGAGCAAATGAATTCGCCCGCGAAGTGGTCGGGACACGCGATAGGCGGCCGGTGTGGACTGCGCCATGGCTCTGAAGTTCGGCCCTTGCGTCGGAGAGCTGCTGGGCAAATGGTGACCGCTTGCGAAGTGTTGGGCCGTACCAGTAAATGGCGTACACCGCAATTACCAAGATGAAAGAGATGCAAACTATGCCGGTTAGTTGAATTATTATGTCGAGCAAGGCTCTGTGACTTACAAAGGATAGTGGATGCATATTCAAGGTGATGTTCGCCGCCAATGTCTGCAAGTTGATTAGTATCAAGCTGATTGAGATGTGGCTGGGAGATGTGTCACTTACTCTGGAAGAAGGGCGTGGCAGGAATCGTCAGAACACCAGCAAGGAAGTCTCTCGCCCAGCCGTTTCCACCAGTGGCCGAGGCCGAGTACGGACCATAAGCGCAGATCATATAATCGATAGTGGCCATGTAGATGCTGTAGTTCGCGATACCGACAATAGCAGAGAAAACCATGGTACCAATCCAGTGAACGGGGGGTCCAAGGCTGGTCCAGGCAAAACCAATCAAACCAATAGGCAAGCAAGGAGCAGTATAGAGTAACCACCAGAGACGGGACTCGTACTGGGCTTGTTCGTCGTCAGGCTTCTCACGCCTCTCTCGGATGTTGCGCTTAATCACTGGAATAAAGGAACCCCAAGCAATGAAGTAACCCACGAGAATCGGGAGGAAAGACAAGCCCTTGGTGACAGTAGTGAAGCCCCACTGGTCGTACACCAGACCAAAGGACTGGATGAACATGAAAATCAGTGCATCACTGAACCCACTGAGCAGCGAGAGGGTCAAGACAATCGGCTCGGTCACAAACATCCTGAACGGACGAATCCAAGTGGCAAGAATCTCACCCATTGAGAAACGCTCGCGATAGGGAACAAGTTCGTTGGGTCCATAGATGTTCGGGTTCTCGCCACTCTCCCTCATCTTCTTGGCAATACGGTCCATCAAGATGGTCGTGCGAGTCTCGGGGACAAGAAGAAGGTGGGCAAGCTGAACAGCGCCTCCAAAGATGAGCTGGATCCAAATGTTCCAGCGCCACGCAAGGTTCGCCTCAACAAAACCACCGACAACAGGACCAATAACAGAGCCACCAACAGAAGAGAACACAACACAAGCAACAGCATACTGCTGGTCGTCTGCCTCCCACAGATCGGCAATCATACCCAACGTAACCGAGCCGCCTGCGGAACTGAGACCGCCCAATGCACGTCCAACCATAATCGAAGCGAAATTCGGTGCCAGAGCCACGGGGAGCTGCCAGATATTGACCAAAAACAAACTAGCTTGAAGAATTGGCTTGCGGCCGATCTATATCGATCATATTAGCCTCAAAACCCACAAAAACAACGGGGAAAGGGGAGACTAGCCTCCTCACTCCAAGGAGCCCAGAGCTCACATCCAAAGGCGTATAAGACAAGGAAGATCATTGCGCCGCAGCGGGCGGCCTGCATGCTGACGTTGAACTCCTCAGAGATGCCGGTGAGGGCGTTGGAGTAGAGACTGGTGTTGAAGTTCATGGAGGTCTGGACAAGAAAGATGACGGAGATGATCATCCACTTCTTCCAGCTGGGGAAGGCATATCCGAGCTGGTCGTAGCAGTCATCCTCGGTCAGCTCGATTTTTTCGCCCGGCTTGTTTTCGAGCTGGCGGAGGGTGGCCCCGAGGGTAGGAGCATGGGGGACCTGAGACTTCTCGAGGTCGTCACCTCCTGCTTTCTCCTTGTCGGCCTGGAGGATGGCATCTTCCTGGGAAGACGAGGCTTCGGACTCGCCGGGTTTCTGTGGATTCTCCACGTCCTTCTCCGAGATGGGCGAGGCCATCTTGGTCAATTCACCACTGACGCCAGTTAGCGAGTTCAGTTGAATGCGAAGCACAGTGAGGACAGCGTAGGTTGAGAGAGGGAAGTAGGTAACGGAAGAAGATAGCTGAAGATAGAGCAACACAAGGGGAGGGACAGTGATGCAGCAAGAAGCAACACAATGCAGACAAAGTGTTACAACAATCGAAGACTTACATAGACACTGGTTGAGGAATCTGTCACACAGATGAATGAAGAAAGGATCAACACTGGGAGTGGTCGAGTGCGGAGAGAGGTGTAGAGGAATAGGAAGGTGGAAAACAAAGAAGAAATGATGGGGAAATGACGAGAAGATAAAGGGTCGAGGGGTTGAAGGAGGGTTGGGAGGGGAAAGAAAAGAGCGAGCCACTGAAGGAAGGAAAAAGAGAGCCAGCCTGTCATCATAATTGTGATCGAGAGGCAAGAACCCCCCAAAGGGGAAGGAACGGCCAACGCCGCCCAAGCCATGGCCAGACCTGGGGCGCCAGTGTTACTCTGAATTCCTCCGCTTACTCCAGAACCTTGAACCTGAATGAAACCGATTGCCCAGGTACTCGCTTGACTTGTGGTCAACCACAGGTCCGCGATGACGATCTCTCTCTCGAGCCCACTTCAAGCTTCAAAGCGCCCATGTAGATCTCGCGGCTTGGCGGTTGATTCCTTCTGTCTTTTCTTTTTCGGTGTACTACTGTCGACGTAGCTACTACAGACAATCGATGTACATGAGATGTAACTGAATCTGCTGAATTGAATTCCCCCCTCCCGCAGCAAATTGCAGAGACCGCGTTCGTCCAGGCCGTTTATGCGCTGGCTGTTCTGGGTCGGAATCGCTTCGAGATGGCCGGATCGGGAAGACCCATTGGTTGCCGTGACGGTAGCGGGATTGCGTCGGGACCGAACGAATTCGGATAGACGGCGCAGGCAGTCTTCAACCTGCAATCTACATACAGCCTGCGGAGTAGTAAGCCGCTAACGATCTTCATTTCATCTGCTGTCAGCCAGCATGGTGTGGTTGTACGATGCAAGGGAGTCGGGATGCCCAAGGCTGTACTCCGTAGGCGTGGTCTCCCGAGGGGGGCCGATCGGTCCAGGACAGGGTCAAAGTTAATGCCATGGGCTCATCCATGTTTTTCCTCTCACGGTTACGCATGTGGCGACTGTCTCAAGTGGGCCACTGAGGTAATAGCCTCTGGGATTTCTCCTGTCCATCCAGACTTTTTCGCGTGTCCTGCTCAACAAGATTTTGCAAGTCGGGATCATATGGTTTGCCGCAGATGACGTCAATGGGCCGTTTCTGCCCCATTTATCGCGGATCGTGTTTCTTGGAGAAGTCTTGACCATTTCTTACCTTGTCTTAGCAATGACTTCGCTTGGCTTTGTGAGAAGTAACTATTTTCTTACGGTACTGATACTGTGATTCTCCTGCGATGCAGCGAGGGAAAAAATTCTGCGGGATGTGACCTCGTGGGGGTGAATTCGCTCGCTTTCGACGGGGTTGTGGGGTTTTTCTCCATGGGCTCGAGCCCATCACAATCTCTCCAGAATTCGGACGAATTGCCCCAGACAAGGGCACGCTGCAGACTTGCGAGGCAACTCACATCACACCATCATCCTGTGCCAGTGTCACAAACGCCAAACATGCGAGCCACCACCCAAGACACCCTATACCCTCTCTTCTTTCTCACTATCGCGATGTTCTCCGGAACACGGAAGGTACTGTTGCAGGAGTGTAGGATTAAGCATGCGCTAAGGCGTTCATCAAGCCAGCCACCGAGCAGCCAAGAGGAACCATGCCACGGTTAAATAGGTCTGGGCAAAAACAGCACTTGCAAGTTGCTTATGATGTTTGCGGTTTCGTAATGATCGCCGCACACATCTCTCTATCATAGAATGTATCAGAATGTTTGAACCCACCTGATCTTCTAGATTCCCACGTTGAATGTAACTTCAAATTCCCCGACTCCACGATCCACAAGAATTTGGTTGAGAACAACAGTGGTCACGTGTGCGATCGACAAGTCTCGGCTGTTTCCGGAGTCCTAGAATGTGCTAGTCTGCTTGCGAAGTGCCCGTTGACCGTCACCGCCTTCTGTTCTGGACAGCTTCTGGCTGCCCCTCGTTAGGCTCGTTCCCAGTCATACCACCAGGAGCAGTCAGTTCAAACTCCATCTGCCAGTTTCGTTTTTGTCTTCGCGTCCATTCTCACGCATCTGAATTCGTCTTTTCGTGGACAAGCGAGCTGAAAGCACTTGCTCATTGACTTCTTTCCCTTTCAGGATGTGTCCTGACATCAATTCCCTTCCTCCGTCTCGTTCCGCATCTGCTTCCCCACGCCAACGACGGACACTCTCCAGCTTATTGGACGCGCTAGCACCAACCCAAACCATGTCATCAACCGGTCCTCCCAATCCCACTTCATCGACTCACAACAACCACTCCAACAGCACTAGCAACATGACCACCGAGCTGCCACGTCGGCACCGCCCGATCTCGGTCTCGGAGCGTCGCCGGTCGGGAAACCTGGGCCTGAACACTGGCAACAATGGCTACAATGAACCGAGTATCGGAGATGTGCCGGCGTCCTCTGAGCATCGGTCGTCCATCAGCCACGGCATCCGTACCTCGAGCCCGTCCAATATCGGGGGAAGCCCTGTGATTGGCACCGGTGATCCGCATCACCAGCGTACTCCATCCCTCGGGGAGCTTCATCAAGAACTCGAGCAAGAACAAGAAGCTCAAGTGGTAAATATGGTCTGTGTGACATTTCATGGCTCATGCTTATCTTCTTGTAGAACCGACTTCTCCAAACAATCAGAAGCCAACAGGTTCGGCTGCAGCATCTTGAGCAGCAACATCAGCAGCCACAGTCTGCAATTGATGATGTGACTCCGTCCTCGGAGCGCTCTGCAACATTCCCCCCAGTTGCCCCTCTGTCAACTGCAGGCAATCGGACTTCAACTCAGCTGTCTTCTTCGCTATCAAGTCGCCGTCCGAGCCAGGCACAATCACCCAGTCTCCGACCATTGGCCGACGCCCGCAGCTCCGAGACTCTAGAGTGGGTCCCCGGCCCCAGTGAGAGCGCAGGAAGGCGGGGCAGCAGAGACGAAAGTAGCTTTTACCAAGCCGAGGCGGCAATGCTCTCTCGGGAGAATCAGATGTTACGGCAGCGTATTCGGGAACTAGGTGAGCGATTTACTGTCCCCTTGATGCTACCTCGGGGTCTGTGCTCTCAAACTCAGGCACCTCGCTGACGCTGATATAGAACGCCAAGTGAGTGACTTGACGACGAATAATACCTCCACACGGGGGCCGAGCGCAGCAACGCCCGACGTGCCTAACCCCAATGAACCCCGGGCAACAGCATATGCGGGATCTGACGGTGAGTCGTCAGACAAGACATGATTGGTTGGGGGCGGTGCCGGAAAAGACTATTCAGACGACTTGACTTTTCAAGTCTCGGGGCACCAGGATCGACATCAAACGCTTGACCTTCGATCCATTCCAGATTGAACGCAACTTGTCAGAGTAACTCAGAAAGAGTTCATTGCTGCTGTGAAATGCTGCCAGTCACGGAGACGCGCATAACGGCTCCACTGGTGTCCTCAGCATCAGACGATCGACGTCAAACTTTACCACGTAAACCTCGCAGCGCTATGCCGTGCTGTTGCTCTCATCGGGTTGTAGAGGGCCGATCTTCGGGATATCAAATTTCGAAGATCTTCTCATCTGTATTTCACAACTAGACTAAGGAGCCATCAACCATGAATGCAGCATTATTTCGACGGTGCTACTCTAGCCCCACACTAACAGTGTCTACACGCCATAGAATTCAGAACTAAGCGCATCCCTCGCATACAGTCAGACAAACACGTGGACTCTACTGCCACGCGGAGCAGCCCAACGCACTAAACCCCTTGCTCTGTACGTGAAACATAAGGATAGTGTAGCGTGGCGGCAGGTAAGCAAGGGAGGACTTCAGGCTTCAAGCGCTTGGGGTCAAAGTCGAGACCGTGAACGGTCCTCCAATTTTACACCGATAGAAGAATTCACCCTTTCCCAAACCCTGCCAAACCATGAGCAAATCACCAGAGCTTTCCGATCTCGTCCCAATTCACCCACGATAAGCTACCCGGGGCTGTGTCCACGAGCATGACTTACCTGGAGGATTGAACGTAAGAAGACAGAGGCTCGCCACCCAAGCTCGCCAGCTCGTTTTGGTTCTCTTAAAGCTTCCGTCATGATTGTCAGCAAACCAGTCCCGAAATTCGAGCACTGTCCGCATAACCTTTCATGAAGTGAGCACTCGGGTTCAACGTCCATAAGCAAGGCCCGGTCCCGGCCTTATAGGAACCTTGATGGACTCTTCAATTGTAGGTTTACATGGATGGTCCGGCACTCCCTCGATTCTCGATTGTATCGAGCTACTAGTAGTCATGTAGTTGCCTTACAGACGCTCCTCTATCCTCTAGTCGCGCAGCCAGAGCAAAGTGGGCTACTTACCGAAGCTACTGCAAGTTGCTGACATCTACTAAGCAAGATTTGCCTACTTGAAAGTTTACTTGGTACGTATCCTCTGTCTCATTCTCATCTCCACACCCCCGGACCATCTCCGGCTCACAGACTCGACTTCTGTCTATCCCATGCCATGCCATGCCATGCTTGCCAAGTCATGGCCTGTGTACGAGTTATCATCGGCATACTGCGATACAGCTCGTTATGATTGACTATTTCGGTGCCTCATACGAGGCTGATGTTGGAGCTATGGAGCGGAAGTATTTTTGTAGACCAGGCGGCCTTCGACGGGTTAGATAGTTCGAGGTAGAGGAGATAGTCGTCGCGGCTGGTGGCTAGCATCGCTTCGGTCGCTAGCATCGCTTCGGTCAGGTCACTACTCAGAGTTCCTAGAAAGTTATGGGACAATGGGGTTGGAGCTTGTCTTGTGAATATGACCAAGTCGGGTGGCCTTCTCCTCCTTGAATGTGGCATCTTCATTCTCCATTTCCCTACCCCATTGTCATGGTTTCTGTAGACTTGTTGCTTTTTTGCTAGATATGAAATATATCTTTATTATACGAGCATTTGCACCTATGTTGATGTTTTATTTGAAAGAATGCATATGCAGAAGAATAAAAACCAACTAAATGAGTCTTCAAACCTCATATATTCTCACTCAAATATAAATATACATACATCAAGCTAGATAGATAGAAAGCTAGATAGCAGACCAAAACGCAAAACAAAGAACCGCAACTCTATGCATAAGAAAGTCATCAACTGAGATCTGTCTAGCGGCTCTTTTTCTCCTTCTCATATGACGACACACGGGGGATAAATGACGGGCGAAGAAAAAAAAAAAATCACAGCTTGGCCTTCTCGGGCTCGGCGGCGAGATCGGGCATCAGCATGTCGCGGATGTCGCCGGCGGCTTCGTTGATGTAGTAGCTCATGCGGTCGGCGCCGATGCGCTTGCAGACGATGTTGAAGTTTAGGCTGTGCGATCATTAGCATTTTCTACCCAACGTAAAGAAGGAAGGGAATGTACCTGTTCTCGTTGATCATGTAGGCGATACCAAATCCATCATCAATAACCTGGCTCCATCCGTAGCCGTTAAAGTACTCCGAGCTCAGCTGACTGGTAGAGAGATACCATGATCCCGAGTACGCGTAGGCAGGGTCCGAGTAGATGGAGGGAAGAGGCTCGCCCTCACGGAGGAGCTTCTTCAGACCGAACAGGTGGCGGTCGACACCCTTTCCGTCACTCGCTTCGGCGGTGTACTTGCTGTGCGCGGCGAGGGCGGTGCGGAAGAGGCGGACAGCTTCCTCGCGAGGAACGGCAGGGTCGCTGATGGCCTTGCAGAAGGCGACGCTGTCGTCGGAGACTGTGCGGATGGTTTCTGTGCGGCCCTCGGCGAACTTGCGGGTCGAGGCGGATTCGTAGGTAGGGCGGTTCTTGCCGTACATCTTGAAGTAGGCGAGCTGGATGATCATCTGGACGTAGGCGTCGGGGCTGCACTTGAACTTTTTAATCAAGCCCTTGCCGTAGGCTTGGTAGGATTGAACGCGCAGCTCGTGGGCGGCGATCTGCTGGTGGTGCTCCTTCGCCGCGGCGTCGATAGCTTCCAAGACCTCCTCGTTCAGGGTGAAGTTGATGGGGCGAGGGTCAGGTAGGTCAGATCGTACGGGCTTCTCGGAGAGATCGATCTTGTTGTTGAAGATGGAAGCGTTGAGGTGGTCGTTCATGCGGTGTGTCGGGCTGCCGTCCATCATGCTGTGCTCGCCCATGAAACCGGCCGTGCCGTTCTCGTTGATGATGAACTGGAGAGGCTTGTCAAACCAGCGGTTGGAACCATCACCGTGCCAGTACTGGCGCGCACGCTCCTCCAAGGTGACAGGGGTCGCATCGTCCAGGCAGACGACGAAACCAGCGGACTCGATATCCTCCAGAGACGTGGCGTTGATGGGGTCAGCGGCCAGGAGCTTCTTGCGGGCAGCGGACCAGTGGTCACGGTTTGCGACGGTCAGCACACCGACAGGGGCCTGCTTCTGGGCGATCTGGTAGATGCGCTCGAACTGCTTCTCCAGTTCGGACACGTTGAGGGGACGGCCGTTAATAGCCAAAGGCACCTTGAAGAACTGGTTCTTGCGCACAACAACAATGTGATCGTGCTCCTTGGCCGGGTACTTCTTGGGGTAATCCGCGACGTCGTCGGGAATACGGCAGCAGTTGAACATGTACTGGTATGAGCTCATGGCCTGAGGAATCCCGCGCAGGTACTCAGGCTCAATGGAGCCATCGTCCACCTGGCGCTTGAAGTCCAACGCCGCAGTAGTGATAGCAGCAGCCCGCTTAACTGGTTGCCGGCGAGCACGGTCATCACGGTATGAGTAAAAGTAAGAAACATAAGGAATAACAGGGTCGCGGTAGCCGAGGTAAGCAGCATGGTTCCACCATTCGGTCAGCCAGTTCTTGCGCTTGGGGTCCGCCGCGCGAGCAAGCAATCGCTCCTGCAGAGTGTGGCCGGCGCCGCCAGGGCGCACGAACTCCTCCACGGCTTTTTTGGTGTTTTCATATTCTGCCTCGGAGACGACTGCGTGGACGGACTTGAGGTACCGCCGGCCGGTTTCCTCGAGTGTTGGCACCGGGAGTTTAGGGAGGGAGTCTTCGAATCGGAGCATGTTGCCCTTGGAGACATCTTCCTTGTACCCTGTGACCAAGTTAGCAATTCTGCTGCCAGCGAAATGTATCCGGTGGGATTGGGGAGCGCATGTGACCACTTACCCTCGGGGACAGAAGAAGCCTTGCGCCGGGGAGCCATTGTTGACGCCTATATGGGCTCAATCAGCCTGCTTTCCTCATATTCGGTCCTAAAACAGAAAAAAGCATCCTACCACAGAAGATCTAGCAAGAAGCGAATTCGTGGGAGAAAGGCGGGGGCGAGCAAGAGAGGAAGAGAAACGGCTCCGGGCAGCCGCTGTAAACATCCCTCTCGGTGGTGGCGGAATACGGGGGAGAAGGGGAAGAAATTAGAGACGTGAGAGGGAGAGGTTTATTTTGAATATATGAAGAAGGTTGAGGAAAGGACAGGGAGTCAGAAGAGACGAGAAATTCACGGGAGATGAAAGACGAGTACGGAGAGAAGAAGTGCGAGCAGCAGAGGAGGCAGAAGAGCGAAACGAACCTCGGCTCATTGAACGTCCTGGACCGGGGCTGTATTGGGCTGTACGGTGCTGTCAATATCCACCCCTTTTTGCCAGCAAACCCGCATTCGGCATGCGTAATCCCGGTACATGACCGCGGGGCCGGGAGCCACAACCACGGCCGCCTCCCATAACCGTCTGGGATTTGGCCCTTCGCTCAGCCTCGGTCCGATCACGTTCGCTGATGGTGAGCAATAGTTAATCTATACGAAGACCACTGACTGCGCCTAAAGCCGGAGTCTCAAAGCCGAAGTCGAGTATGGCTGCGGCGTACTGTAAGTCTTTCAATGTCTTTCTCAAAATCTGGGGCACACGAAAATCGCCTCGTCGCCACCCGCTACGGACCTACGGTCAGGGAATGCGGGGAGAGATCCAAGCGAAACGTCCGATTCTCGCGAGTTCGGACTCTGGGCTTCATCCAGTGCATAACACGACATACTGGTACAAAGCCTATCAAGTTCCTCGTACGCTGTAGACAGATTAAGCTTAGGCTCCCTTCATCCGTCCCCTTGATCCGATCTGCATCATCCCCAGGATCTGTGGACGAATCATGGCAACTGCCCGTCTGACACAGCATGCCACAACCATGGGTACAGAGAGTACGACCCCAGAATCGAGAAGAACAAAAGTTTGAAAGTGAGTAGTAGCCAAATTGAAGATGAACATAATATACGAGAAAACTGCAGTAAATAACAAGCCGCCCATGATCAAACCAAACATTCCATGAACAGGCTTTGCGCCACGCCTCGCTAGTACACAAACGAATCATACAACAATTTCCTGACAAAGTAAAGACAGAGAAGTAAAAAAAGAAAGAGACATAGAAAGGGAAATTACACTAGGGAATTAAGATTAGACAATAGTCTCACGACACAGTCTGCATCGCGGAGGCGGGCTGCTCTTGGCTTTCAATCGCCTTGGTCTTGCGCCGCGGAACATGCACGATGCCACTGCGCAGCTGATCCAGCTTGATCACACCAGGACCTGTACAGATACGTCCAGTCTGGATAAGGTTGCGCAGTCGCTTGCGCCGAGCCTCGCCGCTGCGCTCTTCTGCGCGACCGACGCCTTCGTCAACCCACTCGATCCGAAGGACTTTGAAGCTCATACCATCGTGGTTCTGTTCCCAGGGCCGCGACCTGAGGCCGAAGAGCACGCTAGACTCGTATCGCTCCAGTTTGGGCAAGATAAGCAGCGTAATGTGTAGGTCCTTGTCAGACGGTGGTGCTGGAGGGATTTTGGGTCGCTCGCCCTCCTCGATACCCATATCCTTGGCTGTCTTAGGCGCGTGTTGGAAGGCTTCCTTGATCTCCAGATCAAGCATGTCAACATCGACGTCGTCTCCCCAAGCACCTCGAATAAAGCCAGAGTGGATTGCAGCGGCAACTGGGTCCGAATCGTCGGTGTAGATTCCAGTGCCCCAGAGGGCGCGGCGGGCACAGATCTCTTCGCGATGGCTAGTATCGATCCGGAAGCGAGGAACACGGATGGTAAATGTGCAGTTCTCCTTGCCATCGAAGCGAGGCAGAGGCAGTGGGGTGGTGGTGTATCCGAATTTGGCACTCTCCAGGGTCGCCTTTGCTGTCGGAGCTCCAATTCTTGGAGCGTACAGAGTGGAGCCGAGATGGTGGCGTGGGAGTTGAGCAACGCTAGAAAGCACAGGTTCAATTGTAACAACAGTACGGGGTTCGCGCATAGGGACAACAGTGGCCGCCGAGCTAGCGGTGCGAGGGATATGGTGATGATGGTGGTGGTGGTGATGATGGTGATGAAGAGCTTCTGGAGTAGGCCCATCACTTGGTCGATGGAACATGTTCATAGACAACGGACGATGGGAGTTGCCAAACGGAGACTGCTCCTCTTCAGGTTTGTGATGATGGTGATGGTGACTACGATTCATTAGTCTTCTATCGTATAGGAAGACAAATCAAGGGTAGGAACTTACTGATGATGGTGGTGGTGAGGAGGACGACTTCGTCGTCCACCACGCGTAGAGGCTCCCAGTCGACTATCAAGACCATTCTCATTCTCTCCACGGTTCTCTTCTTCCGATCTCTTGGTCCGTTTCCCGGTCGCAGAGGATGGTCGAGCAATCCTGCTCTCGTCCGTAGTTTCGGTATTCGTAGATCGAGCAGTAAGACTATCCCGCTTGAAAGGGCTTGAGGTCATTGGGGTCGAAGGCCCGCTGCCAGTGCTTGTCGCGGTGACACCACCAACACCACTCCCAATACCCGCAAAGACCCTACCCAGTTCACTCTTCAACCCCGAGTCGCCAGCCGGACCAAGGATTTGAGCCTGCGCACCTTGAACAGCCTGAGGCAGTGGCGAAGCCCGGCCGCCCCGCTTCGCATCCAAACCAACGCCAAGAAGGCTACGGTGCTGTAGCAACTCATCACTGCCTTTACGCGGCTGATCATCTGAGGGCGAAGGGTTCAAGAACGACGACGATGAGGGACCAGAGGAGGCTCCACCATAAAGGCGGGATTCGCTAAGTCGCTTGCTCAGGTAAGACGGTTGTTCGCGCGGCGACGAAGTCCTCTGGCCCTGCTGCGTCTGGGTAGAAAGTGTATTCTGACGAGTACCTCCCGGCTGTGAACCAAGAGACTTCGTGTAGTTTTGGATCGCACCAAATCCGAAGCTGGAACTGCTCACCTCCGGCGCTGAGGACCGCTTCGATTCTGGTGAGGCTGGCTGGGAGCGACCCATGTCCCAACTCGACGACGAACCTTGTGGGCGACCGGTTGTTGTTGCTGTTGTTGTGTCGCGGTCCCCGTATAGTGAGCCAAACCTTGACGGCGGGGCGCTGGGCTTGTTGGTTTCTGGCTGGTGTGACATACCTCGTTCCCTGTCTCGACGAGCCTGTTCCTCGGCCTGGCGGTCGCCATACAGGCCTCCAAACCGACCATACGGAGATTCATGGCTCAAATAAGACGGCGGACGATGTTGCGGTGCACCGAACGAGCTCTCTCCTGGTGCTGCAGCTGGTCGCGAGAGGGGGGTATATCCGGCGGGTCGCGGTGGAGGTTCGAGGTGCTGTGGTTGACTGTTCGGCCGAGGCGGTCCGTTGAAGCTCAAGCGACGCGAATCATTACTGCCATATGGTGGTTCCGCGGGGGAGACCTGAGGCGACTGATGCGTGGAACTAGGTTTACTCGAATACTGCGACGCGGACGACAGCCGAGATAACCCGCCATACTTGGGCTGTTCGGCTGCCGTCGTTGCAGGTGGTCCACCTCCCGAGCTCGATCGATAGGCTCTGCCTCCGCCAGGTTGGGCACTTCGCGAAAAAGGCTTCTCGGGGGTCTGCGATCGACGAAATAGGGGGTGTTCGAGGGGCGACGGCCGTGCGGGAGCAGTGGGAGGGGACATGGCACCGGGAGCCGATGGCGGCGGGGGCGGCGCACTACCGAAGGGACCGGAGGAAACAGGAAGACGCGAGATAATGGACGAGCCTACATCCCGGGCGGGTCGGTCAGCGTCCGAGCCTAGCATGGCCGATATCGACATGCTGCTCCCTGGACGATGATGAGCCGCATTGTTGGGAGGCTCACGCGACAAGAATGGGGTGGAGAGAGAGGAGGGATTTCCCGATTGACCGCGCGACGGGTAATGTTGCGGTGGAGACGGAGGAGGCATCCGACGTGATCCCGACGAGGGAGCGGAGGACTGATCTTGTTGGCCTAGGGAGAAGGAGAACATGGGCGCAGACGTTAGCAAGCTGGATCCTTTTGTTTCTGGGATTGTGAGATGAGGCAAACGGAGAAAGGAAAAGCGTTCGGGTGATGTGTCTCCGGTTCTCGCGCCGGCTAATTTCGCTTCTCCTGGCTGCAAGGGGGATCAGGAGAGAGCAGACGCCTGGCACTCACCAGAAAAGGCGGAACTGCCACCACTGCCCCAGGACCGCCGGCGGGAGTGGTCATGCGACTGGGGAGGGTTCATGTCGCATGGATAGGAAGAAGACAGTGAACCAAACACGAACGACAGGGCAGCAAGGGGAAGTGAGGCGACGCGAAGTGAGAGAGCAAAGGGGGAATCAAACGGAGATAGTCCGAGGCGCACAAAGACGCGATGGAGAAGAAAGAGGGGGATATGAGGTCGGTGGGAAGATCAGACGGGAGATGGGGGAGGAAGGATGAGATGAGGATCAGGCATTCTTCGCAGGTGATGGACACAGGATGAGCAGCAACAAGCGCCAACGGCAGATTCACCGTACACTGGCACTTTGAGCCTTGGGCGGCTGGAGCTGAACCCCGTGACTGCCGGTCTCCGTGATTGGCCGCCCACAAGAGCTGCTGCAGCGCCAGGCCCCTCCCAGACGCGGTGCCCTGGCCTGGAGCACTAGGCCGGCCAGGGACTAGCGCTCCCGAGAGTGCCTCAGGCGGGCAGTCGATCAGGAGCCGGCGGAGCTGCCGCTGATTGGCCAGGCCCAAACTTTGGGTTCCTTACAATGCAAAATGGCGTAACGCGACAGATCAAAGGAAAAGAAAGGGAGAAGTACTTTGTACAGGGGGCTGGAGTGTGGGTGGTTGTACGGGTAGGTGCAGTGCCTATAGAAGATTTCTTGACTCACTTTCTTGAGGAACAACAACAGCGCGACGCTCCCGATCGCTCAGCGTACGCCGATGCGATTTAGAGTCACCCTGGCCCCTTTCATCTTGATGAGGCTTTTTCCGCGAACCGTGGTTCGCTTGTGAGACACGGTACCCATGCTCCCCTCTTCGATATGGCGCATAAACACTATCCGCGGGATGTAGAACGCGGCTCGGGGGTCCATCGGGCGGAGGGTAACTGTAGCCAGCCGGCGGAGGAGGAGCTGATCGAGGCATCTCGTGTCGTGCTGGCTGTTGCTGTTCAAGCTGATCGTAGGTTGGTCGCAGTGGTCTGTGCGAATACGAGGGAGCTGACAGAGGCGGCGCAGGTGGTTGTTGAGGTGAAGGAGCTGCTGTAGTAGCAGTAGGACGTGGAGGCGGACCAACAACAACAGGAGGAGGAGGTTGAGCAGGAGGGAGGGGCGGAGCGATACGAGGGTCGGCAGGCTGTATCGATATCGTGTGCGGAGGGTATGTTGAAGGGGTCGGATAGTACTTTTGGTAATTCATCATGATTGTTGATATTATTCTCCAGCGCCAGCGACCGGGCAAGTTAGCGCATGTGAAGACGAGGTGGAAAACGAGATGGACGAGAAGGAAGGAGGAGAAAATCTGGCACTGTGGAGGTTGAGATGGAGCAAGGGAGGAAGCAGCCAAATTACGGTGAGAAATAACCGAAAGGCAAGCAAGGAAACAAGAAGAACCCTCCACGCGACAGAGATCCTGTCTGTTGCCAGAGGGCAGAGCGGCCAGTGCCAGATCTATTGGAGGCGTCGGAACAAAAGCGCAGCCGGAGCCAATGGAATGCAGCAGCGAACCGCAGCTAGTGCTTTTGTGGTGGTGGCAGCGGGGAAAACGGTCGATCCGCCAGATTCTGTGGTGATCGAGTTTTAAGGCATCATTGGGCTCCAGCCTGCGCTGAGAGCACGGTGAGGTATGATATGCAGTCAACGTGTCATGGGGGGTGGGCTCTGGTCTCCGGAAGTATATTTCAGCCCTCTGCTGATTTTTCTGATGACCAATTGCCTACGAAGCTATGCAGGGATCTTACCACTATGCGCAACAGACAAGGATATATAGTAGCCGCCCAGCTATCGCCAGCCAAGGACGCTAATATCAGCATTACAAACGAAGCCCAAGCAGACCGTTTCGCTTGGCTTTCTTTGTCGCATGCAACGCCAGACCGATTCGACAATGGCAATTGAATTTGTAGTCTGTTCCTGCAAATGGGATTTCCTAGGTTCGTGGCCTGAAAAGCCAAATAATAAAGTTCATTGCAAACCATGGCATCCAGTGAAGCATATTCTTACACCTCTATCAAAATATTCACACAAGGGTATAAAGCTAATTCATGTACACAATCATGGACGGAGCAAGAGATCACAACATTATAGTCTGATGCCACAGTCAACACCCCCTCATAATCCGCGACAGCCGCTCCATCCACGAGGGTCGCTGGCGCTCGTTCTCCGCAAGGACAAGTGTAACCGGTCGCATGACAAGGCCTCGCGTCCCATTATCGCGATAAGACAGATATCCGCTCTCATTTAGTGTTCTCAACTGCGCAAAGAGCCGTGGCCACGTTGTGTGCGCGGGAGTATGGATATCCAGGATTAAGGTGAAAGACTGCGTCGGGTTTCCTTCGAATAGTCCGATGGTGTTGATCTCATCGGAGTCACTCGTGTCCTTATCAGTGGTGCTGGAGGTATTTGAAGAAGGAGGATTCAGCGCATCTAGCTTCGTTTGTAGCGGTTGAAGATAGACAGTCTGCAGAGTGCGCTCTTTATTGAGATTCTTGGAGTCGCTGCCCACAAGTAGGTCATGGTTCCGTAGCCACAAGTCGACTTTGACACCGGCGCATCCGGAGATAAGAGCATTCTCAACGGCATCGTAGGTCTCTCCTATCGTCAAAGGTGGTGGTGCCTCATAGAGGCAACCCCCCGACTCGGAACTCTCAACGTGGACCGAATCTCCAAGCGTTGGCAACAGCTGAACAAACCCCGGAAGCTCCCTTAACGCAACCGGCTCAGAAAAATACGAAGCAAGTCGCGGCAACTGCAATAAGAATTGCACGACGACGCTAAAAGCCTTGTCAGCTAAGAGATATGGAAACGGCCTCGAAGAACACAAGACAGACTCACAAAAACATCAACACCAAACACAGCAACGGAAGCACACGCTCCCTCCAGCCCTTCCTCAATCCCGCAAAGCATTTCCTTGAGAAGGACAGAATCTCCGGATGACACTCCACCTCCGTCGGATGCAAGCGCAGCGGATGGTCTTCAAGAAGTACCCACGAGTACGAGTCGTAATCCTCCGTTTGATGATGGTTGGGAAGAAGTGGCTGAGTGACACGGAGCGCCTCCAGGTCCTCATCACCCGGCGCCGTCGCCGTCGCGTAGGCGTTGGTCATGATTCTGGACTCAGATGCCAATTTCCGGGGTACCCAGCGTCAACGAAAGAAGAGAGCTTTGCTCACACTACTTCGTACTCCGTCTCTCCTTCGCCACTTTTGTCCGACGTGAGCGGGCGGGTGTGACTGTGGAGACTGACTCGTCGTCAGGTCGATTGTTACTGGAGAGATCAATTGGACGAGATCGATTTGCTTTTGCAGCTGCTTGCTTGTTTGCGTGCGTCCGTTTGTAGCGGTGAAGATTACAGGACGGGTCGCGGCTGCAGGGTCAAGTAGCTAAGCAGTGTGGCGCTGGGAAGAGAGGGGGAAGAGCACAACGGAAGGGCACCGCTTTCTGATTCTGTGCCCGTGCGACGTTGAAGGAGTGAGAGGTCGGGGCATTTTCAAGGACGTGTTTAATTGAAGAGTGAATCGAGAATGATGGCTTCATAGCACGCAATTATTTGTGGTGATGGTTCATCTGCCGTGATAGACTAGTCGTGGAGCTAGTGGGAGCTAATCTCGGGCTCATATCTTATTCTAATTTCTCTCCCCTCGGCGTCTGAAGTTTCTGTGTTATTCAGTTCCCCTGAGCATCAATTCATCTTGCTCGAAATGATATCTTAACTTGACCTTGCTTCCCCGGGCGTGAAACTTCGGGCCATCCAGCCAGGAAGGCTACAAACACACGGAAAGTGCCCGTTGGCAAGCCTGCACAATATGCAGATCATGAGGGGCCTGCCTCGTTTGCTGCGGGTCTTAGCTTGCTTTCCCATCGGGTCGGGCTCCATCCCGAAGTACAACCTTTTGACACAGCTCAGGGAATAAGCAAGACTGGCATGATTCAATCTAATTGCTCCGCTATCCATATGTACATGTTCAAACCGTCGAGTCCTGAATTTCACACTACCCCTACGGCGTCCGAACCACCTCCCCAAGACCCATCAATCCACCAGCCAACCCCGACATACGACGACCCAACAGATCCTCTTCACTAGCCAGACTACATAAACTGTGCTCCCTCTGCCGGATAGGGATCGGACTGACCGGGTCAGACGCCCATTCGACCGTGGGTAGGATATTGATCTTGTTAGGAGCCAAAGGCCGTCGTCGCCCCAATCCTTTTGCACGGCTGGTCCGGCCACGGGAGATACTTCGGTCATCTCTGAGCTTCGCTGATGACGCTGCTCCGTCTTGAGTTGTGCTATCGTGCAGTGCTGGTGTCGATGTATCGCCGCCCTCTTGGTGACCTGGGTCGCTTGCACGGCGCACCGTTGTCGGCATAGGTGTCATTTTACCAATACTCATTTCCAGCGGCTTGTCTTCGTCTGCCGAAGATTCGCCCGTCAAAGTGCGTTTGTGGTTCCGAATTGGAGTTTTGTGAGCTTCGGCTTCAGAGCTCTGCGGGAGAGCACTGAAACTCGTTGTTGGTTTCCTGACCTCGGACATGTCGACAAGGCTCTGAATCCAAGCGGCGCACCGGTAAATGTGCTTCCAGCTGTCGGGAAAGAAGCCTGCCATTTGCATGAACCCGTGAGAGACACCCGGCAGCAATGAGACTTCGACATGGTCCTTTTCGTTGAATGTCCGGTGAGATTTCTCGAGACCTAGGTCTTGTCGTTCCTGGAAGCGGCGCAGTTTGGCTTGTCGGAGCCTTCCGGCGAAGACTACTGTGTCGTCGACTAGAGGATCCCGTTCTCCGGTCAAGATATATGTCTTTGGGAATTGGGCGAGAAGGGCCTCAGGGGCAAGAACAGGAGAAAGGAGGTAATCTGTATTGAAGTCCGGGCGGTTGTGAGGTCCGATGTAGAGGATAATCATGGCGCGCATCATCTCTGGTGACAGGATCCTATCATTGACATATGATATCACAGAGGACACAGCCAATCGTGTTTGAATCTTCTTGGGTTGGTTGTTGGCAAGATAAGCTGTGTGAGCTTCTGGGATCTCTTGCTTATCATCAACTACCAAATCCAGCTCGTCATCCGGGAATGCACCCGCCTCCGCATCTCGGCCAGGCACCGGAGAATTCTGTCGGAAGTCATCAAAGGACACACCAGGAGTTGCAAATGGCGTTAACTTATGATAGTCCATGTCCTTTTGTTGTCTGACACTTTGACTGGTGCTCTTCTCTTGTATCAAGGCCATTTGTTCCTCGGTCATCCAGCTCTCGATCTTCATGTTGAGTGCTGGGTAAGAGAGAACTAAGCCACTGGGCCCTGGCAGTGCATCTGGACCTTGTCCTAATGGAGATGAACTTTTACTCGACTGGAGCACCATCAATGTCGTACCGACGGCGAGGTTGGCTCCGGCGCTGTCGCCTGTGAGAATGATGCGAGGCGGTGCATCTCCACTGAGCCCTAGACAGCGGCCACGGGTAGTGATAATCGAGTGGTAGACGTCGTAGCATTCATTCAGTGCATAAGGATACGGGTACTCCGGTGCCTTCTTGTAATTGAGACTCAGGATCGGAAGTTTGGTCCTGCCCGCCCAGGCCAGTAATCGATCCTCAGAGTGACGAGGGGTCATAGAAACAAAGCCACCCCCAGGAATATCGAGGACGATACATGTCTGATTTCGGAGTGCGCTGAGCGGCCCATCGAAGTACAGCCACGCACTAGTGGGCTCAGTGTAAACCGACTGACGAGGCCGGGGAATCCGGATAGCACGCGGCGGGTACCTGGTAAGTCGGGGGCGTACGAGGCCTGCAAGGGCCCATAAGTACGGGGTAGTCCCCTTATTCCACGACACACGCAGGTGCTCCAGTGTCAGAGTGGCTCGCACACGACGAACCTTGTCGTCTGCCTGCTCAGCCGCCAAGAGATAGTAGGCTGTGCAACCCAAGGACGCAACATCGCGGAGCCAATTCGGGCGAACCTTCATGGCAGTCCAGAAGCCTGCGTCTAGCGCCGTTGTGATCCATGTCGCGCGGAAGAATGATCGAGAGTACAGGTTTGCCAGGGGCTCCGGACACTCTAGACCAACGATTTTGGCGAAGTTCCGAGAAAGATAGAGCCACAGAACGACAACGACGGTTGTTTGCCACACACTCAGCTTCTGGGTAAGACGTGACGAAATCTTCCTTACGACTGGAGGCCCATGCTTGTGTCCCCTATTTGAGCAGCACTTAGTGGTTGAATGTACACGCACACAGGTCTATCGTAACATACCTGAAGAGGTAGAATGACCAGAATAAGAAAACCGCCAGCACCTGTACCTTGCGGAATTTGGTCGACGGCCTCCCCAAGACGTGATCTGGATGGCTTGTTAGTGTTACCTGGGCTATAGATGGTTCCACGTACCTATCATCTCCACAAATAAAGTCAATCGATGGAGTCAAGGTGTTGTGTCGCACAGCCGGTTTTCAAGCGAGAGGAGAGTTTTCTGGGGATGTTGTGCAGGAGATCGAAGGCCAAAAGCTATCTTGTGACATCCAAGAAATAACAAAGACAAGATAGGGTATTTACACAAAGAGAAGACCAAGATGTTGTAACATGGGATTAATCCATCATCGAGTAGTACCTGTGGCTTGCTGTCAGCCTAACGGAGAGCGAATAAGACAGCTATGAGAGTTGCCGGGATTAGGAAGATGCTAGGTACTTTTGCCACAGATAAAGTGATGTGCTGCAGAAGAAGCAGAATATTTGGAATGAATGCATTCAAGATGGGCTTACAAAAGCGCTTCACGATCCAAGGACACACATCATCATTCCGAAAGTTGGAATGCATGTGAAAGAAGTCCCCACCAGCCCACTTATCACTACTACTGCTTTTGTAGCCACGCAGCACTTGTGGACCTGTAACGCGAGGAGCGGTAAGCCAAAAGGGCTGCTTATCTTCGAGTCAGCGGCACTCAATTAGGTAGCGCTAGACAATAATAGGTGCTGTTTGTGAGGTCGATTTTTTTTGGTGATGGGCGGCCCCTTCATCCGGTCACATGCTTCCATCGGTTCGCACCCTGTGACGCCACTGGTCGTCAGCTGAACCTGCCCCGGACTATAACTAGCCCCACGAGTTATTTAGCAAGGGTGAGTAGGCGAGGGAATTCGAACGTATGATCGCGTCTATTTTCTTCTATAGTCGATTAAGATTTTCTTGTATCATGTATCATGTACGTCGGCAAAAGTCCCGTCCGCGAGAGACCTGCCAATCGCAAAGCCAGACTTCAAAAACCATTCCAAGGAAGCCTGCAATGCAGATGCCACCTGAGTCGCTGACCGTGGTAGCTCCAAGAGAGAACTCGCGGTCCTCGCGAGGTACACGGTCGCCAATCTCGGCGAATGTGTTGACATACACCAGGCCGCCGAGAAGACCTTCCCAGAATATAATGATAAAGATGAGGTACACATTTGGGATGAAATCGAACAAGGAATGCAGTGTCAGCACTACCAGGTTGATGATCTGAAGGAACGACGGCAGGTAAAGATCATGTATGCGGAAGAAAGGAGTAGAGGACCGAGAGATGAAGACGCCGACCTGATATATCGCATTGTAGGCTGGGTAGAAAGCCCGGAAATGATCGAACGGAGTCTCTTTGAGCGGAAATAGCAGCGTTGGCGACACCCCCTGGTTGATTGTATACTCGGCAATGTATACTAAGAGTAAGGGAAGCATACTTATACACTGTTAACAGACCTCTAGCAGACTGACGGCAGATGCGGTACACTTACAAAGGGAAGAATAGTCCGCGGGCTCGTTGGAAATTCGCTTTCACGCTATGCCAGCCAAGTCCGCTTGCAGGCGTGGTTTTGAGGCTCCGGGAGGAATGCATAGATGATCCTAGCAGACCTTCTCTCTCTTCATCACCGTCATCGCCGTGTGAATTTTCATCCGCATGACCATCATTATCGCCGAGTCCACGGTAGCCAGATTGTATGGGCGAACGAGGTAGGATTAAGAAGAAGCTGATGGCAAGAAAAGCTGGTAGAAACGCGGAGGTCAACAAGGTCGTTTTCACCTTGAGCCCCAGAGATGTTGTCGCCAGCGCATATGCGCCAGCGCCGACCAACCCAGCGGCTCCTGTTCCACTCCCCCAAGCTGCCAGACTAAACCGGCCATAGAAATGTGTCAATCCGACGAAGCTCAATTCCCCGAGACCGCTCGATAAGCTGGCCAGGACAATACCCGCGATTTTCGAGGCGATTGTGCCACCATCAACGTATGCTGGGCTTAGCGCTACTACGAGCATGCCCAAGGCCGAGAGAACGACACATATCACAATTCGCGCGGAATAAGGGACTGCATGGATGAAGTAGGGAGCGACTAGTTTGGTTCCAAAGGAGGGTAAGACATCGGCTAGGAGAACGACGCCTTTGGGAACGCTGGGGCCGACTAGGTCGAGCGCTGCGGATAGAATGATGACATAGAGCACGTTGTTGATAAGACCTAACCACCGGTTCAATTAGAGGGCGCATCGGAAGAGGCGAGGATAGTACCTACCAAATAGCCAAAATGCAACGCAGACCTTGGGGTCAGCGCCGTGAAATAGGGTTGCGAATTGTGCGCGGAAACGAGCCCAGGAAGAGGATGGACTGCCAGGAAGAGGTAGCATTGGTTCTTCAGGCATAACCAATGCGCGACGGGCTGAAGAAGGGTCGTGTTAGTGGGCTACGAAAGGCGCTATGATGGAATTGAATACGAGTAATTGGCTGCGATTTTCTGAGAAGGGAATAATCTCATTATAGTTATTGAGAACCATTAGAGTCCAATGTTGGAAGAGGAAGATCAAATGAGGAGAACGTCAGATCTCCCGGAGGAGGTCGCGTGCCATTCGAGCCAGCGGTGAGCCGCTTGTACAGATAAGGCAACCATCAATCTCCCCTTGATAAAGACATGGCGCTAAGAGCTAAGTACAACAGTAGTGTGATATTATTTGCGATGAGAAAAAGCTATTTTACTTGGCTAGACGCGAAGATTATGATTGCAGCCTCGCAACCGTTGCCTTTCCTGCCCTGCTATCGTTCGACCGTCCAAGCTCACCACTGATCCAAGCTCCAATTCTCGACATCTCCTCGAGATCGATTCCAGTGTGCATTCCTAGGCCATGAATAGTGTGGATGAGATCTTCCGTGGAGACGTTGCCTGTCGCGCCTTTGGAGTATGGGCAACCACCAAGCCCGCCAACACTGCTGTCAAAAATCCGAATCCCATGTTCCAGCCCTACAATAGTATTCACCAACGCCTGTCCATATGTATCGTGGAAATGGAGAGCCAAATCGGTGTTGGCGATACCCGCAGCCTTCAAAGCCTGGAGAAGCTCCATTGTGCGGGGCGCAGTTCCCATTCCGGTGGTATCGGCCACCGACACTTCATCCGCCCCCATCTCAAGTAAAGTCGCGGTGATATCGGCTACCTTGGATGGGGAGACTTCTGGACCTTCATAGGGGCAGCCTAACGCAACTGAAACGTATCCGCGAACACGAATATCCTTTGTTTTGGCAAGAGCTACAATGGGGCGAATGCGCTCCAACGATTCCTGGATGGTGCAGTTGGTGTTCGCCTTGGAGAAGGCCTCTGTAGCTGCAGCAAAGAGAGAAATCTCTGTCGTCGTCGGAGACTTTGTTTCAGATGCTTCTGTGCTAGCTGGAACACCAGTGGCGTCCATGACCTTGATGAGGCCTTCCAGCCCCTTGACATTGGGAACAAGGTAGTTGTACGCAATGGTGTGCTTGGATGGAGGAGGGGTTTGTAAGAGGTGCTCGCATATCTCTGCAGTGCTCGCCATCTACCAATTCATGTCCATTAGCTAACGATGAAGCTCTTCCGCATGTCGGTTTAGGGCGGCCCGCTCGGCGGAACATACCTGAGGAACCCATTTTGCAGGCACGAAAGAACCTGCCTCAATTGTTGTTACACCAGTCTTCGCAAGCTTCTCTATGAGTTGAAGCTTTGTCTCGAGCGGAATGGACTTCTTCTCGTTCTGGAGTCCATCGCGAGGTCCTACTTCAACGATGCGGACATGGTCCGAAGTTAACCGCGCTTCTGTCGCAAAGCGCCTTGCTGGCTGGGGAGCTCGAAAAGCGGACACTACCCCTGGTCGGAGCCTAGGCTTAATCATTTTTGATAGTGTGCGGAAGATATAAATGATGCAAGAGTGGTAGTAAAAGTACAGCAGTCTGGAAGAGAGAGTGATGAAATCAGGCAATGGAGACCCCGATTTATGGCACGAGAAATGCGGAGAAGCGCAAGGCTGAAAGAGGTTAAAGCCGGCCGACCGACCCCACCTGACCCCCTCTTAGTCATGCTCTGGGAAAAAATGGTCATCATCCCACCAAGAGATCTAGATCACGCATTCAACCCTACGAGATTACTCTTCGACCTTCGATTTGGATACCAGGTTGACAGGATGGGCGACTCTACAGAGGAATCACAGCAAAACCCCTCGCTCCGACAGCCGAAGAAAAGATTTGTTGGGCGACGAACAGCAGACGCCCAGGCACAATCATCACCGAGCGTCCAAGATGTGGAATCCACAAGCATACAAAAAGGTATGCAGCCGGTTCTCCCTATATCAGTTGAAGATAGACAGGGTATCTGCTAACAGACTCAGCAACTCCCCGAAGAACCGCTAGAACACTAAACCAAGTCCCCGCCTCCGTCCTCGAAGACCCCGAAATTCTCTCCGCCATCGACCTCCTCCCCAAGAATTACTCCTTTGAAATCCCCAAGACAATCCACCGCATCCGAACCTCCGGCGCGAAACGCATCGCTCTTCAGTTCCCCGAGGGTCTCCTCCTCTTCGCAACCACAATATCCGACATCCTCACGCAGTTCTGTCCGGGAACCGAGACCCTCATTATGGGCGACGTCACCTACGGCGCATGCTGTATAGACGACTATACGGCGCGCGCACTAGGCTGCGACCTGCTCGTCCACTACGCCCACAGCTGCCTGATCCCCGTGGACGTAACCAAGATCAAAACCCTTTACATCTTCGTCGACATCAGCATCGACACGACACACCTCCTCGCCACACTCGAACGAAACTTCCAACCGGGAAAGACAATCGCAACAGTCGGGACCATTCAATTCAACGCAACGCTCCACGGCCTCAAACCCGTCCTCGAGCGCGCAGGGTTCAAAGTCGTCATCCCGCAAATCACACCGCTCTCCAAGGGCGAGATCCTAGGCTGCACGTCGCCAAACCTATCAAACAGCGAAATCGACTACCTCCTTTACGTCGGCGACGGTCGCTTCCACCTCGAGTCTGCAATGATCCACAACCCTACCATCCCAGCCTACCGCTACGACCCTTACTCCCGAACCCTCTCCCGCGAATCCTACTCCCACGATGAAATGCACTCTCTGCGCCGCGACGCGATCAACACCGCCAAGTCCGCGAAGAAATGGGGCATCATCCTCGGCTCGCTCGGCCGCCAGGGCAACCCGAATACAATGACGATGATTGAGAATCATCTCCGGGAGCGCGGGATTCCCATTGTGAATTTACTGCTCAGTGAGATTTTTCCGGGGAAGTTGGCGTCAATGGCAGATGTCGAGTGCTGGGTGCAGATTGCTTGTCCGCGGTTGAGTATTGATTGGGGATATGCGTTTCCGCGACCGCTGCTGACGCCGTATGAGGCGCTTATTGCTTTGGGGGTAAAGGAGGACTGGAATAAGACGCATGATGGGATTTATCCGATGGATTTCTATGCAAAGGATGGGTTGGGTAGGACGAAGCCCCAGGCTACTGTTCAGGCTGTGCAGGGGACTGCTTGAGGCAGTGGTGACACCGCTCACCTTGCGATATGAGAAATTTACGACTTTATAGAAAAATCTTACGACCAAATAGAGAAAATTCACGAACATAGATGTGGGAAATACTATGCTTTCCGCTTGATATACTATTACATAAAAGTTGTCTTAAATCATTAGAACAGCCATGACCTCGTCAACCCTTGACTTCGTCTGCACTGTCCGTGTTGGGATCACTGGCGCTTCCTCTTCGGAGGGAGAGAACGCTCTTGCTCGCCAGCTCATCTGCCGTCCGCTCGGCAGCTCGCCATCTAGTTACTGCTTGTTCAACGTCCTCGAACATTTCCTGGGTGTCATTGATGATTCCGCCCTCATCGACCTCTGGTGCATACGATCTCCTTCCGGACCCACCGTCACTCATCATTGGGAATGCCGGGCCGAACCCACGCTGCGGAACTGGGTTAAACATGACGGCGTTGGCAAACATGCGTATCAACTCCTTTTCCAATTGAGCCGAGTTCACCACCGCTTTAGGCGGGATGACGTCCTCGGTTTTCTGCAGCATGAGGACAGCATTTTTGGATGGTGTGCTTGCGTTCGGAGCCGGGGATTCCCCATCTCCAACGGGGGTGTTGGCGGCTTCCGTTGCGGCTGCCAGGGCTCTACTTCCTTGGTGGATGGCTGACTTGATGGATTTCAGGTCCTGCGGTCGGTAAATAAGGTCTCGGTAGCCAGGTGCGTCGCGTTCGGCCAGTGGCTTGGCGAATATGGATGCGTGTTTGTGAGTAGTTACATCGTTCATGATGGGAGCGCCAGTTCTCGGGAAATTGCGCGCGCACACAACATATGGTGTTGATTGATTTGGGTCAACCCGACTGAGCTGACTGATCTCCGGTGGGGGAGGTTGAGGAGGCTCTGGGTCGGGAACGTCGCTAGGAGCACGTTTGCGCTTTGGGCGGCCTCGGCCTGGACGAGTTTCCGAAGTGCCGGCTTTCTTTCCACTACGTTCAGCTTCTGTAGAGTCGGTGATCCCAGCTGGTGTACCGGGAACTTCACGCTTGATCCTGTTTGACTCGGTTCCAGATTCATCCTCACGTGATATAATGGATCGCCCCCGACTTCGAGATGAACCGGTGCTTCTCTCCCGTTTCTTACTGGCTGATGCTGTTTGCTTCTCTCCTTTCTTCTTCGATGCCCCTTGTTCAGTGTCTGCTGCCTTCTTTCTTCCTCGCCCGGGGCCCCGTCGGCGAGGAGGCTCGGGCTCTTCTGGAGTGTCTTCCGGTGATCCAAATGGTGAGGGTGCTCTCTCACTGATCGGACTGACATCTTCTGGCCTAGGACGAACAGGCGAGCGTGGCGAGTGGGGTAGCTTCAAATGTGGAGTCTTCTTCCATGGGGTGGAAGATCCGGGGGTCTGGATTGACAACGCCGGGCCACGTCCACCAGCAGGCGCGACGCTGCGAACCGGCTCCACAGGGGTAGCGAACCCGGAGTGAGGAACAACGGGTGCAGGTGTTTGAAAAACCCCGGGAGCGGGTCGGGGTGTCGATGGGGCTGCCGCAGCTGGAGGAACTTGCTGTGCCTTGCCGTCCGGTTTTGACGCCTGCTGAGCAAGTGGTTGTTGAAGAGCCTTGACCCGACTTACAGGTTCGGAGACTGGGATTGAAGAAGGCTGCTTTGGAGTCTGGGGTTCGTTTAGCGACCACTGCTGGAAGCTCGATTTGGGGGCTCCAGGCGGCGCAGCAGAAACGGATGTCGCGGCTGTGGCCTTCTTTGCGGTGGTTTTTGCGGGGGTCTTTGCAGTCGGGACAGGTTTCGATGGAGTAGGAGAAGGAACTGGCTGCTTTACGGTTTGAGGCGGTTGTAACGGTGTGTTCACGGGCGGGCGCCCAGGACCAGTAGTTGGCGCAACAGCAGCAGGTATTGCGGGAGGCTGGAGGGGAACTGTAGATGGTACTGTTGGGCTCTTTTCTGGCGTGGTTGTGGGTGGGGGCGCAAGAACTGGTTGCGGAGGGGGGGGTAGAGCCTTGCCATTTGGAGGTTGTGGTTGAGGTGGTAAGTTGGGTGCAGCGGACTGGGCTTGTTTGAGGGGAGTAGGAGGCGGTGGTTGGGGCTGCGCTTGCGCTTGCAGTGCTGGAGGTGCTGGAATAGGCTGTTGCGGTGGTTGAATTTGCGTTTGTGGTGGTAATTGTGGCTGCGGCTTGATTTGTGCTTCCGGTTGTTGAACAACAGGTCGCGCTGGAGGCTGAAGCTGGATTGGCGCTGGTTGTGGGAGGATTTTTGTAGAAGGTTGCGGCTGGTCCTTGCGCTGGGTTTCCGGCTGAGTGGTTTTCGCTTTGGCGCTCGGCTCGAGCTCAATAGGTGCCGGTTTCAACGGTCTGGAAGGCCGTGCTGGCTCGATTGGCTTCTCGTCAGTATCCACATCCATTGGCTCCGGCGCGGGCTCATCTTTGGCGGGCGGAATCAGCGTCGGCGCTGGTTGCGCACTCTGCTGTACGGGCGCTTCGTGTTCCTCCTTCTGCAGCCGCTCAATCTCGTCCCTTATCTCTTTGAACCGCTTCTCTTCGCTTCTAATCTCCTTCGTAACCAGCTCTTTATACCGGGCGTACAGGTGCGATACCAGATCAGGGACAAATCCGGCGTGGCTTCGTCCTCCGTCAGACAAGCCATCTGGTCGTGGACTCGCTATCTTCCGTTTCTTGGGGTTGCTAGGGCTAGTTGACTCCGGGTGATGCCCGTTCGGTTCGAGCGTACCGGGCGACTCGACTCCATCGCGCATCAGCGTCGTATAGAGGTCCTCCAGCGCCTCCGGGGAGAGCCTGTGAGCATCGGACGCGCCATTCTCACGAACAAATTTGTTGTTGCGCAGAAGATCGGAAATTGATATAAAGCTAGATGGTCGTTTGCCAAGGGCGGCGAGAGACTGGAAGAAGAGAAGCGATTCAAAGGGCGTGTAAGCCGACAGTGGAGGCATCCCCCATTGCCCGTACGACCGGCCACTGGGGGAAGATGATTGAGGAATGGGGGCCACGGTGGTAGAGGAAGTAATGGGTGAACAGGCTTGAGGAAGCTCTGTTGGAAAGCTGCGTGGATGCAAGTCGCGGTTCAATCGTTTATGGAAGTCGGGAGGTTGATCCAATCCGGTGGGCCAGGACGACCATTGGCGCAGCGGATGAAAGGGGCAGGCCGCGAAACGGAAGGGTGGCCAATGTCGGGAAGACGGCTTTCTCGGTAGGTAGAAAAAATCGAAAAAAATCGTTAAATCAGAGAAGACCGAGACGGTATGATGCAGGTGAAACAAGGATGAAAATCGGAGGTGAAGGGCGGAATATGGGCATCAAAGAGGACGTGAAGCCGAAGGGCAGCGACTTGGGAAAATTCCATCTCGAGTTGTCCTCTTTTCCCAGTCCGTGTCAATACGGTCACATCACGTGATGCAGATCGACACACGCTCGGTCATGCCAAGAACGGCGACAGTCTTTGGGGACCATAAATTGAACCAATAGCCGTATGTATTGTAAGAGCTTTACCACCGAGCTATGCAAAATGACGACACCAGTTGCTGGGGCACCACCCAGATGGCCTGAACTACGGGGCAAATGGTGTGTTATGCATAGCCTTGCCAGCAAGCTCCGGGGCGATAAGGCGAGGAAGCTGTGGGCAGAATCAGCCGAGTGAGACTACCATGCACCAGAGTTACGCAGAGTAATTCATTCCGAGTCTGCCTTTCCTATCAAATGATCGCGAGAGTTGAAGCTGAAGTTTGAAGGAATATGATACCGTACTGTGACGCCCCACCAGCGTTTGGAATTTGCCCCTTTCTCTCTTGCTTTTGGAGCCCGGGCATCTATAAAAGCCTGCAATATGGAAGAAGGGCGACAGGCTTCGAGTATCAGAATGTTCATGTGTAAGAGGGCTGCAGGGCAGATTCCAAGTTTCATCATCAAAGCCTCTTACAGAGTACAGAATACTAGCTCTGCCTGCTATCTCTTGACACCGGTTGCAGGGAGCAGCTTTAGGAGGCCGATGGAGCTAAGTTGTTGGTTCCTTTGATTGTTATGGATGGAGTGTATCCAGTAGTTGTGGGGGAATTAGAGAACTATTAGCCATCCAACCACCCTCACTGGCCATCAGAGCTGCCGTTCAGGTCCAATTTGCTCCCTATAGTTAGTGAAGAACAACCGTCAATCTCCCGTCCCCTTTCTCCCTGACGCGACGTTCCTCGGGCCCCTTGCGATTCTCCTTTCTTTGCTTCTTCAGGTCACTGTTCCCGTCATCAAATGACTCAAAAAGTCTTCGAGATAACCAAACAGTGACCTCAGACAGGCAGCCGGTCCCAGATCTAAAATTTGACCTTGCCCCTTTTCCGGCCTTGATCTCACAGTCTGTGTTGACATTTCATTCCTCCGATCGTGCAGGGCCCCTGTCAATCCATCGAGAACTGCAACCGAAACTAAAAAAGTGGTCCCCTCCCTCCTGGCACGTTGAAACTTAAGAAGGACCGACAAGGCTATCTCCATCTCTCCTAATTTTCCCCATCGATTCTCCCAAAGCCTCATCAACTCCCCCTCCCCTCCTCGGGCCTCTTTGAGTAATAGACTTTCAGCTGGTCCTGATTTTCGTCCCTATAACATCTTAACCTCCTCAAACCTCTGCGACCCTATCTTCATCTGTGGCAGCTCGTTAAAGGTTGACCTTCAGTTGCGACAACCCCCTCTTGCGCCAGCTCTCTCCAACGACCTACTATCGACCTTGTTCCCTTGACTCTTTTTTTTTGCGACAACGTTCGATTATTTCGCCTAGATCTTCGAACCATATTCTTATAAATTAATCAGCCCACAAACTCCAAGAAGTTATCAAGATGTCGGACGCAGACCAAGAGTACAAGCCCAAGATTCGCCCGCAGTCGTGAGTGCCCCTGGATAGTTGGATCTATAGTCGATCGCGAGCGTTGACAGAACCATGCCAGGACTATGGCTCAGGCTTTCTCTACCGCACTGGATTCCGCGTTTTCTTTGGATTCCGAAGTTGATCATCTTTCACAAACTATTGATCAGAAGTAAGTCGAGGTGGAATCGAACCTGTCTCTTCCATCTGTTCCCCAGCGCCCTGGAGAAATATCATCGAAATGAGTTAACAACCCATCTCCAGGAAATTTCAGATGATTATCCAGAACCGAGAATTAGAGGAGTTGCAGGCTCGAATCCGCGAGGCTGAGGAGCGGCTGAAATCACGGGGATCAGTCCTCTTGGAGAGGAAGCCGTCTGATGCACATGGAGATGGTGGATATCAATCCACAGGTAAGCTGCATAACCCCTCTTTGCAGCTGCGCGATTATCTGACGAGCCATTTTGTTCAGAATCAGCGTCCTCGGCAACATCCCCGACGGACACCACTGGCCAATACCCCAGGGGCGGCCAGTACCCTAGCGGCGACGAGCACCGACGGCCAGGCGACAACCGGCAGCAGGGACGCGATTCCTGAGTTGCACCTGCACGCCAGCGTTGGCGGATAGTATAAATCTTGGCTTGAAGATAGAGCTCCGATGGGCTCGGGTCCATTCCTTGTCTTCGCCCCCGGAAGCCTAACAGGCACATCCGGTGTAATCGGTTCTGTTGGTTTGTTCTTCGGGCGCGCGTGTTTTCTGCTCGCGTCCATTGGGCGTTGGATGATTAAAGGTGTCTTTGATCTTGGATTCACGGCGGCGCAACCCCGGCACCTGTTGCATTCCTTGCCGCAATCGGCTCGATCATCATTTGGAAGTGAGTTGCCATGGTTGCGCCGGCCAGGAGCCTGGGGGTTGCCCTGCTGTGACACATTCTTGTTATTGTCATTGCCATTGCCGTTAACTAGTCACGTACTGACCACAATCGTATATCTGTCTCCGTCCTGACAATGGGGATGTTGGAAGTAAGCGTGGTGGACGCTTGGCAGGTACAAGTAGTCGACATTTAGACAGCCTGAGAGGACAGCCATGGACTGTTGTACGGTTCATCTATTTTTTAGGGCAAACTTGCACAGGCCCGAATCAAGGTTCAAGGCCATGCTTAGGTGACCAGGGTGTAAGAATTAGCGAAGTTTGTTCCTTGGAAGGGTGGATATGGCCATTCCTAACTGCAGCTAGTTAGTATACAGTTAACTCCCATAGTAAAAGCACAGTCTGGATGATGTCAGTGGACTCTTGAGCTTTGATCTCCACCTCCAAACCCTGGAAACGGACCAAAAGCGTCCGAAAATTGACTGGCTCGCGGTCCAGACTTCAATGACAGCTAAAATCCACGATAAGCTGCGTTGTCTTTTGCCATACTAGCTGCTCGTGGGCAACGAGTCTCACAGGACTCTTACAGACCCGGTGCTCCCTGCACCCCTCCCACTCCTCTTAAACCTGTTCTCAACCCTCTTCCTTTTCGTTTCTCTTCGTTCCTGGTCATTCTCACCCGCTGTGACAATGGTTCTTATCGACAAGCAGAAATACACCTCCCGCGAGGAACAGCGGCTCCAAGAGGACCGCGATCGCGTCAAGTACTGGAAAAGATGGGGTCCTTACGTCGCAGAGAGACAATGGGCTACTGGTATGTTCTTCTGGGAACCTTGATCATTTTCACCATCTTCTTTGGTCAACCTATGTGGTTGAGGCCTGTTTGAGCTAACAATCTGGTTTTCGACTCCCCGCAGTCCGCGAGGATTATTCGTGAGTGCCCCCGAGGCGGTTTGCTTTCTCGCCCCTCTCCTACCCTCCAAATTTCTTTCTTTCTTTTTTTTTTTTTTTTGCTTCAGAAACAACTGCCTAGATGACGCGTTATCATGCATTGATTTGCTGACCTATCATCTCTAGTGAAAATGGCGATGCTTGGAGCTGTGAGACACTCCCCTCCCAACCTCGACCCTGCGGGGCTCACTTATCGCTGATCGATCGTAGACTTTCCCCACGACCAGGCCCGTTCGAGAGCGTATCGATGGGGTGAAGATGGAATCGCAGGCGTGTGCGACACACACAACCTACAGAATATCGCGTTTGCGTTTTGGAACGGGAAAGAGTACGTTTCCGACCATGGAATTTACATACGGTGACGCGACCGTGCTCTAACCTCTTGTGTCCATGTAGTGGCTTCCTCAAAGAGCGACTCTTTGGTCTATCGAATCCGCAGGGAAATCATGGTGAGAGTGTGAAGGAAGCTCATTTTCACGTTGACAACACGCCCACGGTAAGAACGCTTTTGAATCGGACCAGGGGTCGGCAGCTTTGCTAACGGCTTTACACCGCAGCACTCGTACATGAAATTCCTCTACAAGTACCCTCAGAAGGAGTTCCCCTACCAAGATCTGGTTGATGAGAACGCCCGACGAGGAAAGCAGGACCGCGAATATCAGATTATCGATACTGGCGTGTTTAATGAGAACCGATACTGGGATATTTTTATTGAGACCGCCAAGGAGGATGATGACGAGGATGAACTCTTGTTCCGCGTAATTGCTTACAACAGAGGCCCCGAGCCGGCTCCTTTGCACATTATCCCGCATGTGTGGTTTCGGAACACCTGGTCTTGGGGCTATGATAAGTCAGAGAAGCCCTCCATCGAACAGAATGGCCCACTCTCCATCAAGACGAAACATGAGAAGTTGGGCCAGCGGTACGTCCGCTTTGCTCCCTCGCCGGCCGTTGGCGATAGCCAAGAAGACGTTGTACCTCAGATGATCTTTACCGAAAATGACTCGAACAACGAGCTTCTGTGGGAGACCAAAAATGATCAGCCCTATGTGAAAGATGCTTTCCACCGTTACATCGTGAACAAGGAGAAGGATGCAGTCAACCCGGACCGTAAAGGCACAAAGTTCGCGGCTTGGTATGCGTTCAACGAGGGTGAGGGAGTACCTCCTGGTGAATGCGCAGTTGTCCGCTTCCGCCTGTCGCGCAAGGTTGAGCCTTTCGTGGATGAGGAGGTGTTGGATGATATTATCGAACAGCGCAAGGCGGAAGCCGACGACTTCTACTACCACATCAGTCCTCTTCCGATGAGTGACGATCTACGGAACATCCAGCGACAGGCCTTTGCTGGCATGATGTGGACAAAGCAATACTACCACTTCGTCTGGGATCAATGGGCGAACGGCGACCCTGGCCTCGTCGCGCCTCCTCCAGGGCGGAAACACGTTCGTAACCAACAATGGAAGCATCTACATATGGACGATATCCTGTCTATGCCGGACTCATGGGAGTATCCGTTCTTCGCTGCTTGGGACACTGCCTTCCATTGCATTCCCTTGGCGATGATCGACCCAGATTTCGCAAAGCGGCAGTTGGATCTCCTCACACGCGAGTGGTACATGCATCCAAACGGCCAACTCGCTGCTTACGAATGGAACTTCGGAGACGTTAACCCTCCGGTCCACGCATGGGCCGTTTTCAGGGTCTTCAAGATTGAGCGGAAAATGTACGGTCGACAAGATCTTGATTTCCTCGAGAGAGTATTCCAGAAACTACTTCTGAACTTCACATGGTGGGTTAACCGCAAGGACTCTGAAGGCAAGAATGTCTTTGAGGGTGGTTTCCTAGGGCTTGATAACATTGGGCTCTTCAATCGCTCTGAACCTCTTCCTACTGGTGGAGTTTTGGAACAGGCTGACAGCACCGGTTGGATGGCGTTCTATTGCTTGAGCATGCTCAACATTGCTCTCGAGCTGGCTAAGCATAGGAGAATTTACGAAGATAGTAAGTTAACCTGAAATTTGGAAAGGGACGAGCTGACTCGATCAAGTTGCCTCTAAATTCTTCGAGCATTTCATCTTGATTAGTGATGCGATGACATTCAAGTCTGGAGGACAGGAGAGCTCCCTCTGGAACGAAGAGGACGGGTATGGGACTTTCTCCATAATCCTTTGGTGAATTTCCAATCTAACAATTCTAGCTTCTATTACGACGCCATCTCGTACGGCGAACCCTGGACCCAACAGCTTCCCGTGCGATCCCTTGTTGGCCTTATCCCGCTGTACGCCGTATCAACACTCGAGCCAGAGTTGATCAACAAATTCCCCTCCTTCAAGCGCAGGCTGGAATGGTTCATTGAAAACCGCCAGGACGTGGCGGAACGTAACATTGCCAGCATGAAGCGTCGCGGCAAGGGTGAACGGCTGCTCCTAGCCTTGGTCAGCAAAGACCGCCTCGAGCAGATCCTCAAACGGATGCTCGACGAAACCGAGTTCCTCTCAGAGCACGGCATTCGCTCAATGTCCAAGTACCACGAGGACCACCCGTACTCGATGGAAGTCAACGGCCAGATGTTCCGCGTTAGCTACGTTCCCGGCGACTCGGATAGCGGCCTCTTCGGAGGAAACAGTAACTGGCGTGGGCCTGTTTGGCTCTGCGTTAACTTCTTGCTTGTCGAGTCACTTCTGCGGTTCTATATGTTCTACGGAGATTCGTTCAAGGTTGAATGTCCCACGGGCTCTGGAGACTATATGCATCTCGCCCAGGTAGCCGAGGAGATCCAACATAGACTGCAGCACCTCTTCGCCCGAAACGATGAAGGCCGCCGCGCAGTCTACGACGGCTCGGACCTCCTTGACTTCGACGAACACTGGAAGGACTACATGTGGTTTCACGAGTTCTTCGACGGCGATACCGGTAGAGGACTTGGTGCCTCTCACCAGTGCGGGTGGACGGGCCTCATCGCTAAAATCATCCATGATACAGGGTACGCTTCCTCCCTCTCCATCTCTCCCACCTAACTATTATTGAATCATTGAGTTAAACCGACCTAGTGTAAACTGCCGCCTCCCCCAAACCCCCCGCTTCCCCTTCGCCGCAGCAAGCCACTACTTCGACGACATCTTCACGCGCTCCGTGCGCGGACACAGCCGCCGGGGCAGCAGCCGCGCAAGCAGCGGTCGCCCCTTTGTCCGCCGCTCCTCGACCAGCCGGTCAATCGGAAATAGAAGCGATTTCGAGTCTGCGTTCAATACGCCTGCGCCCGAGACGCCGACTGAGGAGGAATTCGACGAGAGTAAGAAGAATGGGAACGGGAATGGCAGTGGCGGTTTCGATGAGCATGTTTCGCAGTATGTCGAGAGTCAGTTGCAGCGCGTGCGCAGTCAGGTCTCTATGGGGGCGTATGAGGATGAGTTTGAGACGCAGGTTGATGGCGCGAATGGGAATGGGAATGGGCGTAACAGTAACAGTAATGGGCGGTAAGTTAGAGTGGACTTGGCTGTGTGTCGGTGCTATTATAGAGTCTCAGTTTTCTAGTTTCTTGTCTCGTTTTGATTTGATTTGTCTTCGTCGTTACGCTCCAAGTTGACCACCAGCTGCTGTTGTCCATATACGTTATCTTGATGTCTATACTCGATATTGTTTTCCTGTGGTTGTACGTGCATTCGCTGACGCTTGCATCGTCTTGCATATACTCATTCGTCATATATCTCATAATATAAGATATCATCCCGTCCAGCTTACTCCTATCCTCCTCTCTGAACAAGTCAAGAATTTATAGTAAATAAGAGTGAGATAACTCAACAATCAACTCAATTCTGTCTATTCTTCACCAGAACCAGAGTCTGCAACAACTCAAGTACAAGGAAGCGCGGGATTTGTTAGGGTACATGGGGTAGAGAAACTATAGATAGATAGATATAGGAACAAAGGAGATGACGATGCATGATAGGACCATGGTGGTAATAGGCTAAATTTACAGAGCATCGGTGAGGGCTTTGTTAAGCTTGTTGATCTTGGAGGAGACGCTCAGGTCGATGGTACGGTCGCCGATTTCAACGACAAGTCCGCCGACAATGTCGGGGTTGACCTGGGATTTTTATTAGCTTACTTTCTCCTTCTTGTTTCTCTGCGGTAAGCGAGGGGAATAAGAGTAACGTACCTTGGGGACAACCTTGAGCTTCTTGCCCTGGCTGAACTCGGACTTAGAGACGGCCTTCTCGAGACGGTTGAGGGTCTTGTTGTCGAGTTCCTGTGTCATCGCGTTAACAAGCCAGCCCCCAGTATTTTATCTCGCCGATCAAGGGGAAAAGTAAATCGTACCTGAGCAGAGGTAATGATGAGCTCAATCTCACCACGGTGAGCGCTCATGAGAGCAGCGAACTTGTCACAGACACCGCCGAGCAGACCGAGACGGTTGTTCTCAGCGAGGGTAGCGAGGAAGTTCTTGAGGATATCGCCCTTGTCGGCACCGGCGACCTTCTGCAGCTCTGTTACGATGGCCTGCTTGTCCGAGACGGTCAGGGTAGGGGTGGAGAGGATGCCGGTAAGCTTGGGGTCGGCCTTGAGGGCGGCACCGAGGTTGATGAGGGCCTTGGAGGTAGCGTCGAGGGAGGAGGACTTGGCGGAGGCGGTGTACTATAATATTGACGATTCGTGATTAGTTGAGTTCCTATGTTGAACTGTGTTTTCGGGGGTTTGCGTAGGAGTTTGTTGTTTTATGATGTCGGGAATAATGAAGGGTTTTCGGGTAAACGGGTCGAGGTCGGGGTTGTTTTCTCGCAAGCAATAGGTGGTGAAGGGGAAGAAGCATACCAGAGCAGAGGCGTAGGTGCCGTCGACGCCGAAGAGGGAGACAGGAGGCTTGACTTCCTGGGCCGGGGTGGCATAGGTGCGCAGGCCGTTGAGAGCAGCAGTGCGAGGGACGGAGAACTGCTGAGCGGAGGCACGGAGGCCAGCGCGGGCAAGGCGGACGGAGAACATGGCGATAATTGATGCGAGAGACAGAGCCCCGACGTATAGGAAGAGGGGAGTTGAGAGAGTGGAATTGGACGCGAGACGGCGAGCTGAATCGACACACAAGAGGGGTGCGAAGCGACGAGGCTATTCTGACGACGTCCAACTTCTCCCGGTCGAGTCACGTGAGATTCCGCACACGCCGAGAATTTCGGGTCGCTTTTCTTGTTTGGAGAGCTACGCTCCTACGACAGTTCCAAGCATCTCTTTCTAAATTCATCGCTTTTCCTCGAACAAACAATGGCTTTCTACCTAGAAAGTTGTGATATTAACCCGCCAACACCACTAACGCCGGATTCGTGCATCATTCTCAATCAAACGACTACCGACAGTCGGTAGCTCATCAGTCACTTCGCAGCATGCTATCCACTAGATCTCCCAACGGCCCCCAGAAGTCTTTGCCGCTCGCCAACCGATGCTCATCAATGAAAAGCACGTAGTGCTTGAAACTAGTGTTGAGGTGTGGCTCGAGGCCGAGGTGCACAATCACAGGATAGTGGTGGCAGTAGATGTGAGCATATACACGGTACATGCGCTTGAAGATCTGGCGAACAAGACTGGAGAATGCCTTTGGAAATGGGACGCCTAGTCATCTCCGGGTTAGCTTTTTCAATTGACAGTGCGTCCAGAAGGCACCTACCTAACCGACTGGGAAACATCTGCTCGTTGTCGATATTCCCCTGAACCCAGCTCATGAGGTGTTCAATATACTCGGGCGCAGACATCTTTGTGGGACGCTTATAGTGCTCCGAATCCTGCCACAGGTACTCGAACCTATCCAATTGTCAGCCACAATTTTTCCCAGCATCCAAGACCGGACCTCGTACTCATCGGTGGCTTTCATTTCTGGGCACGTTTGTGGGGAACAGAATTCAGTAATGGCGCCGTAAAGAAGGTTGATCTGGTTGTAGAAGTCGACCACTGCAAATGAGAGACCCAGGTTAGCACAGATGAAGGACAAAGGCAAAGGAACGAGGCGTGCCATTAACAGCCAACCACTCATTAACGTCCTCCCCTTCTGGAAGCTTGACAGCCTTCCGTAAACTCCCACTTCCAAGCGTGGCTTCTGCGAACTGTCTCAGCTGATAACTAGTCGTCCCCTTGGCCGCCGAGCGAGGCTTGAAGGGCGCTCTCGTCCGAGCATTTCTAGGTGGTGTTAGTGCACACAGGCCTTGTTTCAGGGCGCAAACAGCAGGCGACAGGTACGAAGGAGGCGCGGAGATAGGATCATAAGAGACATGAACGGTGTTATAGGAAGTAGAAGGGGCAAGAGCGTGTGCTTTGCGGGAAGGCGATGATGATGACGACGGAGGGGCAGTCTCATCCGCAGAAGAAACAGATATCAGGGGCACGAACATTGTGGTGATGAACGAAGCCATTATCTCACGAGTGTTCCACCAGCGTCAACAGCTAGATAAAGAGTGGCCTTGGTCCTGGAATTCCTCCTTCCTTGATTCGTGCCCTTGCGGAATTCGACTGGCGGATTAGACGAGGAATGGGTGTATCGCGTGGAACGGCTAGTCTATATGCACTCTAAGTGAAGACATCACGGGTCAGCTTTTGTAGGTTTGCGCCACCTCGAAAGACTCACAGCGATTAACGAACGGCGAAGTCGCGACGATGGGATGATGCGGCGTTGAGGTGAGCTGAGGGGTGGAGCGGAAGAGGGCAGCTGAGAAAACCGACAGTACCACACACCTGGCGATTGTTCGCGCCACAAGGTTCGAATTAGGAAGGAACTCGAGACGACAAGGGAAAGGATGTCTTGGAAGGAGAAGCGATAATATTCAGTAGTATTCCTACTAGTTCCTCGAACTGTATCTTGTTTCATGCATGGTTCTCCGCAGTTGCTCACGATCGGAGCCATGGATAGATGAGCTCCGCCACTTGCGTTGCCCCGGCGATCGCTCGATAACACACAATCAAGACTCAAGGCCGAGCCCATAAGGTCAGATGCAAGTGGATATTAGACTACTATATACTTGTTTCCTCCCTCGCCACTGACGTCGTAATTCATTGAGATAAGATTCTCAGCCTTATATCGAATACCCTTCGTTCTCCTCTGGCAGCCGCTCTCGCACAGTTTCTCCGTATATTGTAATGGGAATTGCAACCTCAAAGGACTCGCACCCCAGATGTTCCAAGGCGGACATTGTAGAGCCTCGATCATCCTGAGAAACCGTCTCCAGTAGCTGAGCGCCTGAAGGCCCGGATCCCATCTCATCCGGTACGCTGGTAGTCACAAACTCGAACCGTAGCTCCCATTCGACGTTAACACCACTGGTGAGTATTGTAGGAGTCGCAGATATTGGTATCGCAGGGCTGAAAACAACCCTTGTAGAGTAGAGAGTAATCTCAAAAAATGATGCATGAACTCGCCGCGTCGCTCGCCGAATGCTCGCATTTGATCGCACAGCCAAATGTGCGCCTACTTTCTCTGAACTTTCCAGAGTGGCTCGAAGTGCGTAACACGGAAGTGCCGAATCAACAAAGTTCACTGTCGCAATGAGAGTCTCGCCAAGTCTATGTGCTGGTCGATTCAGAACCACCACCGCGATTCGACGTCCTCCACGCGCAATATCAAACCGATTTGGACTTTGAGAAGAATTGATTGCCTGGTTACTTCGAAGGATCGCCATGTCAATGGCATCTTTGGAAGACAACGGCCCAGCAGATATATCGTGGCTTGGGCGCCTTTCAGCGAATGTATCTGGCGGCTTGAGCGAACTGTTGCGGGATCGTTGCTCTAGAATTTCATCCACGTATGAAAGGAACTCGGGCGCTGATGTCCACGTAGGCCGACTGATGCTCTCCGCTTTTGGGGCTAGCGGAAGGGGCAAGGAGCCGATCTTCTGTACTCTTGCCTCGTCGCGGAGAACAACGTGAGGATGCATCAGGTCATGACCCAGGATGGCTCCTTGGGCTGTGGAGCATTAGTGATATGGTGGTTTGGTAGGTTACGAAGTAGACTTACCATTTACACCGCTGAAGACACGGAACGGTATGCTGATGCGATTGACTTTTTGAGGCTCGGTACTCCCGCTTGGTCGCTGTGTCCCTATGACGAGGTTGTAGGAAATTTTTATGGCTTTTCCCTTGTGGCTTGCAGGAAGACCGCTGGGTAGAGTGAAGGCAAATGAAAAGGACTGCTCCTCTCCTGGGGCCAGACGGAGGTCGACGAAGAGAAGTGATTGTGGAGTCGACAGCAAGGGAATAGATCGGGATGAGGTTACTCCCCGCATGTCCCGTAGACCATTCAAGTCATTGCTAGAAAGAAGCCCGCTGATGGACTCCTCTATCGAATTCCAGTTTAATGCGCCCCAAAAGCCGCCACCTTTTCGTCCTTTCTCTCCAGACGAAGGGGGCCTGCCGTTTGGCGCATTGCGCGCGTTGCCAGCTCCGCCAACAACTCCCTGTCTTTTGACTTCTTCAAAAGCGGCCTGGTTAATTAATGAGCCGTCAACCGTAAATGAAGCACTGATCTGAGCATATCCCATAAGTAGCGCCTGCCCATTAGCAACGGAGACCGCTGACTCTAAGCTGGATACGTGTCGACCATGACGAGGGAAGCCCGAACGGAACGCTGGGCCCGAATAATTTGTGTATTCCGACTGGAGAGTTTCTGAAGAGTTGTTGCTAACTGAGTAGAATTCACCACTGCTTCTATGGCTCCCACTTAGGCTGGAAGCCGACAGTACTTTGGTAGACTGAGGCAGCTGGCCCGGAGCGGCCAATGACGAGGAGGAGTCCCTAACATTAAGCCTTGTTGTCGCGGAGGTCCCCGTGGTCCTCTCTGTTGATGCGGAGGTGGGTGATGCAACAGGAACTCCTGAATTTGTTTCGTTTTCAGGGCCTGGCGGAAACTTGAAGTCTATAAGCGGCAATTGAGGTCGCCGTGAGGAGGCGCGTGTCGGTAAAGTTGGTCTTACAGGGCTAGAAGCGCTTTGTTTGTTGACCACATCCACATCTACTTTCAGGGCGCCTGGAAATGGTGTAATAGGAGACTCGGACGACGGAAATGGACGGACTGGGCTTCGCAAACCTAATCAAAACAGGGAGGGTTAGCTAAAAGAGCGAAAGGCGCGGCTGGAGCATGGTAAGTACTTTTCACGCCATTATTCTCATATCCTTCATATCTTCTCGGAACGACTTGTAAGCTCGCGGAACGCCCGTGACCCCTCGTCGGCCTCGAATGATTGAGCTGAGACGGCGTCCTCGGCGTCTTATCGCCTGGGCCAGTTGAGGCTCCACCCTCACTATCAATTGAAAGTATGGATATTGACCTCTTATGTTTGTGGCCACCCGGAGGGCCATTCCGCGGTGTCGAGGGAGGCGGGAAGCTATGAGAGCCGATCAACGGTGAGCTCACAGAAGTGGAGAAGCGATGGGATGGGCTATTTTTTGGAGCTATAGAGTAGGAGCGACGGTTTGGACTCCTGAAGGGATTTGAAGGGAGCCGTAGAGAGAAGGAATCCGAGTGAGGTGTGCCCGGGGTCCGGGATTGCTTTCGCTGATGGAGTGTTGGCGCATGTCCGGCGTCTTCATTCTTGTCCGCAACGTTCTTGAATGTAATTGTGCACTCCACGTCCTCCCCGGCGAATATCGATTGGTCTTTCCATTTCACGAAGACCTGGATGTCCGATGACATGGCGAGTGCGCAGGGTTACCACATAGGCGGAAGGTAAGCTTGAACGAGGAAGCTCGACTAGAGGGTGGGTACCAGCCGCCACCTCGCGGGAAAAGGGGGATTAGACACTTATAGATACAACAGTGTGCAACGGATAAATGCCAGCTAGGGCATTAGAACTGCACGATCCATTGTTGAGCAGCCGGTAGAAGAGAAGAGCAGTAGGCGTGCGTGGACCGACTGGGAATTAGTATTGTCGAGGTCGAGTGGTCTCTGTAGCCGGATTATTGGCGGGAGATTTTGGTGGTGGCTTCAGGTGTCATTGGAGCTCGACACTCCAATGGTTGGTTGCACTTGCTCTGGAGAACCAAACCCCACCAGAGCCGTCTTCCAGTGAGTATCTACCTGGGCTCTCGCCTCAGAAATTGAGAGATAGCGTCTCCGTCTCTAGAGAATGAGCAAGGAAGTGAAAGGATCTAGGGAAGAGCTGCTGTGATGTATTGCTCCGCTACTATGTCACATGGAAGCTCTAGTTTCGGCAAGAAGTCCAACTCAATGTTTGTCAAAAAGAAACCCTGTTCGTCTTCAATGCATCGCTAATATACAAAAACCTAAACACCCTATTATACATATTATACAGCACTATTCACTCCACTCGCGACAGATCACGGCTTTTTCTTATTGCCATACAGAATCTTCTGCGTGTCGCTAAGATGCGCCGTCTGCTCTGTCTGCGGCCGGAGACCCAGCTCAGAAAGATGACCCCAGATGCGATCATGTCGCTTTTCCCACCGCTTGCGCCGGTCCTCCATTTCCGTCGCGCTGGGGCGCCACTTGCTCTTGAGGATTCTGCGAATACTTTCTGGAGAGACCCTGAACTCCTCCGCAAGAACAGCAGTTGTGAATTTGTCTGGCGACATCGCATGTAGATGGCGTATTCCTTCCATAGCATCAGGCGAGAGCTTCTTTTGGGGACTCCATCCAGTTGGAAATTTCTTCTTCAAGGCCTCTTTTTGGATTTGCCAGTCCTCGAGCTTCTTCTTTTGAGAGGGTAACCCGGTCGTGATCGTAACTCTTTTCTGATCTTTTCGATTGGGTTTCTGTCGTTCGAGAACTTTTACTGCTTTAGCTTTCGCCCGCAGCGATGAATGTGATTCTGCTGCCTTCGCCGTCTTGAGCGCATCTTTCGAGGAGTGTTTGATGGGAGCGCCGGAAGTATCAACGACAGCTGAGGATTCATCTTCGGTCGGCTTCGGCGATTGAGGCGGCGCGGGAGTTGTGATGGGAATTTCGCCAATGGTTATCATACTTCGAACGCAGTGGCGAGGCAGAGACAGTGGGTTCGCGAATTGCACTGACGGCGTGCGGAGCTGCGGCGCACCTGGCGCATTCAAAAGCGTTCTGAGAACATTCGGAAGAGTGAGCCTCGCAGAACCAGGGCATATGGGCGTCATCGTAGGCAGAAAAGAAGCTGATTTCGAGCTAGATAGAGTGTCAATGACGGCGGCCAGGAGTGGTTGATTTTGGAACGATAAGGGATCTGCAAGGAAGTTTTGGGAGCCCAGCCGCGGTCCCTGCCTCAGGCATAAAGTATGAGAAACTATTCCTATCGCCACCACTCAGAAGAATAATCAGAAATAGCAAAGACCTCGAGGGTGTCATATAGTATACATTGAAACGTAGTTTCTGCAGATATGTAGCGTGATAATATAATTCGGTTACTTTCTAGATACCTGAAGTGCTTAGGGACGGTTTGCCCTAACAATATATTTATTTGATAGCTTGTCTACGCAGTCCTGAGATTCGAATCAGGATTTCTGATCCATTCCACTTCAATTCTGTACATGTACCTGGGAAGCTTGAACTTCGCAGAGCTTCGCAAAACTTCCGTCAAGACCTTCAACGACAAAGACTGCGCTCGCCAACTAATTCCTATGCTCAACAGATGGAGCATGATCACGTTTGTTTCCACCCTGCGTCTCCAGATCTATATCCTTTCCCCCACCATGAGCTGCACTGGGCCCATCAAAGATGACAGCAATCTCCTCCAGAGTAGGTCCCTTGGTCTCTGGAAAAGTCCACCACACCACAGCGAATTCAACAACCAGCCATCCAACGAATATGCAGAACAGCCTCCAACCTATAGCATCCAGCCCCACCGGGATAGCGAACGTTGAGAAAAGAATAAAACCAAGATTCCAGAACTGAAATACCGCCATACCACGAAGACGGAGGTTGAAAGGCACGATTTCCGTGATATACAGCCCAAGGTTAGGTGCTAGACCAAGGTTGTATGCTGGAGAAAAGAGGTAAACGAAGGCAACTACAGCGATGCCAGCGGAACGGTTGCTAGAGTCGCTGTCGAAGACGCCGCTACCTGCTGTAATTGCGATAAGGCAGAAGAAGACAAGGACAAGGGCAGCAAGGAAGAGCTTTCGTCGACCTACTCGAGCTGGGAGTGTGGCAAAATATAGTGACGAAAACCAGGATAGCATCTGTGATGTTGCGTTGATGAGGGTCTGTTGCAAGCTCGAGGTGAGACCGACTTGAGCTAGGATGGGGGAGAGGTAATATGAGATGAAAGCGTTGCCCGACATTTGACTGATGCAAGCACACCATGTAAGAATGAAGAAGCGCTTTCGATTCCCGGGGGTCCGCATAAACTCCCAGTATTTTTTGAAGATATTGCCGTCCTCATTCATCCTCTCAATTGTCATAGCCTGTCGTATTTCCTGGTATTCGAACTGAACAAGCGGATCGTTCTCATTGCCCTCGGCATGGTACTTGGCCAGCATTCTCAGTGCGTCCTGCTCACGCCCGCGAGAAATCAGCCAACGAGGGCTCTCGGGGACAAAAAGAATACCGACTAGCTGTATCAATGAAGGAAGGCCTTGGAGAAGTGAGGGCACCCGCCAGGACCAGGTGTTGTTGATCCTAAACGAGCCAAATGTTGTCCAAGCAGCGACAATAGAGCCTAGAGCATATGATGTATTGAACATTGCAGTTGCAGTAGCGCGCTGCTTAGGATGCGCAATCTCAGCAACAAGAGGGCCCCCGGATGCCTGGAGAAGCACTGCCCCAGCGCCAATGATGCCACGGGAAACCACGAACATGGAAAGGTTTTGGGCAGCACCTTGAAGCGCAGCTCCAATAATGCAGATAACAGCCCCAGTGACGATACCCCAACGTCGTCCGAGGTGGTCATTGAGTGTGGAGATGAATGGCACTGCAATGAGACCCCCTATAGGGTAGGCACCGTTAAAAAGACCCAGAGTAGCACCCCTAGGCTCGCCGAAATACGAGCGCCATCCTTCAACTGCCTGGAGACCGTTCATCATAGAGCCGTCGAATCTGTTTGTAGCAGGTGTGGGTTAGTTGGTTGCCAACATAGTCTGTAGATGGCTTTCCGAATAAAGAAAGTAGTACGTACCCTAAAGTGAAGATCGAGAGGAGCGGAAAGAACATGAGAAGGTTCATCGTTCGCAAGTTTGGATGATGCCACCATTGTTTGGGGTCGATGGTGCCCTCAGGCATGGCCCCGGCAGTAGCCTCGGGCACATTGTCCCTGTCCTGGTCCTGGCCTGCCATCTTCTTTATACTGTGTTCCCGCTGTCAGGCAAATTGTTGCAATTGACATTGTGGCAGGGCTCGGAAAGCTTCTTATCTAGCCGACAGTAAGGCAAGCAAGATCCTCCCATCCTCAGCTCGGCTCAAGATCTACCGAATAAGTGAGGGGGTGGCTTGTTGTCCAAGATAAATTGATATGTCCAGTGTCCAGTGTCCAGTGTCCAAAGAGAGGTCGAAGACCAGGTCTAGGTGGCCCCGAAAGCTCATCCGAGCCCTCTCCTTAGGTCTGGGCATGTAACATTCTAGAGCTTGGAAAGCTACATGCGCCGTACTGATACGATGAGAGCAGTGTAAGTGGAACTCGGCCCGAGAAGCGACAAAAAAGGAGTCCTGTTTCGATAGTCACGTCTACTTACGTTAGGTGACTGGTCGACTGACTGCATCTCTATTGCCTAACATCGGGCTCACGTTGCGCTGCCGCTTTGCGTTCTTTCTCACTGGCCTCTATGTTTTCGATCAGTTGGTTTGTACATATGACCAAGGTGCGCTCCACAGCACTGGCCTTGTCCCGCGGGGCCCCAGGTTTCCATGTCCATCTTAGTCTCAAGACGAGGTGTCATGCAGGTTGCTTACTGTGGAGTACATCCACTAGTAGATAGACCACCCTAAACGGGACGATGAATCGCCGGAGATTAGCCGGTAGCGTCCTTCTCATAGTACGGAATATCGCTTGCCATAAACACAGGCTGTAACCGCAGATCTTGAATACATCAAGTCTAGTTGCCGGTCTTAGGACCAGAAACTGTCAAATCACGGTGCAGTCATCGGAGTATCACACAGCGAGCAGCCGAGACCCCCGGGTGATTGTGTAGCGAGTACTGGTTTATCAAATGACTCCTTCAGAGCTATTGGGTGGCCAAGAGTTCATTTCAAGTCTCTCGAGGACAAGAACATTTTTGTGATGGCTACTCAATGGGACAATTCATGGATCTGGCATCCAGAATGGATCGAGAAGCCTGCATCCTCCTCTGCTGGCGCATTTGTGCACTTCCGCAAGTTTATCACTTTGGACGTGGTTCCTAATGACCCTGTGAATATCGCAATTACCGCAGACACGCGATATAAACTGTATGTGAACTCATGCTTGGTTCATGCTGGTCCCGTCAAAGGGGATACACAGATGTGGTTTTATGATGTTGTCGACATCCAGCCATACCTCTGTACTGGAAGGAATCACATCGCAGTCCACGTTCTGCGATTCTATTATGGTTCCCAGTTTGCAGCCAGCTTTCCTCGAACCGCCTATCCAGGGCTTTACGTCAGAACCGAGCCTCTAGGAGCTGCCAACGAGACGATTTCTTTCAAACTCCAGGGAGACGAGTCATGGGAGACAGCCATCGATCCCTGTATAGTTCTTCCCACGAGCTCGAACTTTGATTTCTTCCTCCAGATCTTCGAGCAGGTCGACGGGACAAAGAACAATAAGCTTGACTGGGTTGCCGCGAAGCCATACAGCTTCATGGTCAGTCACGGTCTCGCCGCTCCGTGGAACCTTTACCCTCGAATGATCCCTTTCCCTCGCCTCCAACCAACCAACCTTACCGCGGTACACAATATAACAAGTACAGAATCTCGCGAGGTGTGGGATGCTCTTCTTGGTTATGGTTCGAAGGGTAATTCAGGAATCCTCCTGCCAAAGGGCACAACACATCATGTTGAATTTGGTGTCGACCATCACACAACGGCATATGTCACGTTCCGTTTCGCAAGGCCCTCCACTAGTGGTAGCAGGATCGCTGTTACCTGGTCTGAGGGCTATGAAGATGAGCCCATCAAACTCCCTTTTGATCGAAATAAGGGAGATAGAGCAGACACAACCAAGGTCATTGCCGGCCCAAAGGACGATTACATATTCGGTGGCTTCTGTTTAGATGAGCCGTTAGGGTATGACGACGCGGAAGAAGACGATGAGATTTTCGCCCCTTTTCACTTTCGAACGTTCCGCTACTTCGCCTTTGACATTGAAGTCGCCAAGGACTCGGACCTGGTACTCAAGGATATCAGTATCGTCAAGACAAATTACCCCATCCAGGTGTTGGCCTCATTTCCTCAAGTTCAGGTCGAAGTTGGAGACTCCACGTGGTTCCATCAGCTTTGGAATGTCAGTGTACGCACGCTGGAAAATTGTATGCATGACTGCTATGAAGATTGCCCATTCTTTGAGCAGCTCCAATATGCCATGGATACAAGAAGCTCCGCCCTCTTCACTTACTTCATATCTAGGGATGATCGCCTTGCGAAACAGGCAATAATCCAGCTGCACAACTCCTTCCAGCCTGCTCTGGGATTGACGGCTAGCCGTGCCCCTTCGCATCATCTCCAGATAATATCGCACTTTTCTCTATTCTGGATATGCATGGTTACGGACCATTACGAGCATTTCGGTGATGCAGATTTTGCCACACAGTTTTTGCCTGTGATCGAAGGGGTTCTCGACAGTTTTCATCGCCGTGTTGACCAGGAAAGTGCCCTTGTCCGGGTTTCTCAGTTCTCTGGAGACTGGGCCTTTGTCGATTGGACCGAGGCATATCATCCAATGGGAGTTCCACCAGCGGGTAAAGAAACTGGGTTTATGACATACACGAACCAACTGTACGCATATGCGTTGCAGAGACTGAGTGGATTAGAACTGTGCCTAGGCAGGCAATCGCGTTCTGCTGAGCATGCCCAACGCGCTGAATCCATTGCCAGAGCTGTTCGGGCTCATTGTTACGATGGCACATATTTCACTGACGGTCTGGCTAGACTGGCCGAGTCGAGCCATTATAGTGAGCACAGCCAAATATGGGCCGTACTATGTGGAGCCATAACTGGAAAAGACGCTGTCGACCTTTTGAGCCGTTCGCTGGCATCCCCACGTCGTGGGATTGAAGAGACACGTGAGCTCACAAAGCCGTCAATCGCAATGGCATTCTACACCCTGCGTGCCTTATCGGCTGCTGGCGACGGAGTCTACGAAGACCGCTTTCACGACTTCTGGGAGCCCTGGAGAAAGCAGCTTGAGCTCAATATGACAACTTGGGTTGAAGATTATATCACTCAGAGATCAGACTGTCATGCGTGGGGTAGTTTGCCGCTGTACGAGTACGCTGCCGAAGTTGTTGGATTGAGACCTGTTATGAGTGGTGGTGGTGAGAGAGTTCTTATGTTCAAGCCACGAGTCTGTCTCTTCAAGGTGTTCGAGGCCAAGGTTCCAGTTGAAGGCTCAGTTGACAAGCCCGTAGTCGCCCGGGTGAGATGGGATAGAGAAGAAGGGGGTGCCACCAACTTGTCCATTGCATGGGAGGGCGACGAGAACGTTAAGAATGGAAGCCTGCCATTCATTCATGTTCATCTGCCCGACAGAGAGCAGGAGACGATGAAGATGCTTGAAGATAGAAGCTGGAGACTGTAGTTAGTTTAGTGAGTCAATGGGATGGAGAGATGCATGTGGTTTGAAAAAACAAAGTCAAGTGTAGTCAACTTAGGATCCTGTTGATGCCTCAGGCAAATTATTGGTGCCTTCCGGACCCGAGGCGATAATCAGCGATTGGCGTCTCCACGATCCACAATCCCGATTCCACATTCTCCGTGAACCTGTCTAAAGCTACAAACATTCCGGTCCATTCATTCTTGATTCGGCTTTGTTTTTTGTCCGCCGGGGAAGCTCTACTACCTTCATTCAGTAAGCTTTGGATACAGCACTTGCTGTGCTACACTAGCTGCGCTGGCCTTCTATCTCTCACTTGTGCCCAGGAACTCCCAGCCTCCGGCTGTACTTCAGGGAGTTCTCTGCCAAGACTTGAGCTCGTCCGTGCTTCAGCTTTTGCTTCTCCGCCCACTAAATTAAGCTGCTGTGGAAAAGCTGCCCCGAGCCCTGTTCCTCGTTCTCGTCCTCGAAGCTCGTCCTCAGCCTTAATCCCTGCCTCTCACATTTCTTCTTCCTTCGCTTTCTCTCCTTCAAGCTTCCCACAGTCGCTCATTTAGGTGCATTTTGTTTTGACCTCGCTCGCTCGCCCTCTATCAGGCCATCCAAAATCAGCTCCGTTCTTCCTGGAGCCCCTCTTCACCACCGACCCCTACTCCGCGACGCAATCTCGATTTACGTTTACCGCCAATCGGCCGAATCTATAGGAGTCCCTTACTCCTTCCACTCATTACATCGCTCCTCAATTGCACCTTCCCTTCATTGTTCCACAGGCAGGATATACCAGCGAACCTTTGTTTACATCTCGTGATAAACCCAACACCTGATCACCCTGCTCGCCTCAACCAATGCGACCGAAACCCATACCATTCTCTGGGGACAGTGCAGCTTCCTAATTGCTCTTGGTCCCGGCCTATTATGGCGAATATCCCGCTAAGCGTGAAAAGCAAGCCTGCTGGCCCGGCTCCGTCCCTCCGTGTTACTCCTTCAAATTCTCCTTCTTTGAGACCGCCGACACGTTCCTCCACGAAACCTTCTTTGTATCAATCAGCACTATCTCTCCAGACAGTAATCGGGACAACAACAACTACGCCCAATGGCTTCTCCTACCACGACCAAAGCAGGTCTTTCGCATTCTGCGCTGGTTCCGCTGCGGTTCTTGCAGAGTTAGACGACAACAATAATGCGAATCAGCGCTTCTTTCGTGCGCGGCCATCTGCGAACAGTATAAATCCAATCACGTCATTCTACGATCAGCCTACACCCCCGGCCACACCAGGTGCGAGGACAAAATCCTTGTCGAACATAAAGGCTGTGTCTTACAACGGTATCAACACTCCGTCAAGCGAAGTCATTGAGGCAGCTAGCCCTCGTGTTTGGTCGTCGAGGGAGAAGGTCAAAGCTGTTACCAGTGTCGCTATAAGTCCAAATGGAAGGTTTCTTGCCCTAGGGGAGGTAAGTAAAGGGACCGCCTTGCAATGGAATCTACGTTAACTCTTGCAGACCGGGTATAACCCTAGAGTTCTGATTTTCTCGACTGCAAAAGATGCACCCCCCGACATCCCACTCTCTATTCTTACGGAACATTCGTTTGGTGTCCGTGCCCTTGCCTGGAGCCCAAACACTCAATATTTAGCCACTCTAGGAGATGTGAATGATGGGTTTCTTTTCGTGTGGTCTATTAGCCTGAAAAATGGTTTGGCCAAGCTCCACTCAACGAACAAATGTACAACTGTTGTTCGTGACATGACATGGCTTGGCCAAGCGTTAATAACGTATGTATCTGTGCTGTTCAGCTCGCATTGTAAGTACTGACGCTTTCTAGGGTGGGTGTTAGGCATGTCAAGATCTGGAGGCTTTTGGATGCTAGGCCCGTATCGCCATCTAAGTCCCGCTCGAACGCCGAACAAGCTCCAAGTTCTACGTCCCCGAAGGCGCTTACCGGCAGAAATTGCGTCTTAGGCACATTGGCGGATAACACTTTTACGAGTGCCATTAGCATTTCCGAGTCCGAAGTCGTCGTTGGCACGGATTCTGGGGCGCTGTGCCTTGTGGACGATATCGATGGCAACGCCAAGCTTACTCTCATTCAGTACATGGACTTCGGGATTACTTCATTGACGGCCGACTCTGATCGGTCTTGTATATGGATCGGCGGACGTGGCAGGCGTATGCAGAAATTTGCGTTCGAATCCTTACGGCCCTCCGGCAATCCGCCATCTCCGAGAACCATAAGTAGATCTTCAGTGGAAGCAAAGCCCAAGGAGCCGGCTATCACATGCATCGGCTCGCTTTCCTCTCATCTGGTCACAGTTGATGCGACGAAAGCTATTCATATCTACCCGATCGAGCAGTTGAACGATGTAGGCGACCAATGCGAAGGCGGGATTGCCATGCCCGCTCATCGAGACGCCGTTCTTGGAATAGGGCCGCTCGAGACGCCAAACAAGCTGGCGGCCGATTTTTTCACTTGGTCCTGCAAGGGAGTAGTCAAGTTCTGGAATACTCGAGGAGAGTGCTGTGAATCGCGAACAATTGCCGTTGAAAAACTTCCAGGTGGCGATGATGATACTTCGAATGAGCTAAAGGTCCTTCGAGCCAACAGCGACATGGAATTTTTTGTCTCTGGTGATAAGCTCGGTGTTCTCCGGTATTTTTCCATGTTCGCGTTGATCACAAACTTGCTAATCTCGCGTTAGAGTATTGCACGGACAACCGTGGAGGTGTGTCCATGAAGTCCGAGCCCACGGTGGTGAAATTACGGATATCGCCCTGTGTGAGACTCCCGACTTCTGCGTTGTTGCCACCTCTGGTCGCGATCGAATGGTACAGCTTTTCGAGCGGCGCGAGAGTAGCCTCCAGTTGATCCAAACTATGGACGATCATGTTGGGGCTGTTGGCCAGCTCCTGTTTGTTCACGGAGGTCAAAAGATGCTGTCATCGTCGGCGGATCGCACTATTCTTATCAGAGACCGTGTGACTCGCGAAGACAGCGGGTCTACCGCCATTGCTTATTTGATTTCCCGAGTGATTACGCTAAGGTCATCGCCAGTGTCAATGGCACTCTCCCCAGACGATCCGGACAGCCTGATCTTCGCGAATGTGGATCGTTGCGTTTACCAATATGATATGAGCTCGGGTCGACATGTTCATTCTTTCCGTGCTGGGGATTCCGACTCTAACGACACTGTGGTGATGGGCTCGTTGACAGTAACCTCTGTCGTCTCTAACCACAGCCCGAAACTGCTTATCGGAGTATCGGGCACAGACAAATCGATCCGCATATATGATTTGGAGAAGGGGGCCCTTCTTACTGGTGAATTTGGACATACCGAAGGGGTCAGCGATGTTAGATTGCTTGAGAAACATACCAACACGCCAGGTGATTCACCAGAGCGAATCTTGATTAGCTCAGGTATCGATGGGGTTGTCATGATCTGGAAAGTATCGGTACAGCTACAGCAGCCTCCAGAACTCACGCAACCAACGCAGCCAACTCCTAACGAGCATGAGGGGGAGAATCTCTCAAAAGAGTTAACCGTCTCAAAGCCCCCTTTACGAAGAGTACTGTCGCGATCTGAGCTTGCCGGTTTTCAGCGTCCAAATAATACGACAGCGGCTGCGACCCCTACCCCAGTGCGTGAACCGGCTCCGCCTCTCTTACGCAGATTCTCGAGGGTATCCGTAATTCCTTCAATGAAGAACGGAGTTGCACCTGCAACACCTCCATCTGCACCGACTCGTCGCTCGCCTACCTCGAGCAGCCGTCATGAGAGACTGCGCAACTCTCCGTCACCGCCCAGCCCCAAATCAACCGGTGGGCGAAGGGGCACGGAGCCGCGCAGCTCTCGGAATGGCGTCCATTGTTCATCTCTGGACTTTCGTGCACGTGCTCGTGGAAAAAGCGAGTTTGGGAGTCTGAACATGTCTACTGAGCAAGTATGCCGCACGCTGAAAGCCTACAGAAGGAAGCTCAATGGGTCTACGGAACCTCTGCATTCTCAGAAGGAGCTTGAACGCGAACTTGCCCTCACTCTCCGAATTCTAAATTCCCGAGCGAAGAAGATCGATTCTGGCGAAACGGAGACTGAAAGCAGCGGTAAAGAGAACGAAAGGATACCTCCTCCAACACCTATTCCGAACAAGACCGGGCGTATCCCTCGCCGAATTCCGTCAACGCCCAACCTGAGCCAGAAAAAATTGCCTCGATACTCCCGGCGGCGCTCTCTTGATGCGGCTGGGGAGGGCTGAGATTACCAAGCCAGATTCTCGTTTTCGCTCACCATACTTTTTCTCTGTCCCTCTGGCTATTGCCCTTCCTCTCATTTTCCCTTCTTCTTTAATCCTTAACGGCGTTTCTTGGTGATGTGGGATTTCGCTTGGCGTTTATATTGATAGACCTTTGCTCTTGCAAAGCAGGTGTTGTGTTTCATTGCATCTTGTCCTAGCATAGCAGGTGTTCGGATGGATTTTGGGGCATTTGACGGACCGATTTTTCTTTTCTCTTGCGGATGCTTGAGACCTCCATGGGTCTGATCCTCAATCGTTGAACTTTTCTCTTCTTTGAGTGGTTCTTGTTTCTCTCACAACAGCATCATGCCCCCTAACGGTATGCTTTCCCTTTTGAGCCTCTTCTTCTCTTGTCTGCCTGATCTTTGGTCCCCTCGCGCAGCATTTTCAAGGCAATTTCCTCAATGATACCCAAATTCGGTCAGATTCTGCAGGCTCCCCTTTTTTGGGACCACAGATTCTAGACATTTATAGAAGTTATATAGACTTCGATCAACTGTGCTAGAGCAATATATACTCTACAACGAGAGCCATTAAATTCAGTAGTGTCAGGATTCACTTCGGTTATAGTATTATTTTCCTGTATCCGAGAGCAGCAACATAGTCGTCGCTGAATTCGGGGTAAGGGCACTTAGCTTCTAAGGCGCATAGCTTTTCTTCCCTTTCGTTATCCCCTACCCTATAATGCAGCTGGCAACTTAGGGCCAGTATCCGTGGGCTCAGGCTTGCCTCAAATCATGCTATCCATATCTTTTAGTACAGGTCGCTGCGGTCTGAGAAGGGAAGGAACAATCGGCGTAATTATAATGTAGAAATACAAGGTATATCGCTTTCATTTGGGAGACGCAATCACACTAGCACTAGATAGTTTATTTCAATTGTATGTGCCACTCGCACGATGGGCGAATTTGCCCCTATCTCGCGGATACTCAATCTAATCCTAGTTAGGGTTTCGTCCCTTCAGCGGGGGATAGATATCCTTCATAGTCCGAAAGACAAACACCAACAATAGGTACCACAGGAAGATCATGCCAGGTCTCTCATAGACTTGATCCCCCTCAGATACATCACAAGGGACCTCCTCAGGAAGCCTTCAATTTCGCAAGATTCCCCCGCAAAAGACACCCCAATTTCCCACCGTCATAATCCGTGATACAGTCTGCCAACGCAACTGCTTTCCCAGCCCAACGCTGACACTCTTCATCTGCAGAGACCGAGAAGAACTCGGCGGCCTGGTTAAAGGCGGTGATTGCAAGCCACTCCAGTTCTTCTCTTGGATATCTCGGGTTATCGCGGGCGAGGAAGAGGGCTTGGTCGAGGACTGATTCGGCGAGGATGTACTCTTTGCCCTCGTGGGAGAGACTGAAGAGGATACGGAAGTAGCGTGGTAGGGTCTCGCTGAAGGTGGAGGTTGGAGTGTTGAGGTACGGTAAGGGGGAGGAGTGGAGGGTTCGGACTAGTTGCTGTGATTGTTGTTATTATACACACTTTGTGGAATCGGGATATAAACGGGTACCTTGACAGCCCGTGATATGCATGATGAAGAAGCTCCAGATTTGAGGATACAGTCGAGGAAGCAGGAGGCTAGCTTGCCATCTACTATGGGCTTTGAAGTCTCGAGGATCTTTTCGAGGTCATGCCATTGCTGGAGAAATATGGCGGCGTCAAAGTCCATGAAGAGCAGAATACGGTACTTCCCGAGCCAAGTGACATGTTGATCAGTGGAAATGGATTGGATCCGGGGGTGGACCTGTTTCATTGCTTCGCGAATCTCGTTGTACTGGGTTGTCTAGGCTGGGTTAATGGTTGGCGATAAGTACGGCTTTCTCCTCTTTCTTACCTTCACTGCAATACTCTCTTCGCTTCTGGCGTCCTTGGTTATAATTGCAAGTAGAAAGTACGTGCAATGTAGGTAACAGTTAACGTAATCGAGCTTCGCCTCGAAGTCAGTTCCGCGCTCCACGATCTCCGTAAACTGTGGAATACAACATGATTTAGACCGGATACGAAGCAAATAATAGGTTGAATTACCTCTATGGCAATCTTAAGCAACCTGATAGTTGCTTGTGGGGTTGCAGAGCCATGATTCTCCAGGGCAATGGCATAGCTTCTACAAGCAAGCCAGTATAAATCGGTAGCGGGGAATATGTTCTTCTGTCCACGGCCGACTGTAGTAAGTACTAGAAAATTAAAGTTAAAGGCCTGTGGCACAGATTATCCTCGGGTAGGGCATACTGGACTCAAGAAGAGGCACGACATGCTCAAGGTGGTTCTTGGCCGCTCCCATCGTGCAAATGCTGCTGATCAGGTATTTCGCAAGCTGTGATAACTGCCGCTGGTCCAGGTCACTGTCTGACCCAGTTATTAGGCCACCAAAGCTCTGAACTGCGACCTCTATCTTCCCTAGCCGCAATGCACCTGATATGCATGCCTGGATATACGTGGTACCCGCTTGGAGCTGGCCGAGTAATTCAAGGTATACCGTGGCTTGATCAGATTAGCGAAGAACTCCCCCATAAGACACATGACATACCAAGCAAACTGTTTTCACGTGAAAGAGCAAGCTTGTACAGCATGTACAGCGTTCGGGGACAGGCTTTGCAGCTCGCAGGCGCTGTATCGATAATTCTTTGTGCAGAGTGCTCGGGCTTGTCCAGAACACAGATAATCCATTTTCTGTTCATATAAGTAAGTATCATGTTTTTCTTTTGGCATAGGCGAACCCACCGAAAGAGCTGGGTCTCAGTGCCTGGCGTAATTCGGAAGATTGGTTGTTTTAGATTCAGAGCGAAGCAGCACCATTCTTCCGCCATACTGATTGAACCTCTAGCCACCAGTTTGTCAATTCTTTTCCAGATAGGCTGCCGTCTATTAGTTTGCTAAAGTGCTACCATAGGTATCCGACCTACCATTAAAGAAGCGCTTGTGGCGTCCTCGCTGAGTCTGTCCAAGCCATTTTTCGTCAACTGACAAGCTACTGTTTCAGCCAGTGGAAGATGATCTTGGTCTATACTTGATAAAGCGTAAATGATGGAGACAAAGATTTTCTCCATCCATTGTCTTTTGGTCTCTGGATCCAGCGAATCAAGCTTAGCGAAAAGCTGGCCGCAGGCTTTAACAAACCGCTCTGGGCTGATTGCAGTTAGTACAGTACGCACACAGGGTCATCTCGCTTTACCTCGAGTTCTTGGATTTCAGGAGATAATGATACAATCTATGGTCGAATCTCAGTACCGCGGGATCAAAAAGGAGTATAAAGGCTCACAGTGTGATGCTCGCCGCACTGTTATCCATTGCCTCGATGGACGACTCCAGCGCTGACTTGATTTAGACTCTGTTATGCTTAGAACCTTAGACTAGACTCACCCAAGAAGAATTCCTGGCCAATTTCTCCCTTCTTGCTGAAATTTTCAAGAGAAAGTGCAAGTACAGGAAACTGATCACCATACTCCTAGGGCAGAGGGTTAGTACAGTGACCATCATCAAACGGAGGTCTTTCGCTTGCCTTTCCTAGTAGCTCCAGTGCTTTCTGCAGGCGATTGTTAGGGTCAGGTTTGGTAGAATGAAGGCGTGCCCGGGCTATATAATCAGCATAGGATCGCATTGCAAGTCGATTCTATCTTACTAAAAGCGTGCAGAATTAACAGCCGATTGTCCTTTGGATATTGACCAGTGTCATGACCTTCTTCAGCCTCGCATGATGCCAGTGCCCTATCCAGCCACACCAACGCAGTCTCATATTGGCCGTGAGAGAGCGCATTGTCCCCAATCTCATAGCATATATTCGCGACAACACCCCGCTGCCCATTCGTTTTGATTTCGGGGACCTTGGAGAATAAGTGATCTGCAATGTCAAGTCGGTTCTCTGACCAGGCCTGATCGCTAGTGGTTAGCAAGAACACATTAGGATATGCGAAATGTGGGTGCTCACAAGGTATATCCGAAGCATATAGTATTCGGTGGCAACAACTTCAAGCTCTGGGTTAGGGTTTTTTTCGGCGGGTCCAATCTCTAGGGCATCCAATCTTATAGCCACCGAGCTTATTATCCTCTGGCCTAGTTCGACAAGCTTGTTGTCTGTTTAAACCGTTAATGTGCGCTTGATATATCCAACTCATCATGGTAAACGACGTACCGAGACAGGGTTTGATGGCTTGAGATGCAAGCTCGAGAATTCGGAGGCTCCCTGGGCCAAGGTTAGCCCTGCCCTAGATCGCATGTTGAGTAGGGCTCCAAGATGCCTTACCTTGCGCGACCCTTACGCAGTTAGGTGCAGCAGCATCAAGCATCGCGTATGCTAAAGCTCTCACTTTGTCGGACTTAGCAAAGTAGAGCTTCAGGGATTCGGAGCCCCCAAAAGATAGCCTATCAGAGTACTATACCTTTGCACAACAGCACAGAATATTTATCTCCATGACCACTTATCACACTCAGCAAACATGAATTCCATAATTTCGTTCCCTCGTTATCAAGTCGACGACGGATAGAGGAAGGATAGCTTGTTTCCGTAAAGCCAAAGCAGCGCAGTGTTTCGTCAAGAGCCTCAAGGCTATTGCCGCTGACGAGGCTCTCCGGGTTGTCATTCTGCGTGAGTTCATTGAGGAGATTTGTAGCAAGCTCTGGCAAAGAAATAACATGGTCGGTGAGGTGGCTTATTTGCAGGAGCTAAGTGTTTTGTTGTGCTCACCTAGTACATACTCCGCCTGCCCACTGAGACTCTGTTTTGTTAGCATGATGATTGGTGGGTCTTTCTCTCTCTCATTTAGACACCTGGTGGAAAGTTCGTGCTGGTTAATCATTCGAAGCCAAGGAAGGTCATGGGAAGTAATGGGTGCAAGACTGAGCTGGAATTGGTGGGTGAGGACAAAGGTGACAAAGCTCCCGTTCGTGTCGAGATCTATACTCCGTAGAAAGGACATGATCTCCCAGTATCCGGGGTCTAGGTAAATAGGCGAAAAAACTGGAGTCTACCACAACCTCAAAGAAGACTAGCTCCAAGCTGACCTAGTTCTTGATGGTTATTCCTGGATAAGATATGCTAACGTCCTTATATCCTTTTGAAGGTATACATCGACCTCGTACGCGGAGCTGTATACCATCCCGTCCTTTCAAAGTAATACTGTCCACAACAGAACAGTCATTATTTGGTAGCAGATCAAACCAAAAGACATGTCCAGATGCACATCCATTAATGAAATAATATCATGCAGCATAGTTCGCAAGATTGCAATGGTATATACGAGAAATAAACATAGAATGTTAAGCCGAAGAAGACCTAACTTGGATAGGTCCATGTGATTCGAAAAACCCCTCAATACTGGATAAAATGTCGTCACGACCCCCGATAAACGCCGATTTTGATGACAGATAAGGGTGAAAAAGAGACACATAATTATTTGCTTTTCCGTTGCGATGGTAGGAAGTTGCCAACGATAAGTGAGGGACTGGACAAGGTTAGATCGAGTACGAGGCGGCACGCGCTCGAGTCTAGGTCAACTTACATATTATGGTTGTCTCTGCGAATAGTGAAGGAGAAACAGCATCGTATTCCGTCAGAGGGCGTGGAAGCATTTGGGTTCTTCAGGGTACAGCTCGTGAGCATTGCTTTCTGCGTGTTGTCGAAGGCAATGGCGCCGAACTTTTCCCAGTAGCTCACGAGTTGGTCTTCGACCACAATCTCGTGGATCGCCAGTTTGCCCTACATCAAAAGTATGTTAGTGACTGGAGAGCGAATAATGGCCTGGGACTCACATCTCTGAGAACCTCGATCGGAACACCAATTAACTCGGCCATCTCTTTGTTACCACGGAAGATCTCGCCCGTTCGTCTCCAGCAACATGCAGGTATAGCCATACTAGCGAAGACACGGTCATACTCCATGAGACTCCGTTCGAACCACATCTCCACCAGTATAAGTTCAACATCCGTCAGGCTCTGCATCCTCTCTCGGAACTTCGGGCGAAACTTGTCTAACTGTCGAAGGATCTTTTGTCGCGACGACTGCTGTAGGTTCTTCTCCATGTATTGGTTGAGTCTTGCGTAGCCCTTGACATAATTGAACGGCCGCAGGAGGCCGGCATCGTACTTCGCTTTGAGGAGCTTGTTCATACGCTCTTCTGGTGGATCAGAGCCGGAGGGATCAGCCGCAGTCATGTAGTATGTTTCCCTTGCCTTGTCATTTCCAATAGCGCCAACTGGGCCTGAAGTACTGTCCCCCTGCGTCTGTTGGTTCTGCGGCTGTTGTAATGGCTGGGATTGCTGGAGGAGGGACGGATTGGGGCCGCCCAGAACGGCCATGGAGTTGATTAACGTCGGGTCCGAGTACATTCTCTGCATATCATCGTTCTGGAAAATTCCTCCATCATCTAACAAACTGTTGCTGAGGAAATCGCCGAGAAGGTTGTATTCGTGCGTAACTTCGGGCGCGTTGAACATATAAGAAGGATGGAACGTGTGCATATCCTGGAACTGGCTCTGGCCTCCGACCCAGTCATTGTACCCGAGAACTATGAAGTTGTTAGCAAGGCATACGCGTCGAAGACGCTGCGGATCTCGGTGAGCGCTTACGCTGCTGAGAGGTGACACCTAGGTTCTGGCCTGTCGAAGAAGACATGGGCCCGGGTTGCACCGCATTCATTGAGGAGGACGTAAGGCCAAGAGTCCCATCGGTCAAGATCTGCTGTCCCGCAGCATCTGGAATCTCCACTTTCCTGGGCATCGCGTGGACATTCGGGTATTCGTTGTTTGAGGAGCCCTCTTCGTCTGCCGCAGACTGTTCGTGCTCACTACGCGATCGTTTCGACGGTTCTCTCGGCTCATCATGGCACAGGTGTCCGATATTGCGCTTTATACATCGAGTGCACGGGCGCTCCTTCATTTCAAGGAAACGTCATTGTCAGCATGAATTTGTGCTCTCTCCCAATTGTCATCCTGGGATATGTTCCACAAGGACTCGTGCGGGTGGAATTCAGGGTAGGTCTTACCGAATCGCAGGTCATATGCTATAACACGTGAGCAAGTGGCCATCCGTTAGCAAATAAACTCCAATGAAGATCATTGTCAGGAAAATCCTGAGACACCCCAAGCCCATATTTCTTTTTCTAGTCGTAGTATCTGAGGAGGGATAATGGTGTAAGAGGAAGAGGTAGGGTGGAGGCGGGTAGGTGATATGACACCACCCCCACAAGGCAATGAATGGCTTACCGATCGCCGACAGTAGACGCATGCTGCAACACCTTGATTAGCAACGTGGCCTGGAGGTTGTAGCAGAGAGGCAGACGTAGGGAGCCGCTGCGACAGCCCTGTTGGGATGCACGTTCTTACCATGATTGACCTTGCGGCGTTTCTTTGGGCTGGCGCGAGGCCCCGCAGCAGTATTGTCGGGCTTCGAAGCAGGCGACATTTGCGCGTTGTCTTTCGCGTTCAGATCGCTTTTGACGGCTACACTTCCCTCTGAAGGCTTTGACTCAGCCATGCCATTGCTGGCGTGCGGCCCGGGGGCTTGTGCACCCGTTTGCGTTGCGGTTTGCTCCGTCATTGATCGCTGGGCGCAAAAAGCTGTCGCGCAGAGACCGGCTCGCTGCTGTGGCTGTTGCTGGTTCGGTCGGAACACAAAAGGTGGGAAGATGGGGACTTGCAGGCACCGGAGTGGGTTCGACGAAAGAGAAGAGGAGCAACCATCGGTTCTGCCGCCTAGCAAATAGAGAGCAACAGTACAGAGGTACAATCTGGAGTCAGATACATGCGACCAGCGACCAGGCTTCCCCGCTGAGAAAGCGGGACTTCAAGTGACCTCGTGTGGCCTCCCGTTCGGCAGCCAACAGCCAATTCCCGATCTTCTCCGCATTGGGAAACGCGCGGCTCAGCGAGTCAGAGCCGTCGGTGAACTGCCAACACTCTGCCTCGGAAATACCAGGCGTATCCACGGCCATCGACACCCGTTTACTACCCATGTGCGGCCAGACTACCTCGGTCGGACGATATGTAAGAGCTATACAAAGCTTCTACTACTATTTTCAATCCTGTTTCTGGAATATACGTCACTTGACATCAAATGTTTTATGCTCACAGTACTAGTACTATGCGCGGAGAGCCATAACAAAATCCGCTCAACCGCCATCTATATCGCCGAATGGTCGAAGCTGTACGGAGTAGTATAACTAAATCTCAAAACACCCTTTAGCCAGAGATTTAAACCCCGGACGTCCTGATCAGGTCAAGAGGTTTCGGCATCGACCTAGTGGTTCGTCGTGTTGCATGCTGGCGACGCCCACCCAAAAGTGTATCTGGTACTTTGTCTATAGGCCTATAAACCATCTGCGCGGACGTTGCTATGTCGCACAAAGAGCCCCAACAAATAAGACTGTGCCAGCCTTCCGACGGGCGCGTACTTGGAGCGAGTGATCTTTCGTCACATTCTCCCGTCTTGCTTTCCGTGCATGTACACAGGTGTCGCCGCATAACGTCCTCAATTATCATTAGGATACCAGTGGATGTTTCAAGCCTGGTTGAATCATTCAGTCATTGGGCATCGATGCCAGACTCAACGCGGTCTGAGACCGTGTAATAGCGTCCTGTAGTCCAGCAAGTGGGGCCACATTGCTCTGCATAGATCTCAGATGGTTGTTTAGTTGCTTCAGCAAACTGGACACCTCCGGGTCGTCCTCAAGCTGGAAGATGTCAGTGAAGAGGCATATTCAAGGTCTCAGAGAACATACCTCATCGAATCCCAGACATGAATCTTTCGCAGTTGAAACTGTGAACTCGGCCCTTCCCCCTGTATCTTGATCGGGTTTATCAAGTTGCCGGAGAAGGGGATGCTCCTATGGTATCGGGTTAGTGGCAGCACCCGTAACCTTGCCCGGTAGATCAACATACATTTTTCATCTGCCTCTTCCCTTCGGCCTCTACGCGCTTTGCATCCCTTTCCAGTTCCTGTAGTTTCTTCATCTCTTTGGCAAGAAGCGCCTCCTCTTTAGCAATCTCATGCTTCAGCAAGTCAATGCTATCTGTCATCGTCGAAAGCGTAGACTCTAGCGCGCTCTAGGCGAAGAATCAGTATATGCGCGCCAAAGCGACAGGCTAGGGAGCCCATACATGTTCCTTCAACGCCGCTTCGTACTCAAAAACCGAGTCTTTCGTCAACGGAGGAAAAGGCATTCGAGGAAGCCGCTTCCCAAGGCTATATCAATTAAGCAGACAACAATTAGCAATTCGCTGGATATATCGGCCACATAGATTCAGCAGCCACGTACTTCTTGACAACCGCCTGGACAGCCGCTTGAGCCTCGTAGCGCTTGCGGTCATTCTGCTGTCGAACAATAACAGGACGCTCAAGGGCTCGAAACATATCGCGAATCTTATCCTGAGCAGGTTCGGGCAGTGTAGACCATTTGGATTTGATTGTTCGCTCTGAGATGTGCCGTACCTGGGGCTTCAGGTAGGCGTATGGCTTCGTGCGTCGGTCGTTAGTGTTGATGTCGGGCGCATCATCGGTGCGCTTCCGTTTGGGTGGCATGATGTTTCTGCGGTCCGAGAGTGACGAGAGAGCCTAACTTGCTAGATTGAAGAGTGGGTGACGAAATGAAAGGTGAACCTGAGAGTTGTGTTGATTGTTGCTCCGTCACTGACGCGCCAAGCATTGCGACAATCACATGTCAAGCTTCAAATCCACTAAACCGCATCTGAGAGTGACGAATCAACACCACGACCAGATCTGCTTAGCTCGACCGTTATCTGTGATTTTCACATGTTCTGCAGATCTAAAAGGGCCGATAAAGCTCTGAGAGATGATGTCAACGGGCTTCTCTAACTATGTATCAAACATTACGTTGTATTTATGTAGCCCACGATAAGCGTGGTATTGTTCGGCCCAACCCGATGGGATAAAGCAATCCTATATATCAATAGTACAAAGGGAAGTCGAATGGGTATTAAAGTGGCAGGTATAGTGTCCAAACCAGACCATGAGTGCCGCATAGAACGCCTGTAACCCCGCCAACACAACCTGCGTCCAACCAGGCCGCTAAACCGCTTCAATCATCAATGAGACCATATTTCGTGGAGGAAGTGATAAAAAAAATCATTGCGACATAGGCGTCATTTTCAACGCGGCATTACCAAGCCATTCATGCCCTTTAAATCTGCAAGCTGTGCTTTCAAGATCTCGTTGCCACGTAAGATCTCCTCTAGCCAGTCAGCGGCTTGAGTGAGCATCGCACTTTTGCTGAAGCCGCCGCCTTTCAGGCCGGGAACAAGAGTGCACAGGTCTTCAAAGCCCTGTCGAATGAGATTTCTCCGTTTCTGCTCCGACAAAATATGGTTGCTTCGCTTCTGCTCTTCAGTCAAATTCTCCCTTGGGGCTTTTGAACTGTGAGAGGCTCTCGACTTTCGAGTCGCGTCATTTGACATCCGCCTGCTTGAGCCCTTGGGACGCTTCGACCGGTGTCTCGAGCTCTCGTCGTCGGACATCTCGTCATCCTCTTCCTTGATCGAAAGCCTTTGCTTCTTCTTTGGATGGGACTGGTCTTCCATACTATCGACGTAATCTCTCCGTAGTCCATTGAGATGATTGACTGCTCCAGTGTCTACCCATGGAGCAGGGTGGTGGCTGACGATGCGATCTGGGGTGGGCGCCCGGGTATTGGCAGCGCTGCTTTGTGGTTCCAGACACTCTAGGTTACCCAGCAGCTCTTTCGTCCTTTGTTCCTCATCGGGTTGATCTGGCGGCGCCACATATCCTTGGTCCATGAAACTCGAATCCGAGCCCCAGTGAAGCGGCCGGCCTTTTGTAGACAGTTGTTGCTCTGCGGATATCGGTTCGTGGACATCGAAGAACATTTTCGTAGTATGGAAACCGACGGGAAGATGCGTCCGAGGGGAAGTGCTGGGCCGCTTGGCGGGTGGGTGACCGTTTTGCATTCGGTCTTTCCCACTCGTCTTTAGTAGAGGATAGTCCATATTTGAAAAGGCTGAGAGTGGTTGGCTACCAAAGGTGGTGCTGATCTCGGGCCCATTTGCTCCATTTTGATAAAGCATCGAAGCCGCAGCAACTATGTCCGAGTTCTGATGCGAGTGATCTGGGAGAAGGCCGAAGGGTTTTTGAGGAAATGATGACTGTGGAAGAGAGGTTGTTGAGCCTTCGAAGGTTGGAGGCAGTTCGGTTGACCAGTCGAACCCAGGCAATCCAAAAGTGTTCGTTTCATTCTGCTGACCCGTAAACCAAAAGTCGCTCTGATTCTGAGTTGCACCCATGGTGGTGAAAAAGCTATCGAGCATAGATGATTCATTATCGTCGAGGAGCGCTGGTCCGAGTGGCGATGCTGGAGCAGGCTCGAATGGTATATCTTCAGGGAATGAATCTGTCCAGTCGCCAAGATTAGAACTTGACTGCCTCGACAAACGAAGATGGATAGTTCTTACAACCAAACGGGGCAGGCCCATTATTCCGCCCATTCTGGCCCTGAGTGCCATTTGTGGTATTGATACTCATCATGATGATAGTGGTTTAAGCAAAAAGAGAAAGTGTTCTCCGCGAAAGATGTTGCAAATATGCGATTAAGATTCAACGGCATCTGCTCCGGCGAGGCGCAAGCAGCACAGACAGCGACGACCTTAGCATGCCTTGACCAGCAGGGAACCCGTGACCGAATATGCGGCTTTCTGATGCGCCGTGGAAGATAATCCAAGAAATGTCCAAGTTATGTTGACCCGAGACTCAAGGTCGACGTCGACCGTTGGAGTGCGCTGCGTATAGAGGTCCTCTGTGTATTGAAGAAGCTCAAAGCGGGCACTTGCTCAGGACATGGAAATGGTAGGAAAAAGAGAAGATGGGACACAGAGTCGGCTCGGAAGTTCAGGAAAAGGAAATTATAACAGGTAGCCAGATCCACTCAGACAAGCGCACAATGCACATCCCCCGCATTGAATCTGAGAACAGCGAAGAGATGACGACCGAGTGTCTAGATAGGAGGGCTGATGGCGGCGCGGCGGACAGAGCATGGCTTCTCGGGTTTTTGGAAGCAATCACATGCGAATTCATTTTGCAGGGTCTGTCGCGTGACGTAACCAAGATACCATGATTACGATACGCCGCCCGCCAACTGCGACCTTTGGCGAGTATCAGCCCCGTTCTGGCACCGTTCGGATGAACTTCCCCGTTGGAAGCCGTCAGGCCCGAAAGCAGAATCCCTTGCGAGCTCCCTTGTCTCTTTGCCCGCCGTCCATCCAATGAACCATCTGTGGCTCTGCCACCCTGCTTAATTCTCCTATAAGCAACTCCCCAGGGTTTTGCTTTTTCCTTGCTGTCAGTGATCTCGACTCAGGCCTTTCCGTGGCACGACGGTCCGCCGTTTAGAGTCGGACTTGTCTCGTTTTATCCATGACCGCGCTCGTTTCTGCCCCACTGGACTGTCCCCAAACGGCCCTTCAGTGGATGTGCCTGGCACATCGCAGCCCCGGATTTTGGCGAGCCTCGTGGATTCGTGGGCGTATGCCACCGGCTGCTGGGTTACCGACGCAGAGCTACCCCTGAACCAAGCTGAAATCGAAGATTGCCATTTCCGACGCCAGACTCTCATCCGGGACCGAGGCGCGACGTCGGCTTTGCGTCGCACGGCAGCACGGCAGATCATACCGAAGGATCCCCCACTCCCCCAAATTTGTCGCCTCCTTCGCCCCAACCGCAGCTAATTTCCTGGTTTTGTAAACATATGGAGTAAATCCTGCGATTCTCAGACGGTTCCTGAACTTGTGCGTTCCGCCAATAAGTTTCGTGGGTCCATTTCGTTTAACCCACGTCGTCCCAAGGGGCTGCAGGTTTCTCGTCAGTTGTACGACTTGGTCCTGTGTGGTGATTGGTTGCTGAAGATTGTCTTGGTTCTGACCACAGATCAGTTTCATAGGTCCTTGCCTAGGTACATTCCGAATATATCAACTTTGGTGGCTGTCATGAACTAGGAGGGACCATACCACTATGGATCCTGCTGCCCTGATTCACAGGCGCCATCGGGCCACAGCACTGTTCAAGCCGTGAGTACTACCAATTGTGGCAACCTCATTTGCATGCAACTTGGGGTGCACCCAAGCATTCACTAGTGGCAAAGTTGCTGACGTGTGCTGTGTCCTCCAGCATTTTACGAGCTTACGCTTTAGGGTATCTCTCTTCAACGACTCCAAAAGTCCTATCCTGCCTGCGGCGTCTCTGGGGAAACAATGACCTGACCTACCAAGAAAAATCAGAGCAGGTATGTACTTGTTCACTCAACCTACTCCACTACCATTGCCTTGGGGTTGTTCTAGGGCACCCGAGCATGGATATTTTTATTCACCTAGCCAACCCTCGCCTGCTGAGCCCGGCGTAGAAAGCAAGATGCTCACCGGATTTCACAGTTGCTCCGAGCGCTCACCGGCGCACTACGCTTGGAGAGCTTTCCGACTTTCTGCGCTTCACTCGTTGGGGGCTCGACATTGCTTCCTCTGCTGATTGTGAGAGGCCTACAAGCCTTTTTCCGTAGACTTGGCTCGGAACCCAGGAGGTTAAGCTCCAGGGAAGCTTCCCGATTGATCCAATTCACTGCTGCATTCGTATCTGCATGGTTCAGTTTCCAGATTTTGAACCGGAGGCCTGTTAGTTTGCAAACCGTGCACAAGGATGGCGGGGAAAATACAGCAGCAGAGGCAGAGATTGCCTTTTACCAACAGAGCAAGCTACACCCACATACTCAACCTCAATTCGCTGGAAGGACAATGGATCTCACTCTCTTTACATTTACTCGGGCACTCGACTCACTAGCCTGCATCTCGTGGGCCTGGATTCGACAGAAATACGAAGGCAATCCACGTTGGGCTTCAGTGGATTCTCTTGTTCCCAGGCTGGGAGATTCTGCTGTTTTTGCCGCCAGTGCGGCAGTAGTGATGTGGGCTTGGTTCTATGTCCCAGAAAGACTGCCAAGGTCTTATGGAAAGTGGATTGGAGAGGTGGCCAAAGTGGACGAACGCTTGATCGAAGCCCTTCGTCGCGCACGGCGGAATATCTTTGTTTACGGCAAGGATACCGGCCAGGCACCCCTACTCGAGTCTATGTGCAAGGACTTTGGCTGGCCTATAGAATGGGGCGACCCTGCTAAAACGATCCCAATTCGGTGTGAGATGGTGCACATGGGTTGTGGTTCTAGCTGTGAGATGCACGCGGTTTCTCGTTTTGTCAGGACATTTAAGTTTGCCTGTGCAACTTACATTCCTCTGCAAATTGCGTTCCGGTTCCGATCCCTGAACTCGATAGCTGCCCTCCGTCGCGCTGTTTCCGACGCTTTACGGTCATCCACGTTCCTCGCCTCGTTCGTCAGCATCTTTTACTACTCTGTGTGTCTCGCCCGGACGAGGCTCGGACCCAGGCTCTTTAGTAAGAAAACCGTATCACCACAGATGTGGGATTCTGGACTCTGCGTCGGTGCTGGGTGTGTGATGTGTGGATGGAGTATACTCGTTGAACACGCGAAGAAACGGCAAGAGATTGCATTGTTTGTGGCACCCAGAGCTGCAGCCACCGTACTACCAAGGTTTTACAACACAAAGGTATGATTGATTGGTTCCAAGCCCATTCCTTCGCCCGAGTCGGGATGGTTACAATGGTCAAACCTCTTACTTTCCTTTCCTTGTGCCGCAACGTGTTCCTGTTGGAGGACCCGCCCCGGCTAATTGGAACTTTTTGTTTAGTATCGATACCGGGAGCGTGCTGCATTCGCCATTAGTGCAGCTGTACTTCTTACCTGCTTCCGGGAATGCCCCGACAAGGTTCGAGGGGTCTTCGGCAAAGTTGGAAGAAGCGTGTTAAACTAATTCGTCATTCGATTCTGTCCACTAGTACCTGGACTGTATGATTTTCGCATTTTCCAACTTTCAGTGTTTCGGCCGGCCGGTGCACCTTCGATATAGATTTTATCTCTAACTGTATAATATCCTGCATGAATAGAATCAATTACATATGACATGAGGCTCTATAATATCCACATATACATGGTAGCAGGTTATGAGCATCGTATGAGCTTCTCAGGTACGTTCTACTAACTGCTTATCGATAAGGGCTCGTAGTCACGTGCGGCTAATTCCCTTGTCTGCATCGCAAGATCGGTGGGTTCACTCCGCAAATATCCGCCGACAAGCTAAAGCATAGCCATGTTTTCTCGACGGGCGCCTTCATGGTGTCGCTTTTTATCATCTGGGGCCGGTGCTCCTCGGTCAGCATTTTCGAAGGAGAGGAGCATTGAGATGGGCAGGAGATATTTCACCCGCAATTCGTGTTTAAACCAAAATGCGTCAGCACCATTTAATACGCCTCAGTCGCAAAAGCGGAATGCCTCTACAATGTATGCCTACGTTCAAACATTCTAGGTACTTGTTCTAATATCAATTAGGTACTATACAATCAGTATAATCCTTGGAACAGTCTCCCTCGCATACGGTTCCGTCCCTCTGTATAAAATGGTCTGTTCCCGCTCCAAGGACTCCCTGATTCTCTGAAATCCTCCGCTCCGGACAAATACTGAACCCAGGCCCTCAAACAGATCTGCCAGCAAACTGGCTGGAACGGTCAGCCCGTCCTCACACACCGCACAGGAGACGGCGACACATCATCCCGCGTCACCCCCGTCACCGACTCTCGTCGCTTGCGGATTACCTTCAATGGTTCAGTGTCAGACGTGCTACCCTGGAAATTCACACCGCAGCAACGTGAGGTCCGGGTCTTACCCGGAGAGACTGCGCTAGCATTCTACACGGCGACGAATAAGGGTCCCACGGATATCATCGGAGTTGCGACATACAGTGTTACGCCGGGGCAGGTTGCGCCTTATTTCAGCAAGATCCAGTGTTTTTGCTTTGAGGAGCAGAAGCTTAATGCTGGGGAGTCGGTGGATATGCCTGTTTTCTTCTTCATTGATCCGGACTTTGTGACGGATCCAGCGATGAAGGGGATTGATACGATAACGCTTTCTTATACGTTTTTCAGTAGGGCTGTCCCTTGTTTCTGATTTGAAGAGTTACTGACACAGAATAGAAGCGCGATATGATGATAATGGTGTGCTGAAGCCCATTCCGGGCAACTGATACCCTCCGAGGAATGCATAACCCGGTGATGTTTCAGTTACATTTGGGCTCTTTGGATAGCCCCTCCCACGGCCTGTGCGGCTAAACTCCGCACGATGCATGGCGTGTCGTTCTAATCGAACTGCCATACGCTGCACTTCAGCATTCTACCGAGTGATGCCTTGCAGTAACATACCCCCCTCCTCCGACATATAAATGTATCATAGCAGGATTGGCGTTTTGACTTGTATCATAGCCTGTGTATATACTTGAACTACATTGGTACTCTCTTCAACGAGGCTTGTTGATTCAATGTAGTTGGATCCTCAAGAGAGAAACAAAACCTTGGGGCCTTCCCAATATATATAGTGACGTATTCTTGACTTTCCATACCTATTTTGAGGTAAAAGTGCCACTCACTGATTACTAGTATGAGAGTAAGTCTATATCCATCTATACCGGGATTAAACATAAGATCACTTCGAACAGAGCTTTCTTTAAGACTCAGTTTCGAGTGGAAGATGTTCGTTTTCTTAATAGGTCTGCCCAGCTCTTTTGTGTGTGCAGAATGCACCCACCTAGCAACCACCAAAACAAATCCCTTATCGATAAGCGCTTTGTCCCACACTCCACCACCACCATTTCTTTTTACCAACAACCCATGACTTCAGGAGTTACTCTGACACCAAAACAGCCGGCAAAATGTCCAAATCCGACCCCAGAAAGGCAACAACCCCAACGCCGAAAAACCACCTAACCTTCGACTCCTGGAACACCGCCTCAAGCGGCCACCAACGCGCCGAATCAAACCCCGGCACAAGCTGGCAACGCACACGGGAAGCGAAGCTCGCGCAGCAACTGCGCACGGGCGACTGTACGATAAACTCGTTTACGTACAGCGGGCGGGATCGTGTCTATGAGAAGGGCGAGTGGGAGTGGGATTGGGGTGGGGATGCGAGGCAGGGCAGGGGTGGGCCTGGTGGTGGGAGAGGAAGCAGGAAAGAGGTTGTGGAAGGGGACTCGAAGCAGAGGGATATACGGAGTATGATGAGGGTTAATAAGGCTGCTCCGGGAGTTGCGGGGACCTTTTCGGGAAAGGTTGAGGGCAAGAAAGGCTTGATGGATCAGGGGGTATCGAATTCGATATCGACTCGGGCGTCGATGGATGAGATGGTGCCGGGCCCGTTTACGTTCGGGGAGTCGAGGACTACGACTAGAACACCTACTACAACCACTTCTATTCCTACCCAAGCAACAACAATGACAGCCACTTCCACACCATCATCCTCCACACAGCCCACCGAATCAACCATTCTCCGCGGCGCAATAGTCTACATAAACGGCCAAACAGCGCCCATGTTCTCCGACCACAAGCTCAAGCAACTACTCGTCGCACACGGCGCCACACTAGCCCTGGGGCTCTCGCGGCGTGTCACGCATGTTATCATCGGGAAGCCGAATGCGGGGCCGGGGCGCGGTGCAGGGGGTGGATTGGCTGCGGGGAAGATCCAGAAGGAGATCCAGAGGGGTGGATGGCGGGGGATGAGGATTGTCGGGGTTGAATGGTGAGTTCCCTCTCAATTCCCTTTGACTCTTTAGAAGATGATTGCTAACGCGAGGTGTGCGATCTAGGGTTTTGGAGAGTATCAAAGCTGGCAAACGACTTCCGGAGACGAAGTTCGTGGTTAATCTGTCGAATCAGAGGAGTGTGCTGGCTTTTATGTAATTTTATGTAACACTACTTCTACTGTGTTTTGGTTCTGGATGGGATAGGGTGGGAGTTTTGGTTTGGATTCTGCTTCTGGTTTTGATTCTGGCGGTGCTATGTTCATGATGTTCATTAAGTTTAGATACCCTCGTCTTCATGTCACGTCTCATTATATATACATACACACGTAAGTTATCATGTCATATCACATCACATAAATGCTCCCCCCTGCCCATTTCCATTCCCACCCCTGCTGTCTCCGCTACTCCCCGAGTCGTGTCGACGCCACCCACTCTGTCTCCGTGGGACAGCCAGCAATGAACCCCTGCTGCTACTCGACCTTCGTCCTTCTGGTCGTTGTTGCTGCTGCTCTGGCTCTAGCTGTGGCTGCGCCTGCTCGGGCTGATACCCCTCGAGTCCAACCCGCTGGGAATAGGATTGGAAATGAGACTCCGCAGATGGAGCATCATCTGGTAACGGTGGAAGCGGGTTCACTCGCAGCCGTTGCGGGTATAGAGACTCCTCATGAGATTCCAAATCTAAGCGACGACCGGTGGGGAGGTACTCGGGCTTCTCATCCCCATCGTAGTGATTGTGGTGGATAACCTGCGGGTCACTATCGTAGCTTTCGTGACTACTTTGTGAGTCGCTCCGCTGAATCTTCTCGTTCATATAAGTGGAGGCCACTGTGTCGCCTTGTACCAGACCGAGCTGCTCCTCTTCTGATGTGTTTATCCGCCTATGTGTCCGGCGCAGGATACCTCGGCGCGTCGGACTGTGTGGGCTGCGGCTGCGGTTGGGGGTTGATGATGAGGCAGACGCGGATTGGTATTGATAATCGTCGGGGGACTTTGATCGGTTAAAGATTCGCTGGAAGGAGAAGTGACGGTGCTGTGGGGGCTCTGGGGCGGTTAGGTGAGATGAGGCTTGAGTTTGAGCGTGATCTTGATCCTGATCTGCCCATGAAATGCCGCGAGGGCGGGTGAGTTGGTCAGAGCCAGTGTAGCTGTTGTCGATGGCCCTTGGCTCTGATACTGGTAAGGGTTCGTGGTGCTCGTTGTTCTGGATTGGTCGCCAGGGGGAATTCAAGATGCTTGATGCACGCGAACGGACCTCGTTGAGGATAGATTGGGTGTTGTTCGACACCTGAGAAGTTTCTTCCCAGTCGTCTGGAAACCGGGACATTCCTAGTGGCGGTAATGGTGTCGATGGACGTCGAAGGCTAGGCGATTTATCGCTAAGGACAGTTTTGCGCCTGCGCAGGCCGTCCCATTCGACAATCTCGTCATCACCCGGTGGCTTGAGGCAGTCTTCATGCCGTTCGCGGAGGTAGCGGCGTGCCTCTTCGGCCTCAATGTTCCGGCGAGGAGTGGATAGGCGGCGGATAATGGCGGCGGCGCCACGGATGGCATCGGCCTTCGGCTCCGATTCAGGTTCTTGTTGCGTTGCGACTTCGCGAATTTGGTCAAGGTCGCCTTTGAAAACCGCTGCATCGGGGACGTCTTTGGCGGACTTGGAAAGTTGAAGAAGGACAACGCCGGAGCAGATTTGGAGAAAGCCGAGTACGACGGTTGCAATTTGCATGCCTGATCCCTTGAAGCCGCGGAAGAGGATGGCGGAGGTGATGATTGTTGCGCTGGTGAAGAAGACGTAGTAGGTCGGGGTGACGAGAGCCGCGTTGAAGATGTTTAACGCTTTCTACTATGGATTAGTACGGTCATCAAAAATCAAGGTTAGGACACTCACGTTGAGATAGATGATCTCAGTCAATAGAGTCGCAATCACAAATACCAGTAGCACATACATGAACCACTGGTTAAATTGAGCCTCGCCATTGATCTGGGCCAGAATAGCCGCTCCTAGACCTTGAGTGGCAACCACACTCAAACCTCCAATCAAGCTGCATATGCTGATGTAGACAAACATGCTCCGCTTGCCATATCGCGGACCTGCCCACAAGGCCGTGAATGTACAGCCCACTATGACAACACCAGCATACGCCAGAAACCCTGGCGCAATCACATACTCCTTCATATCCTGGATATTGGATACAGACGACTGCTCAGGCGCATTCAACGCGATCACCACTGATCCCAGTATGCAGGTAAAGCAGCCCACCTGTCCGACGAAACTCAGCCGCTCCTTTAAAAAGATCGCAGACAAGATCGTCGTGATCACAACGGAGAGGGCGCCTAGCGGTGTTACGAGGATAGCGTCCACAAAAGCGTACGCCACAAAGTTGCATATCTCGCCAATGATCATGAGGATCATGCCCGACCACCACCAAAAGGTTCTTCAAGTACCCATATCCTTCACCCGCTTCCTCATTGTACTTGACATTTGCGCGTAAGAGACCGACTTTCTTGAGCACGAACGAGACTCCGATGAAGACGCCTGATGCCACAGCCAAGGCAATTCCGACCGCTTTGTAGGCTGGTGGACGGTCGCCGCCGCCTGTGCTAAACCCCGAGCGGGGGAGGAGATCGAATTCCATGGTCGACTCGCTGTATGTACGACCTCTGCAATATGTACAGTGAATAGAGGTCGGGTCGAGGACCGCGGTTGGAAAAGCGACTGGTTTATATAGTTCTAGGCCATGGGGTCGATTCGGTGGGAGAAATGTGGGGGTCGGCGGCGGTTGACAGCGGTTAGGAATGTGCGAAGATTGGCGCTTGGGAATGTGGACAAGGAGATGGCGAAGATTTGAGGGAGGGAGCAAGCAGAGTAAAAATGTAAGATAGAAAAAGGAACAAAGAATTCAGGGGCAGAAGCGCTGAGATGATGCAGATGGTGGAGCTAGCGATATCATGGCAGATGCTCGTTTTGAGGAGGCTGGGAGTCCGACCTCGACCCACCAACGCCTCTTCTCTCGCTGGCTCTCTCGACATTAATTGCCATCTTATTGTGACGGAAAAATTCATTGGCCTAACCGATTATGGCGAATCTAAGATTGTTACCCCAGAAGTTGGCCAGTTACCGAAGAGTGGCGAACCGTGGATGGCACCAAGCCAAACAACATCCAGAGCCCAGACCAGCATACGTATCTACTCCGTAGATACACCACACTGTGCCACTTTCGAACTCATACATGGTACCAGTCCCACTAAATCCTGTCTGCTTGAATCTGCATCCATTCTTGATCTGACGAACTGTCAACACCTGAAACGCTGAACCTCCGTCTCAACACGCATATCAGCCAAATGGCGGTTTGTTGATAGGCGCTCATTGCACCTTCGTCTGACAGTCTAGGCGCCGTCTAGGATTAGGATCTGAAGTGCCAACGGACAACTGCACGAGGGGCGCAACCGCGTTACCTACTGCTGCTGATAAGGGGGGGCAGCCCCTTTGCGTCGTCAGCGTGGCAACAATAACACCAAGTGAACATTCAGCGGCCATAACTTAGGGCTAAGCATCTTACAGAGGCCTTTGCATCATTGCCCAGGCCGTGCTAAAGCTTTCTTTGGTTAACTGAAGGATCTACTAACTGCTCGTGGGATAGTCCGATCGTTGATGGAGCAACGCTGTATCTCAGGGTTTCAATAGGCTCGCCCAGCAATCTGTTGAGAAATGAACGTCGTCAAATAGGGATTTAGGCAGTAGTATCAAGCAGTAATAAAGATATCAAAGACAGCTGTAAGGGCTCCTGACATGAGAAATTCCTCCGACCACGTGGAAGGCTCGAGTCGCGTCTCATGAGCTCATGCATAAATCTATGTACATCACCATTAGTAAGCAGCATAGTTCTCAATTAAACTCGCGTCACGGGTCGACGCGTCTCCAGATCGAGTTTCGTGAAGCTTCAGGCTGCCCGCTCAAGAGCTTCAATTCAACTTTATCAACCACAAATTGATTTGGCATAACCTACGTCCATTCAATTTGCAATGGCTCTTTTAGTCGACAAGTTACGCCCGAAATCCCTCGACACACTATCATATCACCATGAACTCTCCGAGAGATTACGATCCCTAGTAAGGAAGCTAGCTCAGCCAGCTCCTCGACGATACCCAAGTCTAACACTTCACCGTTTCACAGGCCCAAAGCGGCGACTTCCCACACCTCCTGATGTACGGTCCCTCGGGCGCCGGAAAGAAAACACGCACAATTGCAACCCTGAAAGAACTGTACGGCCCGGGCGTGGAAAAGATCAAAATCGACAACCGAGTCTTCCAAACAACCAGCAACCGCAAGCTCGAATTCAACATTGTCTCCTCCGTCTACCACCTCGAAATCACCCCCTCCGACGTAGGGAACTATGACCGAGTCGTCGTCCAGGAATTGCTCAAGGAAATCGCGCAGACACAGCAAGTTGACCTTTCCGCGAAGCAGCGCTTCAAGGTTGTCGTTATCAATGAGGCGGATCATCTGTCGCGCGATGCGCAGGCGGCGCTGAGACGCACCATGGAGAAATATAGTCCGAATCTGCGATTGATTCTGCTTGCGAATAGTACGTCGAATATCATTGCGCCCATTCGGTCGCGAACGCTGCTTGTCCGGGTTGCCGCGCCGAGTGAGGAGGATATTTGTGCTGTGCTTGGGAATGCGGCGAAGCGGGAGGGGTGGACGGAGGCACCTGTGCTTAATAAGAGGATTGCGAAAGAGAGTGGAAGGAATCTGCGGAGGGCGTTGCTCATGTTTGAGGCTATTTATGCTCAAAGGTATGACCTGCTCTGCCAAACGACCGACGGGGTCTCTTGGAGCGTCAAATTCACTAACAACCATAAAGTGAGAAAGTATCAGATAAGACACCGATTCCTCCACCGGACTGGGAGGCTCTTATCTCGTTAGTCGCAGAGGAGATTCTCGCAGAGAGATCGCCCGCTCGGTTGCTAGCAGTCCGTGCTAGGCTGTACGATCTGTTAACTCACTGTATTCCGCCAACGACGATTCTCAAGGTTTGTCAATCAATAAAGATGCCCGACCGATTTACTGACCATTATAGACGTTGACATTCAAACTCATCGCCAAGGTTGACGACACTTTGAAGCCCGAAGTAATCAAGTGGTCCGCGTTCTATGAGCACCGGATCACACAAGGCAGTGTATGTGGTAAACTCGGAGACCCCCAGTTAATGTGCTGATATGTTCTACAGAAAGTGATCTTCCATCTTGAAGCGTTTGTTGCTAAGTTCATGCGTATCTATGAGAGGTTGGTCATCGAACTCAGCCCGCCTTTCCCCTACTGTTTGCTAACTTTGGAACAGTTATTTGATGGGCATGGATTTCTAGGTGTTGATTGTACCAATAGTCGACGATTAATGACAACAAAATACTCTCTTAATAGCCAGTGAAGTATATTTTATAGACACTCCGCTATCTCCCGTCGACCTATCAAGAGCTTGACCGGAATTGGTCCTCATACCTACGCACTACCAAGTACTAGGTCACCAACGTCAACGGTCGTACCTATAGTGCACCATACGGTATCACCTTATCCATGATAAATTTAACCCCTTCACCCCGGTAATTATCGTCCTCAATCTCCGACCCATACCCACTGAAGACCATACTCTTTCCCTCGCTCCCATACTCGGGCCAGAAAGGCAGCGCGCTTTCTATCATCATCCACCAGTCAGCAACACATCTTGCCAGGACACGACCTATTACACAACAAAAGTCAACTTAGTAAAGGTGTATACGTACCTCTTCCCCAGTTCGGATCCAAATCAAACGCAAACGAAACCCACGCCGCACTCATCTCATACGCCAGTGCGCGATCCCACGGATGGTCGGGGATGAGGTTTGAAAAGACGTAGCGCTGCTCGATGCCTGTTGTGATGCCGCGTGTTATATTTAAGGAATCAACGTCGTGCGGGAGATGATTGAAGCGGTAGCGGTAGACTGGGGCGCTGTTACGCCTGTTATTGCTATTGCTCTGGGCATGATTGTTATCGTTGTTGTGCTTGGTTAGCCATTTGGCGATGAGGCGTGCAGGGCCAATTTGCACGATGTCGCCGAAGAGTGAGCAGGCTTTTTTGTCGAGCGTTCCGGCCGTCAGAGGAATTGTGCCTGTGTTGTAGGGACAACCCTGGCGAGGGTCATTGGGGTAGAGAGATAGGAGGTTTGATACGGTTGAGTTGGGTAGGGGTTTGGGGCGGAAGTAGCCGTCAGCTGGCTTGCATTAGTCTTGGGGTAGTCTTTCTTAGTAATGCCGTAGATTATACGTACCGAGTGGGATGCTGAGCTGATCTGTGGTGTTGATGGCTGTTGGGGCCGATGTGGTTCCCTCATCCGTATTTGCTGTACGGGGTTAGGGCTTGATTTGAAAATTGGAAGGGGGAGGATGTTCGTACTTCCAACAATAGTGGCAACCTTGACATACTTTCCAGCCGGCAATGCGAACTGGATCGACGTCTGTGAGAAGCTGCCGTCGATTGACTGGCCTGTGCTTGAGCCAACGTGGGAGAGGAAAGTCTCGATTGGAAGCTGTCGAATGCACTCGAGCTGTTCCTCGGCTGAGGCATTTGTGAATGAGCTACAAGAGGTATCTTCAATCAGGCTATCGAATGTCTCCTGGAAGGCTGTAGTATTGGGGTGCTCGAGAGGAAATGCGCCACCACTTTGCAAGATGCCTGCTCGGAATAATTTATCATCTCGTCCGCCATACGCCATCATATGGGAGTATATTGAGACTGCACCAGCGCTGGTCATAATTAGGCTTTGTTGCTCGAGTAGACGGTTTAACTTACGATTCCCCAAATAGCGTCACTGCAAACAGTTAACCAGCGTTCGTCTTTGATGGATAAATGCAGAGCATATATACCTTTTGTAGAATCACCACCAAATGAAGCAATGTTCTCCTGGACCCAATGCAGTGCTAGTCGCTGGTCTAACATCCCAAGGTTGAGCAAGTTGAGATCGACCATTTGCTGTCCATTCAAGAACCCAAGTGGCCCGAGACGATAGTTCTATATTGTTCTGTAAGCAACCACCCTAGAAACCTCCAGGCTTGGGCTCACGTACCACTGACACGAGCACTATCTCCTTCTTGATTTCGGAGGAGATGCGAACCATATTTGTCCCCTCGAACCTAGGATCTTCCTACTCAAGTCAGCAAAGACTCTGTCTGCATAAACGCAACGACAGACCGTATATCCGTTCCGTAGCCCTCCTCCATAAAGCCAGACTAGCACTGGCTTCAATTCCCCTTCCACCCGTTGCTCGGATGACCGCCAGATGTTCAACGTTAGACAGTCCTCGCTTGAATCGGGGTTGGAATCCACCTTGGGTCCGTAGCAGGCTGGGCCGAAGGAATCTGCATGTAAAGTCCCAAAAGACGTATCCAGAGGTTGAGCATGCTGGAGACGAAGCTGTCCTATTGGTGGTTGAGCGTATGGTATCCCAAGAAATCGTTGTACCCGGTTGGAGTCGTCATTGACGCCTACAACTGTGCCATTCCGAATCCGCACTGTTGCAGTAGATTTTTGGTGATCCGCCGCTGCTATGGCCTCGCTCAGCAACACTGGGACGAGTAACAACGAGCGCAAAGCGAAAAGCATACTGGCTTGATTGCCTATTCCTCTAAGATTGATTCGCTGAGCACCAGCTTGAGATTCTGCAGTCTACAATCCCACCATAACCTCGGATGGGCTTGGTATAAAGAACCTTTGTGCAGATTGAGCTCTCCACTGTGTCCCCACGCTCTCAAAATGCTGATATGAGTGTCTCCACCCCCAGATCTTTTTCCTGCGGGGAAACGCCATCACCTTTCGGCAGTTTGAATAAGCATTATACTCTGCAAGAGGCTGTCGATGGCCGGCCTAAGCTGTTTGGTCCCCACCTCCATGAATGGAGAGGCTATGCATTTGCCGAGCATTTTGTCGTGGATACCGAGTCTTTATGGCAAGACCCTCGACGGCAGCCATAATGGCCGTGGCTAAGACAAACGTGAAGCCTAGGGGCAAAGCCAATGGTAGATAGAATCTTTCAAAGGAAGCCGTGGGTTTCGAGGCATTAAGCCACCCATACTGGCCCTCAATATTGCCTTGCCGGTGTCCCGTGCTGCGACCGTCTACTAGTTTTATGCATTACCATCAATAAGGAACAGCACACGTTATACCGACTTTATGAAGGTGATTTCATTGATTGCTGATAGACTTATGGAGACTGTTCCTGCAGGCAAGGATGGGACTGGCTTCTCGGCATCGAGCCCGCAAAGGCATGTAAAGAACTTCCCAATGGCCGTTCAAGCTCAATCTAGCTGCTCTTCAGCATTCTGAGCGATCTCTGAGGCAGTGACAGCATCGTGAATGCTAGGGAGTGAAGTGTGTCGCGACGGGAAAGTGTCTACGTCATACTTTCGTCGTGGAGTATAAATAGCCAGTCTCTCGACTTTCGAGGTACAACCAAGAAATTGAACGTCAATCACTTGAAGTCCTTTCAAAGCTTCTAAACAAACATATTCCACTTATTTATCATTGCTGACGAACACTTTATACACCATGTCGGACACTAAACTCATGGACATCGAGCCTGGTGGCGAACAAACCCAGTGAGTCGACAATTATTACTGAAAGCTGTGAACCCTGCACTGACTTGCCGCAGATATGAAGGTATCCGACAATTTAGCGTAACGCCGAAAAAAGCAACTGGGCAGCTAGATGGTATCGAATTCCTCCTTACAAGCTGAATTGGCCTGATTCTGACCCTAGGAGATCTTCCACACACCAGGAGCGAAATGAGAACAAAAGGACCGGCGGAATATAGCGATGCAAAAGCCAGAAGGGAGGAGGCTAAATTCGCACACAAACTCGAGCTCGGGGACTCCACGTCTGGCTTATCCGGATATACGAACAGAGGACCGGTATTACTTTCCCTATAAAACTCCTATATGTAACATCGACATATGTGACACTGGAAACAAAGGAGCCTGAAGCTGATGATAATATACATGACCAAAGGTCGAGACCGAGGACGATGCGGCCAAGACAAGGCGAGTGCAAGGATATGGGCCCGGTTCTGGGGTGGGCGCGTAGAACCAAAGGTGAACCAAGATGTGGCGTGGTAGGGTAGGAAGGTGGGCTATTGCTTATTGTTTGGCTTATTGCGAGGCGTCGGGGCTCGAGGATGTGGTCTTGGGAGGGTTAGGCATCGCGTTTGTGCCGAGGGGCGGGTTTCTGCGTGCCCGCTTAAGGGACTCCAAAGTCACACCATTTCCGAGCTTTGTAATGCCAACAACTGGCGGGTCGCCCTTGTGCACAAATTCCCATAGACCTGTAAATAATTGAATAATCAGAAGTCGCTTTTTGGCATGGATGGAAGAAAAGACACATACCGGGCAACTTGTGACCTGCCAGACGGAAAGCCTCCCTTGCAATCTTTTCGTGGATATCTCCCTTGAGCTCAAAAACAACCCTGCTAACAGCAACCTTTGCCGTCCAGTAGTCGAATTTACCCTTTCCTTTACCCATACGCTGCTCATTACCCTTGGTGTACACACCAATGTTGGCGCTCACACGCTTGTATAATGTGTAGTTCATTCCTCTTAGCCGTCGTTTGATGGTCTCCTCTGCGATTTTGAGCGAAGAGGCTGGTAGTCGACGGTCGTGGTCTTTCATCCGCAAGCCATAATCACCCCACACAACTGTTGTACCTCGCGATGAACCTCCGGTTGCGACGTGTGGACGACCCTTGGGCGACTTTGACTTCTCCATAAACTTGGGCGTAAGCCAGTCAAGGGCTGGGGATGTCGTTGAAAAGCATCGCAATAGTGGGAAGATCGGAATGGAGGATCGGAGACCAATTGCTGATAATGAATTAGTTACTGAGCAAGAGCTGTTTCTGTAAAGTCCAAATCTCACAGGTGGCTTGAAGACACGCCAATTGAGGCCGTGCCAGGTATCTTAAATGTGACGCCATGGCGATTGAATGTCTCCGACGCTTGCTCCTCAATTGAAGCGTTCTCGAAATCCGCAGCAGACTTTCCGGCTCTTCGGCCGCTCAACGTTAATCCGAGCCGCACCCAAAAGAGGAAAGCGGGATCTAGAGCGCATTATGTAAGCTAATTAAATCGCGTCGGAGCTACGGGAGCTTTAGGCAGCGCGTCGCGTTGCCTAGTGGAATAGGCGTCAATTGAGCGGCGTTCCTGATATTTGGACGCCAAAATAGCTGCCCCAACTTGCTTCGAGCAGCTGGCAGAGACTTCTTGCTTGGTTGTGCATCGTTCCTTTGATGTAGACAATATGCCAGCTGATATAAGGAGCTTTTTTGGTGGTAAGGGGAGCCAAGGCTCGAACCCTTCTCCTGCGAAACCTGCCGCAAAGAAAGAGGTAAGATTTCCATCAGTCAACTTTCGGAAGGTCGTTTGACTCGAGTTTGTGTGACCGGTGGATGCTAATTATGCAATTTCACTAGGCCCCATCTCGGAACAAGCGTAAGAAACTTGGTCAAATTTATGCAAAACGTTAGAATAACGAGACTTATAGGGACCAGAAAGGTTGTGGATGACAGCGATGATGACGAGGTAGTCGAAACTAAAGCCCCGGCTCCGAAGGTTAAAGCTCCAAGCAAATCGTATGTATCTTCGGTGGCGGGCCACACAAGTTACTTGGCTGACCCTACTGAAGGAAGGCCGAAGCACTAGAAGGGGAGGCAACAACGACGTCGGACTACTTTGCCTCGAGTAAGAAGAGAGGACGGCCTCAGAAAACCGCTTCTGAACCGCAACCATCTAAGAGCAACGCCGCTGCAAACAAGACCGAGAGCCCCAAGGCCGCGAAGAAAGCGCCAGAGCCAAAAGTTACCACCAGGAATACTCCTCGCAAGGACACGAAACGTAGTACTGCGATTCTCGATGACGAAAAGCTAGGGGATGACGATATCTTCGCAACCGAGTACAAAAAGGGAGGCAAAGGCGATGATGACTACAAGGAGGAAGATGCCGAAGAGAGTGACGATTTTGATGAGCTCCCAGTGAAGCCAGCAGCCGCTCGGGGCAGACAAGTGGCGACGAAGCGCTCGGCTCTTGATGAATCCGACGACGACGTGGTTATGCAAGATCTTCCCGAGCGCCCTGCCAATCCCGCAACTCCACGAAAGCAACGAAAGCGGAAGTCTGAGGCCGTAAACGAGGAAGACGATGTTGATTTCCAGGAACCACCGAAGAAGACTTCGACTACCGCCAAGGCAAAGAAATCAAGACCAGCCCCGGCAAGAAAGGATCAGTCAGAGAGCAAAGAGATTCAAGATATTTTTGACAGCATTCCACAGGTCAAAGCTCCGTCGCCACCACCAGATACCGGTGACAAAGCAAAGCCGTTCGCATTCGGTGGACAGCGATCACGATCCCCTGGTGGTGGAGGAGCCACGATACCCTCGGGAGCAGAAAACTGCCTGGCCGGGTTGTCATTTGTCTTTACAGGTGTTCTGGAAACTCTCGGCCGTGAGGAAGGCCAGTCGCTAGTGAAGCAATATGGTGGTAGGGTTACTGGAGCTCCTAGCTCCAAGACAAGCTACGTCGTCCTCGGAAGCGATGCTGGGCCGAAGAAACTCCAGACGATTAAGAAGTTCAACCTGAAGGTAATCAATGAAGAAGGGTTGTTCGAGCTTATTCGCCGGCTTCCTGCGAACGGTGGCGATGGGAAAGCGGCCGAAAAGCATGAAGCAAAGAAGCGGGCTGAGGAAGGGAAGGTTCGCGAGATGGCAGCTGAAATTGACAAAGAAGAGAAGCGCAAGAGCGCCGGGAAACCAAAACCAATGGTCAGCAAGGGCGCCCAAGATAGCACAGCACCCGAGATTGACGATCGCCTCTGGACTGTCAAATATGCCCCAACATCTTTGAGCATGATATGTGGTAACAGAGCTCCCGTCGAGAAGCTTCAAGCCTGGCTTAGAGACTGGCGGAAGAATGCCAAGGCAGATTTTAAGAAACCAGGCAAAGACGGCACTGGAATTTATCGATCTGTCATGATTTCTGGACCTCCAGGGATTGGTAAAACTACTGCGGCACATCTTGTCGCAGAGCTTGAAGGGTTTGATGTCTTAGAGACGAATGCGAGTGACACGAGGAGCAAGAAGCTCATTGAAACAGGCCTTCGCGGGGTTCTCGATACAACGTCTCTTCAAGGTTATTTTTCGACCTCGGATAAAAAAGTTGAGCGTGAGAAGAAAAATATGGTTCTGATTCTGGACGAGGTGGACGGCATGTCGGGGGGCGATAGGGGAGGTGTGGGAGCGATGGCTGCCATTGCGAAGAAATCCCAAATACCGCTCATTCTCATTTGCAACGACCGAAGACTTCCTAAAATGAGGCCTTTTGATCACGTTGTTTTCGATATTCCTTTCAGACGCCCGACCGTTGACCAGATTCGATCTCGTCTCTCAACCATCTGTTTCCGAGAGGGGCTGAAGATTCCTCCCCCAGTCCTGGATAGCTTGATTGAGGGAACACATGCGGATATCCGACAGGTAATCAACATGTTGTCGACCGTCAAACTAGACCAAACAGACCTTGCCTACGACCAAGGGAAGCAAATGGCGAAGGCCTGGGAGAAACACATCGTCTTGAAACCGTGGGATATTGTTGGCAAGATTCTCAGTCCCCAGATGTTTTCTCCAAGCTCGTCCGCTACACTCAACGACAAGGCTGAGCTATACTTCAACGACCATGAATTCAGTTATCTGATGCTCCAGGAGAATTATCTTAGGACACGGCCTACACGCGCGAACAACTACCAAGGCAGAGAGCAAAAGCTGAAATTGCTTGAGCTAGCGGACAATGCAGCCTCGAGCTTTAGCGATGGAGATCTTGTTGATAGGATGATCCATGGCAGCCAGCAGCAATGGAGTCTGATGCCAACACATGCTATGTTTAGTTTCGTACGTCCGGCAAGTTTTGCTTACGGTAACATGATGGAACGCCCTGCCTTTACCAGTTGGTTGGGGCAGAACAGTAAGCAAGGTACGTGTGCTCTATTCAGCATTGATCTCATGATACTAATATTGGACTTCCAGGCAAACTCTCGCGTTACGTGAAGGAGATCCAAGGACGCATGCGGCTTCGCGCTTCCGGCGATCGTCACGAAGTCCGACAGCAATATATTCCGCTCTTGTGGGATAAACTTGTCAAGCGATTAATGGCCGATGGCAAAGAAGCAGTTGACGACGTGATTGATTTCATGGATAGCTACTTCCTTACTCGGGAAGATTGGGATGCGTTGGTTGAGCTGGGACTTGGTCCAATGGACGAGTCTAAAGTCAAGCTCGATACACAGACCAAATCTGCCTTCACTCGGCTCTACAACCAGCGAACACACCCCCTACCATACATGAAGGCTAGCAATGTTGTCGCCCCCAAGAATGTGCCGAAGGAGAAACCAGATATTGAAGATGCCATCGACGAGTCAGACGATGAGGCCCTTGTCGACGAAACCAAGGATGAAGATGAGAACGACGAGATTGATCTCAAGAAAGACAAGCTTATTCGTATGCCCAAGAAGTCCAAAGCCAAGACCAGCACGGCGAAGGGTACGGCCAAAGGGAAGGGGAAGACGAAGAAGGCTAGCGAGGACGATTTCATGGAGGATGACGATGAGGAGCTAAAGCCTAAGAAGGCCAGAGGCAGGAAACCCAAAGCGAAGGCATAAATACCCGGCTGCGATCGTGGCATGTGTCCGTATATCGTACATCGTAGAGTTTATTGCCTGGGGTCAAGTTATACTCCGCGTGGTCAACTTGGTGGGATAGGACGACTTCTTATGTACAATATTTGTATGCTAGCGACATTTCCATTCAATTGATGGTACTACATGTCTAACGAGGTTCTTTCAGTAGATCTCCAGTTTCAGCACAGGCTATTCCGTAGGGACTGCCGATCTGGTGCCTGGTTTAAAACGCGCGCGAGTGCTGGTCTTGGCTTATCTGTGGGGATGGAGGCGGAGTTCTTGAGCTCCGATTGTTACGGCTTCACGTCCCCTCCTGCCACACCTCCTGACAACACACAGCTTGGAGTGCCTCTGCGACTGCGAGATCTCTATTATTTTAGCCTTTCTTTTCATCAAGCGCCTGTCAGGCTGGCCCTGATCAGGCTTCTCTTCCCCTCGTTCCGCAGCATTCAGCGCGTCCATCCTCACTCCGCATCATAGGAAGCGGCAACATCACATTTCCGCTGGTCCCAGTGATCTTCGCTTATACTTATCCTGGATCGCAATAACATATCCTATGTTCCTACTCCACTTTTCTCTCCTTTTGAAGTGGACGGAAAATGTCTCTCCTTCATAACGAAGAGTAGGTCTTTTAGTCGTCCCCGACCCCTCCCTCCCTGCCTTGGATAAAATGAGGCTAAACAGATGTGTAGCTTTACGATATGGCAACTGCGCACATCTTACCTTTCCACGATCAAGGATGGAATCGGCGATAGGCTTATCAATGTGAACCACTCCGTCCTCAGCACCCCGGGCTTCCGCGCGGCAGGCTGGTCGACAACCTCCGCAAACAGCACGACTCAACTGGCCAGCAGTATCAAACGGACATACTCTCCTCCTATTCCTACAACCACCGCGGTGTCATCTGAATACTACAACATAAGCACTCGGAATGCGAATGATTCCCGGGGTTTTGGGTTCGGCGAGGACGGCGATGAGGATGAGGGCGGTATGGTTACGGGAAGAGCAACGGGGGACATGGTCGCGCGGCGCAATCCGTTGCGGAGTGAGAAACGAGTGCACCGAAGGGATCGTCAGCAACGGGAACAGCAGAAGGCGAGGGAGATCGAGGAGGAGGATAGCAGTGACTTAAGCGACGAAAGTGATGATGATGGAGATGGATCACAGAGGTTAGTCCGTGTTGGCATTGGCTATAACCCTTAGAATACTCGCTTATGGCTTTCAGAGCGAGTGAACAGATAAAGTTCACCAAAGTACCAGTGCGGATCAGAGCGGACTCATCGCCCATCAGGGCGACAGATCGACAGGAAAGGCCCCAGGTCATGGTCACGTCCCCGTCGCATCCATCAATGAATAGTCATTACCGCACCGGCTCTTTAGGGACGGCCCCCAGTGTTAATGAGCGCCCACGACGAGATACAACAACGACTATGACTAGTAGCGATATGTCCTCGGATCATGAGACTGATCCGTCGGGAGTCAGAAGGCGTCAGATTCAATTTTCTGGGCATGATCAGGTGATAGGGCCATCTGATATTGGGAAAGCTAGCAGCGAGGGACTCGAGCAGCTGGATGAGCAAATAGAGGACTCCGACGCTGGATCAGTGGAAAGTACGATATCGTCGGAGTTTGATGCTACTGCTGGCTCTGCGTCGCTCCTTGGAGGCGTCGGCATTACTGGGCCACTAGACTCGTCATCACCAATGGCTTTGATGCACAAATTACCACATGGACCGGGCTCTCAAAACGCATCTCCAAGGAAGCTCAGAACGCCTGCGCCTGAGTTACAGGATCTACCACCGCCCCGACCGATTAGCACGCTGCAGCCCGTCAGTTTGCTTTCCAAAGCCCTCAACGCTCGCAAACGGGCACCGTCAAACCCTGTGGAGAAGTTTGCTGTGCTTTCCGGTAAAGGCCTTACTGATGCTTTGAACATCCGATTATATGTCCCATTTTCCTCCGACCCCGAAGATCCGCTCGACTTGCCGCTGGCTCGCCAGTCGAAACTAGCGGAGCAGCCGGCCCCGGTTACTGTCACCGAAGCGATCGGGCTTGCCCTTTGGCGATATGCTGAAGAGCGGCGAGAACCACCTATCGAGCGTGACAAGTTAACAGTGAACAGGTGGACTCTCCGGATGGTGGAAGATGGTGAAGTCGAATATGATTTCCCGCCACTGGGCAGAGCTTCAGCGATATCCGATTTCACATCGAATAACAACCGAGCAGCTGGGATGCGCGGCCGATCGAGGGGAAAGCAATACGACGAGTTTGCTCTGGTCGAGGCTTCTGACTCGGAGTTTGAAGAGAATGAGCGCCTGTATCCAGAAAACAACATCTCCACGTCTGCTGAAGAGACGGTCGATACGCCAACCGTAGCAGCGGCAAACCAACCCATTCCGCAGAGTAAAGCGCCTCGCCCGAACCCAATCCTTGGACAACCATTCTCTTCAGCATTGAATGATACTACCCTTACGCCAGCTGATCGCCCAGCGGTACCCGTTTCTCATGCTACACCCCGTTTAGGTGTTTCAAAGACGCTTAAGATTCGGTTCATCAACGTAGAAGCGTCGACACAAGTCACAACGCTCAATACTTCAACAGATAGCTATATCGCGGAGATTCTCGATTCGGTCTGCAAGCGATGGGGCTTGGACAAAGGGAACTACTTGCTCAAAGTCATGGGCTCGAACACAATTGCGCCGCTGGATCGCACCGTTGAGGCATTAGGCAATATCACAGAGCTTGACCTTGTTCGCCGACGCTTCGGGCCGCAATTGACAGGTTCTCCTGTAAGCTCTTCGCCAAACGCACCGCTTATGATTGAAAATCCGATTGCGCCTAGCAAAAAGGGGAAGAAAAGTGGGCAGCGCATGCTGCATCCGCTTGCCCAAAAGCAGGACCTCGTCGGAGGAAATTACCGACGGTACTACGTACTTCGCAAGCAGTCGATGGGCTTCACGACGTCACTTCATCGGGTTATCACATTCGACAACGATTATATGCACATCATGCCCGCAGATACGGGCAAAAATGGTTCAGATACTAAGACGCGGTCGATCAACTTCAATGATGTTGTCGGCTGCAAAGTAAGCCGACGGCATCCGAAAAACTTCCGTGTGGTCGTACTCCGAGGGAACGATGCGACGGAGCAGAAGCGATATGACTTTGAGGCGCGAAATGCCGTTGAAGCAGATGAAATTGTGGACGAGATCAAGAAGAACATGGCGCATTATCGGACTTGATTTCTCTATTCTTACTCTATCCTTTCTGGGTATTTTTGGGCGCTATTTGGGGAGGGGAATTGTCTAGCAGTTTGTTTACGACGGCCGTTGCTTCAGGGCTATGTTAGTATCGTCAAAGGGAACTTGACTCGACTCTTTGTGTGGCGTTGCGGTAGGAATGTAAGTAGATATTTCAAGCGTGTAAAAACTATTATGAGGCAAGAACCAACCCCTTCAGATGAATCTAGAAAAGAAACTAGATGTACGAAGTATGTACTGTTTACGGAGTATGTATGTCGATGCGATTAGGGAGGGTGTGGAGAAGATAGCCTTGGCTGCTATGAAGTCACCGCAATCGCGATCAGTGGTGATCTCATACAGCCGGTTGAACCTGTTATGGCTCAGATTTGAACCCCGGGTTTGACGGAAGTGTTTCCTGAAATTCTTGAGTAAAATTCGTCTATAAGCTCTGAATGTTGCGCAGCATGAGGCTATTCTAACTCTTTGTTCTATAATGGTGTCGCTCCTGTCGACCAAGGAAATGTAGACTCGAGGACGAGCAGCAAAAGGACCGTGAACAAAGGATGGTTTTCCCCGAGGAGCGCCAATGAAAGGGCCACTTTAACAGAGGATAGCTCCTGTTGGACGGTGGATCAAACCATAATACGACGGAGGATGGATGATAATTCATGTTGACGCAAAGAATCCCACCTGCTCAGACCCCGCTTCTTGCTTCTTGCTTTCTGCGCTTGCTGCAGCTCTTTCAGCCCTCGATCGTCTCCTGCTTGTCTCAGGCTTACCATCTCCTCCTCGTCTCCGCTCGCAGCTCTGCGTTTGCCCCCCTGTCCTTTGTCCTCTTCGAGTACTCAATAAGTCGTGCTACAGAGTACTACTCCTCCGGGGCAGCTCCGTCGTATCCGAAACGCCGACTGATACGAGCCTCATCCACATCCTCGTCCTGCAACGAGCAAAGCTTGTCCGTATGCTGATAGCCTGTGCCTTGCCTCGAATTTAATCTTTCCGATGCCTACTCTCGGAGGGCTCTTGAAGAAACGGCGAACGAAGGATTCGCAGACCCTCTCCAAGGAGCTCCAGGCTGGTTCCACCACGACTGGCCACACGCCGACGTCACCAATCGCTGCCGAAGACAATCACCACCACCACCACCTCTTTCACCATCATCACCACCACGACACCCATCAGCCCTCCAACAACTCGGCAAACTCTGCCAATTCTGCTTCTCAGCTCGCCCACCAACAGTCCAATCAGTCTTCAGCCAGCAAACCTGCCGACACTCAAACCGCCTCCATGCAATCCCCCGCACTGCAGCCCACTACTTCCGCACACTCGAATTCCGGCCACCAGCAGCATGGCAATGCCGCCAGCATACAGAACATCATTCACCCGTCGCAACAAAATACCCCTCAAGTAGCTCGGACGGAGCGCACTACCAAGGGGAAATATACCCTCGATGACTTCACAATTCAGCGGACCCTTGGCACAGGGAGTTTTGGACGTGTCCACCTCGTGCAATCGAAGCACAACCACCGCTTCTATGCGATCAAAGTCTTGAAGAAGGCGCAAGTTGTTAAAATGAAGCAAATTGAGCACACGAATGACGAGCGACGCATGCTCAATCGCGTTCGGCATCCGTTCTTGATCACTTTGTGGGGTACATGGCAAGACTCACGGAACCTCTATATGGTCATGGACTTTGTGGAGGGCGGAGAATTATTTAGCTTACTTAGAAAGTCTCAGGTGAGTTTCCTTCTTTGCTCTAGCCATTGGCTGGGCAGATGGGCTAATGTTGGACAATGCATAGCGATTTCCCAATCCTGTCGCCAAGTTCTATGCTGCCGAGGTCACCCTTGCGCTAGAATACCTTCATTCGTTGGACATCATTTATAGAGATCTCAAGCCAGAGAACTTGCTTCTAGATCGTCATGGGCACCTGAAAATCACCGATTTCGGGTTTGCTAAGGAGGTGCCTGATATCACCTGGACTCTCTGCGGGACACCCGATTACCTTGCCCCAGAAGTCGTAGCCTCCAAAGGCTATAATAAATCTGTTGATTGGTAAAATCTCAATTGCCCATGTTTGCTTCGCCTGCTAATCAGTCTAGGTGGTCTCTTGGAATCCTGATCTTCGAGATGCTTTGCGGCTTTACACCGTTTTGGGACCAGGGGTCGCCCGTTAAGATCTATCAAAATATCCTTCAGGGCAGGATAAAATTTCCTCCATATCTTCTTCCTGATGCCGTCGATTTACTTTCGAGATTGATAACAGCGGACCTCACCAAGCGCCTGGGTAACCTGCACGGCGGCTCTGAGGATATCAAGAATCACCCTTGGTTTGCCGAAGTAACCTGGGATAGGTTGCTGAGGAAAGAGATTGATGCGCCATATGTACCCCCTATCAGAGGAGGACAAGGAGACGCAAGCCAGTACGAGAACTACCAAGAAGAGGCAGAGCCGTATGGCCAGAGTGGGGAGGATCTGTAAGTCCCTTCCCCTGGGTATCTGTACAACCTGCCCGCTAACTCGCACGGTCACAGTCACGGCCATTTGTTCCCGGACTTCTAGTGCATCTGATGAGTGATGATGCGATAATACTTCACGTAAGAATGGCTTTCCGGTTAGAACTGAAGAATCCTAGTCCATAATGGGAGGCGTGTGGAGTGTGGAGCCTAATTTTGGACGGCGTAATGTTGGCTGGAAGTTGAGGCTTCCATCTGTCGGTTTTTATCGCTGGTCGAATGAAGTTTGAGCGTTGTTCAGAAAAATAAACCTGCTACTAGGGTCGTCCCTGGTCTTTGATTCGCGTCAAAAGCGTGTCGGCCTTGTCTTCTTTCGTTCTACAAAGGCCACTTTCTTGATGATCTGCTTACTTACCTCATTCAGGTGGGACTGATTGGGTGTATCTTGGCTATTGTGTCTTCAAAGACCGTGGGCTGACATATAAAGCTTACTGGATATTTTGCAGATATGGCGATGGTATTTTGGGGGTCTTGTCTCCTCAGGACTATTGCTAGGAGAGTGTATTTTCTATGTAAATACATTTTAGTTTCCCTTGCATAAAAAGTAGATCGTTCATCAAGCTCATAGTAACCACCATCCAGAGCAAGACATCTCTGGTCCACAGACAGTTGCAGCGCAACGTGACTGCAAGCCCAAAACACCAGCTCTCGCCCATTCCCAATCTAGCCCGGTTGAATACACAGCTTCTTCCATCCGTAATCATACATTATCACCGCCAATATTGCCCTAAGCTACTCAAACATATCAAGACATCCACCTCCGTTCATCAAATCAGCCGGACTCGTCTTTACAGACTTGACTGGGGCGCCGGTCCACCAGTAGCCAATGAGTTCATCGCAATTGTGTCAATGCCGTTGTTCTTCCTTTCGGCCGAGGCACGGCTGAGATATGCTTTGCTGGTGACGTTCCAGAGCGAGATGTACTTCTCCATGCACGAGGACAGGCAGCTTGACTCTCCGGGGGTCATGGTCGAGCCGGGCGAGGGCACGCAGTGGTCGAAGCAGTGTTCGTTGACTTTCTGTTAGAGAAGTTAGTACCAAGCCTCTAAAGCTCCTGAGTTAGCCCTAGAGTTGAGGGGTACATACGCCGATAAGTTGCCGGGCATTGGCCATGGCAGCTTCGGCTTGGAGCTGCTTGACGATGGCGGTTTTGATCTCTTGCTGTTCCGGGGAGGAGGTGGCGGGGGCCGCGCTGGAGGAGGAACCGAAGAGAGCCATTTTGATTATATGTTATTCGTCCGAGAAGGCAGATAGATTATTTATCGGGAGAAATGTAATGTCAAGCTTGTTGCTGGAGGAATGATGCCGACAGGATCTTCGATGGTTAACTCCGGCGAAAAGTGTGGCTGGTGCTCCTCCGCCGCTCCGCTCGGCACCTGTAATGATGCACAGCCACAGATACAGCCACAGCATAGGCCAAGTGGACACCTAAGTCCTCAGGCTGTGGACGATGTGTGGTTGAACCTCGAAGCTTGGTCTCTGATCTGTCCAGTTCTCTACCCCATTCTTCCCGACTGACCTTGTTCTTTTCCTTGTGCGATTCTTTTCTCGACGACACAGTATTTCCCTCCTTTGGTCTTTGCTTCCACTGTCGACTAACCCCCAATTTCCTCCGCCGAAGCTCCCGTATCTCGGTTTACTCCGCTGTTGATCCCTTGTGTGGAGGGAGGTATACACCAGCTTCAGCCTACAAGCCTGTGAATGTCCTGGTGACATTGAGTCTTTGCGACTTGACTCACGCCACTTTGTTCTCTGCGATTTTCTAGTCTATCGTTATATTTCAATCTTTCGTCTACGATCTTTTGCGTTATTCGCGACTCTTATGAAAACAATGCTGCTGCAGCGGCTTTCAACGCTATTGTGCCTAGCTGGCCTTACGGCCGTGCCGGCGGTCAATGCGTATGAAGGCGATGAGAGCGTCAAGAGTATTCCTGTATGTATGCTTTCATTAGGATATATTTCAACTAGCTAATTGTTAAATGCAGCTGCGAACTCACAGTCTCTCTCCCGTACGTTTATCTGCCTAGCAGCGCAATCCCACCCCGTGGGACTACCTCGGCCCCTGCTAACTTTGGCCCAGCCATACTTGGATTCAGACTTCCAAAGCCGCTGGTTCGATTTTGGTGGTGATACAGTGATTCGCGCCGACAAGTACGTACCCCCGCCATCCACGTATGCTGTCATTGAAGGACCTCGAGCTAAGGGCAGTCCAGATACATCCGCCTCACCTCGGATCGACCATCGCAGCAAGGATGGATTTTCTCCCGAGTCCCTCTAACCGCGACAAACTGGGAGGTCAGTACAACTGGCACTGAGAGAGTTAACAGGCACTGAATTTGGTACAACAGATTGAGTTCGAATTCCAGATCCATGGAGAGGGGAACCTGCACGGCGATGGTTTCGCCATGTGGCTCACCAAGCAGCGCGCGACACAAGGCCCTGTCTTTGGGTCAACAGATAACTTTGAGGGTCTTGGTATCTTCTTCGACACATACAAGAACAACCGCCCCGGCACCTCTTTCCCATACGTCATGGCTATGATGGGTGATGGAAAGACCAGCTACGACCAAGCTCACGACGGCAAGGCCAACGAACTGGCCGGTTGCTCAGTACGTCCGCTACAAACCATACATTAGGTGTCAGCCCCAAACTAACAAATGTCTAGGCCCGTGGTCTCCGCACCACCTCCGTTCCCACAAAGGCCCGCCTGACCTACTTCCAGGACAAATCCCTAACCCTAGACCTCCAATACAAGTCCGAAGGCACTTGGACAAACTGCTTCACCGTGACCGCCCCAGAAACCAACATCGCCATCCCCTCTGTCGCATACCTCGGCTTCTCCGCCGAAACCGGCGAGCTGAGCGACAATCACGACATCATCTCCGTCAAGGCGCAGAACCTCTACAACGTCGCGGGAGGTGGAAAGACGGCTCCACCCCGCCAGGCTGAGAGGCCCCGCCCTAAGCCCCGCAAGGAGTCTGGAGGCTGGTCGTGGTTCTTCATCAAGGTGTTCATTTTCATTGTCGTCGTTGTGGGTGGATATGCTGGGTGGGTTGCGTATAGGTCGAGGACTCGCTATTCACGATTTTGAGTGATGGGGCCTCACAATTGAAGGCGAATTTGATGGGTGGTGATCTGGATTTCAGTTTCACATATGAACGGGAAAATAACACAAACACTTCCGACCAGTTGTCTTCGCTCTGCTCTATATTTGTGCTTCCATCTCTATATCCTTGCTTTGCATAGCCATGATGTACGCGTAACTTCGGTTTCTATCAACGAGTCAAAAGTGCCATGTATATGAATAAGAAGATCCATTCAGACCGGGTATCATAAAAAGGGTATCTATGTCTCGAACCCAACGCCAGCGCCAATAATGCAAATATTATCTCTTCGCCTCGTTCCAGAGAGTATCGACGATTTGGAAGACCTCGGTAACACTCCGCATAACAGTCTCGTCATTGCCCAATGATCCATATCGATGCTGAATCTTGTCCGGGTGCCACCGAACTCGTTCCGCTTTGAGCGTAGCCACGAAGAGGTCCTCTGGTGCAGCCTCACTACTCCCAGTACGACGATCAGACGTCCACGCAGTCACCGGAGCGCGTCTCATGAACTCCTCCACATTCTCCTTAGAGATGTCCCTCCGCCTACCACTCTGCACAGGCCAAAACAACAACTCCCGCAGCCCCTTTCCACCTTTACTCCTATCCTCACCATTGCTCTCCCCACCCTCCTTCCCACCTCGAACCGCATTCTCAACCCTCTCCCAAGACTCAACATACTCCCTCCAGACCCCCTTCCAAACCTCCTTTATCTTCTTTCTCTCCCTCCCTCTCCTCAACACTCCCTCCATCGCATCCTCAAATGCCCTCCTCTCCCTCGCACTCTCAGCCTCTCTTTCAGCCTTAACTTTGGCCCTCTTTTCCGCCCTCATCCGCTCCGCCTCCTCAAGCATCCCTTCGCGCGTACGCTTCCACATCTCGCCCCGCACATAGGACGCATACGCCTCTTCATCCATTTGCTCTAGCGGTCCTCGAGAGTCACCCCCGGAAGGCGGAGCCGGGATTGGCTGGCCGTAAACAGATTCCCAAAAGGCGGCCCCTTCATCATCGCCTAGTGCGTCGAAGAGAGATTCTCGGAATGCTGTATTGGGGCTTAGAGGGGCGTTGCCGGGGCCGGGGCCGGGGCCCGGCGCTGAAGAGGGGGATGGAGTGCGATGTTTGCGGCGTTTGGAGCGGCGGTGATGGCTGCTGCTGCGGTGGCCATGGTGACGGTCTCTATCTTTGTGAGATATATGATAGTCGTGGCGGGAGGAGCGAGAGGAGGAGTGTTTGGTTTTGAAGCGGAATTTGCCTTTTCTTTTCTCTGTGCGCGTTGTGTAGGGATCCGAACTCTGTGAATTTGAGATCGGGTCGGGGTTTGGCTGTGTAGATGTGGGATCTGATTGCGCGGGTTGAGGTGGGCGATCTTCAGGATCCATTGTCGATATAGGAAGTTAGATTGTAGGAGACGAGCTCTCGTGAGGCTTGAGTAAGGACATTGTTGGCTTTGTTGAAAGATATTGCTAGGTTAAGAAAGACGAGGGGGAACTTGGAAAGAACTTCGAGGTGCTGTGTAATATAGCGGCGACTTTGATACCGAGCTAGTAAGATTTGTCTGAAGGACCATGTTCACTCTCACGCACAAAACTCGGAGAACCAGGCAGATTTAGGTTATAAAGTAAGGGCATAAAGTGCCATATATTTGCAGCTTTTCTCAAAAAAAGAATCTAGCCTCGGAATTTGGCAATCTCGAGCTTTGTGAGAACTTAACTCTCGGCGTATGACATCACTGATCATCAGATAAGATAAGTGAAATAAATTACACCGAAAGAACAGCCTGTGACGCCGGCACACTCTTCGCCCAACTTTCGCCTCACCAAGCCCCATCGCATCTCGCATTCAATCTCCTTCATCTAAACTACCCACTTATACAAAACAAAGTATACAACCATGGTCCTAGTCGCCTACTCAGACTCAGAAGCCTCGAACTCCGAGCCCGAAGACCAGCCCCCTGCCACCACATCGACAGCTCAAAAAACAACAACCTCGAAACCACCAACGCAATCCGCAAAACCCACCACCATCGTCGACCGCACGAACCCCCGCAAAATCCGCGTCGCCTTACCAGATACAAAACCCGACAACGCAGATGCGGATGCCCACACGGACGCAGACGGTCCGGCCCGGAAAAAGCCTAGGATAGGAGGCGGGAAAGGCGGCGCATTCGCCGGCTTTAACTCGTTCCTCCCGGCGCCGAAACGGACGAATGCCGCTTTAGAACAGGAGAAGAAGGCTGCTGGTGGTGCGGCGGGTCAGCGGAAGGTGTTTAGTTTGAAGACGGGTGCTGCGCCTGGGTTTGATCGCGGGGCGGATGAGGAGATGAGGAAGGAGATGGCGTTTGCGGAGTTGGGTGGTGGTAGTTCTGGTGGCAATGGAGATGGAGAGGGAGATGATGAGTCTACAATCCCGAAGGCGGGGAGTTTACGTTGGGAGGATGGTGCTGATTCGCCGATGGTGGAGAAGAAGACGGAGGAGGTGGTGCTCAAGGGGAATCCGATGATGTTCAAGCCGTTATCCGTGGCTAGGTCCGGACAGAAGAAGAAGAAGAAGACGATGGCTACGATTATACCGCCGCCTGTTGCGAAGGAGGTTAAAGAAGGCATTGGAGGCGTAGGAGGCGCTCAATCGGTATCGCAGCCTCCGGGTCAAGCACAGAACCCTGTTGCGCCCCCTCCCTCTGCTCCGAAACCGAAGGTTAGCCTTTTCTCGCTTTCATCAGAGGAAGCGACAGCTCCAGAGGTGCCAGGTGCCGCACCGGGATCAACATATGAACCATTGATATACACGGCAAATGAAGACGCACCGGCAGCAGGGCCCACGCCAGAAGCAGAGTCTATTCCCTCCACGTCACAAACAGCAGCGCCCTCAGCGCAAACATTAGATCACATCGCCGACGATCTGAACCTTTCCCGTTCTCAGCGCCGCCAGTTATTCGGTCGGAATGCAGACGCCTCCAAGTCGCGGATTCTTCACTTCAACACAGATGCGGAGTACGCTGCGAACCAGGAGATGGCGCGCAAGGATTTGGCTGCGACTCAGCACAATCCGGTTCGCGCTATTGCTCCTGGCAAGCACACGCTGCAACAGTTGGTCAATGCGGCGAGCTCACAGAAGGAAGCGTTGGAGGAGAGCTTTGCGTCTGGAAAGAGGAACAAGAAGGAGGCTGGTGCTAGATATGGGTGGTAATTTCAATTTATCGTTTATCTATATCCTTGAGTGGCAAATTGAGCATACATACGGTTTTGGGTTCAGGAGCTACTAAACTCTTAGATTAACAAGAATTGAATAAACTGAACGTATTCTATGAGATCTATATCAGACAATCACATAACTATTTACAAACAACCAATAATGCTTTTCAAAACCCCCCAAACGCCAATATGCAAGCCCTACTATACTGGGCAGAGATGCAATCTAAGAAGACACATCCACAACCTCCGCAAACCACTGCTTCAGCGCGGTAGCCAAAACAGCAGGCAGTTCGCGCACATCACGAACAACAAGATAATAAGGGAATGGGAAACCCTCGAGATACCTCTTCATCTTCAACTTCATCTCACCGGTTCCGCTCTCCGTATCCGGCTCGAAGCTTGCCTGCGTAAGGTCGAGGATCGAGTTGCCCTTGAGCGCATCGACAATAATGAAGACGATCATGATGCGTTCTTCTTGCGCTTGACGGACAAGACGCCGGATGGTCTCGTGGTCTTCGCAGATACCATCGGATATGATGAGTTCAAGTTGCCACAGGTCAGCGCCGCCGCCGGCGGGGGATTGCTTGAAGCGCGCCTCGCGGAAGAGGGCGATCGAGTCGGCGATTAGCTTGCGCACGTTTGTGCCTGTTTGCTGGTAGCTGAAGTGCTGGAAGACCTGGACACCGGCCTCGGAAGAGAAGGGCTTGCCGAATTCGTGGGCAACGCGGACGTGATCTTCGTCGCCGAAGCCGAGGACACAGAGATCGCCGACTTCGAGCATACTGAGGGATTTTGCGACGAGGGCGAGAGTTTCGAAGGCCAGCTGGCCACTCCCGCTCTCGAGCATGGACTTGCTGTCGTCGACGGCAAGCATGATCTGGTAGTTTCGCTTTGAGGGAACGGAGCGGCGCATCCAGATCTTGTCGCGCTTGTACTGCGAGGCGATGTAGGGGATGATCCGTTTGATGTTGAGGCGCTTACCGGTTCGGAAGTCGCCGCGGAGCTTTGTTGCGAGGGTTGGCGCGAGGATTAAGCGGAGTTGCTCTGTTAAGGACAGGGAAAGGGCGTTGGTGGAGGACTCGTAGTTTGACCAGAGACGCTGAGCTTCGTCTCGGGGTGTCAGAGGGGGTAGGGTGGAGGAAAGGTGGATGGCAGCGAGATGCGAATCGACTTCGTCTAGCTCTTCGGTTTCCGAAAGCTGAGCTTGAGCCTCGTTTGAACGCTCCTGAGCGCTCGAGGTTCCTGGGATGAATGCTCCGGCGGTTTGGTTGTCTGTAGGCGCACGTTCGTGTTCTAGTTGCATTGCATCCTCGAGTTCATTGGCAGGAAGATCTTGAGGTTCATCTGACGCGTCAGGGAGCATATCTTGGTCAGTAGGTTTGACGTCCGATTCAACCCCCTTGTTCTGATCGAGAGCTTTGGCTTGTTCTTCGCTGGCTTGTCCAAGTGCTTGGGTATCAGCGACGTCGTCTTGGTCCGCCAGATGCTCGAAATCCGCATCGCCCATTTCCGTATCCTTGGGCAAGGGTTCGTCCGTTTCTCCTTCCTCTTGCTTTGATGCGTTCATGATCTCGTTCTGCCTGCGATGCCACTGCTCGAGGACATCGCCTAGCTTCTTGAAGGCTTGTAGTTGAGGATCCTCCTGGTTGACATCATCGGCGCCTCCGGCATCCCTATGTCTCTCGTTCTCTTCGCCTTCCTTGGCAGCACCCGTTTGCTGATTCGGCTCGACGGACGGATCGGTAGAGCCATCTTGTTGCTGTGCGGTGCCAGAAGCACCCTTCTCCTGGTTTTGGTCCTGTTCAGCGCCGAGCCCGCCATTGACGGCTTCGCTAGGGGCGACTTCTTCTCCTGCTGCCTCATTCTCATCCTTCTGAGTCAAGAAGTCTTCTGGCTGTTCTTCAGGCTCTTCGCCTGGCTCCTGCGTCTCCTCCTCTCCCTCGCCTTCGTTGGTTTTCTCTTCTTCGGGCCCTTCCTCCATTTGATCACCTTCTTGCTCTTCGCCTGCCTGATCTGCAGGATCCTCCTCTTCGGCATTGTTTTCCTGCATTTCGTTCATCTGTTCATCATCTGGAGCAGGCGCATCTGGAAGATCATCCAGGCCGTCGTCACTTCCAAAGTCTTCATCATCCATGCCCTTTTCATCGCCATCAAGCTGCATCTCCTCGGGGAGATCCAAAGTTTCTTGTTCCTGAGCTTGAGGATCCGTGACATCCATATCTTCGCGTCCAACAGCCTCGCCTTCATCATCAGGTGCCTCTTCTTCGTTGTCCTCTTCTTCCTCCTCCTCCTCCTCTTCGCCTTCCCCTTCTTTCTCACCTTCCTCGCCCTTTTCAGCTTCCTTTTGTTCAGGCGCAGCTGCTTGCTGATCCGATTCGGAAACTCCTTTGCCTTCTTCATTCTCCGTCTCCTTCTGCTGTTCATCGTGGCCACCATCCCACATCTTCTCATCAACGGCTGATGCATCTAGGTCGACGCTGCCTACCTCCTCATCCATATCACCTTCTTCCTCCTCCTCCCCGTCTTCATCCTTCTCTTCCTCTTCTGCATCTTCATTCTCGCCAGTCTCTCCTTGCAAGTCTTCCTGGTCCATATCGACAGCGTCTTTAGACTTGTCCATGTCATCTCTCGCACCTTCCTTCTGCTCCTGTTGCGCGAGCTCGGACAAGTCCTCGTCATCTCCCACATCCTTGCTTATATCTTCAGCTCCTTCGCCCTCGCCAAGGCCTGTTCCACTTTCCAACTTGCCGGTCTGGCCTTCGTCAGTCGACTCTTCGTGCGGGCTGCAGAAGCCCTCGGATGAAACCTGGATAAATGACTTGGCCAAAACGTATGACATCTTGCAAGTCTCTCGGTGTACTCGCAGGAAACGGCCCACGATGTCTTGGCTGATATCGTAATACTTATTCATGATGGGCAACAAGCTCGCCAACAACGCAACTGCGAAGGGAAGGCCATTATCGGTATTCTGAACCGCACTCAGTGTTTGTAGGATGGCTTCAAGCGCCTTGGTTATATCGTTGAGATGCGTTGACTTTATAGCTCTCGTGAAGAATTCATCGCTTCGGGCAAGGGAGCCGGCCGAGGTAATCAATGCCGGGACTTCTTTCAGTTTTTGCAGGCTGACTAGGATCTTGTCAGCAGCGGCAGTAAGACTCGAGTCAAAGTCTTCAATTGCCAATGCGTTTGAATCCGTTCCCGATCCAGCGGCTTCGGCCTTCACATTCGCCCAAGGAAGTATTTGATCCAGAATGAAAGTGAGGTCAGGGCGTTCTTGTCTCCATCTCGAGATATCAGATTTGAATTGAGCGATGGAGGAGGCTGCGTCGTCCAGAGTGTGTTGATGTAGCTTCGCTGTAACTCCTTCAGGTAGTTCAGGAAGGTGCTTGATAGCTTGTCGAAGACGATCGAACGTAGCTTTCCAGGCTTTCAATCCCTTGGATATATCTAGTGAAGCGATCTCGGAGAATTTAGAGTGCAGTTCCACAACTGTTGAGGCCAGTCCGAGAGTTGGAGCGAGCCATGCAACTGCTGTTGCCAGCTGCTGTTTTCCACTCACGAACTGTGAGTCAGACTTGACAATAGAAGACGCCCCAGATCTCCAGAGATTTGAAACCTTGTCAAGAGTGGCACGAAGTGACCCCAAGTCTGCCAGCGCTGGAGCAACGGCCGTTCTCTGCTTCCTGATCATGTACAAAAGATGTTCCATAGATCCTAGACTCCTTGACACTTCCACGTTACTGAGTTCCTCGGAGTATGAACGTGACGCTTGTCGGGCACGGGGAAGCAGGTCTAGAAGCCTGTGGAAATACACATCGCAATTCCCAACCAATTGAGATACCGCAGAATGAGCTTGAAGAGAGGGGCTGGTAGCGAGAACCTGAGCAACGGTGGCTTGTGATTCGATCAAAAATGTGCCAGCATTACGCTTAATACCAATCTCGAGGAGATGGCGCAGAGTATCCGCATAGAAGCGACGCTTCTGGCCCTTGAGGTGCTGAACGTCCGTCTTGTTATCTTCGGTCAAGACCTTGGGAGTCTGGATCCTGAATTCGTTGATACTTTCGATGAAATACTGGACAAATCCGCTCATATCTTCGCCGACATCGAACTCGGTCGAGATTGACGTATAAATGTGCATCATACTTTTGACTGTTCCTTCCTGATTCGTGAATCTCGGAGGTCGACTTGACCAAACGGTGGCTCTTTGCTCGCAAAGGGCCAGAGCCTCTGGTATACTTGAGGGGGATGTAGCCAAGCCGGGGATCGTAGGAACGGCTTCATCATCTTTGGCGGGCATATCTTGGCTCAGGATCTGCTCAGCGGGCTGCGACAGGACTGCACGATACTTGCGGACCAGTTTGAACAATTTCACGTGGGAACGGCGGGCGCTTTCTCTCAAAGCAACAATGTTGGTATCCTTCCAGCTGGCAAGCTGAATCTGTTCTTTGATATCCCGTTCAAGGGCAGTTCTCTTGTCGACAAGCAATTTATGGACCGCAGGCTCGAATTGGGCGTAGTGCTGAAGGAAATTGTCAAGCGCAGACACTAATTGCTTGAGCTGCGAGTAGTCCTGAACGAAGAGCTGTAGGAAGGACCGGAAGTTCTTGATCAGTCGCAGGCGCTCGCTATACTGTCCCAATGTGGTTGAATGGGTGAATTGTTCTAGAGTCGCGACCACTCCCCGAACGTGCTCGCTAAGATCTTCTTGGCCGGACTCTGCAATCTGGATCGGAGCCCTAATCAAGGCCTCAAAGGCAATGAACCACCATGAACTAACGTCCTGGTCGCACTTCTCTTTCTCCAGGTCTAGAAGCTTAGCCCATGTTGATAGTTCCAATCGACGCCAAGAGATGATCATGCTCGTGATCTCGTCGTAGTACGTCGCCGCGGAATACTCTCGACTGGCAACCAGTTGCCATTCGTGCACAAGAGAATGAAGCTTTTCGACCTTTGTCAGGAACTTTGCGACGGGCTCAGTGTGTTTGAACTGATAAATCTCCTTGCAGTACGAGATCACATCGGCAGGCACTGCATGGTCCGGCCAGGCCTTTTGAATTTGAACGAATCGAGCCTGGGTCGAGCGCGTCAGAGAAAGCAGCTTCTTCGCCTCCGCCAAATTCTGATCCGTGTAGAAATTGTAATTCTTCGAAGAAGTCGTGGTTCGCTTGCCAATGTCATCTTCCAGCAGTAAGAAAATGGCAGAAAGTTGCTCTTTGGGGTGTATATGTGCCGAAGACGCGCCGTCTTTAGACCAAATCGAGCCTAGTAATGTAGCAGACTGCTTAACGTAGTCTGACAGCACCCGTGCGCTGTCTGCAGATTCGAATAGCTTGGAGTGAAGTTCAGCCAGTCGGACGGAGATGTCCTTGGGGTCGATTGCGTTCGGTAACACGGTATCTTTATCAACACTGTCTTCAAACGTGGGGAAGAGCTGGTTCAATTCGCTTGCGTCGACTTCTTCTTCGTCTTCCCATGAGCCCTTGAAATGATACATTTCATTCTTGCGCGCGTGCTCCTCTTGATCTTCTTTCAATCGTGTCTTCCACAGATAATTGAACTGTTCGGCAATGCGGAGGAAAGAATCCCGTCCAGCCCTGGTTTGCAAAACACCAGGCTCCACGGTTTCTGCCACCTCAAGAGATGATAGTTCGTGGAACGACATCTCCACTGCATGTCTGGACTTATGTCCAACGAAGTCACTCTCGGATGATGAAATCGGTGGCTTGTTACCTCCAAGGAAAGGCGTGCGCTGACAGATAGTCCGCAGGATAGCCATGTCGCCCGAAGCAGCGTCAGAGGTGTGAACCAGCGAAAGACCAAGGTCAAGCATGTGGAGGAAACGAACTACTAGAATAGTGATATCGTCATAGGATCTGTAGTTCGTGCTCAAGCGTTTGCTTAACTGCTCAATATTATCACGCACAAGGTTCCTCATACGCTCGTTCTCGGCCGTCTTCGCAGTCGCCGTAATCAGCTTCTCCGGCTTCCTGAGCAGGACAGACTTGATAACACTTGCGAATTCACCGTTGAGGAGGCCAATCTCCGACGTTTCCGGCCGAGTAACGGAAGATGGAGGAGGAGCTGCACCAAGGTTTCGCAGCTGCGCTTGTGCGATTTCCCGACGGATATTGGTAGACTGTCCGGAGAAAAGTCGCTCAAACCTTGAGATAGCATCGGCCTTCGAGGTGAGCTCAGCAACACGTTGATTGTGTCGTTCTCTCTGTACAACGAGGCTCAACGAAGGATCAAACGGCTTATCAGGAACGAAAAGCCAAAGAAGTATTACTGATAATTGCACCAGTGCACTAGCCGTATCCTGCACCGCGTCTTCACCCGTAGATCTCGTCAAAAGCGACGTGACAAGCTTAGGTAGTGTTTTGTTGGCAACGGCTCTGAAGTAGTGATCACTAGGCAAGTTCCGTGCTAGGCGAATGTTCAAGGAGAGCAAGCTGGCTGGTAGGTCTTGTTTCCCTGCCAAACGCAGGAGAGTAATCAGCTGCTCGAAGGACTGCGGATTGAAGAACTCTTTGTGGGCCTCTACCAGCTCCGCGGTCAGCTCCGAAAGCAAGCGTCTGAGAAGCTTGAGCTGATCCAATCCGATCTCCCGAGTTGTTAAAGCCAGAGCCTGGGAGAGAGTTTGTTTCTCAACCTCGACAGCGTCCATCTGTCCGAGGGTAGCACGATCAACCAATGCTAACTTCTGCAGTAGTGCCAGGGACACTGTCCCGCTGGCAGCAGTTCCAGAGTCTGGATTTCCTTGGTAACCAGAGAACAGTGACAGCCGGTGAAGAATGGTTGGAACTTGACTTTGCAAATTCGACGCGTTCAGAGGGTGAGCTGGACGGCCGGCTAGTAAAGCTAGAACGGATCGAGTGTTGTTCGGAGCGACTGGGACTCCCCGGCTGTAAATGGCGATATCATGATATTGGCATAGCACTTCAAACTCGTTGGAGAAGTACGGGCTTTGAGCCAAATCAGATGCTTGTACCACACTTGCCAGGTCTACCACAGTCTGCTTGAGGCTCTGCTAGTTATTAGTACGAAGATATCTCAAACAGCGGCCAGTAATGTTATGTAATCAACCCAACCGTAAGAGGATTGACACTTACTTGCACAAGATTCCCTTCATCGGCACCCTCTAACAGAATAGATCTTTGAGCCTCAACCAAGGAGTTCCGTACTTGACTTAACTGGGACAGATTGAGGCTAGTCCGAGTCGCAACCTGCATGAATTCAGACGCAACCTTCTCGAGCTCCAGCATTGAAGCCAATTGGCCTCTGCTCGAGGGTGTCACTGGCCTCCATGATTCCCAAAGCCTTTGCATACTAAGCCCCGTGGTCAGGGCCCAATTTTCGTGGAACCGTTGAAGCGCGTTGGAGAAGGCAGTGGCTAACGAAATAAAGCCATCACCTAGTTCTGCCAGTGATGTGCATATTCCCTTGCCAAGCTGAAGGTATATGAGAAATACCCCGTCGTCAAGCTCGGTCGACCCAGTGATTCTCAAGATATCTGCGCAAAAGTTGATGACGGCGCGCAAAGGAGGTATAGGATTGTGATGTTGAAGAGCATCATTATCCAAGCATTGGATGAAATCGTATACTGCCTGTCCAGCATCCGCCAAGAACCGACCAACTGGCTGAGTTGTATCCTTCATGAGAGACGGTATCCTCTTCGAGGCCAGAGATCGCTGTAAGCGGCTCATCTGGCTTGGTTTAAGCTGCTGTCCGGACTGTTCCGCGTGCAGTAATGCCTGTCTGAGGCGATGCAGATCAAGCTTAGACTCTTGGATATGAGCCAATAAAATAAGTGAATCAAACGGAATATCGTGTTCCAACACCAGGGCAAGCGGCTCGTTTACCAGAGGGTGGAGAGGCTGCAGATGACCTTGAATTGCAAAGGAGACGCCTCCAAGGTCAACTGCCTTCTTGGTAGTACCAAAGGCTTGACATTGTTGGTTATCGTGTATGACAGAGATTTGGCGATCCAGAACCCTCAAGAACTGGTCCGTCTCAAGACTACGCAAATAAGGCGAGACGAGATGCTGTGACCGCTGAAGATAAGCCAAATCTGCTATAGATAGGTAGTCCAGACGGATCTCGTAGGCACGCTCATCCACTTCACCAGCAGCGACAGACAGATCAGGACTCCAGATGGATCGAAGACGGTATAATGACGATTGGCTGGTATATGTGGGGGTAAAGGAGGGTCTCAGATCACCATCTTCGCGTGGTAAAATGCACATTTCAACACAGCGGTTACGCATAGCACGGGATAACTCCCCATGACGCGGATCCATGGTCAAGAAAAGTCTGAAATTTGGGTGAGGTGTGATGATTCTAGCATTTCCATCCTCGGTGCGTTGTTCATTGAGAATAAGGGCTCCGTTCGGCTCAGTCAAGGAGTTCAATCTGTCAAGAACTGAGGGGTTGCAAAGATTGGCGTTGTCAAGGACAACCCAGTCTCCCTTTTGAACAGCTTGTGTGAGTACACCCTCTGTCCACTCAAAGCCAACCTTGATATGCTCCTGTTGCGAATTATGCAATAGCGTCTGCGATCTCTCGAGGAACTGTTCCAGCACGAGGTTAGGATACATTTGGTGAAGTTTCTCGAGCAATGAGCATAACGATTCCAATGATGAGCCAGGTTTCTCCAAACGTTCGATGAGCTCAACAAGGGCCGAGGAATCAACTTTTGTGGTATCAGACGAATAGTTGAAGAGTATTTCTCGGCGCAAGAACAGCAACACGTCTTGCACGAGAGAGGATATTTCTCTGTTGTGGTCAAGTTGTTCAAATCCTCCCACAAGATCCATGGTATCGGTATCAGCGCTCAAAGCTAGCTCAATCAGATTTGCCCCGTTCATAGCAGCAAGTTTCCTTATCAAGGTTGTCTTGCCGGAGCCAGAAGCTCCTACCAGAATACTCGGCCATGACTGTTCAATGCAGAGCATAAGAGACTCAAGGACAGGAAGATCCCTAGGAAGTACTTCAAGATGCGGAATAGGCGTCTCTTGGAGCATCGAGTCCCTTCGCATAATTCCGAGCCCGACCTGCATATACTCCGGCGTCATGTTATGGTAGTAGCTCTTGGCTGTTGTCGAAACGCCATCGAAGACGCGCTCGTAGATGCGGCGAACTTGCTCTCGATCCTCCTCATTCCTGAATCGTTGGGATATGATGACATCGAGGAAGTTTTTGGTGTGTATTTGCAAGCTACCTCGGTCCGCGAGCTGAAGCCATCTCTGAATGTCACGCAGGTTTACCTCCCAAGGACCACCAAGAACACCTAGTCTCCTTTCCTGCACAATGGCAACATTCAGCCGAGAGATGAAATCCACGAGTTGCTCGGTTTGCTGTGTAGGACTTCCGGGGAAAAGTTTGGCACAGATACGTTTCAAGTCAGTGTCAGTGAAACTGTCGGCATAGACCACAGTAAACCGGTTGACAAAGGAGGCCGGAAGTCCCTTTCTCCCACCTCCCTGGTGATGAGGATTTTGCGCAGCAAAGAGAACAAAGTCAGGATGTCGCTTGAATGTCTGGTCGAGCTCAGCAACATAAACCATTTGACGATGATCCAAACAAGCATTGAGACCCTCAAGCACAGACTGGGAAGCCAGGTTCATTTCGTCCAACAGAACCCAATCGCCGCGCTGCATAGCCTGGAGGAAAGGTGCATCGCGCCACGCGAACTGGCCAACATCACCGCCCTCAACAGGCACGTCGGATCCAAAGAGATCTGTGAGGTCTGTTTGTTCGGACAAATTGATTCGCGTCAAGGGCTTGCCAAGGGCTCGAGCGAGCGCAGTAACAAGTGTGGTTTTACCGACACCGGGACTACCTTCAAGAAGAATAGGCTTCGTTAACTGCAGCCCACGAGCAATTCGTACAGAGTTGGCAATCGTTGTCGGGGCATCCATAATGAATTGAGGGTCAGGCTGTGCATCGCCTTGGATGGAGAGGCGAAATGGCCCAACTCGCAAGGCTTGATCTTGAACATCGATAACAGATTTTTGCAGGTAGATGCTTGCAGCGTCAACGTTGAAAAGCTCCTGAAGCTTATCCAGACATAATCTACGGTTATCCTCAAGATTGTGCAGGGTAGTCGCAAGCATGGCCGCTGGGTTTGCTCCTAGCGTATCAATGAATACCATTGCAGCACCCTGAACAACCGCGAACAGAAGGTCAGAGTCCTGGCACTTATTGACGAAATCGACCCATCCCAACAAATCACGAAGCGATAGAGAGTTGGTAGAAGAACCCTGGAAAGTCCGCTTGAACCACTTCGCGAAACGGAGCATTGTACCAGAAATGTGCTCCGATTGCGTGGGAAGTTTCACTTGAAGAATCGGAAGAATGTCCTCGTCTTCCGACAACTGAGGAGCCCAAATCTCAGTCATTCGATTCCTAAGGGCAGCCGAAAGCTCGCGTTTGCCATAGTCGCCTCCAGGATTCATCGTAGAAAGGAACTGAAAACCGCTGTCCGCAATGACCATGGAATCGATCGGGCCCTTTTCTGCCAGAAGGATAGATCTGTGAGGCTCTAAAACGCTGTTCAATCGTTCAAGGACGGAGTCATCGGCAAGAGATATTTCATCCAAAAGGAAGAATTGGCCTGTCTTCATGGCGGTGATCAGACTACCGTCCGTCCACTCGAACAGTGCATTGAGCCGGGCAAGGTTCCTTTCGATAGTCCTGAGAAGCTCGGGACTGCACTCTCGTCGCTGCTCGGAACTGAGGGCCCCAAAGACTTGCTTGAGCTCTTCAAAGGACTTGGACTCGGCTCCCGTTTCACCAAGGAGTTGTCGTAAATCGCTGAGTAAAGTGTCTTCGATGGCGGCCCTGTTCCTGACCGGTCTTTGCGCACCGATAAGATCACCGGTCTCAAGGTTCACATGCGCATTGACGACATTTAATTGTTTCTGGTAAGCATCCGCAACGGCCTGGCAAAGCTGGGTCTTTCCACAGCCTGTTTCTCCTACAAGGAGGACAGGCTCGTTGTTCTCGAGCGCCGTTGAAACTAAGATGAAGAGTCTTCTCATTGCCCTCGTCCAGACAATGCCAGGGGTGAGTTGCCGTAGGTTAGGTGCACGCTTGTCCATCGCAGCAGTACCGTAGAGAACTTCTTCATCAATTGTGACTTTCATGACTTCCTCAATCACACTTTTCACTGCCGCTCTTTCCTGGGGGTTTCTGACTCGTTCTGCCAGAAGCATAAAACCGTTGATGGCCAACTGCTCTCGATCATCTGCTTGCCGAAGGGCCCAGCGGAAGAGGTCACGCAGAGTAGCAAAACTATTTTTCTGCTCAAACAATCTGTTTGCTTGACGTAACAGAGATAACTTTCGATAAACGGATACTATCCTGGTGCAGAAAGACGGGGCAATTTGTGACCTCTCTGTGAGAATGAATTCAAGTTCACTCTCTGGGATATCGTCAAAGTGCAGTTCAAGAAAGCGGTTGCGGAAAGCGCGAGACAGGACTTTACGACCTCCATAAAGGCCTGCAGGGTTCTGAGTTGCAAACAGCATGAAGTTCGGATGTGGGTGGACTGCCTCTTGTGTTTCTGGAATAAACAGTTCGCGGTTATCGTCGAGAAGGCGATTCAACGCTTCCAGTACGTCGGATGGCGCAAGGTTAAGTTCATCGAGAACAATCCAGTACCCATTTCTCAATGCCTCTACTAGGATACCTTCCTGGTAACGAAGCGTTCCGTCATCGTCAGACACGTATGATCCGAGGTACTCTTGAAGATCGGTATGCTCATGGTTATTGATACGGACGAATTTGTTTCCAGAAACCTTTGCGAGATATTCGATCAGGCTAGTTTTTCCGGCAGATGTTGGACCTTGCAGCAAGACTGGAAACCGGCGCGTGGAGCTCGCTCTCACGAGATTCTTGAGGTTCTTTTCGATGAAAGGTGTGATGATATAATGCGGCTGTTCCTCGGGTACCAGGTGACCCTTCCGCATCCAGTAGTGCTTGAATTGCACATATTCGTTGCCATCGCTTGGTGGCCGAGGGGTCTGTCCAAGCAAGGCTCTAATATTCTTCACATTGCTGAAAATGTGCCTTTCGAGCAATGGCATCAGCAGCCTCTCAGAATCCAGACTCAAGACTGTGAGGAAGCTCATAGAGAAACCTTCAAAGATTGCCCGACGTAGCCCGTATACCTGCGCGTGCTCAGTGGTATATACAAGAGCACGAACAAGGGTACGTATGCTGAAGTGTGGGCGTTGCCCGGCGCCATCGATCAGTTTGTTTTCGTTACTCAGCTTCTTCGTTTCGATATATAGCTGAGCAAGATCCGGTACAGCCCTGGAATCACCGAGAGTCAAATCTCCAAGATACTTCTTAATCAATGCCAAGAGATCATCTAGCTCATTGTCTGGCGACTGCACATATAACTCTGTAAACCTAGAACGAAGGCCTGGTGGAAGATCCTTCTTTCCAGCATCTGTTGCTGGGTTCATGGCTCCAAATATACGGAAATCCGGGTGGCCGAAGACACGTTCAACATCGCCTGCTTCGGATAATAGGACAGACGGCGAGCCTTCACTGCCATGATGTAAAAGGCTTGCGATGTTCTCGAGCGTGTCCGGTGAAGCCAAGTTGATCTCGTCAAGAAGCACCCATTCGCCATTCCGCAAAGCACGGACAATCTTTCCCTGGACAAATGCAAAGGCGAACTTGGCGTCACCCTGTGACACTTGCGCCTCAAAGTCGTTCAGTTGCGCTGCAAACCTTTCCCACCGTTGCCGGAGAAACTGATACTTGGGCGAGTCTAGTTTTCTTTTCTTTGTTGGCTGTTCTCCCTCAGCGGGCTGGGAGGAGCCATTACTGGACTTGAAAACACCATCGGCAAGCCGAACAGCTTCGTGCCAATGGTTGACTAAACGTACCCAGTTCCCGCTGGCAACATTTTTTGCAATAGAAGATAAGAACTTTTGGTTCTTCTTTGCGGAGAAGGTCAGTTCGAACAGGGAAGTAAACTCGTCGAACATTGGGATGGCCATCGTGCGAATATTGACGGGCTTGAAGCCGCCCAACAGGTCGGTACTCTCGCTTTGCTGCGACAAGTTGACCACGGTGAGTTTCTGCCGCATCAGGGTCGCAAGATGTTGAATTACAGTCGTTTTACCAATACCTGTCTCTCCAACCAGAAGAACAGGTTCGGCCATCTCGACTGACGCTGCAACTTGTTCCATGAGTTTGAGAGCGGCTCTCGTCGTTGCAAAGCGAGAAGAGGCGGCGGCCATCTTCGATATTGATCCACTTGGCACTTTAACTTTGTGACAAGTCTCTCTCCCAAGCACGAGGTTGCTACCTTGATCTGATAGCGTTGGCGTTCGTTCGTGCAATGAGAATCGAGCACGCTGGGGAGAGATCTGAAGCGCTTCCGCAACAACTAAAGCCAAAGAATCCGACAGTGTCGAGTCTGGTAGGTACTTAAGGAATATGTCCACGATGTCCAGGAAAATCTCGTCGTCAGTTCCCTCGGGGGTGGCTTCAAACCCTGTCTTGACACCGAGTCGCTGAAGTCTCTTGTGCATCCTACTGCAGAGTTTGATAAGATCGCGCAAACCGGGAGTTCGGCCCTGCGAGCTCTTGATGGCGAGGCTACCATGGAACGAGGAGCACAACCTTTCGTATACGTTCATCACGGTGGGTACTCGAGACTTGAGCAAAGGGAACTTCTGTGCAATCACTTGTTGAACCTCCTCCAGAGTGAGGGACTCAATCGGTACTCTGTTCCAGAGTCTGCTTCCGAGGACGGCCGTGCTGGGCGCCACCTCCTCCCCTGCGATATTGTAGGACGACTTCATTGTCGCGATAATCTTGAACCCTTCTGCGCACTTGATTCGCTCTCTTCTGCTCGCGATAGTGAGCTCACCTTTCTCAATGATGGGAAGAATGAGACCGATAACTTCAGAAGGGGCGCGATCTAGATCTTCAATCAAGATCCATCTACCCTCCCTGGCAGCTTTCGTCAAGACACCAGGTTGCCAAGCAAAGCTGCCAGTTGTTGAAGAGGTTGAATACATCCCGAGAAGACTCTTGGCGTCCGTTTGCTCGTTCAAGTGCAGCGTTACCATGGATTCCGCTTGGCCCATAGTGGCTGCTACATCATTGATCAGAGTTGTCTTCCCCGAATTCGGCAATCCGACGAGAAGAACTGGTGCAGGGGTAACCAATGCCGTCGCTATCCGTCGCAGATTTTTTACTGCCGTTGTTGTTTTCACAATCGAGGACGGCATGAGCGAGGCGTCAACTTGCCGTGGGATCAACACACCACAGACTTCTGCAGTTCGAGGAGTGAGATAGTCCCGCAGGTGCTCCACCTGTGAGAGGCTGTCGGATTCTGGCCTCTCGATCCTTGCAGAATGGAGTTGCCTTTCCACAGAAATCCATCGGCGCTCTTCCCAAAGTCCCAGGCACCGGTAGTCAATGGAGATGCCTTCCCAATCTCCCTCTACCATATCATCGCTACAGTGTGTCCATAAAATTTTCTCCATAGACGCATCGGCGGCGCGCATATATATACAAAAGCATCGTACAGCTAGATATCGAATCACGCGGTCATCGTGTCGGAAAAGAACTTGCAATTGCGATGGTGTAATGGCGGGCGAGAAGGCTTCGAGGTCGAAGGAAAGAAGACGGAAAATCGCTAGGAGTAACGTGCGAGTCGTAGAATCATCTATCTGCGTATTAGTGAAGGCATTAGGCGCAGCCAACGCCGACAGTGGGCCAGCCCGAGACATGGCATATTGGCTTGCGAAAGAGCGTAAATGGGGCGCGAGCGGTAGAATTCGAGCAAATGCGGATATAACTTGGATTTGATCAACGCCAGACTCGGGAAGAATCCAACGTGCGGCCAGATCAACAAATATCGGTTCGTATATGTAGAAAAACTTCTCTGTGTATCCTGATCTCAATGCGCCGACTGCAAGCGCATTCAGGTACTGAGTCCCGGGAGCCGTGCGAATGAGGGCCGCAATCTCATTCGGGAGTTGTTCGAGTAGTTGGGACTCGTTAAGAGTCCCCTCGTAGGCGGGACTGGCATCCATGCTGAGCCCAACCGCACAAGGAACTCTTATGTTGAGTGAGGAGAAAGGAAATGCGTATCGCCGTACTTTTTCTGGTATCTTTTTTTTTTCTGCCCATCTATGGCGGCCTATCCCCACACCAAGTGCTTCACCGCCTTTACCTAATCACGGAGACTTGCGACAGCTCCGACATCGAAGTAGATATCCGGACGATAAGAGCCTCAGGGACGACGGCCATGGTTATTCTGATATGCAACTTGACGTGTTTTTATGATCTGTCTTGTCGATGATGGATGCCGGGTCGGATTACGATGCCCCGTCACCCTCCACAGGGCCGTGGCGCAACAACCATCGATTCCCGCGCCATCGCAGCAGCACTCTCTCGCAATTACAACACAATGCAAATGATTCCCTGAGTGGAGGACTTCGTGAGCCGTAAGCCTCAGAGCCTTCGTGCACAATACATTGATCTGACAAGCTCGTCTACAGTATATCCTTCAAACGCAAACAAAAACAACGCTCAGGGTTCAGTCTATCAAATATCTTCTTTAGCGAGTCTCCCGGGCAGTCGGGTTTCGGCCGTTCAACCTTTCGAAATGGACGTACAACGGATGAGGATGACTCTCGAACAAGGAACGACGCTTCGCGGGCGAACGGCAACTATAATGTGCAGAAAGAAGGCGGCCTTCTAGATTGGTATATTGAAGGCCCCGGCCGACGTGTTGGCTACGATGATTTTACCGCCATCGATTGGATATTCGAATATACGAAGGAGCGTCAACGAAAACGATTACTTTCTAGTGGTGGACAAGGAGTGCTGGGACATATCCGCAAATTTCTCGATGGTAGTCACGTTTGGTTGGTCCTTATCGCTACTGGGATATCGGTCGGAATCATCGCCGCGTCTATTGACATCGTAAGCAACTGGCTTGGGGATATAAAAGCCGGATATTGTAAAAATGGTCCCGGTGGAGGAAGATTCTACTTAAATCGGAGCTTCTGTTGCTGGGGCCATGAAGAAGGTTCATCCCTGCTTTTTTGTGTATATCTCTTGGCTGCCCTACTGACTCGTTCCTTCGCATTCAGACCCTTCCAATTGCTTAGACTGGACACCCTGGGGAAAGGCTGTTGGAAGTACTTCGTCCGGTGGAGCCTATGCCGTCGAGTATATCTTCTATATCCTTTACTCAGTAAGAGGTTTCCCTTGTTTTCTCCAGGTCACCGGTCTAATGAAAATGTATAGGTGTTCTTTGCCCTCTGCGCTTGTATACTGGTCAGAAACTATGCGCTCTATGCACGACATAGCGGAATACCCGAAATCAAGACAGTTTTGGGCGGTTTTATTATTAAGCATTTCATGGGGCCTTGGACACTCGCGATCAAGTCGCTTGGTTTGGTAGGTCGGGTCAACCCCACACACTGTTCGGGGACTAATAACTCGCAGTGCTTGTCTGTCGCATCTGGTATGTGGCTTGGTAAAGAAGGTCCGCTTGTCCATGTGGCATGTTGTTGTGCCAGTGTTATAATGAAGCCTTTCGAGAGCCTGAACGGTAACGAAGGTCTGTACACTTCACTCGCGTGCGGGTACCCTCTTTGACACATCTTTCTAGCAAGGAAACGAGAAGTACTCTCCGCGGCCGCTGCGGCGGGAATTTCCGTGGCATTTAGCGCGCCCATCGGAGGTGTTCTTTTCAGCTTGGAGGTATGAAACCTCGTACGAGCTTCCCTGGAGTCTAGCTAATTTGCTCTACAGCAACTATCATACTATTTTCCGGATAAGGCCATGTGGCAGAGCTTTGTGTGCGCCATGGTGGCGGCTGTCACTCTCCAAGCCCTAAATCCGTTCCGTACGGGTAACATCGTCCTTTACGAGGTTAAATACACAAGAGGTTGGCATCGTTTTGAGATGATCCCGTTCATCATTCTTGGGATAGTGGGCGGTCTTTATGGCGCCTTCTTCATCCGCTTGAACATGAGAGTCGCAAAATGGCGGCGGACTCGGAGCTTCTCCTATCCATTCGTCGAAGTCATCGTTGTAGCCCTCCTCAGCGCTGTCATAAACTTTCCGAATATCTTCATGAGGGCGCAGATCTCAGAACTTGTGCATTCTTTGTTTGCTGAGTGCAGTACTGGAACTCCGGACCCATTCGGCCTCTGCAAGACCGGGGCAGCGTCAGCCGGTACGGTCGCTCTCCTACTAGTTGCTGCTGTTCTTGGTTTCTTTCTCGCATCTATGACGTTCGGACTCGATATCCCTGCTGGTATCATCCTGCCATCCTTTGCGATTGGCGCCCTATATGGACGTGCTTTGGGTACTGCTTTCAAAATATGGCAAGATGCATTCCCGGACTTCTTCCTATTCGGCAATTGCGAGCCGGATATCCCTTGCGTGACTCCGGGACTCTACGCAATTGTCGGCGCGGCTTCAGCTCTTGGAGGCGCTACAAGGATGACCGTGTCCATAGTTGTTATCATGTTCGAGCTTACAGGTGCTCTGACCTATGTCATTCCTATAATGATTGCAGTGATGTTATCCAAATGGTGCGGAGATATCTTTGGAAAGCGTGGCATCTACGAGTCGTGGATTCATCTGAACGAGTATCCATTCCTCGACCATCGCGACGACACTGCTCCTCCTGATGTCCCTGCCCATAACGTTATGACCAAGGTCGATGATATCACAGTCATCACAGCCGTCGGCCATACAGTTGGTTCGCTTCGCAACCTTCTCAAGACCACCTCATACCGTGGATTTCCCGTCGTCACTGAGACTTCACACCCTGTCCTTCTTGGCTACATCTCCCGCAATGAACTTTCTTATGCATTGAGGCCCCCGGCTGCTCCGTCCATCCGAGAACTCTCCAGCACAACCCAGGCCTTTTTCGCTCATCAGCCATTCGCAGACCCTTTGGATACTCTAGACCTCCGGCCGTGGATGGATCAGACACCTATTACTCTCAACAGCGGTACGACCTTCTTAATAGTGCTACGGATGTTCCAGCGGCTTGGGCTCCGATACGTTCTCTTCGTCAACAAGGGTGTTCTTCAGGGACTTCTGACCAAGAAAGACGTCTGGTCGGTAGTCAATGATCCTGCTTCCCGTCGGGGTGAATGGACAAGTGATGGGCCGCTAGGGGAAGGCAACACGGCTGAAGCAGTCGGACTTCTTGAGGGCGACAACGGGACCAACCTTGCCACCCCGCTCACCCCACTTGAGGAACGACGGCCGTCGCTATAACCCTTCAAGCCCCTTTTCTTGGATGTTACTCAATTCCTAGATTTTTGATGAGCTAATGGCAGGATTCTCGGGTTTGGATGTCACATAGATGAATGCATTTTTATGACCAAGAGCATCCTCTATCTTTATCTTAACTCCAGCTCCCAGATTATTCCTGCCCTGCTCCTGGTCAGAATCGTGATATCTAACAACATTCCAGAAGTTCTCTATAATCGAAACACCAACCCGAATATATCTGAGCATCTGAGGCAACATGACCCCGAACCACCCTCAGAACCTCTTTCTATTCACGTTCTTCACGCCTTGACCAAGCTGACTGGCAATAACAGTCGTCTCCGTTACCTCTCTTGCCACACTCCCCCACGGCATTCTCCTTCAGCACAAGCAACTCCTCAATCGTACACCTACCCCGCGTCGAAATCTTCTCCTTGACATGCGCCGGATGCTCCTCGCCCAACACCATCGCCGACGCGCCCCTCATCATCTACGCGGCCATAGTCGGTGCCTCGGCCCTTGGTAACCCCATCGCCACAGCGTCATCCACAACCCCCTCCAGCGTCAGTGCCATAAACGCTGGGTCCGCCGCCCCCAACACCGTGCTCGCGTCCAAATCCTCGGACGGGAAATGCACGATGCGCCCGATCCGCGTAAAGATCCAGTTTATGAGTTTCGCCCAATCGTCGGAGAGAGGTGGTAAGGTCACGCCAATGACCGTCATTGATTCTCGTACCATGGCGGTGGTGTTGGCATTGCGTGGACGATGCGGCAACGGTCATCAGCTGGAACCTAGTTGACCGGGTCGGGTGGTTACAGCGTATCCTCAATCTGCTGCTCTGTGGTTCCTGCTAGGATGCTGATGAGGAGTTTTTCTTTTGAGTGCTTCGCGCATGCCGGGGACATCGAGGACGATCTTGAGCATGTAGGGTTTGCAGCCGAGGATGAAGACATTAGATTACTAGACACCGCGAACTTATCGTTTTAGATTATTTCCAAGGGGAAAGATGAGTAGGGCTTTGTTTGCTTCTTGGATTCGGCCACTGGACTGCGCGCACCGAACGCGGGCGATGAATCTTGTTGGGGTTATGTGGTCATCTTCCACTGTTTGCTTGCTGGGTTGAGATCGGAAAGGGACGAAAGTATTCCGCATAACATGGCGGTACTTGAAGTTTCTCTCAATTGTTCAATACTGCTATCATGAAAAATTGAACATATCCTTGAGTGCACATACCACAGCCCAGAAACGTAAGAGTCCTTCCCCGCTTTAAGCCATCGGATCGTTTACTAACAGCCGTCACCGCGAATTGGGCGTAATCAAGCAGCTTGCAGCTAAGTGAGCAGTAGTCTCAAGAACCCTCATCCTCACAGAATACATAACAAACATCTCACGTACTTCTGAGTCAAAACCTGACCTGAAAAGGAATCTCCAGATATAAACAGCAATCCGGTAGTCACACCACCCAGGATATCTGCCCCACATATTATGCCGGCAGAAATGTGCTATGCCGCCCGGCTCGCCCTTTCTCCAACAATCGGCGAATCAGCCTCAAGCTCCAGTTGCTTTCTCCTCACTAGATATTCTCGACAAACCGCAGAATCACATCGCCCAGCATCATGATGGCAGATCCCTTTGAGGTGCGCATGCGATTTACGGCGCAGCTGCAGCACCTCAATGCATCTGTTACATCGTCACAGAAAGCGGCGCATTATGCGCTAAAATACCGGGATATGGATGAGGATTTGCACTCGTGTATTCTGGAGCAGCTTGAGAGAGTATGTATCTGTCTTCGGGGCTTGATTTGATATATTTATTGGTGCTAACTTGGTTCCTGCCCCACAGAATAATATGAACAACCGTGCCAACATCCTCTATTTCATCGAACACTTTTGCGAAATGGCAACAAAGGAAGGCCACCTTCCCTACGTACGCATGATCCAACGAGACATCCTCCGCGTCGTCGATTGCGTCGCGCCTGCTGATGGCTCCGGGGCCGCAAATGTTAAACATGTCCGCCGAGTCTTGAACGGCCTCCAGAGCAAAGAAATCCTCTCTGCCGCGACGATAGCGGAGATCGATGCCGGTCTAAAAGACCGAGAAACGCACCCCGCGCACCTCGATTTAGAAGCTGAGGATGAGGAGGAGGCGTGTGTGAAGTCCAAGACTGGGACACCGAGGGGCGCCAGAGTCAATGGAATACGCGTGGACAAGAGGCAGATTGAGCAGCGGATTGAGGAGGATCGTGAGAGAAACAAGCGGCTACGAGAGAGTATGTGGGCTGTCAGAGGCGATGATAATGAGGAGCATAGAAGGTTCTGGGACGAAACTAGCGATATTTGCGAGGACGACTTTACTGCGGCGAGCGAGGAGGTCATGGAGCGTAACCAGATGGTTGGGGTTATTTAGCTACTCCGCAGCTCCTGGGTGTGCTTTTCTCACGGTCAATAAGGTGCGGGACGGGCGTCTTGGAGTATTTGGCGTTATTGGCGTTATTGCAGATATTCCAGGGGAAATAAATACATAGCGATTACCGGCTTGCAGGTTTTGCCAGGGGCTGTGGCAGCCATGGCGTTCTAGGGCATCGTCCCTACCAATATAGGGCGGAAGATTGTATGCGATAATGGCAATAGGTGGGTGCTATCCCGAAGAAGAAAAATACACTATAGGAAACTTCTTCCATCAGGTCAAGATGGAAAGAGTAAGGCAGGCCCGAGCCGCGAATTGAACGCGAAACCTCTCGCATATATGCTAAGGGTAAATCCTGAAGCAATAATTATACGTACTATTAGGCTTGTTGGAAAAGGACCACAAAGATATATATATATACCCACTAGACCACCTAGGCCAATTAATAAGTGTTGCATAGTTCTTGATATGAAGACTGTTTAAGCATTTCCTGTCCGCACTTTGCGAGAGACATGACATAGTGGTTAATCTAATCAGCTGTGTGTGTTTCAACTTACCATGTGCATGTATGCCTCCCATATAACATTATAAATATTTCTAACCAGTCCTAAGGTCGGTTAAGCTTTTCGATCATTAATGCTTCTGTGACACTCAAATGTACAACTGTGGACCCCCTAATGCTACTACTCGTGGGGAAATGGATGGCGTCAGATACGAGCAAGGTGCGCCTGATAAGTCTAGTAGGATGCATGGTCTCATGATACTCCCACCTATGCCAGAAGTTTGATAACGAATTCCAACGGCCAGGTCAAAATTTTCGGTCGCCGGCATAACTCGGCGAAGCCCACCACATCCGAGGAAGGCAGCAGGCGCGTGGTTGGAGACACTAGAAGGTTCTTCGTCCGTACCTACCTATCTCCATAATAATAACGAGGTCTTTAGTACTTGTGTACCTACTGTAGCTGACGAATATCGACTCGGTCGATATCCCAGGCCCTACGGAATTAGTCACTCAAGGCCCCCGGTCGATGAGTATGGCCTAGCAGACACAGCGGGAATCGCATGTAGATATAATGCCGTTGATTTCATTATACTACCGCAGAGACTCAAGAGGTTCTAGATGCAGGCTGAGGGAGCTCCATTAGCAGTGGCCCCAAGAGACAGAGTAAAAGAGAAGAGAGATCGAACTGGTCGCAAGAAACAAGCTTCTGATACAGTGCAATCGTATCGTTTAGTGTTAGTATATATACACAAAAACAAAATCGAATTTTTATATTAAGCCCGGGTGGTCTAGTGGGTAAGCTTTACCTTTCTGTCTTCTTCTAATATTATCTCTAACAAAGTTGTAGTATGATTCTCGCTTAGGGTTCACCCTTAGCAAATATGCGAGAGGTCCCGCCTCCGCGGCTCGGGCCAGTGTCTTTTTTGTCTTGTTTTTTTGACGTGCCTTTCTGTTTAGCTACCGCTAGGATGGTTCTCCGTCTCCACGAAGACACCAACTCTGCCGTCCCGCATTTGCCCTTTGCAGACAACTCTCTCTTCCATCTACTTTATTCCCCGTATATCCCAAGTCAATATCTCCCCCAACAGAAGAATGATAAGCTTAGACACTCAGATTGAATGTCTGAGACCTCTACGGGAGGGGCTTGATGTCCTGTGCAGTTGGTCAACTGATGTCACATCACCTGCTTTTGAACTACATTTGCTTGGTCCGACTCTGTATCTACTACGCACCATCGGCAAAATGTCAAAGAGACATGCTACGACTCAACCACTCAACAACAAGCGTAACAAGCTGCCCAAAGCAACGCAGTCCGGCCCTCATCACGTTTGTCCACATCAAAGTCCGTCTTGAGACATCTCCGTATGATCCTCGCATATTCCGCGCCTATCTCCCGAGCGACTCGTGGGATCTAGAATCCGTCCTACTGTCAAGTATAGGGTCCGGTGTTCCCTTTAGTCACAGAGGCCTTCAGTGTTTAAAGGAGTAGTTACTAGTTCCTACCTAATATCTCAACTTTCTTTCTTGCTTATGATTTTTATTCTATATATGAATAGGGTGGTGTAGCAACAGCCCGTAGATTGCCCAAAGTAAGAGTGTCTTGATATGTCACACATGCAAACTCTTAAAATTCCATAGCTAGTACGTATTTGCCGACAGTTCATGCTGAGGATGTATAAGACCTTGGGGTTATACGAGATGTCCGCATCTAGGGCTTGAGCTGTGGGCCCACATATATATAAATATGAGCCCATCGCTCTTTCAATGGATAAAAGTAACCGTTAGGGGCATAAGCGCCCGAAAATATGGAGAGAAAACCTGATATGTTTGTTAATATATAAGAGGTAGGCGAAAACTCCAAAAGTATGAGAATTTACTCGTCGTGTATAGATCTCGCGCCTGCAAACCAGCATCCGGCTCGGGCTTATTGGCCCCATAGATGCCGCGAATGCTATAGAAATATCAAGTCCCAAATTCATGTGGATATATTTATGGTTAGGTACCTAAAATAGGATTTTGGGGTTCTTTAGTCCCGTCCATCTAGCAGCAAGCAATCCGCCGTGCCCTACTCCGGTGTACTTTCTCCAGCGCTATGACACCGCCGTGGCATATGTGATGAGACGGACTTGTCAGCGCATACCTTAAAGATAGAGAGGTCTAAAAATAAATAAATAGCTATTCTAGCACCTCCATAAAAAAACCATAAACTCGAACCTAAGGTTGTAGTCCTAAGAGTGAGGGGTGTATAGATCGGAGCCTCGGAAAAACAAGCCGCCGAGATAACTTATTTTTGATAAATCTTTTTGGTCCGACGCCGACCTCTCGTGTCGCAACATCCGCACTCCCTGGCATACCCCTCTATGCTGTCGCAGATCGTCACAGCGGCAAAGAACCTGATTTTCCCTGAGAATAGCGCAAACATCGAGTCGAACACTGCCGCTACTACCCCAGACAAGACCGCAGTCGCAAATCCGAAAATGGTTACCACGCGCCGACAATCAGCAATCCAAGTCGTTATCTCGGCACAAGAAACTGCAGCCAACGCATCGCCAGAGGTGAATGGAAAGCGCAAGTCGGAGATTACTACTACAACCACAAACGAGGAGACGCCGCGCAATAAGCGGAGAAAGAAGACCACGATAAGGACTGTTGAGGAGGAAGTAAAGCCCACCGCGAAGGAAGAGTCAGCGCCGAAGAAACACTTTAGATTCGACAGCGAGGAGCCCGAGCCTATATTGCCCGAGCCTGCAGAGCAAGAGGTGCCGGGAACTGTGCAAGCGGAGAATCGGGATGTCGATGATAGCAGCGATGACGAGGCACCAGAGACCGTGGACAACGCTGCACAGCTCGCCAAGATCAAGTCAGAGGCAAAGAAACGGGAACAGGCGAAACAATTGTTCGTATCCATCTCGTTTGAGGCGTCCACATTATTACTGACCGTATGACAGAGAAGAACAATTGAAGAAAGAAAAGAGACGACAATTGGATGAAGCGCGCAAGGCACAAGCGAAAGCTTCAGGAAAACGAAGCGAAGCCTCCGCCCCTCAATCCGGGCCAGGAGCCGCTACTCCTGCAGAAGACTTGCTTTCAGAAAGCTCGGCAACGCTGCAGGGTTCAATTACGCAAGATGCCCGACACCCGGCAACTCTTCCTGCTCTTCTTCCAGACGATATCTTGAATGCCGTTCCGGACGTCCGGCCGCCAACTCCTCCGCCTGAAACGCAAGATATCGCCCAGAAAAAGCCAACTAAGCTTAGATTTCTTGATAAGCAAGAGAAGGGCCCGAAGGATGTGAGACTGGGTGATGTCTCTATCCGTGTTCTAGGAGGCAGCGGCTCGAAGAAACCAAACACTGCACTTCCTCCCAAGGCGTCCAAGACGGGACGATCTGCGAGGGAAGCTTGGTTGAAGCAGGCCCGCAGCACCGGGCACGTCAATGGCATGAGAATGGTTAGCAGCGGCTCGAGGAAGTTCGTCCGCAAGTAAAGCTTCCCCAATACTTGATTTGCATTTGCGCTACATTTTCGGATATTTACTGTTTCGAGTCATTGTTGGGCGTTTGATTTGGGCCGATCGCATCAAGGTGTAATGTTAAGCGTTTTATATCGATGATAAATGTGATGATCATTGCGGCAAAAGTGTGTAACTTGGGAGCTAATGCATGCTTTCTTTTTTGACGTTTGCTCCGAGTCGTGATAATTTCAAACTCGACCAGACAAAATAACAACTGGACCCGGAAGATCAATTGAGGTCGAAATAAAGCGTGTAAAACGTGCCAAAGAATTGCCCCGATTTGCAGGGCTGGCCGCACGTGCAAAATGGGCAAAGCTAGAGCTCTCTTTCAACGCTCGACCCCATCTATCCACCCCATCGTAACAAACTCTTCCCCAACTCTCTTCTGAACTAATCATTTGTCCCTCCATCTGATATGCTTTTATCTCGACCTCAATGCGACTAATCTAAAATGGCATCAGCTACCGAGTCCTCCCCCCTCCTCCCTCAACACAACCATACATCTCCCTCCAATACGTCACCGCGAGGAACCCGGCCGCCACGGACAGTGACGTTCAATCCGCTTGCTACCGTCAGTACATACCATGATTACACCTCTGCAGATCCCACATTCAAACCTTTGAGTTCCGGCTCAGGTTCAATGTCAAATTCGTCTACCCAGCCACGGCCGACCGGATTCTCCGCCCTCAACAGCAAGCTCCGCCGTCGCAACAGCCATGGAGCTCCTGGCACGACTTCTTCCTCCTACCCAGCACCAAAAGTGGGCCCTCAAAGAACGACAAAAACAGCGCAGAAATTGAAGCTCTTACCCGATCCTATAACTGAGGAGGAATTGGTCGATGACGAGACGACACCGTCGGATGTTTACAGGCAGATTGCGCGGATCAAGGAACCTGCTGCCCGCAGTCTCGCGGCACGGTTGGGAAAGGCAGATAGGGACCGGTTACCGCGCGTAACAGCCTACTGCACGGCCAATTCCTATCGGTTGGATGGAGTTTTCAGGTTCTTGAAGTCACGGTCGAAAACTCGCGGTGCCTATCCCAAGTTGTTCGACGAGTGTGTCTATTCGCGGTTTGACTACCAGTACGAGGAGAAGCAGAAAACTGTTGGGAATTCGTCCACAAGCGGGTTCAATGCGGAGGATGACGCTCACACAGTCGATCGGATGCCTAGGGAGCGCCGGTTCTCCGACAGTGCGGTGGAGGTCGGCGAGAATATCGTAAATCGAAGGGAAGACCTCATTGACTTGCACGATCCGCAGTCTCTTTCTTCTAATTTGGGCACTGAGTCGGAGCCTATCTCTGCGGTAGACAATAACCCCGACATTGACACTACAATTCAGACACCAGAGGTATTCCTTTTCGATTACGGCACCGTGGTTATTTGGGGTATGACTCCTGCGCAAGAGTCCCGTTTCTTATCAGACATATCAAAATTCGCAACATCAATTTTGAGCCCGGAAGACACCCAGGTTGAAAACTTCAACTTCTACTATGCTCGCGAATACCAGGCCCGGATATACAACGATTTCATCTCACTGCGAGAACCCCGAAACTACATGATCAAACTCGCCATTTCACACGCCCTCGCCCAGTCTGTCAAGACTTCTCTGTTCGAAGACCTCGTGTCTGAGACAATCGCAAACACAGCACCATTGCCCGCCCAAATCGCACAGACTGGAAGCGTCAATCTATCAAGACGACAGATCAACATGCAAGTTGGAGAGCTTTTTATCCTCCGTATCAATATCCACTTACAGGGCTCTGTGCTGGACAGTCCGGAATTGATGTGGGCTGAGCCGCAGCTGGAGCCTATATATCAAGCTGTCCGGAGCTATCTTGAGATGGACCAACGCGTGAGCCTATTGACCGAGCGGCTCGACGTCATAGCAGATCTGCTCGCCGTGCTGAAAGATCAGTTGACTCACCGGCATGGTGAGTATCTTGAATGGATCGGTACGTGCTCTTACTTCTAAGGTATACAGGGATCAATCACTAACAGACAATGCAGTCATCGTCCTCATCGCGGCAGAAATCCTTGTCGCAGCCATCAACATTGTCGTCGACTTATATGCCGGTGTCGACTAGTATCGCGACACTCTTAGTTTTATAGAGTTTGATCTTGAATCTAGCAGGCGCGGAGTTGAGGAGTCCTCACCAGGGTACTCTTGCTGTGTATCTATATTCTTAACACCGACACCTACGTATACATAACAATCGGAACACGGACTGGGATCATGCAATTACCTGTATACTTATTCAGATCATCCTTGACGCCACAGGTCTTGTAGGGCATCGCAAAGTGTAGAGTCACGTATCTTATTTAATCCATGAACGAATCCCTCTTCAATCTCTAAACCAGAGCACCATTTGATACGAATGCATTCGTTGGAGACTTAAATCCCGCTCCACGAGATAGGTCTTGTAGTAATACACCCATGAAAGCCTAAGTGATCGAATTCGCGCTCGTAATACCACCTCAGGCTAGATAGTAGAGATTTATGGGCAGGTAGCCTTCACAACAATACTCCTCTATTCTATCTCCGTCTCCGTCATATCCCAGCCCAGAAAAGACAACACCCATGCAACTCAAACCACGGTAATCAAAACAATCGTCAACCCGGCGTTAATCCTCTCTTCCGGGGGATTCTGAGTCCAATCCCCACACAAGCTCCGTCCATCCCTCGTACATGTATGTGTCTAGAGCCAAAAAGTGGATCTATTCCCAAATTGGAAATCACTCTCTGATTGGTCCACCCCCATCTACAGAACCCCGAAGAGTCTTGGGAGGAGCCGCATTCGGTTGATGCAGGCATATTGGGTCTAAAATGAGGTTGATGGGGTGATGTCTCTAGTGGGTTAGATACCTTCTCCATTGCTGACTTCGGGGATAACGATGTATTTTGGCTTGCTGCGTGGTTTTTCATGTCCGTAAACGCCGGCCGATGTTGGGTATAAGTAGGCCCATGGCCATAGGGTATACGAGTAGTTGTCCTTGTCATCTTTATTGAGAAAGCAGTGATCCAATTGTTTCAAATATCAACTCAGCTCAAGGTTTATATACTCTCTATCCACCAGACCCCAGAAAGCAACATGGCCGCCGACATCCCAGGACAACCTCGAGACCTCCCCATCCTCCTAACCAAAGAAGCCGTGACGGGAGGCACCTACATCGTCACGGGCGCAAACACCGGACTAGGTTTCGAAGCCGCCAAACATCTCGTGCGTCTCGGTGCAGCCAAGGTAATCCTCGCAGTGCGCCGTCCCGCCAACGGCGAAACAGCCCGTGCGGAAATCGACGCTGCCACGGCGACCTCGGGGGTTGCAGAAGTCTGGGCTCTCGACCTGAGCAGGTACGACTCCGTCAAAGCATTTGCTGCGCGGGTCGAGAATGAGCTCGATCGGGTCGATGCTGTGATTGAGAACGCGGCCGTTGCGACTGGACAGAGGATTCTGGCCGAGGGCCATATCTTGCCTCTTACCGTGAATGTGTTCGGTACTTTCTTGTTAGCCATGTTGTTGCTGCCAAAGTTGAAGGAGAGTGCGGAGAAGTTTGGGATACTCCCACGGTTGTCGTTGATTACATCTGGTTCGGCGTTTGATGTCCGTGACCAGTGGGAAGCGATTCGGGATGATCCGTACAATAAGCTCGAAGCGGTTGGGGCGGAGAAGTTGATGGTTTCGTATGTTTCTCCATGAAGGCTCTACACTCACTGGTTGTCTTGATTCTGCTGACACGTCTTCCACATAGATATCCGATTTCCAAGCTCATGGATACTCTGATAACCCGGGAACTTGCCTCGTTACTCCCCGTTGAGAAAGGCAAAGTGGTGATCAATGCAAGCTGTCCGGGTCTTTGTATCACTGAGCTTGACCGTAACATGACCGGTACTTTCAGGGAAGAACTGGGCAAACTGCGTGAAGAGTCTGGACGAACCGCCGAGGAGGGTAGTAGGACGCTTCTTGCTGGTGTTGCCCTGGGTAAGGAGAGCCACGGGCGTTACCTGACACATTGCGAGATCAACGAGTAAGTTGCCTTTCCTTCATCTGCGCGTCTTGCGCTTGTACTGATAGGACTCTGCAGTGAGAGACTCCCCGAGTGGATGACCGATGCGGAGGCGCAGAAGGATCAGAGGCGCCTGTGGGACCTCCTCGTCAAGGAACTGGAGACTGCTGCTCCAGGATGTGTGCAGAAGGCTTTGGAAATGCAGTAGACACTGTCCCAATATAGCTCGAAGCCGTGTTAAGTAGCCGACTTAGAAGAATTGATCTGTTGCACCGGAAAATTTGAGTAGGATTTGTGTAGAGCAGAGCACTATACCCGCTCGATCATGAAGCGCATCTACCCACGGAAATCCAGTCAAGACCTTCTTTGCATCTTCCCAGGCATATAAGCCAAGGGTCCGCATTGTGGCCTGGGTCATCGGGTTGAGCCAGTCGTCTTCAGAGCACTTGAACACGGCTGCTGATCCAACGAAGAGCGACCACATTATCACGCGTTGCACCAGCTGACTTTGCTGCCCGGCATCCTTTGATGCAGAGAGCATCTTGATAGCAAGTCGCAGCCGACGTGACAGAAGCGGCTTGTCAAGGATGCGATGGTCCAATCCAGTCAGAAAGGTCACCAGGAACGCCAGAAGACCAAGTTGAATCACATTCTCAAGGTCACTCATGGCTGTGCCCAAAGCTTCGTCTAGTGGGTTCAGTTTCAGTATTCGATAACCGAGAAGCAGGATAGAGCAGTGGAAATCTACACCGTCCAGTTTTCGTCTACGACCAGCACTGGCGTCATTGAGCATTGCGCCGAGACGGCGCATGTCTGCGAAGACCGCCCATAGTTCGGTCCGAAGGGTCTGCTTCAAGAACGAGTCCAGCTCAGATCCATCACCCGAGTCGACTTGCTCTCCATTACCAACATATGGGAAACCCATTTCACAGAGGGCCTCGATTCCATCGTCACCAAAAAGCGTCTTCGAACCGAGTTGTAAAGCGTACTCCAGATCAGCCCTAAACCATTAGCACAACATCGCTGGGAGAAAAATAGGAAAAAATAGAAACTCTGGCAAGCTTACCTCAAAAGCTTTTGCGCAATTCCCCAACACTCCCTACTCAACTTCACGACTCCTCCACGTAATTGTGCCATCCTGTACAGTCCCTGGACATGAATAAACCCACGCATATACTGCCCTTGCAACCTGTCATACTGTGACATGACTATTAAGATGGCGATGGTCATATCAGACGTTGCTTCCTTGCCGTGGAGACGCTCCTGCACGATACGATAGGTATGTGCAATGTGGCGCATCCCCTGTGCCGTTTCGTCCACTCGGTTTTTCGAGCAGAGGATTGATGTGGCTACCGAACAGTGGAAGTCTACCACCAACAGATATCAGTACATTGAGATATGATGGGGACAATCTAGGGGAATACACACAAGCCTCGTCTTGGAAGAAATATCGCACCCAGAGCGATCGCATATTATCCGGATTGACTAACGCGCCATCGAGCTGGGGGTTATGTCGGATGTTGGTGAAGAAGAAAAGCGCTTCCAACCAGAACCAAAGTCAGTAACACTTGATCCGACGTAGCATCCCACGGAAACAGTCAGACAGACCTTCTCGGACAAGATATCTCGATTCCGGGTGCACTCGGATTGGGAATTCCAGACCATCATCAACGGGACGACCAATCTCAACAATCAGATCATCATCACCCTTATTTTGCTGATTCTCGCGGGTTTTGTGAAGACTTGTAGGAGCTTTGAACGGAGTACTAGCTGCGGGGTTTCTGAGAATATGGGCCTTTGGTGCGCGGACGAGGGTCCTGTTGGCGTTCTTCCCGGTCGCTGCGCGGCTTCGGATTCGCTTTCTCGACGCGCGATCAATTGGCGCGTTATTGTCGATAAATTCAAAGGGCATCGTTTCTCTTGCCTTTTGACATACGTAGTCGTGGTAATTTCAAAGTGGAGCTGGGGAAGTAAGAAGATCATCAGATGGGGATGTTGAGTCTTATAATGCTCGGAGATAACGGAATTTAGCGGGGACATCTAGACCACACTAGTGGGATATTGGTGTATATTGAATTAAAGATATAGACATATAGATAAGTAGAACTATATCATCAAGTCAGAAGACTACATGGGGCAGCCCGAAGATATTGACAGACTTTCCACCGATTAAGCATCCACCGTCTGGCCACTTTTGTCAACAGTGTGTGCATGTCTGCGACGAAGTCTTCCAGCCGCATCGTGCTCCGCATCCCACGCCGCAATCTCGTCATTAGACACCTTGACCATTTTATGGGATACCTCGCCATTATCATGGGTGATGATCGTCTGGCGGTATTTGTACTTTCCATAATGAGGCAGGACCTTCATCCACACGAAGTAGTAGACTCCGCAAAAAGCAAGGCTGGCAATCGTTAGTATGAAGCACATGTTCGAGAGGAGGAGAAGTGAGAGGACACGTACAGAGAGATACCGACAACAAGGTATGTGCCATACCAGAAGCTCACGTCGCCTCCAGTTGCGCCCTCTGTGGGTGGGTACCAGGGCGCAACGAGTAGGTAAAGGTTGGCCAGGATTGCAAAGTAGACAACGATATCCCAAGCGTGCCACTCCGTTCGGGGGATATTGAGGCGCTTTCGGTGTCTGCGGGTGAACAAGAGTCCGACGGCAAGAAGGAAGTTGAACAAGCTCTGCGGGTAGACGCCGAGATCGACAACTGCATTATATTGTTAGTGAGTAAGCCTTTAGGAGCTCGCAGCTTGCGTACCAAAATTGAACGCATCACCAGCGGGAGGAGCTAGAATCATGATAATGGTTAAAGACCATTTCAAGAAGTATGGGCCTAGTGGGGTTCCAAAAGGACGGGTCGAGGTCCAGAACCTAGTGAATGGAAGGACACCTTGCCTGTCGTTTATTAGTCGAAGCTCCAAGAGTCAGTTATCGAAGTACATACCGTCCACACTCACGGATCATCCGCGATTGCCCGATGAGTACGACAAGCAAGTTTCCAAAAGCGCTGACACAGATAAGGAAGTTCAATGCGCGAGAAGCTCCACCGGATCCAAACACCCTCTCGAAGAAAAGACTTGCGACGTTAACTTCGGAATCGATGATATCCTGCCTGCTAGCCGCAGCGAGGTATGCAATGTTCGCGAGCATGTAGAGGATACCCGTTGTAATAAGCGATGCGGGCGCGCTCCACTTGAGAGACTTGATAGGGTTCTTGACTTCGTTGACCAGATTGAAAGCGTTTTCGTATCCCTGGTAGGAGAACATGACGCTGATAAGAGCGGAAGTAGCTCCGTAAACTGATGCATTCTCAGTTCCATCAAAGGCATTTTGGAAATGCTCCTTGGGTTCCGGGACGCGTGAGACGTTGCCGCCGAGGACGACCAGTCCAGTGATTCCAATGCTATATTGGTCAGAGTGTGCCTCCACTATGCCTGCCTATGGGATACACTTACAAGATCAATGTAATGAGCTTGACGATTCCAATGGCGTTCGAGAGCAGTAAAGACCACTTTGTGGTGAAGGAGACGGCTTGAAGCCGTCCGTCAGCATATAAGCTATTTTTTGGGGCTTCCAGCACTAACCTAGTGTCGCGACTGTGTACGATGCAATTGCAACTCCCTTGAGTTGCCAGTCAGTAGGGGCTGACTGAGCGAGTCTGAACAAGTAATTGGCCAAGACTAGATAGCAGCATTAGTTAAAGCTCGTGCTAAGTGGGATGACGACGTACCGATAGCATTGCTACTGCTAAACGAGAAGACGACGGTCTGCACGGCGAACACAGTCGGGAAGAAGTATCTCGGGCGAGGATATGCCTGCTCCAGGTAGACAGCTTCCGAGCCAGACCGACTGGGAAAGTACGAGGCGAATTCGAGGTAGACGGAGAGCATGCTCGATGCGACAGCGAAGCCAATCACCCAGTAGAACAGGGCGAGACCAACAGAGCCGGTTCCATTCAGAACGGAGGATGCTAAAGCGACCGGAGAATGTCAGCTCATACCCCATTGGGTACGACAAGCAGGAAGGTTACGCACGTGTGGAAAAGATTCCAGTTCCAACCATCTTGCTGACATTGAGAAAGATCAAGGTGACGAACCCAGCCTGGTAGCCAAGGGGGGAGATAACCTCAATGGGCGCACCGCTGGCTTCCTGATAAGTCGGCAGAGAAGTATTCTGACCAGCTTCTGCTGTATACTTGTAGTCGCCGCCCTCAATAATGGTAGCGTCTGATTCAGAGCCGGTATCGTGCTGGGCCGCCGTGGTGTCGGCGGCCGGGGATTTCCAGAAGCTCAAGCTCATCTTGGAAAGGATCTTGGAAAGACGATCGATTGCCCTGCTCCAGAAGTTGCTGAGCGTGTTGCACCGCTATCAGACTACCCCGGGGGGATCGTCTTATATCCATCCCAACGCAGGCAGGGTTCTCATCGTCGTACGTTATGGCGTAATCCAGGCCGTCTCTCCTGGCGGTGCCAATGGCCAAAAGCAAGAAGCAGCAGATAACATATTATGCGCCGAGAGAAGGGACAATGTTACATTGGCCAAGTCTTTTGTCTCTGGTGATATTTCTTGGGTGCCAGCCCTTGGACTCGGTGGTCAATGATGGGGAGAGATTGCACAAGATCAGCATCCTATGGCGCACAAATGCCACCATCAACGTTGCAACCAACCACATCAGCAGTCTTTGTGCACCAGAACATATGAAGAAATCGTCGAATTGACCCTGAACCAGGAGCACTTTATCATACCTCGTATCTGCGGTTCGCTATTTAAGTCTATCTCGACTGACAGCTCTAGTAGCGCTGGCTCGGAGGATTTTGGCTCAGTCTGCGAATTGGGGGCCACAATTGTGAGCATCCTAGTCGCGTGGTTCGTGGTGCAATGCGGCCTAATATGAGATCTTCAGGCTTCAATCCTGCCGTGATTTAATTTCAGGAAGGCGAACTCATATAATATACGAAGCAACCTGCTAGTTCCCCGTTGTCTGCCCTATAGGCTATCTTGCATAGTTCTGCGCCACCCGATGAGCTAGATTGCAGTGCAGGTCAACGGTCAGACCCCAGAAGGCTGGGCCTTTCAAACGAGGATGCCGCCGGAAATTTCGCGAGGGCGTGGACCACGCGGAATCGCAGCAAGAGCCATGGATGCACAGTTGGAAAGTCGAGACTCACGCACTCAAAACCTCGGAATCTCTAGATTTGCATTCCCATAACACCCATGCGATTAAGTATATCTGTTCGAGAACCCAAAGATCAAGTAGAACATCGCAGCCGCAAAAGAACCCATCCGAACCCTAGAAAAATAAACCCCGAAAACCTATCAAAAATTTCATATCAAATGACCACTAGCTTTCCTCCTTCGGCTCTGTCGCATCGAGATCCATCGGGGTCGCCGAATTCTCCGCTAGAGCGTCTGCGCGTTCCCGTGAGACCTCTCTGAACTGGGATTCCTGATCACTTGGGTTGGGAGTATCTTTCTCCGCCCCCGACCCGTTTCCCTGCTGAATCCTGAAGGTGGATGTCATTTCCTCTTGTGACGGGGCCGGCGCTAACCGCGGCCATGTCGAGGACGTCCCGGCCGGCTCGGGTGTTGTACCGCCAGGCACATCATCGTCGTCGAGGTTAATGTTTGACTTGCGAGATCGCTTCACGCGGAGGGGACGTTCTTGCGGCTGAATCATGCAACAAACAATCAGCCGACGGACAACAAAAAAAAGAGCAATATTGCCCGGGTGTTGTCCGCGCTCTGTAGATAAACAAAACAAATCAGACAATGTTTCGCGGGACTCACTGTGGGAGGTTGCTCGTCCGAGCTCCCCTCGGTCTCATCCTCATAGTACCCCGACCCCGACCCGTTCCTTGTCGCAGCAACACCGTTCAAGCTTGACGTGTTGGAGACCAGAGCCGCAGCGCGGGCGCGCAATTCCGGGCTCGCCCCTGCTTGTTGGGCCTCGTCGGTCATTCCTGTGATGGTAGCGAGACGTTCGAGGAGGATGCAGGACTCTAGACGCATTTTCTGAATGTATTGCCAGCCACGCTGGTTGCGGACGCGCATGAGTTCATTTTCGGCTTCGATTTCGCTGAGGCGTTTCTTGAGTGCGATGCATTTGCGTTTGTAGGCGATTTCGACGCTCGGCGGGTTGGTGGAGGGTTGAGATGTTGATACTCTTGGCTCCATTGTGCTGTCTTGACGCGGAGTCGCGGTAAAATAAGAACTGAAGGTAGGTTGACAAGGGGTAAGCTTCTTGTCGGACTTGATGATCTAATTGGAGATGAAGAGGTCTAGAAGTAAGGAAGTCCCTGAGCTTAGGCCTGGATCGCCAAGGCCGTGAAGGCGGTCAACTCGGACTTCGTCTCCATCCCCAAACTGAGCTCCGTGTTCATCTACTCGTACACTTCCTCGGAGTTCATTCAGTTCATTACCATAATCTGTCTATCTATCTAATACATTAATGACCTGTCGTCGGCAGTCCCAGGAACACTTTGAAGGAGTCATAAATCAACCATTGGAACCCAGTCAATGTTCCCAGCATCACAATTCGCACAGGCAGTCCATTCCAAAGTCCCGAGAAGCCAATATTCCCATAAATCCGAGAAACAGCCTTCATCGCCGATTCGCCCGCTATTACAGTTAGCACGATATTACTCAAACAACGAGAAAGATGACATACCTTGTCGATCAGCATTCAACTTGGACACCAACACATCAGCCGGATGGCTGACAATCGCACAGAAAATGCCCGCAATGTACCCTCCTGCGAAACTAATACCCGTCTGCTGCAGCCCATTGTAGCTCTCCTTGGGCCCACCGAGCGTCTTATAGATAAGACTAACCGTCTCCTCGAACGTCGCAAACTTCGTCATCGTATACGGGATCTGCCTCGCCCACAGCGGATACAACCCCTTGTACAACCCCGCGACGCCCTCCTTCGCAACGATCTTACTCCACCCCTCGCGCAGTGTAGACGCGAACGGCGGTAATGTCGTTTGCATACGGACCTTGATTGCCTCCATGGGGCAGAGGGCGATGTCCGCGATGAACTCGGCAGAGGCACTCGCGCCGAGGAACACGGCGGTGCGGTTCATGTTAGGGAAGAGGTGGTCGCCGTACAGGTATTTGAAGTATTCGTAGAAGCCGTACTTTCCGGCGCCCTGCAGGGAGTAGCCGATGAAGGTCGGGGACCAGCCGAAAAAGATGCCGCGGACGCCTTCTTTGGAGATGATGGAGCGCCATGCGGACAGGTTGGAGGTGTAGATCTTGGGGTCGACTTGTCGTCGGCATTTTACGAGGTCCAGTGGTGTTACTGAGGTGTGTGTAGGGCCGCATGCTTCATATCATCACATATCAGCTTTGGATTCCACAGCAATCATCAAAGGTAAAGCAGCGTTATGCGCTTTAGGAGATACACACCGATAATCCCGCCCATCGTACACGCCCCGAAATACTTGAGCGAGTTGGGCTCAATCTTCCCAAGCGGGTATCTCTTCTCTTGCATCGCCGTCGCCATTGTGCATGTGTGTGTGTGTGCGTATCTGTTCGCCTGTCTATCTGTCTCTGCCTATCCTGCAGCACTCGAGCCAAATTCAGAGAAGTAAAAGCAAAAGCGAAAGATTAGGTATCTATCCAAAAGCCACACCGAAATCAAGACCGGACAGAGGAACGAATATATAACACAAAAATGTGGACCATCACAGATATGTCGTCAGCACCACTCATCACTGCACCAGCAGTGTCGTACCTGTCCAGCCCAGCCTCAATTCATGCGTTCATAACTGGAGCGTCCCTGGGGTGTGGCACAAACGTATGCGTTTCCCTGTTTCGCTCCACTCACTACTGATAAACTACCCAATGTAATCGACGTCGCGTGCCGATTCCCGAATTTTGATCCAGTAGCTAAGAAACGACCCTTATCATGTCTGAGTGCATAAAAGCTTATGCTGCGCTGAGTGTGCAATCTGGATGCGGGCGAACCTGGCGGGATGACGTCACATATCCGCCAGATGCCGTCGTATCCTTTGACTACATCTCTATCGGGAATATGGCGCATGGAGGATTTTACACTATGGTTGGGCTCGGGAAGGTGATGGGATGGCTGTGAATTTTCTCATTTTATGCTAATGGAGGATAGCTAGATATCTGGCGACCTGCTCGAGGTACTTCGAACGGTGCTACTATGTATTCAGCACGGGATGAGCGGGATCGAGGCATATATTCTGTATGTCTTTCGAGAGCAACATTCATATACAGGGATAAATTGACTATAGACAGAAAAATAGATATACAAACTCCATGAGACACCTATTCCAAGCCCCAACAAAACCAAGCGCGCACTCCAGTCAAGATCAAACCAACCCATATGGAAGCTATAGATATATCACATGCTTAATATAACAGCGAAGGGCAATGGAAACAACACCAAATAAAGTGTGTACTCATGAGCCTTCGCTCGCAACTGTACCGGCAACGCTAATCCCAATCCCAACAGACACCCTCCGCGCGTCCGCATTCTTCGCGAGAACAGATGCAAGTCGGATCCCCAGATCGGAACCGATCCTTGCAAGGCAATTCCGAAGCTGATCCGCCTGTTCCGGTGTCGCTAAGCCAGAAGAGAGGATATACCAGAGCGGCCAGATCATACTATACACCGAGAACGCGCGAGCGCGCGGTTTCGCCTCGGATGAGGAAGAGGAGAAGGATGAGGGGGCAGTCGTGGGATTGCCCATGATGTCAACGTCGCCGACACAGAAGGGGATACTACGGCAGATGTCGGCGATTTGCCTTTGGATGGTTGAGGGGGTTGTTGAGGATGAGAGGTCGTCGTTGTCGAAGACGTTGGAGTCGCCCGTCGCAAGGGCGAGGGTGCGGCGGAGTTCGGCGGTTATGAGGTGGGAGACTATCCGGACGGCGCGGTAGTAGGTCCAGACGGAGGCGATGGAGAGGTGGTGGTAGGTGATTAGGGGATCGCGGGTGGTGTTTTTATCGGCGTAGATGACAAGGGGGAGCCAGGATTCGGGCAGGTCTTGGCTCCAGGAGGTGAGTTCGAGTTCGATTTGGCGGCATGTGAGGAGGAGGAGGCTTAATTGAGAGGCTCCGTCTGGAGGGAAGGAGGCGGGAGTTGAGCCTGCTGCTGAGGCTTGGAGGGAGGACGTTGCGAGGAATAGCTGGCTGAGCTTGGACGCTACAAGGATGAGTCGTGCGATTGGGTCTGTACTGTTTAGGCTCTCCGCTATCCAGTCTGTATCATAGCGTGGTCTCTCGCGGAGGACTAAGATCTCGACGTGCTAGAATGGGTTAGGATCCACGAGGGGCAGTACGGCTTGAACTGATACTCACGGTATGTGTGTATGCGAAATGGAACAAGTCCCTCCCCTGCGCATGACCAAGCTGCCCTTGCCCACGAAGCTTCATGAGCAGCTCAAAGCCCGCCGAATGAGAGCTTGCAAGCCCATTCCGTTCCCCAGTGATATCCTCAAACAGCGCAAGCAAGACCATAGTCGTAAGAGTCTCGTCCTTGACAGCCTGCGTCTGCGTAGCCAGAGCTTGCCTCAACCCACGCAACGCATGCCCATAGTACTCTCTAGCACGCAAAGCAAGCGAAGGCGCATTGACATCGTTGGTCAGTGCCATCAACGCCGTCGCATCAACGGCATGGCGCAGACAGCTAGCCGTCAGACTGTCAGGCTCATTATCTCGACAGAAAGCATACAACGACGGCAAGAAGGACAGATGGCTTATTGCCTGATTATCGTCTTCTGCGACAGAGGTATACTGGTCGAAGAAATAGCAGACAGCGCGCTCCTCCCAGGTAGAGTCGGCGACATGATACAGGCTTAGTGATGGGGTTGTCGAGTCTCGTCGGCGTCCCCGATAACCGCCGAGAGGGACGCCGTTGGTCTTTTTGACAAGTTGTTCAACCTTGGACGTTTCGTTCCTGAAGATAGACTCGAGTCTGTACCCCGGACACGGCCGTCCGTAGGTGCGGCAGTTGCCACACTCGGGAAGCGCTTCGTCGCACTGTAATCATTATTAGTCCCTGAACGTCTTACGCAGGAAACAACGGAAACAAGGAAGGAAAATAGGAAGCCAATAGAATATATTTCGGGCTTCCCGGAGAAAAGAAAAGCTGCATGAAACCCGAGAGATCTGTCCTACCTTGATCTTGCGCTTGCGGCACAGAAAACAACCCCGGCTGCGCCCGCAGTATACCATGGCTTATGAACGTGGGGGTAGATTGTGTTCAGCTCCGGTTGGGAGTCTGCTATCCGAGCATGGAGTCCGTTTAATCAAAACTAATTAGGTGTTTCCCGCCACGATCGGGAAACTTGAGGTGTCAGTCTCGAATCCTGCCAGTTGGCAATCGGGACATGATGAATCTCGCTGCCTGGAACGAGGTCCCGCCCTCAAGGGGGTACTGTTCATGCAAAAGGCCGAGTACCCTCGCACAAGAGATACACAACCTTGGGATACAAATCCAGCTGATAGGTGCCTGAGGTTCCACGGTCGACGGAGTAATTAACATGCTCGCGGCAGTCACTCCGCATTTGAGAATCAAGCGGAGAGCGCCGCTAACTTGCAAAAGACTAGCCCAAGTCCAGTCAGCTGACGAATGATATCGCCAACAAGCTTGATTACAAGAGCTCAAGATCGAGACCTGACAATGTATATAACTTTTCGCTAGAATAAATCACCTCCCGAGGCGCAACCTAACACTTTGTCCTCAAATACAAACAAACATTCTCGTCAGATTTCAGTTGGTATCAAGTCAGTGTGACCGCCAATTCCTATATAAGTAACTCCACGCAGTTCCGGGAACAAAAGATATCGCCAAAGACCAGAACACCCAGAATGCAAATGCTAACCAGTGAATCGACCGAATGCCCTGACCCGCCAGTGGTGCAAGCTTGGGAATCTTATCGCAGCAGGAAACCGAGGCAACAACGCTGAAGTTGCAAAGCAAGAAGAAGCTAGATGGTTGTGATATGAAACTGTCCAACGATCTATAACGGGGCATCCACCATGGGCTGGTCAACGTCGGGCGTCTGTGAGACGGTTGGGGACAGCAGTCGTCGCGGTAGGTCGTTTTCTGTAACTGGGGGAGGCTCCGAAATGCTAGACGATACTCCAAATGCCATGGCATCTTGTTCAAACTCTTCTTGTGGCGGCGAGAAGCTCCAAACCTTAAACAAGGTTAGAGGGCGCGTAATCAATACTCGGACAGGGAACTCACCTCCATAACCGTCCGACCATTCCTGCTAGCCATGATCACTGCCTTTTCCTCCTCGAACGTGACTCTCCAGACCGTATCTGAAGGAGTCGACAATTCTCGCAGGAGCTGCCCTGTCTGAAGACTCCACACTTTGACGCGACCATCACTGCCACCACTGACGATTCGGCTGTTGTCAAACTGGAGGCTAGTCACGCTGTTATCGTGAGCCGCTAGGCGGTGTATAGGGCCCATGTTGTTCAATGACCAGACACGAACAGACCCATCCGAACCACCAGTGACAAGGGTATCACCACTCATCTGCAGTTGCCCAACTAGCGAGGTATGCCCCTGGAGAATAGCATGACACTGACCAGTGTTTGGATCCCATATCCGGACGCTGGTGTCGAGACTGCCAGTGGCGATTCGGTTGCCATCAAAGGCTATCGCGTAGATCTGACTGAAATGTCCTGACAAGGCACGTATAAACCGGCCTTCTGATATACTCCAGATACGAGCAGTAGTATCGTAGCTTCCCGAGACGACGGTATCCCCGTGGACAGCGAGGCATCTGACACTGGCCTGGTGACCGACCAAAACAGAACGGCATGTACCGGTCTTTAGATCCCAAACCCGAAGCGTAGTATCCCTGGACCCTGAGATAGCTGTATCTTTATCTGACATCTTCAAGCAACGCACGGTCGACGTATGGCCACGTAATAAATATACGCACTCTCTGTAAGATCATCAGTAAGCGAATTAATCATCTGGAGTGCCCAGCCTACCCAGTAGCCATGTTCCATACTCTCACTTCTCGATCGCACCCACCGCTAACAAGAATGTCATCCCAGGGTACCATAGCCCATACCCCCATCACATGTCCTTGGAGGGTTTTCTGATTTTCCCCGTTGGTGTCATACACGTGGATCTTCGCGTTGTCCAGTGACGCCACAATGTATTTCGGGGTCAAATGTAAACTGGTTACTACGCCCTGATCCGGGGAGATATGTCGCTGGGCACATCTGCCACCCTTGATCCACGCAGACTCTATCATGTACTTTTGCTTGAAATGATACTTATAAGAGAGAAAACGAGTTCGTCGCTTCTTTGCCTGGAGAGTCGAGGAAGAGCTCCAGTCCCCGGACAATGACCGTGAAAAGTCCGCAAAGCCATCGCGAGACTGAGCTGTGGCGCTAAATCTCCGTTGTAACCCGGCCAAAGTGTGTGTACGGTGATTGTGGATGGGCTCGATAAAGTCCTGATCTTCGTCTGGAGGTTGCCGATGGGCGTAGGCATGTTTGTCACAGAGGTTCTTCCAAGTTATATCGTCATTTAACAGCTCGTGCCACCGCCTGGATACTTGCGACGCTCTCGCCAACGTTTTCGGGTCATCGACGAAAGAAAGGACCTGAAGAAAGAAGCGCAGAGTTAGTATTTGCGCGATCGAAAGCCTCAAGATCATTTCCCAACTCACCCTTAGCGAGATTTCGGTAGGGAACTCTGTAAAGGGGTCCTTTCTCAGACGCGGTGTGACATAGCTCGAAACAAAGCTGAGCTGCTGACTATTGCATTGACTGAGGATCGCTTCAAGAAACTGCTGCCTCTTAGGTCCTGACAGCGACTCAAACCGTATCCTAGCGTTCAACAGCAGCTCATCCTCATCTTCACCAGACCACCGCCAGGTTGTCGGTCGCTGATGGGGAGTAGGGCTAGGAGCTGGGGTCGGCGGAGATGCAGGCGCCGAGGGGAGGAGGCTGGGAGGATGGGAGGTGGGAGGTTTATCGGAGGTGATCGACTTTGAATGCGAGCCCATTCCGCTGGTCACCGGAGGATCGGGTGTCTGACGAATGCCCATGAAATGTAGCGCGATGAATAGAAAGGCGTGTCATCCAGTGAGGTACTCCCGCAAGCTCCACGGTGAATGCCGCAATGTCCAGGTCTCTGAGAATCCGCACGGTTCATGAATATCAAGAACAAGAGCGTAGCGATAGAAGCGGTCGGGGTCGGGGTTGGTGAAAGAAGAAAGCGCGTTCGTAAAGGAGGAGAGGAGAGTGGATAGACGCCGAGAGGTCTGGCGGAAGGTTTCAGCTGGTGCGCGATAGTCGGAGAATATAAAATAGGGGCAGGAGAGACCGACCGCTGGCGAAAGAGGAGCAAGAGGAGGAACGGGAGATAGCACAAAGGTGACAGTAAAGGTGAGAGGGGTGAGAAGAAGCAAAGGCGCCGAAGCAATAAAGGAAGAAGGAATTATGGCAGTTGCAGTGAAGCCCACGAGGAACAGCAGCGGACGCAGCAGAAGCGCAGACTTGATTTCAAAGAGTCTCGATCAAGCAACTTTCCAAGTCAGGTGCAGCCATCGACCGTTTAGGCTGGAGGTGGAGCGCTCGTGCCACTCCTGATTAGCCGCCCGCGCCGATCCACTTGTCTCGTCCGGTCCATGACCAGCTAGGTACTGCAGTGTGACAACAAGGGCACTCGAGATGAGCTTGAGCTCAGGTCGAGTATACAACTCTGTTGTTGTTATTGCTGTTGCTGTCGACGATGGCTGTGCCCCGGAGAGGTTATCTAACCTCGGCCTACAGCTTTGCATAAACCTTGATCTTGAACATTCCAGGCCGATACCGAACCGGAACCCCAACACTGGCTAAAGTTACCGAATGATTTCATCACCGCAGCCTGAGGTCGCAACGTTCCAACTTTCAAGTACACAGCGCTTAACGCCCGACCTGGATTGAGCCAGCGCGTAGCCAAGTCTTGGCACCTCTAGAGATATACGAGACCGAGCTCAACGCAATGCGCGACAAGATGCCATCCTTTCTTCAGATTATACCTGGGCAGCTAAGGATGCTATTAGCTCAATAATCACGGACAATAGGGAACAGCCTGAGATAAAAGGGTCAACAAACGCATCGTCCAAACAAGGCACGTCTTATCAATCCACTGCCTCGGTTCATTGTCCCTTTGACGCTGTTCAGCAATGAATGCCCCCAAGCAAGAAGACCCTTGTCCTATATACCTCCCGGATATCTCGGCCTCGGAATTACCAGAGATGGTCATCCCATCAAATAACCCTAAGCCCAGGACCCAACACCCCAGATCCGGACAATCCTCGCCCCCCAAGACTCAAACTATAGAGAGATCACCCTATAGCAAGCACCCACAACCCCTCTTATCACCAATCCCAGGCTGATCTTTGTCCTGTCAAGCTTTTGTGTAACCGCGTCTTTGTCACCCCCCCCCCCCCAGCAGGAAATGCCACCCTAGGCCGCGCTACTCTGCAGTGTTTATGCAGGCATGGACTAAGCGCGATGAAAGATCAGCGTGTAGAGTTGATGTCCTCAATAACCCTCAATAGAGGCTCAGAGTCTTTTCAATAAGACCTCAATAGTGATGGGTTTGGCCATGTACAGGGCTGCCATAAAGGGTGTGTTGATGTGCGTCTATGAGAGCCGGATCTGGAAGTTTCAGCTCCCTTTGTATATATGTGTTCTGGGGTTGGGATGGGAGACGAGGGTTGAGAGGGAAGAGGCTGCTGGGCATAAATGGGACAGAGATCTCTGCTACGACGATGGTTGTGCTGGGATTGTTTTCAACATACTCTTTACAAACTGTTACTTCTTCTGACAACTGATACTACTTGAAATATCAAACCAAACAAGCCCCACACCATGAAGTCCGCTACTATCCTTGCCCTCTTCACCCTCCTCACTCCCATGGCCCTCGCCTTGGAGCCCATATACCACCACCTGAACCCCCTCTCCTCTGGCTACCTGGAAGGCCTCAAGACCACCGAATTCGACGGCATAGAAGGCTACAACACCACCGAACTCGAATGGGAAATCGAAGTCGACCCCCGCACCGGCAAGACGATTGTCGCCCGGGGCACCGTCGAGCAAATCCGCGAGGAAGCCCTCAAGCACAACCCGCACTGGGACGCGCACTATATCGAGCCGGCAAGGCAGAGGATGAAGCGAGCATTGGAGACGGGTTCATACGACGAGCTCGAGGCTCGCTTTCGCTCCGCCGACTCTGAACTCGAATCCGACTCCGAGTCGGGATCTCACCTCGCCAAGCGAAAGATATTCAACCTCGCGGCGCTCGACTGCGGTGGCCGCTGGAAAGAAGTCAACTGGGACACGGCGCTACGTAACACTGTGTACCTCAGCGGCTTGAAGGGGTACCCGAAGCGCGGGGCTGGTCCAGGCAATTGTGGGCGGGTGAGCTGTTCGTACAATACCGCTATCTGGTGGTGCAATGATGAGCCCTTCACCAAGACTCTCATGGGCTACGACCGTATCTACCATGGTGCGTTGGAAATCGTCAGCCCGTGCAGCCACACGCCATTCGGTGGTAGCCGAAAGACGAGTGGGCAGGCGTTTCCCACTGGGGGCTGGAATGTCATCGTTCGGAAGGACAAATGCTAGGCCGGATGAGGGTTATGATTTGCTATTTTGTTGATCAAATGAACTGGAGCGTCGGGATCGAGAGGTAATGACTTGAATTGTCTCAGAATGAATCTATGGCCCTTTATGATCCTTCCGATCTAACAGTAATGAATACAAAGCTGCCGTCAACTCGGCTTTTGAATGAAATAACAAGTGTCAACATGCAGGAGATACTTTACTGATACAATGATCCTCAGATGTCCCAAGTTAATCCAATCTATAAGGCATGAGTAAGGACAGTACAAAAGTAATTCACAAGAAGCGAAGGCCCATGCTCAGTGGGCGTGTCCGATTTGGAGGAAGAGTGGCAAGATCATGCCAATCACAGAAGCAACGAGGTCTCTCATGGACTTGTCACTTTTTAGCGACATATCTCTCGAGTCGTAACCATTGGCTGGCGAGTCATGTGACGACGAGCTTGCATTGTTCTCCTGCATGGTGTGCATAGCGACATACCTACTTTTGTTAGCCCCTGCATGGCTTAGATAGAGGGAGAGCTTACAGAAATGTCCCGGCGGAGAACAGTAAAAGGACACCCGTGCGCCAATGCGCGCTCGTCTCGTCTGTGGAGCCAGAGCCCAGCAATTGTACGAAAAGAAAAGTTATCAGAGCCCCAACAGGAGCAGCCAGGCTAAAGACCAATAGATGAGCCCTAGCTGCACGACTAGATAAACCTTGCCGGAGCAGAATTGACGTCAGGCCAAAAGAAGCCGGGGCCTTGTGCACCATAATCGCGAGGAAAATGATAAAACTCAATCCTGTATCCGATGTAGATGCTCCGAGCGCAATCCCATCAGCTGCTGCATGAATCACTAAGCCAGTAGTGGTAGCAAAGCTGTGGCTGCTTCGAGGGCTGTTGGCTGCATCCAAAAGCCCGCCATCCCGCGCGGGTGAGGAATTTCGCCGTAGTCCAGAGCCTAGGTTGTCCAGGGAAATATGGTAAGGAGGCTTCTGTTGCTTTGCCGGAGCGGCAAATTCAGGCATCTTGTCGATGAGGTACATCAGGATAAAGCCGCTGATGAGGGCAATGCCAATCCAAGCATGCGGAGAGCTCTCTTCGCTGTGCTCATGTTCCGAGTGGTCATCTGAAGTGTCCCTTTTTGTTCCCTCCCCGGAATGGGCATCCCGCGTGACATGGATCGCCGGAGCGTCGGCGGTCGGGTACAGTGATTCATCCCAAGGTTTTACATCTTCGTTCAGGTCAGAAAATGTTGCTGCGACGGTAGGTATGGTCGCTCGTTCGTGCAAAGGTGCAACAACCACGGAGCGGCTGTTGACACTCTTTCGCTGAATTGTGACAGCATCGTATAAAGTCTCGACTCCTTCAGGTATAATAACAATCAAAGATGTGCCGACCAGTACTCCCATGCCCAGGGACGATATCAGTCGCAATTGTGAGGGCGAAAGTTTGAATGCTAATGGCAGTGAACCTACGACGAAGGATCTAGAGAATCCAGCCGTTAGCCAACGTTCAGCAGAGTATGGTCCTGAAGACATGGTTAACCCACGTAATTGTCATCACAGCGCTCAGAACGAGCAGTGTGAAAAGTCCCTCCATGGTCGCCCTGTAATCCCGAAGCTCGTTCCCGATTTAAAGGACTTGGACCATGGTGTCAATTGGACGAGTTTTACTAACAGTCAGCCTTGACTGATAACTATTTCAAGTTCCGAGTTCGCCTTCGGTAGGGTAATAGCGCTGCGGAGAATGTATCTCGTTGGAATCCGTCGAAAGCAATTCGCCGACAGACACGAAGTTCAGGGATGGAGCTGGAAACGTGGCGTGGAGGAGAACGGTCGGAGCGGGAAAAAAGGCACCCTTCGTCTTCAAGGTACCTTACCCAGCAATTCACCAGCGCAATTGAGAGAGCCGGTGGTCTTGGAAGTGGATTTCGGGAGAACTGATTTGCTGTAGAAGGATTGAGGAGCAATGACCTGGGCGATGTCACTACCTGTGGGACTGGACCTGACTCGTGTTATTAATAGATTGGCCCTATAGGGAATCTGTTGGCTGCTGCTTTAACGGCCTGAGATGCTTGGCGCCTCTCCAGACCTTTGACGACCAACCGAGGGGCACAAGGAAGGAACGACCATTGCCCCAGTCAACCGTTCCTTCCTGTTCCGTACTAGGTAGGTGCGCTTCTTGGTCGCGCCTTCCTTGCCGCTCGGCTGGGTACAAAAGGAAGGAACGACCAACACCATGACCGGTCGCTGTGCCTATATCGTACTAGGAAGGTGCGTGCCTCGGTCGCTCCTTCCTTGCGCAGTGAGCGAAGCATAAACGGAAGGAACGACCCGTGCCTTCGCAGCTCGCTCTTTCCTTTTATAGTTTGGGAAAGTGCACCCCAAGGTCGCTCCTTCCTCGCGGTAGAATTTGGTATATAAGGAAGGCACGACTGCGTCCTGGGGTTCTGTTCGCCCCTTCCTATTCTGGTAAAGGAAGGTGCACCTCATGTCTACTCTCAATCACGCCTTTCTCACGGTCCTCAATTAACCATACAGGGCATGTCCAGGCCGGAAATACTATTTGATCTTACCACTTGACTAACAATACCTCCAAGGCACTGATGATAAACACTACTACAGGGCCTGAAGAATAATAATATGATATTCTTATCGTCTTCCAAGCCTAATGTCTAAGAACACTGTCGCGTAACTATTGGACGAGGTCCAGATTCTCCCGAATGACCTCCATCTGTTATGACGATGAAGTGGAATATGTTTTGACATATATAAAGATGCAGAACTTAGAGCCCAAGCTACGGAGTACTGGCGCCGACTTCGAAGGCTTCCGTAGTGGTTCGTATGACGAGTATAGTTACAACCTAGTAGCACCAGGGCCAGCGTGGGCCAGGCACCTTGACTTGTTCATCAGTTACCCCGGTATCCGTATGACTTTAAGGCAGACACAGGAATAAGATCCCTCCGTCCAAAAAGTTTGACCAAAGAAAGAACCCATTCCTGATGGAGTTGCAGCGTGGAAGCCATGTCTTGGCGCCAGGTACCACGATCTACAAGTACCCCACACTAGCCTCAAATTTTCATTTTCCTCCCCTCTTCTCCCCGCACGCACCGCACCGCATCGCTCTCTCAATGGACACTCACCCAGACACAGACTCAAGAAACAACCTTACCGAACTCCCCATATCGCCCTCAGGAATCCTCTGGCAAAATGACTTCATAACCCCCGACCACGAGCAACGCCTGATATCCATCTTCCAAACTGAACTGACTTGGCCTGAGCGCAACGGCCGCCTCTCATTACACTATGGCTACACCTTCGACTATAAAACCTTCGGTATAGACCCCGACATCCCCTACAAGGAGTTCCCCGAATGGCTTCAACCGCTCATACCCACTTCCGAGTCTCGCCCACCGGACCAAGTCTGTCTACAGTACTACCCGCCCGGTGCGGGGATCCCGCCACACGTGGATTCGCACCGGGCATGGGATCAGCTCTATGCGCTTTCCCTGGGTGCACCGGTACTTATGGCGCTAAAGAAGGGGAAGGGGAAAGCGAAGGAGGAACAACAACGGGCTGAAATCGATCTGCTGCCGAGGAGTATGATGAAGTTGGGTGGGGAGGTGAGGTTGCACTGGACGCATGGGATCGCGAAGCGCAAGACTGATACACTGCCTGATGGGTCTGTGAGGATACGGAAAGATCGGTGGAGTATTACGTATCGTTGGGCGAGGGAGGGGGAGTGTGAGTGTGGGGATACAGAGTTGTGTGATACTGCACAGGCGAGACTGGGGACTGAGAAGGAGAAGAGGTCGGTGCTGGCGGCTGCAGCTGGAGCTGAAAGTGATCTTAAAAGTGGCAGTGAGAGTCCCAGTGGATTTCAGGCTCAAGAAGCAGCGGAATATGGCCGATGACCCTCACTGAGGTATTATACACCCTTCCACTAATATCAACAACCACCAAACTAGCGATGTCTATCAGTGCATAACTAGATAGACAGTGGATCAGTGCGCCCAGTTCCCGGGAATAATCTAGGAGCGGGTGACTTTGATGATGAAACGGCAGATATGTGGATATGGGGTAACAACTTCACCAGTCGACTAAAAAGGTGCCATGACCCCAGTCTAGTGACTGATGTTGTATTATTGCTCAGATTTCCGGCTGACATGGGGTCTTATTATCGACCAGAGGAGTGAATACACAGCAGCGCACCAAAAGGCTATGAAGAAAGGCTGGTCGACGTGGTAAATAAAGATAGACCACAGCGTATACTCCATAGATTCACATGTGTCGATCCCTTATTTGCAAGATAGTATCGTAGCTTATATAACTAGCACATGCACTCTTGCTCATTGCCCATACCTCCTCTCCTGAGCTCTGATAAAATCTTTCAACCGCTCCTCCTTCTCCCAAACCCCCTCCTTCGTCAACGTCCCATACGCCTCATCCGTCTGCCGAATAACCTTCTCCTTCCACTCCGTCCTCTCGCTCCCCAACACATTAACATCCCCCAGCCCACCCCAAACCTCCTGCATAGTGCCTCCCAACTTCTCTAAAAACGCCTTTATACCACCCTCCCCACCCCCCTGCTGATAACTCTCAAACACCCCGTTCCCCGCCCACCGCGGCCCCAAACTCGCCATAAGAACAGTATCAAGGTCCTTCACCGACACGACATCCTCCTGAACAAGATAACACGCTTCGCGCAGCAGAGCAAAAGCAAGTCTATTCCCAACAAAGCCCGGAATCTCCTTCTGGATGACGACGGGGCGGTGCCGCGACTCACCTGGCGGGAGAGAGAAGTACTCGCGCGCGAACTCGACGCGGGAGGGCGCCGTCGTGGAACTCGGCACAATCTCAAGGAGTGGCATGATGTGCGGCGGATTGAAAGGATGAACGACTAGTAACCGGGTTTTATCGAGCATGTCCTCCTGTTGCGCCGAGGCCGCAATGCCGGATGTACTCGTCCAGAAGTGCGCGGACGTCGGCGCGAGGGACTCGACCTGCGCCCAGATTGAGCGCTTGAAGGCGAGGTTCTCGGGGCCTTGTTCTTGGATTATTGTTGCAGAAGCGCAGGCTGATGCGAGGGTTAAGTGGATGTGGAGACGGCCGGTGGTGAGGAGGGTGGTAATCGCTGAGGATTGGGGGTGGGTTGAGTTGGAGTCATGGCTGGTGTCGTGGAGGAAGTTCGGGAGCGTTTTGAGGAGGTACTCTTGGATATCTGGTCTGGTGTCGAAAACGTCTACTATTGTGTTGTCCCGGGCCAAATGGAGGGCGGCCATGGACATGCCAATTGTGCCGAGGCCAATTAGGGTTATTCTTTGGGGCTCGCTGGCGGACATTGTGGTGTGTCTAGAGTAGATATGATAGAGAAGTTGATTTCATAGAGATGATTACAGCAAGTGGAGCAGAGGAGGAGAAAGTAAATGCAGAAATCACAACCAAGTCACCTCGCTTTTGTTCCCCGCATCGGACAATCTCCAGCGTATCTACCCCACTACCACTGGTTCGCTGGTAGTCCCGTCATTTAAGATGCCGAGGCATTTCTCGACTGGGATCCATAAGATGAGGCTGCATGGGCAAATTTTAAACAGATATGTTAAAATACTTTTACATATGATCAATCCAAGCCCCGCGGGCCCTGCTACTTCTATCCCCTGTCTATTAGTTGAAGAATGTGCCTATAGACTTGAGCCAGCCTACAACATTACTTCGCTCGCTAGAGATCGGACGCCCTGGCAGTAATTCCAATCAATCTTTCTTTACTCTAAGATAGAGGAGCATGTGCCTACTTTTGCCTAAGAGAAAGCATAAAATCAGTACTATGTGGAGATTTCAACCCTGCATGAGCTGGGCAAGACACGTAGGTGGGGTTTTGAGGGAGTTTGTGTGATGAAAAGGTTTGAGGACACTATACCGACCTCAAACTATAGATGGCTCTATCCAGATCAAGTCCCCTTGGGCGTAGTTATTGATTTAGGTTGCCTTAATTTTGCTGTCCAAGCTATAGAATGGCTTGATATCATGCACCATAGTAGTAAAGCTGGCCGAAGTGCCTAGCCAAAGAAGAACAGCAGTGTGGTAGCCTCTTTTGCGCCAAGAATTGGCGACGAAGAACTATAAATCTCTAATCTCTAGGTATGACTGATAAATCTGCTTGTGCAGAGAAGGAGTATACGGCGTAAGATGGGGGCTTTTTGGAGCTCAAAAGAGGCTAGTCCTAAAAAGGTTATAACGTTCCGCGCAACGCGACGCGAACGACGATGAAGCAAGAGCTTCAAAGACTCCTCTTGACACTTTCTCTCCACCAACAGTTGAAACATCCCAGCTGACAAAACCTCACCATGTCGGCTGACAGCGAATGTAAATCTCTCGCGTTCCCTCCGTCTCATTGTCGAATTTAAACTAACAACGATCGCTGCAACAGGGTCTTGCGACGCCAACGACGCCGTCCAGATTACCATCGTCCAGCCTGATCAGCAAAAACCCAAGACGCTTTCTAGCTTTCATCCTCAATTCACATACCCCATTTTCGGCGATGAGGAGCGCATATTCGGTTACAAGGGCTTGATTATCCGACTGCGTTTCGCCGCTCATAACCTCCGTCCTCATGTCCATGTTTCCTACGACGAGAAATTCACGGCTGTCGACGATGCTGCGCCTCTTGATGTAGTCAAGACGCTGAGAGAGTTTCTTCCTGGAGGTGCGCTTTTTTTACAATCATAATCGCCGCGATTAATGGTGGAGCTGTCTAACACATTTGCGATCCAGAGGCTTTTTCGACCCTACCTGAGTTCGAGAAGGCGGTGCAGGAGGAAGACGCGAAAGACTTTGTGCCACCAGGAAAGGTGGTGCATAGCTACTCTCTCCGCGGAAGAAACTATGAGATTTATGCGGCATCTCTTGTGGACCCTCAAGTGCAGCTGTTGCTGAACCGGTTCCAGATTATGGTTTCGTTTTACATTGAAGCTGGGATGCCTCTTACTACAGATGATCCCGACTGGACACTGGAGCGCTGGACGGTATACTTTATGTACGCATTACTGCATCACTGTGTGGTGTACTCGAACTGACGAAAGTAGTTACGAAAAAGTCGAGCCTCCCACCCCGACGGCCTCGCAGTATTCGATTGTCGGATACGCGACCACCTACAAATGGTGGTTCTACAAGATCAACGGCTCCGAGAAGCCTACTCCAAAAGACACCCCTTTCCCTGCACCAGAACTCGTCCGTCCTGGAGAGCTCCCGTCGCGACTGCGCATCGCCCAGTTCTTGATCATCCCCCCTCACCAGGGCACCGGACACGGCATCAACCTCTACAACACAATCCACACAGCATGCTTCAACGACCCAACAATAGTCGAGTTGACAGTCGAAGACCCGAACGAATCCTTCGACGTCCTCCGCGACTCGGCCGATTACCACATCCTCCGCCCCGAATTCCTCAAGCACAACCTGAACATCAACCCCGACCCCTGGAGCGAAACCTCCAAGAAGACCCGACGCGTCCCTACCTCCGCCTTGCTCCCCTTAAAACTCCTCAACGAAATTCGCACAAAATACAAGATCGCCCCGACGCAATTTGCACATATCCAGGAAATGTTCCTCCTTGGCCAGATCGGGGTCAAACATCGCAGAAAGGGCGGGGCAAACATGTCGCGCCTGCTCATCAAGAAGCACAGAGCCGACGACCCAGATGACCGCCGCTACTACTGGTGGCGTATGCTCACTAAACAGCGCCTCTATAAGCGTTCCAGGGACATGCTCATCCAGATGAAGATGAGCGAGCGCCACCATGCCCTCGAAGAGACCGTCACAAATGTGGAGGAAGGATACGAGCAGCTCCTCGGTTTCTTCGAGGAGCGCGAGGAGAAACTCAAGGCTTTGCAGGAGGAAGACGAAGTATCGAATAACAGAGATCAGCGCACGAAGCGGAAATTCACTGTCGACGATGATGAGGAGGAGGACTCGGAGGAAGGCTCTCTTGCGGCGAAGCGGCCAAAGGCGTAACTTGATTATTGGTTGAACTTGATGCCTCTCTTATCTACCTCCATGCTCTCTGGATTCGAGCCGCTACGCAATGTACTATTATTGAAAATGGCCCTATAGATAACTTGACCGGCACTTTCAATGGCAATTTCGCTTCCTAATGAAGTAAACCAACCCATTTCAAGATAGACACACCAACTCCTACCCGATCAATACCCTCTATATCAAAAACCACCCAAGCCAAGCAAGCGCCAAACCATACCATAAGCCCAAACTCCGAATCAAGCCACCCCCCTCTCCCCCCCACCAACCCCCACCCAACCCTGTGTCCCAGTCACGCATGATAACTAGGCGGCGGGGTCTCCGAAAGCAACGTATCCAGCGTCAGACAAGACTCGGAGGGCGCAATACCCTCCACACCATCTACATCTACATCCGTCTCGGTCTCCGTATCCGGTATACTCATCGTCACCGTCCGAAGCGAGACAACCGTTGACAGACCCGCTGTCGATGATGCCGCGCGACTCCGTCTCCCAATACGGCTTGCGTCTCTTCTGCGGTTTCGTCCCATATCTGGACCTACATCTGCATCTGGGTCTTGAAGGGGATACCCACTCTCCAGGTCCCTCTCCCGGTTCGGAGGGACGCGGATGAGATCGCCGACGTATTCGAGGGCTTGGCGGAAGGTGAGGATTTCGGTGGCTAGGATGTTGGTGTTGGTGCTGCCGCTGGTTTCGCCATCCCTAGGTCGGCCTCGTAGTTGCGGGTACGGATGCCGAGTTCGACTCTCACCTAGAGCTCCGCTATCTCTGTCGACGTCTCCCGATATGGGTGATAGGTCGTGGACTTGAGCGTAGTTTGTTGTCGTCGCAGAGTCTAAGAAGGAGAATCCCCAAGATTCCAGCCACTGCCTCCACCGTAGGCGTCTAGCAGCAGATTTGTAGGCGGCGCGAGTTCGACGCTCTTCTCGTCGCGCGGCTCTGTCTGCGCGGCGCCGGAGGCAACATGTGGCTTTGTGGCAGATGAGGAGGGCGATGAGGATCGGAATTGCGAGGAGGAGGGAAAGGATTAGAAGAGTTGGGAGGGTTATGGGGGATGTCTGGCGGTTTGTGATGGTGAAGTTTGACGATGCTGTTTGGTGGAGGGTTGTTGTGTTCGCGGTGGCGTTGAGTGATGTGGTTATCTTCGTGAATTGATCTTTTGTGCAGAGTGAATTTGGGATTGAGTCAGGTAGTGGTCCGAACTGGTAGCGCATCTGGCGGATAAAGCCCGGGATGAGTGAAAATGTATATCTCACTTTGCAGGCGAGGGTCGTGCAGGTTTCCCAGGCGGTGGTGTTGCTGTTACTTAGACAGCCTGCTGCGAGCTGCTCGCGGATAATACGTCTCTGGTATTGGATTTGTTGCTGTATTTCATGGGCTTCGTATTGAAGATTATGGAGTGTGTTATAGAGTGTTTCTAGGCTCTCTTCGGCTGGATTCGTGTGATATATTTCATTGTCAGGGCAATCCACCAAGTCTCCTTCATCATCTGCGTACGGGGTTTCGAAAATGCGCCACGGGTGGTTGGCAAGACTCTTAAGCTCTGGTTGCCGGTCTTCAGCTAGTGTGATACTGAATCTGATATCGGCTCCGAGGAGTTGCTCGTCGATTTGCTCAAGTTGTACGGTCAGAACTTGAGTCATGCATCCATCGGAGTCATCACAAGGGCTTGGAATGCAAATGCTCTCCCAGCTAGCTGACAATGATGGCGTGCGCTCTGCATGTGAAGCTGAAATCAAACCAGATCCATGCCCGGAATTTCCGTTCCAGTCATGGACAAGGTCGTCTCCATTGAGATAGATGCCCGTCGCAGCACAAGCGACATGAGTTTTATGTACCTTTAACTCGAGAGCCTGGCGTATCCTCTTAGCAGGGCATACGCTTAATTGGGCAAAGGATCTTACCAAACTCGCATATGGCGTGGCCTGACATTCGGAGCATTGGGCTTCGAGTCTCACCGTAGTGTACTCATTTGCTAGACGCGCTTAGGATATTGGACGATTGATACCAAAGACATACTAACTTTCAAGGATGCTTGATACTGAGGATCCGACCTCACCAGTTTGTGTTGCGGAAGCAATGAAACTGTTGAGGGATATGGCTAACAAGCCCAGTGCTACGGAACGCATACTGAGCGAATCTCGTGGAGACTACATGTATGCAGTCCTACCACCCCAAGCACCGTTAAACCGCTCTTTAACCGATGCGTAGGGTATACTCCAGGAAGCCTTCGAGAAACCGTTCAGGAAGTCTCATGATGATGCTGACAAGAATCCTTCTCGGCCGTCAAATAAGTACAGAGACCGGAACACGGGAAATCCGATTTTCCGATCCTAACTCCGCCAATGTCAGAGCTTCGATCGCTCGATCTCGCTTCATGGTGCAGCTGTCGAGGATTCGGCTTTACATTCGCCATTGATATTTAACGCATATTCAGCATCATTAGCTCACGCTAATTAGTTTTCGCGCCGACATTATCTCCCCAGCTTCCCCGTCAATCACTTTTCTCAGCGCACAACTGTCGAACAGTCACAATGGTAACGACCCCACGCCGAGAATTGAAGCCACCTCTTCCGTTAACATCAACTAACAAGCGCCTTGATAGCTTCCCCTCGGCCTACTCACAGCCGCGCAAGGCCACCCCATGCTCGTCGAGCTCAAGAACGGCGAAACGCTGAACGGACACCTCGCCAATTGCGACAACTGGATGAACTTAATACTCAAGGAGGTTGTCCAAACAAGCCCCGAGGGCGACCGCTTCTTCCGACTCCCGGAGGTCTATATCCGCGGAAACAACGTATGTCGTGTGCCTCGATGCCTTTCATCTCCGCCGACAAACTGACAGTCCCTAGATCAAATACCTACGGATTCCCGAAGAGATTATTGAAATGGTCAAGGAGCAGCAGCAGAACCAACCGCAAAATCGCAACCGCGGGCCTCGTGAAGGTGGCCGGGGTGATCGGGGAGGCCGTGGTGGTCGTGGACGTGGGCGCGGTCGTGGTCGGGGTGGGAACTAGAGTTCCTGCATGTTAGTGTCGCGAAGAACAAGCGGATGTGAGAGCAGAGATGATAGATACCCCGAAGATAGCTGGGAGGATTCGTTGGCGGGTTCGTGAGCATGGCCTGGCGTATCTGGTTTTTTTTTTTTTTTTGCGATGGGAGCTTGCCATGTAACTTTATTGCTATCACCAGTTTATGATGCACGTGGAATGAAAGCCGATATCAAGACCGCGCTCTTTACCTGTAATTCATGCCTTATTTGTTGGGTTATACTGGGCAAAGGACATGTTGATATGCACGTGATTCGCGCTTTCTCTCGGAGACCCTGCGAGTTGAAATTTCCCGCCAACAACCCTGCCAGGATGTCTCACAGGAGACTTGTGCTAGACGAATTATGGCACTGTCTCTGTCCGTCATTTACGTCGAACTCTTTGAAGCTTTATAGGAATAATCTTTTCGCGAAAGCGCGCCCTCAATGCCCAGGTTCAGTCCTCCCTGTCCCAAGTTATCTGCCAAAGCGCCACAGCTCCGATTCCACTCAACCGCGAGATGCAGACCGCAAACCTGAAGAGAAGGATGTCTTTGACGACAAAGGTCCGGATATACGACCTGATGGCAAACTTAACTTGACACCGCGCAATGCCAACCGCCAAAAATCGCAGCGAGATAAAAAGGCTCGGGGAGGTTATATTGTGCCAATCCATCTCCAGTCTTTGACAACGCTAGAGATAGAGACGAAGCTTCAGGATACAGCAAAAAAATCCCCGAGCGTATATAGCGCGATGCAGAAATTACAACATCTGATTCAAGACCGGAAAATCGAACCCAGCGCGCGGCATTATAAATGGCTTATACAATGCCACTCCGATCCTCAGCACGGGTCGCCGAATCTAGTTCGTCAATTGCTTCTGGAAATGGAGCAAAATGATATCCCGCTCGACTCTGGTACACTTCATGCTGCATTACAGGTCTGTACTACTATCACTGGACATACGAAGTTCATCGCTAACGTACTCAGGCTCTTGCAGTTCATCCAGATTATACGCTACGGCAAGATGTGCTTCGTGCTATGCGAGATCGATGGCTTCCGCTCAGTCCCGACGGTTGGCACTATGTGGTGGCGGGCTTGATAAGAGAACACCAATTCGAGCTAGCGCTTGACAACATCGCGCATATGGAGCGAAAGGATATAGTAGTCAAGGGCTGGCTTCACAGTCTCCTCGTGTACTATCTCTGCGAGTGTGAGGAGTTTGGCCAGATTCTTGAGCTCTTGCGCACGCGTTTAGAGCAAGGCTATCCAGTGACTCAAGAGCTGTGGGTGCACGTCCTCAATGCGGCGACTGCTGCTTGCCATCTTCCAACAATCCGCTTTATATGGAAGAGGGTGGTGGAATCAGGCTCTCTTGACCCAGAGTCTCATTCATGCCACCGGATTATCGAGAATGCCACCGAGCATGGGGATACAAGGCTTGGAAGATCAGTTTTGCTTTACCTCCGTATTCGCGGCATGCCCCTAAAAGCCTGGCACTATGAGAAGCTGTGTCAGATGAATGTCACCTCCGGCAATTTATATGAGTCATTACGGGTGCTGTGCGAGATGAAAGGGGCGGGCCATACCGTGCAATCGAGCTCGGTCGAGCCGATCCTGAACCACTGCATCTCCAAAAAGATCCGCCCGCGAGACGTCTGGTCTCATCTTAAAGACTTGAAGTCAAAGGGGCAAGATATCCCTCTTGGTTGTGCTAGGATCGTCATTGAATTATATCGAGAGGGCGCGCGGAGCGACCCATTCGCGGTAGATGACGGAATCGAATTTTACAAAGAACTGTATACACTATGTTCTGCTAAACCGGACGCCCATACATTCAACGCACTGATCCGGATGTGCCGGGTAACCCAAGATGCCGATTCGGCCATGTTCGTTGTTCACGAGATGGCAGCATTCCAGGTTGTGCCGGACGCGAATACCTTTGGACATCTCATCATGATATGTTTGGAGTGCGATAATTTCCAGTCTGCGCACCTGTACTTTGAGGACATGCTCGGGCGAGGATTACACCTTGACCAGGCAGCGCGTGCTGAGATTCGCGAGCTTTGCGGTTCCTCGACAGACCAGGACGCTGTTAAGCTGAGGCAGCATCCAGAAATTAGTGAAGATGTATCTGAGGAAGAGGTCGCAAATCTAGCGACCGATGAACATACAAACCCTCCCAATGCTTCTACTGAGGCGGAGGAACCTGAAGGTCATTCGGATCACAAAGAGGTCCCAGGACATGACAACCAGAAACGCGATATGGAGTAAGAGACAAGGAAGAGCGGCAACTTTGAAGCGAGAATGACCTCCTAAAAGAGTCGAGTCTCATTACTACATATTCAATGGCTGAAGATGCCGTACCGGCCACCAAACAAACCGAGGCAGGATCGATGAGGGATAGAATCCTATATAAGCTATGTAAATATCATGTACATTAGTTATTCTCAAGCTTTTCTCCACTGGTGACTGGACAGTTGTTGAGAACGAAGGATGACGGCCCAACGCTGATTGCTGATCGCAATGATATTCCTCACTATCGATTTTCCGCCTGGAGGTTGCGAACTTGGGACGAGATACCACATGCTCGCAGCAGCGAACTCGCCAGTTCATCACATTCTCCGACTCGAAACCACAAACGCCTCAGCATAGCGGGATAGGATCGCGACCATGTCCATTTCCCCAAGACAGCAGTTCGCCCGGGGCAACCTTCAGTTCCCCTTGGCGTAAATCTGACACTGGCTGCAACAGGACCAGGTCAAGACAAGCTTAACTGCAACAAAATATCGCTCAGGAATTAGCCGCGGCAACTGGTTCCACTGTTCCACCTTCGAACCATGGACGAACGAGAGCCGCGGGAGAAGCTCAAACAAGGTTGAAAATAGAAACTGCACGACTGTGTCAGAGAGTGAGACAGGCGGGTTCGCCTGCAAGATATTTTGCTGATGGGTTATTTTATTGGCAAACGGATCCAGCGAGTGGTGACTGTCTTCACCTGTAGGAGTTTCCCCCTTAGGGATCTGCAACGGTTCAAACGCCGCCAAGGGCGATCGCCGGGTCGCTGCTCCATAGGCTCCATTTATAGTGAAGGATATCGCCGATTGGCAAGGACAAGCTCCCCGGTTTCTCATCGTCGGTACCAGAACAAAGCGCTGTTCAAATTGTCTCATAGCTCTCCTGGCTCTTGTCTTCTTATATTCGTCTCTTCCTCTCAGGCCAGGAACGTGCTGCTCAACTTCTTGTCTCCTCTCGTTTCCGTCTTCCCCATCTCTACCTGTACGACCAAAACACTACCAGCCACGACACAACAATGCATTTCTCCTCTCCCTTCTCGGCCTTCCTCACACTCCTCTCCGCAACAACAATCGCAACCGCCTCCCCTTTCTCCCTTCCCAAAACCGCCGTTCGCCTAGCTGCAGACCCTACAAACCCAGCCCTAACCTGGCACGTCTCCAACTTTGACATCGGCTGCTCCCCCAGCGGGTGTGTCTACAGCTTCAACATTGCCGGCGCCGCGTCAGCAAACACACCCGGATTTAACACAACATGCAACGGAACAAGTGTGCAGGACGACTACGCCGCGTGCAAGGACAAGGCCATGCTCGCGCAAATTGAGCCGGCGCAGTACCCGAATTGGACGGTCAAGGCGCAGCACCAGTGGCGGGAGACTGAGTGGTCGCATTATTATGCGTTTGGGGAGAGGAATGTTACGGAGGCGACGAGGAGCTTTACGATTACGGTTGGGGAGGTCTATGGGGTTGCTTGAGATGGGACTTTCATGTGAATCGGAGTGCGTTTAAGGTTACGGCAATAAGTGGAACATGAAGGCTGAGTGGTAAGGTATGGATGGGAAAGGTTATTTGGGGTTCTGTATTTATATGGCATGGCGTGGAAGCATGCTTCTGTAATGTAATGTTTTCTGCAATAAATATCTCTTCAGATTCAGCCTTGCACAGCCTTTCGTATGCGTATAGACGCAGTAATACTCTGTAGCTGAGCAGTAGTTGAGGCTATGCGGCTATAGGTTCTGAGGCTATACAAGCCTCTAGCGATGACATCAGCGTCTTGGCACTACGTTTTAAGAGCCTCCACACGTCAACTTGATTCCCCCAACAACGCGTCGCCGCAGACGCACCTTCTCACAGAATATTCAGTTGTACATAACACGCCTCTCGCCTCCATTCTTGCTTCTTTTATTGAGTCAAACACCAAAGGAACATTCCCCTCCGGCAGCTGTATTGACGCCGGTGACACAACACATGGTATGCAATGCAGCCTCCATTCCAACCTCATCTCACCTGGCGGCGTCCAGACTGACCTGCTGCGCTTGGCTTCCTGGTCCACGCAGGCGTCGATCCTCCGACAGATTGTAGCTGGTCCGAGACTGCCGCACCCTGAAGCTGGGCTGGATCTGTGTTATGTTACTGATAATAGTGCGTTTGTGCTCCCTCCTTGCCCCTCCCGGTCACCTTATTTTCCCTACTATGAGTGTTTCCTGCCCTCAAGTATCTCCTGCCAATATACGTTACTGATTACAGCGACAGTAATCGCAACATCCGGCCCCTCAACAAATTATCCCAAGATCGCATACAGAACCCCGCTTAAAGACCTCGTCAGCTTCCTCGACACCAAGCATGCAGAGAACTGGGGTATCTGGGAGTTCCGTGCTGAAGGCACTGGGTATCCCGACTCAGAAGTATATGGGCGTATCCACCACTTCCCGTTCCCCGATCACCATCCGCCGCCCTTTGCCCTGATCCCCAAGGTTGTGGCTAGTATGCGAAATTGGCTGCACCGGCTGGATGGAACTGGCTCCGATGGATTAAAAGAAAGAGGGGAGGAGCTGAAGAAAAAGGTTAACGGTAAAGAGTTCAAGCAAGGGCAGAGAGTTATTGTTGTACACTGCAAGGCTGGGAAAGGCCGGAGTGGGACCATGGCGTGCTCGTACCTGATCAGCCAGGAGGGGTGGAAGATGGAAGATGCGTTGCAGCGGTTCACGGAGCGGCGAATGAGGGTTGGGTTTGGCTCTGGGGTGAGTATACCGAGTCAGCTGCGCTGGGTGCGGTATGTTGACCGGTGGACGAATGAGATGGATAAGAAGTATGTCGAGCGTCCGGTTGAGATTGTGGAGATCCATGTATGGGGTTTGAGGGATGGAGTGAAGGTTGCTGTGGAGGGTTTCGTCGAAGACGGGCAAAAGATCAAACAGTTCCATCTCTTCCACCGGAATGAACGCATCGTCATGCCCGGTGATGGCTCACAAACCGACAGCGGCAACGAGCTGAGCGATGACGGAAACAGCAGCAGTACCGACATCCTGAACAGGAAGAAGAAATTCCAGACCAAAGCGAAAACCACGCCCATGACCGCAACACCAGGCTCAACCCTCTCCAGCCCGCAAGAACCGATGTCCGCCCAATCCGATCCTTCGACGTGGACAAATAGTCTCGCTGCTAACAGTACTAATCCCTCATCAACCACATCCACGACAACCCTTAGCGACCCCTCTCAAAATCGAACGATCACCCCTCCCAAGTCAACACCCTCCGAAGCACCGCAGAAACACACGACAGCCGTTCTTCTTCGACCTCACAGCCCCATCATCCTCCCATCCTCCGACATAAACATTGACTTTGAACGCCGCAGCAAAGCAGCCACATACACGGGGCTTGCAATGGTCACATCAGTCGCACACGTTTGGTTCAATCCGTACTTTGAAGGCGGAGATAAATACGACTCCGGCGTGTTCGAGATCGAATGGGACGCCATGGACGGGATTAAAGGTACGAGCAGGAAAGGGATGAAGGCGCTAGATCGGCTCAAGGTGCTGTGGCGGTATGCTGAGCCTGAGAGCGGAGAGGTTCGCGACGTCGACGATAAAACGAGACCGGTTTCCAGCGGTGTAGTTACGGAGCCGAAGCCCGGTGAGGAGATTCCCGAGACCAGGGTCTCGGATTGGAGGCTCAGAAAGGAGGAGATCGAGAGGGAGGCGGATGATAGTAGCGGGGAGGAAGGGGTGAAGCATCATGAGGATGAGAATGTTCCGATGAGTGATGCTACAAAGGGCTCGGGGAATGGGAGGAATAAGGATACAGATAAGGATGTGGAAACGAAATCTGTATAGACGCCATGGCTGATAGATAGTCTGGGCCCCGAGTCAATGATTACGAAATATGTATACATACATGAGCAGCATTAATTGAAAAGCTTAGAAACAACGACCATAATTGATACTACTAGACGCATATGTCTCTAAGCAGTTTCCAGTGCTTTTTCTAAAAATTACCCCCTTCCGGCAGTATTGCAAGAATTTATACATATTTACCAGTTCACTACCATCAATAAACATATCAACCCCAACATCCAAATTCAAGATATAGTCAGCGAGGCAAAAAAGCAATTCGACAAAAGAGAATCGGAAAAGCGAAGAATCGAACCAACAGCCTCATACAGAAAGTTTAATGAAAAAAAAAAAAAAAAAAATCCTTGTTACACTTTGTGTGGTCCGGTGTCGTTCTCCGCGCGTGCGGAATGCTAATCTGTCCGGACGCTTTCCCACTCGACCTCGCCGTCGGCCGCCACTTAATACTTTTGCTGCTTGTTTTATATCCCAAGTTCTGTGGTAAAGTTATCCATCTACGGAGTAGTTGACCTACATCGTTTCCTCGACCGGACTCGTGTCTATGTCCTCCTATGCGAAAGGGGTACAACCACCCACAACGACATCACGCGTCACTCTAAGCCCTGACCTGTCTGCTGTAGATCCATCCTGAATATGTTCGGTAAATTCGCGGTGCGTTGCTCGGAGAATGAGAATGACCCAAAAAGTCACTCCTCGAATCCGCTTGCTCCGCGGCGCGGAAGGGGAGAGCATTGCCCTCCTTGAGCATACTCGTCAACGCTCGGTATAGCTAGCTGCGAGCGCCTAGAGATCCGAGTCTGTGATATATAAAACGGCATCTTCAGTCCGTCTCGTGACAAAATTGGCGCAGGATCAAGAGGACTATGCTAGATCTGCATCAGGCCTTTCGGGGTACAGATATTCACACCAACCAATTTGAGCTGTAGCCAGGGGTATAGAGCCAAGAGAGTGCACTGTCGGGAGGTGTTTAAGTGAACCCGGTGTCTATGCACTCGAAGTCCACACAACAAGATATTTACCCGTGAATAGCATCAAATATATTAACCGAGACAGATAGCACTAGCACACCCTTCAGGGTTTGCATCCATGAACCTATTTTTATCCGCCAGTCCTTGAGCAAACTCGAATTCTCTCATTTTGAGTGATAGCTATCAGACCATGATTCATGCTCAACCTGCATGAAACGCCATAGAACCACTTTTCGCTCCAACTGGATCGAGCCGCTTCCGGCGTTTCATAAACCAGTGCTCCGGATTAATTAAGGGTTCTGGGCAGGCATGGCAGTCTGCACGGCAATTCTCAGGGTCACCAGTTCAGGAGGTGATATGCGCCAAGGGCGGCATCCCGTTGGACGGAAAATTGGGATATAGTGCTTGGCCTGGGCGGAGGTTCTTGGGATGTTTAGTATAGAGAGTGCCTGCAGATTGCTGACGCTGCCCAAGACTCAAGCCTCAATGATTTCGCCTATAAGAACCAGTGGCCGTCATCATGCGATTGAAGAGCCCAACAACCTGGTGTTGACACAGCTTACAGACAGTTCCTTTCCTTCCTTTCATTCTTTTATACCTACTACTCTCGTTTCGCTCCTTCGAAATGAGGTTTTCCGCTCTTTTCCTCCTGGCCACTGTGGCCATTGCTTCTCCTACCAAGCTCCGCCAGAGACGCAACGAGCTGGCTCGTCGTCAGGCTACGGAGAGCTGCCCCATCGGTTACTGTACCCAGAATGGGGGCACCACTGGTGGTGCTGGTGGTGACACTGTTACTGTCACTGACCTTGCCGGCCTGACAGAAGCTGCTGAGAGTGAGGGTCCTTTGACTGTTATTGTCTCTGGTTCGATCTCCGGTAGTGCTAAGATCCGTGTTGCTGCGGACAAGACCATCTACGGTGAAGCTGGCAGCTGTACGTTCCCTTTCCACAAGCAGACCTTCTGGGTGTTGAAGGAGCTCGCGAATTTGAACACTGCTAACCAGATCAGCCATCACCGGTGTTGGATTCTACATCCGTCAAGTTGAGAATGTTATCATGCGCAACCTGATGATTGGCCAGGTTGACGCTGACAATGGTGACGCCATTGGTATCGACGAGTCGTTCAACGTCTGGGTTGACCACTGTGATCTTTCTGGTGACCTCTCTGGCGGCAAAGATGACCTGGACGGCCTCCTCGATATCACCCACGGCGCTGACTGGATTACCGTCTCGAACACCTACTTCCATGACCACGTACGCTATTCCTACTTCTCTTGCTCGCTACTGTGTTTCCCACAGTTAGATTGTAATATACTAACATGTCTTCGCGATACAGTGGAAAGGAACCCTCATCGGCCACTCCGACTCAAACGAAGACGAAGACCTCGGCGCCCTGCACATCACCTACGCAAACAACCACTTCTACAACATCAACAGCCGCGCGCCCCTGATCCGCTTCGCCACCGTGCACATCATCAACAACTTCTGGGACAGCCTGATCGACACCGGCGTAAACTGCCGCATGGACGCCCAGGTGCTGATTCAGTCCTCTGCCTTCGCCAACTGCCCCGACGAGGCTATCTTCTTTGCCGACTCTGATTACACTGGATACGCTGTCGTTGATGATGTAGACCTTGGTGGCTCGAGCAACTCGGTTCCTGAGGGTACTCTTACCCCTGACAGCCTGCCGTATGACCCCATTGAGGCGCTTGGATCTGCTCAGATTGCGAGCGTTATTCCGGGAACTGCCGGCCAGAAGCTGGGAACCTCGAGCAACAAGAAGTGCTAGATAGGCGGAGGCGCGGGGTCTGAGAGACGCCTTGTCCAAGGCCCCGGAGATTGTTGGTGAGATCATGAATGAGTGCGGCTTCGTTTGCGGCTTTGAGCTGTGCTGGTAGGTTTGGCTTGTGTTATAGTACATTATTTTGAATCCTGTAGATAAATGAGCCGGCTGGTTCGGGGAAATTTATAATTAGTCTATTGGGTTAAGTCCGTCCATAACAAGTTAGTCGTGGGTAAGCGTGGAATGGTGTTAAGAGAGGAAACATAACGGTTGATCCATGACAATAGCAACAGCCCTTGACTATTTGAGCTGACAAGGCACTTTGGCCGGGAGAAGATATCAGAGTAGCCCTTGGGACAATTTGATAGACCTGCGATCGAGTACGGGAGTAGCTGGGTGCTCAGTTTAGCGTATCGTACAACATCGTGCTTATTGATATCTATTGGTAAAGTACAAATAATCTAAAGAAGGGAGGGTCAGGGTATTTAAAGTTAGTAGGAAAGACCGAGGTGGTGAGACGAAAGGTGAGGTGGAAAGAAGGCACTGAAGAAAAAAAAGGATGCTGCCTCGGCTTAGCTCAACTAAGCATCAACCCCTCTGCATGAGGCCGGTGATTCCGCTCCTCACGAAGCAATCTATCCTTCTTCTTCCTCTCATAAACCCCGCGAACAACGCGCTTGACCTGCTCCTCGCCCTGCGCAAAGTTGGCCTTGGCTAGGCCGACAACGGCATCGATTTGTTCAGGTGTGTAGACAAAGTTCCATGTTGATAGGAAATCGTCCACGTCGGGCTTGATGCTGCCAGGATGCGGAACTAGCGGCTTTGTAGGATCGATTGCGTCGGCGGATGATTTAGACTCGGAGGGGCTGTGTCGGTCTTCCTTGGAGGGTTGGGAGAGGGAAGACTCGGAGGGGAGGTCTGGAGCCGAAGGGTTCGGGAGTAGTGGGAAGTAGACGACGGCGATTCCGGCATCTGGACGCATAAGGTGGAACTCGGATTCGGAGTGGTCTTTGGCCCGGGGGTCGAAGAGGCGCTTGGATGGTGGAGGCTCTCTGTCCGAAATCATTTCCTGCGTGCTGCCGACCCAGATGTTGCAATAGTCGAGGTCTGTGCTTGCCGGCGAATCTGATTTCTTCGCTGCTTGCTTGGATGGCTGCTCCTGTTTGAACTCGGCTTGGGCAGTCGTTATTTTCCTGTTCAGATCCTCTTCAGAGATGTTTTCTGCCTCGCGGAGGGTCTTTTCTGTCTCTTGCAGCGTGTCGACTTCCCTGGGCCAGCCAGCGCCGACAGGCCAGCCTTTGATACCTCGCTGGCGTGCGTATCCATCTACAACAGATAGCCAGTTCTCCTGCTTGATATCGGCCGAGTTGTCAAATGCGATGATGATGTCCACGTCACGCCCGGGTCGAAGAAGTGGGTATATGGGAAGATTATTGCTCATTCCTGCGTCCATAAGACGAAGATGCTGACTTTGAAATATCGACTCAGGACAGGAAGGAGGCAGCTGGTCCTTCATCCCTAGCACAAAATTCGGTATCGTCGCTGGATCGATGGGATGGACCCGGATGAGGTCTTTTGATTTTCCCTGGATCAGAGAATCGACACCACCAAAGCCGGCAATGTTTCTGATTAGAGGACGGATTTCCTTGTAGTAATGTGAAAGTGTCGCACAAAAAGCGCTACCCCAGATACCCATAAGGCTTCCGACATGTAGCTCAGGTATGGGCGATGTTCCAGCCGGTATGTCGTTCTTGCCGCCGTAAAAGTGCCTCCCAAGGGCCCAGGTAGGTATGCCGGCGTTGAGTTCTTCACAGAAAAATTCATATGGCGTAAACTCGAACCACTGGAACCAGGACTCGTCCCTTGACTCTCTTATGAGTTTTTCGGGTATCGGTTTCTTACCATCTGCTTTCTCTTCCAGAATTGGAATCTCGTGACGCACAGCTGTGTAAATGGGTAGCGGGTGGGCTCCACTGGCAATGTTGTAGCTCTGGTTGGACAGTTTTAGGTCTAGGTCACAAGACCCAAGCTCTCCTTTCGGTACAAGTAATCTCGCAGCAAGAAGCATGCCGTAAACATCGACCAAACCAAAATCCGCACCTGGGTCACCTTTGAGCTTTTGAACGAGGCCACTGAGAAGATATTTGTTGGTCGGCGCATGGGTCAAAAGTTTGAGTGCTGCTGGAGGGAAGGCCATGTGCACATTCAGCCTGTTCTTGAGATGATCAACAAGCTTGGTAAAATTTCGTCCCGTAATCGAAGAGTGATATAGGGTCTGTAGCCAACAGCTACCGCTGACACCAGCAGTATAAGTTACGCAATCCCACAGTCCAGCCTCTTGCGTCGCTAGATATGAACCAGTACCTGCAACAAGAGCGCGGAGACCGCCCCCGGAGCCGCACATGGAAATGATCGGAACATCGTCGGGATGTATATCCGATTCAGGAATGTCCAAGTATGCGGCGAGAGCCTTGACGGCATGTTTTTGCCGCTTTTTCCTGAATGCCAACTCGTCGTCGCAGAGAGTGTCCCCAACTCGGACTGTGGCTTCTCGCAATATCTCCGGGTTCAGATCCGGATCGTGTGCTTCCCTCCAAATCTCATCTGCGAGGGAGCCCGGAGCCATGGAAAGCTCGCGCTGGAGCTTCTGTACCGTTTCGGGGAGTAGTCGCGTCCAGTCAGGAGTAATGTAGTGTTTAATATGCTCCAATTCTATCCAATCCGCGGAGCCAACAGACTGTTTGACCCCTTCAAATCTCTCCATCATGTGTGTCCAAACCGATGAGGCGTTTGAGTCGTCGTTGTGCAAGCTCCCGGCCACGCGAGACTTGGCCTCATTGCGGCCAGAGGCGCCATCGCCAATTGAGTTTTGCGATTGTTTCGTCGAGTAAGGCGCCCTCGGATCAGAACGTAAAAGAAAGAACTGCGAATTGTTTTGTGCTGCCTCAATTGAGGTGAGAACACGGCCGCCAACGTAGATTAGGGCGGCCGGAGGAGCGAAGCGGAGACAGAATGCCCTCGCAGCACCCATGTTGAGGCGGGTACTACGTCTGGCATGAAGATTGAAGGGTAACCACATGGGGTGGTGACGGCACTTAAGTACCTGTGCCTGCAGGGCCATGGGCCAGACCCCGACGATCCTCCATTTCTCGCAGGATTTGCAGCTTGTCGCTTCCAGATTGCAGCTTCCAATCAACGTCGTCGGGATTCGGCCCGGGGACGGTGACGTAGTGTCAGGTGACCTTTCTCAACGTTGAGTGCCTACTCCGTAGTCCTGTTCTAGATTAGCGGCCATTTTGCCTGTTTCAGATCAACGAGAGCATCATACGTTGACAGCTATTCGGACCTCTAAACAGAAATCAAAATATGCATTATAAATGCTTGATATTCAAGGTGCGGAATATTGTCAATCTAAAAATAAGCTATACGGGGACGGACCGAGATGCTACCGAAGTATATAGTCCCTGAGATCCCAAGTCTAGAATCTCTAGATCTACTGACCTAGAGACATCAAAGAGGCTGCAGCTTGACCATATACTTACCCAGCAGTTCCTTGACTCGATCTACAGGCAGAGCAGGCTGCGTTCGCCCCTTGAATCCTGTCAAGGTTTCTGCCTTGCAAAGGGCATTCAGGATGGCTTCCTCGGTGGCTTCGGATGTTGCGTAGAACAAGGAATCTATAACCTCATTCTTGACGGTCTCTACCGCCTGCGTTTCTAGTGGGGGCAGGTAGTCAAAGCCACTAGACTCTGTTGCTAGCTCATTTGGAGACGTTCCGGTCGATAGAGCAAGGAATATCTCCCCGGAGTAGTTCCTCCCTGCTGAGTGGCCACCGACCTGGAAAAACAGCGAGTCAATATACCACGTCCGTCGACTATCATGAAGAATTGGACCAGATTTTGCAGCTAAGCTCCTACCTGCGCGATACCCATTCCAGCGTGCTGTGCAATACGGCGCAGTTGGTGGGGAAGTAACGGAGCGTCAGTGCTGCACCAAGTTAATACAGAAAATAAGCGTGCATCAAGACTGGTGACCTACATAATGACAACTATGATACCTAGACGAGAGTCAGCACCATGTAACAGTCAAGTGTTAAGCAATAAGGGCACTCACTTCCTTCTGCTGCCTTGCCGCCTTTCGGAAAGCGCGTGGTTGTATCGGAGGCGCTGCTATCAGAAGCTGGCGCATCTTCTCTAACCAAGAGCTCTCCCACTGGCACATTTGCAATACGGAGATCTGGTTTCTGACCATGGTTTGCTTGTACCAAGACACCGAGCGTGTAGTCTTTATCAGCGCCAGGCACAATTCTGGAGCTTGTTCCAGTCCCTCCTTTATATCCATGGCAGCGCATTGCTGTACCGCCACCGTAGTTTCCTTCTAGCACCTCGCTCTGGGTTTTCGACGCTTCAATGGCATCATACACCGTATTCTTATCGATGACTGATGCACTGATATCGTTTAACAGACCGTCGTAAGTTTCTCCCACAACAGGTATGTTTAAGAGGCGTGAAGCTTCGAGGTCATCTTTTCCGCCCTTCAGAGCTTGCTCCAGCTGCCACAAGAAGAGACCATCGTATACCTTTCCAACACTGATGGTATTGGTCAAGGCGATCGGCTATACTGACATTAGGACTTTCCCCCGTAGGACACGAAGGGGATGCAAGTACTCCATTGATAAAACCCCATTCTGTGAAGCCATGGGTCCCAGTCAGCTCTCCCATCCCATTCAGATCGTGAGCTGCTGCATAACAAGGCAAAACAGGAGTTTCCTCAATCCTGCGAGGAAGAATGACAGTCAAGCCGGTATGTATGTCAGTCCCTTGGTGAAGCGTGACTTGGCCGACGGAGACATCTGTAGGCTGGTCAAATTCGGACTCAGACGGCCCTTTAGAATATTTATCATACCTTTTACGTCAAGAATCGAGTTCTTTGGACCCGGGGAGAATTTGCCAGGTCCATACCCAAGATCACGAATACGAGGCCGCGAGCTCATCATGGTCGAGCGAACTCTCTAGTGAACTCTCTAGAGGTTGTTGAATCTGAGTCATTTTAGATGGCAGTCCGTTCTTCTAGTTAAATAGAAGCGGCGGCAACTTGAATGGTTGCCTGTCAGACCGGCGCGCGATGTAACCATGACTAATATTATCGATTGTTCGTTGATTCGTGTTCTTGGAATGACGGACATTTCATGGAGTAGTAGGCAGCTTCATAGAGGCTGAAGTGGTTTTAGTTGGACAGGGTGCTAAGCCAAACAGGGCAAAGTCCCTGGCGGACATTGCGCTGCCCAGTGCGCGGACCCTGCTGGAAGGTCTGGAGAGAGCTCCAACAAACCGGCCGCCGAAACACCCGATCACTCTTATCGCACTAATCATTGATAAATGAGACTTTGGATTGTTTTATGAGGCCCGGTGCCTCGTCAAATATCTCCTCTCATCGCCCCTTACCTATTGTTTATCTCTCGCATCCCGACCGGAGCATGACATGCCTTATCTGTACAGAAGCAAACAGCCCACCACCTGAGCCCCTGATATTCAAAACTGCACCACGATGGTCGCACAGAGAAATGCGGCCTTCGCCGAAGAGAGCGCTGAGGTGGAGGTGTTATATGCCAACCTGGAGAAGCTCAAGCTCCTCACCAAGAAGATCCAAGGCTCCCTTGTACGCCTTGAAACCGGAGGAAACGTCGTGAAACATGCGATCGGCCCTATCTACAGCAACACGCAGTCTCTGCAAACCACGAATAGCAATATCGATAAGATCAATGAAGCCATAGATCGCCTCCGAAAGCCACTCGACGCGAAGAACCGTGAGGAAGGCATTATCCGGGCTGGGTGCGCGGCATCTCCCACGCTGACTTGTTTTCTTCTACTGACTTTTGACGTGATCAAACAGGCCACAAACCGAAGCTTTATCACAATATTTGGAGGCTATGAAACGCGTGGACCATGCATTGGTGGACCTGACCTCGACTAACCTGAAATCAAACCAAAAAGCAATTAGCGAATTCACATCTCTATTGGGCATTGGGAATACAAAACTACAAGACTTGCTGCGACTCAAACTGGGCCAGCATATCACTCCTATTGAGCCGTTACACTACTTGACAAAAGGTACCTTCCTTGCTCTCTTCTTTCGCAACTATTGCTTACCGTTTTCTTCAAAATAGATCTTTCATTCCCATCAATCCCCGACGAGAAGATAGCAGAGATAGGACCTATTTGTGCTGCTATTAGCTCTGCAGCTGTACATACTCCCCATCGCGGTGAAGGCGGTAGCCCTGCCCTCAAGATTTACGCCGATATTCGCGGACCATACATCACAACGAGTTCACAGAATCTTGCCATTGCATCGCTGAACACAATGAAACGGAGGGCTGCCGACGGTCCGTACAAGCAGGGCACAAATGGCATCGGAATCTACTCAAATGCGTTGGAAAACTTCATTTATGCGGAATACGAAGCCATCACGCAGATCTTCACTGGGGATCATAAGGGCTTGGCGTTGCAAATGACTTGCCGTTCTGCGATGGGTGAATACTCAAAAACCCTTCGAGAGCTCAATCAGTATATTCGAGCAAACCTCATGACGGATTGTTTTCTGGCGTTCGAGATCATAGAGATCGTGACAGCTATGTCCTACCGGGTTGACGCGAAGACAGGCGAGCTCAAGAGTCTGTTCATCGAAGCCCTGAGACCTGTCAGGGAAACTGCCAAATCATCGCTTTCAGAGCTGCTTGAAGAAACCAAGCGCAAGGCCGCCAGTATACCCATGCTTCCACCAGATGGCGGGTCCGTGCCTCTTGTCAATGAGGTCATGAGCTCGCTAATTACCTTGACTGGCTATTCCGGACCTCTCGCTTCTATCCTAACCTCCTTAGGAGACGGAAATTGGCGCTCGACGTCCAATACTTCATCAGCTACTCCTCTGGATGTTAGTCCCGACAGCTCAACGCTCTTGTCGCACTTCATTTTGGATATGATTGAAGCGCTTATGATCTCACTTGAGTCCCGAAGCCGGGCATTGCACCGGTCAAAGGCTGTGCAGGGTGTTTTCCTCTCAAATGTCTTCTGTATCGTCGACCGCTCAATCCGATCGAGCCCAGAGCTAGCGAAATACCTTGGGTCTGCAGACAGTATATCGAGGATTGATACTTTCCGCAAACGAGCTACCTCAACATATCTCGATGCCTGGAAGGAGACGTCGCACTACCTCCTTGACGTCCAATATACATCTCGGACCGGTGGTGGCCGCCCTCAATCCGGCGGCGTTGTCGATTCCAGCGCGATCGTCAAATCTCTCTCCTCGCGTGATAAAGATGCTATCAAAGACAAATTCAAATCCTTCAATACGAGCTTTGACGAGTTGGTCGCACGCCACAAAGCTCTTTACATGGAGAGGGAAGTGCGCAGTGTGCTGGCTCGCGAGGTGCAAGCGGTACTCGAGCCACTGTATGCGCGATTCTGGGACAGGTACCACGAAGTTGATAAGGGCCGCGGCAAGTATGCCAAGTATGACAAGGGCAGTCTGGCTGCCCAGCTCTCGGCACTACAGTGATTGAACAAAGTCCATTTTGGGTATCTCGTCAAAGATGGCTGGCAGGTCCTTGTCGTCTGATGTGGAAGATTCCGGGAAATTCCTTGTATGTCTTACGATATGCTCCGGTATAAATAATACTATTGCGTTGAGCGCTGGACAACATGCCACCCGCAAGGTATACTCCGGCCCTGGCCGATCTCGGCGGTCCGTGTTGCGTGGGATGGAAAATTATTAGGATCATGTGATGATTGTCGCAGATCCGATAACGTGATTGCCGCTGATAAGGCTTCTCGACCCCGCTAAAAAATAGTCGTAGCAAAATTTCGTCTGGGGGCTGTCGACGCACATACTTCAGTTGGGCCTTGCTCTCCTTTTCTCGCCAGAGACTCTCAATTCCTCGTACAGTGGTTCGACTGCTATTTGACACCATGTCTTCCAGCAATGACGTCTACCAGACCCCTCTGAACTCGCGGTATGCAAGTAAGTACATGACCTCCGAACCCTCACAATTGTCGTCTACGTAGTAGCTAACAACTCATTCTGACACTTAGGTGATGAGATGAAATATCTCTTCTCCCCGAGAAACCGATTCTCAACATGGAGACAATTATGGCTGTGGCTCGCAGAATCCGAGAAAGGTCTCTCCTTGTACCCCTCGCCAGCCCCACGTACAATGCAACTGACCGCCGTGTAGAGCTCGGCCTGGCCATCACCGACGAAGCCATTGAGCAGATGCGGAATCACACCACCATAAAAGACGAGGAATTTAAGGTCGCCGCTGAGGAGGAGAAGCGCCGGAGACACGATGTCATGGCCCATGTGCACGCCTATGGTCAGGTTGCTCCTGCAGCTGCTGGAATCATCCACTGGGGTGCTACCTCGTGCTACTGCACGGACAATGCGGATCTTATCTTCCTGCGGGATGGCCTGAACATCCTTATTCCCAAGCTGGCGGTTGTCATTGACAAGCTGTCTGCTTTCGCCAACCAGTACAAGGATCTGCCCTGTCTCGGTTTCACCCACGGACAGCCAGCGCAGCTTGTCACGGTCGGAAAGCGGGCCTGCTTGTGGATTCAGGACTTGCTGATGGATCTGAGGAACCTCGAGAGGGCGCGTGATGATCTGCGCTTCCGTGGTGTCAAGGGCACAACTGGTACCCAGGCTTCTTTCCTGCAGATCTTCAACGGTGATCACGAGAAGGTTGAGAAGCTGGATGAGCTTGTTACCGAAAAGGCCGGATTCGACTCCGCCTTCATCATTTCCAGCCAGACATACTCTCGAAAGATCGATGTTGACGTAGCCAACGCCCTTGGCTCCTTCGGCTCCACCTGTGAGCGCATCGGTATCGATATCCGCCATTTGGCGATGCTCAAGGAGGTCGAGGAGCCTTTTGAGAAGGACCAGATTGGCAGCAGTGCAATGGTCGGTATCCGTGCGTGGCGCAAATCACTGCGATTCGAGCTAACGATGACATGCAGGCTTACAAGCGTAACCCTATGCGGTCCGAGCGTCTCTGCTCGCTGGGCAGGCACCTCCAGAACCTCCCCAAGGACGCCCTGGATACCTACTCCGCACAATGGTTTGAGCGTTCATTGGTGAGATGCCCTGTTGGACTTAATATGGCTGGAGTTAGCGTCTAACTATCGTTACAGGATGACAGTGCTATCCGCCGGATCAGTATCCCCGAGCTCTATCTCTGCGCGGACGCGTGTCTTATCCTCCTGAGTAAGTATCGCATAACGGCCCAGCCAGACTTGTAATTTTGGTTTACTTACACATGTGGATCAACTAGACAACGTCACCTCCGGTTTCGTGGTGTACCCTGAGGTCATCAAACGTCGTGTGAACGACGAGCTTCCATTTATGGCAACGTAAGTCTTGGCCCCTGCAGTCCCCTCCTCTCAATCTGCCCATGCTAACTCGTCCCCTAGTGAGAACGTACGCACTGCCCTAATATAACAAACCCGGCGTAGTCTCGGAACTAATGTATGAAATACAGGTCATTATGGCCTGCGTCAAGAAGGGTCTCTCCCGCCAGGACGCCCATGAGGAAATCCGTAAGCCTCCCTTTCCTCCCTCTCCTCCCTCGCTCTCCAAAATCTTAATTTAACACACCCGGCCATCCCAGGTGTCCTCTCCCACCAAGCCGCCGACAACGTCAAGAAGCTCGGTAAAGACAACGACCTCCTCGACCGCATCCGTCGCACCGAATTCTTCGCCCCTATCCTCGACCAGCTCGACGCCCTCCTCGACCCCAGCACCTTCGTCGGCCGTGCCCCTCAACAGGTTGAGAAGTTCACCTCCACGGAGGTCAAGAAGGCTCTTCAGCCCTACGAATCCCACCTCGCCAACGCCGAGACCTCCGCTCTCCACGTCTAGAGCGGGCAAGCGTTTCTCTAAAGCGCCGTGCCGCGCTGCCTTCAAGCTCCGCGCGGGACTGTCGTTCCCCATATAGATTTCTCCTCCAGATGGGCATTCTCTTCCACGCGACTCGGAATATAACGCACCATAAAACTTCTATCAGCAGGGTAGATAGCAGATAGCTTCATCGTGGTTACACTAGGATGTAACCATCAAGAGCGAGTTATACATACATGTACATAATGATTTGATGGTATCTCCAATTGTTCTTCAACCTCTTCTCCTCGGAGCGTTCTCCACGCTAAAACGTAAATTTGCGTCTGTCACCTGCCACGTGTACTCACCTGTCAGCTCAACGGCCTTCCTCAAGCTGAGACGGGGTGACCCGACCCAACTCCAGACCCTCTCACTCAACCCCACTATGGGACAAGTCTAACGGCTGAAAGAGCCTAACCAAGTCCTGCAAAGCCAGAAACTACGTTGCCTAACGTTCCCGCCCGAGATCGAGATCGGATAGATCATGCCACTGCTAGAAAGATAGATACCTGGCAGAAAGCAGGGACATCCGTTCTCGATCTCTCACTGCAGACAGGGTTGTCTTCCCTCTCCGGATCTTACTGTGTTGCACCCCTGGCGGGTACAGTATAGATCTTGGTGTAATATCAACGCTCGTTCCACTCTGTGCTCTGGGTTTTGGGCTTTGGTGTGTGAGGGAGGGGCTAGAAGGGAAAAAGTACCACCGAGGATATGCACGCCGTTACTAGACAGGAAAAGGGGAAACTATAAATCGACGATTGGGGATTGGTGATGGACATTGGTGAGAAAGACAATTCTAAAGGAAACCGACAACCGAGATTCGTGATTAAATAAGAAAAAAAGAGACAAAGAAGTCCAATTCATCATCCAATATTCGGTACCCAAAGTTGCACAGGGGAGAGAAACCTGAAAACAGTGAACACATTATTTATACCCAGCAACCCCAATTACCGTCATACTCGAAACCCTCGCTCGCACCACCAATTTTTGTTTTTGTTTGTTTACTACATCATTGCACGCCAACCGGACCACTGTGAGGCCCTTTCGGAAATTCTAAAGCGCAGAGAGCCAATTGATGATCTGTGTGGCCCCTATGAGTCAGTTGGACATACATGCAGGTATTCATGCAGTGTGACATGCAGAACAGAGAAACGTACCATCATCGCCTGCATAAGGGCGACCTTCTCGCCGTAGTGCAGCCCATCCCAGCTCTCTGCCTGCACCGTCGCATTGTACATGCCTAGAACGTCCATCCCTCTTCTTTGCGCGACCTGCGCTGTATCTTGTGTGTACTGCCAGCTGCTCGCGTGAACGTTTTCCCCTGGTGGGTTCTGGTGGCCGGGAGCTGTCGGACCGATCCAGAGGAACGGTGTGCTGCGTGCGCTGGTTTTAGCCAGTGTGAGCCATTCGTCTATGCTGTTTGTTGCGGTGGTCGTGGAGTAAGAAGTTGAGAGGGAGAGGCTTTGAATGACAGCAATTGGCTTCTTCTTTTCTGAAGAACGAGCGAGGAGGTTTTTGAACTTTTCATGGACATTGCTCGGCGCAGGTGAGCCAGATATGGATAGAAACATGTGTGGGGTGTCTGAAAGAGCTTATTAGCATCTGAAATTGCCGTCCCAGCAGAGACGAAAGCAGAAAAACTAACGGGTAGAACAGGTATAAGGGCTCTGGATTCCATCCCTGCCGTTTTGAGAGTATAGTTCCTCACTCGAGGAAATTCGTGCAGATGAACATGCTGGACTCGTAAATTGAGAATCACACCGACAACTCGCGTGCAAGGTACTGCTCATTTCCCAGTCCTTCACCGACCCTCGTTCTAGATCCTTCCGCAGAAGGATGTTGAACCCCGCGTAAGCGTCGGCAAGGGTGTCATCTCCGATAAAGGCCACGCCGTCGAACCGCTCCAGAATCTCACAGATCTCAGTGTTGGTGTACCAGTGATAGAAACAGCCTTCTAACAATCAGTAATCCAGCGTCAAATAGCTATTGTGCACCGGGAAGTTCGCGGCTGGTGATCTCACTCGCCTTGGGAAGTGTATGGGGCGCCGAAGCCATGGCGGCCGCCGTTGCTCATGGAACTAAGCAACGACTCACGGGTCTGGCAGTACAGCTCGTCACTGGCGTGAGGAGGTAGATACAGCGCTTGAGAGGAAATGCCGCATTCACGGCCCAGGAACTGAGCTAACAGACTGTAAGCAGAATTCAATAAGTATCGTCCGCAATTCAGTGAGCAAATACCCAGACCAGAGCAAAAAGACTTACTCATCCCCAGCATGCGGTTTGACCGTGTGCTTTGAGGAGTATGAGAAGGGAAGATAGAAGATGTCCCGAATGAGCCAGACTATATACAACACGCCCAGCACCCAGAGCGATGCCATGAGCTTGTAGGTGGACGATCGCCAGGTGACACGGCGAGTCAACCGTCTCCCCCCAGGGCCTTCGATCGGACCGCGCCGTGGAGTGTAAGTATGATGGGGTTGCTGCATGCCAGAGAAAGGATAGGCCACGGCCTCGTTCATTGAAGATGAAGCCAACGATTCACTGTTGGAGGCACGGCGACGTGACATCTTCTGTTTTATACATCGGCTGGTCGAGCAGAAAGTACAGCAAGGCTCATTTGCGAGGGAAGGCGCTTGATCCTTGTCCTTAGGTTGCCTTTTTAGCGGCACGAAATGAGACGGCAGGAAAAAGAAAAGGGAGAGGCGAGAAGGCGACAAGAAAAGATATGGTTATTATTTGGAAAAAAAAAGAAACAGGAAAAAGCGACTAGGGTTCAGCAGAGTAATCGATCCACCAAGCACAAAAAAAGACGGACCTCCAAGGGTTGAAGCCGATGGGTCGCAGTTGCAAAGCAGCGAAGAGGACAGCTCCGAAGAAGCAAAGAGGGGCGCGCGGCTTCTATCGTGCGTTCTGTTGTATTTCCCTTCTGGTCCTTTCGTACTTCTTGCGCTCGTCTTCCTCGACCTGTTTCTCCTCCGCTCTCTCTCTTCTCCATTCTCTTTTGATTCCATCACTTGCTCGGCTTTGTTTATCTTACGTTCTCTGCACTCCCCTGCCAGATTGATCACCCTATACTAGATCAAACGATCCTTCGCCACGCACACTCCATTTGCGCCCACTGGAGGCGCCGGAGCAGGACAGGGGCAACCTGATGAACCGGAGTCAGCTACAGGGGGTACTTTAGCCTCTTGACGGCAGGAGGGCGAAAAGGGCAATCTCAAATCTGCGGATCCTTCCTGGATATCGGCAGTAGTAAGTCCAGCGCTCTGGCGAACCTACCATCAGGCGCGGCAAAATAATAAATTGGAGCGTCGTGCAAAAAGTACTAATGATGATGAAATGGCAGCGAAGAAAGTACAAAATGATTGACGTCGCTGCGTGCACGCTTGCATCATCAGAAGAATCTCGACTCGCTTATGCTGCATGGGGGACCTGACAACAATACATATTGACCCACATGGCTCGAATATATCTTCAGAATGACTTCATCCTGTTTATCGGGGCCAGCGATTCATGCCCATTGTCGCGAGCTGTCATTCCCAATTGCGATCACGGTGCCGCCTTGGGCAAAACGTAAACAGAGGGCCAACACCAAGGGAAGAAACCGCAGCGTGTGCTTCTTGTGGTCTAGACACACCGTTTCGGTGGAATGACAGCCAGTGAGATAAACTGCCGGCGGATTTGCAGTCACAGACTCCGCTGGTTGGCTGGGCCGAGAGATGTCAAACAATAAACGAGACCCCACTGCATCTCCGTCCTCGACTCTTCGCACAAGGCTTCGGGCGGAACAGGTGGAAAATTAACAAACGGTTTGCGACGGCGTCCCTTGGGCTGCCCCTCAATCCTGAGTCCTTTGAAGCACCTCAACCAGAACGGAAATCGAGTTAAATTGTGGGTTACCGGATGCGATTCTAGTATCCTTCAAGTTCCGCGAGAGGTTCTCCTTCCCTCCCTCCACCTTTGCGCTTAGCCTCTTTCTCTCGGCTTTTCTGCCGTAAGAACTAAGAAGCTCAGGGAGAACGATCGTGATGACGGAAGACAGCAAAGCACAGGCGATGCGAGGGATCTAAGAGACATGGTTGGGTACCGTCATATACCCTGGTTTTACGCCGCCGTCTTGCTCCTCCAGATTTAAGAGTAGACCGTCATCCCTTCCTTCCAGAGCTGTTTCCTGCGCATCTCATTCCCGGAGTAGGACCAATTCCTCGGGACCTGATTGGCTGTTTTTTTAAGCTCATCATGACATTGACGTCTGAATCATCAATGTTATTAATCCTAAGTTCTGCGAATAACCTTACGATCGCCATGTCGACAAGAATTTATACTATTATATCGAAAGCTGGAGCCATCAATCAAAAAAAATTCGAAAGAGGTGAACCATGCACAGGGAGATCGTCTTCAAAAACAGGGGTTTTAAGGAAACATGGAACGGCCAGGGTTGGGAACGCTGACATAGACATTCGAGAACTGTGGGCATCAATTAACCTCTACCAGGGTCTAGGTGAGCTTGGTTTCGAAGACATGCACGAAATATTCTCGATACATTGTGACGGCTTGAAAGGGTTTGCTCATCACCTGACGAAACTACATGTTGCTTTTTCAGGAGTTGCGCTTGTCTGGGGATCGGAGACACTGGCGAAATCAACCCATTCTCGGGCGAAGGGGAAATCCGGAGAAACGTTCACATTCATCGGCAATTCGAACGATCAAGAGCAGAGGCCCTGGACCGCCCGAAAGGTGGGGGTTTACTCGCCTGTCCCCAAGCCGCGGGTCTGAGATCCTCGGAACAAGAGAACACAGGATCAATTCCCCAATTGAACTGCCCGGAATGGCCGATGCTATCTGCCAGTGCATATAAATGAGTAATAGTTAGATGTAAGACAACAAGCTGAAGAATGATTGACCAAGAGTCTTGACCGTGGATCGTCTGATTTTCTGCATTATTGACTTTGGTCCTCGGCCAAGCACGGGATCCCCCCACACGTGACCACCCCCGGCTTAACTCTCCGCAAGACCAAAAACAGTCATTGCTCTCCATCCGCCGAAACTCACTACTCACAACTTTTAACTTTGTCTGATCTCTGCAAGGACTGACTTTTCCATCTGCGAAGCCGAATTCGGATCTGTTCTTCTGCTCATATTGGGCGCTTTTCGTGGACTCTTAATCTATCTCCGACTATTCTCTAGCTCTAGCTCCTCTAGTTCGGGCAACCTCGGCAGTGGTCTTGAGCTCTCCGACCTGACCATTCCACGTCCGTCATAACTGCCCGCGTGCTCTTCTTCACCCCGGATTTTCATTCCAAAGTCATCCTATTCTTTCGACGTCCCTCGTCTTTCACAGTCTCAACTTAACTGAAACATTTGGAGAGTGACGGCCGTCCGGCCTGAATCGCTCTCAGCATGTGGAAGCCGTCGGAGCGCCTGATGGAGACCATCAGGCATTACGCCAGCTTTCCGGCGACTGGTGTCTCGCTCCGACAAATGGTTCAATTCGGAGATAGACCGTCAACTGGTAAGTGTCCTGTCTCTTCTGCAGGGTGTATCTGCTGTTCCGCTCCGGTCGCGATGTCTGACATCACGCCCGCTTTAAACAGGAACCTTGTTTCGCGCCTCACAATTTTTATCAGAAGAACTGCCTATTCGCCTCGCTCATCGCGTCCAGGATCTTGGAGAACTTCCTGACGGGCTCAGTGAAATGCCCTCGATCAAGAAGGTCCAGGACTGGTACGCGCAGTCCTTCGAAGTATGACTCACACCAACCGACTCTATGTGACGAAACACTGATAAAGTTTTCAGGAAATCATTACCCTTCCCCGACCGAGCCTCACCCAAGAAGTAAAGGCGCGCCTTTTGCGCCAGAACAGAGCGCATAACGGACATTCTAAAATTCTCTCCGAAACTACACAGAATCCAAGCATCCGTGAGGGGCAGTACCGCTCTTCCCCCACCTCTATAAACGGCAACGGCAACGGCAAGGCAGCTGCAGCTGCAGCGCGAAGATACTTTGTCCCATCAGATGACCAGGGAAATTGGCCTCCGGAATTGAATGACTACAATGAACGTTTCGCAAAGACCCTGCAACACATCAAACGGCGACACGACAGTGTTGTGACTACAGTGGCTCAAGGAATTCTCGAATGGAAACGCAAGCGCCAGCGGCTACAAATCGACTCGACCATACAATCATTTCTTGATCGCTTCTACATGTCCCGCATAGGTATACGAATGTTAATCGGCCAACACATCGCTCTAACGGAACAAACGCACGTACGACACCCCAATTATGTCGGGATTATATGTACCAAAACGAATGTGCGGGAGGTGGCACTCGAGGCTATCGACAACGCTCGTTTTGTCTGCGAGGATTACTATGGTCTCTTTGAAGCTCCTAAGGTGCAGCTTGTCTGTAAAGAAGATCTGAACTTCATGTACGTTCCGGGTCATCTGTCACACATGCTCTTTGAGACTCTGAAGAACTCTCTGCGTGCTGTGGTGGAGACCCACGGTGCAGAAAAGGAGGCATTCCCTATCACCAAGGTCATCATCGCGGAAGGTAAAGAGGACATCACGATCAAAGTCTCGGATGAGGGCGGTGGTATTCCACGTTCCTCCATTCCTCTTGTCTGGACCTATATGTACACGACTGTTGAGCAAACCCCCAACCTGGATCCCGACTTTGACAAGAGCGACTTCAAAGCACCTATGGCAGGGTTTGGATACGGTTTGCCCATCAGTCGTCTATATGCTCGGTATTTCGGGGGTGACCTCAAGTTGATCAGTATGGAAGGGTGAGTTTCTCAAACGACGATGCAAATTACAAGCTAACTCGAATAGATACGGAACGGACGTCTACCTCCATCTGAACCGCTTATCGTCGAGTTCAGAGCCCCTCCAATGACAATTACCAGTCATGAGGGATGGTCGCGTTCGGTTTTCTACTTCCCATAGACTTCACCCCTTTTATTCAGAACCCGATCCCGCGCCAACCCAAGGATTGACGCCGATGAACATACAAGCCATACGCGCACGGATGCGCACCAGAGAAGTCTCTGAGCGTAAGCAGGTCGGAGATGCAGAGAGCCTGCTTAACGCCCAGAAATAGACATTGTCCACGCTTTCATACAGGCTGAAACAGCCTCTCGCACCTTCGACACTGTCCACTCTCACAACATTACATGAAATTAAACCATTCAAGTCGTGATGCAAGAAAAGGACATGAAAGTGCTTAATATTTGCATTCCGCGTCGCAGCATCGCAGCATCGCACCATTCAGCCATGACCGGGCCACTCGCCGACAGATGGCCGGCCAATCTGGGACTAGACGATAAAACGAGTCTGTTTGTGCAAACCACACGTTGTACTTTGGAAACCCTAGGGAAGCCATCACAGGTTGGAGTCCGTGATGTAGGGATCGCATTGTATACCTAGTAGAGCCTCATCTCTACCTCCCGCCTTTTCTTCCTTGATATCCTCAAACTCCTTTATTCTTTATACTTTGTGTACCATAGCTTCACGTGTTTGGCTTTTTTTTGCTCTTGCTCTGAAACGGCCGAAGATGTACAAGACCTAAAACGGGATATGATTGGCAATTTGAGTTCGAATTCACCTTGCTCCATAAATGCGCAGTTCCGCGTAGACTCCAAAACAGATCGTAAAGTCGTTACCCGCGCATAATCATAACTCATCAATGACCAACTCAACCAGTTTACCAAAGTCAACCAAGCTATCAAGGGGGCATCATGGTAACCCCATAATCCTGCCTCTCTGCCCCACTCCACCTCCTCCGCCTTTCCCTCGTCTGGCCCTGATGCCCCGAATGCCTCCCAGACGAGACCCTCCCCTTCCCCCTCGTTCTCTCCGGCGTGCCCGCCCCTTTCCCTCTAACCTTCCCCAACGCCCCCGGAGACGAAACCGCTGGCCCTGAGCCACCACCGCCGCCATCATTTTCGCGATACCACCCCGAATCATCCGTCTCGCAAACATCCACTATCCCCCTCGAGACAGCCACTACGCTATCGATACTTGAACTAGACGTAGTTTGCTGTGCCGAAGATGACGACGCTCGCGCAAACAGCGTACTGCTCATCGGTATCAAAACTTGGTCCGCGCGCAACGCCGCAGCGGTATCTGGGTCGTCGGGGGAGAGGAGTTTCGTGAGGAAGCGGCGGCGGGTTTGTGGGAGGGTCTGGGTGTCCGTCTGTTAGATTTTGTCTCCAAACACTCTCTCGTTTTATAAATGTGCCTTGTAGACAGCGAATAGAATTGAGGAAAGGAGAGGCGTACCTCCTGCGCAGCAAGCGCCTGAATCGTAAGCAGCTCGCGATCCATAAGTACACAGAGCGCGGCATGTCGCTCCTCTCGGAGACGGCTGCGGAGTTTCATCTCTTGTTCGTGGGAGAGCGGGGGCGGGTATGTTAGCGATGAGGGGCCGGGGACGTGGGAGAGGTGGCTATGACTGCGGCTATGATTCTGGCTGGGAGCGTGTGGATGGAGGGGTGGTCTTCCTATGACCGTTTTATCGACTGTCAGCTCGGTGTTTCGTGTATATGTTCTAGACTTTGTCCCGGCCGACAAGCGGAGCGGGGGCGAGAGGAGGGAGATGGGTAGGCGAGAAAGAGGAAATGCTAAAATGGACGTACTGGCAAAGCCGGTTAACCCAATATTTGACGGTTGTTGTCCATTCCCACCAGCGGTAAACTCAATCAGCATCTGCTGGACATCCTCGTCGTCATTCTCGTCTGATTCGGAGTCGATCACGATCGTGTTTTGCGGTTGCCCCTGCGGCGGCGGTTGATTGTAGCGCCATGGGCTGGGGTTGAACATTGTCGGTGGTGTTGCGGAACACCTGGGAGGAACTTGAAAATAGAGAGAGCGGGTGTGGCTGTTGTTAAGGTTATGCAAGAAATAATTGAGTGTAGATTTGGCAGAGGAGGGATGTTTCGGGATTGTGAGATGTCGATCAAATGTGATATCGCGACTTGAAGGGGCCTTAGGCAGCTCTCCACATTTTCGGGCGGAAGTGCTGAGTCAGCCAGAGCTTACCCCGCTTCCGCGCGAGCTATACTCCGGAGTAACGCCCCAAGATTTTGCCGGACGATGGACAGCGACCGTCTTGACTAACCTTCAGTAGTTTTGTATGGGCATTCGGTCATCCGCTCTGGAGCCTACTCCGATAAGAATCTATTTTCACTATGCTCTGCCTATGCAAAAACCCCAATTTTAACATGCAGAATCTGCGATGCAACAGATGCTCTCCTCCAAGCATACTCTTGGACATTCGACACCAAATTATCCTCATGAACAGAGCGTTTTCCAAGAATTTGTTGAAGCTAGACTCGGCTCAATAAAAAAAACAGGAAGAATTCCTTGGTTAACCTATAAAGATGAAGTCTATTGACGTAGTTACTCCGAGTGCGACAAAAGCCTTGGGTACTCGGCTATACCTTGCCCCCTCACCCCTAAAGTATAAGTAGACCTATGTATATCCGAGGTCACGATGAGGAGTCACTAGTAAGTCAGGAAAACACCATCAGCATGTTAAGTGAGAAAGGAAAACGGCCTGCTCGAGTTGCCAATTGTTCTGGGTATCATGGTACATCTTTCTTCTCTCTTTATGTATTGATGATGATTAACGAGAGAAGGCGACCCTGCATATGAGATGCACCGCCAGGCAACGCTTGGAGATGTCGACTTTATCACTGGAGACTATCTCGCGGGTAAGTGGTTACACCCCTTGAGTGATGTTGCTAATGGTGTTTAGAGGTCAACCTGGCCAACAACGCGGGAGCCTGGCGAGCCGGGAAGCACCCTGGCTACGAAGAGACAGCATGGGAGGGCATTCAGCAGACTATCGATGTCATTGCGGATAAGGGTATCAAGGTCCTCATCAACGGAGGCGCCCTAGACCCAAAGGCCCTCGCGTTGAAGGTCCAAGGACTAGTTCGTCCCTCCATTCATACCAGCCTAGGCATGTACCGTGTTAACGAGAAAAGGTCCAAGAAAAGAACCTCTCCCTCCGCATTGCCTACCTCTCCGGCGACGACCTGTACCCCCGTTTTGGCCCTAACATGCCTACAACAAAAGACCAACTCACTCACTTCGACTCCGCCAACCCCTCTGCCGCCCCAACATCCCTAACATACGCCTTTCTTCGCGGAAGCCCAGATGGCAACCCAATCCCCATGGTCTCCGCACACGCCTACCTCGGCGCACGGGGAATCGTTCACGGTCTTCGCGCGGGAGCAGACATCATCATCTGCGGACGCGTTGCGGACGCCAGCCCTGCCATCGCAGCAGCTTGGTACTGGCACGACTGGGACGAGGCGGACTATGATAGACTCGCCGGGGCGCTAGTTGCGGGACACTTGATTGAGTGCTCGGCGTATGTCACCGGTGGAAACTTCTCGGGGTTTGATCGATATGATATTGAGGACTTGGTAGAGCCCGGGTTTCCGATTGCGGAGATTGACAGCGATGGGACATGTGTCGTTACCAAGCATCCGGGGACGAAGGGAATGGTTACGACGGACACGGTGCGGTGTCAGTTTTTGTATGAGCTGCAGGGGACGGTATACCTGAATAGTGATGTCAATGCGTATATTGGAGGGGTGGTTGTTGAAGATGTGGGCAAGGATCGGTACGTCATTTTCTTTGTTTACTCGCCGATAGATTGTTAGATCTTCCTCTGCACTTCCATCGCAGCTAACAAGCAATCGATCGCAGGGTCCGCGTCTCCGGTATCAAAGGCTCCCCACCACCCCCAACAACCAAACTCGCCGTCTTCTACACAGGCGGCTACGAGGCCGAGATTCTCCTCAATGCAACCGGGTACGGCACGGCACAGAAGTGGGATCTCGTCGAGAAGCAGATCCGTCATTTCTTGCCCAAGCCTGCGCTTGAACAGCTGGAGACCCTTGAATTTCAGCGGTACCTTTCCCTATCCACTCGCCTCTCCAGGAGATCTTTTTTAATCATATATGATGGGGGCGCCTAGAATTGGAACGCCGGCCCCGGATGCAAGAAACCAAACAGCGAGCACAACATACCTCCGCATCTTTATCGCCTCGCAGAATCCGCAGGCAGTTGCGGCGGTTGGGTTGACGTTGAGGAGTATCGCGTTGAAGCATTTCTCTGGTCCGTTAGCCCTTTCCTCTCTTCTCACCATGTCCCTTCATCGCTTTATACTCATTAATACATCATTAATACATTTGCAGGCTTCCACAGCACCCTCGACACACGTACCGCGGTCCCCCGCCCCTTCCTCGCTTACTACCCAGCCATAATTCCTCAATCCTCTTTACAAGAAACCATAACCCTCCTCAACACCAACGGCTCAAGTACGGTCCTCGAAACAGGCCATCCTCCCCGCTACTCCGCGCTCGAGAAACGAGAAAGCTACGACCCTTGCCCATCCAAACACGCCTCCCAACCACAACCACTCGAAGAAACGCAACCCATCCGCCTCGGCGATATAACCCTCGTCCGCTCCGGCGACAAAGGCGGAAACCTCAACGTCGGCTTCTTCATCCCGGACATCGAACTCGTCTACCATGTAAAGGACAAAGACGCGGCGTACCAGTGGCTACGCGGCTACCTGAGTATCTCGCGCATGAAGGCTCTTCTTGGCGATGACTGGAGGGAAGATGAGTACTTTATAGAGCGTGTGGAGTTTCCACACATTCGCGCGGTGCATTTTGTCGTTTATGGGATCCTTGGGAGGGGGGTTAGTAGTTCGTCGAGGCTGGATGGGTTTGGAAAGGGGGTTGCGGATTGGCTTAGAGATCGAGTTGTGCATGTTCCTATGGGGCTCTATGGGGCTGCTTGAGGAGTCTTGATCTTTTGACCTCAGCATAGTGTGAGTGTATAGTTATTATGACTTTATATAACAAACAATATTGACGAATACATACATAATACATGGCCTTCAAAAGTCGAAGTGTAGAACGTGTATAGCTGACTATTCACCAAGTAACGGAAGACAATCGAGCATACTCTGGAACGTATCCTCCACCCGCGTCCCTGGTCCAGGCACCTGTTTGGCATGGCTCCCATCCCAACTATCACTCCGGAATCCGTCCGAATACCCAGCTCCACCCTCCCCACCAATCTCAGATCCAGACCCAGATCCCTCAGCCGACGGCGTATCAGTCTCAACTTCGCCCTTCCTTTCATTCCCCACAAAATCCAACTCGGCTTCCCCAAAATACACCCATAGGAAGTCGTCCATTGAGCCCTTGTACACCAAGCTCTCGTCCGCGGCATCACGCTTCGAGTCCTCCGTCGAATCCGAGGAGACGGTTCCATGCGGTGATGCTGCGCAAGCAGTATGAGCAGAGACACGAGCCGGGGCAGGAGCGAGAGCGCGGTGCTTCGAGACCGACATAGAAGGAAAAGAGAATGGAGACAATGACAAGGAGTCGGAGTCGGGAGGGAGCGGTGTACGAACGCTGGGCGGCGGATAAATGAAGCCCTCGCCCGGTGCGGCACGGAGCGAGAAGAATTCGTCTACATAGCGAAGTAGTCGGAGGTATTCTGTTAAGCGGAGCTGAAAAAGGCTGGGGAGGTGGTTTGGTGTGGTGGTGGTGTATTGGTAGCCGGTGTTCTCTGTGAGCTGGGTATTTGATGCTGCGCCGGTGGCAGAAGGGACGAGACTTGTACTTGATGAAGGTAAGGCGGAAGAGTTGTTTTGGGAATGACAGAGTTCCATCGCTTGCCACGACACAGCTAGGATCAGGGTCATATAGTACTGGCTGCGGAAACAGCGGAAGACCTCGACGAAGAAGACGAGCATGACCTCGTGGAGCTGCTTGTCTTCTTCTGTGGTGGAGAGTTGGGATTGAATGCTTAGCAGTATTTGCGGAAACAGGGTGTATGCGACGCTGTGTCAGCAGTTAGCATACGGAATGAATTAGGCTCTGAAATGAGAAGCGTACGCGCTTATAGGGAGTTTGTCTGCGACACCATTGAGGATGAGCTGTTTGACGTTGTCGGCCGTTGAGCGGATTGCCATGGCAAGTTCGGCGCGGCAGGACTCGATCCGTGGAAGGTCGGTTTCGTCGCTCAGGTAGGTGTTCTGCCCGATGAGGAGGCAGATGCGGTTGCAGAGGGCGATGCGGGCGGATCTGGCTTGTCAGATGCAAATCGTTCAATGACTTAGAGAGAAGTACTTACTGGTAATATATCGCGCAGAGATTCGTATACAACGTCAACGATGGATGGATATAATACTCCTTTCCATCCGGATTGGCTACCCAGCTAAACTCCCACTCCAGAAGGGCGAACTTTGTTTCCTCAAGCCGGTCCAGCTGCGCGCGGCGCTCCGCTAGGGAATATGGCAGACTGTGCGTCGTTGGGTAGACCAGCAAAATGGATTCCGTCACAGCGACAACAAGGTGGCAGAGACTGGCGAGCACACGACACAGGGCAACTTTGGTCTCGGGGTTGTACACCTCTGACTGCAGGCATTCTTCTTGGAGGTCTTCGAACGAGAGACCCGGTTGATTCAAGTCGAACTCATCAGGTGTGATTTGGATAGGTCGGCGCATGCCCAGTGAGATTATGCGGTCTCGAATCATGCAGCACCACCACAGACGCTTGAGGTCCAAAGTTTTCTTGCAAGGTTGAAGGTGGTGGTATAGATGGGCCCGTTCCTTCTTTGCGTGACGGATTGCCGTGCGCAGCCATCGAGAATTGTTAGAACGCTCGGCGTCGGTGCTGTAGTATGTAAGCAGGAGGGAGGCTTGAGCGACGACGAATCGGTCTTTTTCGACGCCGAGCTCGTAGAGGCGCTGCAAGGTTAGTTCAGTGTTTATGACGGGGGTGTGTGAGGAAGGCTACCTTGGCTCGTCGGTAGAGGTCGTCTCGCGCGGATTGAAGAGAATCGTATCCACATTCTTTGGCTGCTTCGAGAGGAACAAACTATGACTATCAGCAAAGTCCAAAGTAGGAGACGCGGAGCCGAGAAGGAATACCGAGCTTGTAGCAAAAAGCATTGCCTGAAAAAGCAGAGTCGAGATCTTGCCCGCGCTTCCATCCGGACACCGATACTTTCTCCAAAATAGCGCCTCATCAACCACTGGTAGACACGGGTGCACGTATAAGAAGTAGTGCTTTGTAAAGACATCCAAAACCTCCTGGATAGGCACCCGCAGAGTCCCCTGAGACCTCACAAACGTGACTCTTCCCGAGTTACGGTGTATATCGTTATTTGACGGGGTCGAATACGTTCTCTCGCGGTCCTTCGCAATTGCCCTCATTATCTGCTTCTCTTTATCCCTCTTCCCCGAGTGCAGAGTACACGATCTTCCGTCCAGGCGGCAGTTTGTGCAGGGGAAGCCGGTGATGGAGCCATCGCATCGGACTTTGCGAGAGTGGCAGCGGGTGCAGGCGCGAGCGGCTCGTTTGGAGCGGGCGAGATTGGGTATAACTTTCAAGTCTTGTGAGGACATGCTGGCAAGTTGACGATGGAGGTCGTGAGGAAGAGAGGTGAAAGGGAAGAGCAGCCGGGGCGAGGCAATTGCGGGGAAACAAGCTAGCAAGCTTGCGTCTGGGGACTCCACACACACAGCCCACACCAAGCCCACTTCCATTATTAAGTTTCTCTGAAACTTTCTTTGTTCGTCGGATTGAGTTGAGCTGAGCTACAATCAGTTCCAAGGATCCAAGCATTGACGGAGCTCACCAACTCGATCGCACCGCATGTTTCATCCACTGTGCATGCTTGACCACTTCCCAGCCCACTCCTTCTCTCGAAGACTCGAACAACCGCGCACGATGACTATGGAGGCAGAGCATGGGCCCACCGATCCGCGCTCACCGTCCCACATCTTTGCCCAAAAATGCATCAATAATTCCAACGGCACTTGCATTACCAAATTGTGCCCGGAACCGGCATTCCGTTCGCCCGGGCCACGTGTGGGAGAGATCTCGATCGTGGGAGAGCGTCCAGTGAGAGGGAAGGGAATAGCGAAGGATTCAAGACGATAAGGTATAAAGCCTTCTTAAAAAGTCTGGACTGCCTCGTCATTAGCGAGCTCCGAGGTAATCGCCCCTCCTTATCCGACTGCTTCTGGCTGGGCAATTGGCCTGCTGATTGTTTCGGGTTGCAAGGATCATGCGGGGCTTGGACCATCTGCTAAGTCCGTCGCTCCGAGTCCGACCAGGGGAAGGATGATTCCAATATGTCTTCATACTATATTCATTCGAAGAATGTTCGCTTGGGTTTCTAATCTATGACATATCAGGTGGGAAAAGGTTCCAAACTTTATGGCGCAGATGGAACTGGGCAAATGGAACCCAATCTCTGTTCCACGAACCGGCCATTTTCATCTTCCGTTTTGTCAATCACCCGGCAATTTCTTCTCCTATCCCAAGCAGGAGCAAGATATTTGCTGGCTCCTTTGCAGCTACCTAAATAAGAATGATTGAGGTTGTACGAAGCATAATGCAACTGATGCAGATGTGGCGATTTGTTTCGCATGCAGCTTTTTGCGCTTGCAGGGTGGACTCGAGAAGCTTCTCGTTACCATCATGGTGAGACTTCCATTAAACGCCGTGCTAACTCCTGGCTCGCTAGTAGGCTTGTCTCCTTTCTGGCATTCGCAATGAGAGATTCTTGCGCATCTCGTTGGCTACCCTGGACTCTCCGAAAGATATAGCAAACGGAGGCTCGTTTACCAAACATCTGTGCAAATCAACCAACGGACACGTCAGTGTTGGGTGAGAAGCAGCGGTTACCACAAAAGATCATGCATTTGTAAAAAGCAATATGTTACCAGCTCGTGTGAGAACTTAGAAGCCGGTTCCCAACAAGATAACCCGAGTCAAATGGTCCACCGATCGGCGACCTAGAAGTCTAGATTTGATAGTCTCAGGCACTGGGAATTAAGCAAACCGGGAGGAATCCTTTTCCGGCTGGCTCATCAATCAGGATTCCCCAATCTAGTGCGTAGGTTTTTTCAACTCGGAGATCTTCTCACCGAGTGGAAAGAAAAAGAAGAAGAAGCAAAGTACCCTAGTACAGTAAGTACCTAGGAAAGAGGATAAAAAAGAAAGTAGCGAGTCCAAAGCAAAGCAAATACACGACTTCGATATCTCAATTGGCGCAGATGCCCCTCTCTCTCCAACACATCCTCGGCTGGCTTACCTAGGTAAACACCAAGCTCCCCTCACCATCAGGGCGATCTGTATCCACTCAAGCTCGGTCAGCGCGCTTGCTCAAGTGGGGTCGGCCGAAAGGGGACTATATCATCGCGATACTTTTGCAACCACAGATACCTTCAACAATTCCTTTTTACAAAACTCGCTGCCTCAGAATATACGCCAGAAGTCGCCAGCGGGCAACAGCCAGCATGACGATCTACACCTCCACGCTCGCACCCTTCAGCGACATCACCAATCTCTCAATCCCACAGTTTATGACGCGATACAACCCCGATGGCGTCTCCGCAGACAAAGTCGTCCACATGGACACATTCTCCAACGAACACTTGACCTACGGATCCCTGCGAGAGAAAGCGAGTCGTGCGGCGTGGGGATTGAAGAATCAACTGGGTGTTAGGCCGGGGGATGCGGTGCTTGCTATTGTTACAAATTCGGTGCGCCTCGCTACTATCAAGGATTGCATGGTGTATTCCTGGCTTACCAATTGATTGGGAAGAACGACTTTGTGCTCTTAGCGCATGCGACTTGGTGGGCTGGGGGTGTGTTTGCGTACGCCCATCTAAACTCCTTCTCCGTACAAGATTATAGCTAACAAGGGATCTGCAGCCCGCTTAACACCTCCTCTACGCAGAAAGACATTGAACATGTCCTGAAGCTCGTCAAACCAACCCACATTGCGATAATCGCCTCGAAACTCACCCAGGCCCAGAACGCTACAGCAGCCCTAGGCATAACACCAAAGCTCTTCACCGTGCTCAGCAAGGTCGCAGGTATTCCACAGGTATCTTCTATATTGCGCCATCTTATACAGAATGCGGAAACTAAACCCCCACAGTTTCCTACCGACATCGCCGGCACAGACCCCAAGAGCCAAGCCCTACCCCCATTCGACCTGAACGGAAAATCCGCGCAAGAAACTCCAAGCACGATATGCTTCTCCTCGGGTACAACAGGCAACATGAAGGGCGTGCTAATGTCGCACTATAACCTTGTCAACAACCTCATGCAAATGCGCGTTTCGTTGCCCTCGAGGTTAGTTTCGGGCATACGGGAGGTTTGGTTCACACCGTGTAAGCAACCCGTATTCTCGTACAAGTTACCCTATCGATAACCTTTCTAAGACCTTCTCCGTATGAGTTTATATTGACTATATACAACAGACTGCCACATCTACGGCCTCTCCGCCGTCGTCTTCGGGGGCATGTGGACAGGCGCAACATTCCTTGGCCTCCCATCCTTCGATCTCGAGACCTTCTGTCGCAAATCGAGCGAGCTCCAGGCAACGGATATGCATCTTGTCCCACCTGTGGCGCTGTTACTTACAACGTCAGGTATTGCATTGAAGTACGACGTACCCTCAGTGGAGAGGATCGTTATTGCCGCCGCGCCATTGAAGGTACTCCTCCACCATTGTTCACATCGCCGAGACTAAGTAGTTCTGTGAAGTGATGGATGTGTGCTGATGACTAGTAGGAAGCGCTGCAGCGCAAGTTAAAAAAGAGGTTTCCGAGGGCGAGTATTTGTCAAGGTAAGCACAAATTTTCCCTGGGTTATCGCGTTCGCAGCGCAGTGTATAAATCTAAGTATTACCGCCAGGCTACGGCCTAACCGAATGCTCCCCTGGCGTAACGCATCAGCTTGACGACACGACGTCGAGCTGCGGAACAGTAGGAAAGCTTGTCGCCGGAACGTACGTCTCGCTCCCTTCGTACCGACCTACACATGTCCACCCACTAACCCCAGATAAACAGCGAAGCCCGCCTCGTCGACCCCACGACCGGTCGCGACGTCGAACCAGGACAAGAGGGCGAGCTGTGGGTTCGTGGGCCGCAGGTTATGATGTATGTTCCACTCCAAAGACAGACGTAGTCGGGGGTCTGCTGATTCTCTCCTGTACAGGGGCTACATCAACGACCCCGAAGCAACAGCCGCAACATTCTCCGAGGGATGGCTGCGCACAGGCGATATCATGCGGATGGACGAGGACCAGAACTTCTGGGTTACGGATCGGTTGAAGGAGGTGAGTTATCCTCGCCGCATTAGTCTTCTTTTTTTTTTTTGGAAGCACACTTTGAAGGATCGAGAAAGCATAGCTAAACTATTCTCTTCCATTTTCCACGCAGATGATCAAGTATAAAGGGTAAGCGACCTACCTCACACTCACAATCATAACAAGCGCCACCTCAACACTACAAAAGACCCATCTAATAACCAGCCTAGCTTCCAAATCGCCCCCTCGGAACTCGAAGACCTCCTCCTCCGCCACCCACACGTAACCGACGCCGCAATCTGCGCGATTTACGACGACAGTCAAGCAACCGAAGTCCCACTCGCATACGTCTCGCTTACGCCCGACAAGGCTGGTTTACCGCAGACCGAGGTCCAGAGTGTGCTTGAGGAGATCAGAAAGTGGGCGGATGGACAACTTGCGGGGTATAAGCGGTTGAGAGGGGGTGCGTTTCACCTGCAGACGCTGCCGAAGACGCCGACGGGGAAGATTCTTAGAAGACTTTTGCCGGCGAAGGTAAAAGAGGGGAGGGGCGGACGGCTTTAGGGCTTTGTGGTTGTGTGGGGGTGGAGTTGAGAACGAGAACGGATTGCGAGACGGTAGGGTATGTATGGAGAGTTGGAGACGAAGCGATCAAGTCTCAGAGTAATTTATTTATTAGACATCATCCCCACTAAATCGAACAGATCTACCTGCCAATACCAATGGCTTCACTGTAGCTATATGTGCCGGTGACAAAAAAAAAATAGAAAGCGGTAGAATGAAATAAGCCAACATCAGAAGCATACAGTCGAGTCACCGCCAGCTCGACCGGAAAGAAAGTACAAAACACGACGACCTAAACTCCAGAGTAGATGCCGCTAAACGACTCGTAAATCCAGCAGACCGCCGCTGTCAGGCTAGATATCATATCACCAGAAGCAAAAATGTGTATTATAAATGGCAGGCAGTGTAGATTGATCAACATCCATGCATCAGTGTGTTGGTCGGCCAGTCATACCCCGCGTCGGACCTGTACATAGTCAAACAATAGTTAGCAGAGGCACGTCACAACAAAATATAGGTAGAGGAAGTGAGAGGATATCCATACCAAGTCGTCTTATTAATATTCCGATAGGCATTCGGATGCTTCGCAATATACTCCGTCGTCTCATACCCGGGCGGGTCACACGTAACGCTAACCTCGTCGGGATCCTGATAGATGCGAATATAATCGAAGCGCATAAACGCCGGCATATGATTCTCGATCCCCGGCTGAATGGGCGCAAAGTTCCATGCCATGCCCAGATTCATGACGATGGCGAGGGGCTCAACGGGGATAACGCGCTGTCCGACGTTGCCGTTTGGTCCGATTGCGCGGCCGTCGAGCGTCCATGTTTTTTCGGGGCCCACGAACCAGGTTACCTGGCCGTCTGCGCCGGGTGTGTACTCGAAGGCGTAGGTTTGGTATTCGTGTCCGTTGTACCAGTCGTTGTTGAGGTTTGTCACGCTGGACATGGCTTGTTGGTAGGGGCCGCCACGGTAGGTGTTTATCTGGGTGACGTTTCGGTCGTAGACGGCGGTGAAGTCTGAGACGTTACTTTGGGTTCAGTCGTATAGGGTATAGCGGAGGTACCTACCGTAGTCTGGCATGTACCAGATATCAAACGGAGCCATCTGCAGACTCTGCGAGACCGACCCTACAATCGTCGTCTCATCGCCAGTCAACGGCGAAACACTCGCCTCAATCACATCAATCTCCGGCGCACTGCGTGACTTGCCTGGGCTCGGATGGTCCGAGCCAGGACAGGTACACGCCGGCAACCGCATCCCAGGAAGCCAGTTCAGTCCATCCGTGGAGCTTTGGTTCGGCGTGATACCCGCATCACACTCGTCGGAGTAGCTATAGGGCCACATGCCTTCTGTGCTCGCGGCGTATCCGGGTCGGCCTAGGTTGCCCATTGCCCAGAAGCCCGGCCAGAATCCGGAGATCTCGCCGTCGCCTGGGAGGGATATGCTGGCTTCGAGACGCCCGCCGCTGAAGCAGAGCTTGTTCCAGCTTTGGACCATCCCGGATCGGTACTTTAGTTCGTGGTTTGGGAAGGAGTCGAAGCGGATTTCTAGGACGCCGTCTCTTGTTGTTACCGCGTCGGGGTCGTACCACTGTCGAGTTGCTGGGTTAATCAAACTTCTGGTGTGGATTGCGATTGAGTTGCACTAACCTCGAGATCCTGGGTGACGCCGTACCAGATATCCACGGCTTGATAGTAAGGGTCATCTCCGTCGTAGAACGTCCGACCAGGTTTCGTAAACTCGTCAGAGAACTGTCAATGTCAGTAAAGCTCTTTCTCTAAACTCCGTATACCTACAACAAGCTTCCACTCCTTCCCATCCGCCGACTTCTTCGTATGTTCCGACGCCGGCGTATCCGGATCTATTAGCCCTGTGCGGATATTCGATAATAAAGGTCGATCTCCAACATCAAGACACAGCGTATCCCCCTCCTCACAGCGCGGGCGCGGCTTCTCGAGCCCTTTCATAGCAGTCCTACACCAGTCAGAAGTCAGCTTTCGCAATCGCAAACGCAGACAGAGAAGCTCTCGAAAGACCTACGCGATAGGATACCCAATGAACAGCGCCAAGAACCCTATAGTAAGAAAAATCAAGCCACCGACATTTATCACACCGCGCCGATTCCAGATATCGCATTCGCGCTCCCGATCGCTGGGGTCCGGGTTGTGCAGGTAGTCGTCCTTTTCGACGTCCTCCGGGAACAGCAGTAGCCCGTCCGTCGGCATGATGTTGTACTTCTCCGTGACGGTCTGCGTGTTCATGTCGTTCTCCTCGCTCTCGGCGTGCGAGGGCGCGTGGGACTGGGTGTACGAGTACCCTCTCGTCTCATAGCTACCGGCCTCGGAGCTCCAGCTTGTTCGGCGCGAGGAGAGAATGGATAGGCTCGGTGAGCCGAGGTCCTCTCTCGAGCGATGGCGCTGCGGCCGCGGGGGTATCAGGAATTCTGTCGAGCCATGTTGGTTGAAAGATGCGTATACGGTTTGTAGGGTTCCGGTGGACTGGGAGTCGAGGATTCGCGGTGTCATTGGTGTGAGGGGGCGTCCGCTGGGTTCTGATAGGATAGGGCTAACGGTGCTAGCGTCGTCATCTTCGAGCACATCGTGTGTTCCGGAGTTGAGGCGGATGTGAGGAGTCCCGCGAAGAGGTTGTTCGGGGGACGGTTCTGACATGGTATAGTTTGTGTTTGTATGTTTTGAGTGATGTGTTTTGTTCGATTCGGCCGTGACCTAGATATGAAGCGACTGCTGTCTTCTGTGATATCAATTCCGCCTCTTTCAAAGCAGCCGCACTTCCATTTGTGTCTCACTCTGCCGTTTCGTTAGATATAGGGCCTGCACTTGCTTTCGAGAGGCAATTCCTTCGATTCGAACGCAAGTAGATACCGAAGCGGTGCGGCGCGGATGACAGCGATAATGAATGGACAGGCAAGTGGAAAACACTGCCTCTGAGAGTCAACACTGAGAGACACAGAAGATATGAGCAAAAGGTAATGTGCTGTTTTGATCGTGAATGCTCCTCTGGCGATGAAAGAATGGCGGACCAGGATCCGAACACGGTTCCAAGGAAGAGAAAGGAAAGGGGGAGACGAGGAGCAAAACAACGCAGCAAAGAGGGACAAGAATGAGAAAGCTCGGATACTCGAAAGGTGAAGGTGAGGAAGCAAAGGAGGGAGATAAGATGGGGCTCAAGGAAGGGATGCAGGTGGATAGGGACAGCCCACGCAAAAGAGTGGCAGGACTGCAGCTGCAATTGTTAACATCTTCTCTTCTTGGTAGGATTTGAACAACGCTGGCAAGGTTTATTGTTGTTATTTTCACGAAACTCATATCCAGAGTATGTTGAATCGGTTATCCCTCGCCATATCAGGGCAAGCCCAGGTCAAGGAATGCGCCGATCTTGAAGAGAACTTTGCCTACCTGATACTTTCCTAGGCAGTCTTGAAAATAAATAAAAAATGAAAAAATCAATAACACGCCGTCTGCATGAAATCTCGTCATTTGCAGCGCAGTTGTAAAGGATACAGCACCTACTACTTAGACCAGCCTTGTCAGTTTACAGCTCGCGCAGCCAGCCAGCCTCCGGAGATATACCAATTCAGGGACCTCGGTTCAATGGGGCTATAATGGAATGGGGTGCGGAATTCCGTTGCTATAGAAGGGAGAATGAACGAACCGATACCCAAGCAACATAGCATTCTAGCCGCGTACTCAGTCGAGACGATGAACTTTTTGACATCATCGCCTAGACTTACAGACACCTTGGCCTCAAGAAGAGCATCTTCCAGTTGCTGGCTCGAAGCTGCTCACTGCTGGGGCCTGTGCCTGGAGCTTTTCTCGGCGTCCCCTGCCATGCCTTTTTCACCCGTCCTCCCTTGCGTCCCAGCACACCACCATTCCCTGTATGAGCCCTTGACTAAGCGCATGGACTGACTCTGTCGACTGCATATAGTAGTCATGAATCATTCAGAATCAATTTTAACCGACTATACATCCAGTAGAAAATCCCGATGGCCCTTCATATCTCACAATATCTAACAAACCAACCTAGCTCTCAATAGCCTTCGCCCTCAACCCAACAAGCAAACTCTCTTCAGGTTCCAACGCCGTAACCCAGTACTCAACCCTCGACGGCCCCGTCTCCACACGATAGACCTTCAACTCAACCGCCGACTCATCGCCACCGGAGGCCTCAACAGCCGCCGCGCGCACAGCCCGCAACACAGACGCATATTGGTTCTTCGGGTCGAATGACGCATCGGAAAGTGTTTCGATTGACCGGGAGAGGTCAGTATCCGTTGAGATGAGTTTGGAGAAGTGTGCTGTAATCCAAGATGGTTAGCAAATCGTCGTCCACGAGGTGAAACCAGGCCGAGTCATGACGATTAAAGCGTAGTGAGGAAGTGCAGTATCAACATACCAGCATCCGGCCAAATCCCCTTCTCAGCCCCCTCCCACTTCAGCGCAACGGGCTCAAACAGCTCGTCCGTCTCGGAGATGTAGCATGCGTCGACGGTGGTCAGCGGGGTAGGAATCTTGACGTTGACGTCGACGGTCTCTGTGCGGGCGGCGGCGGAGGACGAAGACTGGGTTTCGGGCTGGGAGCGGCCGCTGTTGAGGTCGGCGTTTGCTTTGTCCAGGAAGGACATATAGGCGTCGTCGGAGGACATGCTGCGCGTGGTGATGAGGGTGGTTGGTTGCGGTGGTTGTGCTGAAGGGGTGGTGCGGATCGGAGTTCGATGGGATGTTGTGGAAACGGATTTGGGTTTTGTTGGAGCGAGTGGTGTTTTTGAGGATGAGTTGTAGTGATGAGAATGGGGAGTAAATGAGAAGGGTCGAAGTGCTGTAGCTTGGAGCGACGCCAGTGGCTTTAAAGATGAAGGGGGAGCTGGATGGGAGAGGTGATCAATGACGCAATGCGCTCTGCGGGTGGTGGCCTGCAACTTTCGCATCGCAGCGCTCGATTAAAAAAAAAAAAGACAAAAGCTCAGAGATTAGGTGTCCAAGAGTATTGATGATCTGATTATACCACCTCAGACAAAGGGAACGAACGAATAGAAGGCCAGTTCAAGTGATTTATTGCGGGTGAGCTTAGACTAGAAATTTGCAAGATTTTCAGTCATTTGCAGTCATAGCTCCCCAGCCGCCCGCAACACTTCCCGCTCAGGAGATGAGGCCTCAGGTCGGCACAGGGGTATTGTAAGCCTACAGTACAAGTTATATGCACTCTTGAAATGAATTACATTACTGAAAATTGAAGGTATTGCCGCTTTTTTTATTGAAACTCATAAGCTGTACTACACCAAACCATAATCTCCGTAAAACACCTAAGCAGAAGTAACAAGGTCCTTCTTGAGGGTACCCATGAAAGCGCGCTTCTCCTCGGGGGTCTGGAAAGCACCGTGGCCGAACTTGGATGAGGTATCGATCCACTTGAGCTCGACCTTCTCGGTGGCTCGGCGGTTGGTCTGGGGGTAGAGGGTCTTGCGCAGGGTCATAACACGCTTCTTGACACCGGGGACGGAGCCCTTGAGGAGAACGTAATCGTTCTTGACCTCACCGTAGCGGACGAAGCCACCAAGACTGGAAAAAACGTTAGTTATGTGTAAGGAAAGTGAGGAATCAAGGAGGAACATACGGAGTGATCTGCTTCTTGGAGACATCGAACTCGGTAGAGGCATTGGCCTCGTCGGAGCCCTTGCCGATGCGGAAGACCTTGTGGTTGCAAGAGGTACGGTGGTGGTAACCCATCTGACCAGCACGGGCAACGGTCCACTGGACGTGGGAAGGATGCCAGGCACCGATACAGGCGACCTTGCGGAGACCCTTGTGAGTCTTGCGAGGAAGCTTCTTGGTACCCCAACGGGAGGTGACACCCTGGAAACCGTGACCCTTGGTGACGGCAATGACATCGATCATCTCGTCCTTCTCGAAGATGGAGTCGATCTCGATGGGCTTCTCGAACAAGTTGCGGGCGAAGTCAACCTTGTCGGCAACGGAGCCACCGTTGACCTGGATCTCCATGAGGTGGGCCTTCTTCTGCTTGAGGGGGGTCTTGCGGATCTGGGTGTGGGCGAGCACACGGACGACGGTGCAGTACTTCTTGATGCGCTCGAGGTCGCGGGTGACACCGGCGCCGCTCTCCTCGGAGTGCTTCTTGGCGTACTTGGTGAAAGCCTTCTTCTTGCTCTTGTACCAGTTCTTGTAGAAGCGACGCTTGACCTCGTCGCTCAGGTGCTCAGCCCAGACGGTGGCGAGCGAGCGGAGACCACGGGGAGTCTCAATGTATCCGACAACACCGACGGCGATGAGCTATTGCGGGAAATTCAGTCAGCGACCTAGCCTTACGACCAAGGCATGGAGACTTTCGCGGGAAACGTACAGGAGGAGTCTCAATGACAGTGGCAGCCTCAACAATCTCCTTCTTGTGCATCTTGGCACCAGGACGGTCAAGGTCACGGACAACAGTGGTCATACCGGCCTTGTAACCCATGGAGGCCGTCAGGTGGACGGGCTTCTTGGGGTCATCCTTGGGGAAGCTGTCGCAAATCTCAGTAAAATGTCCCTTCAAATCCCAGCTGAAAACATTTTTCGCGGTCCAACTAACCTCTTGACACGTCCACGGTGTCTGGCGGCACGCTTGCGAGGCAGGTAGGCAAGAGAGCCTGTGAGTTCCTTGTCAGTATATTGTCCACACACGCACAAAAAACCCGTCTGTCGAAGATCGAGGACGAAAAGGTGGACGAACCGTGCCGAGGCGCTTCGTACTTCCGGTGACTCCTAGAAAGATGAGTTCAGATTAGTGATATTGTCCATTGCGAATAAAACGAGCTTCAATCGAGCGTAGGGGACTCACATCTTGACCCTGTTGTCGTTAGTTGTCGAAGGTGTGATTGAGAGTGTCTATCTCCAGGTTTGGCTGGCAGTCCGATTTTGCAACGCTTAACGAATTGTGGGCGGCTTCTAAGCGAGAAGTCTTGGCAGTTTGCCCTGTTACGGTTAAGGGCAGAACCTTGGAGCCTGAGGCATCGCGCCCACCGCACAGGCCGTCCGTTGCCTCAGGCACTAATTTTGATTCGCGCTTGGACTTTGAACTTCCAAGTATCTTTCAACGGGCAGCTCGGTCTACGAATCTTGGGCTATTGACATCAAAACTTATGAGGTTCAGATTTAGGTAAAGGGCATGAAGATTTCGTTATGGGTAGACTGGACAATACAAACACGGTCAACAAAACCACCCCTAGTACACTCTCAATCGTACAACACAACTCGAGGGCTAAAACAGCAGACAATCATAAATACCGCCGAGCGAAAAGAAAATCAAATGCATAAGAAAATAGGACATTGTCGATAAGGGAATGGGCGAAATGTATAAATGAAGGTCTGGGAGTTTCTCGTAACAAAAGCTTCATTGAGATCCTGAGTTGTAGCGCTGACAAAAAGTTTCTTGGCATACCCAAGCTAGCATTGGATGGGTCTGGATTGCTCAGATGGCGGGCTCCTTTGCTGAAACGCCATTGCTATTTCCATTGGCACTGCCGGTTCCACTCCCTTGAGGGCTACCCTTGACGGCACCGGCCTTCTTCTCGTCGTCACCATCATCGTCATAGTTCTCGTCGACTTCCATTTTACGCGCAGCAGGCTCGTGTGCCGGGGGTTGTTCACTGCGCGTGTGCTCCTCCTTGACAGGAATCTGCACTTGGACCTGCGTAGTGGGAGGCACAGTCGAGGATCCACTGGAGGCCGGAGCACTTTCGTTCATGGGAGGAAGGCTAGTTCCAGAAGCGTGCGGCGGCATGTGCTGGATGGATGGAAGCGTCTGAGGGTGGTGCGCCGCCTCAGAAGGGTGGTAGCTTTCGTTAACGCGACGTTGGTCCTCGCGGCGGATTTCGGACGAGCTGCGACGGCGAATCTCACTAGGCGAAGGCAGGCGGCTAGGAGACGGCACACGACGACCGATCTGGTCTTCGAGTCTGGAGCGGTTCTCCTCACTAGCAATCTTCTTCACCGGTCCGGGTTCACCCTCCCACTCTCGGCCGCGCTTCATAGCAGATGTGGGACGATCCTCGCGCTCACGAGCAGCGGCCTCCGCAGCAGAGATAGCAGACGCCGGCGCAGGAGCGCCGCCCGCAATGCCAGCGCTGTTGGAGCTCTGAACCGGTTGCACTGATACACTAGGGCCGTGATGATACTGCTGGTGGGGGTAGGTGGATCCGGGCGAAGAGGGGCGATCCTCGCGGATGGGCCGGATTTCGGTCGGCGGCGTGAAGGGGCGGTGATAAGGAGGCATAGGACCAGCGGAGTTGGGAGCGCTGTTAGGGCCGCCCGGAACCCCCGGGGTAGCGCCAGGAGGCAACGGGCCGCGGGAGGCAGAACCGAAGCCAGCCCCGCTAGGAGCACGATCATGGGAGGAAGGTGGTGGGTTCTGGAGCTGGGGAAGAGCGTGTCCTGGAGGGTAAACACCCGGTCCAGCGAGGCCGGGCTTTGGTGACCGGCCGCCTGGGAGAGGGCGCGCGCCCTCGGGCAATCCTCTGCCAGGATCTTGACGTGGGCTAGGCTGCTGGATTGCGCTGGGACGAGGTGCGTCGCGGTGATCGAATCCGTTTGCTCCAGGAGCTGGGCCTTGAGCCGGGACGTCGTTGATGCCACGGTTCCAATCAGCGATTTGCCGTGGAGGAGCTGGGGGCTGGGGAGGTGGTCCTCCGGTTGGAACAGGGGTTGCGCCCCATTGCGGTGCGGGAGGCGCTCCAACTCCAGGAGCCTGGTAAGCTTGGGGATGAACGTCCTGCGGTTGGGGAGCTGGGCCGTTGCTCTGGCCACCAGCGGAGAGCTGGTTTTGGAGGAGTTGCAATCGGGCTTTGATGTGGACATTAGTTGGGTCCAGGTCAGCAGCGCGGCCGTAGGCGTCCAAAGCATCAGCGATCTGGTTGTTGCAGGACTCGTAGAGAGTTCCCAGATCGTACCAAACCTCGGAGATGTACGGATTCAGTCGGATAGCACGCGAGTACGCATCCAATGCATCACGATACTGGTTAATCTGGTAGTACAGAACACCAATTGAGCACCAGAAGGTGGGGTTGCGGCCATCACGGTAGACTGCCTGCTGATAGGCCTCGTATGCCTTGGGGTATTTCGCCTGAGACATGTAGCAGCGACCAAGAAGATACCAGCTTTGCGCGTCGCTGTTGTCAGCACTAACGGATTTTTCGAGGAACTCGATCGCCTTTTCTTGGCTCGTGTAGCTGTTGCTTTGCTGGTGGAAAAGCCATCCAAGTTGTTGCAACACCTTGGCGTGGTTGGGATCACGGTCAAGAACGCGTCTATATGCTTGTTGCGCGGACTCGAACTAGGAGGTCATCAGCACTGATCAAACTCATGGTTGATTTGAACCACTCACATCTTTCTGCTGCTCATGCACATGGCCGATCTGGAACCAGATGTCTTCCTCCGTCAAAGGGCGTGGCGGGTCATTGACAATGTATTTGAAGCACTAATCATGGTCAATAAAGCATTCGTATAAGAGACCTGGAATCCACATACATCCAAGCTCTGGTTGAACTTCTGCTGCTGCTTGTATATGATACCCAGTCGAAAATAGATCTCGTTGGCTTTTTCAAACTCAGGCGCCATTCGCATAACTTGTGAGAACGCTTCTTCCGCGTGGTCGAGAGAGCCGTAACGATCGTAAAGTATACCAATTCCATACCACAACTTGGGCTCCTATTACATTGCAGGTTAGATATCGAAACATCACACAACTAGGGAGAGAGCGCTAACCTTGGGGTCGCGCAGGTGGTATAGCGCTTGCTGATACGATGTGTAAGCCTCCTGCAGATTGTCCATCATCAGGTAGCAGTGGCCTATAATATTCCGTCAATTACTCGTTCCCCAAAAGAGAGGATTCGGCGAGAACAAACGTACCCAGGCTTCCCCACGTTTCACCACTCCCCGGGTCCAGTTTGAGGATGTTTTGCAAATACTCGACGGCTTTAGGGAACTGTTCTCTCGTTCGCAGAATACATGAGATCGCATTCATGGCAGCGACGGACCATTGGTTATGACGTAAAGCTTGTTCGTACGCGTTCATCGCTCCGTCCAAATCGCCCAACAGCTCAGTCATGCTACCTAGAACAGAAGTCAGCAAGATGCGCCATTGAGACGGCCATGGTTCCGCGCCAAGTCGCTAGCGCAGGGCATATTCTTACCAATTTGTAGCCAGACCTGCTCGTTCAAAGTCGCGATCCTCTGGGCGGTGCTCACCGGAGGTTTCTGCGTCTGCGCTGGCGACTGCAGAGGTAGGTGACCATTGACGGGAGGATGGGCGGCGAGGTGTCCATGATGAGGAGCCACGCCTCCTGTGGGCGATGGCTGAGTGTGGGCCATCGCGTAGGTTGGATTGAAACAAAATCGCGAATCTCCCGAACTCGGCTGAATGCGATCAACTTTGCGAAACAAGTGATGCAGCCAATCTCCGTGCTACTTCGAGGTCGCACAGCCCCGGTATAGATAGTCGCGCAAGAGATGATAGCCCAATGACCCTTTACCTGAAGCACAACGTCCTTTTCAGAACGAATGTCTTCAAGGAAGAATGGATCCCGAGTAGTGACGACAGTGTGAGCTGGTGTACTCGAGTACGCGTCTGGTCGCCTAGTTCTGGGCGGTGGTTTGGCTCAATGAAAGTATATGTGAAGTAAAAGCTAAAAACGCGAGGTAATCAAAAAGGGAGTTTAAAGTTGACAAGGCGAGGAGTGAAAGTTGAAGTCTGGAATACACTGGAGAATGGTACGCTAAGCGAAGCAAGGTTGGAGAAAGGGATGGGGTTGGTTGATGGGGTCAAGTAGCGAAGAGACGAAGGGCAGGTCAAGGCGATGGTGTAAGAGGGAACAATGGGAGACAGGACAGAAAGCCAGAAGATCCAAGGCAAAGCCGAAGCCAAAGAGCCAAAAAGGAGAAAAGGAAGAAGAGAGAAGGAAGCGGGAGAGGATGAGAGAAAGGCCGAGGGGCTGGCGGTAGAGGGTGAAATTGCCAAGGGGCGCTAGTGGTTGCGCAGCTCTCGAGCAGTCAGCGACTCAGGCAAAAGCAGACAAGAAAGAGAGGGAAAGCGGTGGTCCGGCGCCAAGACCACGGACAGCCAGCTCTACCTCCAGGAACAGCCTAGCCGCTCCACAGGTGGGGCCCGTCTGGAGTCGTCCGCGGGTATTCTCAGTCAATTTTCCGGCTCTCAAGGCTTATGAGCCTGAACGAAGGACAGAGGGCGAAACATTGCTAAATGACTGCTACGGGTCCGATAAACAGTAATCGGAGGTAAATAGGCAAAATACACCTTGTAGCCTTCAAGTGATGTTACAGTCTTGATGCAGTCTTGGTGTTGTCAAGCCGTCTCGCGTGGGCGATTAATTGAGCTGATCCTTCTATCCCAATTACGGCATGACGATTCCGTCCATACGATGGGCTGGAAGGAGGCTAAGTGTGTCATGTTGGCAAGCGGGGCTGTGACTTTGAGGCCACAGAATACGTACGTTATGTGGCCCACTATACGAGCCGGCTAAGAAAGTGGAAAATAAAATTAAATTAGAATAAAAACTGAAAATAAAAATAAAAACATTCCGGGGGGCATTATCGAGATCAGTAGCGCAGGCGCTAGTACCCCAAAGATAGCCAGGGATGCATCGTGATGCGACAACCTAATCGCCCATGGTGCTCCGTAGACACTGAAACGACAAAAATAGAGATGCTCTGGTCTTGCACATGTCTATTCGCAAAATAAAGACCCCAAAGCACAGAGCCAGCACCGCGAAAAAGAAAAATCTGGCAGTATGGGGTCAGAAACAGGGCAAGGTCTGACGAGGATGCAAGCGCCGGAGCCACAGGCCATCCAGGGATGAGGGAATGGGAAATCATGGGAGGGGCTCTCGCCCAGCACGAACCCCCGGCTGTGACTCGCCGAGTGGCTGCATGAGGGCCATGGAGCTAGACCCACCGGCCCTCTCTTTCCCCGTGCCATGATGCTTTAGGAAGGTTAGGTAATTATTTAATCTACTAGCGCATAATTTATGGACCGCCGCCAATAATTCCAGACAGTGTGGGTGGGCCTACACAAACATCCACGGCTGCCACTCTGTGCGTGCGACTCCGGAGTTTGCCTTCAAGCTCAGCCAGCTAAAGCGAGGTAAGCTCCCGGCACCTTCCAAGGAGCACGCCAAGTAGCATACTAACGTAGGAGTCAGGCATGAGGCGCTCCTCCAAGAGTGAACCGCACTTTGTATCGCCCAGCTCGCAATAAAACGATTGCCCCTCCCAAATAATCCAGAAAACTGGTCCGTTGGGCGCCATCCACACAATCCTACTCCGGAGTACTCCGTACAGCCGCGATTTCGCACGCGCCTCCGCAGGCTTCTAAAGTCACAGGCGGCGCCAACGCCCTTTCTCAAAGGGCTAAGGGCAAAAGGCAAAAGCAAATTGCAACCCCTTTCCCGCCCTTCCTCGCACGGTCTGATCATCCCCTTCCACCTTTTGCCATATGCCGCAGCTAAGCAGGGACACCGATGTCAATACGTCAAATGACGCTGCATAGACCCGGCAATGTTCAGCCGACTGAATCTGTGCGTTGGCTTGCAGCTGCCTGCATTGTCACGGATCAGAAGAGAACAAAAGTATTTTCCTTGCATCACACCCGGGTCATTGCTTCGTATGAAGATCTCTCGGGTGGTATTCCATTCCAGCAGCCAGGCAGGAGTCAAAATGAAGTTTTCTGGGCAATCAGGCTTCTTCTTCCGTCATACCCACATCAGCCTAGCCAGGTGGCCTCAAGGGCTTCAGCGGTTCAGCCGCTGTGGTCGGCGCAGGCTTACTTAATGGGAGTACCCGCGCTAGCCTGAAGCAGACGCCAGAGCCATCGAGCCCAGCCACCAGCCACAGAAATGCTGACGGACCTCGACCAGTGGGCCGTTCCCGAGCTTTGATCCGTCGGGTCCTTCTGTTGTTGTGGTCGATGATCTTGATGCATCGCCTAGAGTGGGCCGATCGCTTGCTTTCTTTTTTTGTCCTCCCTTCCGGGCGTTCCCTTCCCCAACCTTGAAGGATTCACAGCCGATCAGCGCGCACACACAAATAATTATTTCTTTGGATAGGGAAAAAAAAAAAGTAAAGATACACAAGTATACTCGTCGCAAATCAGATTAGCCTGTCAGACTTGGTGTTGGTTCGTACCTTTATCTCATTCTCAAGTCCGAAACATGCGCGGCGCGCCCTGCCTGCCCGGTCCCACACAACGTTAGAATTCTGACCCTGGGCTGCCACTGAGCTGGCTGGCCGCTGGGCTGTGGCGCCCGATTACGGAGCAATGAGCATGCTCCTCGGCTTTTGCCTTTTTCCCAGAATGCTCGAGGAATGCGAGCTATCCAGTGTCCACTTTGCGCCAAAGTTCGTCCCCTATTCTCGGGCCCGAGCCACAGCCGCGGTCAAGAGCGACTTCTTTGGAGACTGGAGTGCAGCTCCCGAGTCAGCTGAAGACTTGACCACTGTTAGTTCACGCATTTCTGTTCGTATCATGAGCTGTCATATGCATCAAGGGGAAATTTGAGCCCGTTTTATCTCAAAAAGATGCCGCAGTGGTGCCTTTCGATTGGAGTTCTCCGCAAGTATACTTCACCACGATATGGAGATACGAGCTATAGAAATTGACACACTCTCAGTGAGGAGGATAGACTATATATATTTTAGGTTTATATTGTAGTATAGTGGTTCATAGAAAATAAAGTTTTACCTATGTAGTCGATTATTGATGAGAAGCCCACCATGTTGCCTGGATATATATCTTAGTGTCCGCTATGACACACAACATCTGCAAGGGCAAAGGTGTGCTGCATTGCTTCTGGCGTCCAAGAGAAATAGTCTTATTACATCTCAGTCAAGGGCTTCTCATACAGATAGCAATGAATGACGCTGGTACTACGCAATATAGTGCAGTGATATCTAGTAGACGCTCACGAGGTGCTTTTGAGGAGCGGACGGCCATCGCGACCGTAATCAAAACTTTCAATTCAACCATATCTAATCCATCTTCTATCACCATTTAAATATCAAATAATCAATTTGAAAAACATTATCGCATATCTCTTCCTTGAAAAGTTGAAGTTTCCGCCTGCGATATGCTCACTTGCCGAATCCTCGGCTCATGCCAATTCTGCCTGAGGCTTTTATTTTCTCTCCACCACAAACCCATGCTCTTTCTTATGTAAGCTAGATACGATTGCGTGCCACCATCCTTGGATGGAAAAGCATGTGAGCGATTTCTCCAGACCCTCGTCCGCAGTGCCTATTCGCAGAGCCGCGAGGCGCCGTTTCAAATGGTGATACCCCCGCATCCTCCAGGCTCTAGGTTGTCCATCCCTCCGAAGAGTGGTCGACGTAATCACCATCCATCATTCCAAACACAACACAGACAACGGATCGTGGATGGAGAACTTAACTAATCACCTCCAAACTTCGACCACGGCAAGAGGCGACCATGGGAGTCATTTTGGCATGGCGACACTCGGGAACCTAACCGATTTACTACATGGTTCATTCCTGGAGCCTTGATTGACACAAAGTTTAGGGATCCAATAATCACTTACAGCGATCATGGCGACTACATCACGATGATGGGAAAATTAGGTTGCTTTCGGGCACGACGGAAAGTCTCCTTGCTTGACCTCGGTACACCGTACGGAGTACGTACTCGAACGGTCGAGCCGAGCCGTTAGGTTGACATAAGGATTATTCCCACCTCCACAATGATTCAGTGCTGATTCAATACAGACTCATCTGTGGAAAACGAGCAGAGAACGTGGCAAGTCTTCCACGTCTTACGATGTCCTCGAGAGAACCAGAGTACTCTTAAGTTTATCTCTATGCCGGTCCGAGAACAACCGGCATGGAAATGTCAACAACCCTGCAAACGCCATGTTAATCATGTGACCCACAACACTTGTCAACTTCTTTGCTGTTTGCTTGCCGGGTTTCCTTTGCGTTACTGACAACAGCAGCAAGACAGATGGCTAGGCTTGAACATGCTGCTACTCTGGCTAACAAATCTCTCTTATGGTGGTACAACATCGCCGATCTATGTAGGCGATGTCAGATTCGCACAGTGCTACAACGTACTAGTACGAGGAAACGAAACGCTGCACTCTGCAACGGCGCAGTAGCCCGAATCAAAACATGTTACGGAAGTTTTCCAGAATTGCACCAACAGGGTCTCGAACGAGGCGTTCTGAGACACTGCAGGCAGTGGTTGAGCCAGAAAGCGAGATGCAGCAGAGCGGGTCTGTGTGTTCATTCAAGTCTCTGCTGCTGGAACCTGTGATGCAGCAGGATGTGCTGAGGGTCAAGCCAGGGTTTTGCTGGTAGCCTGGAGACAAGCGGCATTTACGAATGAGTGGGGAGTAATCTGACCGGTTCTATTATTATCGACATATTGACAGGCCCCTCTTTGAACCAAGTTATCATCCCCACAAACACCCTCCCCAAACTATATATACGGCACTATAGAACCACAGAACCCTTCATCCAAACCGCAGCCGTGACCTGGCCAGGTCATACAGCATCATGCACCTCGATAGGACAGACCGAGTCGCCATGCAAGTACCGTCAGAGGCCCGATCCCCAAACTTGAACCTCCCAACCGGCCGATGCATTGACAATCGTGGGGGCCTAACCGACATAACCCGGGAGAGCCAGTCGCACTTCATATTGTAGCGTGTCATTTCAAGCGTGTTCTGACTGTGTTTTTCTCATGTGCTGCAAGGCAGATGGCAGATGCAGATGCAGATGCAGATCTTGCTATGTTCATATACCGGATGAGTAGGTAGCTATTGTGAGACTCGGAGGTTAGGCGTAACGGTCGGGTAGATTTTTAGGCATTTATCCCTTTTGGCAGCGGGGATGATGGCGGATGGTTCCTATGCTACGATGGCCCGCGGCTGGTGCCTGATTTCAGGGTCTTCAGGGTAGCATCCAATGATTCTGATCGCCTTGTATTTTGGGACCCTCGACCGCTTTCACGAGGGTCTGTCAGACTACCTTGCTAACGATCTATCGCCGGCGACTTGTAACCAGCCCCAGAGCCTCAAGTCTCGAAGCCCGCTTTTAACTAGAAAGATAGACGCACCGGGGTATATACACCTTCCAGGATTTCGAGATAGAGGTTTCCTGCAGTCTACCCGTAGGCCAGAAAAAGCATGGTACTTACTCACTAGTAGTTCGTCCGAAGTATTTCGGGCGTATAAACCAATGGATCAAAACCCAAGTGGAAGACACGACGCGCTTACGACCAGAAATCGTGCGCCATGCGCCGGAATGGACCCAAGTTGGGTCTAATAATGCTGGGTCGCTTTCACTGCTTTTACCTCTGTTCCTATTTTATTTGCATCTTATGAAGGCAGGTGCGGTGAGTCGGTCGCGCCTTCCTTATCCGCCGGTTATACCTCCAACAAGGAAGGAGCGACCATGATAACCGTGCCTTCCTTATTCAGTACAACCTCAACGAGGAAGGAACGACCATAACAATCGTGCCTTCCTGATTCGATATGGCCGCCGCAACGAGGAAGCTACGACCATGCCTGTGCCTTCCATATTTGGTACAGCCTTGGCAAGGAAGGAACGACTGCTGCCCCTTCCTCCATTTTATTCAATTTCACCAAGGAAGGAGCGATCATTGCGCCTTCCGGACTCGACATGGCCTCAATGAGGAAGGTACGCCTCGCTACCCGCCCGGTTGTGCCTTCCCTAATTGTATGTATGGTTGTAGGATGAGAAACCGAAGGAGCAACCCCAGGGGCCCGGGGGGTCGACCATTCGTGCCTTCCATATTCGGTGAAATTGGTTGGCCTCGATGTGTCGACTTGTTCATCGTAGACACATCTAGCATGAGTATGGTCATTGAGTATACTTTCCCTGTAGCCGGATCACCTCTAGTGGGCAGATTGTGTGTCTTGATCGAACGGCCACGGCCGCAGGGAATACCTAGGTACTGCACAGCTTGACAGGGGATCTGGATATGGTACCGCCGCGCGTGGAACGTCCGCTGACCATGTACCCCGTCTAAGAAAATACGGAGAAAAGAGCAATCGCAATATATTGACTTACTGCGGTGGCCATCCACCTGAATCATACCGTGTGCCCTTATCATACCGAGGCTTCGTGTCAATATACTTTGCACTCCGCATGTTCTAGCTCTATCAACGGCCGGCGAAGCTCATCGTTCTTGACACTCGATAGCGCCTGTGCACATGCTTTGCCTCGAGAGCAACTCAGAAAACCTGAGCAGACAGGGTGAAGGAGAAGAACCAGCGAGCTCGAGGTTATAGATCGGACAAATGGACGACCGTATAGGTCCTATGGGAGCGGACTCGATGAGGGAAACGGAGTAGCATGTTTCGCCCCGCGAAAGACTCGCGCCAGGGATGCTGTGAGCATCAGCGTTCCAGCTGGCTTGAAGTGCATTCGCCGTGGTCATCCGGCTGAGCGCGCTGGATTGCTGGGAATGCCGTGATTTCCTTTAACTGGCGGCTAGCCCTTCTCACTTGACTGCGACTTGGACAATCGAAATATGCCTAGAAGTGTAGCCATGTACTGATAGTCTCGCGGTCAATCATCGTCATTCTGGCGTTTGACCCATTACCCAAGGATACTGGCCATGATCAAACAGTGTCAGGCTTGGTAGGATTTTGCAAAAGTTCATCTAGATGAGGTCAGCCCATCTGAGTTCGAAGGGAAGAAATAGGTCATGGTAGAGAGAGCAACGCTGTTCCATTATCGTGCACTGTGCGAGAGATAGTCATAGAACCTTTGTCGGGACTCAAGACACTGTATGCCAAGTCTCGTCCGAGTTTTGGTCGGTAACTGTAGCAGCATCATCGGCATAGCCCTGTTATCAAAGTAACAGAATCCACCAGTGTTGGCTTTTCATCGGATCAGGGGCATTTGAATCTCTAGAGTCGGATCCCAAGTAATGTCTCTTGCGAGGTTGTTCGAGAGGTAAGATATCTCGAGGGAACTCCGACGTGAGGAGGTCGGTCTTGAGGGACTTATACGAAATGGCCTGGATACCAAGACTCAGATATTTACAAGGGATCCTCGTCTTGTATGAGCAACCATCGGCAAAACACCGTGTACCCCATTTCCGACATCGTCGCACTTTGAAGTTTGTACTTCAATCTCCGCAATGATGTGGCACGACAGTCACCACCAAGAGGCCCAAGAAGCCCAAGACTTGGCAAGGTACCCAAGTATTGTACGTCGGACAGAGTCCGTGAAAGAAAGGCAAATCGCGAAGATCACTGCGGTGATCAGACAGAGCCAAGATCGACTACTCGGAATACCGGCACATCAGATTCACAAGGGCAAGGGCGGTCTGGTGCGGACAGACGGGACAGTGGATTCAACTGTCACCTAAGGGCGCAGACTACTCCGGAGTATGATGTACATACGATGTACTCCGTAGTAGCAGCAGTTCCTCCTCTTAGAGTTCGCGGAATGGACCGGTGATTATCCCGCGTCTGGAGAAAACGTGGCAGAGGATAGGTTGATCATGCAACGACGGCGGTGATAAGGATCAGAGGCCGAGGTCGACTAGTGGCAAAATCCCGAGTAATCTACTCCGTAGGTATCTTTGCTTGTGCCGTTGAGTCGGAGATTAATATGTCTGGACTCGAGGAAGCTGTGTTCCATCTCAAAAATCTTGTGCAGTCTGTGAGTTGTCTCTCGGAGGGTTTGTCGCAAGCCCAAAAGGGCCTCTGTAACCTTGGGCTGCAGAAGGTTACTGGCCAAGCTTGATCTGTCATATACTTCTCTCCCTTCCTCCCTTTGTTTGCGCACCGTGGGACCTATAACCCTCGAGGAGAGGACGATCAGGCGTTACAGGCCTGAAGGACAAAGATCGCAGAATTGCAGCAGCCGACAATTTAAGCCGATAACGTGGTGAGCATCGACGGCCAAGATTACACAGGCGGTCGGGATTCTTACTCACGTCTCGGCGACACGGCCAAGAAGCATCGATTGGACTGATTTGGAGTCGAGGAAATGAACCACAAGCGCGAGCCATGATCCATCGTCAACTCGGAATCGGCGCCAGAGAGAAAGGAGCCTAAGGAGGGGGGAAATTACCACGCCACGCGAAGCCACATCTCCACCACGCAAAGCATTGGTTTCTCCACGAATTCAAATTCCGAGACACGGCTTGGTGACCTTGGGACGAGGCCGATGTCTCTTGAACTCAAACGCGATTCAGTTCGTGATATTGCAAAGCCAACCGGGTGCGGGCACAGCAGGGGTTCGAGAGCCACGATCGTGATTCGTCAGATCGGGCGTCTGCACTCAGTTTTGGAAAGGACAGACCAAAGACGAATGGACGCTCCCGTTGAGCCGGTTGCCTTTGTCATGGTGATCTGACGAAGATGCTAACTTCTGGGCGGGCTGGGCGAGTGGCTCGGCACAGGGCTCACCAGGACAGGCAGATGAGGAGTCTCCGCGGCCGGGAGAGCGATAAGATAGCAGCGCGCTGTGTGGGATGGCGGGTTTTGTATTGGAGGAATCATCCCTGGGGGCTGAGGGGGAATGGTGCGATTTGAGGACGCGTGGACAAGTTGGAGCTTGTGCGGACTGCGCAGCGCAGCCTCAGGACTCAGGAGCTGCGGGCGCTGGGTGGGAGAATTTTCACGACTGGCTTGGGGTGGCTCAAGGTGTGTGGTGCGTATGAAACCATCGCCAAAATTACCATCACAGGTGGGCATTGTCAGATTTGGGGCTGGATTGAGCCAATAGGAGGCTGAGAGGAGTGGCTCGTAACACGGCCCCATCAATACAGTTTGTGAACTTCAAGTCTTCAAGTTGAGGTGCTCAAGTTGAGAGCAAAGACTTGAACTTGAGTGTTAATGAGGAACCCCTCGGGGGCATCCGGCAGTGTCAATTCCTCCCTTGAACAAGCAGCCCAACGCACTCATCCCTGGCAAAGATTCCACCCGGACGAGAAGGGAATAATCTTAGTCATAGTATGTAGGTGAGAATCTGATCTCGGAAATATCAGAGCCACTGTAATACCGCCAAGCCAACGAGGCCAGCCTCCGAGTGCGGATCACAGACGCTCCCAGCGGCTGCTGGCAAATCACACGCGCTGCAATCAAGATGGAAATCCCCGCAATGGCCTTGGCGCTCTTGGCCGGTCGTACGGTCTCGTACGGTAATCCAGTCTGAATTCAAACACAACACTGCGTCTTCCAAGGTTCTCAACTTTGGCTGTTTCTGCAAAGACCTGCGCCGTAGATCAGAGCTTCTGCGAGTTGGAGTTGCTGTTCTCCTACGCGGATATGAAGCGTTCTTCTTCGCTGCCTGCGGATCCTCCCCATTCCTTTCCTCATGATCCTCAACACGACCCGTTTGTCAGTCACTGCGCTGCGGAGGACCGAGATCTGCTCCAGACTCTGACATGGTCGTCGTTTGAACGCCAAGGGCTCGGCATCTGGGCGTCTTGGCAGCAAAAACACAGGCAGAGGCAGCGTCTCCCCTTCCGCTGCAAGTTGCCCTCCGACAAGACCGTCTTCCTTCTTGGTTCTCTCGTCCTTTTCTTGGATTTCCGCTCTGTAACCTCCCTGGCTGCTGCCCATGGCCTTATAACCCTGGTCCTCCTCTCCTCCTCTCCTCTCCCTCCTCCTCCGCTCCCCTATCCCTCCTCCATCTGTTCCTCTCCCACACGCCGTCACCGTCGCTTATTCCCCTCTCCCCTCGGTGCTGTGTCTCCGGCTGCCATTCCTCCAGATTCCTTATCGACTATCGATTATCTTGCGAAAGAAAATTTATCTCCCTTGCGCTTAGAGCCATGCAGTGAGCTTATCCCTAGTGCTTGCTGTGCACTGCTTGTACCACCTGGCGTGCTTTCCGTCGCATTTTTGAGGGGGCAGATCTCCGTTGCGCCCTTGTTTGCTCCACCGACTCCGACTGTCCTGATCCCCTTTCCTTCTCGACCTCGACCTTGCCCGCAATGAGACAACCTGACATGTCCCATTCGCCCGCATATTATCAAGAGCATCCCCAGATCGCTGCCTCATATCTTTCCGATCGTGAAAACCAACCATCTGCTCCTCCGACCGCCCACGTACCGACCGAGTCGCATCGTGCGTCGCCGCGACACAACGACCCTCCATCGGAGCGAACCTCCGTTCACACCTCCCTCAGACACTATCCCTCCGATCCCTGGGACTCTTCATATCCTCCCTCCAACCGCCATTCCCAGCAATACCAGTCCGTGAAGCCGGTCCACCAGATACAGCAGGCTGCCGCGGCTCCATTGACGTTCGTATCCTCGCCCTCCCCGGAGGACGGTTCCATATTGACTTGGAGTTCCTACAGCAGCGGAGCCGCGCGCAAAGAAGACCGCGTTCGTGGAAGTTGGACCGATCATTCGTCATACATGTCGGGGGACAATCGTAATCATGGTGCGGCTCGTGTTCAGAAAAGGGCAATGCAGGATGACGAGTTCGTCGCGGACGATAGTCAGGATGCGCTCTTGATGCTGGTGAGTTGTAGACCAAGACGACCTATCACATGGCGGTTTTAGCGTGCGGGACTAACGGCTGGACCACAGTTTCGGATGTCTCTTCCCATTCCCGCCTTCTCCCTCCTCACAACCCTTTACACTATCTTCGGGCTCCTTTTTACACTCATCGTGTCGCCTCTACGGCTATGCTCTTGCGTACCCTACCTCCGAAAGACGTCGTTCCGTGCCCAATTGTGCGACCTCCTGGTCCCGCAATTACACATTCACGAGCGCTTGATCGGGTTGCGACAGGCTTCATCGCATTCGGTATATAACGACGGGGATCGATCATCCGTCACGGACTATGGTGAAGGCTACTCGGTCGGAGGACTGATTATGGTCCTCCTCTTGTCGTCACTCATGTCATTTGGCCTGCTCCTTCTCGCATGGACAGCAGCATTCTTCTGGATCTTCGCTATGATTCTCGGAAACCCTGACGGAACGGAACGAAAGGACGACGGTCGAGCTGCTGTTCTCGGTGTCAGCCGATGGTGGCAGCTTTGGCTGGGCAGGGCACGACAGTCGCGCGGATGATTCCCCGCGAAGCCTCCTCTCAACCAACATTCCGTCAAGCGAGAGTTGTTTTCTGCGATTACTTGAACTGTTTAATGCTAGCATGATACCAATGTTTGGGATGCGTATGCGGAATGATTTTCTTGGGCCTTGACTTTTGCGTTTACAACTCTGTTCTCTCCTCGATCTACATCTTTACCTCAACAGCGAAAGCTCATCATCATCAGCAGCCCACACTGGACTCGGAGTTGGAGTTGGGATTTTGGTTTCCCAGGCGCATGGACCTTTTTTCTATCTTTCTTTCTTTCTTTCTTTTTTTTTTTTTTTGCTTTCCATTTTGACTCGAGCGAACTGCCAAAGAAGCGAAGCGAAAGCACGCAATCATTGTCGCTATCATCATACGTGGAAGAGGGACCGAAGTGTTTAGAGCGGTCCTCTTATCTCCATTTCATTTTGTACTCTACTACTACACCACCTCACTAAAGAATTGATACCCGGGCTGGTCTCTGCGATTTGCCACACCTTGTTGTTGTTTCCCTTTGCCTTTCTCTGTCTCGGGTAGTGGTCTGTAGTGCCCTGGAGTCTAACTATTCGTATGCCATCCATGTAGATCTTGCGTAATAGGATTATCTACAAAGTCAAAACTAAAGCACTACTAGTGGTATGCCGGCCCGGACTAAATAGACTATTTGGCATCCAAGTCTACTTTAACCTGATCATTCAGCTGATTGGGGCCTACCTAACCTTCGGATCACGACTTCCAGCCCATGACCCCATGTGCCTTGTTAGTTGTTGGCGATCATATATCGTCATTATAGCACCAAGCAATGCCATATACTTGAGCAAAACTAGCTACACGCTAAGACCTGACGCGATATAGTACCACTCACGGTGCATGGATCTACAAGTCGAGTACTGTAGGCTTTGGAGTCTCATTGCAACTTGGAATTGTGTTCAGCACGTTAGTCCCCGTAGGACTACTCGCATACCATGGTGTCTATGCTCTTCCAGAAGGTGCAAAGGACCATCAGGCCGTCGTGTTACCAAATAAGTTCCACTTACACTCTTCACCAACCTTCGTACAGCCCAGCGGGCATCCCTTTCCTTGACTGCAGAACTATACCGGCGTCGTCCAGTCCGTTGATCCATGCCGAGGACCATTGATATCATCCGATCTCACCCCCCGGAACCGAGGCTTGTCAAATATAAAAGTGACGTCAAATCTGGATATGCTCGGGATCACACGTTTCATTGATTACCTGGTTACCCCAGCATTGTACCCCCTCACTCCATCCAAGATCACCATATGACAACTGAGAGCTATCATCATGGCACCGCTAACACCCGACCGGGTGATGGAAGGCAGGCCGTTTGCCGCACGAGACAGTCGTCTTTTCAAACTCCCATTGGAAATATTGTCAACAATCGTCTGCTTCCTCGACGGGGATAAACAGTCGTTAGCCTCGCTTGCCCTGGTGAACTCGGACTGCCGCCAGCTGGCACGCTCCTGCCAGTTTCAGACTATCGTCTTCGACTCTAGTCCCAGTTCTACTCATCTCCTTGGGATTCTCATCTACGAAGCTGCTGAGCGGCCACGATCTCCGAACCGCCTCACGGAGCGGTTATCACTTGGTGCATGCATCCGCTGCGTCAAGACAAATTCAAACTACTATAGAGACCAAATTCGTTCATTGAGAACGAATACTCGGTTACGTAACGAAGAAGCTCGTGACCAAGAAGCTCAAGAAGAGGTCGATAGGATCGAAGGCGACTATGGAGAAAGAAAGCTCGGGAGATGTCCGTCTGCAGGACACGCACCTACGAACCTGGATTGGCATTCGTGATTTCCACTCTACCGCACCTCGACACTATCGAATGGGTCGCAGGTACCATGATAGACACCCCGTTGTTGAATTGTCTGGCGGCGTCAAAGGCAAAGCATCTTCGTCTGTTTGGGCAAATTGACTCTGATTCCGTGGCTCTTTCGACAAAGTCCTGGCCGCTCGAGACCCTTGACATCAACATTGAGTGGGAATGGGGCGTCTTTGTGGAGCGCGAGTCACTCGAATCCTCTTCACTCTGGAGGAGTCTTATACAAGCATGCTCCTCTACTTTGAGGCGCCTGAACATCGACCACTCGCGATACTCCGAACCAAAGCCCGAATCGAACAAAGACAAACCGGTACAGTTTACCGCCGAGTTTCCTCGTCTCAAGACTCTGCAGACTGTTTTTGAAACGGCACATTGTCCAACATCTTTGCGCAGCGTCCTGCAAAGCAAACAGCTTTCTACCATTTTGATACCCATGTGCTATTCAACCTCAATGGAGTGCTTGAACGAAATGGGCCATAACGAGGCTCTTCAGACACTTGTCTTGACGGGGTATTCTTTGCCTCCCAAGGTGCCTCTCCGAGTGTTCCAGGACAACCCTCAGGTAACAGCCGTTGGCGTTCAATACGGCGCTCCACCGGCTCTTCTAGAGCCCTTGATATCTGCTCTTCGAGAATTATCCAATCTCAAAGTCCTCTCGTTGCAATGGGACGGGACTATGATTCCAGAGACTTCCCTCATCGCCCTGTCCTCTATTGCGGCCCTGGAACAGCTGCACATTACGTCTGGTAACCAAGGCGGCTGGGAACACGATTGGTTTGTCGACTACAACCGCATCCGGAGCAAACTGTCTCCTCTGCGCAGACCCAAGAAACTCGCCCTAACCAGGGATACCTACCGGATCGACAACGGTCAAGTGCCGGAAGGGTATTACTCCTTCCGCTCCAACAGCACATGAGTGGGAAGCCCTCAGGGCCATTTACCGGAGAACCTCCCGCCGACGCCAAACTCGGTATGGGAGATAAGTCATATGGCCCGTATGAAACTGCAGGCGGACAAGTATGTCAGGACATTCAGGAAACTAGAGTGGATTCATCTGGGCCAGATACCCTACCCTATTATTGAAGATGGCCCGGACAGGAAAAGAAAAGCGCTTCTCCCTGATCGTTGGAGAGATCCAGACTTTTCCGTCTTGAAAGAGCTTTTTGGCATGGAGAATGATAGCTCTCAAGGGCTTTTTCATGCAGTTCCACCTATGGTCATTGATTAGAGAGGTGAGCTATATAGATGTTATTGTCAAGCTCAGAATTGACAATTCCCGGTGGCGCCAGGACAGCCTCATAGTATCTTTATCCGTCTTGAAGAAAAGCGTCAAGTCGAGCCCTGGTTGCCTATACAGCTTGATATATACAGTAAGGCCATTGTCTGGAACATACTAAACCTATATCGATCCTGAGAGCGATGGCATCCCCAATGGGATATGATGCAGTGGTGTGGTTACCAAATCATCCTCGAAAAGGCTCTGCGGCTCTTCAAGGGTCATTCAGTCTGATGCTTGTGCTCCACGAGACAAAAGTGTATTCTCCTGAGGGTATCATTGAACGCTTGCGGGAATGTCGAGAGGCTCGAAACCTGTGGGAGTCCGCAATCAAGGGGTTGACGTCGCTAAACTCTCGGAATTCGTCTGGCGTGGCGGTTGTTTCAAGAAGAGGGATGCTTTGATAGCGTTCATTGTCTGATAAGACCAGTAATTGGTGGGTAGTATGCATGGAAATCACATCACATATATCACAGCACATGTGTCGTGTCACACCTCGATTGGAATACATGAGATCTGTCACCTGGCAACAAAGCTAGAGGATGCACAAGGGCCTTCATGGCTCTGGTCCTGTTTTGACCTTCGCGACAAGATCTCTTCTTTTAATCGCGTCTCCCGAAATCGATACTTTCCCTCGATGTCTTTCTGACATTGCCGCTACCCCCCAAGTCAAAGACTACTACTTTTGCCCTTGCCAAGATGAGCCAGACATCTCCATCTTCCAGGATACTCTCGATGGAGGTATTGAATAGGGATGACAGCGAGTACAGAATCCTGGTCCAGAACCGGATCAGATATCTAACCATCAACGCCGGTACATTCGACCGGTCAACGCTCTCCACGCCCCTCAGCTCGTTGCCTGACCTTCCCGAAAATCCCACCTGAAATGTGGCATATATCAATCCGGACCCGTCAAGCGGCTTTCATGCAGGCCGAGATGGATAGTCTGCGTGATCAGTTGGTGAAGGGGACTGGACGTGGCGCAGGATTCGCGCGGTGAAGGCGGCCTCGGCTGATCAAGGAAACGGTAAGCTCCACCAGTTGGGATCCAATCAAGTCAAGGAGCATGCAATGATTATCAGCAAGCTAATCTTCTGAGGACCTGGTTGCTACGGCAATGATCATCGCTGATAAGCCCAAGAAAGATCGCAATTATGCTGGACAATCCATCTCTTGCCCCCTACGGCGATAGCCATTGCTTCAGATATGGTGCCATGCCAGCATTAGCCTTCAGCCATTTCTACACAATGGAATCCTCACCATCAAACCGATCACTACCATGCAGAAGCAGAAGAGCCGTATATATCTTGTATCGTTTATCTATATCTGATTCAGACAGTCGGATTCAACTCATTCCCGGTTTGACTGGATATCTAGCTAGCTGCCCAATGGCTCACACGACCCCGTCGGAGAGCGCCTCAGCCGCGAAACCAGGGGCCTCCATGTCGCGGCCGCCGAACAGATGATCCCAATGGCCGCCTCAAGGACGGACCACAACACGATGATGTGGTTATCCGCGGGGCTGTTGGTTATCGTCATGGTCGGGAGGTAGATCATGCGCACTATTGTAGCGATTGCGGCTCTATGTTCAATGGTTGTTAGTATTTGTGCTATCCTAATTGCGAGACGGGGGAGGAATACAGAGACCCAAACCCCAGCAAAAACCACACGAGGATCTTGGTCCGCCTCTCCATAAGCGAATCCCAAAGTACAAGACCCGGAATCACCAGCCCAAGTGTCAAATCCGATATCAGAGTCCACGACGCCTGCACGAAATGAACAGCCATCAGGGTGCGAATCGACTTGCACGAACCGACAGCGCCGCGGAATCGGTCCCAGAAGTAGTTCACGGGGCTGCAGAGGAAGAAAGCCCAGAAGCAGGTGATGGTTGTGAGGATTGCGCCGATGAGGAGCAGGGTGTAGATGGTGTAGCGGTGGGGTTTTGCGGTGACGATTCGGAAGAGGGTGAATGCGATGGAGACTTTGACGAGGTAGGTTGCGGTGAGGTAGAGGATCTCGCCGATGAGGACTAGCTTGATTTTGAAGAAAAGGTCAGTATCATATTCATCCACGCGGTGGCCCCGAGAAACATACTAGGAGGCCGGTAGCAGCCTGCTCGCTCGAGACTCTAAGTCCCGGGTGCGCAACCCCATAATTTGCCATGGCAATAATATATGAGAGCGAAAGACCTGTGTAGAGAATCTTGAAGTATGGGCGAGTATTAGCACCGAGTACGAAAAAGTATACAGCTGAAGAAGTTGGAATCGGGGCTCGGTTGCTGCGCACAGTTGCCAAAACCGCCATGTAATCATCCGCTGCAATATTTCCCTTTACCCCAACTCGCACGTAAAGCCGCAGGGCAATTGCAACCAGGACAAGGACCTGCAGAACGATGGTGACCACCAGGCAGGCTGTCGGAGAGTAGGCCATGCTGCCACCATCAAGGTCGCGATAGTCTCGCTATCAACCATTTTCACAGCGCCTGCTGGGGCTATGGTGAGTGAGGACAATTTGAGGAACAGAAAAAAGTCATTGTTGGGAAATGCAATTCTGTGTGGCAAAGGTACTTCTCGGAATCTAGTCGCGAGCTGTCATTTAATAAGTTGGTTTGGAGACCCGAGGCTCGGCTGGCGCTGTCCGGTTCCCTGGTTTTGGACAAGAGTCATGACGTCGAGCGCGAAAGTTTACCGTCAACTCCCATTGCCCAATAAGAGACTTTTTCTGATAGACTAGGTTATCCCGCACGGGGTGTTCTACCCCGGATTACCCCGGACACATATAAGTAGCTAGCGCTGAGGCTTGAGTGAATACCGTCGGCTAGGAATTAGCTGATATAGGTCACAGTGAAGGATTTGATAGTTCAGCCTGATACACTCCGGAATTTACCCTGTCAGCATGAACTGTCAGAGAAAAGGCCGATTCAGGCTGCAGAAAGCATAGATCCAATAAAAACCACTGCGGTCCAGCTTCTAGAACTTTATGATCTTTGCCAACCATGTTTAGATCCGATTGTAGGAATCATGACATGTTTTCCGTGGCTGTACAGTGTCTCCCCTTATGATAGTGAGTTCCAAGTACGCTCTTCCCAGTTTGTTTCTACCAATTGGGCTGCGAGGAGTGGATTGATTACCGCTCCCTACCTCCTCTACTACCGAGGTCATTGGCCTCAGTGTTTGAGCAAGGTGATGTTCTTGATTTATATTACTGATGCTATTAGATCCACCACCTTATTGTTTCCCTGTTGAGGCTGGTCGTGCATATTCACTGGAACTACCGATCCTCGCCTCGGTTCGGCAGGCTTGAGGTAATTATGTAACCTCTTTCTAGTACCTCCCTTTATGAATTCTTAGCCAGATTATAGCTCCCAGTTAAGGCACGGCCAACTACCAGCTTTCATGTTCACTACTGTGCTAAGCACTTATCCTTCCCAACTTGAATTCCTCCATGGGACGGTCACTCTGTAGGTGATACATGGCCTAGTAAGGGTTGTGCCTTATCTTGCTACCCTGCTGCCTTCTCTACCGCGCTACAGGCTTTTGAGGAATCCGTAGCTAGGCTCTGAATCTCCACCATGCGAACTGCTGACTTTCTGCGTCTGACGCCCCTAGTGCAGTCTAGATATAATGTATATAATGTCCAAGAGAGATTGCTGTAGGCCCAAAAAGTCAGCTTCGATATTCCCGCCTCTATCTATAGCAAGAGCGTCGTCTTCGGCGGGATTCTAGATCAGCAATCTTGACCTGGCACAAGGGCGTTATATGCCAATTAATTATTGCTCTAGTGTTGCACCAACCGCTTGATTTAGTACTGCATTGACTCATCCAAGCTTGCGAATGAAAGATCTCGTAGGTGCCTACTAGTAGTCGGGAACCTGAAACGGTAAAGCTTAGCATCGCGATCCACAGCCAGCCCTGCCTCGTATGCGTATTCAAGCATACAAGTACTCCGCAGCCCCAACCTTGAATAGGAAAAAAAAAAAAAACTTCAGTCCAACTACTCACTCTATCATTGTTTTCTCTTGAAAAGAAAACCAAATGCCCGCCTTGGAAATCCCCCCCATCGGCCTCGGCCTCGGCAGCCTCGCCGGCTTCTACGGCCCCGCAGGCTCTCTCGACGACAAACTCTCCCTCTTGTCACATGCACACGCCACGGGGCTCCGGCACTGGGACATGGCCGACGTCTACGGGGACGCGGAAGCCGTCGTCGGCGAGTGGATTCGGCGCGCGGGAAAAGCAAAGCGCGACGAGATTTTCATCGCGACGAAATTCGGCCTTCAGCGCCAGGCCGACGGGATACGGACCTTTCGTTCGGACCCGGCGTATGTGCGCGAGGCGTGTGAGAGGAGTCTAGAGCGGTTGGGGGTGAGTTGTATCGATTTGTACTACTGTCATCGCGTTGATGGGGTCACGCCGATTGAGAGGACGGTCATGGCCATGGTTGAGCTTGTCAAGTGGGTTACCTACCTGCCTTCCCATGGCTATGAGGAGCTGTAGAGGGCGATTAAGAGGGCCAAGGTACCATGGCTAACCTGAGCGGCACACCAGAGAAGGCAAAATCAAACACATCGGCCTCTCCGAAGTGTCCGTCGCAACCCTCCGCCGCGCACACGCCGTGCACCCAATCGCCGGACTGCAGATGGAATACAGCCTGTTCACCCTCGACATCGAGTCGTCCAAGTCCTCCTCCTCCTCCTCGGAATCAATCCTCGCAACAGCCCGCACCCTCGGCACGCAAGTCGTCGCCTTTAGCCCCATCGGCCGCGGAATCCTCAGCGGCTCCTTCCCCACCCACGCCTCGCTCCCGCCAAACGACCTCCGAACCATGTACCCCAAATACGCAGAGAGTAACTTTGCCGCGATCATGCAGCTCGTGCACGGGATTGAGGATGTCGCGCGGAGTCTGGGGGAGGATGTTACGGCGGCGCAGGTTGCGCTTGCGTGGGTGCTTGCGCAGGGGGTTGTTGTTATCCCGGGCACGAAGAACCCGCGGAGGATGGAGGAGAATATGGCGGCGGGGAGGGTTTTGAAGTTATTGAGGGGGCGGGAGGGGGCTGTGGAGGGGTTGAGGAAGTTGGCGGAGGGGGTTAGGGGAGGAATTGTGGGGGAGAGGTATCCTGCTGCGTGAGTTTCTTCTCATATCCATACCCAGGTTCTTTACTTGTCTAGTCTAGAGGTGCTGACTGACTGGCTGCAAAGGGCTATGGCTACGCTGTGCACGGATACACCCTTGTTGGAGGGCTGATCTATGTACGGGTGAGACTTGCACTGTCCACAGGGAGGAAATAGCAACGTCAAACTGAGATTGTATATATATATATACTCCAGACGCCATGCCATTGGTATACACCAGGCAAACCAAGAGCAGCTAAGAGTAGCAACTCTGCACTGGGACGTTTATTCATGTCAAAACAACCAAATAAAAAATCCTAGTTAAGTACTTGGTGAAGGGTGTAAAGCAGCTTTTATACAGTCTAAAGATATTTAGCTCAGGATTATCAAGATGATCAATTTAGTGAATGTCCTAGACAATGAAACAGCGGATCTGTGGAGACAGACTGGAAGAAAGCGATCGTGGCTGAGAAACAAGGGGTCGGTTGGCCTTGGGGCAGAGGGCGAGGGACAGGCCTCTCTTTCAACAATCTAAAACTAGTGCGAGGAAGAAAAGGTGATCATGCAGAGGGATCACCACCAAGGGGTACAAAATGAGAGAAGCTCTCTACATTCTCATCGGCGGAGAGCGTGTAACGGGATGAACGAGATGGATCAAATCAACAAGGACTCCTACCATGTGTTGTTACAAGGTCCCCCCTACATCCAAGAAGGCCATAAGAACCGCCGAGTAGCCGTCAACTCGCAGGGCATGAATGTTCTTATTGCAGTACTCACCCGACTGTAGCAGCCCGAGCCTCGGGGGGTCGTGCAGTTGTTCCGAATTAAAGGAGGCACAGGGATACTGCGATGAATATCTAATGACCGACCAGTTTATGCACTGGCTTTTCCACGTATGCAAGGGTCCAGAGGGGTCCGAGGACCATGACGATGCCGATCAAGAAGGTGACGGCCACAACGAAGCGGCTGGCCCTCTCGTCATCTGTGATAAAGAGCTCATCTACGCTCAGATCCAATTACCAATAGAACTGCCATTCTCGCAGAATGATTCATATACCACGAGGGAGAAATATACTTCCACTGCCATAGCCGCAATAGAGGGGATCCTACTAGTAGAAATGTCAGCCATCCTGGCAGGGCTTTGCTGTGACCTAGCAAAGCCACCATGTCTAATTGCTTGCATAAAACATAAGCAGATTGCGTGGGCCCCACTCGAAACCTGAATCATTCGCAGGCAAGCCTGGTTAGGGCAGCGCGGAAACCTGGGGCTGGAGCTCCGTCCGTGCCCCAAAGAGCTGGTGTATACAGAAAGGAGGTGCCTCGCACCAATTGAATTTTTGGGCAGCTTTACCTCAGGAGCAACTTGCAGAATTCCCCGCAGATCGCCACGGGCTCAGAATCTCGGGCCGTGTTTCAAGTCTAATTCCCCACAAATAAGATGCCCCCACTGATATTGAGGCCGGTTAAATCCGTGATTAGCCTATATCATGCTCTTTCACTGTGACTCTGTTTTCCCACAGAAAAGTGGGATTGCATATAAGAGAGCACATCTCCACAAGGAGTAGAGAGCGTGGTTAGGCATCTCGCCCTCTCGCCTTCTCGCAGCCATCATGCTGCCAATTCTACTGGCCACAGCGCTCAGCACCGCATTCCTCGTGCAAGCTCAAACCTTCACCAACCCCATAATCTACGAAGACTTCCCCGACAACGACATCTCCCGCGGCCCAGACGGCTACTTCTACTTCTCAGCGTCAAGCTTCCACTACTCACCAGGCGCCCCAATCCTCCGGTCCGCAGACCTCGTCAACTGGGAACTGATTGCCCACTCCGTGCCAACCCTCGACTTCGGCCCCAACTACGACCTCCCGTCCGCAAATGAAACAGCCTACAATCTAGGCACCTGGGCGTCGACCCTCCGGTACCGCGAAAGCACCGAGCAGTGGTTCTGGATCGGGTGTGCGAATTTCTGGACGACGTACGTGTACACCGCGCCGGACGTCACGGGGCCCTGGGAGCAGGCGGCTAGCTTCCAACCGTGCTTCTATGATTGCGGGCTGCTTGTTGACGACGACGATACGCTGTACGTCGCGTATGGGAGCAACAACGTCAGCGTCGCGCAGCTGTCAGCTGACGGGCGGAGCGTCGTCACGACACAGGTAGTCTTCAGCACCCCGCCGGAATGCGCGAGCATCGAGGGCAACCGCATGTACAAGATCAACGGGACCTATTATATCCTCGACGACTGTCCCAGCGACGGGATCACCGAGGTGTGGAAGGCGGATAGCCCCTTCGGGCCGTATGAGCGGAGGATCCTGGTTGATAGTGGTTCGATGGCGTCGCCGGTCCCGGGCACGGGGGTGCCGATTCAGGGGAGTTTGGTGGAGGTCAAGGAGACGGGGGGTTGGTATTTCATGTCGTTTGCCTGGAATTATCCGCTTGGGCGCGTGCCGGTTCTCGCGCCGATTACGTGGGACGAGGATGGGTTTCCTGTGCTGGTGACCGTTAATGGGTCTTGGGGGGTGTCGTATCCGAGTCCGCTGCCGGAGACGGAGGAGGAGGTGCCGTCTTGGACGGGCGTGGATGATTTCGAGGGTCAAGTGTTGGGTCTAGCATGGCAGTGGAACCACAACCCGGACACGACGAAGTTTACCCTCAACAACCCCGGCCTGACTCTGCGCACTGCCACCGTGACAAATGACCTCTATGCAGCAAGGAACACGCTTACACATCGGATCCACGGCGCAAAGCCCTACGGGACCGTCGAGCTGGATTTCAGTAACATGGCCGACGGCGACCACTGCGGCCTGGCGGCGCTCAAGGACGCAAGTGCATGGATTGGCGTGGTCCGCAATGGCACAGAGTACTATCTTGCTGCTGCGCATGGCCTGATGATGGGACAGTACGGGGGCACGACAAGCACTGGGACGATTGTAGCGACGGCGCCAATCGCTCAGACCAAGGTGTGGCTGAAGGTGAGCATGGATGCTGGGGCAGTCGGGTCTCATGAGGCGAGGTTCTCGTATAGCTTGGATGGGACCGACTTTACGGAGTTGGGGGGTGTTTATACACTTACTACGGACTATCTGTTCTTTATGGGATATCGATATGGGATTTTCAACTTTGCGACCAAGGCTCTTGGGGGTTCTGTTGATGTGATTAGCTTTGCTAGTGAGGAGTCTAGCTAGGGTATATCGCCTGGTAGATACAACAAGCGATACGATAGTATGTATATGAGGCTTGCAGCTTGATAGGAGGGGTTTGGCGAAATAGGTGCCCCAAAGATTCGTCGATTCTAGCAGATCTCGCTATCCCTTAACACGGTTTTCCTTCTGCTTGGCCCAGAGACACCCCGCTTGGCTCGATGTGATGCGTCTGCCTAACAGCCTTGCGCGGGATGTGGCTGTGTAGGCTAAGCCCAGAGTAAGCAACAAGTGGTGTGCTCCCTCCTATTGCACGGTATATCTTGCCCAAAGGCTGCCTCGCCCATCGAGGTTAATCTCACCGGAAACCTACCAAATGGGTGGCACAGATCCGAGGCGAGGCAGACTTGGCCTCCTCCGAGTATCCGAAGATCCCTGTGGATATCGCTGAACCGCCAATCACAGAGCCTGATGTCGAGTCCTTGGCGGCGCCTAATGGGTGACGACAAGCCCAACCGGCCTCCAGATTCGCCAAGACAAAAGAGGGCAAGGGTGATAAAGGATACAAGGCGCAAGAGACATAATGCGGCTATTATATTCGAGTTATATAATAGAACAATGCCCCCTTCCATTGTTATGTCTGAATTCGTTTGTTCGAGTACATCAACTTAGGGCTTTGAGCACGTGACAGCTTTAATGGCAGACAACGAGGTGCCGCCGACCGTGGAGGATACGATCCATATCTTCGAGGAAACAGGTACAAATTATTTTGTTCCATGATGAATATTTCTTCTCACCCTTGATCCCGACTATAATGATAGGCTCCGGATGGAATCACCGTGGGTCGGAGTTGGCCATCGTAAATGTCTGACCATCAGCGAGCATTATGTGACCAAGTGCTGACACGAATCTAGGGCGAACCGACTGCCAATTTTGCCATGTATGTCTCTTGATAACCGACCTGGGTGCTAGTCTCTGAGTGGAGGTATAGATTTTGCACCAACGAATTCGACAAAGTCCGTCTCGACTACAAGGACTGGTTCCAGCCGGCATTCTGGTCAGTCATAGACAAGGACCTGAACGGAACTTTTCACTGCCAGTATGACTACACGGGAGAAAGAGTTACACCAAAGGGTATGTACTTTCCCCTTTCTTCCCTTTGCGGACTGCTAATATATCTAGTGTCATGGACCTGCTTCAAACTGAAGCGCGTCCACAGCGCCAATGTCTACAACTGGAAGCAGCCAAGTCTGCACGTCACCTGGAACCACCAAACCGGGAGACAGCTAGTCTACCTTTTTGATTTCCTACCGCCGACTAACCGGAATGAAGAACAGAAGGGTTTTCTTTTAACCCTGCCCTCGCCCGAAGCACGGCAAAACAACCCCTTCGCTTGGCACGCGGCGTTTTCTCGAGTCGTGCTGGAACAGTATGATGAAGCCTATTGGTTGGTCAGGGATCGAGTACGAGATCATGAAAAGGTTAGCTCTAATTTCATATACACAGTGCATGAGCTTGGAAAACCACTGACAATGTATGGCTAGAACCGCCGCTTCAACGTCAACAGCAAAGACTTCTTCCCAGAGCTGCACGACATCGCGCGGCACGCCTTCCACTACAGCGAGATTATCGAAGTCGCCGAAAACACGCTGAACCGACTGGTTCAGGAACAGATCCGCTGGCGCGAAGAGGATGGAGCTGCCATACGCGACGGGGGCATCGGGTATTGGTTGGATCCACACCAGGAACTTCTTCTTCAGCAGAAGGCTGCGTATGCACTCAAGGCGAGATCAAAGTCGCTGAATGAGAGGTTGCTTAATGAGATTAACTTGGTACGGTGCCTTTTTTCGCTGCTGAGTATGAAAACCTAAATGGCGCCAGGCTGACTGAGAATACGCAGGGATTCAACCTCGTCTTACAAGCAGATAGTGCCTGGATGAAGACCATCGCATTCGTCAGCATGGTGTACCTCCCCGGAACCTTTGTCTCTGTAAGCACCTCTACGCTCACTATCAGCCTCACAACACCCCAAGACTAACAACGCAGGGCCTCTTCGGAACAAACTTCTTCGACTTCGACTCCCCCACACCCGGCCTGTGGGCGCACTCCAGCTTCTGGCTCTATTGGGCCGTCGCGGTGCCTCTCACAATGGCCACAATGGGCATCTGGGCAGCCTGGCATCGGCGGACGGATATCCAGCAGCGGTGGGACTCGTCATATTCGTATATGCAGCGGAAGTTCCTTATGAGGAGTCTCGCCAAGCAGAATATGGGGAATGGGGATTCTGCGCTGCACAAGACTGGGACGGAACTGAGTATTTTGGGACTCGTCAGGGCGGCTACGACGATGAATAGGAGGAATGTAAGGAGGCAGGAGACAGTCTGAGGTTTATTTGTGGGGATCGTTCGATCTGACGCGCGTTAGAATTTTTGTTAAGATCTTTTGCGCTGGTGAAAGTCTGATATACAGCGAATTTTCGGTATTGTGATTATCTATATATTACTTGAAAAAACCGGTTTCTGACCATGCTTCCACTCATCTTGAAGCCGCTGTGCAACCACTAGAATAAGCTTGCTAGATGGGGCTATGCCGAGACTCCCTGCGCCTTCCTCATACGACGACTAGGGAATGCAATATGATGAAAGTGCCTCTGGTACTTATTGGATATCGAAGATACTTCATCTTCTGGGTTTGGACTGGGGTGTCGCCAGCCAAGACACCTCCACCCCCTATAGGTCAGCGCTGAAAAGAAGAAAAGAAACAGGACTGCACTGACAAGATAAAAGCCACTCGGCTCAATTTTGCGTCTGATCATCACAGCAAGCTTACGAACCAGCTACGGAGTGGAATGAACGGGAAGGCACGATCCCAGTGACTGAATCGGAGGCGACAGCCGCGCACTCTCATTTTTTGCGTCGGGATGCAGAGCCCAAGGTTGACTCGAAGACGAGCCCAAGCTCAGCACGTGAGTTTGAGGCTGAGTTGTTACACAATGCTTAACCCGCCTCAATTCTTTCCAACTTCTTCCCTGCGATGCTTTAGCTCATTTCCACCTCAGCCTCGAAGCAAGAATGGGAGACCCCATTTCGGTAGCTGCGAGCGCTGCCGGCATTATCGCCCTCGGTCTGGAGAGCTGCCGACTGATCGTCAAGTATTGCGATAACTGGCGAGGATTTGACAGCGACATCAGCAATGTCAGACTCAAGGCTTCCGGACTGCACTCGACACTCACCCTTATCGAAACGCTGCTGAGCCAGAACACCACAGTTCTTCCAGCCATCGCAGCGGATATCAAAGCCAAAGTTGCTGAAAATGAGGAATGGATTAAAGAGGTACACAGCGCCGTCACCAAATGGCAGAGTACGACGCCAACCTCTGGCCTTGGCGACAAGGTACGAGCAGCGGGCAAGAAGATCGCTTATCCATTTCGAAGGGAGGCGCTGCTTGATACCATCAAGGTGCTTGAGGGGCTGCAGATGAACCTGCATACCGCACTATTGGTGTTTGTGCTCAAACTTCGTCGCTAGTTGTGTTGAGACTAAATCGCTACAGACTGCAACTTCAGCAAACATCGGTCCTCGCCAAACGAACAGAGTTGATACAGACAGTACATTCGGTCAGCTCCACGACACTGTCAATACTTCAGTCGCACCACCCTGATTCACCCTGGCCGGTATTTTGTTTCTCTCTCCAAGTAAACGTACAAGCTCTAACATGAGCAGGAGCCAGCGATGCAAAACTGTTCGGGCCCCTCACACCGTGTCTGCCTTCCATCTCCTGTTAGCCAGCCAGCCACGGTGGCGGCTACTGGGATTCACAGACGACACAAACGATGCTTCTGTTTGGGGATACCTGGCTTGATACAATCGCACCACCGCACATGTCCGCTTTATAACCCAAGAGCCAATACCCGAACAGCAAGGGTTGCACTTTCTAGTCAATGGCTCGGTATCTCGATTGAGGTATCCTTCTCATTCTATCGATGGGCGAACAGCCTAACAATTAGCCCGACGCTTCGATACCACCCAATTGTGTCATTAAACTCGCCCGCCTTTCAGACTGTATCACAGAGGCCACTACCAGGCTCTAGGTTAGAGGAAGTAGCGTCGTTTTATGAAACGGCTATCCAAGAGCTGCGCCAGCTTTTCCTTGACGGTAAAGCCAGCCCTTTCGACAGAACTCCTAGCGGCGCCACACTATTGCATGTAGGCTCGCCAATCCTGTCTACCACGTGGCTTCTGTTATACTAACCAGACTAGCACGCATGTGGACAGTTTCAGGGTTTCTGGGGAGAATTTGATGATTGCTACCATGTGAGCCGTTTCCAGCTGGTGCAGTTCCTGGTAGAAGCTGGATGCCCCGTAAATGAAACGGCCCAAATATTTAATTTTGATGGCAAGGTCGTCGGCCGGCAAACCCCGATGACCAGACTCATCAGTCATAGAGTGGGTGGGAAGGTTGTGTCCAAGTTTATGGATCTTGGGGCAGTGGTGACAAACGATGAGCTGATTCGATATGATATGTTACTTATGTTGAAGGAAGCATTTACCCAGAACGAAGAAGGTAAGGCCACGCTCAATTTGGGTTTTGAGATTGTCACTGAACCAACTAGGATTTCTTGTCTCTGACCCTGTTCAGGCGGTCCTCATGCGGTCTGAAGTTGGACTAAAGGACCTGATAACAGCCACACAAAGAGCGCTGTCCAAGGACAATCGGAAGGCATTTTCCGATGGATTCAATCTACTTTCAATAGCCTTGAGCTGGCCAGAGGCGTTCTGTGCTTTGTTGGAATTCTATCCCAATCTTACTAGGGCCGAGCGAACCGGACTCTTGTCAGCTGCCATAAGGTACAACGTCTTCTACGCCGTTGAGGCACTACTGGATCTGGGCGCTCCAATCCCTGCGTACAGCTTTGCCCTTTGCGGATCAGAGGCAATGGAGGGGCTAATCATGGATATATTCATTTCTAGACGGCGCAGCTTGCTTGAGCTTGCTAAAAACTCTCTACCAAGGCGAGTCCAAAATGAACTTGGCCTGCGGGATACGTGTCTGCCTGATGCAAATGCAGAGGCCGTTTTCCTCGCGGTTAAAGAGCGCAATCCGTCCATTGATCCTTCCCTTGCACCTGCGGACAATCGCCCGGTCTTCCATCACGGCTTGAAAATCGAACAAATGGACCATTTATACAATTCTGGGTTCCGTGACGTCAATGCGCCTGACGAAAATGGCTCGCAAGCCGCCCTGAAAATAACCATCCCATGGGAAGGATGTGCACTATGGAATATCACTGCCATGCAGTACACTATCAGCAGATCTCTGTGGTTCTTTGAGAAGGGTGTGGCAAGGGACACTGAGGCTGGCTCCGGTCAAACATATTTTCATATTATTGCAGTCAAAATTATTGCTGCATTGGAGTTTGATATCGCCGACTTCAGCCATCGTGCGATAGACATAATCCCCAATATTCTGACCTCTCTCCCTCAAGCTCATCGAAACTTCCTTCTCAAACACATCCTCACTTCAAGTTGCTGGGATTCGTGCGCCTGTGCCTGCTCCGCCGCAGGATGTACTCCATTGAATGTTGCTCTTTGCTGCGTTCTGGAATCCGACAGTGAGTGGACTGAAGACATTGTCCCTGCCATCCTAAAAGCCTTTATTACTGAGATGCAAGGTACGACAGGGTGTGGGGATGAGGTGATTCGACTACTCACATTTGAAGACCTCTCTCTTACACATACATGTTGCCACCTGTATAGGGACAAATGTATATCTGTCAAAGTGGAATCATTTGACGAGGGGGATGCCACAGAGATTCACGACGAGGAGCGGATTCTCATCGAGGAGTTTGAGATCTTGGTGGAGCAGCTACAAAAGGAGTACGAAACAGTGGGCATTCCGCTCTGGGAATTCATCCAGACACACTGGTGTGCGCGCGTGAGAGAGTACCTGGTTGAGAATGAGGAGGTCATTATACCAGACTTGCTTTGCGTTGCTCTTGCGAGAAAGGTCGTTGAAGAATGCTCACGGCACTAGAGATGTACAAATGACATAGTTTGAGAACCTACCAGAATAATGATGCCCGATTCAATGAAGTATAATTCCGAAACCCTCTGTTGACAGCCATCCAACGAGCCGTTTTCTTCACAGGTGTCCGAGCGCGGGGGCTGAATTGCTGAGCGTAACTGCTGAGGTTGTAGGATTAAGAGTCTTATCTAGCAGCCTGGTGTCTATGCTTCGAGGCAAGTACGAAGAAAAAGATTATCAACCGCATCTTCTCAGCAGGATAAAGTTATCGTTTTGCCGAGGAAGGTGCGGTGGATACAGCGCATGTCGCTCTTGCCTTTCCACATGCTCCATTTCTGCGCCTTCCCAATGGAGCAACGGACATTACAAGGAGGGTGCTATGACTGTACGCCAATCGCCACATTTTAAGCAATGGCCCTGCACCGTCTTAAAATATTGCTACACCGTTTGAATCCGTCGGGTCCATATTATCGTGCACCGTTCAAAGACACGTGGTTAAGTAGTTCCAAAACAGCAGTCAATGCTGATTTGCTTCTCCTTGTACAGAGTTAATAAACAATAGTCTTTGTACAGAGACGAATAGGCTTGCGCTCCGAACTATTCTTTGTAGCTGTGTCTACTTGAAAATGCCATTTCTGTACAGTGTGAAGATGACATACAGCCCATTGTTTGCTACACAAAAGCCAAAGAGCGTTTTGCACCTACGTCTTTGTCTGCCTATGTCTTTATCGACGAATTCCTCTGTCTATAAAAACCAGTGTTCGCCCTGTAGTATCCGCAATACTTCGTCCAGCCTCATCAACCCGCTGATTAACACAACCAACCTCCTCCCCAACAGTTTCCGACAATCCAGCTCGATACCACATTCCAGCAAACCAAACCAAACCAAACTACACAACAAGCGCCAACATGTCTTCCCCGAACCAGTCCGACACCTACTTCCGCCACCTCGGCGAGCGCATGACCGGGCGCCCCTAACCCAAGAAACCTCCGCCACCAGCGAGAACCCCGAAGTAGGCAAACCCGGCTGGGGCCTGGCCATCGCCAACGAATTCACGGGCCACCTGTGCATCGCGCACGCGCCCGTCAAGAAAATCTGCCGCGTCTCGCACCTCGTCATGGTCAAGCCGACGGCCGAGCATCCGCTGCACGCGTCGTTCAAGACGGCCAAGGCGGCGGATCTGGATAAGCTATGGGATGGTAGTGAGGCGGCGGAACCGGTTAAGGTTGGTGAGATTGCGAGGGGGTTCTATAGGGAGGAGGGGAAGGAGGGGGAGAAGGAGAGGCCGTTGAAGGTTGGGGTTGGGAAGGTTGTTTGTGTTTTTGATGGGGGTGAGGTTTGTTTTGTCAGGTCCAGGTGGGAGGGGAAGAAGTAATGGATGGACTGCTGGGAGTGTGAGGTTGCTGTTCGAGTATGTGGGAGGGACAAAGCTACCTGTGTACTACCTGGTTGCTTCGTGCTTACCACCATAGATGCTGATGTACTTGAAATGGAATAAAGAACATTCAATTTGTTCTAAATCACAGACTTTTCTCGATAATATCCTCCTGTAGATAATCGTAACATGCTTAAAAAGGGGATGCATTTAATGACGCCTATTGCTATGGGGTTGGAGAAGGGCTTGGAACGTGTCTCCATGTTGTTGATTATGGACTAATAATCCAGATCCACAATGCTTAGTTGCGATAGCGACTCACTAGTAGCCCAGGCTGCAAGACCCAGATGCCTGGAGTGGAGTTGGATTCGCCCAGACCAATTTTTATTCCGGCATCTCCACCCGAGCCATATAAAACTCTCCCAATCCCTTCCGAATCCCGAGTCTTATCATCGCTGTCTCGTCATTTATATGTACCGAGAATGTCTCAACTGCCGCCTGCGTTCCCAATCAGTGTCCAGCTCCACCCGGACCCGACGAGCCCCCGAAACGAAATCCTCGATCAAGTGAGTGGCTGGAAACAGTTTGTATCTGCAAGTCGTCTTCCATGATGGCATATTACTAAGACGTAATGTTTACTAACAGCCCCTGCTAGGAAGAATGGGTTGAAGCCGAGGACAGTCTGGCCCACCGATATAGTCTCATGGAGAAATGGGCTACAGCAGACCAGAGGTTCCGAGACGTGAGCTGTCCACTGCTGTTGAATCCCCCCTCCTCTCTCAGGACCTCATAACCAACTAGACCAGTACTACCATGAACGCGCAGCAGCCCACCCAGCCTTCGCCGCACCAATACTAGTACAGGATGGTCTACAGGTCAACAGATTCGTCTGCCTCGCGTCCGCGAGCAGGGGCACGCATCCAAAGGAATACACGCACCTCCTCAAAATCCTTATCCTTCTCTACATCGTCTAAGACGGCTACAGGGACTACCCTTTTACGTCTTCTACAGCTGGAAGAAGCCTAACGCCCTAGATTTCAAACTACATTAATCCCAACCCTAGCACGCCTCCCTTCGGCGTCGAACATACCCTCCCCGCCCTGTTTCTCCGCACAGCGGACTTTCGTGCCATGGCTATGACCCAAGTCGGCACGGTCGTGTTTTCGAAAGAGTATGATGGTATCTGGTATGTTTTGGATGCGCAAAGTCTGCAGACGGGGCTCATGAATGTGGCGCGGTTCGAATCGAATGGGTCGATCAGGTGCGCAACGCACCGGAGGCCGTTTAATCTTACGCAGATTACGATTTTTTCGATTGGGAATGGGTGGCCGCTGGAGGAGATTATCGAGACGGGTATTGGTGGGTGGGGGTTCTGGAACCAGCCGTATGTTTTTCTTTCGAGGTCGAATTGGGTCTCAAAGTGCCGATTATAGTACTAATGTAATGTGTAGCATGGACATGGATCTTCCCATCCTGGATATCCTCCAGGGGGTCAAGGATAGCGGCAAGTTCCAGTATGCTGGGTGGGGGGATAAAGAACTCTTGGCGAGGGAGATTGAACGAGCGGCGCCTGGGTATCTGGAGTTGGAGGCTGAGGGGAGGGCAGGCGAGTTTGAGCTCGAGAGACTTGCGGAGATTTATACCTAGGGCGCTGGGGTTGTATGTATCGAGTCAGTCAAGCACATCAGGAGTCTTGGTAGATCCCCTCAATTATCTGTTGGATTCGTTTTCTAATGGTCTTGCACCCTTTAAAGAAGACGAAGAGGGCCATGAATAGGCGTGCGAGTCAGAGTTCATTCTGCGAAACTCGTGATCGGAACTGGCGGCGGAGAGGAGGTCCGTTCCCAGTTCTTGAGGGTGTTGATAAGTATGCTGAAGACGATGCTTACGGCGGTGGCCTTGGTAGACGCGGAAGTAGTAGGCATCTCACCTGGTACCCGCGGCTCTACCTAGTAGTCTTGCGGCTGGTGGTCTTTCCTCCCCTTCCGTACCATGGCAGCTTTGGACTCTGTCAGTGAGCAAGACAAAGTTCTTCTTGGTCAGAGACGGTAAAATGCGGCCATCGACTTTTATTGGCCCGGCGTAAAAACAGTAGCGTAAAACAGATACGAGCGAGTACGGTATAATTACAGTCACGGATAAATGCCAGAGCTTAGCAGGAACAAGATCCATGCCCAGCACTCCATCGGGGACGGCCCGCCTATCCGTGCTCCTTCTGGCGGCCACTGCAGACTTGAAGCCCCAACAACACGGATATGCGACCAAGTGCGACATTTATCATCGACCTCCAATACCCACAACACTCCCCCAACCCCAACCCGAGACAGCAGCACCGCAACATTGCCATGTCCCCACTCCTCCTCCTCCTCGCCCTCGCGGCCCTTTCCCTCCTCGCCCACGCAACCTACCTGGTAATCTACCGCCTCTTCTTCCACCCGCTCCGCCACTTCCCCGGCCCCAAGCTCGCCGCCGCAACCTTCTGGTACGAAGTCTATCACGACTGGTTCCGCGGCCCCTACCCAGGATCCAGCTGGAACGTCGACGCCCTGCACAAGCGGTACGGGCCCATTATCCGCAAGACGCCCGATGAGCTCTCGATCCAGGACCCCGATTACCTCGATACCTTCTTCGCTGCGGGGAGGAGGGACCGGTGGAGTGGGCAGGGCAAGGAGGCGACGGGGTCCGTGCAGAGCACGCTGCTCGCAGCGGACCACAAGCGGCGGCGCGGCGCGCTCACGCGCTTCTTCTCCAAGCGGAGCCTGACGCGCCTCGAGCCCGAGATCGTCTCCAAGGTCCAGCAGCTGTCGGCGCGCGTCGACGAGTCGTTCCTGCGCACGCGCGACATCCTCGACGCCGGCGTCGCCTTTGGCGCCCTCACCCTCGACACCATCACCGAGTACTGCTTCGACCAGAGCTTCGGCTGCCTGGCCAAACCTGACCTGGGCCCCGAGTGGCGGAGGACGTTCTGGGATATGCTCGAGAGCATCCCCTTCCTCCGCAACTGGACCTTCTTTGCGGAGATGTTCTTCTGGGTCCCGCAGATCGTCGTGCGGTATACGAATCCCGGTATGGAGCAGTTCTTCATCATGCAGAGGGCGAACCGCGCCAAGGTCGCGCAGGTTACGAGGGAGTGGGAGGCCGATCAGGTTATCAAGGCTGCCGGTGGGGATCCGGGGAAGAAAAGGGGGAGCAAGAGGACGATTTTTTATGATATGCTTGATAGTGCGGTGCTTCTGCCACGGGATAAGACGCCGAAGCGCATGGCGGAGGAGGCGTTTGGGATGGTTGTTGCGGGGGGGTATACGACGGGGAAGGCGATGGCGAATCTGATGTATCATCTGCATGCGAACCCGGAGTGGTTGGAGAGGGTGCATGTCGAGTTGGATTCTGTGATGAAGGGGCCCGATGACCCCGTTACGCTCGCGGAGCTCCAGGCCCTGCCTGTGTTGACGGCTTGCGTCAAGGAGAACCTGCGCATCAGCTGTATCATCGCGGATAGCATCATGCTGGTTGAGCCGAACGAGCCGCTCTTCTACAAGGACTGGGTGATCCCACCGGGGACGCCGATCGGGATGACGCTGTACCACATGCACATGGACGAGCGGATTTACCCTGACCCGACGGCGTTTCGGCCGGAGCGCTGGCTCAAGGCGGCGGAGACGGGGCAGGATCTGGACAAGTACTTTGCCCCGTTTTCCAAGGGGACGAGGGGGTGTCTGGGAGTCAAGTGAGTTGCCCTTTACCGTGCCCTTTACTGTGCCCTTTTGAAAGGCTCGCTGACAAGTATCCTCGGCAGTCTGGCAAACGCCCAAATGTACCTGGGGATGGGCGTGATTCTGCGGCGGTTCAACTTTGAATTGTTCGATGTGGTTGAGGAGCGCGATGTACGTACGGTGAGAGACTGTTTTGTTGGGCTCGAGAGCCCTCAATCCAAGGGGATCAGATTCAAGGTTGTGGGCAAGCGAGAGTAGAGTTTGTAGTGAGACAATAACAGCTCAAGTCTAGATGCATCTATGAATGGTTTCCATCTACAATCTAAACAGCCTCCACAATATCCCGCACTCTCTCCGCAGCCCTAACCAAACACTCCCCAAACCTCTCCGTCTGCCCCGCCGGTCCAACAATCGAGAACTTGACCCTAGACATTAACCAGCATCAGCCCCAATCCCCGCAAGATGTCGCAGAAAAGAAAAAAAGAGAAGGAGAAACCAACCTCTCGGGCTCAACCTCAAAGTGCAACCAAACCCCCTCCTCATCGCGCAACACACACCCATTCTCCGCCATCCCCGTTGGAAAACAATTACTCACGAATTTGCGTGGCCGTGCCCTGATATATACAGGATCATGAAATAAACCGGGCTCCTCCTCTCCGTTTTCGCGATCCACTATCTCCCGCAGCATCGAGAGGAATCGATCGGAGCCGCCAGCGCGCGTACAGGCGAGGACGGAAGCTGAATGCGCGCGCGCGGCTTCGACAAATAACTTTCTTACCGGACGTAGAGATGCCTTGTTCTCGTGGCCGTGATCATCTACAGCGACGGCGGCATCGACAAACGCAGCAACCTGCACCGACACAACCTGATTAATCTCGACACGCCCCGTCGCGAAATTGCTCTGCAGGACCGTCTCCCAGCAGGGCAGGGTAGAGCCAAAGTAGTAGCGCCCTGCGAGCTGCACGAGGAGTTGGATTGCGCTGTTTGCGGGGATCTTGTGTCGCTGCATTAGGGTCGAGCCGTAGGCGAGGGGTGGAGGATAGCGGTGTTCGCGGGTGCATGTCGCCGCTGTGTAGGTGGTGCGGAGACCGTTGATGCGGGATTGCGTCGAGGGGGCGAGAGGGGCATGTCTGAGGTGCTCCATCGATGTATGGATATCGGGTTCGACTGATGTTCCGTTGGTATGTCGGGTTCTCGGTCGATGCCGTCGGATCGCGTCGGCGATTTCGGTATTCAGATCATGCACAGTCGCTGCGTCCAGTCCCGTATGGTCACCCAGAATTCCCGACGCTCCATTGGCTGTTATGATAAAGTGAATGGGCTTATCGTGCCAGCGGTTCGAGCCGTCTGAGAAATGAAAGTGGCGGCCTCGCTCTTCTGATGTCTCTGGTGAACTGTCGTCGAGGGAGACTACAAAGGCCGATTCCTCAATGGTGCGAATGTACGCTGCGTTCTCGGGGCTGTGCTCGATAAATGCCTGACGGGTCTGAGATTGGAAAGGTTAGCTAGGACTGTGGCATTTATTATAGTTGGACGGTGAGGTACCTTTGCCCAAGAGATTCGGTCGTCTGTAGTCAGTATTCCCAGCCAGTCGACCTCGCTGGTATCAGTCTCGAGTAGGATCCTGTCGAATATCTGCTCCAGTCTATCCACCTGGTCCAATTCGACCTTGTAAGCCTGTCCCCTTCTCAGCACAACAAAGTGTTCACACCCGGGATACTGCACGAATCTATCAACCCCGACTGTAGGTTCGCGAGTCGTACAAAACAAATACTTGTAAAGATCCATACACAGCGGTTCCTCATTAACAACCCTAGGCCGAATCAGCCCCTTCTCAAGTTTATCCTTGTACCGGATAACTGTCGAAACCATGAGCGCTGCTCTCTCCGCTTGTGAATGCGATGGGACATCCACAGGGTGCGTGAAGAAGAAGGTCATGTACGGTGCCAGTGACCCGTTTCGGACAAGGTATTGATTGCGCAGGTAGAGGTCGTGGTACCACGTCTTGGGATTGGCGGCACGGATTGCCTTCAGGCGATCATACAGGCGTCGTCCGATGCCGCCGGGTGCTTGGAAGTCGGCTGCTAGGGAGCGAGTTGTGCGGTACTCTGCGTCTGTTGCGTGGGCGCGGAGGTAGGAGAGGTGTCTCTCGATGAGGGATTCCAGGGAGGGAATGGGGAGGGGAGGAGGCGTCTGGGTGTTTATAGTAGGGTGAGGAAGGTGGTCACCATTCGATGTGCCATTCACCCTCACGCTTGGGGCATCCACATCCGATGTCTCATTCGTCTTCAGCACAAGCTTCGACCGCTTCATAACCATCTCCACCAGCTGCTTGAGACTCGACGCGTCCAACACCTCTGATGTCTGCACGGGCGCCTGCGTCGTCCTCACGAGCCAATTCTTAAACTCAATCGCAAGAAGTGAGTCCAGGCCCAGACTTGCAATGGACATGTTCTCGCTGATATCATCTGCATCGAGAGCCAGGAACGAGGAGAGCTGCTGTACTGCGGCGTCGAGGACAATCCTGTACACTTCGGCCATGCTCTCTGCAGAGGCGATCTGCTGGTCGATTCGTTTGGATGATAATTGCGTTTCGCTTGTGATGGTCTCATCGGAAAGCTCATGGATTGCCTTGAATATCGGGTTCGCCCGGGGACATGTAGCCTTGGTGAGACCGGTGAATAGCTCCCTGGACTTTTCGTTGTCTAGCTGTGATGCCGCGGTAATGGTGTAGTCGAGAAGGCTGTACAGCTCGCTCAGCTTTAATGCGGCTGTGCTTGCCTGTCCCGTATTCCAGGTCCCGATTCCGTCGATTGCATCAAGGCGAACCGTCACAGAGTGAGCCGTGGGTGAGCCATTGACTGTGCTGCCAGCGGCGGACAGTGCATGGCCCTGACAGCCCAGGATGGCTGCACAAGGCGCGAGGGTAACCGAAAAGTCCACAGCCGTGCTTGCCGCGATACTTTCACCTGCTGCCTTGGTATCGTGTATCTTGGTCGTGCTAGCATGAAGCTCCTCGTCCGTTATTTGGGTCAACGAGCGTCCATCCGCCACCCACTCGACATATAGAATGCCCCTTAAGCTTGCTCCAGTGGAGTGGGATAGAACTGAGGAGAGGTCTTCTGAAGTTGCAATGTTATCAATCTTGACCTGTTGGAAGCGTGAAAAGTCCAAGCCTCCTTGCCGTGTGTCTGCATTGGAATCCAGCACGCTAAGAATTTGTCTGGCTCCCCTCTCCTCGAGGAAAGTGCAGAGTGCGTGATTCAGCGGAGGAGATCCTCCAACCACAGCGTAGATTCCATCCTCTGCTAGAACCGGAGGCCGTGGCTGCGGCGCAACCTGCTTAACAACAGCCGTCTCATCACTTTCCAAGACAATCTTTCCCAAATGGCGCTGGCTTTGCACAAGTCTAAATGCAGTACCGACATCTCTCAGGTTCATGGTTGCCAGCGGGGCAATGGGCCTTAATTTCGCCGCCTGGTACAGCGCCACGACCTTCGAGAAGAGCTTCTCGACCTGCTTTGGCCGCCGCGCGGCGAGGAGCTGCAGGTTGACCGAGGCAAAGGTGACATTCCTCTGCAGCCTTGAACCTACCGTCTGCGGCACCCTGGAGTTTGCAACGTCAATCACGTACCCAAAGTCCGCGACGAGGGGCACGCTCTCATCAAACAGTCCTCCCGATGAGCAGTCGAGAATAACATCGACGCCCCGGCCCCCAGTAAGATGCAATATTTCGTCTTTGAAAGACGTAGAGGAGGTGTAGAAGATTCGGCTCCTAGGAATCCCCGCTTGCTCACCGAGCGATTCTTTCTCCTTGTGGGAAGCAACGGTAGCGTAAACACCTGCGCCGATGTGTTGTGCGATTGAGATGGCCGCCTGCCCAACATCTCCCGCCACTCCGTGAATCAGCACAGTCTGGCCATCTTCAAGGCTCGCAATGGTATCCAACGCGTACATGGCTGTCAGGAACGCAACAGGAATCGATGCACCTTCCGCGAAGGAGGTGGACCCCTCAAGCCTGTGCACCAGGTGTCCCTTGACGACGGCAATGTTTGTGTATGGCGGCGCTCCCCACCCACAGACCCGGTCTCCCGGCTGGTACAAGTCTCGACAGCCATCTCCCACCTCGACGACAATCCCGGCAAACTCACCCATCATTGCCGATGTGGGCTCTGCCCGGTCCAGTGCGATTGACACGTCGAGGGCATTCACTCCGTGGGCGTATACCTTTACCGAGACTTCGTTAGGGCCTAAAGCTGGCGTGTTGGAGAGAGGTACAAAGACGGCGCTGTCGAAAAGGCCCGGTGTCGTAAAGTGCAGCTCCAGCGGTTGGTTAGAGCTGTGGAAGGCAGCCGTAGTCGTCATGTCTTCCCCGGTGACATTGGCCGTTAACCATTGGTTCGCAGCAGTGTCGAGCTCAAGCCTGGGGACGAGCAGGTGGCCGTCTTGGTATCTATATTCGTGATCGACGGGAGTCTCCCCGTTCCCCTGCCTGCGCGATCGGTGCAGTACATCCGTCACCGCTTGATATAGAGTCGTCCTGTCCGAAGATAGAATGTCTTGGTAATCCAACGACACAATGTGCGCATCCTCGATCTCCTGCCGCGCCACTCGCGCAAGTCCGGCGGCACTCATCCCTGAGCTGTGCTCCGCAAAGATAGTTACCAGAAGTAATGACCTGTCATTGCGAAGGAGCGAAAGTAGATTCCCGGCTGCTATCGATGCCTTCAGCTCACCTGTGAAGACGATATGGATAGATGATGAGCGCGCCATCTCTCCATTGGTGATGCCAGCAGTGTCATCTTCGTCTCCGCTTGTGAGTAAATAGGAGCGCACTCCGTTTGCAAGCTCGAGAGCCAGCGGTGTCTCGGAAAGGAATGAGACGTTGACGTCGTGGAGGTTGGCCTTGTTCCCGTTGGCTGCTTGGGAATCGTCCAGGGAGGCAGGAACCCAGTCCAGATGATAACACGGAGGAGCCAAGTCCACGGCCACTTTCTCAGATGCACGCTCCCCAATCGCCCGAAAATCCTCTCGGGAGAGCGACGCAATCTCCACCGGCTTCCCCTCCGCATCAAACTGAAAGACGGCCACATCAACCGACCCATGCCGCCGCGCCGCCCTCGTCAGCTCACACGCCGCAACCAACTCACTCCCAGGAGCATTCAAAATATCCGCTGATACCGACACCTCACCAATCGACGTCAGCATCACGGGTCCCTGACTGCAATGTCGGTGGTACAAAGGTAGGACGACATGCATGAATGCGTCGAAGACTGCAGGGTGGATGATGTGTGGCTGCATGTGCTGGGAGGGCATTGTGCGTTTGATATCGGGGATTCGAAGGTGGCCGAGGGCTTTGTGGTCGCCGAGGTGCATCTCACGGATGATGCTGAAGCTGTCGCCGTAGTCGATTCCGTTTTTGCGCATTTCGGCGTAGATTGAAGTCGAGGTGAGGGTTTCGTCGCAGGTTTGTCGCATGGAGGCAAGGTGCTTTTCTGATATTGAGTCGACGATACTTTGGGGATCAGCCTCGTCCTCAGTTTCGGTTGGTGGAGTTTGGAACTCTGCCCTGATATCCCCCTTGCAATGCTCACTCCACCCGCCCTCAGCCCCAACAGAGGAAATACGGAACTCTTCCCAGTCTGCCCTCGACGGCCTAAGACTGAGTAGGACCTCGACGCTCCCCGGGGAATCCGGCACAACAAGCGCCTTGGAGAACGAGACATCCCTGAACATAAATTTTGCAATCTCACGCTTCTCCCCTCGGTCCCTGGATACCTGCCTCAGGGCTTCGATACCCATACACAGAAACGCAGACCCAGGATACAGCGCGAACCCATCAATGATATGTTCCTGCAACCAGGGGAGATCGTCGACGCTCAAGATGTGTCGAAATACGGGCTCGATCGTGCTTGTGCCCGTCAGACGAAGACCGCATAGATCGTGCGGAGGGTGTGAGCGGAACCGGTATTCTTTGCTCAGGCGGGATTCGTGCCAGTAGTGGTTCGAGTCGGAGTGATCCCATGGATATGGAGGGAGATCTGTCAGCACAGGGCGTGGAGATTGTTTTCCAGGATCTGGCTGTGAGGACACGTCTGTTGTGGGGCGAACCGAGACGCCCTGTTCAAAGAGACTCCCTACCATCTCGAGAGCAGCCAAATGCGCGTCTCTATTTCGGATCAGGCTAGGCGTGTATGACCACTTTGCTGGGGGGTTTGTTGTGGCGTTCATCATGGTTTGGCGGATCGGCCCTTGCAGCGCGGAGTGCGGGCCCATCTCGAGCAGGACCAGGCTCTCCGAGGTGCAGTTGCTGAGCACCCTGACCATCTCCTCCAATGCTGGTGCAAATCGCACCTGCGAGACCAGGTTGTTCACCCAGTACGATGGCCCGAGAGGATCCGTAATATGGGATCCCGTCACAGATGAGAAAAAGCGAACCGAGTCCTTCGACCTTCTCGCAGACACACCGAGGACACACTGGTGGAATCTGTCCGAAACGACCGCCATGTGGTGCGAGTGGTACGCAATGTCGACCTTCAGCCGCCGGTTAAAGACCGAGTCCTGGTTCAGCATCTTCTGAACTTCTGCTATGGCCAGCTCATCGCCCGAGAGAGTCACACTGGACGGACTATTGATGCATGCGACTGTACACCTCCCCACACTGCCCCGCTGAACATATTCCAGGGCTTTAGCCTCCCCAAGACCAACCGCTAACATGCCACCACCCGGTAAGCATGTCTCTTTGCACCAGCCAGCCACAAAGCCCTTGTGGTAGGCAATTGTCAGGGCCTCCTTGTGGTCTAGAATCCCTGCGGCATAGGCGGCGGCAACCTCGCCACTGGAATGGCCTAAAACTGCGCTCGGGAGGACGTTCAGCTCCGTCAGCAAATCGACGAGAGCAACCTGAATGGCCGTCGTTGCGGGCTGTGAGAGCTCGCTCGAGTTGATTCGCGAGAAGGACTCGTCCCGGAGCAGTTCGTCTACGAGACGCCAGGACGCCCCGAGCTCTATTAGAATTTGCTGCGACCTCTGTATGGAGCGGGAGAAATTGTTGTTTTGGTGGATCAGTTCTCTACCCATCCTTGCATACTGCGAGCCCTGGCCTGTGAAGATCAATGCAACTGTGGGGTTTGCGGTCGCTCTGCTCAGGCGGGGTTCCTTCAACGCAGAGAGAAGACCATCGTAAGATGCGGCAGTAATGGCTGAGCGCCACTTGAAAATAGATCTTCGTTGGGCGAGTGTTTTTGCGAGCTGTTGTCTCTGCGAATATGTTGGGCTATGCCTCACACACCAGTCCCGCACATTCCGAATGGTTCTCTCGAGCGAGGACTTAGATCTAGCGGACAAGACGAAAAGCAGGGGCTTCTCTTCCTCGCCCGCGTCTGTGCTGCCGTTGGAGTGTGTTCTGGGGCCGGCTATCAGGCTGTGGCAGCCATTGCGTGTACCGTTTGTATATACCTCTGGTGCTGACTGGAGGATAACATGCGCATTCGTTCCTCCAAAGCCGAAGCTGTTTACAGAGGCCAAGCGAGTCCCTTGATGTGGCCAGGGCTGCGGCTCTTGAGGAATCTGCCGCAACCACTGTGAGCCGAGTCATCGAATATCTCACCATGGGGAGCAACTCACCACTATCCCACTTCCCTCCAACAAGGGTACGAGGTCAGGCTTCAACTCTTTTAGCCCCGCCAGCGGCGGAATAACGGCTTTCTCCAATGCCAGTACCGTCTTGATCACTCCAGCCAACCCACTCGTGCTCTCCGAATGTCCGATATTGGCCTTGATTGAACCGAGGAAAAGCGGATGCTCTCTCGAACGCGCATCACCGGAGAACACGCTCTTGATCGAAGTAACCTCCGCAGCATCCCCCGCCTGTGTGCCCGTTCCATGCGCTTCAACATAACAAACATCCCGAGGGTTGAGCCCAGCCTGCCGATATAACGACGCAGCCAGATCCCGCTGGGCGTCGGAATTGGGCAGCAGAATCCCATTCGTCTTACCATCCTGGTTCACGCCTGTATTTCGAATCACGGCGCGAATGGGATCCCCGTCCCTCACTGCGTCGCTCAGTCGCTTGACCACCAACGCTGCCACCCCTTCAGCCCGCCCATACCCGGCGCCCCGGCTGTCCAAGGGGTAACATCGCCCGTTGTCGTTGATCATACTACAATCATCCGTCAAGATCTCAATCTTTCTAGTTCTACGGACAGAGTTCCTTACTGTAGCGCACTCATCGCAATCGTCATATCCGGCCCCAAAAGCAGATTCGTCCCGCCCACAATCGCCGACTCGGCCTCGCCACTCCGCAACGCCTGACACGCCAAATGCAGCGCCGCCATGCCCCCCGAACACCCCGTATCCAGACTCAAACTGGGGCCCCGTAAATCAAACACATACGAAATGCGCCCGCACGCCGTCGCATCGCCGCACCCCGTCAGGTGATGCTTTGGGATGCACATGGGATCTTTGTAGATCTGTCTGTCGTAGTCGCGGCTTACCAGTGCAACGTAGACGCCCGTTTGTGTTCCCCGGATAGAGTCCAACGTGTGTCCGGCGTTCTCGAGCGCTTCGTAGGTGACTTCGAGGAGAAGGCGCTGCTGCGGATCCATTGCGGTGGCTTCGGCGGCGGGGATGGAGAAGAAGGGGGCGTCGAAGGCTGCGACGTCCTGTGCGAGGAAGAACCCGCCGCGCGCGTTGTGTGTGCCTCGTGCATCGGGGTCTGGATGGTGGAACGCGTGCTCGTTGTATCGCGAGGGCGGGACTGGCGACCAGCATTGCTGCCTGCGAGAAACGATCTCCCAGAGCTTGTCTGGTGTGTCTGCGCCGCCCGGGAAACGGCATGATAGCCCGACTATCGCGACGGCGATGGGCTCTGGGGCGGACATGGTGAGTTGCTCCTGGGGTTGTTCTTGGTGTGGAACATGAAGGGGCAACGAGCTGTTGTTGTTGTTGTTGTTGTTGTTGTTGTTGTTTTCTCGTCGTCGTGGACACTTGTGCATATGCATATACCTCTGACCGGCCTACATCTCAGGCTGTAAAAGTGACCATCGAGCTTCACTCCTGTGGCTTGATAGTGCCCACATAGTCCACCAACTCGTGGATATAGCCTCTATCCACCCTCTCCGTCCCTCCTTTACAAGAAGAGCATTGTCTCCAGCTAGCCCACGCCACCAGCGGGCCGGAAACGACAATGGCGAGACAGTTTCAGGCGTTTCAGCCGTCCGAGTTTCCCATGTCTTGCTTGAAGCATCATGTCTTGGAGGCTGTATTGTCACCATACTCAGATAGGAACGGGGATTCGCTCCGCGCGGCTGGTTGGCCCCCAACCTACCCCAAATTTAGCGCTCATTTTATCGGTTCAGCCTGGAGCCCCGCGGGATCCCTGCTCGATGCTGCATAAGCGTGCATGCCCTAATCTATACGCTTACGCCGTCAGCATTACATGATCCTGCAGGTGGAGCCGATTTGATAGTATCCCAGGCCAAATCCTCGCTTCTGGGGTAGCTTTATGTAGCTTTATGCTATACCGCGCCAACCTTTACACTGAGGAATAGCCGAGAAGACCACGTCTACTGACCGGGAAACAGCCACCTGGAACCTCATACGATGAGCATTACTAGAAGCAGTGTAACAAGGTATCTAGTACGTCTCAGACACACCCCGCGCTCCCATTCGCCGTGTTCTCAGCAAAACCACCCCTAACAACCTCCCAAACAAACTCGACCTGCCGCCTCACAAGTCCCGGCATTTCCGGCCCGTGCAGGACATACACGTGTTCCTTGCCGGGGGCAAAGACCTGCCGCTTAGGCGCGCGCAGCGACGCAAAGACCGCCGTTTGCTTTTCCGGCGGCGAGATCTGGTCTTCGGACGGGGTGAGGAATAGGACGGGGGTCGGGTGGATCTGCGCCGCCATGGCTTCGGGCACGGGCTCGAAGAGGAACATGCGGTGGTAGGATTGGAGCGTCGTGCCGTTGGGGTTGTGGGTTAGGCCGGGTGAGTCAGGAGGAGTCGTAGTAGTGTCGTTGTCGTTGTCGTTGTTGTTGTCTGTCTCGCCGTTGGCTTCGGCGTGATCCCCCAATCCCCCGTCCCCGTTTCCGTCCCCGTTCAGGTTCAGCTTCAGGTCCTCATGGTGCTGCGCATTGACATGCGAATTAAACGGAATCTCCGCCAAACTCTCCATAATCGGGAGCACATACCCCTGCTCGCCGCGGAGCACCTGCGCCTCGCGATCCTTGACCATCTGCCGCTTCAGCCGCTTGCTATCGCCCTCCTTGACGGGGAGAAACTTGAAAATCGGCGCCACGGCAATAACGCCCGCGATGCGCCGATCCACACTCGCCGCGCTCAGCGCAATCCCCGCCGAGAGCGAAATCCCCCAGAAGAAGATGGCTTTGGCGTCTACGATGTCCAGTGTAGATAGGTAGCAGAATGCGTCCGAGTAGTCCTCGACCTGCGCAAAGGGGTTGATGTCGTTGCGGGGGAAGCCGCCGCTGGTTCCGGTGTTGCGCGGGTCGTAGACGAGCGCGGTGATTCCGGCTTTTTGGAGCTCGGTTGCGACGCCGGGGGGGAAGTTGGTTAGGGTTACGTTGTACTGTGCAATGGTTTAGTTGGTAATGTGGTGGCATTGGCATGGTGAATGGGGGGTTGGTCGGAGGGGTACGTACACCCGGGCTGAGGATCACAGCTGGGCCCTTTTGCGCTGCGGGGTAGAGCCTCCCGCGCAAGAAGATGCCGTCGAGGGTCTTGAATTGCACTTTCTCATATTGTTCCGCCATGGTCTGGACAGTAGCTGGATAGAGTAGTGTAGCGAATCAGTGACCTGGATTGTAGGGCAGGTCAGACCAGGTATGAGGCCACAATAAATGCCCCCGAACTTTCATGGTACGTATACGTGGTTGCTAGTGGAGTAATCTGCACGGCGACGGACCGGTAAACCGAGACTAGGGCTGCTGTCCTTCCATATGGAGCTTTGGCCGTGAGGATGTGGCTGAGCCGTTGAAGACGTGAGACATGGACTAGCACTCGCTACTGTAGCGGGGGATTCCATCGTGTAATGGTTAGTTTTGGTATTATTTAGTACCATACCATACCACCGCTTGGAGTAATTTTATAGCTTGGGAGCCTGCGAAACGACTTACTTGGTAGTCCATCTGTCGGTGATGTTTTAGCCATTGCTGAACTCGCACCACAGCCAGTACCAGCAACCATGAGGAACATCGACATGGACGGGTCGAACGGGTCGACAAACGGGCACAGCCCGAGCATCCCCGAGCCCATCGCAATAGTAGGAATGGGCATGCGACTCCCAGGGAAAATTCACAGCGCAGAATCCCTCTGGGATCTATTGATCAACAAAAAAGAAACCAGCGGTTCGATTCCCAGCAGTAGATTCAACCCCGAGGGCTTCTACTCGGAATCAAAAATCCCCGGCTGCATCGGGACACAGCGCGGGCATTTCCTCGACGAGTCGGATGGATTAGATCGTCTCGACACGTCCTTCTTCAGCATGGGCAAAGCAGAAGTGGAAAAGCTCGATCCACAGCAGCGCATGCTCCTCGAGGTCGTGTGGGAGTGCATGGAGAATGCCGGGCAGGTCGACTGGAGGGGATCCAACACGGGCGTGTTTGTCGGCACCTGGGGCGACGACTGGCAGGACTTTCTAGCGAAGGATCCGCAGCAGACTGGCGGGATGCTGAATGTCTCTGGGGCGGGGGATTTTGCGATTTCGAATCGGGTTTCGTACGAGTATAACCTGACGGGGCCGAGGTACGTAGTATACCATCCAGTGTCGTGAGAGGGCGCGCAGCTGAAGAGAAATTACAGCATGACTATCAAGGCAGCATGTGCCTCATCGATGATCTGCCTCCACCAGGCATGCCAGGCCCTCCGAGAAGGAAGCTGCGACGCAGCCATTGTCGCAGGGACAAACCTGATCATCACGCCAACACAGACCATCGCACAGACCGAGGCTGGGGTGCTCTCACCGACGGGTCAGTGTCGGTCATTCGACGCTTCAGCGAACGGATACGCGAGAGGCGAAGCCATCAATGCTATCCTCGTCAAACGGCTAAGCGACGCGGTGCGAGACAGAGATCCCATACGAGCGGTTGTTCGAGGGACGGCGATCAACTGCGACGGCCAGAGCGCCGGAATCAGTTTGCCGAATCCTGTAGCGCATGAGAAGATGATCCGCCGCGCGTATGAAGTTGCTGGACTTGCAGGCAGCGCACTGGATACACCATTTGTCGAGGCTCATGGGACAGGGACGCCCAGTGGCGATCCACTGGAACTAAAGGCAATCAGTCGAGTGTTTGGAAACGGAATGGACACGTTTATTGGGAGCATCAAGGCTAATATTGGCCATGGCGAGGGTGCATCGGGGCTGAGCAGCATCATCAAGGCTGTTCTGATGCTGGAGCATCGCACAATTCCGCCACAAGTCAACTTTGTCACACCAAATCCTAATATCCCGTTCCAGGAAGCACGGCTGGTCGTACCACTGGAGCCAGTATCGTGGCCAAGGGGTCGACCCGAGCGAATCAGCATTAATTCTTTTGGTATCACTGGGGCGAACGCCCACGCCATTATCGAGTCTGCAGCGTCCAATGGAGTGATTCGTTCCCAGTCAAATGGACATTCCCCATCTCCGCGACCACATTTGTTCGTTTTCTCGGCCAACACCCCAGACTCACTGAAGAAGAACGCAGCTCAGATCCAAACGTATCTCAGCGACCATCCAGAGCGGGCAAAGAACCTGTCTTATACACTTGCCTGCGGACGCGCGCACCTCGGCCACCGCGCCTTCTGCCTCGACCATGTCGAAGATGTCACTTTTGCCTCGGAGAGAGCGCAGAAACCTCCAACGATCAACTTCGTCTTCACAGGTCAAGGAGCACAATGGCCAGCAATGGGAAAGGAGCTCATCGAACATTTCCATCAGTTCAGGGCCGACCTCTCACACATGAACAGCGTGCTAGCTAAACTTCCGCATCCACCAAAGTGGAATCTCATCGAAGAATTACTACGACCAGAGGCCAAAAGCCACATCAACAAAGCCGAGTTTGCTCAGCCACTTTGCACCGCCCTCCAAGTTGCACTGGTAAACCTCCTAACCTCACTCGGGTTGTCGCCCTCCGCGGTTGTCGGCCACTCCAGTGGAGAGATCGCAGCTGCATATGCAGCCGGAGCAATTACCGCAGATGAAGCAATTATAATTGCTTACTATCGAGGCCATGCGGTAGCTGGCGCTCCGAGAACTCGAGCTGGAGCGATGGCGGCGGTTGGCATGGGCCGTGCCGAGGCGACGCTATATCTGGAGGACGGCGTAGTAGTCGCCTGCGATAACGGACCTACTAGCGTGACGTTATCTGGGGATCTTGAAGCACTCGAGGCGGTGATTGGGCAGATGAAGGCGGATGATCAGGATGTTTTTGTGCGGTTGCTCAAGACAGATGGGATGGCGTACCATTCCCATCATATGCTGGAGGTGGGTGCTGTCTATGAAGAGTATCTCCGGGCGTTCGTGCACGCAAAGCCCGCGTCTGTCCCTTTCCTATCGACGGTTACGGGCAAGTCAGTGGGTACAACCTTGCTCGATGCAGCTTACTGGAGGCGGAACTTGGAGTCTCCTGTAAAGTTTTTTCCCGCCGTCAAAGCAATGATTGCCAGTCAGCAGTCTCAGGACCAGTTATATCTGGAGATTGGACCACATTCTGCGCTATCAGGGCCCCTGCGACAGATCTTCAAGACCACGCCGGCCAAAGGGCGTCTAACGTATCTTTCTACCACAACACGAGGCAAAGATGGCCTGGAGTGTATTTTGCAGATGTGTGGGCAGCTATACTTGCAGGCAGTGGATCTTCGGCTTGAGAAATTGATGCCCGGAGCTACGACATTGACAGATCTCCCAGCTTACCCCTGGCAGCATGACACGTCGCACTGGGCTGAGAGCCGGGCAGTAAAAGAGTGGTAAGAATTACACCATCTTTCCAGCAACCCGTCACTACTCATGATAACCGCGTCTGTAGGAGAACCAGAAAGTACCGCCGCCACGAACTGCTCGGCTCGCGAATTCTCGAGGGCAATGACGTCGAGCCCACATGGCGGAACCTGCTCCGATTAAAAGATGCACCCTGGCTCCAGGACCACAAGGTACTAAGTGATGTTGTCTTTCCGTGCGCTGGCTACATCGCCATGGTAGGCGAGGCTGTTCGACAGATCACGAGTGCCGAGGACTTTAGTATCCGTCGAATGGGCATCAAGACAGCCATGATATTGGCTGAAGAAAAGACTGTCGAGGTAGTTACATCCTTTAAACCCATGAATCGTACCATGACGAGCCAAGTAACGTGGTACGACTTTTCCATCTACTCGCACAATGGCAGCGCCTGGACTGTTCACTGCACTGGGCAAGTCAGCGGAGGCAGGGATCACCAAGTGCCAGAGCCCCAATTTGACCCCACCTTCCAAGAACTCGCAAGGCAAGTCCGGTCGCCATATCCCATTTTCACAAGCGTTGGTCTCCACTATGGCCCTACGTTCCAGGGCCTGCAGAGCGTGTCTGCCAGGCCCGGCGCAAAAGAAGCCGCTGCTTCCCTCCGACCTCCTCCAACGACGAGCTCGGCCTATCCAATTCATCCGACAACGATCGACCAGGGCCTTCAACTTCTTGGACTAGCCTCTGCAGATGGTTTGGCTTATCGCTTTTCTCACATCCTGTTACCGACGGGGATAGAGCACTTGTACATTCACCCATCTCGCCAACCCGCAGCATTAATCCACGCAAACGCCTGCGCCACCCCGGTAAATGGCACATCTGGGAATATCAACGGCGAAATAACGATCGCTGACTCCAACGGCGTCCTCCTCTCCGCGCAGGGCTGCAAGCTATCGGCATTCGAGCAACAGCCTCAGAGCCTAGACAGAGATGACCAGATCGCCGCAGCACGACTAAGCTGGAGACCGCATCTCGATTTCGTCCCGCTGGAAAGTCTCATGACTGTACGTCCAAAGGATTTATCTGCGTTGCAGCTGATGGAAGCATATGTGTTCCTCGTCACGATAGAGATTCGGGAGCGGATCCGTGAGAATGCGCCGTATCAGGGCCACTTTGGAAAGTTCAGCCTCTGGATGGACGCACAGGTAGAACAGGGCTCCGCAGGTGGGAACCGGCTGGTCCCTGACAGTGCCGAACTGGCAGGTCTCGGCACGATAGAACGGCAGGCCCGCATCAATCAGCTGCAGAGCCAACTACAGAATGGGGAGTTCGCGGCAGTAGCTGAACTAGTGACTCGTCTGTTGGATAACTGCGTGGGCGTGTTTAACGGGGAGACAGAGATCCTGGATGTGTTTGTGCGCGATAACGGTCTAACGAAACTATACAATCTCACGGGCGAAAGGACCGACCCTACAGAGTTCTTCGTCACAGCAGGCCATACCAATCCAACCATGCGCGTCTTGGAGATCGGTGCCGGTACTGGAGGAACTACGCTGGTCGCGTTGCAGGCTCTAACGTCGATCAATGGGGAGCCGATGTATGGGAGTTATACGTATGCTCCCGGTAACCTATACCATATCTGCTTCAGGTGCTAACGGAGGCCTATATAGTTTCACTGACGTCTCATCCGGCTTTTTCGCTGCCGCGAAGGAGCGATTCGCCGAGTATCCCGGGCTGGAATTCAAGGTATTGGATATCGAAAGGGACCCAGTCTCGCAAGGCTTCGATGCTGGAGACTACGACCTCATCATTGCGTCAAATGTGATACACGCCACAGAAACGCTAAATCGGACATTGAGCCATGTTCGCAAGCTCCTACACCCAAAGGGGAGATTCTTCCTACAGGAGCTTACGCCCTCCGCAGCCAAAATGATCAATCTTATCATGGGCCCGTTGCCAGGATGGTGGCTGGGAGAAGCCGATGGAAGAGCAAGCGAGCCTCTTGTTTCACCTGAGCGGTGGCACCGGGAGCTGCAGGCGGCGGCCTTTGAGGGCGTGGAGTGTGTGGTTTATGACGATCCCAACCGTCGCGACCATCTCGGGGTGAATATCATCGCGAAACCAAGCCAGACGGAGCCAACACCGGGGCTTCGTAGAGTGACTCTTCTGATAGATTCAAGTCAGGCGCAACATGAATCTGATTCCATCATGCTTGTGAAAGACACACTCGCCGCTCGGGGCTACCATGTCGATATATGCTCCCTAGGCTCTCAGCTCCCGGTTTACCAGGACGTCATATCCCTGTTGGAGGTTGATACGCCATTCCTGAGCGATATTAGAGCCGAGGACTTTGCCTCGCTGCAGCGGGTCATTGGTGCCCTCGGCTCATCGAAGCTCCTCTGGTTGATGGGATCTGCGCAGCTCGAGCCGATCAAAGATCCACGCTACGGCCTCGCGCTGGGCTTCACGCGGAGCATCCGTGCCGAGCTGTCGCCTTCACTTGCGACATTAGAGGTCGACAGATTGAATGCGGCCGCGGCTGCTGTTGTAATTGACGTACTCGAGCATTTCCGCGAACGAGCCGCCTCGGTTAACCCGGACTATGAGTATGTACTACGAGATGGCCTCGTGCATGTGGGCCGATATCACTGGACCAGAGTGTCGGAGGAGCTCGCTGAAGCCAACAATGCTTCTGATTACCCACTGCAGCTAGAGGAGCGCCGCAATGGAGGCTCAATGGTATTGAACTGCGTCCCCGTTGTTCCAGAGCCAGTTGGTGCGGGGGATGTTATGATTACGCCTGCGTATGCAGGAATTGCCCCTGGGGTGCGTCCTCCATCGACTAGCTCGGACTCTGCTGACACCGCCATAGAACTCTTTGTCCAGCTTTGAGGGCTCGGGCACTGTCACGGCTGTAGGAATTGAGGTGCACGACTTGAAGCCCGGCGATCGAGTCATGTTTCTAGCGCACAACTGTCTCGCAACAAGTATCACGCTTCCAGCAAGCCAGGCTGTGGAGATCCCCGACACGTTAACCCTTGAAGAAGCAGCCAGCATGCTGCTACCCTTCTCCACCGCTATCTATTCCCTCCGAAGGGTATCCAATATGAGGAGAGGCCAGAAGCTTCTGATCCACGATGCAGCCAGTGCGGTTGGCCTTGCTGGGATCCAAGTCTGTCAGATGCTTGGGGTTGAAGTTTATTGCACGGCCGCATCTGAAGATGCAGTGGCGCACCTGGTTACCCAGTGCAACGTTTCTCGCGACCACATATTCCAGTATCAAGACGCTTCGTTCTTGCCGTCGCTAATGGGCGCCACTGCAGAAAAGGGGGTGGCTACTGTCCTCGTTCCCGGCTCCGTGTCAGCTGAGCTGTTGCGCGCGCATTGGAAATGCATAGCTCCGCGCGGAAAGGTATGTGACTCTATCAGATGAAGTGCTGGGGGGGTACATGACGCTGATAGTGTCGCAGATGATAGTTCTCGGAAAGGCGGACTCGAACGCTCTCGCAGGCTTAGAGCCGGACATCTTCAGCGGGAATAGAAGCTTGATTGGCGTCGATTTCTCTACGCTACAGGACTTGTATTCCGAGTACGTTGAGCACCGATTCCCTGGTTTTACCCCGCTAACACGTTGATAGGCTTCTTGATGAGACACTGCGTCTCTATAACGAGGGTGCTATCAGACCCATCGCCCCAATTTATACTGTTGCCTTTGCCGATACAGATACGACAGCTGTGTCTGAAATTTTGAGCCAACGAGGCACCGTCGGAACATCCGCCCTCGACATCTCAAGCGCTTCCAAGTCCCTTCCGGTTCTCCCAGCAAATCCAGAACTCAACCTCCGCTCAGACACAGCATACCTTCTTGTCGGAGGTCTCGGCGGGCTTGGTCAGTCCGTCTCAACTTACCTCGTTGAGCGCGGTGCACGTCACTTGATCTACCTCTCACGAACAGCGGGCGAGCAGCACTCACACCAGGTCTTCTTCCGCGAGCTCGAGTGCCAAGGCTGCACCGTTCAATCTGTGCAAGGAGATGTATCGAGCCCTGCAGATGTCGAGATCGCAATTCGGAACGCCCACCTCCCCATCGCCGGAATCCTACACATGGCAATGGCCCTGGATGACCACCCCTTCCTAGACATGTCACACGAAGACTGGCAAAGACCCCTGGGACCAAAGGTTTCGGGGACATGGAACCTCCACAACGCCCTCTCCCAAACAGACACCCCCCTCGACTTCTTCGTCATATTCGGCTCGGTCTCCGGCTCATTCGGGATTGCCCACCAGGCAAACTACGCCGCGGCAAACACATTCCAGGACTCGTTCGTGTCGTACCGACATGGCCAAGGCCTACCTGCCTCCGTACTGAATATCGGCGCCATGGCCGGTGTAGGGTATGTGAGTGAGAATAAGGGCGTCGAGGAGTATTTCCGGAGCGCGGGGATGCCGTTTTTGTCTGAAGGGGATTTCTTCCACGCGCTGCATTTGTCCATGTGTCAGCAGTTTCCAGACGAGCAAACTGCAAAGACAGTCGGCGCTGGCTGTACCAACACCAGCCAGCTCGCCCTCGGCATCCGCGCGACAAAACCCATGACCGACCCGAGCAACCGCGTCCTCTGGAAACACGACCGCCGCGTCGACATCTACCGGAACATCCAAGCCACCCTCCTCGCAAACACCACCAGCACCTCCAGTACCGAAAACACCGAAGACAGACTCGCAGCATTCATGACAACCGTCCGCTCCGACGCATCGATCCTCTCCCACCCGGAAACCCTCCTCCTCGTGACCCGCGAGATCGGAATCAAAATCTACGAGTTCATGCTCAAGCCCATTGACGAGCTGGATGTGTCCAAGGCGCTTGTGACGCTGGGCGTGGATTCGCTGGTTATTGTGGAGATACGGAATTGGATCAGGCGGAGGTTGGAGGTTGAGACTTCTACTTTGGAGATATTGAATGGGGGAACGATTGAGATGTTGGGAAGGGTTTGTGTTGAGAGGCTGAGGGGGAAGTATGGGGATGAGGACGGGAAGAGGGGGTAACGGGTACAAAAAGGTAAGGAGAGTGTAGTGGCAGCATGTTGATTGTATAAGTCAGCAACCTGAATGTCTGAATTATAGGTAGATTATTTTTTTCGGGGTATTATTAGGGTCATTGAAGAAGATTTTATATAGTGGGCTATTGGTCCAATGGCCACAATAATGCTTAGTTGCGTTACTAAGTACTCATTATACATAGGAGCCATGGGCCTAGGCTAGAAATGTAACAACCAACCATCCCCCGCCCTAGCTCTCATCTTAGAGGATATCCTGGAGGTTAACAGATTTGTCTTTCTTATGTGTATGGATAAAGTCTCCTAGGGTAAGCAATATACCCACCTTTTAAGACCCTTATTCTCCTTTATAAAGTCTAAGATGGCTACTTTTACTAGGCTTTTAGCTTCTGCATAGCAGGTAGTGGACTAATACCTTTAATCCCCATGTTTATTACTCTTACTTATAGAACTACCTTTATTAGTATAAAGGACACCCTCTCTACCTAGTTTGGATATATAGTGGACTTTTATACTATAGGCATGACATGGTCTGGTATTATACTATATATGATAGAGTATAGTAAGATTAGTATATCCTAGATACTACAAGTCCTAAGACAACATGAAAGCATATAGCGCTCCCGAGCGCGTGCCAATCTCATGAATGTCGGAGATCTGCGGGACCAATGCTGGGCTTAGAGCCATGTAGGTTCCCGAGCTGAACCCGAAGGCTGCAGCGAATACATTAGTGGTCGAGTGAAATTTTCCAGGGAGCCAGAGGCCGAGAACGAAAGTTTGAACAGGCCTGCTGAGCAGACTGAGATGTTGAAGTTGCCGAGCCTGTCTGCGGCATAGCAGGGTAGGATTCGGCCGATTCGCTATCCATTACGAAGTTAAAGGTATGGCAGAAGAGGCCTTTTCACTAATAGACAATGTTGCTGAGAGGCTGCAGACAAGGTACGACTCGTACTTGGAAAGTGCACAGACAGCCTCTGAGTGTAACAGGGGAGTCCGGTAAGGGGCGTGAGTACCGAGTGTAGTCGGCCACTATACTCTGCGCATGTCTACGCTTTCGCTTAGCCATGTCGAACTCGGCTGTTGGTGCATCTTAACATCAACCGTGGCAGATACCAAATCACCTTCCACTTTCTACCCTCGTGCGTATACAGTAAATAAGCTAGCCTAAGCCATCTGGGACTCTCACGCCTGTCTTCCATGACTGGATGTCAGCGTCTTACCCTACCCTCCCATATTTTGAGTCATGTTCTTCGTTTTCTGAACCATGATAAGCATGGAGCCCGTCCCTGCATCCTACTCTAAGTAGCTCTATGCAATAATCCTTTCGAACCTTAGAAGGCTGCACACTGTATTGGTAAATTTATACGACGCTGTTGGATGGGCCAAATGTACAGGTACATCTCCTAGCTTCTATCGCAGGCTATTAGTTTTGAAGAGCGTAAACTAAGACGGCGCGTAGGTTGGACTATCAAGAATGATAAATAACGATACTACATATATCCATGGCATGTAATAAGTAGACATTAGGCTCTGCACACTGGATTCTCTCTACCCCTGTAGATGGCGACCAGTTAGCAGGCGGGCTCTAAGCCTCATATTTTCCACGTGATTTCAGCCTGATGGGGCGATTTCGACTGCTGTTGCGAGGCAGCACCTGCCTCTCTGTGATAGAAAGGTATTTCCGGCCTGACCACAAGATTTCGGATTGTGCTTTTATCGTTATTCGCCATTTGTATATACAAGCCTTCGATCACAACACACGATAGACATGGCTTCAAGTGAAACTGGTACCCCACCCTTGGCGGAAGTCGGCGGCGGGTCTTGGGGTCAATCATCCCGAACAACCGCGAACTAATCACCTGTCACGAGGCCCAGTAGCCCTGGCTTATTACTCGATCAAAGCCAAGGAACGCCCCAAGCCAAGATAATACCATCGATTGAACCCGTCCTCCCCAACAGTTCAGCGCCTCACAACCCTGAGGCCTCTGATCGCCAGGTGACTGACTCAAGCGAGGCCGCCGGAGAACAACTCCAGGTACTTCAGCACGACTCTGTACGGACGGCTATAGACGCGCATGAGAGCAACACGCCTACCGAGCCCTCGACAACACTCCGCCGCCGTCACACCCAGCAAACACCCAGCAGCCAGGAGCGCCATGACCGTGCGGATGGCGGAAGTAGCAGTCCCTCTATAGCATCAAAAGCGTGGAGCTTTCTCCTGCAAAGGCTCGTGCCCGTTTCCGCCCTTCTAGGTCTCATTCTCGTCTTTGCCTTTGGTATTGGCGCCTGGGTGGGGATGACTATGCCAACTCTTACTCGAAAAAGCAATATGACATTGCGCTCTTCAGCGCTTGCCACGATTACGAGGTGAGTATTCAGCATACATTGATGTGCTGTGAGTGGGATTTGTGGAATGTATGAACTGACACTCACCTTCTCAGGATATCCGCCAAACCGCGTTCTGCCAGAAGGTTATCAATGCTGGTATAGCGCCATCAGCCCTTGTCAAGCGCCAGGAAAATGCACCAGCTGAAGGGCCAGGATCCGTCGCGGGATTCCTGAATTCCATCTTTGCTGTAGGCAAGCTCCTCCTTCAGGCGCTATTCGAGGCTGGGCCTCGCACCTTCGCTGAACCCGTGCGGCGTCTACAAGAAAGCCAGATGTATTTTGTTTTCTGGACACTTCCTATGAGTACCCAAAACTGCCAAGATTGTTTTCTTGGTTCACATAGTCTGGGATCTGTGGTCCTTGAATCATGGCGCACAATCCTATTCCTCGGCTGGCAAGCCATTCTGTTTGGCTGCTCGCGATTTTGCTTGCTTGCGTGCATACGTCACATGGTCGAGTCGGTTCCTCACCCCTTGTATCACTCGTCTCTTCTCAGAGATATTCTTGCAGCATTCGCCGCGTCAGTATTACTATTTGATGCTTTCTATATCAGTTTCTCCCTGGCGTGGGCCCATTGGGCGACCGCTTTGGGGTCTCTGCTGCCCTTCTGCTTTGTCGCCACGGTAGCTTGGGCTAGAGGGCTAGCGAACATTGCATCCATTCCGCCCATCCTGACAGCAGCTGGTATGATCTGGATCATGTTTGTTTTTATCCCGTGCTGGGTCATACATGCAGCACGAGTTGGGGCTCTATGCCTGTGTTCATTTGGTACGTTTGCTCTTTGGAGAGGATGGGAGGTGAACAAATGGAATGTTGTGGTGTCCATAAGGAGATGGTGGTGATGGGGGCTTGCAGGCATGGTTCTAGTCCTGCTGGGAGCCCTCTTGGATCTCTTCCATCCGAATATCATAACGTCCTTTTTTCACGGGGAATGGTGCTCGTAAGAGGTGGGCTAATTCAAATATAGCGGGCTCATGGTAAAGGTTATATAGCTTTATCTATCACACCTGTCCGTGTTTCACTACTACTAAAACTTTGCAATACTCAAGTAGCATTAGATTCCCGCGAACAGGCAGCCGTAACTTGAGTAGTCGGGTTGGATCTTGAGCGCATGTCCGACAACGCAGAATCGTAAAATATCCTGCGCCTAGCTGCAGCTATTTACAATAGGTATATATGAAACATCGCCCATACATAGCTTATAGTTGATAAACGCTCATCTTAGCAAGTGATAGCCATCAATCTGACCCCAGTGTAGTGAATTTCCGTGCAGCCTCTGCTAGTACCTTGCGCCGCGCCATCTGTCTGCCTATTGCCGTTCATAAGTCACCTTCAAACTTCGTTTTACCATTAGCCGCTATACCTATCGCCAAATAAGATCTGTGTCATCACGCGTAAGAAAACAAAACAAGGGCGGGCTCTCTTATTTTTGGAATCAGAAAACGCCTATGCATTGTAAAGATGATTTGATAAGTGAGGTCGAGGATTATTGCCTGGGCATTTCAATATAATGGATCATCACGCTAAAGTTGGTCGTCTTGAATTCGGCCTATCTCTATCCAGTGCTTAACATGGAATCAAATATCCTCTGTAGCATCCACTGTATCAATGGAGTAAAGCCATGTCGGCATTTGCTTCGCGGCAGGAGTCAAACCTTTGCCACTACAGTAACAGACCGCTACAGTGAAGAGAAGAAACGAAAGAAGAAGCCATCAACCGTTAATGCTGCAAAGCCTTGACCGCCGGTGCAAAAGCCTCTAGAAAGGCCCACAGCGTGCGCTCGCGCCAGTTTCGTTCCTTCCACGTATTCGCAGACAAGGGAAACAGGTCAACAACCCCCGAGTAAACTCGGATCATGCGCCGTGAATAAAGTAGATATTCCCCCGCGCATCTGCATGCTGAGCATTTCTAATCGTAACCATCGCCTCGTGCATGTCTAATCCCATGCCTGCGTCGAAGAAGGGTTGGTCAGGCGAGCGGCCGCGGGTTGCTTGTAGTTGGTGATAAAATGCCGCTCCGGGACATGGTAACAGCAGTCTGCTCCTTTTGAGTAAAGGTGCCATACAATGCCATTATCATGGAGGCTCGTAGCGTATTTCTCCAAGGCCAGGAATTTCCTGACACCTGTTACCAGCAAAACACGTACTGTCCAATGCATGGTTTCTTTGGTGAGCAGAGGTGCGGCCTTTGAATTCTTGTATAATCCGCGCTCGTCCATGACGTGCTGACCAGGCTTTCGCTTAAGAAGTGACCTTTTAGGGAGCTTTTGACGTTTCCCAGTCAATAGGGTATGTGTACTAAGTTATCCCTATACCTACCTGGCGTCGACCGCATCGAGATTGAAGTGACTCTCGTGTCTTCGACGCTATCAAGGTTCACGCAGAGGCCCGATGCTGCAATCTAGGAGCAACTTTCTCGGAAAATTCTTTTACCCTTTCCTTCTCCTTGTGCGGAGAAGAAACAAAGTGGAGAAGCGCTATGCAGTCGAAGAAAATATACTTGTCGAGTTGTGCTATGACCCAGACCAATGCAAGATTGGCGAGCCCAGTATCCTTGTAACCACCACCAACATTGCTATGGGCTCCACGGGACCAGCACTGCTTTACTTTAGTTACTCCATTGTCTATCCAGACTGTTGGTTGCAATAATGCCTAAACAGCGACCTCGATGCTTTTTGGGTAAATGGAGTTAACAACCCCCAGTTTCTTTGCAGCCTGCTGAGGTATAATTCCTGGCATGGGGAAACCAAGTGATCCCACAGTATCCCGAGCTGCACCGACTTTGACACGAACGCCTTTTCGAAGCGGCCCTGTGCAATCCAGTTCCGCGAGAAGTGCTCTCAGAAATGCAGGCTGCGTAAAGCTTTTCGAGGCAACACGCTGGCCCAAAGGTTGTAGACTGTAATCATGTAATTGAGCCCCGGCCAGGGGTGTCAACGATAATGCTGGCTAGGAATGGATCGTGCTTCTAATGCCCCCCGGCTGAATAACAGGGGAAAGACGCACAAAACGGGATGGGAGGAGATAGTCCAATATTTCGATGACGGACGGAGGGTCAATCTTTGATGCATGTACCTGGGAGTTGTCTTAAGCGGGTGTTCTTTAGCCGCTCTTCCCGCAATAGCCATAATACTCGGATAAGCTCCCCCTTTCCCCAATCCCCGCATTTCCCACTGGCATCTCGTGCAGAGCGGGGGATCTGCTTACCCGGCGCAGACGGTAGACAGAGAGAGAGCTGTTCATGGGGTATTCCAGCCAGCGAGTAATTTTTAGCAGCGAGAGGGACCGGTCGCTCTCGTTTCAGTTCAAGTTATCACGAACAAATTCGCCCAGGCTACGTCTACTTCACCCGAGATTACGCCCCAACGATCCAGCAAAGTGATATGGACCCCAATATCAATAACAATAGCAATACCGACGGGCTACAGTATATCGACCCGGACCAGGTCCGCCGGCAGAACGGCAAAGATAGCCCCAACTTGTGTACTCACACCCTCCCTTTGAATTATCCCAGCCAAACAAATGTCTCGGATATACATGATATACATTATACTCATAGTAATTTTCTTCTTTGCCTTGCTTAGGGATCGTCATCGACGACGTGGTCTACGATTGCACGCAGTTTGTCAAGAGCCATCCGGGCGGCGATGCGGTCATTCGGCGGTTTGCGGGGAGGGATTGTTCGTGTACGTCTCCTTGTTTCTTCCGTCGACCAAGTGGGATCAACCTCTATGCAATGCTGAGAGATTATTTTTCTACATAAAGGGCAGTATCACCGTGTCCATGGGTCGGCACGGAATGGGTGGGGACGGGCGCTTCAAGCGTTGAGGGTGGGCAGGACACGCGGCGTGGAGAATCCGTATCCATGTCCAGCGGGGGGGGATAGATCTTTCAGTCTAGAGAATGTAGTGTAACTATAGTTAAATCAATTACTGAATCTCTACGGCGATGAAACCCAAGATTGCATATCCACAGCTCGATAGCTAACCCCCTAATCGAAGGAACATGCTCGAGAAATCCAACGGGTCCTGAATCAGGGTGTCCCAGTCGCTGCTGATAGTCGAGTCCGATTGCCCCGTCAACACGCCGTCAAACCACGCATAGTCACCGTCGGGAGCATGACCACTGCTGCCACCCTGGCGCCCGCACACCGTCGATGACGACGTATCCGTCGCGGCATGCTCATGCTCCGTTTCCCTGCCCACGTCCCCCAGAGCCTGCCTGAGCACCTCCGCATCCCCTTCCTTGCGCCGCTGGAAGCGCCGTACTAGACGTTCCGCCGCCTCATACGCACGAACGGGCTTCACGCCCCCGAAGCCGGCCGCGGCGCTCTTCAGAGCTGACAGGGCGTCGCGCACCTGTGCTACGCTCTCCTGCGTGTCCATCGCGAGAAGCACGCAGGTGAACTGGAACGGAACGTAGGTGACGTGCCACCAGGGACAGTGCTTGCCGATGCAGCGCGTACATGCGTCCAGGCCCTTTCGGCCGAGGGTGAGGACGTGGTTCATGACGGTGGGTTCTAGCCGTGCGGGACTGGAGAGGCGGAGGCGGCGATAGATTGTAAAGGCGAGGACGGCCTGCGACAGGATGACGGCGTCGGAGGAAAAGGTATAGCTGGCTAACTGGTGCAGCATTCCTTGGAGATCTGCGACCTCGGCGACTTTTTGAGAACCGGGGTCGAGCTTCTCGGACATTTGGAAGAGCACGAGGAGGTCGCCCGTGGCATCGGTGCCGGGGCTGCCTTTGGTTGCCGCCGCATCGTCGCACGGAGACTCACCCTGCAATATGACCCGAGACCGTCCATACTCGAATGAGATCCATGTATTCAGCAGCTTGGCGATCCAGAATAGGCGCCTTGTACGCGAAGCAGCCTGGCGACCACCGGCGGCAGCGGTTGAACCAGCCGCTGTTGAAGAGACGAGACCATTGGACCCCTCTGCCTGGTGAAGCCCAATTGCCTCGACAATATGCATCGTCGTGCAGCTCGCAACCCACGCTGCATGCGGGGTGCTATTGCAGCGGAGGTATAGCGTCCGGAGAACCCACGCCTCGGCATCCGCCAGCGTCGGGCTGGCGATCGTACTCGTCGTCTCGAGAATATCCCGCGCGCATTCGACGAGATGTCGTTCCTGCTGTTCGGTCCCAGCAGTACCGCCCACCGACTGCTGCTGCGGCGAGAACAGCGAACCGAGCGCGGCAATGCCGCAGAGCGTACCATCGTAGCCATTCGTCGCGCAAGGATCCTCCCAGCGCCGGGCAGCGTTCGCGGCAACATGCTCGAGATCGACAAATTCGTAGACGGGGTGGACCTTATCCATGTAGACGTCAAAGAACCGGCGCCACTCGTCCTGCGACATGATCCACACAATGCTCTTCTCCGAGCGCTGCGGGTTCCTGCGGATCCCCAGATTCCAGCCGAGCCCCTGCTGCTGGAGTTTTTGCGTGCTTAGATCGAGGCCCAGGACGTGCGGGAAGGATACGCCCGAGTTTGCTTCCATGTATCTGTCTCCGGGGCTGGCCGCTGGTTTTTGCTGGGTGATTTCCTGCGTAGCAGTCTCTGTTGCGGTTGGGACGGGGTCTGCGGTCGTTGGTGAACGGATGGCTCGTCGGACAGGCTTCTTCCGGGGCTGGTTTTCGTAGAAGCAGCGGTAGTCATATCGCGAGCAGGAATCGCACGGTTCATTCCCGTCGCATTTGCGCTTGCGGAGTTTGCACGCGTGACAGGCGAGGCGGATGCGGCGCCGTTGTGGGGGGTGGGTTGGTGCCGCAGTATCCATCTGTAGGATTGAGCGATCGATTTCGAAAAGTAGTAATGGTGAATTTGGAATAGAGAGGCCGAAAGAAACATGCAGGAGTATCAGAGGTTGGGACATGTCCTTTCATAAGACGAGTGTGGGGAAATCCCTCCTCGTCGGGGTTTACGGGGAAACGATCTGCTGATGCATCTCCGAGTGCGGGGGCCCCGGTTCATCCTGAGAATGAGTTCCTTGTATTTGATCTGGCTATTCTGATTGGCCCTTACGGAGCACTAGCAATTGAAACCATAGGTACGAGTATATTTTCATGTCGACTGAGGCTTACACATCGCCACTGCCCGGACTCCGCATACCCTCCTGGCTCTCATCTGCTTTCCCACCCAATGCCTCCCTCTCCATCCGGACAGCTGTATGGCTCGTAAACAACGGCGACGGATCCCGCACCCAGAACGCCAACACACACGCGACAACCCCAAAGGGAATCGTCGCCAGCCAAGTGACGCGAAATGCACTGCTCCATGCAGCTCGGTACGCACGCACAGCCTCCTCCAGCGCCCGAGGCGCCATACCACTCAAGATGGTCGCCGACGCCGGGCTACCAGGTGTCGAAAGCGCCACAAGCACATCTGCGATTTCAGACCGAGAGTAGCTATCCAGCGCCTCTGCAACATGTTCAGAAACAAAGTCCGCGGCGCGGGTATTCAAGATCTGCCCAAACACCGTCGTCCCCACCGCACTGCCCAGAAACCGAAACGTCCCGATCAGGCCCAGCGCAAGGCCCAGGTCCGCATGGGCCACGTGCAGACTCGCCGTGACATAGCACGCGAGCGTGATCCACGCGAAGGGCAGGTTCGCGAGGAACTGGAACACGAGTAACTTTGCCACGTCCCCGGGCCCGCATGTCGCCTGCAGCGCCGTAAACAGGGTCTGGACCGCGACGCCCGCGACGAGCTGGTAGTGGACGTGCTTGATCTTGGGGATCAGGCCGCCGAGGAGGACGCCGCCTGCGGCGCCGCCGAACCCGCCGGGGATGTTGTACACGCCGGCGAGCGTGGAGTCGGATGTGAGCGTGGAGGAGATCTGCTGGGGCATGAGGGCCGTGAGCGTAAAGTAGACCACGCCCGTGACGAAGATGATGACCAGCAGCAGCGTGTACCGCCGGAACATTGTGAACAGGGCGAGTGGGAAAAGCGGGCGGGCGGCGCGTCCGCCAAAGTCCCAGGCGAAGGCGCAGACGAAGAGCGCGGCCCCTGTGCACATGGGCGCGAGCACTTTGGCGTTCCTCCAGGGGTACCCTGTGCCGCCCCAGCCAAGGCCGAGGAGGAAGAGGGTTAGACCGGTGATGTAGAGGAAGATGCCCATGTAGTCGAGTTGACGGAGGATCTCGCGGCGCGAGAGGGTGCGGATTGGACGGGTCGGTGGGTGGTAGAAGATGGCTGTGCCGACGATGCAAATCGCGCCTGTTGTGGCGCCGAGGATGAAGATCCAGCGCCACGAGGCGTTGTCGGTGAGCATGCGTGCGAGTAGTGGGCCGAGGGTGGTGAATGGGAGGAGATTCAGCTCCGTCCAGGCGAGACCGTAGGCGCGGTATTTGTTGGGTAGGAGCTCCGAGATGCCGGGATAGAGGACAAAGGTTGTCCCTGTGCCCAAGCCGCAGATGGCCATGGCTGCAATGCACTGGTGGAGATTCTGCGCGGTCGCTCCGACAATGTATCCGATGATGAGCAGCGCCTGGCCACCGAGGAGAATCCACCGCCGCCCGAATTGGTCGCTCAGTTGGCCGGCGACGGCGAATCCGATGCTGCCACCTAGCGACCAGCCGGACGCGAGCCAGTTACTATTCTTGGTGTTTCCTTGCAGCTCTATTGCAATCGGGATAATCACTGGAAAGACAAATAGCACGGTGAAGGTGAGGGCAGGTTGGAAGGTGAAGCCAAGGAAGAAGACCGCCGCCCATGTTGAGCGGGTAATCCTGGCCGGTGCATCTGCGTCTGCTTCGTCTGCCATTACTGCTTCTTCGGCATCATCACTGTACTCGACATGGCGGGCAAATGTTTTCTGTGCGCTAGGCTCATCTGCGCCATTGGGATGTTGGGAAACGGTGCTCAAGTCCATATCAGGTCCGGTAAATCATGAACAAATCCTAGTGATGGAAAGTAGTGCATGCTTGACTTTAATATCGCTCTGACGGCCAATGTGCCAATGCTTCCCTCGATGGTCTGCGGAACGGAAGCTGCGGTGGATATTGCGGATAATACTCCCGGTTAACGGTGCGGGGAAATAAACCGGGGAATACGGAGTATTGGGCGTGGGGTTCTTCATCCTGGGACTTTGAGGATATCGCGCCGAATTGGTATCTGGTACCGCATAGCGTAGCGCGAGGGGCAAACGCGTCCTCTCTCTATCCCTCTGCCCCTTTTGTGGGAAACTGCGTCTAAATGCACTGTGGAAAATCCACCCTGGAGAGGGTACACCGGGCATTGGCGTCCGTAGCGTATAATGTGTTCGCATAGCAGCATCCAAGTTATGCCAAAGAAATTACCCTTTCGCTGATGCATCTATTGGTATACCTGCCAGATATATAGACATGGATATATAATGAGTCCTAGATATCCTGGACATGTTGCAGATATCAATAACCAATACTTTCAAACACACTCGCAAACTAAACTAGCACTATTCATTGTACACACTCTTCTCGTGCAAGTCTCCTTTTCCCACTTCGGCACACTACGGCATAATTTCTATTTCCCTTTTCTTCCCTCTTTTTCGTCATCAATGACCCTCCAGAAACCCCCGGATAGCACGCGCCGTCCCCGGCAAATCCTCCACAACATGCCAATGCCCAACCCCCTCCAAAACCCGCACCCTCGCATTGCCCATTTCCCCCGCATACCTCCGCGCAAGATCCACCGACGAAATCCCATCCTCGCTCCCGGCAACAATCAACACCGGCATCCGCAGCGCCTCAGCCCGGATAACCACGTCCACAGACCGGGCGAGGGCAATGCACCCCTTCGCATACCCCTCCGGGTGCGTGGATAGCAGGAACTGCCGCACCGCCGAGACGGTCAGTGGCGTTGCCGATTTCGCTGTCGCAGCGGCGGAGACGTCGTCTGCGATCCGCGACGCGGACATCCCGCTTGACCGCGCGAGCGCCGCGCGCTTGGTGAAGACGTCTACTGCCGGCGCAGGGAAGGGCGAGGGGCCCGGGCCGAGGAGGATGAGGTTCTTCACGAGGGATGGGTGTCGCTGCGTGAAGAGCATGGCAATGAGGCCGCCGAGGGACCAGCCGATTAGGGATACGGGTGTGGACGGAGTAATATCTCTCGCGGCCAGGAGCTGGCGCAGCGTCGCGACGTAGGTGTCCAGCGTGGCGGTTCTAGACGCGGACGCGGGTGTGAGTCCGTGGCCGTCGAGATCGTAGAGGATGATGCGGTGGGTTTCTTGCAGGTTTCCCGCTTCGATGAGGGGCTGGTAGTATTCGAGGTTCGCGCCGAGGCCGTGGATGAAGACGAGGATCCTCTCGCTCTTCGGGGTCGGAGACTTTGCCGGGAGATCGCGGACGTGGATGAAATGGTTTGGCCCGAGCTTGGTTAGGCCGACGCCGCCCCAGGTTCGGTCGAGGTTGTACGTTGGGATGTGAGATTTCTTCCGGACGAGGTCGAGGGTCGGGTTTGGTGCGGCCGTGTCGGCGATGCGGTTGGATAGGGTTCCGAGACCTGTTGCACTGACCTCGACTATAGACATGAATTAGATTGCAGAACAACGGTAAAGACTCAGAGGCCATACCGAGATCCCCGGGCTTGAGGAATAGAGGAGGACTATGGCCGACCCCGACACCATGCGGCGTGCCTGTGGCAATGACATCGCCCGGTTGGAGCGTCATGCCCTGGGAGATGACCTCGATGAGCCTTGGGATTGAGTAGATCAGGTCCGCTGTGCTACCATCCTGGCGTTTGTCGCCGTTCACAAAGGTCTGCACTCGGAGGGTACCGGGCAAGGCTGCGGCGGGGACGACAATTGGGCCCTGAGAATGCGATTAGCATATGCATCTTGCATCTCAGACGATCAACTAACCATGGGGCAGAACGTGTCTGGGGATTTTCCCAGCAAGAACTGTTTATGATCTCGTTGTCTCTCCCTTGCAGTCACATCTAGACTAGTCAGCCAGTTGCCTTGACACGCTCATGCAACACGCCTACCGTTGATGATGGTGTACCCCCAGACGTGCTCCATCGCATTCTTCTCCGAAATATTGAACCCAGCCTTCCCTATAATGACACCAATCTCGCCTTCATAATCCAGAGTCTGTGTAAATTTCGTATGCGGATAAATCTCATCGCCGCTCGCAATGATGCTCGTGCTCCGTTTGGTAAAGACCGTCGGGAGTGGAGCGGCTGTTGCAAATCAGTATACAGAAAACTGATCCAAGGCATGAATAGTGGCTTACCGTCGACCGCGTCGCCGCTCGTATCAAACCCGCTCTGGCGGAACTCCTGGACATGCTGGCGGTAGTTGTTGCCCACGCAGAGCACGTCGCGGTCGGCGAGGGGTGGCAGCAATTTGACATGGCCCACGGGGACTGGCTCCGCCAATGGGTCCCAAACAACGTCGTCCTCGAGTTCGATGACCTCGTTGAGCTTGGTCAGTGGCGACCCCGATGCCATGGTCAATGGCTGGATGGTTTGGCTGGCGAGATCGAGGTGGCCAATATGCGGCCGGGCGAGCTCGTCCTCGAACGCAACGTAGTTGAAGTACGTCCGCTTCGGGGGTAAAGACAGCTCTTTGGGTAACGAGATTGCGACCTCGTCGGGCTTCGCCTTGTGAATCCGCCCATTGATCATGATCACGTCCAGCTTCGAGTGGTCCTGCAGGATGCTGATATCCTCCAGCGGATCCCCGTCGACCAGAATGCAATCAGCATAGTAGCCAGGCAGGATCTTGCCGAGCTCATTCTCCTGCATAAACAACTTGGCCACGCCAGCAGTCGCGGCAACGATCGATTCCATGGGTGTGAAATCCAGCAGCTTCACAAAATGCTCCAGATCCCGCGCATACGTCCCGTGTGGGCACCACGCAAAGCCATAGTCGCCCCCAGGGAGGACCGTGATGCCCCGGCGATGCATCTCCTTGATCGCCCGAATCGCGACGTCGAGCTCGTGCTTATACCCGACCCGCTCGGCCTCCTCAAACGTGTACCCAAACGGCTCCGCCTCGTGCACAGTCGCATACAACCAGTTGATCGCCGGCGCCACAACAAGCCGGTGCTTCGCCTTGGCCAGCAGATCCATCCCCACGGCATCCGTATACGACGCATGGTATATCACATCAACCCCATGCTGCACACACTGAACCACCGACTCTCTCGCCCGCGCATGCGCACACACGCGGAGCCCCAACCGATGCGCCTCATCCACACACGCCGCCGTCTCCTCGTCCGCAAAGAAACACTCCTCCGCGTCGCGACCCTCCATAATCGCCTCCCCGGACATGCTAAGCTTCACCTGGTCCACGCCCACAACCTGCGCATGGTGCCGAATCACCTCGCGCATCTCGAGGGGCCCGTCCGCGTACGCCGTAATCCCCGCCGCGAGCTCCGCATCCCGCTTCCCGATCTCGCGCCCGTTGGCGAGCAGGCGCGGGCCGGGGATCTCGCCGCGGTTGATCGCGTCGCGGATCACGACGTCCAGGCGGTCTTTGGCGGACGCGGCCCCGTAGCACATGGTGTATCCCGAATCGAGGTAGCAGCGGGCGGAGCGGGCCGTGATGAGCGCGTGCTCTTCGACGCCGATGCGGCCGAGCAGCTCGAGGGCGTTGTTGTTCCAGGTAAAGTGGGCGTGGGCGTCGCCGAGGCCCGAGAGGAGGGTTCGGCCGTGGCCGGGGATGACGCGCACGTTGGGGTCTGCGTGGAGGGCGGCGAGGTTGGGGACGGACCCGACGGCCGCGAATCGTTCGCCTTGGATCAGGACGTCACCGCGGTAGGGGCGCTTTCCGGTGGAGTCCAGGATGTTGACGTCTAGAATGAGTATGGTGGAGTCTGCGGGAGTGCCTGCGATTTTGTATGATTTAGGCTTCAAACGCGGATCGAAGCGAAGGCTCTCGTGAGGGTAGGTGTGGCTATCTGGTTTTGCCGGGCTGCTGGCAGGGCTGTACCCGCCATTAGAGAGGAGTCCTGGCGCCATCTGTGCTGCTGGGTCTGAGAGGGAAGGAATTGATTCAGACGTCAAATTCGTAGAGAGCAATATTGCATATGTGAAGAAAGGTCGGCTCTCTTAAATCAGACTCGGACTGGTCCCCTGGGGGATACTCCAGCACTACGATGCGGGTCAGTCATTCCAGAGCCCCACGGGGTAACTTACAGTGGGAGGGATCGGGAGATTCGCTATCCGCACTAACCGGCGGCCAGTTGGGGTTGTCGATGCTCCTCGTGTAGATGCGGATGGAGCGGGTAGTACGGATAACCCCGTTCGGAGATGGTCTCTACGCCCAAGTCCGATGCCGGTATGACGTGCAGAATATTGGTGAGCCCACGGCCACAAAGATTAGCATTGATATTGAATACCCGTCTTTGCTGAGCTTGGCCAAGGGGTTGCGTACTTCACCATTGATTATCGCCGATTACCGGCCCTATACAGCTCTGGCACTCTACATCAGGCGAGCAGGGCGAGCAGAGTGATGTCTTGTTATATATGCACCGTGATGACAAGTTATCTGACAGTGCGGTAGTATCCAGCCAGCCACAGACTCCTTGGACAGTGCCCTCTTGCGCTCGACACTCTGAGACAGGCTGAAGCAGTTCTCTGCCCAAGCCCCAGGGGCCAGCGGGTGGTAATTATAACACCGCGAATCATGCAGCTTTAATAAAAGAGGCAAAATTAATTAGAAGAGGAAATGCATAGATCCTTGCTCTATACACTTTCTCCCTCACTTCTAAAAACAGTCTGGCAATTTCTCCTCTTCCTCTAGTCAACCATATCGGTCGCTTTTGTGTGAAAGCTACAGGCTAGTCTCCTACTCCCCAAAATACTATGGCAATCGCTCGCAGTGGTTCCTGGGGGCTATGTGTGAGTGGGATTGCCTGAATAGAAAGCTTTTTGAGTCCTCTATTAGAGCTGACCTCGAATGCCACCTTAGGCCAAGGCTCGGTATATCATCGACTAGGTCCCATGATGCATAAGCACTCCTTGAGATGCCACACATGCCCACCATGGTTCAGCCTTTCTCTCGCCCCTGCGAATCAGATCCCCTTACCAAGATGCCCATCCCTTCCTCACAGCCCTCTGATAAGGCCCGAAGTACGGATCCTCAAAGTGGAGCGCAATATCCCATACGTACCCTGCAACAGTCGCGTCGGTATCACCTGAAAGTGGAAACTGCTGGGAGAAGACCCCAAACGGTTCAGGACCACCACCACCACCAGCATCACCATCACCCGCACGCAGCAGAAAGCCAAGCTCAACACAGGAGAAAGTCTGTGCGTTACTAGGGTCGACATCGCGCCAGTCGCGCCCTGGGCAGATACATAGGTTCCCTTCCCAGGGCGGGCGGCGGAAGCCTCTGATTTCCGGCACCATGCCCGGTAGGGGTCGGGGAAGGGGAGGGAGTGTGGCGTCGCGGCGGCGCGCGAGGGACTCTTGCATCTGCTCGTGCGAGTTTGCCCGAACGGCCTTTTCGGCACGGTAGTGCGCTATACACTCGCTCTCGCTGGACCCGGCGCCGGCGCCGGGGATGAAGTAGACGTCCAGTCGGATGTGGAAGTCCTCTGCACACCAATCCCTCAGCACCTTGTACAACCCGACCAGGTCGAGATGCTTGGGAAGATCGCGATCGGTATCCGGATGCGTGAAGTAGAAAGCGCACGAGATTAATGGTGGAAGCCTGGGGGGATCCTGCGCCTCAAAGACCATGTATGAGGTCTCCCCTCTGTGGTCGAGGAAGGGGAGTGTATGGCATTGCCCCGTCCGTGCTCGATCCTCGTCGCCGCCCGAGTCTGTGGACTCGTCGTTTGCCCGCCTCTGTAGTTTCTCGCGGACTTTTTGCATCCGGTGGAAGCCCGTGCCCATCATGTACATGGTCTTTCTCCATATCCACGGGTCACGGCCCCCTTTAGAGAATACGTGGTTCCTGTGGTGGTAGCTAACCGCCGCAAAGGAAACAGCGCATTGGAGGCATATCTCATGGAGATTCTGGTATGCGTCAGAAATCGCGGGCTCGGTTCGACCCGGCGAAAAGTCGGATGGGTGTTTGCCGCCGAGCCCGAGACTTTTGAGTGAAGGGAGCTTAGTTGAGGAGACGAGAAGGCTTAGCTGCGAGAATAACTTTGGTAAACGTGGTAGGCGGACCGTGTCGATCATCAAGGTGAGGTCCTCGTGGGTGAACGGGAGGCAGGTAAGTAAACTAGAATCGTCATAGCCAAGGAGGACTTCCACCTGTATTATGATACTTTTCAACGCCGTGAACGAGGTCAAAGGCCCGAAATGGTCAGTAACATTATGCCGGCCAGCTTTAAATCCATGGACAATATCAAGGCTTTCAAGAGTTGCCGAACTTTGTTTGAGAGCTTGCCATACTTGTTCATTCGAGATCTTTAGCGCAACATCCTTTTTGGCAGGGCCTGTCTTGAACTTGTAGTTGTGCCAGTAGAGCGAGACGCTTCTTAGGGTCTTGGGTAAAGTCAGCAAGGCGTGGACGTCTTTAGCCAGAGCTTTTGATTCCTTGTGGCTTGCGATAGAGAAGTGTTTGATATTGCAGACCCGACTACCTCGTACGTTTCGTAGTAGGTCGGACAGCCCCTCAGTATCCAAGTTGTAAAGGTACATGCTGTGGAGATTTGGCAGGTACAGCGCGGGCCAAAGGACGTCCAGCTTTAGCGCAGGGTAATAATCAGAGCTTGCCCTAAACAGTGGTGCATCAAGCTCAAAGACCGGTACTGTAGCGAGAAGGTAAATACTTTCGAGTTTCGTAAATAGCGTGTAAATAGGGATCTAATTACAGGACGTGGGCATATATCATCAAGACATTGGGCAGGCGGACAAGAAGGAGTACGACAAGGGGGTAGTGGTCACGAACTAATAGCGTAGACACCTTGGTCTGGATATCTTCTTCAATGTGCTTAATTCTAGCTAGATGAATAGCTTTTGAAACCAGCTCTAGGTCTTCTAAGTTAATAACCAAGGGCTCTTCTAGTAGATAAAAGGGCCGACCAAAGCCCTAGTTTCTAATATTAATGATCTGGACCACAGCGGCCAACTCTGGGTTGGTCATTCTTGTCCTAAAGAACTTCCAGAGCGACCTGTACGTGTGACAGGCAGCATCATAAGACCAAAACGAGTAGGCATGGGGTATAAATGCTTGGTGCCATCTACGGTTAGCCAGTAACAGGCGACTGAGACTGCGTACGTCCAAGTGGACATTCCGGTCGTGGTCGAATCGGTTGTGTGGAGGATTCGTAGCGTATGCGAGGTGCAGAATTGGCTCTAATAGTTCATTTGGAAGGTCTGGAAGGCTGGGCATATTGAATCATAAACACGCGGAAGAGATGATGACAACAAAGAAAGAAGAGATGTTTAGTGGGTTCCATGTTCCGATCTAGCCCCAGCCGGTAAGGATCGCTCCGGATCGCCTCGCCCAAGGGATTGATTGGTTGATGGAATGATTGGAACTTGGACTGAGTAAGGAGACAACTGCAGGGCCCGGTTGTATCATATATACTATTATTGAATCAATGGACACTGAGGAACAAGCAAGGCTCGGAATAGTCTTGTTCAAATACCCTTACACATTCCCTTACACACCTACTTATCTCGCTTTAACGGGGAAGGGAGATCTACTAAATTCACCAGCCACCGTATCTCAACAGCAACCATATATGTCTATAGAGAAATTTGGGGATTTTTGCGGAGCTAATTCACTCATCAGGTGATCAAATAAATCGACTCATGGTCTCTACATTCCTCGATGTAGCACATGCTCCATTCCCAGCCCAGCCTTGTATACATAACCTATCCAGCCTGCAATCCGACTCCCCGACCGAACGAAACCCATCCGAACCTACGCGGGCAACGCCTTCGAAACATCAAAGGTGAATGTAATAGAGTTAGCCTGCAGCGCCGCCGAGAAATAGTCCAACTCCTCCCCATCGTAAACACTTGACTTGCCATCCGCCTGCATCTCGACGTTATACGGCGGGCTATCAGGAAGCAGACCAAGTAAAGTGAGCTGGTCGATGTTGGCAAGCATCGGGACTGTGTTGTTCCCGGGCCGTATGACAAGGTCGTGGAGGACGGCGGTTCCCAGTTTTGTCCCGTTTGAGGAGAGGTCGAATGTGACGTTTCCCTGGGGGGACAGAGGAGTTAGTTGATGTGCTGGAGTGGGCGTAATGAAGGGAAGGAGGGGGGTATACCATTGCAATCGTTGTGACCGATGGATTAGGGATCAGCACGGAACCTTTTGCGTTCATGCCGTCGTCTCGATCGGGGTCGAGTTTCATGTCGAGGACCTGGAAGCCTGCGAGTTTGTTGAGGCCTAGCAAGCAATGGCTTAGCGACGTCGGCGCAGTATATCCGTAGCAGATGCTAGGAAGACGGTCCGTACATACCTTTCATCGTAATCGTCTTGTTATACGTCACAGTAATCGTATGCAACCCGGCCTGCTTCAACCTCGGCTTCCCATAGATGCTCAAACTAACCTCCTCCTGCAGCATCATCGCCTTAGTAAATTCCGCAAAGGCGTCACTGTCCAGGAGAGTCACATCCTGGACGATCTCAATAGTTGTGCCGTCATTTGCCTTTAGAGTCGGCACGGTGATGTTTATCATTGGATCCGAGACCCCCGGGAACCGCACTGCCGCATTGAACTCGTAGAGCTTCGGATGGAAGATGCTGTCAGAGCCTAGGACCTGGACTTGATGTAGGTGGAACCCCGAGGGCGTCGGAGAGGTGATTTCCATCGAGGTGACGTTGAGCGTGGACGAGTTGATTCCGTCTTGTGCGATTCGGGGGTAGCCGACGTAGACTCTGTAGAGCGGGTTAGCATGCGGCAGTTATTTGTCGGGTTATATTCGGTGACTGGTTGATGCTCACAGTGGAAGGGTTATCACAAGTGTCACCACTGTCGTGACGAGTAGGTGCACCCACCACCACCGCTTGTAGTGCGCGAGAAGCCGCGATCTAAACGGGGGCTTTGTGGATGGAGCAGTAGAAGGAGCCGGGGATTGCTCCTCGATCAGTTCGACAGAGGGTTTGTCGACCATTTTGGATCTCGTGTCCAAGAAACCAGGCTGTACAATGATTTGAGGATTTGGTACGAGGTGAATAAGTATATAGAGAAGGGAAAATGAACCGGGGACCTGCAATAGTGGCCCTTCAAAGAGTAGGTGGGAATTGTGATCTGGTTGTTGAAGATGCCTTTCTCAGACGGGCACTTTATGTCCGATGTGGTACCCGACTAGTCACCACCAACGACGACAACCCACTCCATCTATGGCGTCTTACATAGGCTGCCGATCAAGAAGGCCCTTGACCCTCCACCCTCGATGACCGTGTACTCGATAGTGGGGGACGCACGCGGGGTGAGACGACTCAAACGCACAAAACCAAGCAGGGGCCCCGGACTGCAGCGAAACAATTAGAGGATCGATAGGGCGATGATAGATGGATAGTGCCTCGGCACTTCTAGGACAGGTGTCGAGCCTCCAAGTACGGAGTACCCACACATCGCCCATAGGGCCTTCTACCTTGCCCAACCAGTCGAGCGGAGGCTTGAGTTAGCTGCGGTGGCCGGGGCCAACAGGATTACGGAGGAAGGCTTACCTTCCTTTGCAGGCTATCTGGGGCGTGGCGAATCCTTCTGCGTCCAACAGTTACGGGGTAGCGCCATTGGATGAATCACTGGGATTCGTGTCTTGCTTCCGCTTGGTCAGTGGGAGTCATCGACCCCCAACTCGGACCCGATGGCGTCTGCAGCAGGTCCCGAGCTTGGATTTGTCTGCCGATCCGCGAGTTTTCGGGTGCATGTGCAACTTCCGGCCACGCACCCGCCCAGTCCACAGGAGATGAGAGGGACATGAAGATCTGTGACGACGGTCATGCATGAATCAAATCCACGGCTTCAGCCGCCATCTGGCAAATTGCCAGACGTCATTTTGCAGGTGTGGTATTGAGGTCGAGTAAGAGAATCTTAGGAACCCGAGAATTACCTCCATATCAGAATAGCCGATAGCTCGGTCTCGTGACTCGTGTAAATGCCAGATCCCAAGGAGATCTCTCGGAATGTGCGTTTTGTCTGGACTGCTCCAAGGAGACAAAAGCAGCTATCGAGGCAGAACAAGGCAGACTCCGGTTCCAGGTCATGCGTCTGAAACCTGTTAAACTCAAGGGTGTAGCGGAAAAGGAAAGAATGTTCTTGTTCAGCATGGTTTCCTCGAAAAGCGTAGGCGCTTTTATCTTCATACAGCGGTTTACTCTCAAGCATTATTACATTAGATACACATTATATCGGGGACAACCAGTACTATGTCCAATGGCCATCCCCGTATTGACAATAGCTCGCGATCCATCTAAAGAGCAACTGCCACCAAAGCTGTAAAAACACCCAGCCCAACCATCCTTATTCCTCCTCCATTAGCAACTATACCAGCAGCCGCACCCGTAAAAGCCGGAGGCTCAGTACCTGTCGTCTGGGTAGGAGCAGGCACGGGAACAAGGGTCGAGGTCCCATTTCCAGGCGCCGAGGAGTTCCCACTCGTATACGAGCGGAGTTCGATGCGAGCAGGGGGAGCAGGAGCAAGTGCAGTATCCTGCGGGCAACCCCTCGTGGCCTCAACAAACGGATCCAGTCCCTCCTGTATTGTGGCAAGGATGCCCCCCGAGAACCCAGCGACGCGCGTAGATTCTGTCTCAGGGGCCTTGGACGAAAGGAGAGTGAACAGTTTGTCCCAGACGGCGTGCTGGTTGTGCAGGGCCTTCTTGATGGAGATACTGTCGCTTTCGCAGATGGTGGACTCGGTGCGATCAAAGAGCGGTTTCTTCTCGACAAGATCTGAGAGGGTCGTTTTGAGCGAGGTGGTGAGAGCCTCGAACTGCGGGGCGAGAGCCTTGGTCTCAGCAGTGGTGAGATCCGGCCCTGATGAGATGCCCCGCAGGCCGCGGTCGAGGGTTATAATGAGGGCATTGGATGCAGACTGGATGGACGAAAGGTCGGCGTCCCTGGTGTAGGAGGAGATGGCGGCATCGAGATTGGTGACTTTTCCGGCGAGAAGAGTCAGGAGGGATGATGTAGGGTTATCGGTTGCACTGGCAGCAAGAGTCGCCGTAGACAGAGCTGTCAAGAGGACCAGCGTGGGCAGCGCGGACACTGTAGAGAACTTCATGACGCCGTGTTGCTGCCTTTGCAAACTTGGTGGACGTGGCGTGGGGATAGGGTCCAAGGTTAGGCATGCATGGGCATGCGTGAAGGAAATATGGGTCTATAATTGTAAATCCATAATGGAACCTGTGCACACATGTCATCGCAAAACTGCCCCCGGGGCAAACGTAAGCAAGCAAGTTATTTCCTTAGTTCTTTCCTAGTGGCAGCCGGGGTGGGAACGAGTGCCGGAGGAGAGTCCAGATTAAATTGTGGCTGCATGGGGGCCGATCCTGCGCACGCACTGATGACAGGTCGAGATAACGCTTCCAGGGCTAGAACCACTCATTTGCAAGTGTGTGTAGATGTTCCTCGGAATTTTCATGTGATATTCGGAGAGCACGAGGATGGGCCCCACGCCTGGGGCGAATCAGGATCCCCGCTAAGCCAACTAAAACTAGGGACAAAGCTTGGAATCTCTGGTTTCCGATGACCCGCTGCCAGATTGCTAGTGCTAAGTGAGACGCCTCTAACCTGAATTGGTAAGATTGACTTGTATGGAGCCTGGAGCTGCGCTGCCCAGAAGGACTCCATTTCGTTCCACCAGTCCCTCTCTCCATCCTTGTGTCCTTTTACGTTGTAATGATCCCAATTAACAAGAAAGATATCTTGGCAGGACTCTAATCAGACCCTGATCAACGTACGCAAGGCCCTCAACGGTGGGTCAAGACTTGGTCGAAGGCGCCCTCTTAAATAAGACTATTCCAAGCCCCCGGAGGTCTTGGATGTTCCGCGGATAATGTGACGCGGTGGCTTTTCCCCCTCATTTGGTCTAACCCAGCTTACGAAATGCCTTATCATCAGCATCGTCCAGAGTGGAGACGTGGTCGACGTCCCTCGTACATGTGGCTGCTGTAGCAGTGGTCCGGGTACGGTGTCTTGGACTGATCCGCTCTAATTGGCTTCCCAATGGTCATCTGAGCCATGGGGAAGAAAGGTAGGCAATAATCGTATTCATCTCAACCGCGCCGCGTTGGAAATCAGGAAAGACCTCGGAGTTCAACACCGCTGATCACAATTCACACCCCAACCCCCAGTCCATCCGGGAGAGATCACCAGTCAGTAGTAGTACTGTATGTAGTAGCAAGACCGCAAACTTGACCGCCCCATCCACAAACCGGTCCACGCCGCCGCGGTCATGTTTACCTCCGAGGAAAAAGGTATTGGCTATAGTTACCGTCGGGCAACGTGGTGTACGGCTACGAATTGCGGCACATGGTCCTCCGAAGGATTCAGCCACCAGGACCGGCGTCATGGCAATTAGCTGGATCCTTGACTAGCTTCCCGCCACAGACAGGCAGCTAGTAGGTGGATACACTATGTATTGCCTGGCGGGAGGGGAAGTTGGTATGTGCTTGGCTTCGAGGGGTTGGGTCAGTTTCCAGCGCTGCGCGTGCGATACCTTGGCTGCCAGTGACGTGATTCTGTTCGTATTACGCTGGGACGGGGATGTTTGAAACGGTCGACCATTGATTGGGCATCGATCGAGGAAGAAAGCATGGAGCCTCGGAAGTTGGATGTGATTGAAAGGAATCACTGCGTGAATCTTGAGCGTTGTTAGTGAGACCACTGGGTTGAGGGTGGGGATCAAGTGGATGGACACCCCGCGACCTCAGATCACATGCTTGGGACGTTTCTCTGGAGGAAGAATATCTTGGATGTACGTAGTTTGGCTCAGCGTGTTCAAGTGTGGGCTGTGGCGATGGGTGGGGAAGTGTCTCACTCTCTCTGTTGGGGCTGCTGAGAACACCGATGCTTCCAGCGGGGTGACGGGGAACAGCTCCCAGGCTTAATGTCTTACTAGCAGCTCACTGACGTGGTTTTTGATTCTCTATCGTGTATCTTAAAGCTCAAGACGAGTCACGCGGAGGAAGGCTTGTTTATCGCTGAGATTGAGTAGCCAGGCAGCAGAGATATTTGGCGGTTTAGTAATAAAATAGGACAGCTCTACCACAGTAGTGACTGTATAGACCACTGGAAAGTGCACGTCTAGCAGACGCGGTTCCTCGAGGATAAACTACAATCATCACTAGATCTACATACAAAGCTCAATCCCATCCACCAGATCCCCCGCAAGAACATCAACAACCCCCGTCGCCGCATCCTCAATCCCAAACCCGATGAAGAGCACATCGTCCACATACCCATGATACCTCTGCCCATGTGTCTTCCAGCTAATCGACGTCACGTACATCATCTCGCTCTGTAGCTTCACAGCCCGCATCATGTCATATCCATCCTGACCCTCCTGTGGTTCGGACGACAATGACGATGGGGGTGATGGTGATGGCGCCCTCCGCCCCTGAATCCACACCGGCTTCTTCGAAACCCCATAGATCCCAAACGGCGCGACCGCCCGAAACAGCACCGCGTACGGCTCGTACGTACTATGCAGGCGATAAAAGCTCTTGTGCTGGATAATCGTAAGGATAAACGTATTCTCCGGCGAGGGGAGACAGCCCGGGTCCGCGCGCGCACAGAGCGTGATACTCAGCGCGTTCGTCGCCTGGTGGATCGATTCCGAATTTGCGCCTGGGGGTGGCGGGTCTGGCATTGCTGGGATCGGCGGGAGGAGGCGGGCCAGACAGGTATTGTCGTCTTCTGCGGTCTGGGGTGCAAGATCGGGTCCGACGGAGCCGTCGGGGCGAAGCTGTGCGAATGCGCGCGTTGGCGAGATGTCGTAGTGCACGTAGCTCTGTCCGCCGGCGTCCCAGAAGACGAACCAGTTTTTCTCGATGGAGCGGTATGGCGTCAAAAACGGACGCTGCAGTTCTGTCGGCGTGCGGAGGAACCCGCCATGATCGTTGATCGTGTCCACGCCCCAGTCAATGAGGAGCCGGAAATCTAACATCCACTGCCCGAAGCAGGTAAATTGAGATGTTGACCCGTAGATGGTAAAGGGTCCCTCGGGGCCATGAAAGACGCGCGCATCGTGCGGGCCGATGCTCAATGTGAAAAAGGCCGTGTCTGGTGGGCACTTTGTGGTATCGCTGGGGGTTGCGGCGATGGGGAGGATGAGTGGAGGATCGATGCAGCGGAGGGCTTCTCTGCTGCTGCTGCTGCTGCCGGCGGTGGTGTCATGTTCAGAGGGCGAAAACGCAGCCGTGCAAACAAGCTCTGCGAACCACAGGCGCGGTTTATCTCCCCGTCGCGGCTCGTGAAGCTGCGCGGTTACAATCCAGGTGCTGTTATCCTCCGGGTGCGGGATGACGCTGGGGTTTATTGCGCGGCGGGATCCAAAGTCGATGGGGAAGTACGCGCCGTCTATGGAGGATACAGACCGCACGATTTGATGGGTGGCGGACATGTCCACTTGCGGCGCGGAGGGGTCTTCATGGTTGTATTCTTGGGGTGTTGCTGCTGTCAATGAAGATTGGTATAGTTGATGAGCGAAGAGGAGAAATGTGAGGGTGAAGAAGGCGCCTATCGAGACGAGCAGCTGCAGTGAGGTTTTGGCTAACATGTCGGGTTACGGTCGTCTTGGGCGACGATATGGAGGTACCGGACCCTTTGCATGCCATACCCTGCCGTACCTTGCTAGGACGAGTTGGGCTAGACTGCACACGCAAGCCCTGCATTAGCCCTCACTTCCCTGGTCGCTTTCACATGCAAAAAGACACGGCCTCGGGAGGGCCGAAAAGCGCGAATCGTCTGCGACTCGGATGTGGGTTCGGCTCCGCTCCGGATACGACGTGCTTTGCTTAGCTGGAATCTACGGGACAAAAGTTCCGGGGAATTTCCTCGGCATTTCTCAATTAAGCTAGAGACGGTCCAAAAGTTTAAGACAGGATTACTACAAGCCTTTCCTCTCCCCACCTAAAACTCCACCGCCAGGAATTTCCCGTATAATCGCGCAGCCAATTGGACACTGGGCCCATCCACGACCCTGGTGACCACCTCCGCCAGCCACAGCGTCACTGGGAGGAGAATAAAATGCGGAGCAAGAAAACTGACCTCCATCCCCAGCGGGCCAACACGGGGCAGCGGCAATCTGTCTATCCACCCGGGGCACGTCGTCGGATGGGACATGCGATTCCAGCCGACGGCCGCGTAGAGTCGATCGCCCAGCACCCAAAGAACGGGTCCGTGGACGAGGTAGAATGCAAACGAGACGCGGCCGAGATACAGGTTAGGCCGGAGCTCGAAGAATGCGCGGAGGGGTGCGATCCGCGAGATTGATGCGACGAGCAGTGTTGCCGCCCAGAAGAGGTAGAACCACTTGTAGTCGTAGACGGCTTGCGGTTTTAGGTATGCGAGATAATGCCAGCCTGGTGAGTCGCGGAGGATTTGGAGGTCGGAGTTGTGCGAGGGGACGCCGCCGAGGTAGATGCTTATCGCGAACAGCGTCCAGAATATGGGCTTCTTCCAGGGGCGCAGCTTCGTGAGGATCGTGGGCGTCTCGTCGATTTGCGCGGCGAGGTCCAGCTCGCAGAGTAGCATCCCGGCCACGAACAGGGCGCAGAACCAGCCATCGGCGATGTAGATAAAGTAGAAGATCAGGAAGAGGTAGCCGCAAAGGCGTGCGTTTGCACGGAACCGCGAGAATGCAAGAAGCACTGTATAGACAACAATCGATCCACGAAACTCGACAGGGATAGACCATGCGTGGAAGTTGTACGTGAACCAGGGATCGCCACCGCCGCGGAAGATGAAGCTAAAGTTTTTGAACTCTTTGTACCAATTCGAGACCTCTTCCAGATAAGTATCCTTGCTCTCGGGGATGGCGCGGATGCGAAAGAGGTGCAGGATGGTCATGTAGGTGAACGTAGTGGCGATGACGGGCAAATGCAGTCGCAGCCATCGTCGGAACAGCGCCGACGAGAGATTGTCCCCGAGTGCCTTGAACTCGCCGCGCTGGATGAGGGAGAGCGGCTTCGCAGCGAGGACATAGCCTGACAAGACGAAGAAGACGCTGACCGCGAAATGGCCGCCTGAGAAGAAGGTGCGTACGCCGGGAAGACACGCAAAGTAATAGTGTCCCTTGTACCCGTACGCGTTCTCAAAGGCCTCCTGTGCTCCCTCGGCTTCGTGAGCCCAAAGTTGGTGATGGCCCCAATATACCATCAGGGCAGCGAAGCCGCGTAGGCCATCGAGATAAGCTGTACGCCTGATCGTGGGCTTCTCACCTGTTGGGCTTGGTGAAGGCTCAGAGAGCCCCAGGCGCCGCCATGCTGCGGACACTGAGTTCAGTTGCATTACTGAAGATGGCCAGTTCGAGAAGAGGGTGACCAAAGTAGAATGCTGGACAATTTGCTGTAAACAAAAGATAAAGGACAAAAGCCGAGGAGGATTCGCAGGATTCGAGACAGCTCCGCAATGGTGGCGAGGCTACGGGGCATCGACCTTGAAAGTCCCCCTGGTTCTCATCCGGGAATCCCGGGTTTCGGAGGCTACAGAGTCACACCAGTGCCCCTGGTCGACTCTGACAGCCTCGGTCTTTTTTTTTTTCTTTTGTTTTTTCGACGCGTGTGCAGTGGAGATGACGAAACTCAAAGAAGGGGCCCCAAGTTCCTTGGAGACGTGGGGGCGCCTAGAGTCCCGTCGCAGGGTCTTCCCCATTTTCTCTCGGCACTTCAGATAAACCACCAACAAGTCGTTGAAGCCATTGACTCACGGTGAAGCTTCTCTCTGCGATGCATTCCTTCCACAAAGCGCCCGACCCAGTCAAGTCGAGTCCACGCACAATGATCCCCTCAATGGGATCGTTTATCCTCTCCCGGCGAGCACGCCAGCTGCTCGCCGGATTTTTTACCACCCTGGTCCTCCTCTCCTTCTCCTTTATCGACAACCTGAATGGGCTCCGCCCTGGCCTGACAACGACAGCAGCAGCAGCAGTGCAATGCCGCCAAGGCACCAGCAACGGGCCGTGCACGACTTTCCCGCGCAAAATCTGGCAGATCTGGAAGACGGATCCGTTCTCTTTCGAGGAACGGGACCTGAAAGTTGCTCGGAGCTGGACGTCCAAGAACCCGAAATACCGCTACGAGGTGTTGACCGACAATCACGATCTCGAGTATGTGAAGACGCATTTTGGGCCGAGCGGGTACAATCGCCCGGATATCGTCGAGGTATACAGCGCGCTACAGGCCAAGATCATCAAGGCGGACCTGCTGCGGTACCTCGTGATGTACGTGGAGGGCGGAATGTACGCAGATATTGACGTCGAAGATCTCAGGCCTATCGACCGCTTTATTCCAGATCGGTACGACGAGCACGATGTGGATATGGTCATTGGCGTGGAGATTGACGAGCCCGATTTCCGCGACCACCCTATCCTGGGCCAAAAGTCCATGTCGTTTTGCCAGTGGACGTTCATGTGCAAGCCGCAGCTGCCGGTTATGCTCCGGCTAACCGAGAACATCATCGCATGGTTGCACGGTCTATCCGAAAAACAGGGCAAGCCAATCTCCGAGCTGGAGCTGGACTTTGACGATGTCATCACGGGCACAGGTCCGTCAGCATTCACAAACGCCGTGCTAGCGGAGATGAGCCTTGCTGCTGGGCACGAGGTCACCTGGGATACCTTTCACGATATAACCGAATCGAAGCTCGTCGGTGGGTTTCTGGTCCTCACCGTCGAGGCCTTTGCAGCGGGCCAGGGCCACTCGGATTCGGGAAACCATGACGCCCGCTCGGCGCTGGTCAGGCATCACTATCATGCGTCTGGGTGGCCGAACAAGCACCCGCGGTATAAACACCCGATCTATGGCGAGGTGGAGAAGTGCAACTGGAATAAGCAATGCGTGCGCGAGTGGGATGAGAATACGGCTGCGTTTGCCGCGTTGTCCACGGAGGAGCAGGAGAAGCAGATTGCGCTGAAGAAGGCTGCCGATGAGGAAGCAGAACGGCAACGACAGGCGGAGGAGGCGAGAGAAAAGGAAGCCAAGGAAAAGGAGGCGAAAGAGAAGGAGGCGGCCGAAGCAGCTGCTGCAGCAGCAGCAGCAAATCCCGTGCAAGTGTAGTAGCTCCAGCGGTCTGTATATCCGCAGTGGGTTGTCTGATGGAGACCTGCATAAGTGTGGGTGGGCATGATGGATGGACTGGTGGAAGCCTTTCAAGTTGAGGATAAGCCGTGCGTCGTGAATAGGCACCGCGCGGCGACGAAACGCTCCTGCTCCTTCGGCGAAACTGACCCGGCCTAGTGTCCAGCAGTGGTTGCAGAGGAGAGTTGCGAGGCCACAGCAACCCACTATGTTGTACCTGATGCAGGCTAACCTGGGTCGAAACCACTTGGGGTGCTGGGCATGAGGCGGTCGTCCTCCCACTCTGGACGCTCTACCCAGTCCTCTGCAACATTTATATGGTACGGCGCTGGATGAGGGGACGGGAATATGGGCAACAGCAACATCCCTCGATTGGCGAGTCTTGTGGCGTGGACTACCGGCGACATGGAAACTGCCACAGTTGGACTGCTCCCCCAGGGGGCCTGGGAGACTGGTGAGTGAATGGAATGTCCCCTTTATAGCTGCTGTGAATGATCCAGATTACCTTTTGTTGGATGCCCAGTCCCTTTGTCTTTATACAAGGCTCTAGCACCCATGGGTTCTTTCATGTCATCCACTGTATCTAGCAGATGCGCATTAGCTTGCTTCTCTGGTCCAAAATATATATATCTATCATGGCAGAATCTTCTCCTGGAGCCTTTATCGCGTGTTGACAGTGATTACTAGGTTTGCGGCCGTAATAGGTTTAGTAATAGTATTGTGACTTTGGAATTGATAATAACCTCACAACAACAGAAAGAACTGCTTGCTATTCAAGTAGATGACCTTGTGCCTGAGGCATACCTGCGCCATGGTGAGCGAAACCCTGCCACCTTGATTTGGTAGTGAATTCTCCATAGGATTGGTATCGACCTCATTCACTGGTAAGTTAAGTAGAAGTGAAGGTTGATGTTTCATGCAGGTGAATCCCCCCACTTGCCCCTCTTGATCAGCGGGACGATCCCCAGCCATAAAACGTGGCGACCCCCCCCGCCCCCCTTCTTTCCAACACCTCTTTCATTCTCCCATTCTCCATCCATCCATCCACCCTCTTCCACCTCATATATTGTGGCTAACTACTTCGATCAACCACGTCCACATTTAACCCCCAGATACCAGGCCTAAACATGAGTTACAATGGCGACAGCGTCGACCGTCTCTACCCGCGACCCCTCAACACAACCAAGCAGGCCCCGCACGATGACGTCTGGCAGTCACAATCTGCTATAACCCTCTTGGGCCCCAACTCCAACGTCGCCGCAACGGACTCCGAGGTCCGCGCTCCTTTCTTCGCAATCAGGAACCTCTTCGACCATCTCTACAGACATCCCGCCGACGCCGCATCGTTGAACGCAACATACCCGCGCCGCGGAATCCTCAAGACGGCTGCAGCCACCAAGACGGAGAGTGACCAGAAATTCACGCTTGATTTCTTTCACGCTTGATTTCTCGCCCGCACGCAATGCGCGGATCCCGAATTCCCTGAGGGAGCGCTTACCTGGCCTTGAGGAGATCTTGGTGTTCTTTAACGGTGTTGCGGAGAAGGCTGTGCCGCCGATTCTGGAGTCGTTGGGCGCACTCCCGAGAGCGAGAATGGATGCGGCGCGCATACGGATTACGGCACATTCACCATCATCTTCCAGGATGGAACGGCCGGACCGGAACTTGAAGACCCGGCTGCGCCCGGAGGCTGGCGTTCTGTCCTCGGCGACGCCACTGTGATTTTGACGGGTTGGTGCGCGGTGATCCCAAGGTAAGTGGGTTAGATCACCTTAGGCGCATCAATCAGTAGCGTACCTTATTGACTTGCTTAACCTCCTTACCTATCCTATCACATTTAGTAAAGGGGTATCTAGAACCTACCCAGGTTGGGGTTATAACTAAGGCCCATGCCAGTGCCTTGATAAATAGTGGGGCAACCCCAGGGCAATTCTGCATTAATTCGCGGTCATTCTTTTCTCACCGGCAATCGATATGTAAAAAGCCGTGAGCAAAGGCTACCTGCGATCTCTGACTCGACATAGTCCTTCTTCATCCCAATCCTCGCTTCCGACCCCGAGCCGTACAATAAACAGCCCATCCGGATCCCACCTCTGCTTTATTCCGTATAGCCTGTCATAATTCTCACCCCAAAACGCCCTCTGGGGCTCGGGCTCATCCGGATCCGCAACATTCAAATACGAGCCCAGATACGGGCTCTCCAGCCCCCGAAGCGAAGACAGCATACTATCACCGAATATCTTGATCGGCGAGTCTGGCGACAGATTCCGTCGGATCGTAACTCCCAGCGCGGACTCGCGCCAGGCGGGTTGCAGAGCGCTGTGGATTGTATCCTTGTTCGCCTTGACTTGTCCGCCGGCGGACATGAGGATTTCGACCGAGTCGCCTGGTTGGAAGTGTAGTTGTGCAAGAGCACCCACTATCTCGGAGGTTCCGTTTGGTTTGAAGAATAGATTCTCGGAGATTAGCACTGAGCCTTCGATTTGCCCGATCCCGCTCTGGTGCATTGGGCCGGGTTCGTTGAGGTATGTTGATAGCTGGGGGTAGTGTGTTATGTTTAGTAGGTATGGAATGCCTCGGGTGTCGAGTGTCTCGCGGAGCCTGGTAAAATGCGTCTCTGCTGAATTCGTATCACTGCTATTAGGGAACATCACTGCAGCCGTTAGGGCAACCCGATCTGCGAGTATAACTGGGACGATAATGGCGCTTGTTTTGTCGTCCTGATGCTTCATGTCCGGCAGTAGGCTTGCTATCTCACCCGTGATTTGCCATAGGGATTGCTCTGCGCTCGGAGACGTTTCGTTTTGTTGCATAATTGAGGTGGTGAGCAGGGCATAGACGATAGGGATGTCCGGGAATGTGCGAATGGTAACATCGATGATAACCCCAAAGGTCCCACCCCCTCCCCCTCGTAAGGCCCAGAAGAGGTCTGGATTCTCGACCTTGTTGGCCACGACCAGTTCGCCCTGTCAAGATGAGTTAATCTGAAAGCGTCGGAAAATCCTACTATGTCTGGCTCACCTTCGCCGTAACAACCGTGAACTGCAAGGCGTTATCCGCAGCCAATCCATACGACGGCGCAAGCAACGAGGTTCCTCCTCCTTGCAAGAACCCTCCCACTGCACCAACAGAGCGACAGACCCCTGTCATCACATTCAGGCCGTGTCCTTGACCAGCTTCTTGCAGCTCGATGCCTAGAACGCCCGCGCCAACAATGACCGCTCGTCCCTCCGAGTCGGACTCGTCTCCACCCTGCGGTACAAAATCATCGACGAATTGAATCGTCTTGAGTCGATTAACGTTGATCTGCACGGAATGAAGTCCATTCGATCTCCCCATCCCATCATGCCCTGTATTTCGAATCGTTACCCGCAGGTTATGCTGCTTCGCGAATCGAATAGCAGCTTGTACTTCCTCCGCAGAGTGCGCCATGACCGCATACAGTGAAATCCGCCCCTGATGACATGGCGTATCTCGAGGAGCGGAGATGGGACAACCCCCCATTTCAACACCTGAAATCGTTTCTTCAGACTCCCAGTTTGTCCATTGGTACGCCGCTGGAATAGTTTATCAATGATGTACACTCGAAGGCCGGGGTAGGAATGTGGACTATACCTGGCTCGGATATCCGCCATAGCGGGTTATGCGTGGAGTTCTTGACGATTTCACATCGTGTCTCGTTGTATTCGGGACCATGGCAGGCAGCTCCGATGGGCCTTAGCGAAACGAGATGGCCGTTGATTGTTCTGTTGAACTCGTCCCAGGCGCTGGGATCGGGCCAGCAAGGGTCCGTTGGGAGACACCGGCAGTGAGCGGTGCGGGCAGACGCGCGATTGCTAATGAGTGTGAGTAGTATAAGGTGGGTAAGAATCACGTTGTTGACTGATAGATACATTGTTGCGGGGAAATATTTATAGTAGAAGTAACAACAAAATAGGCTGCACAGTCTGCTAGAATAAGGACTAGAAACGAACGGTTGGCTCAACTATATATCACACAGCTACGGCACAGTTGTCAATCTCAAACGTGAAGATTAGGCACCAGTGTAACAAGCCTCAAGCTTCCATTAACCCACTCTAGATACACCCTCGGGCAATATTGCGGGGGCATCGACTTACACCCCATAACCAAACTGAGTCTATTAATTCGAAGAACGTACACCTACAACCAGTATATCGGGGCCACATGTTACACAGTGTTAGGCAGTCATCGGAAGATTCCCATCGGAAGTTATATCAGTAGTGGTACTTGCGCTTTGGCTAGGATCGGTCGCGGGTTACCGCATGGACACGATCGATCTCTCTTCGGGGGGTTCTAGTGAAACACCATGTAGAATCAGGTGATGGTCGTGGAAAAGAGAGACGGATGCGTCACTTATATCATAAGGAGGGTGCGAGAATCGACGGCTTGCTCAAATCTAGCCTGTTCTGGGTACAATTTCATTGGGAAACAAATGCATGACATCTATGATAAGTTTCGAATTGAACGCGGAACTATCCCGCGCATATTTCGAACATGGTTCTCTGGAGGTGAGCGTGCTGGAAGGGAAACGGAGGAGATTGTTGGAGTAAGAGAAGATCGGCAGAATCGCATTTGTGCCACAGTCTGGCGAACGAGTGTGAGACAAGTCTTTGCTGTACCACCCCTTCCTGCAATGGCCGCATGATGGATAGGAGTCCGTCAAGTCGGTCTTCTGTCTAGTATCGTTGCTGCCGCGCGTTGAGACGGAATGATGGGTGGTGGTTCGCGCCACTTAGGGCACGAGTTAGGGTTACGCGGTCTGCTCCAGATTTATGACACTCGAAACCCTGCGCCATTCTTGATCTGGACTGTCCATCTTCAGGTAGTTCTGATAAACGTATCAACCGATTCTCTCATGCCGACTTCTAATTCTAACCAGTCAAATCGAGCCTGAATCCATTTTAACCACCTCTACTTCAGCCCAACTCTGTCTTAACCGTACCATCACCACCTCATCCCCACCATCCTAACCGCACCCTAAAACCTCTCCAAACTCCCCCTCCCACTGTCACTCCCCCCCAAATCCCGATCACTAATATCATCCAACACAGCCTCATTCCTCCTCTTCGCCTCGATCCTCGCCAACTTATGCCTCCTTGTGTCCCGCTCCGTCCTCCTCGTGACCCACCACGTATACAGACTCGTAATCGCACAACACGCGACAAGACCCATAGAAAGCCCAAAGGGCAACTGATACCGCGGCTCGTATTTGTCTTCAAACATTTGTGGCCCGACGGCGTCGCCGACCTGCCCGTAGCTGTTTACGAAGCCGATTGCAAAGGCCGAGCCGGTTGCGCCGTTTATGGTTTGGGAGCGCCAGGTCCACATTAGACTATTTTGGTGTTGGTTAGTAAGAAGAAACAAAGGGTAGAAGAGTGAGGAGAGAACTAGGAGAGGGGGGCAACGTACGGGAACCAGGTTGATGAACACGCATTACCGATCATCATGGCGATGTAGACGCCTATATCGTTGGGATAGACGACGAGCACGGAGTAGCAGATGATAATAATAATCGTGGCACCAATAGGGAGCAATGGGAGCGGGACCCGTGCTCTGTCTGCCACGTAGCCAGTGACGATAATCAGGATGATGGTTAGAACGGACATGGGGATGTTGAGAATTTGAGCGGTTGCGATGTCGCTTCATTGGTTAAAGGTTAGCCGCATCTTCGGCAATAGATTCTAGGGAAATGACCGACCTGAACCCCATATTCGCAATAATGGTAGGCTGGTAGAACTTGACACCGCCGCTTCCACTTGTCATGAAGGCCCAGCAGAAGGTGAAGAGCCACAGTCTGCGGTCACGGAGCGTTCTGAGGACTTCCTTGAAGACAAAGTTCTCTTCGGCGGCGCGAGGCGAGCTTCGGGGAAGACGGGCTTGCAAGAAGGCCTTTTCGGTTGGCGAGAGCCATTTCGTTGTAGCGGGGACTGTACGTGGATTCTGGTAAGGATCAATTGTTTTGGCGGTGGGGTTGAGGGAAGCATACAGTCCGGTAGGCAAATCCAGACGACAACTCCCATGAAGATCGTCAGGGCACCCTCGACAATGAAGAGCCTGGCTCGAAATCAGCATGGATTGGGTTGGCTCGCTGGGAGTATACGTACCACTGCCAGCCTGATATACCCCCAGCCCCGGAGACACCATTAAAGGCGTAGGCAAGAAGACCTCCTATGATTCCAGCGACGTTGCCAACGCAATCTGTTCGATCAGCCATGCCTAGGAAGAAAAGTGTGCGGTAGCTCACAAATAGAAACCAATCGCACGGCAATCTCATCCGGCCGATACCAGTACGAGAGTTGAAGGATGATAGCAGGAAACATTCCGGCCTCGGCCTTGCGTGCATCAGTGCAATTCTTCTCAGAGCTAGGGCGTGGAATCTCACCAGACCGAGCATGAATCGCACAGCGTAGAGACCTGCCAAATTCTTGACTGCAGCCGTGCAGGCTGTGATGATACCCCTTGATAAATCAGCATTGAGTCCGATGTGTCAGTACACGGACCACTCACCAAGTAATCATGATTCTCGATTGCCAGCGTGACGGGCTGACTCTTTTCAGAATCAAGTTGGATGGAACTTCTGCCAGAATGTAGGGTACCTATACGAGTCAGTCCTGGCAGGTACGGGCAGAGATAAGGGCCAACTGACAGTGTATAACACAGTAATCATCCCAAACTCATCGGACGTGATATTCAGCTGCGTCAGGATATTGCGATCTGTGCCCTTATTCATGATTCGCGCATTGGTGGCCTGGACATGGTCAATTTACCTGTTTCTATTGAGCCAGGGAGAAAGCACATACATTAGACTCGTCAATCTTCTTCATGAGATAGAGCAGACACAGTAGGGGAACCAAATGCCAGTCAACGCGGCGAATCAGTTTCTTCTCCTCCTCGGCCGTCAGGGCTGTAAGCGCAGCTTCGCGAGCAATCTCGTCGTCAACGGTCGGGCCATTGTAGACAACATCGACTTGCTTGTCAACGCGCTTCGCCGTCTTGAAGCTGTGGTGCGAAGAGGGCTCGGCCTGGGGGACCGGGGTTTCCGTTATCTCGTTTGTTTTCGGTGCACTCATCGTGGATAGCGGGCGACAATGCGATAATAGAATTCCACTAACTATGGGAGGCTAGAGAAAGTGTCTTATATGCTCGGGATCTTTCCGTCCCGTCTTCATTCTCTTGACTTGGAGTATGTCTTGGAAGAAGATGCCATAGCTCTGCAAAGCACGCAACTGTATATTCTTTGCAGGTGCCAGAGAGCCCTCGGGATGAGTCCGCTGGTGTCCATATTGGAGTTTATCTTACTATACTGGTATTATACTGGTGAAGGCTGCAAACCTTCTTCTCTCATGCAGCGTTTCCCGTGTCTCTAACGGATAAACCTCGGAAAATAGTGTGCTTCGCACCATACATTCACTGAGTCAAAGCCACGTAAGTATACGCATGGATCTGAGTCGTACAACTAGGGTCCAGTTGTCGTTCTCTCTCATGACTCGCTGCTATCCAAACTCAAGAACACTCCGAGAAAATTATCCGAACGAAAATCCTCCGAAGGATAAGGTTGGCTTGGCCCATTCCCGCTGGAAATCACGTATACACACCACGCCGCGACCCCGCATTGGCCTCGCCTCGCACCTGAGTCGAACTTACCCAAGCACCCAGGGCCCATAGCAACCTTCAAAGAGAGAGAACCACTTTAACTGGACATGAGTCGGGTGAGGCGCAGTCCTAATTTGGATGCTCCAATAAACCTATAGTGGCGGACAGGGGTTCTGGCCCCGGAGGATACTTTTATTTCAATGACTCCAAATCTCGCAGATGGCGTGATTTTGCCAATATTTTTGCTATATGAACTTCGACCAGATGTTGCGAGTTCGCGACCGCACCCTTCTGTATTTGACACCATTACACGACGAGGGGCACTTGATATTCTGTGAGCTACGAAGCCCTCCCCCTGCTTCACAAGAAATCAGAAATCAAGCTGGAAGACGAGGCACTATGTCAGGCACGGCAACAGTCACCTGGGTAACCCCGCCCGCCAAAGCCCCTCCGCGACAACCGGATATCTCATATGCGCCAGACTACGACAAGTGGCAAGCTCGCGCGGCCAGACGTGTCGCAGCGGGTGGACTACCCGACAAGGTCCCCGAAGGCTTTCCCGAGCAACTAACAGGCGACTTGGTCTGGGAGGGTGAGACACTAGCTGAGACGTACGACTGGACATATGTCCTCAATGGGGAGCAGCTAGCCGAGATCGACGCAGCTCTCGCTCATTTCAAATGTAAGCTGGCCCTTACTCCATTTGTCCTGCGGAGGCTAACATACAACATCAGCTCTTGATCTCTCCTTCGGCCACATAACCCAGGAGACATTCCCGCTCCCAGAGCTACACCCAGAACTCCGCCGCCTCTCAGACGAGCTGCACAGCGGACACGGCTTCTTCGTGATCCGCGGACTGAGAGTGGACGAGCACACGCGTGAGGAAAACATCATCATCTACGCCGAGATCTCCGCGCACATTGCGCCTCAGCGAGGACGCCAAGATCACAAGTACAACGGCAAACCGGCCGATGTTGTTCTCGCACATATAAAGGATCTCAGCCGCTCCGCTGCGAACAGCATCATCGGTAGTCCTGCCTATACGACCGATAAACAGGTCTTCCACACGGACTCAGGTGATATCGTCTCGCTCTTCGCGCTTGAGACGGCGCTTCACGGCGGCGCAAGTAAGCTGACGAGCACGTGGAGGGTGTACAATGAGATTGCACGGACGAGGCCGGACCTGATCCATACGCTATCGCAGCCGTGGGATTATGAAATTTTTGAGAAGGCGGATAAGCAATGGACCGAGCGGCCGCTTATACATCTTCTTCCTGCTTCGTCGTCGGAGAAGGGTGATATTCCGCAACGGATCTCTCTTCAGTATGGCCGTCGATACTTTGTGGGTTTCGGCGCTCTTCCGCGCAGTCCTGATATCCCGCCCATCACTGAAGCGCAGGCTGAAGCGCTCGACACGCTTCACTTTATTGGTGAGAGGTTCTGTGTCAATACGGAGTTCCAGAAGGGAGATATTCAATATGTGAATAACCTTGCGATTTTCCATGCCCGGGATGGCTTTATTGATTCGGAGGAGCAACAGTGAGTTACCTTCTCCATTTCCCACTCCACTGGCTTGGTGAGAATAACATGAGAACTAACTGCGCTTGTAGACGCCACCTTCTGCGTTTCTGGTTACGAGACCCAGAGAACGCTTGGTACACGCCCGAGGTGCTGAGGCCGAGGTGGGCGCAGATATATGAGGGCATCACGCCGGAGAATGAGGTTTTCCCTATTGAGCCTTTTGTTCGGAGTGCGGGAAACAAGGGAAGATAGAATGCACAGCTTTAGGAATACAGATAAATCATTTTGTCACTTTCCTGGACGCCAATGTCTCTTCTCTTCGCAAGGCTTTCTTTCACTTGTCAAGGTCTTGGCACTGAGTATCGCGGTCGCCGCGACTATCAAGGTGTTTCAGACCTTTGGACATTCCGAGGAACACGAATACTCTCGAGTAAGTGCCGCTCTGAGCATTGTCTGATCTTTCAGTCTCTTCGTCAATTCTATCTGTTATCTCTGGAGCCTTTCAAGCGTCTGTACTTTGGCCGGCGGGCGTGCAGACTAATCCAGAAGCGGTTAGCTGGTAATCACCCGCGCTAGTCCGCACTGGGACGAGTAACACCCAAACTCGCTGGGCAGGTTGCTCTTCCCTTCTTCTCTTCAACTCTTCTCTCGCATCGTTTCTGCAAACCTCTGGAGACTCAGGGTGAATACCGCCTGGGCAGATGATAGGATCTGTACCTTACCCGGAGGGAGATCCGATCAGCCACCATGGGTACGCATTCTACAATCACTTGCCTCAAAACCAACCCTAAAATCAACTAACACTGATGCACAGACGACGAAACGTTTGGTGTAGGTCAAACCATTCACATTCTACACTTGTCTCATACTGCAATCTCTGTAGAGGGTCTTCTGCACTCTCTGTTCCACCACCTTCAATATCGCTCGTGTCCGGACGTTGGACGAGGCGGAGGACGCTTCGTGGCCAACATACGGGCCAGGAGCAAACTCGTGGCCAACTGGGGAACCCCAGCTATGGCCATGCTCGACAAAGAATACGGGATGTATGTTCTACGTGGGGCATCGACTCCTGAACAGCGAGTTCTGCCGGGAAGACCAGCCGCCGGAGATATACTGTCATCACTTCATTGAATGGCCGAAAGACGCTCTCCCGGAGAAGGGGGACTGGCTCTCCTTCGATCCCAACACCAAGCCGGCACCTGGAAGAGTGGCTATATATCTCGAAGACATTGAGCACGTTGCCGGACCCGGATGTCGTTTCCCTGGAGCGTTTAGCGGAAATCAGATCACAGTGGAAGAGATGAGAGGATGCCAGACTGTTCAGTGCCTGGTGCCGAAAGTCGATGATTGGGAACCTGCCGTGGATGACCACGATTTTGAGAAAGATAGCAAATACTTTCTGTCTGGAATCGCTACCCGCGCATGCTCACGAGTCGAGGCTATTTCCGCAAACCCAGTCCGGCATGAGATTGACGAGATTGAAGCCCGGTGCCCTGTGATTGATGAGTTCGACGTGGATTACGACCATCTACCTTTTCATCCCTGGTGCTTCGGCACCTGGATCCAGCTCACAAAGCTCCGGCTAGGCGCTGTAGTGGTTGACGGCCTCGTTGAGTTCTTTCGTGACCTCAATGCCCAGTCTATTCAACCTCTTTGCCATCATTTTCGTGTGCTTAGCTGTAACACTTATGCCCATAATCCTGGTGATGAGTACCTTGCTGCAAATCCTTTCTACGTTCCCCGACTTCGAGACTTTTTAGTAGAAGCTATGAACGTATCCTCCTTGTTTACCCCGCATGACAGCCCCTTCTGCAACTCCGCCATATCCTCTACCAGCTCAGACGTATTCGCATGCTTATCAGCTGATCTGCGATTACTGATTCTTCAGCACCTAGCAGCTTCTGAGATTGCCTCCCTCAGACAAGCATCGCGGACATTCTACCACTTGCCGGTCTCCCTCTGGTATCGTTTACTTCGTGAGGAGATGCCATGGCTCTGGGAGCTATGGACAGACGACGCTCCATATTTTTGGGCTACAGTTACGGAAAGGACTTCAGAGATCACGAGACAAGTGGATATCTCTCCTATCCATCTAACCGTAGCCCCGTGAGCGTTAGAATGGTGACATCCCATACCCTCGATGTGCAAGCGCATCTCGAGCAGTGGACCTATCCTAAACCTCCAAGATACCAGACGAATTGGTTCACTCTCTACCGAAACATTAAGAGGAACTGGTATAAACTCAAGGGGCTCCGAAACCGTAAGAGGATTTGGGATTATCAAACACGGTTACTTGAGATGATAGAGCTGGTATGACTGTGCTTCCTCGGGGGGGGTTCGGGTCACGACAACCAGCGGAAGGCGCGGATAGACGACCTGCTCGCCCTCACGCAGTACAGGACTATCAATGCTATGACGATTTCTATGATGGCTTTTCTCACTGTGTGTTGATTCACCCGCATTTGTTCTCGGTTTATGATTACGATATCAGGAGAGGATGGAGCGGGCGTTTTTTTACAGGTTCATAACGGCTACTAGGTATCAAGGAGTTGACATAGTATCTTAGAGGGACACGTCTACTCACACGAAACTAATCATAATGATAATAATAATGACGATGCTGATGCTGATGTCTTTTTTCCCATATCACTCAGCGACGGATACACCTTTCGGAATACGTATTGGCTATCCAACTTGCCGCCCAAACACGGTTTGGTGCTCTAATCGCCCAGATAAACTCTACTGTACAGAAGCCCCTTGTACAGTCACTAGACCGTTTTACGCCAATCGCTAATACTTAGAAGACAAGTACACCAATAAGGCGAATGCTCCACCAAGCTTCATGTTAGATGTTCAGCCTTTCCAAGAAGGGAGTACATCTAACCCAGGTATTATATCCCTGACAGTGGATCTGGCCTGGGCTTACTACCTTTTGTCTGAAGAATGTTTCTTGCAGCCCTACCGAGACTCTACGCCCATCGTCGATTAATGGTGCATATTGTTAGACGCCTGGGAATGTTATCCAAAGCTCGGAAGATATTTGCATCAGGTTATATGTGATAAAGACAACAAGAAAGTCATTTTTCTAGCCTAGAATCCAAGCACACGTAAGGCATTCCGGGCTGAGTCGGGGATTGTGATCCAAATTTGTCACACTGCGTAATGCATTCCCTGTCGTGGACTCTCTCATTCAAGGCCATATCCTTGCCTCGAACATCTAATTTCGTATTCCCCCTTTACCACCCAAGATACGCCTTCCCCAACTCCAACGCAAACACGGCCCAATACCACAGCGCACTAACCACACCCTCCCAGAAAGACCTAGCCCTCAAAAGCGAGTGCCCATGCCAGATCCCACGACACCACCACAGATACACCACCCTCGTCACCCTCCCCTCCCACTCCGCAATCGACATCTCCCCGCTAACAAGCTCCCCGATCCACCCGGCCTCCAGCGCAGCCAAACTCGTGCTGTATCCTCCATGTGGGCGGAGATGCGCGAGCGCATCGCCAACGAGGAGGACACGGCCGTTCATGAAGGCTGCCTTTGTTGGGCCCGGGTAGGAATCTGTTATTGCGTGGATGAAGGGGGATGTGATTCTGGAGAGGACTTCGGCGTGCGCGGGTGCAAGGTGCTCGGTTCCAAGCGCGACTTGCTTGGCCCAGATCTTGGGATCGACCAGGCCGTGAGGCACGGTTGTGCGGTGGACGTCGCCGTTTTTGTCTGTCATGATCGAGGGCAGGAGGGGCGGTGGGACTCGGAAGTACCAGACAAAGTTGATGCTGCGATCTCCTTGGGACAGGGAGCCCGTCGGGCCGGGAACGGGGTATCTGTTGAATCACTTTTTGTCAGGGGTGACTGGCTCTTTTATTTTATTTTCGCCGAGTCGAACGAAGGAAGGAAGGAGAGGGAGGGAGCCCATACGCGACTGCGTTGCCGTGCTCTTTGCTTCTGGTTACATGCGAGATGCTCGCCTGAAAGGCCTCCCTCGTCTCCTCGCTCAGCTCGCTCTCCGGCACAACGCCGCGCCAGGCCACATACCCCGAGTAGTGGCGGTAGGAGCGGGCGCCGAGGACGATCTCCCGTACGGTTGACTGCCTCCCGTCGGCGCCGAGAACTAGGTCAGCTGGCAGGATGCGAGTCTGTCCAAGAGCAAGGTCCTCCACAACGACCGATACCTTGGCGCTAAACCCCTCAAACCCATCCTTTATATCAACAACCCGCTGCTCCTGCTCATAAATCGCCCGACGCCTCGCACTCTCTACATCCTCGCCATGCAAACACACAATCTCCGGCGGGCGCGGAACATACACACTACCCAAGCCATCAAAGTTGGCCCTCAGCCGAAAGTACAACGCGCCCCAGGAGGTTATAATGCGCCGGGTCGGAAAGGACGGGTAGGGAAAGCCAGTTAATCTCCCCGGTAGCGCGGGCGATCCGAGGGGGATCTCGCGGACACGGTCGACGCGCTCGACGAAGGCTGTGGCGTGCGGGCTGAGGAAGATGCCCGCCGTGTGTGATGTTGGGGCCGCGATGGGCGATTTCTCGAGGATACGGACGTTGTGGCCGAGACGGTGGAGGTTTATGCCGTGCATCAGGGCTGTGAGTGAGCCGCCGACCTGTGGCTGTTAGCTCTGGGCTGTGACGGCTTGGTTGGCATCGGGGATGGGTTCGATACAATTATGATGTCGAGGGGCTTCTTGGGAGGGATTGACATGGTTCGGCCTAAGAGCGGTTGGTTATGATATTCATGGATAGAGATAATAGAGCTCAAAGAGGAGAAGAGAGGGGTCAAGGTGCCGATGCGATTAATGTGCCGTGCCCCTCTTCAAGGTCGCACAACCGGTTCGTCCAGATCGGAATCTTCACTGCTACGGTACATTTGCGTTGCAGCCATGACATCCCTGTATTAATATTCATTGTAAGCGATTTTATGTGGCAGGATTGCCTTTCCTGACTTCCGAATAACCAATAGCACACAGAGAGGGCTGTTCTGGTTAGCCTCAAGCGTCCAGGGCTTTGTGGAGTTACCAGAACGCACGGTACGTCAGCGATATGTGGATTTCTAGCTCCAGAGCGAGCGAGAAGCAAAATTGCCGCGACGCCGTGCCCACGCCTTGCAAGGTTATAAGCACTTCTCGATGACTGGATACTGATCTATTCCTGATTTAACACACCCCACCTCCCCCCCCCAAACCACCCTTCAGCGTGATTGGAAGCTCACTCAGGCGAGATACTAGGTATAAGATTGCATCAGGAATATATGAGCTGATAGTGAGCTACCCCGCTTACATCTGTTCTAGAGCGACGTGTCTACCCAGGGAGGCAGATATGCTGGGGCGCACCTTCCTTATATTGGTGGTAGAGAATAGTGGAGGAAGGATCCCGGGCGAGCATAGCGCCTTCCGAATCGGATAACCAAGTACATTTATCACAAACAAGGAAGGTACGTTCCAGCACAGGACCCCGGCCTCGATGGCTCCTTCCCTCAGCAACTGCATCCAGCTCTTTGTCCTTAAAGGAAGGAGCAACCTGCGTACCTTCCGTATTCGTCGTATTATATGTGTAGTTCTTACCTTTTGTCCGTCGCTCGCTAGCTATTCCTCGTCCTTTTTTGTACTCGCTGTTCTTGCCACTTCTTCCATTCTACCATGACCATCTCCAATCCCATCGCGAGATATTCACCATGCAACCACGGCGCATTCGAGGACCTCCTGGGATAAGAAACTCCAACTCAGCGTCCGGCAGCGAGAAAATAAGAGTTCTATTCAAAAATAATAAATAATTTTCTCCTTTAAATCCGTAACCTCATTGTTAGTCTCTGCTTCATTGCCCGTGAAGAGGCTAGTAATTTGCGCCGATTGAGAGTCACATATACAGGCTTAGCGTTCATAGACCCGCGGACTAAATTCTATGTCAGCTGTTATGAAAGGCAAAGTTAGGGTTACATAAATTGGATGTCATGTCGCATGGACCACGACACATCTACATTGCCTAGAAGTCACAATCACTCTGTGCTCCAAGCCTAAGAGAATTATTGTATAGATTATCAAATGGGGAGAAATAAAACTTGTATTGAAAGTGAGTGCTTACCTAGAGCCAACCCGAAAGGAGAAACTTTGCGCTGTGGACCCCGATAAGGTCCGCTAAAAGCCCTAAAATCGGCAATGAGATGTTTTTTTTTTTCAGATTTGTAGATTTTCTGTATAAGCAGAAAACACCAAACACCGGGAAATGTAGATCTTACTCACAAAGGCAAATCCTGCGAATCAATGACTTCCCACTGCTCCCGCCGGGATCCCCGTCTTTGTGGTGGGATGCTTCTCCCTCCAGATAAACCACGGGTCCTCCTTCACATCAGCAGGTTTCGTCTCGCCATAGGCAAGAGGCGGGAAGTTGCTCCAAATCATATACGGCGCACAATCCTCGTGCTCCTGCGGCGAATGCAAAGCCATAAACCAAGTCAGCCGAAAGACACTCGCGTGGTCCGCCTGGGTCATCGCCTTCATCTCCCACGAGCCCACCTCGAGTTCGAACCCGCGCGCCGCGTCCTTGAACTCCGTCGGGAAATCCATCTTGAGATATTCTGGGAGTTTCGGGATGGTGGTTAGGTTCGCGGTATCCACATCGACCAGCACGGTGATGATGACCTTGCGGCTCCGCCGCGTGTTCGGGCCCCGTTCGGCCGGCGTCGTCTGGCGGATCCACATGTGGAAGCGGCGGACTTTCTTGTCGCGGGTCTTTAGGTATGGTTCGAGGTTCTTGCAGAGGGCATTGCCGATGACTTCGCCGCCGATCTTGGTGTCGAACTGGGCGGACGTTTCTGCGGTGAACGTATAGGGCGTGGTGGAGGGGGGGAGACGCAGTGAGTTGACGGGGATGTACTCCCGCGCGAGGGGCTCGCTGCACTTGCTGGCGCGCTCGAGGCAGGCGGGGCAGAGCTGGGAGAAGTCTTCACAGGGCATTTTGGTGGTGATGGTGTTGATATTGCTTGAACAATACTTATTTAAACGATATTTGGAGGACTACATCGTTCTATTTATAGCCTCGAGGAGAAGTACCATATCAAAGGTCTTTTGCAAGATACAAAAGTCAATGAGTGTTGTTGTCGTCAAGCAAGACTACAAAGACTACAAAGAGTATACTTGAATGATAAGATGACAAAGCCCTTGTTCCTTTGGTCGAGGTGAAAGCCAAGTCATTTAGATTGGGGAAAGAACTCTAGCCCTAGCTTGTCCGTTTTCTCTTTGTTCGTGCCGAGCAAGTTACTCCATTGTTCAAGTGGCACCTCCGTCTTATACTCGGATGAAGAATTCTCCTGGTCTTTATCTCAGACTCAAAAAGCATATTGGGAAACGGCTTACATTCAGGGTACCCTTTTGACCATCGTCTAGCCACATTAACTACAGATTGAGACAAATATATACGTACAATCCCACTGTACCACATACAAGGTCTTCCAGGGGCCTCAAATTGTCCAAACCAACGTGACCAACATAACCGCCACATAGAAAGACTTTTACCTTTTGCCCATGTTCCCAGAAGATCATGTACCGAGTGCCGTCATCGTGATCACCAAGCAAAACCAGCATGTGTTTGGGAATGGCCATAGGCTCTTGAGCATGGATAGAGCTGATAGTTTCTATAGTTGCTTCAATCTCCTTCACGTAGGCCTGGTCTGCTTTTTCAAAAGCCTCGACGCCATCAAAAGTTTGAAATCCCAGGTGGCACCTGCGTCTCATTTTCAGCTCGAGCCTGTTCAAGTAGAGCTACCATACCTTTGGGTTGCTAGGCAGTCCAGTATAGAACTGATAGCTGTTGAATTTGCCCGCTAGGTCTTTTTTTCATGTAAGCCTGGTAACCACGATCAAAGGCCTGGCCTCGGTCAGGGTCTGACTGGCGAAGATACTCTTTGATGTTCCTCATATAGCCTATTGGATGATTTGGAGATTTTGATTTAGCTGTGGACAAGCGAGGGTAGTTGTAGTATAGTGTAGTAATTGTATACCTTCAAGATTAGCAAGATATCCCTCTTCACTGAAACTAGTTGGCTGCAGGCAAAAGGCATGTACAAAGTTAATTGTGTCGAGCCCGTCTTCTTCCCAGTTACCCTCGTTGTCATTATCATCATCAGCAACATCACTGGCGCCGATACTTTGATAAGCCTGCAGTCGATTTCGTGCACGAGACCGTTGACTTTCCCGAACCCCAGTTGCTGCTCCAACATTTCGTCGTCCGAGATGATATCCCCGGAAGCCAAGAGTCAGCTTTCTAGTTGTGCTTTTGATTGGGAGAGATCGAGTGAGCCTACTTTGTAAGACCCGACCATGGTAATTTGGTGCCAAGTATTTAGTGTTAGTTGGATATGTCTGGGATGGAAGGGCCGAGCGGTCAAGGACCAACGGGAGACTGCTATGAAAAGAGGATCTTTGGAAGCAGAATAAAGAGAGCAGATACGGTACCTGAGGCATGGAACTTCCATTTGCACTGTCGAATTTGCGGAGGACTGATATCACATCAACCATGTCGCTTGTCTGCTCAGCGACGTCACCGCCAGATTCGGGAATGCTGCTGTGTCTTAATGTGATCAAAGTAACAGAGTACAAGACTAGATCAGAGATGGGTCATGATGGAGGATCATCAAGAATGGCCGCGCTAGTCCAGTCTAGCCCACCAGGATCTCATCCGCGACTGCTCACGCGCGTTCGCAAATCAGACCCTCTGCATCCCGCTCTCCTGTCAGTACACCCACGTCCTGCAGGACGACGACACGTGCGACAGCATCGAGGAGGCCAACTTCGAGACCATGATTGACCCCACCACGGGGAGACCCTTCACTCTCCGCGACCTCAACCCGTGGATCTGCCCCTTCTGCACAAACCTCCACGACACGTCCACCGCGCACGGCCACGTCCTCTGTCTGACGCCGCAGGACGGAGTCTACAACGCCACAAACCCCGGCTACGGCTCCGGTCACAATCCGAACGCCGGTCACTCTGGGTATGGCAGCTACCTCGTCGAGCCTCCCGCAAACGCAACTGTGGCAGAGGGTACGACGCTGCGGTGCGGCAAGTGGCATACGGCGGCTGAGGGCGAGACATGCCCTGCTATCTGTGTGCAGGCGGGAATCACGCATCCGCTCTTCGTCGCTGTTAACCCCTCGCTTCCGAGTGATAGCGTGGCTTGTTCGGGGAGTGTTGTTCCGGGGGTTACGTACTGCACAGCGCCGTTGAGAGGGTGGAATTATACCGTTTCTTCGGTTTAGACGCCGCGTAATAGGATAGGAAGGATTCTGGGTCCTTGGATGAAGGTCGTCACCTGTTGTATCATGTTCTGTCTATCATGAATCATGATGGTGGGGGGAGGGGAGAAGAGGGGGAGTTGGTGTGGGGGGTGAGGGGGGGGTGTGCATACAAATTTTACCTCGCTACTTCTACTAAACCCTCAAATCTCACCAATATGACACCGAAATTGACCCGGTTCCTAGGGTTTATGTTTCTTCAAACGCTTGTTCTGATTCAAAGCGGAGAACATAATGTAATTGTGTTTTCTAGGTTAACATAGGTTTTTCATAGCTTTTGCTACACCTAACCCTGGATACGTGTGGCTTATGACATGCCGCATCATCCATCTAGCAGATTCATATACCTAAATCTCGTCTATATGACCCATCAAAAAAAAGTGAGCTATAAAACAAAGCAATGCTATGTATAGCTTTTTCTCTTGGAACGAGAAATCCATCTCTAGCCACAAAATAGGGAATCTAATCAATTATAAAGACGCGAAATCGAGGTACACATTCTATCTTGTTGAGTACAGACCACGGACTATGGGGGAATCTCTGCTGGCTAAAGCGGACTGTGGGTTCTCAATTTATGCCTTACGCAGTCCAATATACTCCCCTCTGCATACCCGTCACTGCACTGACGCAAGGGTTCGATGTAGACACAGTACCTGTCAGGGTATCTGCTGCTTCGAACTTGTAATGCTGTGCAATCTCATACAAGAGTATGAAAACAAGTCCCAACATTGGGTGTCTAAAGGTTGAAACAGTACACATTCCACAATTAATCACCTAAGGACTAAACAGTAGGGTTACGATGTTGGTATCTAGCTAGTCTATTGCCTGTTGAAATGGGGCTGCCGACCTGAAAGATCGCTCCTCCGCGGTCTTCAGTTTATACCATAGTCGGACTACTAAATTAGAGCAGCCAAATCGTTGATCGGCCTAGTGCACAGTTAAATACTTCGTGTTGCACGGTCACTGCTTCCTAGTGATCAAAGTAGAAGCGGCCTAGTTGAGCCCAGGTTCTATGCAGTTCCTCATCTTTAGCATGTGGTGGTTACTTCTTTTGTCTACACCAACGCCAACATTATGAGCGTATGGCTTCTGCCCATCTCGAGGTTAAATTATGCCACAGGCATGGACGGACTTACTTTTGCTGAGCAGTAGATAACACTGATCACGTCTAACGCTTGCCTTGAGTCGACCAATGAGCATACCCAGTAAATTCAAATTCCGTTTCCCTAAGTAGACATACCTGTCGTATTCCATCACCGTGAAGATTATCCCCTTTCTTCCGTTAGGAGCCGATCTGTCAGCGCTTGCTCACATTGGCGGATGTACTCTTCCTCCGCAAAACACAACCTTGACCCCATTCTCCTCCCCAAAGACCCGAAACCACTCCTTATCCTCCTCATAAACCAACAACTCCATCACACTCCCAAAAACCCTCAGCTCCCGGAGACCTTTTAGCGCCTGAAGGTACTCCAGGCCCGAAAATGCTCTGGGTCGCACAGAAGTCGTAGTAGTACCTTCAGCCGCAGAGGTACCATCATCACCATCCCTATTTCTCGAAGCAGCAGCCCCCGCATCCAAGTAAAGACCACGATACGCGGACATAACAATCTCAATCACCGCCAGCCGCCTTATCTCCTTGAGATGATCTTCGACGATCATTCTCATCGCCTTCGCATTCGACCCACCTTCAACCCCATACAGTTCCTGACTCGTAAACTCGAAACCTATGGATCGGATGTACCCCCTCTTCACGGGCCCAATAGCACGTAAGAACGCGGCCGTGCGCTCGATCCCATACGGCAGGTCGAAGAACGTCTCGCTGTAAAAGACTTTCGATGCCTCGTGGTGGATCTGCCGGTTTGTTAGTAGGAGAGCGAGCAAGGTATTGGGAGGGTCGGAGAATTTGATTGAGCGGGCGATTGGGTAGAGGTCGAAAGTTGAGGAGAGGGAAAGAGAAAGAGAAGGCGGGGTTAGAATTGTTGTGTATTTTTTCTTGGTCTTAAATTTGATCGCGTTTTCGATGTCAGTTTGGTCGTGACGGGCAAGGATAGTTCTGTAGTCTCTGTTGCAGGGAATCTCAGCGGAAGTGTCCGGGGAGGTTTCGATAGGTGAAAGGCGCGCGTCAAGCGCTGGATAGATGCGGAAGACGTGGCGGTAGACTTCGAGGCGGAGTTCGAAGGGGAGGGCGAGGAGCGGGAAGGGTGTCTGTCGGTGGGAGCGCCGGTGCGAGGGGATGAAGCCGCCGAAGCCGCTGAAACTGATGGACATCTTTTTTGAGATCGAATTCAGGATCGATCTTGGTGGTCGGATGAAATTGCAGAAAGTCCAGGAGGAGCCCGCGTGTCTGGATTCAATGAGGCGGGAGATCTGCTTTAATGTGGAGAAAACAAAGATGGGTGGGGGCCTGGGCTTGTAGATCAGTGTGGCTGTGTCAAGTCAGGCGGTTGAAGCGCGAGAGGTGTCCTGGAGTCATATCTGGATGGCGCAAGTGTATAAATCCTCGATGGCTTAGTTGGTTGGACGCATGTGATGCTGAGGAATGTGTTTGTGTTCATCCCGAAGCTGATGGAAAGGACAGCCATTTGAGCCGCAGCTCACGTGACCTGTTGGCCAAGGCAGCTACTCCAACAAGTCAGAACCGGACGACCACTGTATGTATGTATAACAAAGACGAATGTAGACTCGTTAATTGAACTGATTGCATTGAAGATAGGGTATAGAATACCATTCCAGAATAGAAACTGAAAGCGAGAAAGCAGATCTAACCTTGAGCAAACCATGGACAAGAACAATCACTGATAACAAAAAGGAAAAATGCATGTTCATAATTTTTCTAGCCGTTGAATTTTGAGTCATCTCGTCTCTTGCCTCAAGACCAAGAGCATCAGTAAATAGCCTGACTGGTAATCAGATTACCTACGCCCTCCCCTCCCAACACGGAATCCACCCCGTCCGTGACCCGGCTTCCCGCGAACGTTCCTCCGCTTCTGAATCCCGCTGGGCCCGTGAGTCTTCGGCATACCGAGACCGCGACGGCCAGGCTGGTTGGGGCCTCCTCTTCGGTTCGACGAGGTCTGGTGACGACCAGCGTTGTTATTCTCGTTACTATCGTCGCCGTCCAAGTCCATCTCGTCGCCGCGCTGCGACTTCTTCTTCTGCGCCTGCGCCATCTTGATCTTTCCGCGCTGGCCGCGGCGGATCGCGTCGGGCCCGCTGACGGCCTGGACGTACGCGTTGATTCCGCTCTCGCCTGTGTTCCCGCCGTCGAGGCCTCCCGCCATATCTACGTCCTCCTCGTCGTCACCTAGCAGGAGACGCCCGTCAGGACCGACCTTGGCGGCGCGCTTCCGGCGCGAGCCAGGGCCTGTGTTGAGGAAGCGCACGCTAGGCTTCGTGGTGGATATGTTGGCGAGGGCATCGGGGGCCAAGAGATCGAGCGGGTTATCTTCGGGTGAGAGCTCGCGGATGTACTGCTCGCTCTGTTTGCCCTTCCTATTGGCCTTGCGGCCCTTGCTGTGGTGTGCGTGGGTGGTGCCGTCTTCGTCGACGCTGATTTCGCTGGCGTCGTCGTCCGAGTCTGAGAAGTCCGAGTCGTAGACGGCTTTGTCAAAGGCGTTGCCGAAGGACTTGCTAGGCTTGTCGGTTGCCGGGGCCGCGTCCTCACCCTCCTCGTCTTCGTCACCTTGCTCACCCTCCTTCTTCTTCTTCTTGCGGCGCTCGCGGAGTTTACGGATGTTGACCACTAATTTTCGGTCTGCTTCACCGACGAGTTCTTCGAGGGGAGCGGCTCCGAAGCGGCGGATGAGTCGGTCAAGGATACCCTTCACCTTGCTCTTGAGACGACCCTTGTGCTCCTTGCTCCATACCATCAGGTTTGGAACCAGAGTGCTGAGACGAGAGCGCAGGGCGTCGTCAGGGAGAACGACAACGGCTACCTTAACGAAGCCAAGCACGGAACGGACAATCTCTCGGTTGTTGCTGGTAAGGAACAACTCAACAGTTTGGACCAGATCCAGCCGCATCGCGGGTTGGATGTCCTTGTGAAAGTCGAAGAAGAGTCGTGACAATGCAGTCACCGAAGCGGCAACCATGTGCGGCGAGCTACCGGCCAGACCGGCAGACACCATGGTGAAGAACTCCTCAAGCGTGGCAGGAGCATCAGGCGCATTGTCGGGCATGTGCGGGACGAGCGAGTTCCTGATCTTGGTGCCGGGTGGGTTCAGCTCGGCATTGGTTGTTCGGTTTGCGAGGTGGATCAACATGTCAAACGAGGCAGTGCGAGCTTTCTCATTACTTTCCTTGCAGCCCAGCACAACCTCGGATAGGATTGAAGGGATGAAGTGGAGGTCGGATGTCGGGAGGTATGTGACGAGTTCGTGGATGGCGAGCATGCGGTCTCGGCGGGCAGAAGCGGGCGTCTTGTCAGATGTGGCGAGCATGAGGGACTGCAATTCAGCGTTGCGTTCCTTGAGCGCGGCAGCTCCTGTCTCTGTCGAGGCCAGGCGGGGAATAAGTTTGTAGGCTTTCTTGATGAGTTGCTGGTCGTTGGTGCCCCCGTTCAAGATTGCTGCAGCCATGGCGAAGAGTGTGGCGAAGCTTGTGCGAGGCAGGTAGATCGACATGGCAATAACCAGGTCGATGAGTGTGTGAGAGGTTGGGGGCATCTTGTCTCCGGAGTTTGTGGGCTGGTTGCCTTGCTTGGCTGCCTCCTGCTCCGAAGTCACAGAGGACTCGAGCATGGTGGTCACGCGTTCGAACGTCTCGTTCAATTCCTAAAGCACTGTTAGCACGGATATACATTATAAGATGGATAAAGAATGAAACCAACCTTTTCAGGTGTAATGCTTAGATACGCGTTGATGCACTGAAGGATAAACCCTCGGTAGTGCGGAAGCGTCTGGCTATACACGTTGAATAGGACTGCAAGAAGGTTGCTGGCAAACCCAGCAAGGTGAGCAATGTTCTTCTTGGCAGCTTCCTTGGTAATTCTACGCTGCAGAATCAAATCATCGCCCTCCTTCTCAACAGACAAAATGGCTTGGTTGGACTCGACCAAGTTCGCAAGTGCTTTGCAAACGTCCACTCGCAGGTCGGTCTGCTTGTAGAGAATGTTGGACAAAAGTTCGGCGAAGCTCTGGTCAAACGACTCCACCAGATCAAGCGGAAGTTCGCAGTAACCTGGAAGGATGGCCCATGTTTGCTGGACAAGTGTTTCGAAGATCTTCACCTCAACAGACTTCTCTGCAGAGGCGTACTCCATAACCTTCTGGTACAGAGCTTCGCTGAGAGGAACGAATTCGGAACGGAAATGGCTCAAGTCTGTGTTAGTAACGCTGTCGCGAAGGATCGGCAGAAACCAGACACGACCGGGCTGGCCGGCCTTTTGCTCAATGAGGTTCAGCGGCAAGATCGCGAGGACAGCTGCAGGACCCATGGCCTCAATGGCGGCGCCAAGAACATTGTCCGCCTCTTTCTTCCCCTGGAACGCCTCGTTACCGCGTAATTCTCCAACGGTCCGAACGACGTCGTCAAGGAAGGGGCTCGATCGCCACTTGAAGCTCTCGAACATGGCGGCGCAAACATTGAACACTTCCATCCATGCGGCTTGGTATTTGACCGAAAGCAGATCCTTGGTAGCCTTTGCGAGCTTCTCGAGAGTTTTCTCGTCGTAGACGGAGGGATCGATGATAACATTATCGGGAATACAGTTGGCGACGAACGATACCAGGCACTCGGAAGCAGACACGCGGATGTTGCTCGACGGTGACGCAAGATAGCTGGAAATCATGTTGAACAGATCAGGTAATTTCTCGAATGTATCCTCGGGGCTGATCTGGGCAGACACATCGTAACCGCGGGACAGCACAGCTATCCATGGTGGGAGGAGCTGCGAATCGTTCTGTGCGGGCTTCAGCTCGGAGATCGCCTCGAGCAGGCGCGGCAACTTCGAGGAAGAAAACTCGTTGGCCATGCTCGAGAAAATGACCTCGAACACTTCAAAAGCACCCATGGTGATATACTCGTTGGTTGAGCGAGACGCATTCATCAACAGCTCGCACAGCGGCTCGATCTTCTTACTCGGCCATCCATTCGACGCAACCGCAATCGTCTTGACAAGCTGTAAAGAGTGGATCACCAGCGGATCACTGTTCTCTTTGTGCGGATCGTTGCGGCCACGCTTTTGCTTCGACGCCGCAGTAATGCTATCGCTCAAAGTCCGCATCGCAGTCTCTGCGCACATATCTGCAGCGGGGTGGTCGAGGGAGGGGCTCGGAGGGGTTGTCTTGATAACCTTGATCAGGGCATCCTGCGCCCGCTTGCGCACCTTGGGACGGTGGTCCACGGCAAGACTAAGAAGTCCTGCAATAGCCCGTCGGGGACCAATCTGGGTGTGTGGGAGGTTCCAAGCCGGGACATCCTGGGCAATCAACAGCGACTCGAGGCAGCCAATAGACGGGCGGAGAAGCGGTGCTTCGACTTCGGGGAGGGAGAGCGCCGGCGCAAGGTTTGTGAGGATTTGGGAAAATTTCGAGCGGAGGATTGAAGCGGGGACATAGGCGGTGGTGATATCGAGGAGATAGACGACAGAGGTCGCAAGATCCTTGTTGACGATGCCTTGGGCGGCGGAAAGGGACTGTGAGAGGAGGGCTAGGAGGGCGGCAAAATAGGCAGTAGCTGAGAAATCTGCTTTCTGGTCCCGGAGGGTGTCCTCCACGGCAGACAGTACCACAGCAGTCTGCAAAGCGTTGTTAGCAGCGGAAAGAGTTGGGCGGGCTTGAGGAAACGAACATGGTGTTGGTTCTGCAGCTTGGGGGACTTGATCTTCTCGAGCTTCTCGGCCAGGGTCGCCATGGTGAAAGGATCGACCGACAGGCAAATTGAGAAGTCTGTTTCAAAGATCTGGAGTTGCGAGGGGAATAAAAAAAAGTGAGGAGAAGAAGTTTGCAAGGCTGCGGAGACTTTTTTGTGGTCCGCCTGGGAAAAAAAAAAAGGTACAGGATTCTTGGCGGCGGTAATCGATAGCAGATAGCAGTGGGCCACGACCAGCGATCAGGTATCTACGAGTGTAGTTATTCAATTTATCTCTTTTGTTTCTTCATATATTATTGGACACTCAAATTAGTGTAGAGATTGTAAAAGGAAATGATGGAATTGAACTTGTGATAAAAACGTTTGCATAGACTCATGATCAGGCACCAAGGCATCAATCCTTCGATACCGCCATTCATGCCTTCAGCCAGACAAGCCCTAGATTGAGTCGTGTAGAGCACTCCTGCGCATGTCCGGGCCATATGGCCTAGACTGTACCTCCCACTCCGTCTCCTCGAGAGGCCTCATACCCCATCCTATCTATGGTTCGGACCCGTCGATGCGACTCGCGAGACCTGACCGCAATGTTCAGCGACAGAGCGGGACACTGCGAAGAGAGAGATCGGAACTGCCACCGCCTGATCCTTAGCAATGTTCACAAATGCCGTTGCCGTCTGCAGGCACCAGCGGCTGTCAAAATACATGTTGCATCCTCAACGCATTGGTCCCGCGGAGCTTTCAAGCGAGGATGCAGAGACCGACGAGCAATGGCTGGCCGAAGAAACAGTGTTCAAAGTGTTGCGTGGACTAGAAGAGAATCTCGCCACTATGTTCCGCCTCGAAACCAAGGCCTTGTAGCTTGTTGTTCGCCTTCTTGTCTCTGTTTTTCCGCTCGTTGTCTTCCTTCTTCTTTAGCTCGAAAACTTCCTTGAATGGCGCTTTCGTGAGGTTCGGTGGGATATCATCTTCCGTGTCGAGGTCCTATAAAACTCGTCATTAGAAAACCCGCCCACTTGCCAAACAGAGCCATTGGTGGCCATACAATTTCACCAAGAAGCAGCACATTCTCGCCCCGAACAAGGAACACGCCCCGCTGGATTTCCGTATACAGGTTCCCCGCGTACAATCGCTCTATCGTATCTTGAAGGACGAGGTTCGCTGTAACAACCGGAGAGGATCAAGGGTTAACCACGCTATGTCCGTCGATGAAACAACCGAGCGCATCGGACAAAGCCATACCGAACTGGTCCCATGTTCTCAAAACTCCAATCAACTTTCTTCCGTCGCGCAATACCAGGACTAATTTTTCTAGCACGGAGTCAGTTCCGAGCCCACAGTTTCACATCGAATATCAGACAGAACACACTATCTGTGAGGTCGAGCAGCTGCGCGGCGGTGGTGAACATCTGCGGTGGTAATTGCGGCGGGCCTTGGGTCATCGGCCCAAGCATGTTGTTGTTCTGTTGTTGAAATCCCTGGGGCTGGTTGCCATGCTGGCCGCCCGCAGGAGGGTCATTGATCGATAATCGCTCCATTGTGTCGATAGAGCTGGCAGCAGTCGGGATTGGGGCGCGGGGGAGGTTGATGGTAGGAGGGGAAATTGATCGGTGTCTGGTAGAACGAGCCGAGGGGTAATCGAGCGAATGTCAAGTAGGTAATAAATCAGAGAGCAAAGATAAATCAATATCTCAATCGGCAACAGATATTCCAGCGCCAAGTGCTTTTACGTCAAAACAAGAGTCAAATTGAAGCCGCTGGACTGGACGCTTTTGCAACTCCGGATGTGGAGCGAAGCTGTTTGTCTTGTTTGTTTGGCTTCCTCCCCATTGCCCACTGTACTTGAAACTCACCTTTGGTCTGGAAATCGAATTTCTTTTTTTTTTTCCTGGTTCCAAATTAAATGAGAGGATTTGATGCAAGTATATCAATTGATTTGACTGGTCGAATAGCGGAATTCGAGAAAGAAGGTGTGTTTCTGGAGCACGTTGGCGATGACTGAGATCACTAGTATATATAGTAGCTTCGACGCTCTCTTGCCTTTTCTTTCTCGGAGCCTTTGAAATCAACGCCACCAATCTCCAGCACTGAGATATTACATTCAATCTATGCTTTACTCCACGGTTCACCTGGAAGAATGGGTGCGGATGAAGGAAGAATATGATGCCTCACATTCCTCGCACCGCCAGCCGCAGCTCAATGCAAGCCGCATCACAGACCAGCCATGAAACATCGGTCTGTCAGCTCTGTCATTACGCAGAGTGATACCAGGCGGCTCGATTGACGCAGCCACTGCGATTTGAAAAGGTTAAGTTCATGTCACTCGTCGAAACAAGGGATGGCCTCTCTCTTCAACATGAGCACACAGTGAGCTCATCCCTTCGGCATAAATAGTCTTCATCATTATACAGGCATCAAAATCATAAACATCATATAATGAAAACAAGTTTCGTCAAATCATACAACGCGTCCGACTTGCCTGGTTGACAGGCTTTTGTTCATCCAAAGGGCGAATTCTGTCTATATAGGTGCGCAGAAAACACCTCCAAAGCAAATTTAATACAATAAGCGAAGAAACTGATGACAGACACAGCATCGAGTGTGATACTCTTCTGCTGTATATAGATGTCTGCCTACGGGACGTTGACACCTCTTCGTTGTCCTCGCATTCGTTCTTCTCGTCGTCGGCTGTACGGAACGCAGTATGGCTCATCCGACGAACCGACGCTGGCGCGAACCGGTTCCTGCCGCCGGTGATATGCTGGGCTAGATGGCTGTGGCGCGAGTTGCATCGCCTTGAACTGGTCGACGCTGATTACTCTCAGGTTATAGAGATATCGCATCAGCTCAAAGTCGGGCCGGCTTCCTGCGAGTGTCTGGCCCTGCTGATAGTGAAATGTTTCCATATGGTCCAGCAGGAGATCCCACGCTCTCTGGTGCGGAGTGCTGCTGAACCTTTCCGCCGGGCAAAGAGGGCACCGTGCTGTATCGGGCGGTTCATGCGTTCGAAAATGGCTCAGGACGTGCGTTCTCCATTCTTCGGTATCGTCAAAGGTGTCGTGGCAATCAAGGATATGGAAGAGGCAGATGTATATTTGTTGTTGGTGGGCAAGAGGGGAGGGCGACGGGGAAGGAGAGTGGGTAGGTCTCTGGAGACCATGGTTTGGAGGTACGACGAGGGCTCCCGTGCCATCTTCTTCAAGGATACCACTTCCGATAATTCCCGATGGCCACAGTGTGTCAAGGTACAGGCTCGATGGTGTTGAGTCCGAGGACGTACTGCCCGTCGACAAGGAGGGGACGGCTGCTGCTCCGTCGGGCCCTGGCGTCTCTCGAGAAACGACGTGCTGTGCTGGAGGGCAGCACAGCCTCGAATCCTCGTCCTCCCGCCTTCTACCAGATCTGGTTGACATGTTCCCTCGTCGTCGAGACGCTCTAGGTGTGCGGGGAAAGTCCTCGCGATCGAGCGCTAAGACGGGATACGGCTTGCGAGACTGCCGGAGCGATCCTGCTTCCAGATGCTTAGTCTGTGGATAGCGAGTATCAATGCGACGCCAACCCTCGTTGCGACTCGATCATGATCAGTGTTCTTGACCCTGCGGGGCAACTCCACTGAGAACAGAGACACAGTCCGAAGGGAGGTAATGCGGAGGGAGGGCCAGCTCACTACCTTCTTATACTGAGGATGCCGTTGGGTGCACAGCAAGCCGATACACGCGACCCGCCTTGTGCGTTCTTTGCTTTTTCTTCTTCCGAGACCGAACCAGACTCGTTAGCAAACATGCCTAGTCGAGGCGGGCAGCTGCATCAACTACGGGTGACGAGATGGGAACGAGCGAGTTAGTGGCCATGTTCGAAAATGGGCAGCATGCAGCGTGAAGAAACTGTTGCGGGGAGGGGAGTGAAGAGATGATGGTGTTACCCGCTATAACGTTGTTTGCGTGAGCTGCTAGTCTGCATTGGGATATCACGATAACATCGCCCATTATGAATCCCCACTTTGCCTCCAAGGACACCGACGTCGAAGATTCTGCATAAATGCAGCAGAAACCATCCTTCTCAGGCTAAGACTTTGATGCGGAAATGCTCTCAGAACCACACCATCCAAAGTCAACCTCCGTATAACTCATCGGCCGCTGGTGGGATATCACTGCCCTGCGATTGGCTTACTCGACGCTATACTCCCGTATTTGATGTTTCGAATCCGATATCTCACTCGCCTGGTGCCGTTATTTTCCTTGTCCCCTTGGCACCTCGAACTGATCTTTTCTGATTCTTCAACATGACTCGACCATACGCTCAAAGGGCATTGTATAGCCATTGTTGTCCAGCCCATCTCTAAGAAGCGCCAACAAAGAGAGAAAGGATAGAACAACCGTCATTATGCACACAGTTGAAAGATATACACATCTCACAATGCCCATTATTGATCCCTTTCATACTGATTCTACAACGCTCACCTCGCAGTATAAATAGCACCTTCGACTCCACCGAGTATCTCCTCATCAGACGAAAGCACTCACCACTCATTGAGTCTCTCTAGTCTGCTTTGCACTAGAGATCAAACTGACCACCATGGCTCAGAACAACACAAAGATGATTGCCTCCGAGGCATCCCGCATGCTCCACAGCGTAAACATCGCCAACGTCCTCTACAGCTGGCTCGCCATGAACCTCGCCGGAGTTGAGACTAACTCTCTAGAAGTCGAGCTCGTGGTGAACGACAACACAGTCCAAGCCGCAATTGGCGTCTTCCAAAACTTTGGGCAATGCACAGACTCCCGCTGCAACGAGCTCCTCGTGCGGCGGCGGAACGTCGAGTCCCCGCAAAGACTACACTACCACCCCGTCCCCGCCGCACACTACCATATGGGCAACGGCCAATACCTGCTATCCCTCTTCATCAAGACCGCCATCCTCTGGTGGCTACCGGATTTCACACTCGGTAACCCAGCACCCAACGACCCGTATCTAACTATCTCCACTAACCCCAGCTTACCTCTCTCCGCAGTAGCAGGAGAATGGCGGAGCCTCCACCCGATCAAGATCCTCAAGCCGGGCGCCTTTGTCGACGCTACGATCTTGCTCTTCTGCCGGAACGCCTGCCACCATGAGCGGCTGGGCGCGCTGTACAGTTACATGCTCGCGGCCCTGTGCGATTCGGAGCCTGGTACGGTTAAGAAAACCCCCCGCGCCGAGTTCCAGCCGGCCTGGGACTGCTTCAATGGTAGATTTCCTGCTGGGACTGATCCTCTCTCCGAGATGAAGAAGCTTCGACAGCGCTTGATCGAAAAGGGTGAGCTTGGGGTTCTGCCCCCGGAGCGTTGGGATGAGGCAACTCAGTAAGTCGGAGCCCTTCTTGTTTCTTTGCTGTTGGTGGGTGTTTTTGTACGGTGAGTATCCTCTAAGGATGCCCGTTTCACTCTTTTCTCCCGTTTCACTCTTTTATCTTGGTTTGCTGTTTTATTCTATTCATCCGTGAGATCGTCCAAATGGAAGTCTTCTGTGAGTAAGTACGAAAGATCTTCGGAAAATGATACGCAGCCTCGACAATCAAATCCTAATATCCATATCCATCAAATCTTTCATGTCCTTCGTAAAAAGTAGAATACTCCCCCAGTAAGGTCTAGAATAGTAAACATTTCTAGACTTTCCATGGCCAAGGATCCACAATACACCCACGCAACCCAACATATTATTAGCTCTCATGGCTCTGCTGCATGCTTGAAAATCCAAAAAAAGGGCCTCCAGGGCTTTCTGCCATGGTTGCCTCATGGGGGAAGAGAGAACCAAGCAAATCCAAAAGGTTCATTGAATAAGTTCGTTCTAGGCCGGCTATAGCGGATATCTGACGACATTCATGTCCAAGACCGACTCGCTTTTGCTCCAGGGCATCTTTCGAAGACTAGATCTAGGTTGAGTTTAACTGCTTCCTGTGTTTGGGTTGTCGATCATGCTTGGACGTTTCACCTCAAACGTCAAATGTAACTGCCCAACAGAGTCAACCAGCTCAACGCGGGCAAAAACGCACAGACATACAATCCATCCCGTATCCAGCTTATCAACTTAACCAACCAGACAAGATGATTTTCAGAGACTGCGTCTACGACGGGCTGCATAATGTAGCAAGGTTCCCCTCCCTCTGCTGTCCAAGATACGAGTGATAAACCGGGCTAGGTACATACGGATGTTTCATCACCAGGGTAGGTCTCTCACCGCTGTGTCGAGGCGATGGTTCTCAAATCTCCAACTCGAAGCAGATTCAGGCACTGGGTTGTGTTGGGAGATTGGGAACAAGATTATGAGTCATTAGGTACCAGACTAGACAGACTCCAAAGCCAGCTTGGCAGAGGCGCTGCCCAAGACTTTAAGAGTGAGTGAGTGGGTTTGATTTGCGTGCTGGATTCTACCTTGGAAGAGGGTCGGGTCGATCTAGTCTAGATGTAGCGGTGGTTTGGTCGTGTGCTCTGTCGTTCAGTGAAAAGGCTTCTAAGGTGGAAAGCGACTTGGGCGAAACCACGTAGTGCCTCTGGTAGTAGATACCTGATGAGCTCCTCGTTGCGATATCTCCAGCTGGCATTCCAGTCGTCTAAGCCGGAAAATCTAGGAATGTACATTACGTCAACGGAATGTGGAGTAGTATATTGCGGGGTGAAGGAGAATTTCCGGATGGCATGATGCCACAATCAAGAATTTTTTTTACTTGGAATCCGAAAGTGCTTGTCAGAGTGTTTGGAGTTGATCTAACAATATATAGAGGAATCGAAGAATTATAAAATGAAACTGTCGAGACGAGCTTGGTCGCGTGTCTGGAATTATGAGGACGCAGCCTCTGAATGAAGACATAGTAGAAAAAAAAAAAGCTGAAGAGCTTTATCCGATTGGAGAGGATCTCGAGAATAATGTTTGGGGAAGAGAAGAGAAGAAGGAAAAACAGTAAAGGAAACCATCCGTCTATATGGGCGACGCCTCGCAAAGTAGTATAATCAAACAGTCAAGAAAAAACAATCCTTTCACCCGACACCGATGATGCCCAAACCAAGCCATAAATGCACAGGTAGTCTATATCTTTCGTAGCGCGCATGAATCACAGAATTTTGTTGAATGCGAATGTGTGAGGCTAATTAGAAGCGCTCAGCCAAGTCACCGCCAGCTATTGAGTTGGCGGTTGAGGAAGAGACTGATGAAAACCCGGTTGGATTTAACATGTCCTGAACTGCCACTTTGGGCATCTGAGGAATGGGGAGTTTTCGCTGCGCACCCTCCGGTCGAGACATGATATCGCTGATGCTGGGTCCGTTATGAGTCTGGCTGGGGCTGTAATAGTTGGGACCATCAGGCTGAGGCTCCATGGGCGCAAGAGCCGGGGTGTGGTGGAGTGATAGATGGCGGATAGAAGGCAAGTGCAGTTCATTGGCAGACATGGGCTTCAACCGCGGAGAGTGGGCAGGAGTAGCCAGAGGTGTGTGGTCGGGAGTGGGAGACAGCGAGTCATGTGAGAATGTGGGGGAAGAAGGAGCGGTAGAGTTGGGCGAGTTGGGCCTTGAGCGCTTAACGCGGTGTGACCCATACGAATCCTCTTCCTCGTGCGAGTGAGAACGACTCATGCTGTGCGAGATGGCGTAGGCGGACAGAGAAGGAAGACCTCTGTTGGCATGACGAGGACCAAACATGTGATGGTTGCGCTGACCGGATCGGAATCCGAAAGTCTCGTCACGCTCCACTTGGGAGGCAGCTGTGGCGAGAAGGTTGATGTCCATGCCAGATGACGCCCGGTCGCTCGTACGAGAGTAAGGGCTGAGGTTAGAGCGCATGTGGTTCGCGTAGTTGGAGAATGAATGCGGAGGAGAAATGTCGGGCGATCCGACCTGAGAGACAGGGGCAGATCGAGTGATCGGCTTGCTAGGAGGGGGCATCAAAGAGCCCGGGTTGGTGACCATCGCATTGCTGTCCTGGCCCGCAGCAGCAGCAGCCGCAGCCGCCGCGAGATGCTGAGCCTTGTTTCCTCTTCTCGAGTTGGGGTTGTTGTGAATACGCGAGTGGCGGGTAAGCTCATCTGAGCGACTGAAGCGTTTTGTGCACCCAGGGAACTGGCAAGCATGAGGCTTCTCTCCAGTATGCGTGCGGATGTGTCTGGTCTGGTGTTCCAGGCGGTGGAAGGCACGCTCGCAAAGAGGACACTTGTACGGTCGGGGAAGGTCCTGGCGGGTTTCCTCACCCCCCGGTCGCCCGCCATTGTGTTTAATCACGGGCGGTAATAAACTCGCAGAGGTAGCCATTGTGTTGGACTGAACACTGGACGGGCTAGAAGTGGCGTTGGTGGTGTCGACCGACGTGGAAGGGGTAGAAGCCGTGCTATTCTGAGGATTCAGTAGATTGGAGAAATCCACTGACGAAGCTGATTGCGGCATGTGAAAACTCGTCCTTCTGAAGGTCCGAGGAGACCAGGGTAGGACAGAGCTAGAATGGGGGAAATCGCACGGTCGGTGCGGTTCAAGATGAGCCGAGGCGAAGGATGTTCGTCGCGGACAGGGGGAGGCAAACTCGGCAAGAGGCGATCGCCCGCACTAAGACGTCCTAGGCCGGTCTTTGTTGTCGAAGCAGGCGGATGATATCAGAATCCTGCCAGGGTAATGACAGGCGTTGCTTTTTGAGCGAGAAGCTGGCGGTGAAGATGAGGCGATGTGCAGTACTGGAGGTGCGAGAGAAGACGATTTTTCTTATCGAAGGCGCGTCGACGTCAGGTTGACGAGATTTGTTGGGGTAGTACGCCGGGACTCGACGGACAGGGGTGTGAGCCGGTAAGCTTGTGGTGGGCGAAGTCGAGGGGAAGATTCGGAAGGAAGAACAGAGGACGAAAAATCTGGAGAACAATCTGGGGGAAGGAGAATATAAGAATGAGGTATCGGAATGGAGGGGGAAAGAAGAATGAAACGGAGCTCGGGGGAGGGGAGAAAGAACTGGAAGAGAGGACAGAGGGGGTTATCGGAATCGGAGCAAGGAGCGAAAAAGAAAATGAAAAAAAAAAAAAAAAAAGATAAAAAAAAAAAAAAAAAAAAAAAAAAAAAAAAAAAAAAAAAAAAAAAAAAAAAAAAAAAAAAAAAAAAAAAAAAAAAAAAAAAAAAAAAAAAAAAAAAAAAAAAAAAAAAAAAAAAAAAAAAAAAAAAAAAAAAAAAAAAAAAAAAAAAAAAAAAAAAAAAAAAAAAAAAAAAAAAAAAAAAAAAAAAAAAAAAAAAAAAAAAAAAAAAAAAAAAAAAAAAAAAAAAAAAAAAAAAAAAAAAAAAAAAAAAAAAAAAAAAAAAAAAAAAAAAAAAAAAAAAAAAAAAAAAAAAAAAAAAAAAAAAAAAAAAAAAAAAAAAAAAAAAAAAAAAAAAAAAAAAAAAAAAAAAAAAAAAAAAAAAAAAAAAAAAAAAAAAAAAAAAAAAAAAAAAAAAAAAAAAAAAAAAAAAAAAAAAAAAAAAAAAAAAAAAAAAAAAAAAAAAAAAAAAAAAAAAAAAAGCTGCAAGTACTTTGTGTGGGGATGAAGATATTGGGGGGGCAAAAAAAGAAAGGGAAAAAAAAAAGGACGAAAAATTACCAAATAGTAAATGGAAAGAGGGGGGCGGAGGAAAAAAAAGGAAAAAAGAAAGAATAAAAAAAGAACGTGCTCAAACCAGATCGGCTGCTTTGCTTGGAGATTGACCCGGCCCGGTTTTAGTGGGGTGAACGCCTTTCTTTTTCTTCCTTTGCTTCAATGCTGCTATCTTTGACCCTTTCGAGGGCGCTGACCTGGCTGAAACGGTGGCAGATGCTCTCAGCCTGCTCACCAAAGCCTCCTACGCGGTGTCTTCTATCTGGCTGCGTGTCGCTGTGCGAGGGCGTGACGAAAAGGCAGGTGAAAGAATGTGGGTGGGCTTGGTAGGGGGTGAACTGGTTACTGCAGAAGTGGCTGTGTGGGCTGGAGAAACCCAGCTCGGTGCGTGCCCCGTGTTTGGCAGGGTGGTACGTACTTGTAAGACCTAAAGTGTACCTGGGTAACGAACAGCCCAGCCCGTTCGCAACTTCCGAACCGGCTATCGCGGAAGATCACACAATCCTAGGAATGGGATCATCTTTGTAGTATCTTGCCTCCCAAGGCGGTGGCCAAGCTCTCGTCCCTGATTGTTCGAGTCAGAATCGAAGCCAAACTTGCGACTACGACTGCGACGGCCATTACGCGATAGTTTCCACGGCTTGCAGAATTTACACGATGAGCCATGTGATGGTGAATCTTTCATCATCTGAGGCTTTCCGTGGTCATCCTGATGATTGAGAGACGAGAAGATTATGCAATATTGGTCACTTCTGCACGCATGATACGATGTGTTCAACCTGAACGCTGCTTTGACGGAATTCCAGGGAAACTATGTAACTACGGGATACAGTATGGTCAGAGCGCGAGACGAGGCCAAGGTGCGATCATCATCAGAACCGGAAACAGAGATGGCATTCTGCAATGCTCGGAAATGGGTTAAATCGAGAATGATTTGTCGCCTCTCTCTTACGTTATCATTCCTCTTCCAGAAGAGACAGCTCAATTCGTGCGACTTGCCTTCCCCAGCTTATCTGGGGCGCCATGGGGGAGCTGGGAGAGATTCTACTTTGGGGCAAAGCCTTGTCGAGACCTGTCGATCCACGGCCGATGGTTGGCTGAGAAAGCGAAAAATGAATCTCCCAACAAGGCGGTCATGCAAGCCCAATGGGAGGTCTGAAACGAGGGTCGACGAGGGCCGACAAGGCAGGGCAATGCGCGATGTCAGAGTCGTACGATGATGAGATCCAATACTTCATCACTCATCATCGCAACGTGCGCTGGAGGGCACGAAAAGAAACCGGGATGACGCCCCGCGCGGGTAACAGGCGGAATTGCGGGGTGAAAAACCCAATACCACGACGACTCAAGGATTGCATCAGCCTCATGACTCACGGGCGTTATTGGTCCGATTTAGATGCCACAGATTGCGGTCTGGAAAGCGACGCTGGAAACTCGGCACTTGCTCGGATGTGACTTTGGGCGATGGCGATTCTGTCACGAGGACATGGTTTGGTTGATAGGCGCCTCACCCAAAGGGTCAAGCGGAGGCTGTCTCTCTGGATCAGCCGAACTAGCCTGTGCTCCAGGGTATCGCATAATTATCGGGCTCTGTCCCTCAACTCAGTTCGTTGCGCAATCTGTCCCTTGCCAATTTAACCGGGGTGGCCTGGAGGGAGACAAACGCCATTGACGTTCCGTTGAACGCGACTGGGTGAGCTTGGGATACCTGGTCCGGGGCTGGGACAGGGATCCAGCCGTTTCAACCTAGTCTCGGCTTTTCAAGGTTGCGAATAAGAATAGCATCGCGACAAAAAGTTCAAGGAGGACCTTGGGGAAAGCAAGGAGATTTGCTCGGAAATTGACCTCCGCACTCGGCGCGAACCCACCTCCCGCTTTCGTTCGCTTTTGTTGCTTCATTGGTATGCTGAAAGATACCTCTTCATCCCTGAAAACGGGCGCAGGTCCCTTTGATAACTGAGACTCGGCGATGTCCGTTGTGTGCTGTCGACAACGATAGGCGCCCGAGTGAGGCCAAGCGAGCAGCTGAGGAGAAGAGCGAGCGAGTCAGCCAGCCGAGCTGTTGCTTTACCCCCCGGAGGACCCTTTGCTCGCCCTTCCTGATCGTCGGATTTATCTCTTCCAACCAGTTTACCTAAAACAATTCGCGGACTTAGGCCTGTGCCCGCGATGCAAGGGAGAGATCACCCAAACCACCCCTAATTAACCTGAATTTTTGCACTTTCACCAAGCGATGGTCGATCCGAGGACTTGGACAATCTGCACCAAGCCGCCTCAGCTGCTTTTCCTAGTGGTCGATCACAAATAATCCGGAGGGGTCCATGTTGACAGAGGCCACCACTACGAATTGGGCAATCCAGTGGCGGATCACGGAGCTGGGAAACTCTTGACAAGTCGATCTTTGGTAAAGCTATAACCTAATCTGACAGACAAATTGTTTGCATTTACGCGCTGTTGAGTCTTGCACGCGGCGTCGAGGGCAACCACGATAGGTCGATATTCGAGGTCAGATTGTGGACAGTCGAGGAACCCGACTCCTGAGTGCTGCTGAAAAGTGTCCCTTTCCCAAAATCCGCGGGCCATCTCTCTCCGTTAACCCAAGAAGGAAGGGAGCGCAATCCCCACCAAATATTGGGCGATATCGTGGCTGTCCCCCCTGTGTTGATAGGACAAGCCCGGCCGATCAGCAGGTCGCAGAGCAGCCATGATAGCCTTGATAAGTCGATAGGTTCTTTTGACTCTTTGTTCTGCTCGTATCTCGAGTGCTGGCTGGCCGCGGTAGCCTGCAAATAAGATAAGTTATCATGACGCGGCCAGGGCGTTTCTCTCGAGGCGAAGCAGAAGCAACTGTTCAGTGGCAGAGCGGCGGTCTTGACAGCTGTCATCTTCCTGCATCCTCTCCGCAGACTTGTACATTCAACACGGAGCTGAGTCCTTATCGTGGACGAATCCTTATCGCTGCTCGCCTTGCTCAGCCATTATGAATTCTCCCTCTATCTGGCGCAATAATCCATAGTCATGTGCCCAACACTGCCTGGATCGACCTGAACCACAGTCAGTGTAGTGGTCTCCTCCGTAGCGGAGAAACTATCGTGACGCACCCTTTTGTGGGGAGTCATCTCACCTGATTTCCCCATGCCATTGCCCACAGCCATGCGCTGGATGCCGGGCCGACTGCCGGAGGTCGCGAGTTAGAGTCACTTGGCGAGCGCACTACGTATCTCACCCCACACAGCCCCAAGTTCCCTCACGCTGGATGAGTGGAATATCGTGGAACCGCAAATATGGAGTCCAGCACGCAGGTACGACTGACAGGTCGGAACGCGGCACGCAGCCATTTAATCAATCCAACTTGGTGCGACTAGCGGAGAACGAACTGGTCCGAGTATTTACCGCGGATTTAACACTATATGGCGAACGTCCCAAGCTCCAACTAGTTACTTGACTCGGTAACCGGTACCGCCGTGTCTTGCGGGGGATGTTCATTTCAGAGATTATTGCCCCTCAAAATTGAGCGAGTACGTTCCATAAGTCCACGATCCGACCGTTGGAACTGAATGGGGGCCTAGGGATCACGGACTCTCATTCCGATGTTTGAATGGTCGACTCCACAATCTCTTTGAAAGACTGACGGTGATCACAGAATGGGCGACTTGTTCTGACCACAGGCTTCAGATAAGCAGATCTGGATTTGTAGTTCTCGGCCCTTTGGCTCTTTCTAATTGGTTTCTAGCACCGCGAAAGATTTCCCGAGACTCCCCGCAAAATCTTGCAGTATACAATGTACCTACGCATAGTCCTATTCTTTCGCAAAGACCGGCTCAGCACTGACATTCGCAA